ATTTCCACGTTGCGGTTGTACACCGCTTGCTCCCTGCGTTGTTCGACTTGCGCCGTTTCGAGGAACACGATGGCGTCTTGTAGCCGAGCGTTTGCGACGCTTTGCAACTCGCGGTTGTCTTCGTCTTTCTGGTTACGTTCTCGAATGACTGCCCATACGTCGCTGCTCAGGGCGTGCGTCGCGTTCGCTACCGTTGACAGCTCGGTTCGAAGCCATTCTGTATTCATTTCGGCATTGTGAGCGTAGAGGTTGTACACATACTTGACCCCATCGCAGAGTTGTTCGTAGTTCCTTCTGATTTCCTGCATTCGGGAGTCCTCTTCGTTGAACTTCTGATCGCATGCTTGGTAAAGCTGGCGCAGGTCTCTTTGTGCCGTTTGGTATTGGTGGTTCATCAGCCTGAGCCAGGCTGCCGGGTTTCGTACTTCGACGGTTTCGGATGCTTGCGGGATGCTAACGAGCGCATTGCTCAGGGTCTGAGGAAGTTCGAGGCGGAGCATGTCGAGGTTTGAGGAGGACATTTTCGATAGAAATCGGTGACTGTAACCTTAAGATTATAGTGTGAGACTGGGACGGGTTTGTGTCGTCGGAGTCTATAGTAAAATCGAGGATAGAATAAAAGTCAGGGATTTCGATAATTCACAGCGGAATAATCTTAAGGGTGTTTGTTCGATGGTTTGTTCGGTGCGATGATTGTAGTTTGTTCGGTTGCCCGCTCGGTTCGACTTATAGTCGTCCCGTTCCTCAGCACGTGATTCCTCTAGAGTGCGGCCTAACGTAGCTCCGTTGCTTCCTTTGCATCGGAGTTCCGCGGCCTAGCCTTGAGTCGTCGTCAGCTCTCTTCGGATAGTCTTCTCGACTAGGCAGGTGGTAAACACCACGCGCCCAAGATAGATCGGAGTTTCCGAGCAATTATCTCCCTCATGCGCCGGCAGAGTTCTTCGCTCGAAGTTGTCTGCCCCCATCGGTCGATGTTCGATTCTCTCGTCATAACAGTTTTTTCCTGGATCGGAGTTCCTACTGCGGGGCCCTATGATGGGAGATCTCAAAGTCCTCTGGACTGTTATCCCGATCTCCCGCATCTCCGATCACTGTCTAGACTCTGGAATCCGTTTGCTCCCTCCTTCCTATCTTGTCCTTGATCGCTTCTAACTATCCTTTCGGCTCGCAACTCTATTCTAATCACCCGAACTATCTAATCACATCTCTTGCGACCGTCGTGACCTCCGATACCTATCGGGGTGTCACACCATGGACTTCATTACCGACCTACCGGAATCCAACGGATGCGACCAGCTATGGGTGGTCGTCGACCGCTTCACCAAGATGGCGCATTTCATCCCCCTACCTAAGGATGGAAAGATAGCCGAGGATCTCGCGAAGATTTTTGCCCGCGAGATATGGCGCTTTCACGGATTACCGGCAGACATAGTGTCGGACCGAGACTCACGGTTTACCTCGGGTACATGGAAAGAATTCATCCGGCTGCTAGGCATTAAGCCCCGGATGTCAACAGCGTTCCACCCACAGACGGATGGACAAACCGAACGCCTCAACCAGACGATCGAAGCATACCTCCGCTCCTTCGTCAACTACGAACAAAACGATTGGGTGAATCTCCTACCGATGGCTGAGTTTGCCTACAACAACTCGGTTACATCGGCAACCGGAATGTCGCCCTTCTATGCGAATTTCGGATACCACCCGTCGGCGACAAACCCTGCTGCGGCAAATTCTCTCAACCCCGCCAGCAAGGTCTACGCTCACTGGATGCATACAGTCCACGAGGAAAACATCAAGACCCTCGAACGAACGCGCGAACGAATGCGCAAGTATGCAGATCAACATCGTCAGGAGGCACCGGCTTATCAAGTAGGAGACTTGGTAATGCTCAATGGGCGGAACATTCAAACCCGCCGACCCTCGCGGAAGTTGGACCACAAGAACCATGGTCCCTTCCAAATCGAGAAGATCGTATCGCCGCTCGCTGTCAAGCTCACTCTGCCAAGGAAGTGGAAGATTCATAATGTCTTTCACGTCTCGCTCGTTGAACCGTTCCGAGCCGGCGCCCGAGCACCACCGGATCCCTCTCAAATCTTACGAGAGGCCGATGATGTGGAAGGCAACGAAGAATACGACGTCGATGAGGTTATGGGCAGCTCGAAGAAAGGTCGACGAGTGCTCTACCTCGTCAAATGGCTCAACTACCCCGAACGACGGGACTGGACGAAGGAGCCATTCGACAACTTCTCAGTAGGCGGTCGCGAAAAGCTACGCGAGTTTCATCGCAAAAATCCCGATGCGCCGAGGGACTACCGGCTCACAGATGAGTAAGAGTTTTTTCCCATGTGGTTTTTCTCGAACTCGGGCAGGTAGTAGGATGAAGGGGTTGGAGGACTTCATCCACAGTTATCAAGTTAGGATAAAGGCGAGGACTTGGGTGCTTCGGGCCGAAGCCTCGTGGGAGGGGAGATGGTGTGACACCCCGCTAGGTATCGGAGGTCACGACGGTCGCAAGAGATGTGATTAGATAGTCCGGGTGATTATAATAGAGTTGCGAGCCGAAAGGATAGTTAGAAGCGATCAAGGACAAGATAGGAAGGAGGGAGCAAACGGATTCCAGAGTCTAGACAGTGATCGGAGATGCGGGAGATCGGGATAACAGTCCAGAGGACTTTGAGATCTCCGATCATAGGGCCCCGCAGTAGGAACTCCGATCCAGGAAAAAACTGTTATGACGAGAGAATCGAACATCGACCGATGGGGGCAGACAACTTCGAGCGAAGAACTCTGCCGGCGCATGAGGGAGATAATTGCTCGGAAACTCCGATCTATCTTGGGCGCGTGGTGTTTACCACCTGCCTAGTCGAGAAGACTATCCGAAGAGAGCTGACGACGACTCAAGGCTAGGCCGCGGAACTCCGATGCAAAGGAAGCAACGGAGCTACGTTAGGCCGCACTCTAGAGGAATCACGTGCTGAGGATCGGGACGACTATAAGTCGAACCGAGCGGGCAACCGAACAAACTACAATCATCGCACCGAACAAACCATCGAACAAACACCCTTAAGATTATTCCGTTGTGAATTGTCGAAATCCCTGACTTTTATTCTATCCTCGATATCACCACAGACTCCGACGGCACCAACCCGTCCCAGTCTCACAGGTTTCGTACTTCAACGGTTTCGGATGCTTGGGGATGCTAACGAGCGCGTTGCTCAGGGTCTGAGGAAGTTCGAGGCGGAGCATGTCGAGGTTTGAGGAGGACATTTCGATAGAAATTGGTGACTGTAACCTTAAGATTATAGTGTGAGACTGGAACGAGTTTGTGTCGTCGGAGTGTATGGCATTATCGAGTGTAGAATAAAAGTCAGGGATTTCGATAATTCACAACGGAATAATCTTAAGGGTGTTTCTTCGATGGTTTGTTCGGTGCGATGATTGTGTTTTTTGGTTCGGTTGCCCGCTCGGTTCGGCTTATAGTCGTCCCGATCCTCAGCACGTGGTTCGTCTAGAGTGCGGCCTAACGTAGCTCCGTTGCTTCCTTTGCATCGGAGTTCCGCGGCCTAGCCTTGAGTCGCCGTCAGCTCTCTTCGGATAGTCTTCTCGACTAGGCAGGTGGTAAACACCTCGCGCTCAAGATAGATCGGAGTTTCCGAGCAATTATCTCCCTCATGCGCTGGCAGAGTTCTTCGCTTGAAGTTCTCTGCCCCCATCAGTCGATGTTTGATTCTCTCGTCATAACAGTTTTTCCCTGGATCGGAGTTCCTACTGCGGGGCCCTATGAACGGAGATCTCAAAGTCCTCTGGACTGTTATCCCGATCACCCGCATCTCCGATCACTGTCTAGACTCTGGAATCTGTTTGCTTCCTCCTTCCTATCTTGTCCTTGATTGCTTCTCACTATCCCTTCGGCTCGCAACTCTATTCTAACCACCCGAACTATCTAATCACATCTCTTGCGACCGTCGTGACCTCCGATACCTTTCGGGGTGTCACACCCCTACCGTGTATGCGCCCTGTACCTGACATGGCGATGAATATGCCTGCCATAGGCGCATCCTCATGAAACTCTTATAAGCTCATCAGGCGTCACAGTTAGTAGGTTTTGCTGAGAACGTATGACTCGGAATGCATTTTCACGGTACTTATGATTGTTGAAGGCTGATGCATCCATATGACCAAGAATTTGAAAACCCCGACCAAGACTTATTGTACGGTAAGTTACATTGAAAACAAATACTGATGTTAGTAAAGATTTCTTATCGGGGAGTCAATCAAAATCGCCCTCATCTAAGGCTGCTGTAATGCCGTTGGCTTATTACATAGCTCTAGATGGTATATATAGGACCTACCGCCGTGATGAAAAGCATACGCATCAGGTATCCATCACAACACTCCTATTTTGCAAAGTTGTAAACATCAGCACTGCGACACTTCCGGAGCTTCCCCCCCATGGCAAAGACAGGCGTCATCGGTTACGCCTATAAGAGTACATTCCCTCACGTCAAACCCGACCACCGCCAACCTCAAAATATTCGACTTCCCACTTGACAGTCGCAGGGATTTTCATAGCACGATCCAGCTGAAACTCGCGGCGCTACCGCAGAAAATAGCTATCAGGCGAAGGCGAATACACACATTCCCTCAGCGTGACTCCGGGGCGCTGGTTCTTCGCGAGACGGCGGTCAGGGTTGACGGCGGTCCATCAGCTTTGGATGTTTTGTCGTAAAGCCGACACGGCGAACGCCTATCAGCCGTCCCGCAAGTCTATAGCGACCGCAATTTGGACACCTCGGCTGCATGATTGGTGGGGAGTAGAACGTAGTATCTGCTTGCTGCTCGTTAGAACATACCAATGAGGGACAGAGAACCCGCGACCGTGCATGCATAGTCATGCACGTCCAATTTGCTGAATGACTGGATGAAGCGGGGTAAGAAAGGACGTGTGAAAACCGTTGAAACTTGCTAAGCAGCCTTCAACGATCAATCCCAACTATCGAGCAAACCCGCGATTTTCAGACCGAATTACCGTCCACGTTAAGAGGTGAGCATACTGCCTGCTTGTCCTGGCCAACCCAACATCTCCAGCGGCAGTCGAAGCCTACCTAAAGCATCGATCGAACAAGGACGCGCGACTATATATCCGACCGTCACCGCTGCCTGCGCAACATGCCTAGCATCCCAAAGCTAGACGATGGCCGGATCTACCGGAACAGCATGCACTCCGAGTTTGTCGGAGGGGAGTTTCATGGCGGACAGACCTTCGTTTCTGATGGGTAAATTTCTCTCCAGCTTGCCATAAGCAATGAGGTTACGAATAGTAGTACTTGCTAACACGAGGCCGTCGGTAGATCGGAAAGTAAGTTGCTCTACTGCGGATTAGCGGCCTACAATTTTTGAAAACCCTCTGACACAGTAGTTTGATAAGGGTCCCGGCGGTCCGAGATCTTGGAATGGATATCGACGATTCCATACACCAGCCACCACAGGAGTATCAGTGATTGTCGTCTAGACGGCACTGGTACGTGGATCTTCGACAAGGATGAGTATCGCACCTGGAGAGCATCGAACGTTTCTCTGCTGTTGTTGTTGCGAGGAATCCGTAAGAAATCACTCACTTACGGTCAGTTCTCGGCTTACCGGCTCGTCTAGCTGGAGTCGGCAAAACCTACATTGCCTTGACAGTCGTTGATTATTTCCTTCGAACCCCACTCCCGGGAAAGTCGCATACTTCTATTGCAACCGAGCCGAGGCAAATCGCCGAAACCCAGAGAGCATCTTGAGCACACTTGTCCAGCAGCTTGCCCAAACAAACGAGTCTAGAGTGGACAACCTACTACAACCGGTGGTAGATTTCTACCAAGAACGAGAACGGAAAGGGCAAAGGTCTTCGCGGCTAAGTCTTACAGAAAGCCAGGAGCTCCTCATTCAACTCACGGACATATATCCGCAGACGACAATCTGCCTCGATGCCTTGGACGAAGTCGACCACCGAATCCGGATAAAACTACTGAAGTCACTGCAGTATGTCATGGAAAAATCAAAGAAGGTCAAGATTTTTGCGACCACTCGAATGGATACCGATATCCTCTTGCAGCTTGAGAGTTTCCCCAGGATTGAGTTGCAACCGGACGACAACGTCCTCGATATTCACCGATTCATACAAGCGCAAGTCCACGGTGCTATCAAAGAGAAGCAACTGCTTCACAGCATTGTCCTTGATCAGCTTAAAGACGAAATATGCAATGTCCTTGATAGGCGTTCGAAGGGAATACAAGTGACTATTTCAACCACCAAAGAGAATAGCAACTGATGGCTGAATGCAGGTTCCAACTAGCCGCTCTTCAGATTACGTTCCTCTGCGAGATGGGCACTCAAAGGGATGTACGATGTAGCCTGATGGCTCTTCCGGATACCCTGACGACAGCCTATGACGAAATATACAAGCGTATTGAGACCCAGAAAGGCAGTGCACCCCAACTGGCAATCAACGCCTTTCGGTGGATCCAGTGTTCATACGAACCCTTACGAACTGAAACCCTGCTCGATGCGATCACGGTCGAGCTTGACGGCTCAGGAGGGGTCCTCCACTATCCGGTGCAGGCGAATGACTTATTGAAAGCGTGTCAGGGCTTCATCATCTTGGACGAGCGACTGGATGTGTTCCGGTTCGCACATCTTTCAGTCGAAGAGTACTTGGAAACACAATTGGTAAAGTTCAATTCTCATGTCGAAATATTGAAAGTCTGTCTTTTACTGCTCTGCGCTTCGTCATGGGGAGAATACGACGAAACCCTGGAAACTAGACAGGCGGATTACAATGCTCGCCACCTATTGTTGTACTCGGTGGTGTTCTCGCCATGGCACTTCGCCCAGTGCGAAGACAAAGATAACTGTCAAGCTGTGACTGGCCTCTGGAATACATTCGTATCGGGCAGTAACTACCAGCGATGGGCCAACTATCATCAGCGCTGTGTTCAGGTCGATAGGCATAGCCGTGACATATTTTGGTGCAGGACACACGCAGTGCGGCAAGCAGGCGACGACACTCTATCGTCAGTCTGTGTTTTTGGGTACAACGGAGGTTCCCTAACGTCTCCGAGTCCGCGCAGGAGGCTCTTCTACCCCGATTACTTCTCTACGCGTCTAGTTTTGGAGATGTGGAAATAGTCCGGCTACTGCTAGACACGCGAGCCGCCGCCGGCGTGCGAAACCCGTATGGGCTGCTCCTCGAGGCACAAGAGGGAGGGGAGACGCCACTGCACCTGGCCTCAGAGGGTGGGCATGCGGTGGTAGTCCAGTTGCTGGTAGACCGTGGAGCCGATGTCGCAGCCACCGTTGGCACTCATGAATGAACGCCGCTGCACCTGGCCTCGTGGCAAGGACACGAGACAATCGCCAAGCTGCTGCTAGACCGCGGAGCCGACATTTCGGCCACCGACAAGAAACAGGAGACACCACTGCACCTTGCCTCGAAGCGAGGACACCAGGCGATAGCTCGACTACTGGTGGACCAGGGAGCCGACGTATCGGCTGCCAATTTGGACAGAGAGTCGTCGCTGAATCTAGCCTCTGAGGGAGGGTACGAGGCGGTGGCCAGGCTGCTTCTCGACCGGGGGGCCGACGTCTTAGGCGCCGGCGGCATTTACGGACACCGCCACATCTAGCTGTGAAGGGAGGGCGCACGAAGACTTTCCGGTCGATCCGCGACGATTATAAGTCGTTGCCGCTTCTAGACTGGGAGGGGCCGAGCGCGGCGGTGGCCCGACTGCTTAGCGCTCGGGAAGCCGATGTTTCGGCTGCCGGTGGTGGTTACGGGCGAACGCCGTTGCACCAGGCCTTGATGGGAGCTTCGGACGCGTTGGCCCCGCTGTTGGACGCCTCAGTAATCGAAGTCTCGGTCCCCCGGCGTAATTACCAGCGGATGCCGCTGCAGTACGAGACGGTGGTCGGACTGCTCAACGACAGGGGAATCGACGTCTCAGCCACAGACGATCTTGATGGACTGGCACAGCTACAGCAGGTGTTGGGGGGAGGGCATGAGGCTGTCGCCTGCCTTTTCCTCGATCGGGGAGCCGACATTTCGGCCACCGACATGAGCGCCGAGACGCCGCTACATCTGGCAGCGAGGGGTGGGCTCGAGTCATTTACCCAGTTCCTCATCAATCAGGGTGCCAATACACCGGCCGTCAACATAGATGGAGCGACACCGCTGCACGTGGCGTCGTGGGAAGGACACGAGTCAGCAACACGGCTGCTTGTAGATCTTGGAGCCGATTTAGCGGCTACCGACAAGCAAAGGCAGACACCGCTCCACCTAGCCTCGATTGGAGGGTTCACGGCAGTGGTCCGGTTGCTTGTCGACCTTGGAGCCGACGTCTCGGCGACGGACAAGAGGGGGCATACGCCACGGCACCTGGCATCGGGACGTGGGCATGATTCGGTCGTCCAGCTTCTCGTCGGCTATGGAGGCAACATATCGGCCACTACTATCACAGGGATGTCGCCGCTGCACCTTGCCTCGGTGAGAGGACACGAGGCTGTGGCGCGGCTACTAGTTAACCTGGGGGCCAAAAAATCAGCCCCTAACAGGTACGGGGAGTCGCCTCTGCACCTGGCCTCATCTCGCGGATGTCTTGCAGTAGCCCAGCTGCTCGTAGATGCGGGAGCAGACGTCTCGGCCACTGACGAGATTTCGGTGACGCCGCTGCACCTGGCGTCATCTCGAGGACATCTTGCAGTAGCCCAGCTGCTCTTGGATTCTGGAGCTGACGTCTCGGCGGCCGACAAGGAACGGCGGACGCCGCTACATCTGGCCTCGGCGAGAGGACACAGGGTGGTGGTGCAGCTGCTCCTCAACCGGGGAGCCGATGCCTTGGCAGCCGACAAGTTAGGTCGGGCGCCCACATATCGGGATGGAGATCGTTGTCAATCTTTGTTTGGTGGTGGCAGTTTCCCGCATAGTAGGGATGCTTAAACAGGCTGCCAGGGTTTTTTCTTAAAAACCACGGGTCTAAAAAGAATGACCAATAAGAATGCCCAGCTCTGGAATTTAACTTTGAGGGCTCCGGGCTGGGAGCTGGGCTGGATACTGGAGTAGCGGGGCTGGATACTGGAATAGCTTCCTGAATCCAAACTGGTGGGGCCCTTTCTACACCAACCACTCCTCGTGCCCGGTGACTAGAGTCAAATCCTCTCGGTGACCAGAGTCATGTCTTGAGTCTGTGACTGGACTGGACTGTATCTTGGCAGTCCGTCTGGGAGCAGTGCGCTGACGGACTAGTCCAAAACCATTCGACGACAGGACGGACTGCGGTCCGATACCAAGACTTAAAGAAACCATTTTTCTTCTAGGCAAAATTACGCCAAATTAAGGCTTGATGGCAGAAGAGAACATAATGAATTTTAAGTGATACGGAAGATTGAGCACCCAAAGGTGGTTTTTATTCGGTCTTAAGTGCAACCACCAAGTGCACATCGGACTGCAGTCGACTGCAGTCCGCATCTAGTCTACGGAATCCATGGACCGGACTGACTACTTTTACGCAGTCCGTCCAGTCCAGACTGCAGTACAAACCGGACTATGTCGAACACTAAGCTCGAGAGTTGCCCCTCAAGTGTCAAAACCGCCACCACTAATGTTGTACGTTGAAAGCGCACTCTGTCAAATATAATGGGAAAAAAGCTTACCGAAGACACGTCACCACGGGAGCGGCCACTACGTTGCTTGCCTCGTTCCGGATTGCTTCATGTTGCACGTGACTCACTTCAGCAAGATGAAAACGTACAGGCCTCGCAATAGATGTCCAACCGTCCGAGTAGGGTCCGGACGTCTTTCAGGACCGTCCAGTAACAGAAGTCATGCCACAGGAATCTCGGACTGGTGACCGTGGTGGTAGTAGGCCAGTGACGATACTCGCGCACCCACTGTCCGTATAACTTCTGTCACCACCGAGATCCAGGAGAACCTCCACAACCTCCGTTCGTTCTGTTTGAACCAGTGCTGATTCTTCGGCAGCATACTCCGTAATTACATCAACACCGGCCGACGGCGTCAAGCAGCCACTGAATTATTTCAGGCTAACTGTTCAGTATTGCAAAGAACGGCCAGTTCGCACCGCGTGCGCTCAACAGTGATTGCTTCAGGAGTGGCTACAATTTGTGCCGAATGCCCTTAATGTTTGAGAAATTGATGAAGTTGAAACTTGATACCCGACTGGAGCAGGAGCTCAACGAATGGAAAATATCCCCCCGCCAACCGTAAATTGTGAAACGGTGCATCCGCCTTTCCGTTATTAATATGTTGATTTTTGCACCGCACTGATCAGCTCCTCCTCCAAAATTTCGAGATAGGAAGCTCTCAAATAGAAGCGTGCTACTCCTCCTCTAGCAATGGAATTGATGGGGCTACCCATTTCGAGATGAAGCCCGACGGACCGAACATATCCCCCAGTGGCTACGGGGTTCGGGGTGCACAACGGCACGCCTGCCCCTCCCCCATTTTCCAGTATTAGAGAAGAGTACAGCCATTGTCAATCAGTTCCTCCAGAATGTCGGGATAGGCAACTCCCAAGTGCAGATTCAATATATCCTGGCGACATGACTGGGCACTTATAGACGCTGTCCAACTAGCCGTCATTCGTATTTTGAAAAATTGTAATGTACAACGCCGTACCAGAGAGAGAAAAGAGAGAGGGGGGAGATGTGGTAGGTGTATGCTCTGGACCGGAAGACATGGAAGATCGTTCCGAGAGGAAGGTATTCGTGAATTGTATGCCACGTCAGCGACGGCTCTGAACTAGAGCGCGGTGCAGTGAAAAATCCTTGACGGCGCGGTTCGGCGGAGGTTGGGTGACCGCTGGGCAGTGGGCGAGGGACTGACTCAACGGTCATGGGATAGATACTTACTTAGGTACTTATTCACGAGTATTGCATCCGACCAATTTGCCGATAGATCATGGTAAGTATCCCGGCGTGTCCGGCAGATGTGAATCTGTTGCAGTACATGAGGTTGACGCAATCCAGATCAGAGCTGATAGGTTAGCAGCGCGTGATATCAAAAGCATTCGAGTGGACTTGAAAAAACGCTTCCCAAAGCAACCTGTATCGGTACGCAAAGTCCCTTACAATAGGTCATCGAGCATTAATTCCACACACCCCTCTGATGGCGCATGCAGCAGCTTGACTGTTTTCGAAGTTGATTCTGCTGTGGCCCGTTCACATTGCAGCACTCGCCCTCGTCCACATAACCACCGCGGTCTCTTCAGTAATCCCGCTGAAAGCACTGGAGTAATGAGCGTTGATTTTATGTTGACTCTATATCTAGCGTGCGGACCTACTGGAGGATGCCTGTGGAGGCCCAGCTCACTGTATCCCCGTTGTTCTCCAGCTGATGCCCCGTGACTGTGCCGCCCATGCATTTTACCCACATGGTTGCGCACGACTGGTTCTGTGTCAAACGTCGGGCTTTCCCGATGGTTTATCGTCCGATGCATCTTCCATAATACTCCGTCAAGGACCCGTTGATGAGGATTACTATCCTCCAGCGAGAAATCAACCACACCCGAGTAAAACAATGCATTCCCCTCTGAGTGTATCCAAAAGCAAACCCGCACCCAACTCCACTCCCCCGCTCGTCGTCAGCTCAAATCAACCCTTCCATCAGCTCATCAATCCTAATCCCCTTTCTAACCGCATTACTAAACCCCTCATTATACGTAACCCAAGTATCACTCTTTCCCTCGGTGAGCACCACCCTCCGCTTCTTCCTCGGATTATCCCCGGCGACCTCCAACCCGACCGGCAACTCCGAGATCACACGACCAAAGAAGTCGCGTTTTACTTTAGCCGCGGGCTTCAAGCCGATCTGCTGCTGTTGTGGTGGAGGTTGTGGCAGAACCTCACCGAGCACTTCACCACGCCGCGCTTCCGCCGCAAGTTTATCTTTCAGCGCCTGCAGCTTCCGCCACTCCTGATCGAGGACCTGGCGTACAGCGTAGCGCACGGGCTCAACACTGGGAGCTTTGAAGGTGGGGTATATGCCGAGGGCGTCGATCGGCGGGTCCATACGGAATGCCCAGCCCGAGCCCGTGGCGATTCCCTCCACCCGGACTTTTTCGAACTTGACGCCGAGGGCGTCCATAGCGTCGACGGCGCGCGCGACCATGCGCTTCTCCGTGTCCCGCCGGACACTGGCAATCGCGTACCCCGACCCGCTGACCATGACGGGGTTTACGTGCGGCGACATCATGCGGTTTGCGAGCGGCGAGAGCTCCATGGCGATTATGCTAGGGCTATTGAACAACATGGAGAGGCGGGGGGATTTTATCGAGCTGTGAATGGAGGCAATTATGGAAGTGTTTTCTTTCTTGGCTTCGTAGGCTTCCCAGTCTGCGCTAGGGCCGGTGAAGAGTGCCACTTCTTCGGTTGGGTCGAAGTTGTCGGGGCGCGAGGAACTGCTGCTGGTGGAAGAGGCGAAGAGGCGGTGGAATGCGAGGATCGGGTAGGTTAGGTATGATGCGGACGAGACCTCGCTGCTCACTCGGTTAGAGAGCAGGTCGGCGAACCAAAGCCACTCGTAGGCGGCGTTAGGTTTGGTGAGACAGGAGTCGTCATTGAAGTTTTTGGTCGGATATGTTGCAAAGCACTCTATGAAGATTTCAGTAACTGCATCGGCAAAGACGGCATTGAAATCTTACCCGTTGTAAGCTTATCGAACTCCCCTAGTCCCTCGACGAGCTCCTGCAGCTTCTGCGTCGACGACTTCTTGACCGCTTTGACCGCACCTCTCCGCTGCGGTGGCTCCTTCTGTATGTGAAAGACCGACTCCAACGCATCACGCATAGCCATTCTCCCACCACCGGCACCCTTTCCATCGGAATCACCTATCCTCGATCCCATGAGCTCCAGCTCGACCGCACTCCGCGTCAACACCTGTCGCTTCCGGCCGCCCGTAGACTTCAGCCTCGCAGCAATCCACTGGCCATTGACCAGAGCACCTCTCATATCGCCCTTCCTCGACGAGACGGAACCCGAGAGCTCAACGATCTTCCTCACCGCACCATCCTCCGTCGCATACCCCTCCTTCTCAAATATCCACTCCAGCCTCTCCACCAGCAATCCCACAGGCGGCACACGCATCTGCACCACCTCAACGAACTGCCGCAGTGGTTTCAACGCGGGCGCGTACAGGTCGTTACACACCGCGATAATCGGCCTCAACAGCCGAAACCCATCCTCCTCACCATTCCTCCTACGCCTCTTCTTCTTCGTCCCGGAATTCCGCTCCTCCGTCGCCTCGCGATCCGCTACTATCAAATCGATGAGGGCCTTGATGAAGCCGGCCTCGGAGCCACTGCCGCCACCACCTCCAGTAACACCATCGATCTCATCGATGACCAAACACACCGGCCGTCCGGCGATCTGCTTTTTCTTCCCACTAGTCAGGCCACACGACTTGACGCCCTCGATCGTGAGCATATTCCTGATCTTCCCCTTGACCACGCCGCCGGTGCGATCGTCGGACGCGTTGATTTCCAAGGGCTCATATCCCGCCTGACGGGCGGCAACATGCGCGAGCGTCGTCTTCCCCAGTCCCGGCGGCCCATGCAGCAGGAGGATTTTCCGGTGCTCCAGCGGCTCCTCGTCGGCCTCGCCGGATGCGGCGGGGACTTTCCGCTTCAGCCGCTGCTGCGATGGGAACACGAGCTTGTCCCAGCCCTTGAGCCACCGCAGCACGTCGCGGTGCGTCCGCTCGTCGCCCACCAGGTCCGTAAACTTCTTGGCGCGGTACTTTTCGGTCCAGAGGAGGCGCTTCTTGTGCGAAGCCGCGGGGATAGTGGGTTCTTCGATTGTGGCGGCGGCGGTGGGCAAGGTGGCGGCGGCGATCGCCTTTGATGCCGCCAGGTCGTCGAGAAGACTGTGGATGTCTATGCCGTAGTACTTCGGGGTAGCGCCTGTAGTGGTAGTGGTAGTCTTCGTCGCAGTGACCGTCGGTGCAGGTGCAGTCTCGGCGAACACCCGTTCCCGCCGCAGGACCGTGAATGTCTCGCCGGAGGAGGTGACGATGGTAACTTTTTCGCCCTCGGGTAGTTCAGCGCGTGGTGTTGGTGTTGGTGTCGGTTCCTGCTCCTGCTCCCTCTCCTGCTCGATCTGCGAAATCAAGCTCAGCGTCGCCAGCCGCTGGTCTTCCTCGTGCAGTATTGGCGGCGGTAACGGCGACTCCCCGCGCATCTGCGCAATCATGTCCACCAGCGGCGACCTATCCTCCTCCTCCTCCTCAACCACCGGCTTCTTAACGCCACCAAACAGCCCCCCCTTCAGCGGCGCCGAGAAGTTGGGCACAAACCTCTTCGTCTGCTTCGGTTTCGGTCTCGGAGTGATCTCCGCACTGTCCTCCATATCTTCCGGCGGTGGCGGCGAACTAGCGAAGGCCCTTCCCTTCGGCGTCGGCGAGTCGGGCGGAAGACTGCTGCTCCTGAACACGGGGGTTTTGTCGTGCAAACGGTGCTGTATCACTACTCCCTTGCGCGTGAGTTCCGCAACACGTTCCTGGGCGACGGTGCGGAGGGCTTCGAGGTCGTCGGTGAAATCGGGGAGGGGCTGTGAAGACGGTGGCGCTGCGTCGGACTGGAGGAGGAGGCTGTAGTCGAAGTCGGAGGGGATTTCGTCCATTGGATTGGGATTGTGGTACGTGTTTACGTGGGTAAAATCTGCAGTTACGGGGGAATTTTAAGGACCAAAATCAAGCGCGTTTGTGTGCAGGGTGAACGCGCCGGTGGGCACGTGATATAATGAGATAGCGAGTGAGATGATATGAACATGGATACCATAAGTCTGCATGCACAAAAAAGGGAGAAATGCATTTCAACGCCTTAACCCACCACCAACCATCCGCACATCCAAGCCAATCCGACATCCGACATTCAACGAGAGAGATATAGAAAGCGCAAATCAAAGAGACAGCCAAGCAATAAATGTACAAATCATCCCATTCTCCCTGCCATTGCAACTTATTCAATCACCACCAACACTTTCATCCACCTTCCTCAAAAAACTACTGACACGTGCTGTATCGACCTCGCCCGGATCGCTCTCGACAGCTTGAACGAGACCTTCCAGCAGCGAGTCGACCCTTTCTTCGTCCACGTTGGTACACAGCGCCACAACCCGTCTAAACTTTTCCTCCAGGTCCGTCGACCTATCGTGGAGTCTAGCCGCCTTCTCGCGCAACGCATCTTCGTTTGCATGGTACGCCCTGAGTCGTGCCTTCAACACGGGCGCCGATGGGAGCCCTTTGACGTACTCCAGCTGCTGAGCGGTGAGGTTGGAGATGTTATTAACCGGAGCTAGCAGCGATTTCTTGAGTTGGAACGGCGCATCGGCAGTTTCTCCTTCGGGCTGGCTTCCATTAGTGGTAGGAAACTGCGCGGCGAAGCGAGCGTTTTCTTCCTCGATCGCACGCCGCAGGTTTTTACAGTGCTGCCGTAGCTCGGCGTGCTCGCGTGAGCGTTGCCGGATCTGGTCCATGTTCTCTCGCTCCTTGCCGAGTTTGAGCGTCACCTCGCGAAGTTGGTTTAGTGTCGTCGATACCTGCTCCTGCTTACCCTCGATCTCAATTTGGAAATCCTTCTCGATCCCAGCGATAACCTCTTTCATAGCTAAAAGAAGTCAGTCGGCACTGTGTCAAAGGAGCAGTAGGCTTACACTTCACGATATCCTCCCTCTTCTGCACCACCGCTGGGGGCACAGTCCAAGTCTGCTCTCTGCCGCGGGGAACTGGCGCCGGCTCCCCGCCGATACCAAAGTCGACTGGTCTCAACCCCGCGCGGTTTGGAATACTCGAGTCCGCACCTACCTCCAACAACGGGTTGACAATACTCTTGTTTCCTATACGAGCAGCAATGTTCAACGCCGTGTCCCCGCTCTTGTCCTGCGCGTTGACGATATCCGTGATGAAGCGGCCCAGGTTCATGACCTTGGGGCCGGGCCCACGCTGCGCAGACGACGAGGACGCACCATGCTTGGCGATGAACTCGAGCAGGCAATGCAGGTAGTAGCGTCCGTCTGCACTGCGACCCTTCATCCCGGACTTCAGCGCGATGTGATGCAGTATCGTCCGACCGTTGTTGTCCGCGATGGAAATGGTGGGGTGGAGCAGGTTCAATAGCTGCGGGAACGAGGATTGGTCAAAGTTGTTGGTGCAGAAGCAGCCGCGAACCAACGCCGTCTCGCCAGCCTCGTTGACGCGGTATATGGAAGCCCCGCGTGCAATTAGTGCTCGGATGAGGTTGACCCTCGCCAGCGAAGCTGCCCAATGAATTGCAGCACTACCCATGTTGTCTAACGGCACATCGACCTGCTCTCGGGTCAATCCTTCCAGATGTGCGATCGCCTCGCTTTCCGAGTGCACAAACACATCCATGAGCGTTTGCCTCGCCTGGTCGGCATTAGGGATGAGGTCGGGATTGAGCGGCGGCAATGGAGCATCGAGCTGCGGCTGGAACAGATCTACGGGGATGTCACTGTTGGTCGGAGTGCTAGCACGCACGCGCTTCCGGGGCGGCTCGTGGATTTCGGGCTTGTATTCGGCAACCATGATATTCTGCGACGCATACGCGGAGTCGGGGTAATTCTGCGACTGCGACTGGCCGAAACTCAGTTCCGAGGCGATACTGGCGGGCGGCGGTGGCCATCCCTGCTGGCTGTGCACCTCGTTCCGCATCGGCCCGCCCTGCGCTGTCGGCGGCATCGGTGCGATTCCCTGCGGACGAGGGCCAGGCGATTCGTGGCGCGCGCTGGCCTTCCCCAGCGCTGTAAAGGCGTTCGTCACAGTCGATGAGATGGGTGCGAATATCGGACTGGCTCCGCCGTTAGCATGGTTGAGACTAGAGTTGTACATCCGCTTTCGTTTCGCCGCCATCGCCTGCTCCTTGGTCGGAGTAGAATCGTGCCCCGCTGCCGACGTCGTATCCAAATCCAGTAGCGGCGAGAGAAGATCCTCAACACCATAGGCTCTACAAAAGTCACGTCCGCGCTGGAAGTCGATCCTGCCCATCGCGGTGAGTTAGCGAGTGACGTAGCGTGCACCACCAGTCACAGCCCCGACTAACCATGTACCCTGGTACTTCCCGTACCCGCCCTGAACCTTCTCATGCTTTCCGGACAGTATCTCCTTCTCCAAGACCTTCGTGCGCTTTCCCTTCTCGACACCAGCAACCTTAAGGATTTGTGTCGCATTCAGCCACGAGTCGTCTCGCCGTCGCATCACCGCCACGTTGTTGACCATCATCTCGTAAACGGGGACGCCCGAGTAGATCGCCTGCACCACAAAAACCCACACATCGGTAAGTAATAGTCAACCCCCTTACTGTCGGAGACAGTATAGATTAGTGTAGCGTGCTGGAAGCCACTCACGGTATATATCGTCGGCGGGCCATTGCGGGGGTCGAGCTGCGAGGACTGAGGCGGAGGCGGCGTACCGGCAGGAGTCGAGTTGGCGGTCTGGGAAAAAGAGTTTCCGCCGTGGAACGAGGTAGCGGTGAGCGACGACGAGCTGCTACGAACGAAGTTCGGTGGTGGTGGTGGTATAGCCGAGGACGCCATCTCTCTCTCTCTCTCTATCGTGGGGGGGTGGTTTCTTTGGTGATGGATTGTTGGGGTGGAGAAGCAGAAGAGGAGCGTTGCGTGCGTGTGGTGCGTGTTGGAACTTAGCGCGACGTACGCAAAAGGACGGACGACGTGCGGTGCTAGGTTAGAGGGAGGTAGGGGAAGGAACGGGTTTGAGGTGACTCCTTGCTCGCTCGCCCGCCTCGGGAGAAGAAAAGCAACGAGTCAGGAACGACGCTCTCTCGCCGTGAATCCCTGCTTCGTACTTCCTGACGAGGCGCGTAAATGATACGGCGAGTCAGCAGGGAGGGAGGAGGAAGGAGGAACTAATAGCAGGCCAAGATTTCGACGGGCGAACACGGGAGAGTACGATCGCCCCGCTCTGCTATCCAGGGAGAAAAAAAAACGCGTAAACTCAAAGTGTGGAGATGTCTTCACGTTGATGCGTGCACCGCGTCTGCGAGAAGATGTGTACAGCAGGCGATGGATTGAGTGATCAATGATGGACGGTTTCGAATCTTTGGTCCGATATGGAAGAGATCTCAAATGGCTTTACGCGTCCAGATCGTGACAAGATTCAGGTGAAGAAAACCCGAAAATCTGGGCTGATGTCTTGGCATCTCGAACTTTCCGTAGCTGCAAACATAAACGCCTCGAAACGCAACGCAACGCCTCGAGAAAAAAATCCTCTACAACATCCACCACTTCACACCCATGGGCCGATACCACATCATCCCCGGCGTCTGGCGCGGCGTCGAAGCTAGGCCCCTCATCATATACCGCCACTTGATCCGCCAGGTGGGAGTCCTCCAGGATGACGTTACACGAAACTTCTTCAAACGCCATATACGAGAAAGATTCGAGGAAGGCCGCGATGACGAGAAGAAGCGGTTGACGCAGCATCTGCAAGAGGCACGACATGGGATTAACCTCATCAAGAAGGCGAATCTGGGGTATCCGAAGCCCTTGATCAAGGTTATGGAGATTGCGTGGGGGAGGAGGGGCAAACGGCGCCACGAGTTGCTCAGGGTGGGTTTGCTACAGTCAACTGCGCAGTGAGTGCCATCACGGTGATCCGTCTGCTGATCGACATTTCTAGCCGATTCTGCAATACGGCAAACCCGAGCTCCCACATGACGATCCGCGTACACGTTACCCGTTCACCTCAAAGCCTTTCCGAGCCCTCCTCCAGAAGGCGCATGTCAAAAACATCGAAATTAAACTCCCCGAAAAGAACATTTGGGACGACCCGTTTCCGGTGGCACGGGAGCCACGCATACTTCAACGTCATCACACCAAGCTGGTGGAGCAATGCCCCGCGCCGCTATCGTTTGAAGATTTCGACCGGCTGCAGCGTCTCGCCAACGGCGAAGAAACGGCGATTCCACCACGGAGGAAGGTTCCTCTACGAAATAATATCGACCCCGAAGAGGATGTCAAGAATGGCGAGCGGCCGCACGAAATGACGCCGAGGTCATGGAGGAGATTGTATCAGCGCATTCTACAGCAGAGTTTAGCGATCAGGCAGGACCCTGAGACTGGCTCGTGGAAGGTGCTTGCGCCGGAAATAGTGCTCAAGAGGCCCGAGGCCGATGGGGAGGAGGTGGATTTCTTCCTCGTCCCGGGACCACAAAAGTTGACGCGGCAGGGAAAGCCGTATAAGGTTCAGCCGCCTGAGAAGGAGTATTGGTAGGGCTCAGTACGATGTGGTTGTAGAGAGGGGGCATACATGTAGATATCATACCACCAGGACTTGCTCACAACGTCCAGAAATTCCTTTTGTATCGGCGTCTCTGTTGATATTGTCGGTAACAGGTGTTCCGTCCAGCTGCTGTTATTGGGATAACATGTATCGGCCCTGAAAACACCAACCCCATCTCTTGTCACTCGATGTTTGCCTGCTGTAGATATATCCGCAACAGGGCATATTTTCCGATAGAACAGAACTCCGGGAAGACATAGATAAGGGCCTTGGTAGTTGGCAGGTTAGGCGGTTAGAACTTAATTCCATCCTATTGAGGCTGTCAACCCGTTCTGACGTTTGATGTCTAGATCCAACCGCGACATCGATCCTGTCAGTTGAGGGCAATAAGAGTTACATGTCAGTCACCGTGAGCTTCGATGGTTTCGCCAAGGTACCTTTCTTGGCACTCGAAACACCGCCAGATTAGAGTAGAGTAACGTCCCTTCTGTCAGCTGCCATTCAACCCAAAGGACTCCCCATGTCAATCGCGCTACCCAACCTTGTTATCCGCGTTCAGTTTAAGGTCTATCAAAATCTCCAGGCTTCTTGATTGGCTGTGGTGGGGTTGATCTTCTCGATGCTTTGTTGTTATTGTTGTTGTTGTCGTCGGTGGACCCTCAACGTGTCCCCGTCTTGCTCTACTATTACTAGTAGGGTGCACAGAGTTCATCTCTCCCAATCCCCCACACCACCGGCAACCCGCTTCAGCTGTACCTTATCTTCCTCGTACATCATCCGCTCTACGTCTCCGCGCCGCCCACGAAACGTCATCTACAGTAGGAACATCGTCACATAATCCTCGCCATGTCAGCTACCTGGATCACCAAGAAAAAGAAGGGCGAGCTCATGCTCCTCTGCGACCATCTCGGCCTTGAGTGAGTGCTAGCCAGTGTTTACATTCTTTGCGCAACCCCGCCCAGTTGCCCGCAACCCGCAATAGCGCTAACTGGCTTCTAGCACGGAAGGCTACCTAAAGACCGATCTCGAGGCGCTCCTGACACAATACCTCCAGGCGAACGAGAAGGAGCTGTCCAGCGATGAGACCTTCGCATCGTACTATGAGAGCGTTGCGCGCTCTCCGACGAAGCGGGCTGTCAAGACGGAGGAAGGGCCCTCCGCAACGCGTGCGCGGAGACGGACCACCAACCACTTCACCTCTAACACCTTTGAGGAGACCGGCTCCACATACTCGTACATACCTCTCCTCTGGCTCTCTCCACCCTGCGGCGCGGCCTCCGCCCTGCGGGGAAATGGACCACAACTGACGCGGTGCCACCCCCCATAGCGAAACAGAATCGACACCCGAGCGCAAGACGCGCGCCGGCTCGCGCAGCTTGAGCACGCGCACGCCGCGCACGATCCGCTCTCTCCGGGAAGCCGAAGCGGCGGCGACGCAGCTCCTACCGACACCCATGCGCGACGCCAAGATCGTCGCGCTCTCGTCGAACTCGGTGAAGCTGTCGTACGCGCCGTCGCCTGCCGTCGTGGCGAACGGGGTGTCGCCCGCCGCCGTCGCGGACGATATCGAGAACCGCGCTAATGCCATCATGGCCTCGGCCATGGACGTAGTCGAGAGGTCCGAGATTAAAGAGAAGGCCGTCGGCGTCCGTGATAGACTGTCAAACGTCATCTCGGTCAACGTCGCGTCGCTGGCACTCGAGGCGACGCTGCTGCTCGTCGCGGTCATCCCCGTTACGTACGAGCTCACTCTGCCCGCGGTCGACGCGATCGGATACCCAAGCACCAAGTACATCCTCCCCGACTTGTTCGTGCTCCTGACGACCACGTTCTGGGCGCCGTTCCTGGCGTGGCTGATCCCAGCCGTCGTCCTGCCCATCATCAACGCGGTGGTGTTCAACCTGGTCTCCACCAGTGCGGCCAGGGACGGTGTCAAGTACAAGGCGGACCCGCTCACGTACGCGGTCACGCGTGCGCTGTGTGTGTACCTGGCCCACTACAAGGGCTTTACGTTCGGGGGGCTGCTGGGATCTGCTGCCGTCGCGACTGTGGGGACCACAGTCGGGAGGGAACTGCAGATGATCGGGGCCGGGATCGGAGGTATTGCGGCGTTGTGGGTGGGGATTCTGTCCAGACGGTGAATGTTCTGCATTTCCCGCCGGTGTTTGTTCGAAGTGCTCTTCGCACGGGCACGGGCGGACTGAGATATCCCAGCTGTATTTACAATCCGTGTCTCTTTATGGTTGCGGGCTGTTGCTGTTGCTGTTGCTGTGCGGTTTAGTTTCCTTCCTTGTCGTTTGGGGTTCCCAGTAATTCGGATTGGATTGGATTGTGTATGACTCTATGTATGGATCGCTTTTTTCCTTTTCGTCCTGATTTTTTATACGAGTCTTTTGTGCTGTCTGTCTGTCTGTATCTGTATCTGTAGCAATTGGATTTCGATGCTCGCGGGGATGAGGATGAAAGGCAGGACGGGACGGGGACAGGGAAGTCCCCCGCAATCGCTGGATCAACAAAGCAGGTTCGCGAGACTCGCCTGCGCAGTGCGGAGCCTGGTCGCTGAAGATCGGGCCTCCGCGGGGGACCGGGAAATGAGCGACTCTAGACTCGGCCTGCTTGCTCGAACGGACTGGACTGAGACGGGGGCGCGCTCTGTAGTTTGTCTCTCTCTATGTACTCGCCTTACAGCACCGTAGATATCCGATGCTCTCCAACTCTCTGAAGAGTCCCAGGAGTCGTGTTTGTAGAGTACTCTACGACCGCCGTCCTTCATTCCAGCCAGCATTGGATTCCCCTCAGACAGACCAAGCCCAGCCAAGTTCCACCCACACACACGCACACCCTCCCCAGCGGACCCCCTCATTCGCTCGCATAACAGCCCTCTCCCCTCTGCAGGGCCAGAGCCACGCAACGCAACGACATTCTAAGCAAAGCCATATGACGCAGCAGCGCCCGTTGCAGTAGATAGCTGCACCGCACTTCCCCTGACGACGCGCCACTCTCGCACCGACCTGCGACCGCCGCCCGGTATTTCCTTCTTCCACTTCTTTCACGGCGACGACGACGCGTTGCCTGAAAGCAGCAGTAGTAGCCAGCAGTAGCAGCAACAATGTCAACGCGCACCGACGACGAAGAAGAGCTCGAGCTGGAGGAGGTGTTGGATTCCGCGAGCTACACCGCCCACAGACTGGTAAGCACATCGTTAACGTTAACCGCTGGAGGCCGCCGCAGCCGCCGCGGGCAGGACTGGTGGGCTGTGAGCTGATTGACGTATGTATGTAGCACCACGCAACGCCAGCGCATCTGCACCTCACATCACGACGAATGTACGATCCCCCACTCTTTCTCCCGCCCCGTCGTCTCGCGGCGAAGTCGAGCGAGCGCTAAAGAGGTTGTTGTCGCAGCTTCGTCGGCCCCCTCCCGAAAGGCTGGATCAAGAACAAGGGCACCGAATGGTACAAGCAGCACATCCACTACACGAAGCGCACGTCGACGTTCAGCGCATCCGGTGCTGCGGGAGGGCGCAGCGTCACGGGCCTAACCATGCCGATCCCTCGGCGCAATTCGCGGGCCGCCGCCGTCGCTCCCGCACCCATCGCGATCCCGCTTCCGAGCACCTCGCACGCCTCGAGTCCGACGATCCGGCCGGCCGCCAGACGAGGTGTTTCGGCGCCGCTGCAGTCGACGAGCGCCAGCCCGCCGACGCCGCCGCGAACCGGCGACACGGACGTATCCGCGGCGACGGCGCGCGAGCGCCCGGCCACGGCCGCGGCCGCGCACGAATGGCCGAACTCCTTCGCGACGGCGAATGAGACGTGGGAGCACAGTGAGGAATTCCGGCGGCGGCGCCACGCAGCCACCACCGCGGATGGGGTGGCACCCGCAGACAGCGAGGCAGGTGCGAGTACCATTTCCGCTCCGAACAGCTTCCAGGCTGGTGCTGGTGTCCTTGATTCCCAGGCGTCGTTGCTGAGGGCGGACCGGAGCGATCAGCGTAGGTTGAGTGATCCCGCATCACCCCCACAACCACCGGATAAGAAGGAGTCGCTGGAAGAGCTAGAGCCGACGCCCTGGAATGCGCCTAGTAGTCGCGTTTCTACTAATCCCGAGCGCGTCACCGGCGGCTTGGTCAGGTTCAATACCGCCGACATGGATGTCCTGCGGAATAGGGACGAACACGCGCAGCAGAAGGTGGCGGGGTTGAGTAGGGCCCGCTCACTGGGGCTCGTGAAACGGAGACACTCGAGCCTCAAGCGGCATGATGGCGAGATCCTGAAGATGGAGAGTATGCTTGTACGTATCGAAGCCACGCATGCAACACACCTGCCGGATGACTACGATGAGAACGAGAGCCTCAAGGTCAACACCAGAATCGTAGATAAGTGGCGAGAGTACGTGGTCGTGTGCAGAGAGAACGATGATCCGGACGTCCCCATGGTAGTAAGGTTTTACAAGAGCCGGACTATCCCGGCGGTCGATAAGCAGCACGTCTCGTCACGAACTGCGAGGGAGATCCCGCTGAATCCCAAAACGACCAGAGCAAATCTTTATTCGTCACTCGACAAGACCCTGGTTATATGGCTTCCTGGCAAAAGGGGCACGCTTATATACATCATGCGGCCTCGGTGTGCCTCCAGCTCCGTGGAGTGGTACACCTTCTTGCGGACAGCGCTCGGCGAGCCGCAGGGCAAATCTTTGCAGCTGTCAGTGCCGGACCTGACGCTAACGATCAACATTGAGAACCCATTCAACCGGGAGGACCACACGAAGCACAACGCTGTGGGCGACATCACCGAGATCGCGGAGCGGGACGTCGCTGGGACCATCCTCAAGAAGAGCATGAGCATGCTCGAGAACGTGAACGAGTGGGAAAACATCCTGGTGCACTGGAAGACGCACGAGCGGATGGGCCTGGCGTGGAGGCGCTATGATCGCCTAGAATGGGTGCACGGCGTCAATGAGCAGCGCATGGATGGCTCCATCGCCATGCAGAAGACCCACGAGCTAGAGCTGCGCCCGAAGATCCACTATCCGACCGAGAGCACGCTCGAGACTGGCGAGAAGATGACGGAGCCGCCGCCCGTGGAGGGGTTCTTGGTCCGTCTGACGTCGGGCAAGGGACGGGGCGAGAGACTCGGGAGGAAGTTCCAGAAGCGCCAGTATTGGGCTACGCACGATCAGTATCTGTGTTACTGCCAACCTGGCCGCGCACTCCCGCCCGCACCGCCGAAATCGCTGCATAGAGGCGGCGTTACCCCGACGCTGAGCGAAATCGCGGCGGAGATGCCGTTGATTTACTGTGTTTCGCCGTTCGCCCTGAATGCGGAGAGTGATATCGAATGGCTAGCGGCTGATCCTGTCCCCGGCCACATCAAGAGGAAGGACGAGGAAGCGTATCACGAGGCCGAGAGGAGAGTCAATCTGCTCGGTAAAGCCGAGGGGTTCGTCGATCTCACAAAGGCCATCCAGGCGCGCCGCGTGGTTCCCGACTGCACACCCGGCGGTGGCGACGGGCCCGCAGAAGAGTCAGACGGCAGCACCGTGCAAAGCGACGACGAGATGTGTTTCGAGATCGTATTGGACAACGGGCTCGCGCTGAAATTGCAAGCGTTCGATGCACAGACACGCGACGAGTGGATCCTGCGGCTGGATGATCTGATCAAATACTGGCGCGCGCGCGACCGCGGCGACTTGGCTATCATCCGCCGCATCAGGGATACGAACCTTAAACAGCTGAATATGGATGAGGAGATGGAGTCGCTGATGGGGCAGTTTGGGCGGAAATGGGAGGTTTCTCGCACCATCGCGTCTGGCGAGCTGTTCAATGTCTGCGGCCTCTCGTCCTGCCGCACCATCACCGTAAGTCGTTCCCGCCGTTTCTCTCCAGCCCTGTATGTTAATCCAGCACAGCTATCCGGCCCACTGTACCGCAAACCGCGGCGCCACGCCACCTTCCGCCGCTACAACGTGATCCTGTGCAACGGCGAGCTGCTAATCTTCCAGCACACGACACGGGGGCGCACAGGAAAAGAAGTGCGGACCGCACTACAAGAGAAGCACATCACGTTCCCGCTGCGGGACTGCTACATCTACAGCGGGCTGGTGACGAGCTCCGACCTGCTATACCAAAACCGCACATTCGACTCGAACTCTCCGGGGCGCCACGCGCTCCCCCGGATCTTCGCTGACGGATACACCTCCCACGACGAGGACTCGATGACCTGCTTCGTGCTGTGGCATGGTAGTCGGCGATCGGTCTTTACGAAGCGAGATGAGGAGGGTGGCAAGGTCGCTACGAGACTCGTGCCCCCGCTGGGGCACACGGGAAAGACGATCGTGTTTAAGGCCAGGAGTAGGCTCGAGAGGGACGCTTGGGTCATGAGTATCACTATGGAGATTGAACGGTTAAATGTCGGCGCGCCGGAGGAGATTAATGTGGCCGTGCCGAAGAAGTAGAGGTTTGCGTGGGGAGGGCGGGGCAAGGTCTATTCCTTTCTTTTCCTTTCCTCCTTTCCTCACCCGTTTTTTTTTGGGAAGTTGCGTTGCTTCTGGCTTCCTGCTTCCGTGTTTCCGCGTTGCTGGCTTACTTGCTGATCATGAGCCTGGCGTTTGTTTCTTTCTTTCTTGGTGGATTTTTTTTTACAAGACTGGAGTGACTTTTTTAGTCTGGAGGGACTTTTTTTTATTACGGAGGGACTGTATTCTAATGTTTGGTAGTCGGGGACTCGGGGTGGTGGGAATGAATGGAACTGGTACATACGGGGGGTATACATAGGATCCATTGCGGTTGCAGCTGCACTGTGCTGTAGTGGATATGGGCATGGTGTCTAAGGAAAGTGGAGGGCGGGATGGTGAGTGGAGCGTAGTGGCCGAGTTACACTTGTTGAAGCTGGCACTTGGAGAAAACCGATACATCAACATATAGATACTGCACAGTGAGTCGTGAAGCGAGTCAAGCGGCTATTGCCACCGCCGCTGCTATTCACGCTCACTTTACATTGTAGTCGGAATAACTATTGAGACTGAAGAGGTGATTGATATTCAGACCACCTGGGGGCCGAATGAGCGGTGCGCACAAACTAGCATGATTGGGGCTCGGGAATGGGAAGGCACTGGCTTGAAAGTTGGAACTTGGAATAGCAGGCTCCGCTCGAATGAACGGGTTCGTCGAGATGTGATGCCCGCTTATGCTATGAGTCTATTCCCCTTCCAAGCGGGTCTGTCTCAAGCGTCAATGGCGCCGGTCAGTCTGTCACCTTTTCTTCCATCGGGCATCCCGTGTAGTACATAACAATTCTCACCCGTGCGATTCCAAATGGTCTAGGGACTCACGGCAGCGGCGTCTGTCAACCGCCTCCCGGTAGAACAAAGGAAGAAATAGGACGTACATATATGTAGACGTCGAGAAACCACTGGCTGGCTGTTAGAGCATTAGCCTCCGTCCGAAACTCCGAATACAGCGGTATTTCGGACATGGGAGATCACTCTAACTCAAGTCTCATTCTGTGACTTCATTGGCGGTGACGGTGACGGTCAGCAAGCCTACCTACCTACCGGCTATCCACCCTCAGCCGTCATTGGTCTAGCATCCCTCTGCCACGATTCTTAGTACGATCGGTAAGAGTGGTGATTGGACGATAGTCTTCGAGTAGCTATTCAGCCTCGCCAGACACCGGCTGCAGGGTCAACTCTGAGCTAAAAAACAACCAAACACTTCACTTGTTACCAGCTCCCGTTTGACCCAACACAGCCTATGCTGAGAAGACGGCAGCGATGGCATGAGACGCTGGTGCGAACGAGCCACGGAATCTTCCATCTTCCAAGAAGCACTTGAGTAGCCATTCTGCCTCGCCAGCTGCTGGGTCAATTCCAATTTCCGTGATAGAGCTAGGTAATCTAAGAAGCACTCGAGTACCGATATGTAGCCATTCAGCCTCGCCAACTACAGGACACTAGTGCGATCGAGCCAGGGGATCTTCCAAGAAGCACTGCAGTGGCCATTCAGCCTCGTCAGCTGCAAGACGCCGGCGCGATCCAGTCAGGGAATCTTCCATCTTTCAAGATTTACATACTTGGGTATGTAGCCATTCAGCCTTGCCAGCTGCACGGTCAATTCCGTGATCTAACAACCAAACACTTCACTTTTTTCAACCCCAGCTCGAACCAACGCAACTCATGCCGAGAAGCCGGCGGCAACGGCGTGAGACGCTGGTGCGATTGAGCCAGATAATCTTCCATCTTCCAAGAAGCACTTGAGTAGCTATTCAGCCTCGCCAGCCGCAAGACGCTGGTGCAATCAAGCTAGGGGGTCTTCTAAGAAGCACTCGAGACTTGTGCAGCTATTTAGTCTTGCCAGTTGGAGGGTCAACTCAAATTACCGTGATTGAACAACTGACTATTTCACTTGTCAACTTGTTAACCCTCGCTCGACGCAACACAACCCATGCCGAGACACTGGTGCGGTAGAGTCGGGGGGATCTTCCAAGAAACACGCGAGAAGTCATTCAGCCTTGCCAGCTACACGACGCTGGTGCGATTGAGCCAGGGAATCTTCCAAGAAGCACTCAAATGGCCATTCAGCCTCGCCAGCTGCACGGTCAATTCCGTGATCCAACAACCAACCACTTATTGCCTACTCCCATTCGGGGAATATTCCAAGAAGCACTCGAGATTCGAGTAGCCATTCAGCCTCACCAGCTGCAGGGTCAATTCCGTTCTCGACTCCCGCTCAACGCAACGCAACCCATGCCGAGAAGACTGCGGCGGCGGAATCGAGCCATGGTGATCTTCCGTCTTCCAAGAAGCAGTCAAGTGGCCATTCATCCTCGCCAGGCTCCAGCTGCAGGTTCAATTCCGATTTCAGTGATCGAGCACCCAACCAACCACTTGTTGTCCACCCTCGCTCGACTCCACGCAACCCATGCCGAAAAGGTGACGGCGGCGGCGACGCTGGTGCGATCGAGTCAAGGGATCTTCCATCTTCCAAGAATCACTTGAGTAGCCATTCAGCCTCGCCAGCCGTCCATCCCCCCCTCCCCCTAGCAATCCTCACGCCCGATCACTCGCGTCCAACGCAACGCAACCCCACTACCCCGCACTGTCACGTTAAACGAAGCTCTGGGGTCCGGGGGTCCGGGGTTTTGGCGTCCGGAGGGTTCCAAGTTCCAACCCCCCTCTCCCCTCTCTTCTCACAAGCTCGTTCTAGAACACAAAACACACGGTGATCCCTTTACATACATCACTGTGCATAACGGTTTGGTTTGGTTTGGTTTGGTTTGGTTTGGTTTGGGTTTTGGTTCGTAATCCTCCTCGAGGCTCTAAGTAGGCTCGAAGTAGGCTCGAAGTAGAAACACGATCCTGACGGGTAACGGCGTGGATGGGTGAATGGGCTGGATGCGATGCGCTGGCCGGGTGGAGGCTCATGATCACCCCTCACACTCCCTCTCAGATCAGATGGCGGGGGAGGGCGCGGGGGGGAGGCTTTGATGTGATGTGATGAGATGCGAAGGAATACTTCCATGCAGTGTTCTGGATTATCAATTACTCGATGTTCTCAAGTAACGTTGCTTCTGGAACTCGTATCGCTGCCGGGGCCGAGGCCGCGGGAGTTGGTGTTGGGCTAGTGCGCACTGCGGGCCCAGGTCCAGGACCCCACAATCCCGCTGCCCCACACCCCCGCTGCCCCACATGACGCCATAGATACTTGGAGTTGAAGCTCTATGTAGAAACTCTATGAACACACGGTTTGGCGTATGCTAGCTCGACTCTACGCGACATACAATACACTACTCTACATCCACTACACTATTCTACATTACGATACCTCAAGGTGCCATTCAGCCTTCAGGTACACATCACTCCGACCACCCTCGCTCACCCTCGAGCACTCGACCGCCCCGAGCACCTGATCCACCTGATCCACCTGATCCACCTCATCCACCTCAACCACCTCAACCACCCCAACCACCCTCGCCCCCTCTCAACCACCAACCGCCCGCAATGACTTCGACCATAACCCTCCGCCACGCCGTTCCCAGCGGTAATCCCCCCTTGCCCCGTCCCGTCCCCTCTGCCCCCGCCGCCCAAACCCATTTCCATAGTGAGCACGCACTAACCTTGAAGTACCAGACATCCCCCAAATCCTCACCCTAATCCACGCCCTCGCCGCGTACGAGCGCGAGCCGCCGTCGACCGTAGCCGCCACTGAGTCAAGCCTACTACGCACTCTCTTCCCCTCCACCTCCTCTGCCCCCTCCTCTTCCACTCCCGCCGTCCCAGCCTACGCGCGCGTCCTCCTCGCCTTCCTCCCCTCATCTAACCCCTCCCCCGCCCCTGATGGTAGCGAAGAACCAGCAGGCATAGCAATCTACTTCCCAAACTACTCCACATGGCGTGCGGCGCCGGGGCTGCACCTCGAAGACCTCTTCGTGCGGGAATCTTATCGGGGACGGGGCGTGGGGACCGCGTTGCTCTCCGCGCTGGCGAGGGAGACCAGGGGGATGGGAGGTCAGAGGCTGGAGTGGAGTGTGCTTAAATGTAAGCTTCCCTTTTACAGTGGGATTGGTGGGGGAGGGAGGGAGGGAGGGAGGAAGGGAGGGGGAGAGGGGGGGAGGGCTGAAGGAAGGCGGCTGACAAGCAGCCGCACAGGGAATGAGCCCAGCATTAAGTTCTATGAGTCGCTCGGCGCTGAGAACCTCGGTGTCGAGTGGCAGGTCATGAGGGTTAGCGACGAGGCGCTGACAGCGCTGGCGGCGAGGGGGCCGGAGGTGGAGTGGGCGTCAGCGCCATCGTCCCCCTACGCACATACGTCCGGGCGAGACGAGTGATATGCCGTGCGAGGTCACGCGACTACTACATACCTAGGTAGGTCAGACGAATGAACTGCGCACTGCGGATTCCTATTATATCCTGAATATCCCGATTCCTTCGTCTGTCTGTCTCGTCTGGGAGCCGTCTTGTCTCCCGACCCACGAGTCCTTCACCCTCCATACCGGAGAATATCTATAGAAAAAAGTAATAGCAGAGCCCTCCCCCCCATCCCCCGCCCATCCCTTTATCCTCCGCCAAACCCAACCGATGAGCATCCAACCGACCGAGCATCCAACCGACCGAGCATCCAGTCAACCAACCAACCAACCCACAAATTCAACCCCTCACGCCAAAAGTAAAAAGTGAAAGAAATAAAAGAAAACAAGAGAAAAAAAGATCATGGTAAAAAAACACTTAACTTTTGTATATACCCCCGAGATGTAAAAAAGAAGGAAAAATAAATGCAAACGACCCGCTACCGACCGACACACCCCGAGGAGAAAGAGAGAAAGAAAAGAAAGAAAAGGGAATAAGTGGAGTAGAGTGAGGAGTGAGGAGGGATGGATGGATGGTCCATGGAGAGCCTGTCATGTGTGTGTGTGTGTGTGGTTTACCTAAAACGCAATGATGATGTAGGTACCATACGGAAGAGTAATGAAAATGAAAATGAAGAAAGAAAGAAAGGGAAAAGAAAGAAACCAAAAAGAAAGAAAATAACACAAAATCAAAAAAGAACTTTTCCGTAACCCCAACCACCCCGTCCGAACCAAACCCCGTATTCCAGCCCCAGACCTTTACCACCCCTTCCCCCCTCCTCTCTCCTCCATTGCCCAAAAGAAAGTAACTGACACCCACGCGCATGGGAGCGAGGAGACGTGACCTCTGTAACAGAGCACGTGGTGGTAAAATCCAACGGTGGTTCAATAACCTGCAAAAAGAAAACAAAAAAACAATGTAGAGAGCAAACCCATTCCGTCTACCGGTGGACCCAGATACAAGCAGAAGCAAGAAAGAAAGGAAGCAGGCCGTCATCAAGTCATCAAGAATATGTGCCGCCACCGGCCGATACACCAAGAAGCCAGTAGACCCCCACCGCGATCCCGGGATGATGAGAGGGGCCCACTCGAAACGAGCTGAAGAGAAGCCACGTGAAGGTGAACCGAGAAAAGCAATGACCAAACCAAATTGCACGAAAGCCGCCCCTCCAGAGTGCCAACCGGGCACATCGAGTGTTCGTGGAGAAAAACCGTAAATCAAAGCGTTATATGCCCCAGGTGTTGACAGGGAAAGATGTACGCAGGACATATGTTGAATATAAATGATCCCATGCTTGTCGTCTATGGCATGCCCATTCCGGCGTCTCCCATACCACCCGCCACAGCAACCACACCACCAGGGAGCGGTTGTTGCGACATTTGCGGCATCCCCACGGTCCCAGGAAGCCCCGTCGCATTCGGATGGGTCGAATGGGAGCGGTGATACTTGAGCCCGTTGAGGTTCTTGTATCGTTTGCCGCAGTACTCGCATCGATACGGCTTCTCCTTCTCCATGCCCAGGGTGCCAGGGTACGGTGCAGAGGTCTCCGGATTCACTATCGAAAAGGTTCCGTCGGCGTTGTCGTGCAGCTGTTGGTTCGTGTGCCCGTGCTACGTCGGGTGTCAGCAACCCATCTCGCTCGCACGTGGCTCCAGGGAGGGGGGAGTGAACTTACTGCCTTGTGATACTTGAGACCATTCTGGTTCTTGTAAGCCTTCTCACATCCAATCACAGGGCACTTGAACGGCTTGTCCTCTGCCTGCATCAGCGCAGCTGGCATCGTGGGCACTTGGGCCGCTCCGGTGTCGGCGAGCTTCTTGTTCATGTCGTTGCCTCCGTTGTTGGCCATGTACGGCTGCATCTGCGCCTGAGAGTACACGCCGAGGGTCTGTCCTCCGGGGCTGTAGAGACGCTTAGCGGGCTCGTCGATACACAGGTTCAGAGCCATATCGCCCGTCGCTTCCATGCCGGTGCTGTAATTGAGGTTGGTGTTGAATTGCTGCTGGTTCGAGAACCCGCCCAGACCCTGAGGGAAGGCATACTCCATCGAATCGGAAGCGAGTGGCGTACCGGGGACAGATGACTCGGGCGAGAAATGCGAGGGCTGCTTGGTCGCGTGTGGCAGCTGTGCGGATGCCATGTTCGGAGTGTTGTGATATGAGGGCATGGTCAGCGCCACGGGGGTCTGAGGCAGAGAGTAGTGCTGCTGCTGCTGCTGGCCAAGATGCGCTTGCGGTGTTAGTGGTGGGGCGACATTGTTTGGCGGAGGTGTCATTTCGTCATCCATTTCCATATCTCCCGCGATCTCCCCTTCCGGCTGGTCGTCCTGCTGGTGGTTTCCCCGCTCCTCTTCCTGCTGCCTCTGGCGCTGCATCTGCTGTTGGCGCATCATTTCGTACTGGATGCTGCCAATCCCCCCGATAGGACTTGTTATCCCGGCGTTCTGCTGTTGAGCGTGCCGGGATTGCTGCCTGTTGCCGTCATGAGCGCCGCGCCCGCCATGCCCCTCTTGGTTGTCGTTCTCATTATTTATAGGCATCTGCTGGGCATGATGCTCCTCGTAGTGTCGAAGCAGATCGTGCAGCGACGGCAACGGGAGACCGCAGCAGGAAAAATCACGACAGAATTCGGCCTCCAGCTTGGGCAAATACGAAGAGGAATGATACGATGGCGATTGGAATGTGAATGGTGAAGTTCCTGTCATCATGATGCTGGAGAGGTCAGCTCAGCCACTTATATAACGGACAGCCCCGAGTAGAGAAGCACGAGCTTTCACTACTGGAACGACATTCTGTGACCGCGAAGTTTGCGGGATTCGCTACTGGGAACTTTGTTCCTCGAACCCCTCACCTCCCCCCCCGCTCCCAATGGGGAAATCTCAAAATAATAAAACCAAATCGCATAACTAGCACGGAAACTTACTCGTCCCTGATCCAGCTTCCAACGCTCACTCCTCCCCAGCTCATTCCGCCGTTGTTCATGAGACTCCGAGCCAGATCCCCGTTCACCATGCTTTCTCGTCGCAGCCGCGAGCTGGACATCGGAATGCCATTACCGTGAGAGATGCTGCCCGGTCGCGCGCCGTAAGGGTCCTGGAGCATCGGCATCTGCATGGGCATTCCGCCGGCGGCGCGGAGCTGGCTCGTGAGGTTAGACTTCGGCTGTCCCGACTGCTGGGGTCGAGACGTGATGTCAATTGGGGCTGGCATCGTGTTCGAGCGCTGAGTGTCGGATTCCTGCAAGGGATAATCGTAGGACAGCGGTGGCGGGGTTATGGTAAATGGTATTGCGGGTGAGCTCTCGTCGGAGCGACAAGGACTAAGAGAGGGCGTTCTTAGGAAATCCGTGGTGGCGGTAGTGTGGTGGGGACGAGGTTCTGGCTTTCGGATGCGTAAGCTCTCGGGTAAGAGTCACGAGCGTGGGGGTATGCAATAGGTAGCACGCTCTGTCGAATCAGATCGGATGGGTGAGTTGGTGGTTGGCTGGAGTGTTACAGGGAGATGGAGGAGGATGAGGAGGAGAGAAGGAAGGAGGGAGAGGGGGAGAGAGGGGAAGAGAGAGAGAGAGAGGCGAGTAAAGGTATGTTGTTATTTTGAGTTGAGAGGATGCGTGCCGGTTGGCGGGATGGGTCGAAAGTGGAGTGGTGGAGGGGAGGGGAGGAGTGGTAGTGGTAGTGAAAGTAGTAGTGGTAGCGGTAGCGGTATGTAGTGGAGGTGATGAGGAGGAGGTGGTGGTGGTGGACGTTGGTGGCCCGTGGCGGTGGTATGTAATGGTCGGAGAAGCGGGCGGCGGGTTTTCGATGTTCGTTGGTAGGTGCTCGTAGCACTTTCGAGCGACAGGCTGATCCGACCCGACCACACAAATGCACAACCCTCTTTTTTTCGAGTCACACACCCGGCCCAATGGTTCAGATAACTTTTGGCGTGGTCGCGCGTGGGGTGGTGCTTCTGCTGGTGCTACTGCTGCCGCTGCTGTGGATGCTCCGTAGGGTATGTATGTGTGTATGTATGTGTGTATGTATGTGAGTAGAGTGTGTAAAGTGAGTAAGTAGTTACTGAGCGCAGTGCGTCGAGTGCGTCGAGCGAGTAGAAAGCGAGTATGAAGAGTAGCTAGCCAGAATCCTATGCCGGATTATGTAGAGTAGAGCAGCTACCCTTTAGGATTTGTGCGTGGATCTGGATCGGGTATGGTCCGGAGTCCCCCCGTCGTCGTTGTCGTCGTCGTGTCTTGGGATTGGGTGGACGGCGTGATCTGATCGATTGGATAAGATGGATGTACGTACAGATGTCGGGCGGCGGCAGGTCCACGTCCGCGTCGTGGTTGGGTCGAGGTGGATGCTGGGGGGGAGGGGGGCGGTGCGTGTCCGACGAGAATTGTCACGAGTCTCTGGTCTTGACAGAGAGCGCGGAGCGAAGTGGGATACGGTGGAACCGGGAGAAGGGACTAGCCTGTGGTGGTGGTGGTGGTGGTGGTGGTGGTGGTGGTGGTGATGGTCGGCCGCTACTGCTTCGAACTTGGAAGACAGCCGAGATATTCGGTGTGCTTGCGTGGTGTGGTGGTTGAGGTGGTGATGGTGGTCGCAAGCACAACTACGGCCAGGAAGTGGTGCGGGTGCGAAATATGTAGGCCACACGACGTTGCAGTGATTATCCCCTCTTATTGAGGTACCGTGACGGAGAGGCTCAGAGTTCGAGATCGTCCGAGTATTAACTCGGGCCAGGCTGCTTCTAGCGGCGAGTATCAATCTCCGGCGAAGCAACAACGGACTTCTGGGCGGTGGTGGCTGCTGCGTGGGAAACGGCGACGCTGTGATGGAGAGGAGGAGCAGAAGCGGAGGAGGATAATGATGATAAGATGGAAGAGGAGTCGGTGGAGGAGGGGGATTCGGTGGAGCAGGAGGAGCGGCCGGATGACGAGACGAAACAAGACGAGACGAGGGGCACAACCCGAGAGGTGGGGAGAGGGACGGAAGGAGGAGGCAGAAAGAGTATCAGAGAGGCAGAGTGTATGTACCTTCCTGCCTGCGCACGTATCAATGCATCTACACTGTCACTGGCATGGAATGGGCCCTCCATATCTTCCATGCCGGGCCCATGCCGACCCACAGCAGGCCACCGATATGTGTGCGCCAAAGATGGCCAGAACGATGATGATGATGCGAAGCGTGTGTACCAAGAGTCTGCATACTATGGAGAGAATGCTCAGCAGAAGCAATACGGTAGCAATACATAGCAGCAGCAGCAGCAGGGTGTTGCCAGGGATCGTCGGCGCATGTTTGGGATCACTGGCTGATTTGGTCGATTAAGAAATGTTTCCCTTTTTGTGTGAAGGATACAGGAATCAGGGTGAGTACTTCTTCACACCATACTGGCCCACATCCCTCTTGCAGCCTTCAATTGGTGACGGCGCCGTCCGTGCAGATTCATGTGTGCCAATATGCGCCTACTGTAGAGTACCTAAGCACTCGATGCACGCCTGGCTGGGCCGTACCTACCGTATCTCGTTCCGTGTGGAAAGTGCTGCTTCTGCTGCTGCTTCTGCTGATGCTGCTGCTTCTGCTGATGCTGCTGCTATCTGGGTATCTACGGCACTCTATCTGCCTGCACGGTCGCCCACCCCTCCGGATTCCACGCCGTCCCTCGCTATAAGTTCTGCCCAACAACTTGCTCGCCTTGCCGCCCGCTCCACTCAACATTCAGAGGGACTGCGAAGCGCTCCCCCCCACCCCGCACTCTCCCCACCACCACCACCCTCCTTCTCCTCCTCCCCCTCACAATCATTACCGTCATTCCTCCTGCGCCATCATCTCCACCTCCACTTCTTCTTCTTCTTGCACCAACACCACAGCCACCACAGCCACAGCCACAGCCACAGCCGCCACAACCATAACCACCACCACCACCACCTCCCACCACTCCCCACCACCGCACTCACGTCAATCGTCTCTGCAAAGACACATCTCCAGGTACATCCCAAGACCCCCCAACAACGTGCTTCTTCTTCAGCAGCAGCAGCAGCGTCGGCGCCAACCAAGACGGTCCCAGGAATTCCGTTCGCATGAGGTTCACGTCGAAGCCGAGCAAATCATGTACTCTTCGGGCATAGCCCTGGCCCCGTCCGTCGTCGAACTAACTGCCGCAGCTGAGACCTGCTTGGAGTCGAGTTAGAGTGACTAGCTCGACGGCGACAAGCTATGCACGTATGATATCTAGAGTATGGACCTACTCTACTCTAGGCTGATGCAGGATGGACTCGACATCATCGTCATCGTCACCACCTCCACCTCCACCTCCACCACCACCACCACCACCATCTTGTAAGTTGTGCTTCTTTGGTTATTTGGTTTCTTTTGCTTTTGATTCCCCCGTGACGGCATCACACACAAATACACAAATATATCGCATGAGCTGCCCTCTCCCCCTCAATGATCTTTACGCCCCCTCTTCCTCTTCCTCCTCCTCAAATATGACCCCACCATCCACAGCACTACAACCCCGGGGGCCAACATCCGAATCGAGCACCTACTCCACGTACGTCGCCGCCGCATCTCGAAATAAAGAGTGTCGAGTGTCAAGTATCGAGTGCAGAGTAAAGTGTACCCAGGGCAGGGTGTAGAGTACGGTATGCATATGAAAGCCAAAGACCCCGGGAGTCGACTCTCGAGACGCCGACTCGCTGTTGCGGCTACAGCCACTCGTTTCGTCGTTGTCGAAGCGACGGCGACGACAGCGACGACAGCGACCATCACGGCGATGATAGTAATAGCGACCAACACGGCGATGACAGCAACAGCGACCACGGCGACGAAAGCGACAGCAACCACGGCGATATCGCCTTCGGCTATCTTACTCACCGTACGAGCCTACGGGTCGCGGGAGCTATCAGATGGAGATAATTGTATGATATGTAGGATAAAGTACTCTGCTCTACTCCGGAGTCTACGTACGAGTAGAGTGCTCCATGCAGGTGCAGCATCACGGTCGTTAGAGTGTATAGGCAGGCTTGGGCTGGGCGCCGCGCCGACTAGCCAGTACTAGAGCATAGGGCAGTTGCATGCGGACGTGAAGGGAAGCGTACGATCATCGGTGGTCACTCTTATCTTCTCGATGAACGTCGGCGCCATGCAACCAGCTGTTCTGGAAGAGTCCTCCCTTCCTCGCTCCGTCGCTGCCATCCCAACATCTCATCAACTCTAGGCTCATCAACCACCTGCCAGTAGGCTCGTTCATCGCAGCCCTCAACCCCGTAGGCACAGTACGCGTGACATGGATCTAGCCAGGGAGGGAGGGGAGTGAGGGAGGGGGGGGGTTTCCATTAGCAATCGGACATATGCCCACGCTAACCCGTTCGGCCGTAGACCCGTACATAACAGAGCATGTCGACATACGGTATGGTATGGATGTACGGTATGGATGTGTGGATCGCGGAGTAGCCGTGGGCACATACTGGGAAACGAAACGGGAGACGGGGGTGGGGGTGTTCGTACAAGGACAGGAGGGCTTTCCTTCCTTCCTTCCTTCTTTCCCACGAGGGACGGACGGACGGGTGGAGGGAGAGAGGGAGGGAGGGATGGGCGTGCGGCGTGTGCCGCTCACGAGTCGAGCCGAGGCATCGCAACTCCGATGGAGAGGAGGGAGGGCTGGCCCTGGCCGGACGGGGAATCCGTCGTTCACCTGGCCCTGACTCGACTCGACTCGACTTGACTCGACTCGACTCGACTTGACTCGGCTCTGGACCGCAACGTTGCCCGCGACGATGGCCGTGACGAGCCCAAGACGATGCGCGCACGTCTAGAACCTTGTGTTGGATCAGATGCCCTACATGCACATATACGTACACAAGGTTGGTACACATATGGTGTACCTGGTACTCCGACTCTGCGACTCGTCGACTCGTCGAGGCTGTGTGCCCTGGAGTCTGTAGTTTATACTCTATTCTAGACTCTGGTGGTGGCGGGCTCGGCGCACGTGGACACTGGACACTGGACGCTGGACACTGGATGCTGGACGCTGGACACTGGACACTGGACACTGGACACTGGACACTGGACACTGGACACTGGACACTCACTGGACATCGGACTTGTAGACTTGTAGACTCGTGGACTCGTCGAAACGTGGACTCGTCGAAACGTGGAACGTTGGAACGTAGCCTGAACTCGTCGACAGTGGACCCGTCGACAGTGGACTCGTGAGAACGTAATCTGGACTCTGTTTCGTGGCTGCTTGGAGGAGGCGTATGTATCTACTAGTAATGTTTCACCACACGAACGGATACGACGCCGGGGACGGCTTGTTTGCGTGCTTGCTTGCGTGCTTGATTGATTGTTCATCGTGATTCGAAAGTCAGAATGGGAGTCTTAGGAGATGCAACGACTACTCCTGTAGCAGGCCGCTGGGCGGACTTTTGGTGGTATGTAGTAGTCTCGGTAGGGCCCAACATACCGACCTTGCGATGTCCAGGGTCCAAACTTCAAAGGCCGAGTATTTTGTGCGAGCCGAAACACCACGATGGCACTACTTTTGAGTACCCAAGATCTTCCACGACACTCCGTGGACGTTTCATTCCGCTTACCTACTACTTCCGGTACTTACCTGGTATGTAGGCTGCTTGCGGCCTGAAGGCTGGACTCTTGAAACTGAGGCTGGCACTGGGCACTGGGCACTGGGCAGAACTTAAGCCAAAGAACGTTTTCGACCGCACCTGCAGGCTGGCTGCAGAAAAGCCACCAGGAACTTGGAGCCGCCAGGAAGCCACCAGGAAGCAAGTCCGTTCCGATCTTTCCACTAACGCCGCACGGACTGGAGGGCTCTAATCGAAAGTAGTGGGGCTGGGGCTGGTGTGCACTCTTATGTAACCACAGGGTGTACGCTGCGTACCTATTCTTACGCGTTGTATAGGTACATCCTCGCCTCCCCCCCCCCGAGTGAGCAAAGATGACCGTCTCTCCGGCTGGAGGCTTGGAGCATCACCACCGCCGTCCGGTGGGAGCATGCGGGTATTGTACATAGCATATGAGGTATGTACCATACCGTACCGTACCGGTTACTTATTTACGTAGAGTAGGAGTGCACTCTACTCTATTCTACTCTGAAGAGAAAGAGAAATTCGTCGGCCATCCCCGATAATCAATCATCGATCCTTGCGGCGGATCAATTAGGTTTTTACGGTATGTACCGGTCGTATGTGTACGTACATAGCAACGAGTCTCCCGGTCCGGACGTTCATGGAACCTTTCCCAGAACCTTTTCTGGGCGTCTGCGCCGCGTGAGATACATACGATATCCCGGTTGAAACGTGAGGTGAGCTTACTAGGTTGTAGATGCATGCATGTGTACGTAGAGTACGGATGCTGTCGGAGTAATACCGTATGTAATCTTCACGAGCTGCCGACGGTTAGGTGGAGTATTCTACCTACCCGTGCGGACGGAGCGAGCGGATGTTTCGGAACTCGGAAGTTGGAACTCGGAGCTCGGAGTGGAGTGGAGTGGAGTATGTACCTAGAGTACGCACCCCCAGCGCTGGCGGAGGGGGGGTGATTCGGCAAGTCATGTGTTTGCGCGTGCAAACCTCCCCACCTACGTCCGTCGTCCGCACCGAGTGACATCGTCGCTATGCCCGCCCCCATCCCCCCATCCCCCCCCCATCCCCCCCAATCCCCATACCTGCCCCCATCCCCCATCCCCCCCCATTGCGGCTATTACGTGGGGCTTCGATACGGGCGCGAATAAGCGAAACCCTTTATTTGCTTTTCTTTTCCTTGATGCAGCCGCAAGCGTATGGGGTGTTTGTCTCCCATGTGGGACGGGCGAGCGAGTGACCCCCACACCCTCGTTCGCTCGTCCGCGGAGCTCGACCACATGGAGTTCGCCGCTGTCTCGGCTACGTACGTCAGATGAATGGATACAGCTGCTACGAATGCTGGCCGGTGCCGTGAGATGATGCCGATCTTCAGCGGAGATGTAGGATGTATGTATCAATGCGACGAGATGCTGCTCCGTGGAAGATGATGCGACCACCACCTAGGGTTGGGTTGGGTTGGATGCGAGTACCTATGATACCTGCCCATTCACAATACACGTACTCTACCTACGTTGTCCATCGACAAGCCCGAGAGACATAGCGACAGCCAGAGACACAGAAGGAGAGGCCCATTGCATCGTTGCATCGTGATCGTGGTACATAGCGGCCGGGGATGTATGCTGCTGCGCGGCAAGGTTTGAGCGAGGATAGGTGGGTATGTATGTATTCGTTGTCTGCGAACGGCGAGTTCAATTCGAGTTCAGTTCGGAGGGTCGTGCCGCCGTACCTGAGCGATGGATGGATGGATGAATGGATGGATGGATGGCGGCGGGCGTGCTGTGGGTGCGGGATATGTATGATGTATGTAGAGTACTCTACATGTGTCGACCGTCCGGATGGATGCGCCCGTCCTGGGAATGGCCACAGTCGGCGGAGCGTTTGGGGGAAAGTGCTGAGTAACTAGGAGGTAGCTGTCTAACTGGAACAGTTGCAGCGAAGACGTCTCGACTCTCGACACCGATGCCGGTATGCGTGAGTCTCGAGTGATGCTGGATGCTGGATGTCCGTTTCCGTTTCCGCTTCAGCTTCCGTTTCCGTCCTCATGTGGGACCGAGCATGTGGAGTAGAGAGACCCCGATATGTATCGGATAGAGTTGATAACTTGATAGTGCCCCGCACTGGCACTAGACCGAAACGGTCATTGCAGCCCAAAAAAACCAAAACCCAAAGGATGTGTAGTACCCAGCTACTTCCTTGCTTGTCGAGCGTGCAGCAACCCTCTCGAATCTTCACTCGACCCGCTGGGATCCCAACGAACATACTCCCACCAACAGAAATGGAGTCACTTACCGAGCCCGTCAAGCACGCCGCCGTCGACGCCGAGCAGGGCGAGGAGCAGCCGGCGGCCAAGCGCGCACGGACGACCGATGCGCGGGACTCACAGCACGGCGTTGCGCCGGTGAAGGCTGAGTGAGTGAATGGCGCCCTCTCTCCCGCGCGACGTCTTCTTCTTCTTCTTTGCAACTGACTCAATGGCCCACCTACAGGTTCATCGTACACCGCAAGCCGTCCTCCGCGCCCGCGTCCGCCGCCACCGACGACGCGGCGGAGTCCTCGCACCGTGTCGACAGCGAGGTCGGAGAGAAGAAGAACCGCAAGCGGGGCCAGAACAAGGCGCGACAGTTCCACTTCGCCAACGACGACGTCAAGCTCTGCCAATCCCTCACGCACATCCCGCGCGAAAGCGCGTTCGAGGCTGCACCGTGCGAGTATGCAGTCAATGCTGCCAGGGAGGGGAAGAGTATCAACAATAAATGGCAGAGAGGAGGGAGAGGCGGAAGGAGGGGCGGCAGGGGTGGGAGAGATCGGAACGACGAGAGGGAGCAGGCGGAACCGGAGGCTGCGGTGGAGGCTACGGCGGAGGAGGCGAAAGCGCCTGCCGCTAATCCAAAGTGTGCTTTTGCCCACAACCTCCGTGAGTACCTGCAACACAAGGCGAAGGATATCGATGGCGTCTGTCCGCTGTTTGAGGAGCGCGGCTACTGTGCGACCGGTTGGAAGTGTAGATGGCTGGGTTCGCATACCAAGGAGGTGGATGGCGAGCTATTCCTTGTGGTGGACCAGGACAAGAAGAAGGCGTCAGAGGAGAGGGCTACCAAGCTGAGGGAAGAAAATATCAAGAACAGCAAGGCTACCATTGGCGAAGCGCCTACACAGGAATGGGAGAAAGACCTTGGGGAGTGCGGATTCGATGATCCCTACGGTGAGGTTGTCAACAACGTGCCCGTAGGACTAAAGATTGCCATCAGGAAGAGCCAATTCCCTCTGAAGAAGAGTATGGTCTTCAACGAGTGGGTGAAGAAAGAGCAGCAGGAACAGAAAGCGGATGACAGGGCCGGATATGTGGATCCTCCACCGAAGCCGGAGGAGAAGCGGAAACTCTACATCGGAAGGGAGACCCCCATACTAGCTCCTTTGACGTTTGCCGCCCCACCCCCATCCTTTGACCGCATGACCGTCTGACGAGATATAGCACAACCGGCAACATGCCCTTCCGTCGCCTGTGTGTTGGCCTTGGAGCCGGATTGACCTACTCGGAGATGGCCATGTCCTCGTCCATCCTCCAGGGCCACAAGCCGGAATGGGCATTGATGCGTGCCCACGTCTCCGAGCTCCCTAACTTCGGAGCCCAGATCTGTGCCAACAAAGTCGATCAGGCTATCCGAACGACAGAGGCCATCACCAAGCTCTTCCCGACGGCTGCCTCGGGCCGCCATGGCCTTGCGTTCGTCGACTTGAACTGCGGTTGCCCCATCGATCTCATCTACCAAGCCGGAGGAGGCAGTGCGCTCTTGGACCAACAGAACAAGCTCATCAAGATGCTCAAGGGTATGAACTACGTTTCGGGCGAAACGCCCATCACCGTCAAGATCCGCATGGGAACCAGGGATAGCCACCCCACCGCCCAGAAGCTCATTAACAAGGTGATCGATCACGGAGACGTCCAGTCCATCACTCTGCACGGCAGAAGTAGGCAGCAGAGATACACAAGGAGCGCGAACTGGGAGTACATCGCTGAGACCTCGGCCCTGATCAAGTCGGTCAAGGCCCAGATGGATGCGAACGCCGACACCGCCGCCGATAAAGAACGAGCAGAGAAGCCCAATGTTTACTTTGTTGGCAACGGCGACTGCTACTCGCATATCGACTACTACAATGCTGTCGACAATTCCGGGGTAGACAGCGTCATGCTCGCCCGAGGTGCTCTCATCAAACCGTGGATCTTTGAAGAGATCCAGACGGGTCAGTACCTGGATAAATCTGCAACGGAGCGTATGGACCTCGTGCGGGATTACTGCAAGTACGGACTGGAGGTTTGGGGTGCGGATGAGTTGGGTGTGGCCACGACCCGGCGGTTCTTGCTGGAGTGGCTTAGCTTTACATGCCGGTTAGTCTCCTGTCCACTCTTCGTATCAATCTCGCACTGTGACTCACCGGTTATAGATATGTTCCTATCGGTATTCTGGAGAGGCTTCCGCCCAAAATCAACGACAGACCGCCATTCTGGAAGGGTAGAAATGAGTTGGAGACTCTGCTTGGCAGCAGTGACTACAGGTGGGTTCCGAACCTTGAGCTTATGCGAAATAGATACTGACGGCGTATTACCTTCGTATAGAGACTGGATTAAGATTAGCGAGATGTTCCTCGGCCCGTGCCCTAAGGACTTTTTCTTCACCCCGAAACACAAGGTTAGTCCGGATGTGTAGCTTCCCCTTGTTGGCGACACGTGCTGATAATTTTGTCCGTGCCACAGAGCAGTAGTCACGACAACGAGGCTGAGGGTTAAACATGGACGGGATTACGGGGATCCGAAAGTAGTGCAATCTCCTTGGGTTCCCACAAATAGGCTCCATCACATGAAAGTTCATCGCAATTCTTAGCAGGCGCAGTTCAAGCCACAGGAGGCAGGAAATAAGATAGAGTGCTAACACCATAAAAGTAGAGTGTGTGACGTGTGAGAGGCTGTGATGCTGTGATGCGCGCAATCGTGGCTTTCTTGTTAGTGACGTATGTGTGAACTGGTTACGTGGGTGCCAAGGTGGCTTGTGCGACAAACAGGACACAACCCACCCGCCCAAGTTCCATCATCATCACCCAACCAACCCCCGGCGTCCCAGTAACAGCAACTTTCTCTCCCTGTCCCTCCCTCCCCACTCACGCCACAGCACAAATACTTTCTATTCTCTCCTCCTGCTTCCTCCCTCTTCCACACATCCCACGAGCGAACTGTTCAACCACAATACCATCGAAAACAACCCACTCCCACGATATCCTCCCCCCCTCGCCTAAACAACATCACCACCATCATCCCTTAGAAATAGCCATCCCACGATGACGTTGTATTACTCCCTTGTAAGTCACTGCTTTCCCCTCCCTCAGCGTTCGATATCTTCACGTGTCGCCGTGTTGATGAGCGTTTCGGACAACTGGCGAGTTGGGGGGAGGACTTAAGTGAAGGGCCGCATTCTAATTGGTTCCTCGGTTGTGACGTAGGTGTTTTTCCTCCTCGTGCTGGAGATGTCCATCTTCCTGCTCCTGGTGTTTCCGCTACCCTTCACCTGGCGCAAGAAGACTTTCGAGTTCATTTCGAACAGCCCGTTGATAGCGAAACTGCAATACGGCATGAAGGTATGTGTTTCCCCCTCCTCGGACCCCGCGCATGCCGGGAGGAGAGTTCGGCGAGCTGACAGTCGTAGATCACTTTCATTTTCATCCTGATCCTCTTTGTCGACTCCGTCAACCGTGTCTACCGCGTCCAACGCGAACTGTCCGAGCACGCGAATGCCGGCCCTTACGGACAAGCTGGCGGTGACAGGATGGAGGTCCAGGCTCGCAAGTTCTACTCTCAGCGCAACATGTTCGTATTCCCCGGTGAACGATGATCCGCACGTGTTCAGTGTGCTAATTCCCTCGTCAGGTACCTCTGTGGCTTCACCCTCTTCCTTTCCCTGATCCTGAACCGCACCTACACCTTCATCCTCGACATCCTGAGACTCGAGTCGACCGTTAAGGAGCTCCGTGCTACCACCAACGCTGGCAAGAGGGATGGTACCACCGCTGAGGTCCTCGCTAAGAAGGATATGGAGATTGCCAACATCAAGAAGCAAGCCGAGGGTCTGGCTAGGGAGTACGAGGCGCTGTCGGACCGCTACAACGCGGCTGTGTCAACCGGCTCGCCGACTCCCAAGAAGGAGTTGTAAACGGGTCATCGCACATGTGACGGCCTTGTATTACGAGACGTAGGAGAGGGGATCGTGGAAGACTGAGAAGCGGGGGAGAACTTTGGGGAGAACTAGCATGATTGGTCTGGGTGGAGCCGGGTGTACTTTTCATTTTGTATGCGGTCAATTTTAGTTGCAATTGTGACCGTCCGGATACTACAATCTGTCATAATTCTCCTTATCGTGATCTGTTCTGTCCGTCCTGTGATCTGCATCTGACAACCGCCAGTAATGAGATGTATCAATCTCTTCCCGTGCTCCCGTGGAGATCATCTATAGATGACGTTTTTTCGATGTGGATTGAGTTCCGCCCATTTTCCTCGGTCGGATGTGACCCCGGAATGACATCAGCACTTGGCAGTGCCATTCCCTAGCATAATCAACCCCACTCCTCCAGAGCATGGATGATCTCACATAGGATAGCTGCCTAGCTCATGCAATTGCGTGGATGCTCCAAACAACCTCGATTTCCGCGCTGCCATCCGTACTCCTCTCCCGGAAGGCTCTATCGAATGCAGCTCCCCACTACACCGACCGACGACAGTAGCCGTATCCAAATGTCGCACGTTTGTCCACCAGTGCCTTAGTAACCGGCCGACTCATACGGCGTACAGGAAGCTTACGCTTGTCACCTCGCCCAGCAACTCTTCTGCGGCCGAACGCAAGCCGCGGCTCGACCTTCTACGCGGCCATCCGTCGACGCGCCTGCTGCCCACCCACGCCATCTACGAGGCCGCCGGCGTCGCCCTGAACTCGCCATCGCTGCTGCCGCAGGACTCCTACGCCGAGAACCGCCACCCTCTGGCCTACGGCGCCGACAACGGCAACGCCAACGTGCGCGAGGAGATCGGCCGGTGGTGCGCAGAGCGCTACCGGCTGCGTGAGGCAATTCCACTGTACGTCCCCCCCCCCCCCCCCCCCCCTCCTCTCCGTCCGCGGGGCTGACCGTGCGCGAAGAGAGCGGATATTCCTGACCAACGGGGCATCATACGGGCTGCAGACAGCGCTATCGCTGTTCACGTCGCCGGTGACGGGGTACACCAAGTGCGCATTCGTGCTCAGCCCGACCTACTTCCTCGCGGGGCGGACCTTCGAGGACGCCGGGTTCGCGTCGCGGATCGTAGCCGTGCGGACGACGCGGACCTCGCTGGATTTCGACGGGCTGCTGGCGCAGCTGCGGCGCGTGGATGCTGAGCGGCCCGATGTGTCGCTCGAGGAGGGGTTGCGTCCCCTGCTGCGCGGGGGTGCGCCACAGGCGGCGAAGAGGCTGTTCAAATTCGTCCTGTATTGTGTACCGACGTACTCCAACCCCACCGGTGAGACCATGGATCTCGACTCCCGCCGCCGGCTCGTGCAGATCGCGCGCGAGTGGGATATGCTCATCATTTGCGACGATGTTTACGACTTCCTGGGGAACGATGATCAGCCCGCTGTGCCCCCCATGCGCCTGGTGAGTATCGACGCCGAGACCCTGCCGCGGGATAAGCCCGAAGGCGAGACGGGAAACACGATCAGCAACTGCTCGTTCTCGAAACTGGTCGGCCCTGGCCTGCGCGCGGGATGGATCGAGAGCGCGACGGGAGTGCTGGCGAAACAGCTCGGCGACGGGGGTGCGAATCATAGCGTATGCCACCCGTCCCACCCTCCTTCCCCCACGCTCGGACTGACACCGGTATCAAGGGCGGCTGTCCCTCGCAATTCACGAGCACGCTGTTGTACCCTTTGCTGCTCCCCCTCAGCGCGCGCAACCCTGTGCGGAAGATCGACAGCATAATCAGCACATTGACATTAGCGTACACGCTCCGGTGCGGGGCTTTGGTCGCGGCTATCCACGAGTTCCTTCCCGCCGGTACCGAGGTCTGGGGCGGTCGCGGCGGGTTCTTCGTTTGGGTCGGACTGCCGAAGGAGCTGGATGCCTGGGAGATTGTCAGGCTCGCGGCGGCTTATGAGGGCCTAGTCGTCGCTAGTGGCGGCATGAGTGAGTGTCCTGGTGAGGGGAACGCATTGGGCTGGGCGGATAGGTGGCTTAGAATCGCGGTTAGTTATTGTGAGGAGGAGGAGCTGGTCGAGGGCGTTAAGAGGCTGGCGAGGGCGGTGGATAGGTGGAGGGAGGGCGAGAGGGCGGTGAAGAGTGATGTCGAGGTTAAGTAAACTTAAAACTATCGTCGTTGTAGATGTATCATGTGGGATAGAATACAGAATTCCGACAGGCGTACGAGCAAAATACTGTTGTTGGCAGTACTCAAGAAGCGTATAGGGAAAACAGGCAGTTACATCTGTATGTAGATTAAAGAGAATACACAAAGAAAGGAGCGACCTCAATCGTCCGCCACGACTAAGCGGAGAACTCGCGACGTTTCAACACGTTTCTTGGAATATTCATCCGATCGAGTGAGAGAACATGACGCACGTTGTGGTGCGGTTGCTGCGATTGATCCAGGAGCCACTAACTGATGCGCCGTTGAGGATGAATGGCTGCTCGACTCTAGTTGAGCGAGTCGAGTCAGCCTGGGGGGTGACGGTACCCAAACGAGGTTGAATGGCTGCTCGAGTGTTACATACTTGGAAGATTCCCCTTATTCGTCACTCGATCGCAGCAGTGTCTCGTGCTGTCTTCTCGGCACGCGTCGCGTTGGGTTGAACGGGAGCTGGTAATATGTGAAGTGGTTGGCTGGTTGTTCGCTCACGGAAATTGGACTTGACCATGGAGCTGGCGAGGCTGAATGGCTGCTCGAGTGCTTCTTGGAACATCCCCCTGGCTCGATCACACCAGGTAACGAGGCTGAATGGCTACTCAAGTGATTCTTGGAATTCCCAGCAGCTGTCGAGTAACTAGTCTACCCTGTGCTCCCTAGAGTCCGCAAGGTGTCATCCACACTCTGCCCGAGTCACAGCTCCAGCTGCTCCACGATCAAGAGAACGGGTGATGAATAGAGCTGGATCACGAAACTAATCTCGGAGCTGTCGAGGATGAATGGCCACCTACCTGGGTATTCTAGTATGTATACTAAATCATGGAATTAGAATGGGACGAGTAAGAATTGCGGATTCGAGGGTTGAGGCTTGAATGGAGTATATAGATCTTGGAACACCCAGCGGCTGTCGAGTACCTACCGTAGTTATCTTATTGGCGGCTGGGTACCTACCTCCCAAAGTAATCAGTGCTCCGTGGAAGGTGCCATCCACACTCATCCCGAAGAAACATCTCCAACTACTCCACAGTCAAGAACTGGTGGTGAACAGGGCTGGACCGCGCGACTACTCTTGGAGCTTTCGAGCTGTCAAGGATGAATAGCCGCCTAGGTACATACCCATCCTAGCACATACTTGATAAATACATAAACCCCATGATCAAAAAAGAAAAAAAGGTCGTTCTGCCTAAGCTCACCGCAGTCAAGTCCGTATCTCCGTATCTCCCTGCCCTGTACCTACCAGCATTCTTTAGCCAGTCTATAGGCTTCGTTGCCATCACTTCCAAATTCCAACGGCGATCCATGAGAATTACCGAGTGCGATCCTATGAATCAGTACCCAACTCACGCCGGTGTCTCGGAGCTACCATTCCAGCACTCACGAGAAAGGTCAGTAGGCTAGGCCAGGCTTCACCCCCAGGCTCCTCGGTAAGTCTTTGCCCTGCACTGTAAAATGTTCGTTAACCATCATTTGTGATTGCCCGCCGCCGCCGCTGTCAACGCTCAATATCTAACACCACATATGTCAGGCTTGAGCGCTGGCAAACCCCCCACGGCGTTATTGGTACGTTGGTGTATGTAGATATAAGGTTCGCAGCGTATCCGGCGAGATTGACAGTGCGTCTTGTTGATATGTATACTTGCGGTTCGAGCGGAATGGTTGGGGAAGTCTGTATACTCCGCGCAAGCGCACGAAGCCCGGCCGTGTGCTCTACATACACACGATACATACGATTACGTGGAGACGGGCGTTTGAACATGATAGGTCTAGCTATCTCCGAGTCTCCGGTTCGCCGCGTCGGGGGAGTCCGCCCCAGGTGGCAGGGACCGTCATCGCCGTGCTGCTGGTGTTGACGTGCTCGACAATCAATGCATGAAAAGCGCGCAGCCGCGCCTGCCAAAGGGAAAGGGCTGGACTTGATGGCGACAGTATCGACCGCATACCCGCTCACTCGCAATGCGCAGCCTTCCCTTCCCCTCCCCCCTACCCACTCCCCCCTCCATCCTCTACCACCCCACCGCCGCCTCGATGACGGGCTTTTTTGCTTTTCTCATCCGATCTAGGTATCCGTCTACTATTTAGGATAGGGACCCTTCGCCCCACAGTCATAGCATATCGTGCAGTTCATCTATCTACCAGTTAGCGAGTCCAATGATGCCCCCCTCCCTCCAAATATCGTCATGCGGGGAATAAATATAGATGTGTCAGGGCCTGGCTGAGTGCGCTGCACGCATGCAGTAGAGTGCACCGCCCATTCGCAGACCTTCACGGCGGTAGTGGCAGTAACAGTGGCAGTGGCAATCTACCTACATACGTGATTTATCAGGAAGGCTGTGGCCTGTGAGTCGAACGGAACGATGTGTGCAACTGCACACTTCACTGAGCTTCTTACCTAACTCAACGTTAGTTGTTATCTAGATGTAGGTACCATACGACTGCTGCCTCCAGCCTTCCTTTCTGCTCCCTCCCTCCCTCGCTCCCCTTATCCCTCATTCATTCATCCATCCCTTCCACCGCCCGCCCGCCTATGCTACTCACTAGCTCTGGACGAGAAGGAGAACGATCGACAGAATACCTCATTTTTTCACTTGTTCTCCCCACAGGTCGATCGATATATGGGAAACAATACGCGCGCTGCGGCGGCAGGGCTTCAGAGCATGAGCAATACCTATGCCTGACTACTCCACAGCAGGAGACGCGCACGTCCGCACGTTCGCACACCTGGGTGGGCCTGGTGGGTGGGGACATCTTACATACTATACATACTGCGCCCGTTGCTAACTAATCGGTGCGCTGATCTAGGGTTGTGACGAGTCGCCATGCTGTGTACCTAGAGCTTGTGGTTCTTACGTTTGGCACCACCAGCGCCAGTGGCCGCGCCGCGGCGATGATGATGCTGCCTAGAAGGTGCGTCAGGCACCAAACAGAATAACGACGACGCCGGAATATGTATGCACGAGCATAAGCGGGTGTGTCACGCATAGTCAGTATGTGAGTCGCACGTCCTCTTGAGAATAGGTTATCCGCTTCTCGCCTACTTACGAACGATACGGTACGATAAGGCTGTTGGGCTTCTGGATGATTTCGCTCCATACATACGGTAGGTACTTACCCAAGTCACTTATGTACCAGTACTCAGTACTCATCGCCGGTCCGGGGAAATATCCACTGATTGCAGACGGAAATATAGTAGCTCGGGATCTCTCGGGCGTCGGGAGCCGGGACAGAAGTGTGGGGAAAGGTCCGAAAGGACAATCTTGACTCACGGGCGAAGCCCGCAAGCGTTAGTTAACTACCGATTGCGCACGCTTCTGGGCAGTGAGCACCTGCATGGAACGTCAGATAAACGGTGGTATGTATCTTCCGGTGGATTCTACATACACATACGAGGTGAATTGGCAGCTGGATGAACCGGTTAAAGTATAGGTACGGCTAACTAACTGCTCTCATGTGTGTCTATGTGCTGCGCATCTGACGAATTCAGGGCAGTGGGCACTGCCTCGCCTCGCCTCCTCGAGTCACTGACTCCCTGACTCCCTGCGCATTCGCGACCAAGGTACATACATACATAGAGTACATACCATACAGTTCTTCCTTGACCAATACGACAGCGGTGAGGCAGTTCAGCTTCAAGATTGAGCGATTGCGGAAACAAAAAACGAAACAGTCTGCTATGCAGGTACCTAACAGGGTAACTACAACCATGTCGACCAAGGGAACAGCTCGAGGGGGTTCTCCTTAATTATTGTTGTGGAGGGAGAGGGGCGTGCTCACAGCTGAGCTGGGTGCTGTGCAGCCCAACCCAACCCAACGCACCGACGCCGACGCACCGACGCATGGATGATGGCTGGCGGCTGGAGTTCGGGATCTCGCGAGGCGTGTAGAGTATGTAACATATGCTACATACTCTACACGGCTCTGCTGGGTGGGAGGAGGAGCAGCCGAACGATTATTGAGAGTTGCTTGCTTATAGCACATCATAGATTAGTTGGGGCAGGCATGGATGCCACAATTCCACAGCCGGGGCTGGCTCGAAGGGCGGGTTTCTATCCGACAAAAAAGAAGGTTGGGACACGCACCCGTGTGCCCGCCTACATGCCTTGGTGCTCCACGGGCTTCCGGCACCAAGCCGCCCCAGGGTTTTTTCTTTCTTTTCTCATCATTAGTCAGGAGCCGAAGACCGCCCGACCGCCACGGCGATCCCGTGGACGGTGACGGGGTGGTGATGTTGTTGGCTGTTGGCTGCTGCAGTGCGTCCGCTCGCCACGCCACGTGCTTATGTAATGAGCTCTCGGCTACCGCAAGGTACAGTACTACAGGTACTGCGAGCAGTAGGTACTCTACTCTTCATACTTCCGTTCGAACCGCCGCTGGGACGACAGCGTCCCTTCTTTCCTTCCTTCCTTCTGCCTTCCTTCTTGGCTCCCGGTCTAGGTCTCGGAAGCTTATGGCGGCATGGATTTGTTTGGCTGGCTGGCCCTGCGCCCACATTTCCGGGGCAGCCAGATGGGTGCTGGTTGGTTGCTAGGTGTTAGGTTGCACGTTTGTCCAACCCCAGATTCCGTCTTGTTGTGGTCCTGTGGCCAGACCTGCAGCAGTGCGGCTGAATGGCTGGCTGGTAAATCATAGTTCCTGGGAGGTGGCAAATAGCAAAGCTCGGGGTCCGGGGATGGGTTGGTTGTTGTATAGCAGCATGGGAACATGGGTAGGTTCAACCGAAGAAAGGGTGTCTGGTATAGGAGGAAAAGGTGTGGACCCTGAACTGCCCGACCATGCAGGGCTTCAGATTGATTGATTGTGAAAAGGATGTGGACGTTCTCGAGCTTGGGCGTTTCTGGTCTGTCTGATCTGTCAGAGTCACGCCCCCATCCCACCCCCAACATTATCAGCAGCGGCACTGCTTACAGTATCCATACGAGTGCCTACCACCGGACAACGGACCAGCAAGCGACTGCTATCTAACTACCGTAACCAACCTATCAATTATTTTCTACACACGGAGGACCACGCGATATGATCGTCATCCCTATGCACAGGTGCTCGGTGGATTCGGGCATGCTCAACGCAGGATAAGTCACACGTAAAAATGACCGCGGACTGGCCTCGATCTGCAATCCGCCATCCGAAGATGTTGCCCCGACAGCCACAGCCGGACGCCAGACGGCCAGACGGCCAGACGGCAGTGGCCAGTTGGCTAGTTGGCTGGACGGTGGGACGGTCAGACGCCCAGTATAAAGCTATATGGACCGCTGCATCCTCTGTGGTCCAGTAATTATTCCAGATCTCTCCCTCCCTCCCTCTTTCTGTCCATTGTTTCGTTGTACGACATTCCATCGTTCGTGGCCCCCGATACCCGCCACCGCCCGCAACAACTCTTTCGTTACATTTTCTGTGTGCTGTTGAATCAAGCCAGCACCCGTCTTTCTTTTCGTCCAGCACATCAAAACACAGCCCAGGCAGACACGCACTCGAGCGAGCACTACCTGCCCTTTGGTGACCGTCTTACTCACCAACCCACCTACCCTTCCCTCCCCCCTGAGCAACGACCGGAGACGTGATTATCGCGCTCCGCTCCCCGAATTGGTAGCTTAATAGCTTGATAGGAGGAGAAGCACAAGAACCGTCCCTACAGGGTTCTGCAGAACAGCGTTTACTTAAATCCGGCCCCCTTCCTTCCTTCACTCCTGGCTCTCTCTATATCCAGACGAAAGTTCCTCCCTTCACTTCGGTCCTTCGTCTCTATCCCACGATTGTCTAGGCACCACCGTACCTTTTGGTCCAACATGAACTCCCGTCGTGGTTCCATCCAGCAGCCCGAGCAGCAGCCGCAGCAACAGCAGCCGTTGACTCTTCCCGTTGCCCCAGCTTCGTATATCGTCAAGACGCCATGTGTACCGACACCGGATTCGGCCTTACGACATCAGGCGTCGCGCGACTTATCCTATTTCCCGCTCCAGGCCGAGACCATCGTCGTCCCTTCGAACGATAACCTTCTCGAGAACGTTGATACCCTACGAAATAAGCCCCTCTGGACCGAGAGTCAGAAGCCTGTCAAGATCGCTGTCAACGCACCTCCGGCGCCGGTGGCGGCCAAGCTTGAGACACAGACGGAGCTCGAAGAACCAGTCATAACCGTGCTGCCGTCCGAAGAGCAGCAGCCTCCTCCGCTACCGCTTTCCTCCACACCGGCTGTTCTGGCCATTGTCGATCCGATCGTCGAGAAGAAAGTAGTAGCTTTCGAGAAGACAGCGCCACCGTCCCGGAGCTTGTCTGTCCTTAGTGTTCCGGCTAGCGTGATTGCCACGAGCCCGTCCGACAAAGAAACCTGGGACCGCACGTTGTCCAGGGTCATCAACGGTATCGTGTCCATCAAGGCCACGACCACGCGTCCCTTCGACACCGAGTCGGCGGGCGACTACACCGCCACCGGATTCGTGATCTCCAAGGAGCATGGATTGATCCTGTCCAACCGCCACGTAGTCAACCCGGCGCCAATCACGTCGGTCGCGGTCTTTGTCAACTATGAGGAGATCCCTATCTGGCCCGTGTATCGCGACCCGATCCACGACTTCGGTATCTTCCGGTACGACCCGGCGAAGCTCAAGCACATCAAGGTCGAGGAGATTGAGCTCCACCCCGATGCGGCGCACGTCGGCGAGGATATTCGCGTCGTCGGAAACGACGCCGGCGAGAAGTTGAGTATCTTGGGATCCACGCTCGCGCGTCTGGACCGACATGCGCCTTCGTATGGAGTTGATAGCTACAATGTAAGCTTCCCTTATCTCGTGCAACCCCAACCACATCGCATCTCAAACCATAGAATATGATTGGATAACTGTTTTTTCTTTTTCTTTTTCAGGATTTCAATACGTTCTACATGCAAGCAGCCTCCGGCACCTCTGGCGGCTCATCCGGTAGTCCCGTCCTGAACATTCAGGGCCACGCTGTGGCGCTCAATGCCGGCGGTTCCAACAGCTCTCAGAGCTCCTTCTATCTTCCTTTGCACCGTGTTGTGCGAGCTGTCGAGAAGATTAAGAGGGGCGAAATTGTCAGCCGTGGTACCTTGCAGACCGAGTTTCTCTTCAAGAGTTACGACGAGCTACGCCGCCTCGGTATGAGCGAGGAGCTCGAGGAGCAGTGTCGCACCCGATTCCCCAGCGCTTCTGGACTTCTTAGCGTCATCCGTGTCCTGAGAGGAGGTCCAGCGAGTGCCAACCGCAAGGGTGCATCCGCTGTCGAAGGAGTCACCGCGGAGGGCTTTACTCGTGTACCCGGTCTCGAGCCGGGCGATATCCTCTTCTCTTGCAACGGCCAGCACATCACCGGATTTGTTGACCTGTGGGAAATCATCGATGATAGTGTTGACCAGGAGATCACCCTTGGTATCTTCAGGGTTGGTAAGAACGGAGGTGCCAGCGGGATGTGCCAGGTGACTGCCCGGGTCCAGGATCTGCACTCGATCACCCCTAGCCGGTTCCTCGAAATCGGAGGCGCCACTTTCCACGACCTGTCGTATCAGATCGCCCGCAACCACAACTGCGAGCTGGGCACGGGCGTCTTCTGCGCCGCCTCCGGGTTCCTCTTGTGGTCGTCATGGAGTCGCGATTTCCTTGTCACCAGCGTCGACGGAAAGCCTACCAAGACACTCGACCAGTTCGTCGAGGTCCTGAGCGCGCTTCCCGATCGCAAGCGCATTCCTGTCATGACCAGGCCGCTGGGCAAGTCCGACGAGCACGTCATGATGGTGGACATGGACCGCCACTTCTTCCTTGCCGCGCTGTTCGAGCGCTGCGACTTGACGGGCACCTGGACTCGCAAGGAGCTGGAGGCTGCGCCCTTCGAAGTGGCCGAGGAGCCCCAGACCTCGAGCTCCGTCTGCGAGACTGAAATCGAAGAAGAGGAGGAGGAGGACGTCGAGACGATTGCATTGGATAAGATCAAGTCCGCCTTGGTTAACGTTGTCTGCCGCCTACCTTATTCTGTCTACGGAAACACTTCGGCGTCCAACTACTCCGGTGTCGGACTTATTGTCACTGTGGACCCGATTCCGTTGGTCGTATTCGACCGTACCGCCGTCCCCACCGAGATGCTCGATATCCGGTTGACGGTCTCCAACAAGAGTTTCCCTGGAAAGGTGGTGTACCTCGGTGCATTCACCCTTGTAACCTTTGATCGCAAGCTCCTTCCAGAGGACGTTACCCTCCCCACGTGGGACGAGGTTCCCTTGAAGGTCCGCGACGAGGTCAAGGTCATCGGTCTTACTTCGGATCAGCTCTTGGTGACCAAGGATTCGTCCATCTGCAGCATCGGCATGAACTTCAACACCAAGCAGTGCAACCCTCCCCGCAACCGTCTGATCAACGTTGAGAACATTAACGTGCTCGAGTCTCCCAGCTGCTGGGGCGGTGTAATCGTGCGCAAGCCTGCCACGCCCACGAGCACCCACAACGTATCGGCGTTCTTCATGGCGGTATCGTCCCAGAACCGCGCTGGTGAGGACGTATGTTGGACCCAGGGCTGTGAAATCCAGCGCTACATCATGCCGGTCGTGCGCAAGATCCAGGAGAGTGTTGGTACACCCATGGATGTCGAGCCGCCCACCAGGGATCTCGGTATCGAGTTTGCGGACTTGCCGCTCTCCACTGTGTCCACCATGGGGCTATCGGAGCGCCGCTTCAAGGGCTTCGTCAAGGCCGCCAAGAAGTTCCGTGGCAACCCCCGCCCGCTGGTCGTCGAGACCCGCCTGCGCCCGACCACCCCTGGCACCGACAAGGAGGCCGCACTCAAGATCGCCGACATCGTGCTCGAGATTGAGGGTAAGCCCATCTACCGCGTCAGCGAGCTGACGGAGCTTAACCTCGACAACAAGGAGCAGGTCGAAGTGATCGTGCTGCGTGGCCGCCAAGAGGTCAAGCTTACCATCCCCACGGTGGCATCATGGCCGTCGTCGGGCAAGACCATCGTCCAGTTCTTTGGCGCGATCCTGCACTCGACACACAGTGCCGCATTGGAGCAGGTGTCGTCGACCGCGGCCCTGGTCCCTCTGGACTCTCCCGGCGTCTACGTCGGCGGCGTATCCTACGGCTCCCCGGCACTCGACAACATCCGCCCCACACACTGGATCCTTGAAGTCGACGGCTCCCCCGTGAACTCTATCGAAGACGTGCTCTCGCTCGTCCGCGAGAAGCGCTGGCAGCAGGGTGATTACGTCCGCGTCAAGCAGGTGTCGCGCAAGGGAATCACCTCCCTTGTCAGCGTCAAGGTCGACGAACGCTTCTGGCCCACGCTGTGCTGGACCAAGGATACCGAGAACGCTGAAGGCGCCGGATGGAAGCAGGAGCGGTGGAGTGGCGAGGAGTTTGTGCTGCCTTTCGGACAGTAGACGTTGAGTTTTTGGGTCGGTTGGGTTGGCGTTGCTGTTGATTGATTGTCTGGTTGTCTGATTATGATTCCTTTCTCTTTCTTTTCTTCTGCTTTTGCTTTAATAGCGGACTGTTTTTTGGGTTATCTTGGATTTTAGTATTATCATTGGGGTTTGCATGGGATGATGGTTCGGGGTTTGGCTGACTGGTTGGTTGGTTGGTTAGTTGGGGCAGGTTTCGGGTATCATACAAATCATGGGGGTTTATCTTCTCACTCACTACTGTTTTGGTTTTTTGGATTTTGGATTATTACTTTTCTTTTGGCTGCGATAGATTGTTTTTGTTCGATCTCTACCACTACCTATTACCTCATTCTTAGAAACCAAACGGGCATTGCTGTACCGGTATGAAATAAGTATGCTTGAGAAGCTTGAGAAGTTTGAGAAAAGGGGGGTTAATGGATTACATGGTTCTGTAAGAAGTTTGGCTTGCGAGTGGTTACTGACGATGATTGATGTTCGTTCGTAAGATTCGGGATGTTGCTGGGTGAGAGGGACGAACGGTGATGGTTAACCGCCAATTATAGTAGAACTGCATCATCGACTTACCTGGGTAGATCAGGTTGAATGGTGGTTGATGGTGGCCAGGTATCCTCGATGGGTAGGCGGCTGATGGGTTCGATTGAGAGGGGCCTTTCGGGTCGTGTATGTACTATAATACGTACGGTAGGTGGCCATTAATCTTCGACACCTAGGTACAAGACTAGTCTCGCGATCCGGTACCATTCACTACCAGTTCTCCTGATAGTGGAGCAGTGGGAGATGTTTCCTCGCGATGAGTGTGAATAGCAACTTCTAGACTTTAGGGAGCACAGAGCAGGTATGATGTATGTAGGAAAAGTAGGTAGGTGGTAGGTACCCAGCTGCCGATAATTTACAACTACTCGAGTCTTGAGTCGACAGAAGCTGTGAATTCCAAGACCTCAACCTCAATCCTTGAATCTGCAGCTCTCACTCGTCCCGTCCCATTCCCGCCACCACCGCCACCGTAATAACGTATCTCCTTGGTCGCCATAGTCTAGTAAGGCTGCACACTAGGTACACTACTGGTACTATCTACCCTGTAATTAAGTGTTTATGTCGTCCTTGCTCGTCTGGTTTCGTTCGGTTTTCCTTCTTCATCGCTCTTGGACAGTTGGACTTTTTCTTGAATTGATCACGGTTTTGAACCTGTGCCCGTTTTGGGGTCTCTCAGTAGGGAGTGGGGAGGAAACGGACATGTTCCAACCCTGATCTAGATTATCAAGATCGAATGCTGAAGGATGACCAAACAAGAATATTCAAGGAAGTCCGCATCCATTCATTCGATCTTGCAACCACCGTCCATGGCCCCATCCGTCTCCCAAGATTCCCGCTCATCCCGCCATCTCATGACCGCACTGCCACAGCCTAGCCTCAACTGCATAGGTGCTGACAGATGCCAGCACCGCAAAACGGGTGATATCCTATGAAAAAGCTACCTACATAAGCACTCACCCCCTCCGATACGATTTGCGCGTGTGTGGCTGTTCCTCGCTGTTTCTCGAGTCATGGCCCATGGATTGGTCACGGCTAATGACAACCGACCGACAACCGACCGACCATTGGACGGCGCAGTTCATCCCGCCGCAGTCGCCGCACTGTCACTTCTGCTTCACCTGCTTCACTTGCTTCACCTGCTTCAATCCTGTGTAGATCCCGTAGGACTAGGTAGGTATTTGGAGGTGAAACCGCGTGCTTACAGGTGAACTACGGTACCGGGGCTTTGGTTGGTATGTTGTATGGTGACCACTGCACCAAGTGGAGTATTCAACTCTTGGGTTCCATCTAGCACGTCGAACGTCGAACATCAGACATCATACATCACAATCACATCAGACATCAGACATCACATCACTCGTCCGCACGACCTCCCATGACATCCCATCCCATCCCACTGCACTGCACACCGTGTTCCAACATCTTCACATCTTCACATCTTCACGTACCCCCCCCTCGGGGAGCAAGTATGGGAGCAAGTAGGTACGGGTATTATCTATTGTCTCATCCGTTCAGTACTTAGTTGGGTAGTTATATTCCCGCCGTTACGCGCTCGCGCCCGCCCTCTTCCCGACCGAAACAATCGACGGCAAGTCTTTACACTCAGTCGTTTCGTTAGTATTCAGGTCGACGACCCTAACGCCCTCGAGGGTGAGTAGACCCGTCGTCAGCGGGACGAAGCTGAGCTCCGTTGTGTGGCAGGCCGAGGGCATGAGCGGGCTATGTTCCTGTTAGAATGATCCAGCTATAGGGGGTGGGGTAGGGGAGACGTACCCGATTCTGACATCGTGGACCAACGGGACGAGTTCCGCGGGTTCCAGGTAGCGCGACTTGTGCGACTGGTAGACCATGGACTCGTCGATGACGGGCTCGGGGGGGTCTGCGCCCGCGGGGGTAGCCGGCAGTGTCTTTCCGTCGCCCACACGCTTGCGCTTCGGCGGGATGAGCAGCGCGAGCTTCCGGGTGCGGCTGGACCGGTTGACGACGAAGACCGACCACGTGAATGTCTCGCCGACGTACACTCGCGACGGTCCAGTGAACGTCACGGTGAGGCCTTGTGTGCCCCCGTCGGCTATCGATGGCCCGTGGCTCTGTGAGAAGCCGCGCACGTCCATGGGCGGTGTGAAGACAACGTTTGGGGAGGGGAGGGGGGCGGCCGCAGGATATCCTGGACGGATGCCGGATGAGGCCTGGACTGTGGCGCCGTGGACGATTGCGCCGAGTGATGGGGGTCGGTGGGCTCGCTGGATTCCCGCGTGGGGGGAGAACACCGGAGGAGCTGAGGGTGGTGCGAAGTCTACTGTTGTCGTCCAGTTCGTGTAGATTTGTGGGTGGCAGGTTTCAGAGACCAGTGCTGTGGCTTTGAGGCTGACCGATATCGCTTTGACTTGTGAGCCTGGTGGTGGTGTTTGCGTAGGCGTCATCTCGCTGCCGGTATCTATCTGTGTCAGGGTGTAGAGGAACGTCATGTCGTCGCGCGGCCGACATGTAACCGGCAATGCGGTGGATGGCGAATCCCCGACCAATGTCGCCTTGCCCCCGTCTACGGTGATGTCGACGCTGTTGATACTGACATTGCAATCGCTGAATGGCGTAATCTCAAGATCGAGGGATGCGATTACGATGTGCCTGCTACCAGAGGGTATCCGGGAGTATCGCAGGCGAATATTAATCGCCGGATAGATGTTGAACGCCCTCTTCGCCGCATAGCCCAGCGGTCGGATTGCTTGCTGCGGAGCTTGGGTGATCGGGATGACGCGAGATACTCTGTGGGCCGACAAGCGAGGGGACGCCTTAGACACCAAGGGGTCTTCGGCAAACGACTCGAGCAGGTTGACCCCCATGGGATGTCGGGATGTCATGTAATCATCTTCGAACAGCGGTTTCTGTAGCTCAGCAGGCCGCAAGGTAGCCGAGCAGGTGAGGAGCACTTTGGGATTGTTGAGACGGGCTCGTGGATGGCCGAGTGGAACCTGTAGCTTCCATACCGCGAGTCGCGTCGTCGACTCTCCGATCGAGATTCTAGGCGTATCTTTTTCGTTGATGACTGTTTGAAACAACAGGTGCACCGAGTCTTGTGTCCTCCCCGGATGGCCCTGTTGCTGCTTCTGTCCGTCGATCGCCGTGACCTCCAACGAAACGGCGAGGCGGGCGAGGTAGTGCTCGTAGAGCTCGTTGCTCAAAGGAACCAAAATTTGTAGGACGATAAAGACGGGCAGTTCCTCATCTGCGGCAAGATTTATCGGTGTTCAGTCGGAGTGGCCAAAAACGCACGGAGCAGCGGCCGTAGGAAAGGACGAAAGCCTGGCTAACCGTAGAAAAGATGACTCCGTTGCTCAATAGGTGCGACGGCCGCGATATTGGAGACGGTGGAACCCTTAATATCCCCGCCTGCAGCAGCCGTGATAACCTCAGCTATGTCGAGATCGGAGACGTGGGGCACAATCACGTCCAGTCGCGCAGTCTCGGAGATTTCGGTGGAGAGATTTCGCCTGTGGCCGCGCGGAGGGCCGGACATGACTGGCAGCATCGGGTGATGGGGACTGATGCTGATGGACGGCGGGAGTGAGGTCGGGCTCGTGGGAAAGGAGACGGAGGTGAGGTAGACGGTCGACAAGCTTCACGGACGTTTAGGCCAGCCCGGACACTAGCGAACATGCACGCGACGATATCGACCTGTCTTCCTCGACGACTCCTGATTGACCGTGAGCGCCACTCAACCGAAGCACCGGTGCTCTCGTCATGGAATGCCGACTTACAATTTGATACGAAATGTACTCTTCTCTCTCCGAGAATCTCTTTGTCCCTCTTCTCCGGAGTACCTATAACCAAGTGAGATTGTACGTACTTCAGCAGCTACCTATAGCTTTGTCGGAATTTGCCGGAATGTAATATTCAACGAAGGAAGATCTATTGACTGTATTCAGTCTACGAAGATCTAGAACGAAGTGAAGGCCGAAGGACGGAGAAACGAACGAACGGTGGTTCCTTCTCGATGTTTTGGGGGCGGCGAATTCGGGGCCGTGCTTGGCATGGTGTTGAGGGAGGGTCGTGCATGTCGTTGTCGCTTAGCACGGCGTCCTTTCTTTTTTCTTGTCGTTCCTCGAGTCTTGAACGGAACTCCTTCTCTGCTGTCTTCTGTACCGATACCACCCGCCCAGCAGCTCGGCTTCCATCTCTCCTACTCTTCCACCCCCCGGCCCAGCCTCCTGCATACAACAAACGAAATCTATAGTATCACCGCACCCCATCTGTCCCCCCGACACGTCTCTGTCCACGTCTCACAATACCGCAAATCTTATCGGTGCGCGTTTCGACCACTGCGACTACGCGGCTGACTTTGCTCTCGCCCGAACCCAAAGATGTCGCAAGTCTGGCAGGAGGCTAAGGCCGCCGACGGCAAGATCTACTACTACAATGTGCAGACGAAGGCAACCCAATGGACGAAGCCGGTGGAGATGATGAGCACGGCGGAGGTAAGAAGTCCCCCAACCGCGCTGCTTCGCGCTCGCCCGCTGACACGAACATCGCAGAGAGCATTGCAAGATCTCGCCTGGAAAGAACACAAGGCTGCCGATGGGAGGGCCTACTGGTACACCATCCCACCCCTTACGCGTTCGCGTCCCGACAGACACGCTGATCACACTCAATCATACAGGTACCATGCGCAGACGCGAGAGACCACCTGGTCGATGCCCGATGAATATCGCCAGGCGTTGGAGAAGGTGCAGGAAGCGCCGCCGCACGGGCTTCCCGCGATGCCCGCATTCGTCGCGGGAGGCACGCAACAGTTCGGCCAACAGCAGCAGCAGTCCCAGAATACCGAGCGTGCACTTGCGATTCCGGGGCAGCTGATGGAGGCTGCGGCTGATGGTACTGCGAGACCGATGACGTTGCCTGCGTCCATCACTGCGACCGACAAGAACGAGCCCCAGTATAGCAACTTTGATGAGGCTGAGGGTGCGTTCGTGAAGCTGTTGCGTCGTAGCAATGTTGGCGCCGATTGGACTTGGGAGAGGACGATGCGTGCGATCATTAAGGAGCCGCAGTACCGTGCGCTGAAGGATCCCAAGGATCGTAAGGCCGCCTTCGATAAGTACATTGTCGAGCTGAAGCAACAGGAGCAAGAGAAGGCCAAGGACCGCATTGCGAAACTGAGGCAGGATTTCTCTGTGATGCTCAAGAGCCACCCCGAGATCAAATACTACACTAGATGGAAGTATGCAATGCATTCAAATCTCCGACGCTTTGCGTAAAATGCTAATTTCTGTCGTCCAGGACTGCGCGCGTCATGATTGAAGGTGAAACTATCTTCCGTTCCACATCCAACGAAGATGAACGCCGACAGCTGTTCGACGAGTACATTCACGAGCTTCGCAAAGCCGAGCAGGAGCGCGAGCAGCGTACGCGGAAGGAAGCAATTGACGATCTTGTGGGCTTGCTCAAGTCGCTCGAAATGGAGCCGTACACTCGCTGGTCAGAAGCCCAGACGATTATCAAGCAGAATGAACTTTTCCGGTCTGAAGAAAAATTCCAGGCTCTCTCCAAGCTCGATGTTTTGAACGCGTTCGAAAGCCACATCAAAGTCCTCGAACGAGAATTCAACGACAAAAGACAGCGTCTGAAGACCATGAAGAACCGAAAGGAGCGCAAGAGTCGGGAAGCATTTGTTGTAAGTGGCACTGATATACTCCTCATCACTACCGTACAGATCGGCTTACCATTGACCAGGCTCTCCTCAATGCACTGCGCTCAAAAGGTGAAATCCGGGCTGGATCCAAATGGAAGCAAGTGTTCCCCTTGATTAAGGATGACGAGCGTTATCAGAACATGCTGGGACAAAGCGGATCAACGCCCTTGGACTTGTTCTGGGATATGATCGAGGAGATGGAGCGTGATGTTCGCTTGAAGAGGAACACTGTGCAAGATGTCATGGAGGTATGTTTGCTGGAAGCCTTATTCCTTTTACTCGACTAACGTTCATATGTAGGAAAAACGCTTTGATATCACTGAAAGTACCTCTCTCCAAGAGTTTGCCGAATTCCTAAAGAAAGATTCACGCACTGCTCAGTATGACCAGGATACGGCCTCGGTCCTCTTCGATAAGGTAATACTTTTCTCGCCCGTGTCTTTACCTGTGCTAACGATGCATTGCGCAGCTCCGCGAGAAAATCGTTCGACGCATCGAGGACGACCGCTACCAACAGGAACGCCACCAGCGCCGTCGCGTCGATGCCTTGCGCTCCGTCATTAGGCATCTGGAGCCTGCAGTAGAGGTGACGGATACGTATGACAAAATCCGACCCCGCATCGAGAGGACAGAGGAGTACCGTACCCTTGACTCTGACGACCTTCGTCGCACCGCCTTTGACAAGCACATCCGGCGCCTCAAAGAAAAGCAGGAAGAGCGCGACAAGGACCGCGAACGCAAGGAGAAAGAGAAGGAGCGCCACAGTAAACGTCCGGCAGCCGCAGATGAACCCAGCAGAAACGGTGGCTATGACTCCTATCACAAGTCGCGCTCCTCGCGCCATGATCGTGAGCGCTCCAGGCATCTTACTAGGACCCCTGAGCCAGATGCGTATGAAGCAGAGCGCCGACGTGCCGCCGGAGAGCGCGAGAGACAGTACCGTCGCCGTGATAGTTCCGTCCACCGCTCTGACCGCGGGTCCAGGCCCGACAGTCGCCCGCCCCGACACGAGCGAGACCGTAGCTCCCGCCCCGAGAGTGTCTACGACCGTGAGCGACGCGAGCGTGAGGAGGAGCGCGAGCGGCAGTACAGATCGAGAGGTGACGAGGCGCCGAGGGATCGCGATGAGTATCGTCCCCGCCGTAGACGCGGGATGTCGCCTGAAGACGACGAGAGAGACTCTAAGGTACGCCATTCTTTCCTCCTTCTTCTTCTTCTTCCCTGTGCGTGTCCGCCGGCAACGCGCTAACGCCGAGATTCAGAGGACGAGACGTGAGCGCACCCCTCCACGCACCCGTACCCCCCCGCCCAGGGAACGCATCTTTGATGACACCGTCCCGGTCATGAACTACGGTGAGGACCCCATGATGGACTACGGGAAAGACCCGTACTCCGGCCCCAGCAAAGACAGCAGCAGCAGCAGGCGCGCATCGAAAGCCAAGTCGGCGGCGGGAGAGCCTAGAGTAAAGGATGAGGAAAAGGCAAAGGTGACGACCAAAGATGCGGCGAAGACGGAGAAGGAGAAGGACGCCAAAGCCAAGACGGACAAGGAGAAGGTGGACAAGGTGGACAAGGACAAGATGGACAAGATGGACAAGATGGACAAGATGGACAAGATGGACAAGATGGACAAGATGGACATCGATGTGAAGGCTGAGGAGAGCGAAGAGGGCGAAATCGCCGAGTAGCTAGCTAGCTTAGCTTAGCTTAGCTTATCTTAGCTCGATCGGGTCAGGTCACGTGCCGATGACGTGGTGGTGGGGACCAGTGGGGACGAAAAAGTGGTGGGCAGCTCTGTAGCTTTTGCTTTGAAATATGAGGGGTTGTTATGTTAGAGTACAGTCTGTCTGTCACTCTAGGGGGTAGATGTGCTGTTGCTGTTGCTGTGTTGTGTTATTTGATTTCAGGCTGTTCTCGATCGAAAGCCTGGTCGGTCGTTAAAGTACTTCACTTACTTAACTTGCTTAGGGTGTGCTGGCGGATTTGAGATACTTGGCGCAGGACGTAGATGTTTCCTTTGCAGTTTTCCAGCCCAGCAGCCCCGCGGCCCCGCACATGGGAATTTGGGCGAAACATTTGTGATTTGTTTATTCGAAGGATTGGGGCGAGCAGAGTAAGGCAAAGCGCATGGCGCGAGCAGTGCAGCGAGGAAGAAGAGGGCCATGGCCCATGGGAGTCCTCCTCCAGATCAAATCAAACATTATTGGCCCCCCAGCCCTAGCACCAGCGAATTGCTCGATTACGGTATCGATATCTATCTCACCAGCCAGCATTGTAGGTGAGTACTCATCGATATTGGACCGTAGTTAGTGGGCATTTTCCTCAGCTTTGCCACTCCTCTACCAACGGGGTGAACCTGTGTACATACTGCATCCCATTCTCATGGCCAACGGACTGGACTGGCACAGTTCGGACGCCAATCGTGATGTAGGATATGATATATGTATGATATGTATGTAGAGGAGAGTATGCAATCTGCATTCAGGAACCTGTCCGCCCGCCAGCCAGCCAGCCAGAAGAGCGATGAGTGGCGATGGATTGATGGATGGAGGGGCAACCACAGGCAGACACAGATAGATAGACAAAGAAGGGCTTGCGGCCTGCGGCTTAATTAAATATTTGCCAGCCTGGCACTGGCACTGGTACGGGTGGGTTAACCGCACGATAGCCGGTGCGATGGTGGAAAGTCCGAGTAGGTACTGGGAGGTACTAGCTGCAGCTTCGAGACCGACCCGGAGCATATGTAGCAGCATAGGTGCTTTGGAGGCGTGAAAAACTTCTGCTGCTCGTAGAGTAATCTCGGCGATGGGGTTTAAGTACTGAGGTAAGTACTCTACTCTACTATAGCTCGTGTGAGCGAATTGCTCTGGGTTTGAGGCTGGCGGCGGCGGCGGTGGTGGTGGTGGTGGTGGTGGTGGTGGTGGATTATATTAACGAGGCCCCCGGGGATGGCGGAAGAGGGGGAAGCAGCAGCAGCAGAACGCAGCGCAACGCAATGCGGCCTTTGTTTTCCCTCTCCTCACATTATGCATCTAGAGTAGTGGTAGTATACTGTAGGTAAGAAGTAGTAGGGCGGGTGTTTTCCGTTTGCGTGTGCTGTCCGTCGTCGTGGTCCGCAATCTATCTATCCCCCGAGTCGAGAGAGAGAGAGAGAGAGAGAGAGAGAGAGAGAGAGAGAGAGAGAGAGAGAGAGAGAGAGAGAGTGTGTGTGTGTGTGTGGTATATAACGTGCGGATAGGGAGCGAGAAGTGGGAGGAGGCAGGTAATCGTCATCGGCATCCCCCGCTTTCAACCCCTCCCTAACTACCTCCACCTCTCCACCTCATAGCCCCCAGCTCTCCCGTCCACCTGTTGTTTCCACCACCCACCTACCTACCAACCAACCAACGCACCCACAACCACAAACAAGACAAAGCCACACCCTCCCTCCATCGCGATGTCCACCACCACGATCACCACCACACCTCCGGCGGTGTCGCCTCCCGCCGTCAGCAGCGGCAGCGCACACCTCTCACCCGCCGCACTAGAGGAGCAGCACCATCTGCGACACCTGCGGCACGCCCTGACGCTGGCGTGGCAATGCACTCCGACTTCTTCCGCATTCTGTGTCGGCGCTGTGCTGCTGTCGTCGTCGGGCACGGTTCTGTCGACGGGGTACTCGCGGGAGCTGCCCGACAACACGCACGCGGAGCAGGTGGCGCTGATGAAGCTGGGGTCGCCGCCGCCCGAGGGTAGCGTGCTCTACACGACCATGGAGCCGTGCGCGAAGCGCACCTCCGGCGACAAGAGCTGTGTCGAGCGCATTGTCGATGCCGGCGGTATCGGAACTGTCGTCGTCGGCGTTAAGGAGCCGAATACTTTCGTCCAGGGGAATCAGGCGAAGGAGCTGCTTGAGGTGAAGGGAATAAAATATTTGTATGTGCCCGGGCTGGAGAGGGAGATTCTTGTGGTAGCCGAGAGGAGCCATAAGAAGGAGGAGTAGTGGGCGGTGGATGCAGTGATATCAGAATGTGCTCGGTTTTTGTTTTGTTTCCGCAGTTGATTTTATTTTTCTTAACGAGGGATACTCGGGATACTCGGGATGGGTCTATGAATTTAATGACCGAACTGAACTTAAGGAACTGTCTGTCTGTTTGTCCGTCTATTGGCTGTTTGCTCGTTTGCGCCATCCCATTCCCGCGGCTTCAAGCCTCTGGCGATACTCCTCCAATCGCCTACTAACACTCACCCCATTCCACAACTCATCCCCATCCACCCCCCGCGTCAGCACCGGCATCCCGATCTGCTCTATCGCAAAGCTCGCGGCGACCGTGCCCATAGCCGCCGCCTCCACCATGCCCACGCCTCTCGCCAACCCCATCCCGAGCCCACCAACAAAAGCATTCCCACCGCCCGTCGGATCCACGACCATGCTATGGTTCCGCTCACCCCCCTCGTAATACGCCGGTAACCTAACTGCCCCCTCCGTGCCCACAACTAAACACCCCAACTTCCCCGCCCTCACCACCACCGCCCCGGCGCCCGCCTGCATAACCCTCATTGCCAGCACCTCCATCCTCTCCCACTCTCCGCCGGGCAGCTGCGACAGCAGCTCATCCTCCCAAAACGCCCCCAGCTCCTCCCCATTAGGGCTGACCACATCCATGGTGCTCACAGTCCTCAGCATCTCCGCCCGCTGCGCAGGCGTGCACAGATCCGGCACTGGTTCCCACACCGCGATCTGTCCCGCGGCCCCGCCGCCGATAAGTTCACGCCGCAGCCCTGCTGCGCGCGCGGCAGAGCAGATCAGGTGTACGCAACGGGCGCGCACGAGACCGCTGGAGATCAGGTCGATAGCTTCCAGTCGCAGCTTTGGAGTCAGGTAGTGGAAAGCGCGGGTGTCGCTGGAAGCGGAGGGGTAGGAGTTCCAGCCGCGCGTTGTCAGTCGCGAGGTGGAGCGCCGGAGGATCAGGTGCGTGTCTAGGGCTGTGAGTGGTGCGAGGAGTGACGGAGGGAAGTCACGTCCCGCGTCCACAATCCAGCCGATGCGCCGGGATTGCGGCGGCGGGGAGAAGAGGCGTGCGCCGAGGATGGCTGTGGGTGTTAGCTACCTATGAGGGAGGGGGGAGGGGGCATCCACCATATGTGCCCGCGCCGCCGATGATGTCGTCGACTACTTTGCGCGCGGAGGCGGGGCCGAAGTGGATTTGGTCTATCTAGGCGGGAGGTCAGGATGGGATGGACTGGGCCGGTGCGGGACGGGACAGGTGGTGGGTGGGTGAGTGGTACTATGAACATCCCGACTGCTCGCGAGGTTAGTTACCTCTGCCGGCTCATAGAGAGGTCGGAACACGAACGGGTGGTGAAGTCGAGCTCTCGCTTGTCGTCGTCGGCGTCCTCATGGCCGTGATCTGTCTGTTCTGTCTGTTCTGCCATAGCTTGCGGGGAATGCGGGATGCGGAGCGGGCGGGCTCAGAGCTGGAGCTCAGGTCTACTGGAGTTCCGGAGTTTCAGAGCGGCTTGTTTTGTTCGCTTGTCGCCGAACCGAACCACTATGTCGGGTACGCTACGGGGCGCTAGAACGCCGTGGACAAAGGAAGAAAAGTCGCGTCTCAGATCCAGCGGGGGCGGACGGCACAGGCAGATATCGTATGAGGAGAAAGAAGGAAGGAAGGTATGAATCAAACCCACGATGTCGATATATGGGAATGCGGGATATTTCTCGTGTGCGCACTGCGTAGCGTACTGCGTGTGGTTGCCATGGCATTTTATTGCGCGGCGTGCGTCCAATCTCGCTCTTGCGGAATGACGTCGCGCGAGCTCAAGGGGTGAACGGGGCCCCATGGGGGTTTAAAGGGGCTGAGACTTGGGCGAGGTTTATCTCAGCACATGTCCAAGTAGGCAGACTGTAGATACCGGTGCTTAGATAGTTGCTGAAGAACTCACTTCTCAAGCAATCAATCTGACACGGAGGAGAGATCGAGAGCGGGTGTGTTGTACAACCTGAAGTTTAGCTCTATTGTATTGCGTTGTTTTGTTGTTCTTTTCTCTGCCTTCGGAATTTATTTGTTGACACGAGCCCCTCCAAACAAATCAACCGAGACGGACACCAACAAGCACCACCGACCGACCAAACCCTTTTCTTTCCACCTCCACCTCCCTCTCACACTCACACACCAAAACCCACAACCACGTTCACCACCAGAACCACACAACCACAACCACAACAGAACGACTGACCCACCAGTACAGCAGTATCTTGCATTTGCCTTCGCTCGTACATACTCGCACACTTCACACGCTTACAAATTATCGCGCCATTTGGCAGTGTCCAGTCCAACACGGAGATGTCTGTGAAGGAATCACAGGCGTATGACCTGCTGGAACTCGTCCGCGGCCAGGGCGGTGAGCCAGCCCGCTCGCTTTCTTCCTCAGTCCAGTCCGCGCATGAGCTGGGTCGCTGACAGACAGCCACCATAGATGTTGACAAAAAGATCGCCGAGTTCGCGACGGTAAAGGCTCTCGTCAAGCACAATACAGTTCACGTATGTCGTCGTGTCCATTCTTTGTCGCGTCGAGTTTGGTTGCACGGAAAGGAGGAGGGGGGGAGAGGGGGGCCAAGGTTGGCTAACGGGTGCGCTTTTTTTCCTTCGCGCAGGCCGCCTCCATAGACGCTCTCTTCGAAGCGTGTCGCGTGGGCGCGATCTCACCCAACAGCACCCTTGGCGCACACGCCCTATCGTGTCTCGGACACCTGACGAAACGAGTATCGATCCAGGACCCGTCGCGTTTGCGAGCGCATGCGCCGAGCACACTGCCACTGCTCATCGACAAGCTGGGGGATGTCAAGGAGCGGAACAAGACCGTTGCCTTGGCGGCGATCATCGATACGTACAAGCATTGCCCGCAGGAGGTCGAGAAGGCCATGAAGGAGTTGGGGTTCCCGAGCAAGAATGCCCGCGTGCGCCTGGAGTCGATAAGGTGGCTCGCTCAAACCAATGCTCTCAATCAGGCTTTTTCGTTCAAGTCGTACACGCCACTCCTGATCGGCATGCTTGAGGATCCGAATGAGCCGGTCCGTGAGGCGGCTAAGAATATCGTGGTGGAATTGTTCGCGTATGTCACCCCCGACGTCCCACCCCCCGGTTGCTGACCAATGGTTTCTGACGGCGGGTTCGTGAAATAGTTCTGCGCCGGAACACGCCAAATCGGACGTTAAGAGAGAGCTGCAGAAACGGGGCGTGAGGAAGGGAATTGCAAACTACATCGTCTCGCAACTCGGCATTCCCGGCGGTGCGCCTGAGGTTCTTTTACAAGATGGCCAAGAGGAAGAGGCGGCTCCATCTAGTGCCGGCGGACGCGGCGCGGCGGCGAGCATCAGTGGTAGCATGGCATCCTCGACATACGTGATGAGCCTGCCTGGGGCTGAACTCGAGGAACTGCCACCCATGTACGTCAACACGAACCGGGAGTTGGAGGACATCTTTGATGGCATGATTCCACCGTTCGAAGGCAAGGAGTCCGAGCATAACTGGGTAGCGAGAGAGGGCAACGTCCTGCAGATGCGGAAGATGTTGAGAGGAAACGCATATCGGGACTTCCAGATCACGTTCCTGGCTCGAATCAAGTCGTTACTGGACGGAATCCTGAAAACGTTCAACTCGCTGCGAACTACGACCTCGACCATGGGAGGTCAGTTCATCAAGGATCTGGCCATCATCGCGGGTCCGGGCATCGATAACATGGTGGAGATTCTCTTGGTCAATGTCCTCAAGCAGTGTGCGAACACCAAGAAATTGACGTCGCAGCTCGCAAACCTGGTGGCGTCTACGCTCTTGGCCAACGTCTCGTACCATCCGAAACTGCTTCAGCATGTGTGGAATGCGTGCCAGGACAAGAATGTGCAGCCCAGATCCTATGCCCCAGGGTGGATCGCGGTTCTGCTCGAGACCCATATCGACCACAAGGCGCACATCGAACGTTCAGAGGGTGTTGAGACCTTGGTGAAGTGCGTCAAGCGAGGTCTGGCTGATGCCAATCCTGGTGTAAGAGAGAACATGAGGAAGACATACTGGAAGTTTGGTGCGATATGGCCCGATCACGCCCATGCGTAAGTATCCTCCGCTCTGGTTCTCGTACGGATAACGTGCTGACCTCCGTACAGTTTGATCGAAGGCCTCGATGGTGCCTCCAGAAAGCTGTTGGAGAAGACCAACCCTGATGCTGCTGCCCAACCTAAAGGCGGCGCCTCTACCCTTCGCCCACCTCCGGGCGGTCGGAGTGCCACTGCACCTGCCCGTCCTTCCATCAGAGACGCAATTCTTGCCCAGAAGAAGAGCAAAGGAAACCTCAAGTCCCAGATGACCTCTGCAGAGGTTGCCAGCCGAGCCATCTCGCCGCCACCTGCAGGACCTACCGGGTTGGCTTCCGCTCCTGTACGCAGGCCCCACATGAAAGCTAGACCAGCGACAGCGAATGACAATCAGGCGGCCCGTTCCGCGAGCCCAATTCCGGGTCGTGCGTCGCCGGCGCCGACGAGTGGTACGAGAATTAGATCAGGGACGTCACCCGCCCCGGGTTCTCCTCCTAGTGCGCGTGTCCGTGGAGCTACACCCGCCCGCGCTCAGAGTCCGCTCGTAACGGGTCCCCGGAAACTCACCGTCCTAGAACAGTTGAACAGCCCCGATTGGAAAGTTAGGGTTGAGGGAATCGTTGTGGTAGCCTGCATTCTCGCTAAGCGTTCACCGCCTGATTACGAAGGACAGAAGATGCCAACACTGCCTCCGAGTGATATCTTTGCGCCAACCCTGGCCAAGCTGTTTAACGATCCCCAGTCTGAGGTTGTCGAACATTTGGTTGCCCCTGAGGTCCTAGCGGAACTTGCGAAGGTAGTGCCAATGGAGCAGATTATCCCGAAGGTCCTTCTGCTCAGTGAAGGGGATGACGAACAGCATGCCCAGCCAATCAATGCCTCAACGATGCCCGCCTTGAAGCAGCTTATGACGGATGTAGAGGCTACAGACTTGCTCCTGAAAATAATCCAGGGAATGAACTCTTCAGGTGTGCTCACGAAGAAGCTGGTACCCGGATCATTCACGCCAACACAGAAGCGGAAGATCACTCATGGTAGTCTCATCTGGATGAACGAGCTTGCCGAAAGATGTGTCAGTGGAATACCAAATGTGTTTTTCACCGACAGAACCAGCTACAAGCAGATCCTCAACCGCTTCGTTCAGATGATGTCCACCATGAAGCCGCCGAATACCCAGATGCTGACCACCCTGTTGAAAAACCTGCAACGTCTGGACGAGGAGACGTTCAACAAGACGCTCGCCACGTACGAACCGGCGATTGCGAAGGAGCTCCGAAGGGCGTGGGGACTCAACGTCGAGGAGGATGAGTCGATCATCGTCGAGGAAAAGGTGGCCGATGTCGAGCAGGTGTTGGGATCTGTTCCTGAGGTTGGAGGAGCGGTGCCCAGGTCGCGTCCCGAAAGTGTTCATGTCCCACCTGCGCCACGACCTCTCACGCCGCCGCCGTTGTCTGCCGGTGCCGAGGAGGGCCTCAAGGATCTTCCCGCACTGCCGGCTTCTCCGGAAGCTTCAAATGACCGGAGAGGTCGCCAGGACGAAAACCCCGCCATCAAGGTCTACCAGGACCCAGTCATCGAGTCTAATGGTGCTGTCGCCACTACCGCCCCGCTCGAGCGTAGCACGCTGGCCACCAACAAGGAGTGGCAGAACTACGGAAAGCTGAATACGTCGGCCAACTCTCCGAAATCATCTGGAGATTCTGGAAGATTGCTGCAGTCTCTCATCGTGAAACTGCAGAATCGTGACATGGATACCCAAGCTTTCAGGAAACTTATTGGTGTTGCACGCGAGAACCCGGTCAGGGAACCGCTACAGGAAGCGAACCACGATGGTGCGCATGATATCTGGCAGGGAGGGTCGGTGTTTAGGGAGCTTCTTGTGACGCTGCTCGAGTACCTCATGGCCGAAGACATTGAGCCCTCGAGAGCGACCGATCTCAGGGTCCAAGGCCTGCTGGTTCTCAAGCAGCTGCTATCGAAGGCCGCGCCCTACTTTGACCGGCACGAGGCCGAGATCCTGACTACGCTCATTTCGCTGCGCGGTAAATACCCACAACACTCGCAGATCACCACGGCCATCGAAGAGATATCCGAGGAGTACTTAATGGTGGCCGACCCAAAGGTTGGAATCACGGCGATCTTGGACCTCAACCTGCCCGCCAGCAAGCCGACGTATAGACCGGCGACGCAGAGCTGGTGCATGAGCCTGCAATGCCTAGCTGCTCTCGTCGGTGCGTCGAAGTCGTCAGCACTCGAACCGCAGTACATGCGGCTAGGCCAGTTGGCTCTTAAGGTATTCCGTCCTGCTTTCCGTCGTATATTGGCAGTCTTACTGACAGATGTGATGTTAGTCGCTCAACGATGATGACTCGGAAATCCGCCGGTCGTGCGTGACGATGTGTATCGAGATGCATAGCAAGCTCAACGACGACGAGAGACTGTTCGACGAGATCCTCAAGGGGATGAAGTCGGGGCATCAGAACTTGCTCGCGTACTACTTTACGAGGAGAGAGACGGAGAGACAATAACAGCAACTGGTTTTCTCTTTTCTTCCACACTAACTTAGGCGCTTCTTTTCTTTTCTATTCTTTTTTCTTCTCTGTGCATTCTTTGTGGTTTTGTATTGCAAATCCCTGCTGTGGGGAGTTTTAGGTATACCTTTTTTTGTCTGGATTGTTTTTTTTTTTTTTTTTATGTTTTCTCGTCGTTTGCAGTTTGGCTTGTGATCAAAAGTGGGGATTACCTATTGGATTAGTATCGTTGTAATTGAATTTGAGAGGGTTTGTTTCTGTTTTGCGTGTTGCGCTTTGTGGTCTGCTTTGTTGTGTACTTAGGTTACCTATCGTAGGTAAGTTGGAAAGTGAAAGTTTTCATGCTCTGGTTGGTTCTGGATGTGTGAGGAATGACTGAATTCACCGTGAGATTCCAAGACTCGTCAATCGCGACAGAGGTGATACCCCATGAAGTTACCCTCCCCTCACGTTCCCGAAAACCCCACACAACAGGCCTAGTCCGGCCCGTCTACGTCCGTCCGTCTACGTCAACCACCGCACCACCGGAAACGCCCAACACCACACTCCCACCCCACAGCATACTCACACGCAACACACAATGGTACGCCCCCCTCCCCTTCCCCCTCCATCTACCTCGCTAACACCCCCAGGGCGGCGGCGGTAAAATTCCGTAGTTCACCCCCTCCTCCCCGTCCCCTCCCCCTCCCAGCTCCCCCGCCTATCGCTCACACACGGAACAGCTACCCACCCCACGTCTGGTCTCCATCAGGAGGCTGGTACGGCCAGCCCAAGAACTGGCGCGCCAACACGGCGGTCATGGCGCTCGTCATCGTCGGCTTCACGGCTATGGCCTGGAAGGCGTCTGCCAACCTCGAGGAGCGCTCAAGGATGCCGGATCCGGACAGGGTCTTTCCTAGTCGGAGTGAGTTCTCCTTCTCCAGTGGGGCGGGGGTGAAGGGGGGGTGGAGGGGGTGGGGGGGGATGGGGGAGACAAAGGGAGAGAGATGCGGGTGGACTGGGGCTAATGCGTGTGCGTGCCGACAGACTGGAGCAGGCAGATAATCGAGTTCGAGAAGGCGAAGCGCGAGGCTCAGGAATAGAGGGTAAGGGAGGGGGGAATGCTACGGGCTACAAGGATTGGGTAGACCGGTGAATACCGCATGCGGGGGATGGAATACTACACTGCGATGATTCATGGAATATGCGCTGCTACGATTGGAACTTGGTGACTGAGTGCTTGGACAAACTGGTAACGGGGTGTATGGAGGCTGGAGGTGAAATTACAATCGCGTGCTACTTCAAGATCCGGATATACCGAGTGATGTAGGGTGATAGAGAGTCACGCCGCCGCCGCAATTTCGATAATGCAGCGAGCGACCACGCTCTCGAGTTCTCCTTTCCTCTTATCACGCGTATGTACATGGCGGCGCCCTTGATTACTAGCCAGCAGCGTTGCCTGCCCTATCTCCATATCATCGGTGCCTCCCAGATATTCGGAGCCGGAGCGGGCAGGTGTGAGGATATTCCAGATCCCTGCCGCCTTCTCTATCGGGAAACATGTGGGATATCATGACGGAGTCCGCCGCTGCCCCACGGGCACAACAAATAAATGCATAAATATCATGACGTCCAACGCCCTTCCTCCAGCGTGTTCGCCCCAATTCATTTCCAGCCATGAAGCCCACCCTCCTCCTCCCGCTCCTCTTCACCGCCGTGCACGGCTGGGGAACACTGGGCCACCAAACAGTAGCGCTGCTGTCGCAGCAATACCTTCTCCCACGGACCATCTCGAGTGTGCAAAGCCTGCTGAACGACACTTCGTCTACGTACCTGGGCAACATCGCGCTGTGGGCGGACAGCTACCGCCGCGAAGTCGGCGGCGAGTTCTCGGCTGCGTTCCATTTCGTCAATGGAGATGATGCGCCGCCCCCAGAGAGCTGCGAGATCATCCTCCCGCAGGATTGTCCGGATGGGGGGTGTGTTGTCAGCGCTATTGCGAATTACGTGAGTGAAGAGGATGCTGTCTTTGCATTGGGGGGAGGGGAAGGCTGACGGGTAGTTATGTACGAATAGACGGAGCGACTCAAGGACCAGCACCTCACGACCACGGAGCGGCAGCAAGCGCTGAAGTTCGTCGTGCACGTAAGCCGCCCTCATGTCACCCATCCCACACCCCCTCGGAGCATACTGACCCCCACCAGTTCCTAGGCGACATAGCGCAGCCGTTGCACACCGAAGCTTTCGGCGCAGGAGCCAACAACATCAGCGTGACGTTCTGGGGGTACACGACGAACCTTCACGCGGCGTGGGACACGTCGATTCCGAACGCGATGTTAGGTCTCGCGCCGACCGCCGCCATCACCACGGGCGACAGTCTCGGCTGGGCGAACGGCCTGGCGGCCGCAATTAACGCCGGGAAGTATAGGCGCCTCGTGAAAGGGTGGCTTAAGTACCATGATGTGCAATCTCCGAAGGCGGAGGAGAAGGCCGCTGCCGCCTGGGCGAACGAGAGTAATGATCATGTCTGCGATTATGCCATAGTTAGGGGAGGAGATGCGTATAATGGCACTGAGATCGGGGGAGAGTATTATGATGGCGCCAGGGAGATCGTACAGGTCAGTGTGGCTAAGGCGGGGGTCAGGTTGGCGGCTTGGTTGAATCTGGTTTTTGCGGGCGAGACGGGGTTTGAAGGGTCTTGCAGGAGTTAGTTACTGCTAGATGTAATTGTACGGAGTACCTAATCGACTCGCTGTTATGTGTGTGTGTGTAATACCATCAGGTTGATTTGCGCTCGAGTTTACCCCCGCTACATGTCCACCGGCTGGTTGTGAATCTGTTGCGAATTTGACCCAATCCAAATCGGAGCAGACATGTTGGCAGCGAGTGATATCAAAGGCATCCGAGCGGACTCGAATGAAACACCCCCCAACACCGCCTGTATCGCTAGGTAAAGTCCCCCAACCTACGCTGTATCTCCGAGCATCAAATGCAAACCCCCATCGCTCGCAGGGCACACATGGGGGCACACGGGCGTACGCGGCTCTACGATCTCCACATCCGCATCCGCTACAGCACTGTTGCCCGCATCACCGAGGATTTGAAGTATGTACATACTGGGAGGACACAGCGATAGGGACAGTTCGAGCAACTAGACACCAGCGGCGGTGATGGATTTCCCCGCGCACACGCACTGGACCACTGGCACTCTCCAATCGGCGCTCTCCAATCGGCGCATTCCCCTGCTGATGCCCATGCCCATGCTCATGCACCACCAGCAACCGCAACAGATCTACCCACTAGTACAGCCCCTACAGCCGCTTCGGCCGTTGCAGCCTATAGCCTGTAGCCTGTAGGAGGGGGAGATAACCGCCAGGCGCCTACCAAGTATGTAGTTACGCGGCTGCGGCGCCGCGACCGCCATCTTCGCACCACCTGCACCACAATCCAAGTTCACTATTCTCACGGATGAAAGCTGAAACAGCGAGCAACAGCTCTTTACTGTTTACACAGGAAGTATGTACTTAAGTAGATACCTAGGTAGTGTCGATGGGCGGTGCGGAAGTATGATCGTACGGACGGAAGGTACTAGTGGAGAGGGAGAAGGAAACAAGAGGTTGAATTGACTGAGTACTTGGTTGAGAAACAAAAGAGCGGACAACATAGACGGTTTATATACGGCGAGAAAACAAGAAATGCAGTACTATACTGGACGACACCTGTCCTCCCAAATCCCTAGCTTTTCCCTTCCCTCATTGCAAATAACCGTTGCGCATACCATTGCGAATGTCCATTGCGTGTCCTACTTTTCCCACATTACATGCCCTAGCTTTTGAATTCGCCAGGCTGTGACGACGTAACTTTCTCCAGGTAGGACGCCACTGGACCACTGAGCCACTGGACCACTGGGTGTTTTCGAATTACTGTGCAATCGCCATCGTGTGATCGCCATTGTAGGAATGCCAGCCAGCAGTGAAGAAAGCGAGCGGAAAAGGAAGAAAAGAAAGAAAAAACAGAAGGAAAAGAACTTAGAAAAGAGCTGGATCCAAAACTGGGTTGGGTTTGGTTTGGTGGATGGGACGGCAACTATGTAAGTAGGAGGTAGGTACGTCAGCGATGATGCCGCACTACTCGTATACATAGGGAGCGAGAGTTCATACCCCCGCAGTGGAAAAGTGTGTTGTGCCGTATGTAGAATACGTGGCCTCGTCGACCAGCGAAGTTTCAACTTTCGAGAAGAAGTTTCCCCCCTCTGCAGTGGCTGGCACGCTACCATCCATAGAGAGGATGATTTCAGCGAAAATCGTGCAAGTACTTCACTACAGTGGTATGTAGATGTTCTAGGAAGAAGCCAATCAATTAAACTACCTAGCTACTTTTACTAACTACATAACAAAAGCAGTGCAGTTTTTTATCCAGAATTTTTCCCTTTTCCCCGCCGACAAGACCAAAACAAAACAAAACAAAACACAAAAACCAGCATAAAACAGCATTCAATCACACAACAATCTAATAAGTAGCAAGACACACTGGCGTTCCAAGCAGGGCATGGGCTAACAAAAGAATGTGATAACCCCGGACAATGATAAGAGGGGGTATAGGCTGAGCAGACTCCACAGGAGGATGAATCAAAAAAACAATAGTCTACTTGCGTGAGCCCTAACATGTAATCATAACGAAAGCAAAAAGAAAGCAAAAAGAAAGCAGCAACAAACTCGAAACCTTCCCAGAGCACTGGAACCATAGGCCGAGACTGCGACCCGAGCTATTTAGACCTGTGCATAGAGCATATCTTGACGGTGGGTTAGCATACGACCGAGGAGCAGATTGCCGGTCACTAGGGATCACTTACTTCCTATAACCGCCAGATACCAACTCAACGATGCACCGTTGTCCAAGTCAGGGGGACCGAAATAATGCGTAGTGAAGTAATCCCAGGCGGCCTGCGGGTCGACAATAGCGTAGTTGGCCATGAGAACGGCCTTCCATCCCCCATCCGCCTTAAGGTAACGGCCGTCGGAGAAGAACGAGTCCCACTCGAGCTTGACATATTCGGGTGACCGCATGTACGGCAGAACGGGGGTGAACGGAAGCATGTGGATTCTGGTGGAACGGTGTCAGCGGCGAGGCTCGGAGCAAAGCGGGGACGGTGGGCAGAAACTCACCCGTGGATGTACTCCGGGTTCATGCCGAAATAAGTTACGCAGTCAACCTTGTTCTCAAAGAGCTAGGACGGAGACACGTCATCAATACTGACCGGTTGAATAGCGACCGGTAGTGGTGGTGAACATGGGGGGTTACTTACAATTCCCGTGACCCTGTTCCCGATGAATGCTGCCGGGTGTGTGGTGTTGGATGGCATGATGTACATGTACTCGTTGATCGACCTGTGCATTACACCCAGCATCAATGTCCCTCGGGCTTCCATTGCGGCGTCGCCGCTAACCATTCCCCACATCTTCATGGCCCAGGCAAAGTTGTAGTCCTCAGACGAGGACTCCTCGTCTTTGCCATCACCGCTCGGAAACAGGCCCTTCGCCCACGAGTGCCCGTGATACCAATCAAAAGCTCGGGACACAGGAAAATAGGGGTCCAGAGCGCTAGGATTAGCGACGTCTCTGACAAGGCTGTTCACCCAGTCTCTGTTCTGCTCGAGGAACTGCGAGCGACCGTACATGATGTTTTCGGCTCTGACGATGCAAGCAGCGCCAAGGATGAAATATCCGTAATGGAATTGGTGATCGTTGTAGTGAGAGTTGCCAAAGTCCACGCCAGGATCGCCAGTCGCCCAAATCGACGACGAAATGAGACCCTTCCACTTGGTGTCGTAGACGAGCGGATGCTTCTGTTTGTTTTGAGTGAACCTAGAGACGGCCTCCTTGATGTCTCTGATTCCTTGGGCCGCGAGTTCGGGCATCGTCCCCACCATGGCCGCAAGCATAACGATCTGGTGAGCGGTTAGTGTCAGAAAAAAAGAAGAAAAAAACATCCAAGAACGCAAATGATTCACCTGTGAGAACTTTCCAATACTTTTACCAGCAAAGTACATCGAGTCAAGGTCGGTGGCGGCAGACATGTTCGCTTGCAGCTCCTTGGAAGCGGCTTGTGCGACTGCTTGACTCACAACGGGAGGCATGGTATCTCGATTGGGGAGCCATTTGAGGTCGACCGGAAGGTCTCTTTCTACAAGGTTCCAGGAGTTTCCAAAGATGCCAGTCATCATTCCCTTTGTCGGGGAGCGAATCTTCAATGCGGTTGCTCCAGCACGCGTGGCATTATCGAACGAATCCATATGATGCTTCAAGGCGAACATCAACAGCTTACCGGCTTTGTTGGTGCCTTGTTTGGCCCAGGTGAAGCCATAGGACCCGACGGTCCCATTGACCGAGCCGCTGAGCCTGGCGGCTACCGGGAAAGCACCAGCAGCAGAATCGATCAGATCCTCCTCGATCTTTGGGATGACCGAGAAAATGTCCTTCGAATCGGTCGGGACCTTGGCTACCTGCATGTAGCCGCTATACGGTCCCGGGGCGGTGAGGTATATACCTCCAGCGGACTTGGGAACTATGGTGAGCTTAGGAGAGCCCGGATCGGCCCATGCATAGAGGAACCACTCGGTGAAGCCTTCCATCGCGATCCTGAACTTTTGCATGCCAGGACGTGGGGTCTCGGCGTATTCGGTGACCTCCCTAAAGATAACTGCGGACCTGACGGTCGGCACCAAGTTGTCGTACCGAGCGGTGACGAGTCCCATTCCCTGGACCAGAGGGAAGGTGATCTTGTGGGATTCGTTGCCGTACTTGGCTCTGTCCTCGTGGATGTTGAGGTTGACACTTAGCTTTTCAGTCGAATCGGCAGTGATGGACGCGGTTCCGTTCTTGAACTCCTTGGCCCCGAAGACGAAGTACCGGTGGCTGGGCGAGTTGATGTAATACTGAACAGGGTCCGCATTGGGATTCGGGCCGAGGGTTACATGTTCAGCGGAGGGATGCGAAACTATCATTCCAAGCCAACCGTACTCATTCACGTAACGTAAAAAGTATGGGAGGGTCCACGTCGGCTCATGCTGCGTCGCGATCAACAGGTTGGTGTAGAAACTAGCCGATATCAGCAAGAAGAATTTCCGTTATCGGCTGTTGCACGTACAGATTTGTCCCGACCGGATGGCTCGGATCATCTAGGACGTTGTCTCGGGAAACCGGGTGGGTACCGTTTCTGGGGAACACGGCCAGTGGGGGCGCTCGGCTGATTGGCTGGCTAAAGATATCGGCCATTCCGTTGTGAGTTCCGTTGTTAGTTTCGTAGATGTACGTTCGGTTTCGAAATGAACCGGTAAAATTATAATACGGTCGGTACTCGCTAACGTTGTACGCCGCTGCGTACTCGCTAAGGTCGATTAACCTTGGATACTCGTTGACGATGGTTCCGTCCACAGGCGGTCCTAGTACAAGCAGGAGAGTTAGGAATCATTCCAGAGAGAGAAGCGAAGTTTGTCCGAGAACAGTCCCACGCGGTGAGGGTCAATAATGTGAATATGAAGAAGGGGGAGGATAGGGGAGTTTACTTGGGACTGCGAGGTAGGCAGAGTTAGCATGATATCAGGAGGAATAGGAGAAAAGGAAAGGGAAGATGACTTACCACCGAGGGCAAACTGTGCGTTGGTGACCAGTAGCGACAACATAAGACCGCTGATACTGGGATAATATTTCCCCATCATGGCGGATTGGGGGGGCAAAGGGGGGGGGGATGATCGGTATAGGCTTTAGGAATTGAATCGAGAGCGATGAGTTGGTGGGGCAAGACGAGGAAATCACAGTGATTCTTATACAATTCTAGTTCTGTGTGGAAACATAGAGAGAGTATATCGTCTCCCGTAGAATAGCTCTAATGCGAGCCAGCCCTGAGCTCGCTCACGGCAAGACATGAGGACTATACCTTCTTGCATGGCGCGGCCCGACACTTTGTCCCTCAAGACGTAATGGAAGGTTATGGGAAGGAGGCTTGAAGCAGCTGAAATAGAGATTTTACCTACCGAAGTGTTTTGAGTGACGGTGATTGTGGTTGTGGTGGTGATGACGATGATGACGATGATTACTGGAGGGGTGCGTGTAGGGAGAGTCGATAAGGTTGAATAGAGGCGGTCCAGAACGAGTCAATCGGGGCTTTATAAAGTAGGAGCTAGAGTACGTACCCCCAGCAAGGGACCGCGTGAGGGGGGGAGGGGGCGGTTGTGGATGGAGAGGATGACTTGTTGTTTAGATGTGCGGTACGACGTCGGATTAATGTTTGTTGACTGGGGATGGTTAGCAGCTGCCACTGGATCCCCAGATCGGCGTATTAGCGCGCATCATCTCAGGCCCTGCCAGGGCAGGCATGGGCGTCCACTCGGCCGTTGCTTGACCGGCGCGTGGTGCGGTCAGGGGACAGTCCAGCCCAATCGATGAATAAAAAAAAAGACGGCCCAGCCCCTCCCAACTGGCTGCTTCCGATTGATCTGGACGTAAGATAAGATAATACCTCTCGCGGCGTGCTGAACGAAAGCCGTCCATCAGAGGGAAACGCTCTACTGTAGAAACTCACATGGGAGACTTCCCTTTTAAGGCGGTACATCTTCCAGTCCGGTAATCTCCGCGCCTAATCGGGACTTTGGCAGATATTTACATTATGCTCATACATAGCAAACAGGTCGCACTCGTGGGAAAGCCTACTCCATTGCTGGACAGGAAACGCGTCACCGGGAGGGGGCTGAAGAGAGATACTGCGTGGTGTATGTTATTGTTATGGGGGATGGGTGACTGCCGTTATCGTCGTGAGGAGTTTTGCCCGAACAAGTACGCATGTACATACCGCAATCCACGTTTGGACCAAACGATGCAATTACAACGGACCTTAACTATCCTGCGAATGCGCATGCGCACCAAGTCACGAGTCATGACTGCAACGCCATTGCTGGCGCGGCGGCCCCGCACCAAATCGATTGATGGACGGCGTCGGTGCATTAGGTATGTGGGTAGCCCGTATCCGTGGCCAGGCAAACTCAATATACGAGCCTTGGGGCTGGCCGCATGTCAGTATGTAGAGTAAGTAGAGTATGCACCCAACTTCGGGTTTGATAGCGGCTGTCGAAGACGTCACAGGATGGTGCAATGTACTTACTTGAGACTTGAATTACTCGGAGTTTATGTCGAATACTTGGTTATGCATATTATTGGACCGTGGAGCCCAGAGTTCCATGTACTTATAGTTGGTCCTGCTGTCACCGGAGGGTGGTGCGTGCCTCTCCAGCACCGATGACCGTCCACCGCCGCGGCCGCGGCCGTACTTCTCCATTCGCTCCATCATGTGTGGGGTGAAACTCCGCCAACCACGCACTTGACGAGCGATGTGAAATGCACTCGAGCGATGCGGAAGATCCACTTAACGAGCGATTCCAAAAACGCACTTACATCGCCGTGGCGGCAGTGAAGAAACGCCGTCACTCCAGCCTCAACACGAGGCGAGAAAGTGAAGAAGCGAAATTTCCGCTGAGAGTCTGCTGACACCCGGTACCCAGACGAAAGTCCCCAAGCATCCGGATGACTGGATTTCTCCGTGTTGGTTACACCCGCACCGTTGCTTACAACCGCGGTTTCCCCGAGATGGTGGAGGAAACATCGCGCCTGGTGGCGAGTCTCCAGGTAGCTAAGTAAGTACCCGTACCTATCTGCCCCAACACTGTACGATGTTCTGATATGAAGGAAATACCGTAATGCAGGTATGGGAGTAGTGAATCATTCTACCGCCGCCGCCCCCTCTGATGTTGTCGTTCTCATATTCCGATTCCATCATTCGAAGTGGGGGCTAGGCTACCTACCTAATGTACCTAGGCAGCCACCGATAGCTATTCGTACAACATCTGTGCGTCATGTCCACCCTGCACCCCTCATCCCGGCGCAGCTTCCCCCGCATCCTCCAGATCCTCACTGTCTCCGAAAATACTTCAGACGAACAAGCCGAACCATGTCCGAAACCATCACACAGAAGCCCAACATCCCCTGGGAGGTGGGAGTCCATGATGCCCAGTACGTTACCAAAAAAATAAAAATCACCACTCTTCATGCCGGCCCCTTCGTTTTTTTTTAGAGACTGACAGCAACACACAGCTGTCATCCGACCGACACCATGGCCACCATCTCGACCATCCCCGAGATGAAGGCGGCGACGCTGGCAATCATGGGAACGCGCCTCGAAGACCAAGACCTCGTCGCGCAGGTTGCACGTTCCCACCCCTCGAAGGTTATCCCAAGCTTCGGGTATCACCCATGGTTCTCGCACTTCATCCAGGACGACCGCGACCTCGACCGCGACGGCCCCTCCGAAGAGAAGGAGAAGGAGGATGAGGAGGAGAAAGAGAAAACCCTGAAGCTACGGCATTATACGGCAGTCCTGACTCCACCCCCAGACGCCGACTTCATCCTGCAGCTCCCATGTCCTCGCCCGCTCTCAGCAGTGCTGCAAGAGCTGCGGCAGCACCTCGTGGAATTCCCGCACGCGCTGATCGGCGAGATCGGCCTGGATCGGGGCTTCCGTCTACCGCATCCCACGGTAACAGAGGGACCCGCCGGCTCGACGCCCGGCCACCGCGACGGCCGCGGACTGACACAGCACCGCGTGGCCATCTCGCACCAGAAAACTATCTTCCTGGCGCAGCTGGCACTCGCGGGGGAGCTCAAGCGGGCAGTCAGCGTGCACGGCGTGCAGTGCCACGGGATCCTCTTCGATTCCTTCCGCGAGGCGTGGGCGGGCCACGAGATCCCGCGCGAACGGCCCAAGGACCGGAAGCGGCGGAGACGCAAGACCGCCGCGGGCGATCACGAGTACCTTCCCGACTTGGCGGGGTCGGACGTAGAGTCGGATGAGGACGAGGGGGGAGAGGAGCGTGACGAAAAGCCAAAGCCGTTTCCGCCAAGGATATGTCTGCACTCGTTTTCGGCGCCGCTGGAAACACTGAAGCAGTACTTGGCGCCGCCGACGCCGACGAAATTATACCCTTCCCAGCTGTTCTTTTCGTTCTCGAGCACGATCAATGCCCGCCCCGAGAAGGGCCATCTGAGCAAAATCGAGGACACCATCAGGACTGTCCCGGACGAGAATGTGCTAATCGAGAGTGATTTGCATACGGCGGGTGGGGATATGGATGATGCGCTGGAAGGCGCTCTACGCTTAATCGTGCAGCAGAAGGGCTGGGATATGGAGCATGGGGTCAGACAGCTGGATAGAAATTGGCGCCAGTTTGTTTATGGAGATGCAGAGTGATGTACATTAGCAATTAATCACCCTCATACGGCCATTCTCATCGTATCATGCCCGTGAATTATGAATCGGAGTGGCGGTGTAGTCATATGTAGAGTCGAGCCACAGAGCCACAGAGCCACAGAGCCACAGAGCCAGAGCCACAGAGCCCGTGCACTTGCCACTCAACTACTTCCATAAGCCACGCATCTATGCCACAGTAGCACACGTATACACGATTCCACCTACAATATTAAACCTCCAATGCCCTACCACACACATCCAGTACTTGAAGTAGCTATACCTAGCAAACAACTGGCCCATCGATTTTCCCACCGAGTTCTTCGATTTTCCCATCTATTATATTATAGTAGACTACGTATTTCCAACATTGCATCACATACTTTTCTACAAAAAAAAACACCGCGCAATCGAATCCGTCTCCCAAGTCCCAACTTCCAACCCTAAATGCTATCCCATCCACCAAAGTATGTGGTGCCTAGTTCCGCCTGGATCCCAATCCCCTACGTAGCCCGGGAGACGCATCAGTATTGCGATAAACAATTGCGTCGGCCAGAGCTCCAAACCCTCACCCCTCGAGTCGAGAGTCAAGAGTGATGCATGCATCGAGTACGTGGATACTGGATACTGGACACTGGACGCGAGTACATCCAGACGGGCTACGCGGTTTATGCTTAATCGATTCCAACTTAATCTCTTGTGTCTTGATTGCGTCGCCGAGTCCACGACTCCTTGGATCGTCATACACAAGTTTAATCTTCTTCCTCGAGGCCACATTGCTTCCACCCTCTCTCTATATATACAGAGTCTGGAGTCTAGAAGTCAACCTTCACGCTGACCAGCTCCTCCGCCAGTGTCCAGAGCTTCGCCGCCGCATCTGTATCCGTAAGGTGTTCCTTCATGCTCTCCCTGGGGACCACAGTGGCATCCTTCATATACGCACCGGACTCGTCTGTTCATCACCACCACCATGCATGTCAGTCACCACCCATCACCTCCCGCAGCCCATATGATGCAGGTAAGTACACACCTTCCAAAGTCGGGTCCAAAGCCGCCCTCACAGACGTAGCTGATCCTGCCGCCAGCGATTTCACCACCTCGATTGGCGGGACACCTATTCGCACCGGATCAGATGAGCTCTATGTGAATGGGGGAGTGTGTATTAGGTATGTACCTCCGTTCCTCTCGGTCCCTAGCTTCCACGCCTCCGCGAACGACTCGGCACTAACGTCGTCTGCTAGGCCGGTGGTGTTTATGACTGTTGATGTGTCAGTTAACTAGGCAACCGCTACGTATGGCTGGGAACGTACGGCCAGGGTGGGCGGAGAAGGACAGCACTCCGCGGGCCTTCGCCTTCTCCGCGAGAGAACTGGTGAAGAGGATGTTTGCCGCCTTGGACTGGCAGTATGCGAGCCAGGGGTGGTAAGTTTCCCCGTCCTTTCACGGTCAGCGCATGCACCAGCAGATTAGAAGTCGTAGCTACGTACGGAAAAGTTCCAGTCGTCCTCCCGGAAGCCTTCCATATTCGCCGCGGCGGAGGTAACATTAACGACCCTGCTGCCCCTCTCCAGCTTCCCCTGCTGCAGCAGGAGATTCGCGAGCAAAAAATGCGCGAGGAAGTTCACGCCAAACTGCGCCTCGAAGCCATCAAAGGTCTTCGTGTACGTCTTCAGCGCCATCACTCCCGCGTTATTGACCAGGACATCGACGCCGGTCGGGATCTGCTCCGCGGCCGCGCGCACCGAGGCGAGGTCCGCCAGGTCGACCTGCACGAACTTCGTCTGCACGGACGGCGCCAGCGCAGCGATCGCGGCGAGAACCGGCGATACCTTGGATTCGCTGCGGCCAAGCAGGATGATCCGCGCGGGGTTGTGCGCGGCAAAGTCGAGCGCGGTTTGTGCGCCGATACTGCCGTTCGAGGGGCCGGTTATCACGACTGTGTGTCGGTAAGTGCATGAACTGAAAAGAGACGGAGGAGGAAGAAGGGACTGACAGGTCTTCCCCGTGATCTGCGAGGCGAAGAGATCGGCAATCTCGCTGCCGGTGGTGGTGTTGGTGTAAGACATGGCAGTGGTGGGATGGTTTGTGATTGAGGTAGCTACTATGGGAGTACTGGTGCTGATGTTTGCTGTGATGAATTCCGAATTTCTAATATTCGTCCTCAGGCCGCCGCGGAATATATAACGACAATCACGCCCCAAGACCGGGCCATTCTAGCCCGCCGTGGCGGCATCTTGCAAGTTCCCCGGCTAGAGCATCAGCCGAACCGCTTAAATCCGCAACCTCCGGGCCGTGCGTGCGTCTGACGGCAGATACATACTTACTCAGACGCAGTCAATCCCCGATGTCTTGTTTCCGGGCACTCGGTATTCCGATCCTTCGTTGGTGAGCCGGTACTCCGAAGCCCCGAACGTGTATCATGATTCATAAATGATTTTTCGGGATGAAATCACGCCGGCTGGTTACTCGCACACGATGTCACTCGCCTGCTGATTTATGCAGTGCAGGCTCACAGCCCGAAAAGCTCATGGGCTGGGCTCGGGATGATAGGCTAATGTGACAGGTAGCCCGGGCTGGAGTCGATGGGCCGGCAGCCTAGCCCGGGATATCAAACGGCGTTGGGCGGGCTGGATCCTATAGTTTTTAGGGCAACCCTGTGACAACAAAACGAAGGACAGAAGAAAGAGTAGAGAATGTAGATCGGAAACAGGCCCACGCCGGTAGCACCCTCAAGAAAGACAGAAGAAAACAGAAGAAAAAAAACAGTACATAAAAGGTAAAGCTACTAAGAAAACAGGCCCACAGTGACGGAAGCACGCCATGCCGCAAACATTCACAAGTCTCAACGATCTCCGGCTTCAATATTTGGTGCGAGATTGGCGCTCTCAGTTGTGTCTGATATCTCGTTGGGGGTGATGTGGGAGGTGATTCTGTTGCGGTTGTTGTTGGGACACAGGAGGTGGCCGTGCTGGATCACCCTCGAGGATACTGGCAGTGGAAAGAATCATTGGAACCCACTCGCTACGGCCCACCAGCCCGGGCTGGGCTACAATCGCCGGGCTGCTGGCTGTCTTTGATTGGGCTGGGCTATTGTCTGCACTGGCTGAGACTTCCGGTTGATTGCGCTCTACAGCGTCTGTGGCCTCTAGAGCAAGGAGCAGCCATGGAAAGCGCTCGTACCTTTCCCGAATCGCCAGCTGTCGCGCCGTCCTACCGTCTCGATCTTTGGCCGCGACGTCTGCACCGCGGTCGAGAAGTAGCTGCAGTGTAGCCGTGTGCCCATTCTCAGCCGCCAGGTGAAGCGGCGTCCAGCCGAAGTTATCCTTGGCCTCGATGTCTGCACCGCGGTCGAGAAGTAGCTGCAGTGTAGCCGTGTGCCCATTCTCAGCCGCCAGGTGAAGCAGCGTCCGGTCGGAGTTAACCTTGGCCTCGATGTCTGCACCGCGGTCGAGAAGTAGCTGCAGTGTAGCCGTGTGCCCATTCTCAGCCGCCAGGTGAAGCGGCGTCCAGCCGAAGTAATCCTTGGCCTCGATGTCTGCACCGCGGTCGAGAAGTAGCTGCAGTGTAGCCGTGTGCCCATTCTCAGCCGCCAGGTGAAGCGGCGTATGGCCGGAGTTAACCTTGGCCTCGATGTCTGCACCGCGGTCGAGCAGTAGCTGTAGTGTAGCCGTGTGCCCATTCTCAGCCGCCTTGTGAAGCGGCGTCCAGTCGGTGTTATCCTTGGCCTCGATGTCTGCACCGCGGTCGAGCAGTAGCTGCAGTGTAGCCGTGTGCCCATTCTCAGCCGCCTTGTGAAGCGGCGTCCAGCCGAAGCAATTCTTGGCGTCGATGTCTGCACCGCGGTCGAGCAGTAGCTGCAGTGTAGCCGTGTGCCCACACTCAGCCGCCTTGTGAAGCGGCGTCCAGCCGAAGCAATTCTTGGCCTCGATGTCTGCACCGCGGTCGAGAAGTAGCTGCAGGATATCCGTGTGCCCATTCTCAGCCGCCTTGTGAAGCGGCGTCCGGTCGGTGTTATCCTTGGCCTCGATGTCTGCACCGCGGTCGAGAAGTAGCTGCAGTGTAGCCGTGTGCCCATTCTCAGCCGCCTTGTGAAGCGGCGTCCGGTCGGTGTTATCCTTGGCCTCGATGTCTGCACCGCGGTCGAGCAGTAGCTGCAGTGTAGCCGTGTGCCCATTCTCAGCCGCCTTGTGAAGCGGCGTCCAGCCGAAGCAATTCTTGGCGTCGATGTCTGCACCGCGGTCGAGCAGTAGCTGCAGTGTAGCCGTGTGCCCACACTCAGCCGCCTTGTGAAGCGGCGTCCAGCCGAAGCAATTCTTGGCCTCGATGTCTGCACCGCGGTCGAGAAGTAGCTGCAGGATATCCGTGTGCCCATTCTCAGCCGCCTTGTGAAGCGGCGTCCGGTCGGTGTTATCCTTGGCCTCGATGTCTGCACCGCGGTCGAGAAGTAGCTGCAGTGTAGCCGTGTGCCCATTCTCAGCCGCCTTGTGAAGCGGCGTCCGGTCGGTGTTATCCTTGGCCTCGATGTCTGCACCGCGGTCGAGCAGTAGCTGCAGTGTAGCCGTGTGCCCATTCTCAGCCGCCTTGTGAAGCGGCGTCCAGCCGAAGCAATTCTTGGCGTCGATGTCTGCACCGCGGTCGAGAAGTAGCTGCAGGATATCCGTGTGCCCATTCTCAGCCGCCTTGTGAAGCGGCGTCCGGTCGGTGTTATCCTTGGCCTCGATGTCTGCACCGCGGTCGAGAAGTAGCTGCAGTGTAGCCGTGTGCCCATTCTCAGCCGCCTTGTGAAGCGGCGTCCAGTCGGTGTTATCCTTGGCCTCGATGTCTGCACCGCGGTCGAGAAGTAGCTGCAGTGTAGCCGTGTGCCCATTCTCAGCCGCCTTGTGAAGCGGCGTCCAGCCGAAGCAATTCTTGGCGTCGATGTCTGCACCGCGGTCGAGAAGTAGCTGCAGGATATCCGTGTGCCCATTCTCAGCCGCCTTGTGAAGCGGCGTCCGGTCGGTGTTATCCTTGGCCTCGATGTCTGCACCGCGGTCGAGAAGTAGCTGCAGTGTAGCCGTGTGCCCATTCTCAGCCGCCAGGTGAAGCGGCGTCCAGCCGAAGTAATTCTTGGCCTCGATGTCTGCACCGCGGTCGAGAAGTAGCTGCAGGATATCCGTGTGCCCATTCTCAGCCGCCTTGTGAAGCGGCGTCCGGTCGGTGTTATCCTTGGCCTCGATGTCTGCACCGCGGTCGAGCAGTAGCTGCAGTGTAGCCGTGTGCCCATTCTCAGCCGCCCAGTGAAGCGGCGTCCAGTCGGTGTTATCCTTGGCCTCGATGTCTGCACCGCGGTCGAGAAGTAGCTGCAGTGTAGCCGTGTGCCCATTCTCAGCCGCCCAGTGAAGCGGCGTCCAGTCGGTGTTATCCTTGGCCTCGATGTCTGCACCGCGGTCGAGAAGTAGCTGCAGTGTAGCCGTGTGCCTGTTCACGGTTGCCAGGTGAAGCGGCGTATGGCCGGAGTTATCCTTGGCCTCGATGTCTGCACTGAGGTCGAGCAGTAGCTGCACTGTATCTCTCTGGTCGGAGATAGCTGCGCAGTGCAACGCCGTATATCCTCTCTGGTTCCGGGACTCCTTATCGATTCCTAACTTTTCTACAAGCATTTTGACCGTGATGTTATCTCCCTTGCGAGCTGCGTTGTACAACATGGCGGCCCGCTTCATCTCAGGGGTCAGGCGATGCCGAACCGTGGTAGTCATCTTGCTGCTGCTCTGCTGTAACCGTTGGAGTCCTTCCCCGGTGATACTGAGCAGTTGCGCCAGGTTATCGCGGGATTTCCGCTGCTCGTACATATCGCCGTTATTCAGCTCGAGAGGGTAGATGGGCAGAAAGATGACGGATATATTCGATATCTGGTCTAGGCTCACACCGGTGAGCTGAGACCAGTTGGATTCCGCGGTGCCGATGGTCTTGAAGGAGTTCGATGAAGAGTTCCTGGCTGCGTTCCTGTACAGCCGAGTCTCTCCCAGAATCCTGCGAAAGGATCGGACAGATGCACTGGAGAAGACCGAAGCTCTGGAGCGGACTGAGGACGCGGCAACGACGCCCACAAAGGAAGTGGCTGCTGACATGCGCTCCGATAGGTCTGGATTCGTCTGCAGGACTGTCGCCATGAGCTGCTTCATTTCAGCCATGTCGTTTTGCAGTTGCTGCGTTGATGAGCTGAGCTTCGTCAGCAACTATCCGTACACACGCGGTGGTCGGGTGCGAAGGAGATCATCCATTCTTCGGGGGAGCTGGGTGGAGCCCTGGGAACCTATCGATACACATATATCGATCGAGAAGAACTCTGAACTAACCATGTATAAACCGACAGCAACAGACTCAGCGAAGTCTTATGCATCTGTAGGTTCCGTAGTATCTTAGCGATATCCTGGTCTTTGGCTGCCCACTTGACGCGGTCCCAGGCCCCCAACTGATGTTTGGTGCCGTAGGCGTAGTCCGTCTTGACGCCTTTGAGCTCCCCATCCAGCTCCGAGAAGGTACACACGCAGCCCGTCAGGATGACTACCAGGTCGTCGATTGCAATTCTGGATTTGCGAGTCATGCTCTGCTGGGCGAAATTGACGATGAAGTCGTCTAACTGGCGAAATATCCCGTGCAGCGCTTGGACTTCTGCGAGAACGTTGCGGACAGTGCTGGGGGCGTCGATGGCGGTGGAAAGAAAGCCGATGACCTTGGCTCCGGCTTGCAATAACCCTGCTACCGATGCGGCAACCGAAAGAGGGTCCATCGTGGAAGTGGTGGTTGTCGGTTGACGCTCGTGGTCCGGTAGGCAGAGAGTGTTCGTCTGGCGATCGCGGGGTCCGTGATGTGCGACTTGTAATGTGGAGTAAGCGCACATCATGCATGGTGTCGGCTGGCACCTATCAAATCTTGCACGTTCCACGGATTCCACCAGTAATGTAGAGAGGACGTAGCTACATAGCTACTATAATGAACTGCATATATAGAAGGGCACCGGCCCGGAGTAGAAGAAGTACGAAGTAACAAAAACAGCTATATGATTTATGGAGACCAATGATTAATCCGAGCGACAGTGGGGGCCGCCGTGGACGGCGCAGCCAGTGAAGAGTTGGAGTGGGAGTTGAGGGAGCGGGAAGAGAGACGGGCGGAGAGGAGGCGGGAGGGAGGACGGCCCTGAGGTTGAGGAACTGGTGTCACTGCCGCTGTTACTACGCACTCCCCACTCCCTTCTTCATAGCATCTTATCTTGAAGCGGCAGGGCGAGGCGGAGTGAGAAGCGGGCCTTCTTTAGTGCGCTCTGATGGTAGGAGTTCAAGCACGGCACCCGAGTGCTTCCTAGCTAGAGCTTGCGATTCCGGGCCGCCGTCCTTACTGGTTCGTAGGCGCTGCCACCCGAGCAGTTCCCGCTCTCATGATAGGGGGGTGGTTTGGTATTCCTCATGGATGACGGAGGGTCGGATTGTGGCCATAGGTATGGGTACATAACTCCTCATCATACGCAGTGTCTTGCGAGTCCTGGAGGTAGCGGGCAGCATTCTTCGTCCCCAAAGACTTCGGACGCAAACCCGAGCGCCTACCAGAGGAGCACCGGACTCGTCATCGCGGCGCCGCCGCGCTACGCTGCAAGGCCACGCCTCCATGTCTACTGCGAAAGGTTTTGGCACATCATCCATGGCTTGCGACAGTTTTCTGATGGAATGAGCTGCCACGGAAGTTGAACGTGGTTCCGTTGTCGCCCACGCAATGAGGCTTGCAAGAAAACGCTCTCTGGACTCACCTACCTACCGCGGCAAGCATTCCGAACACACGTATTCCTCCGCTTCCTACAGCAGAGACAGCAGAGACAGCAGTTATTCGAAACGCCATATGTGGGGCTGGGCACGACAATCGGAACTGCTGACGGAGAACCCGTGGAGCACATACGTAAAATGACTGTGATAGCCTAGTAGATGTCGCCAGGTGGTGTTGGGAAAGTAACGCGGGGAGTGCTGTTGTCGAGATCGAGGCTTCTCGGGGGCTGTTTGGTGAAAAGGCTTTATGTGCATGGATTGCGTGGTGCCTCGGCGAGACGAACGAGCGGTAGGCCCAGTGCGTGCCAATGTACAGCACATGCTCTCGCTCATATGTGCTCCCAATGCAAGCCTTGTGCGCGAGTTGTGACCTCTTTCGAACCACGAAGACGGATACGCATATGATGTCACTCGCTGCTTGGCCCGCGGACTCTGGTAGATACGTATTCCTCATGGAGGGTGCGAAATAAAACGGGAAGGTCTCTCTCTCTCCTCATGGAGGGTTGGATAATGGCTATGTATGGGTAAATATCTCCTCCTCACCATACGCAGTGTCTCCCGAGTCCTAGAGCCTGGAGGCAACGGACGCGGCAAGTATTCCGAAAACGCATATTCTTCCGCTTTCTACAACAGAGACAACAGAGACAACTGTTTTTTCGAAGTTGTCAAGATTGAGGCTGCTCGGGGGCTGCTCGGCGAAAAGGCTTTACATGAACAACATGGGTGTTTGAGTGATCGTAATCTACCTACAGGTTACCTTGGTATATCTAGATATACTGGAGGGGGCTTCGTCGGGGGGGAGGGACGGGCGGTAGGCCCAGTGTGTGTGTGTTGATGCGCAGCACAGACACTCACTCATATGTGCTCCCGATTCAAGCCTCGTGCGTGAGTCCTGACTGGGAGTCGAGTCCTCCCTTCCATGAAGACGGATATGCATGCTCTATCACTCGCTATTTAGCCGCAGACTCTGGTGGATGGAGACCCGTCCGCCTGTTTGCGTGGCTAGAATTTGGCCGCGCGCCGCGTTTGTGGTAGGTAGTTGCGTGAACGCAGTGTTCCGTCTTCACGTGGAGGGCGAGGAGTCGTAGATGTAGGTCGAAGCTCCCGATCAGTCGCACTGTACTAGGTATAGCTAGGTTGATGACGCTCGATAGATACACATCTCCAAGACCCTATTCATTCTTACTGAGGCCCCCGCGTCTACTACAGACTGCTCGCGTATGGACAACCGACGCGAACGAGGGAATCACAACTTCACAAGTGGTCTGTGGATGGCAGAGCCGACAGAGGACTGCATCGACAAGGTGACATACCTATGCAATCGGCTGTCTTCGGGTCTCGGTATGTAAGATGTATGTAACTCCTGCATTCTGGTGTGGATCAGCGAGAGGAGGAAGCGAGAGGAGGACCTGTCGGCGGGAGAAAACGAATGTGGTTAGTAGTGGGCATCAACGTTGGCGGCTATGGCGGGGTCTTCTTCTTCTCTTTCTTCTTTCTTGATCATCATCCACTGAATACCTGCACGATCAACCTCTATACCCTCTTTCTTCTGTGTGTGCTCCCCTCTCGACCCCTGGCCGGCCTGAAGGGGTGTTGGCCAAGGAGCCGTCAGCAAAACCGGCTTTCGAACTTTCGATCGGGAAGCTGGAGTGCTGCGGGCTGCGGGCTATGGGCTATGGGCGGTGGCATCGCATGTGTGGAATTCATACCCAACTGGTATGTAGGAGCACTCCGAATCAGGGCAGGACAGGGCAGGGCAAGGCACACCGCGGCGCCACGATCTCGAGGAGCTGCCTCACTCGATGTATGTACTCTACATACAAACGACCGCACGGGAAGTTCCATCTATTCCAGCCCGATGCCCGTATGCATTCTGGTCTCCTCGCTATACCCATACCTCCCGCGCGACAAAAAGAATCCTCCGGAGCTTGCCGCTGCATCCTGCAGCCAGCGGCGCCCGAGTGATCTACTGTGATTCACGTCAGAGACTTACGGCCGATACGGTACCGTAGTTACCCAATGTGCTGCCTGCTGCCTGCTGCCTAACATCAACGCACGTCAGGAGCGTAGACGGCCCGATGGGCGTTATGCAGTGCCGCAGTGCTTAAGGGTGGTAATATTCACAGCCAACCAACCACACTTTTTGGAAATTTGCCGGCCAAGGGAGAAGGAGGAACTTGGAAGGCGGAGTGGAATTTCGCTTCGTCCTGACCTGCCCGCCGCAGTGGACCGACCGACAGCAAATATACATGCTTTTGTGGATAGTTTCCTTCTCGTGCCGGTCCACGATACCCCTTCCGACAACCCACTCAGTCCCCCTGCTGCGATGCGATGCGACAGCGCATGCCGTTTCCCAGTCTTTAGAGGATGCGCACGCCTCGTCCGGTGCGACGAGGCAAAGCCTACACATCACTGGTGAAGGAGAAGTACGTACGTACGAGCATACGTACGGACATATTTGCCCCGCTCACGGGGGTTTTGGAGGGGGTTATAGCAGCGTCCGCTATTTGTTTGTTTGCTGACCTGCCTTCACGCATCTAGACACCTATATTACGATCGATGATGGCGGCATGGGTGTGTGTATTTATGCTGTTCCTGTCGAATCCTCCGTCTGGACGGTGCCAGCAGCCAACTTATAGGTGGGGGATCTCGAACAAAATGAGCGAATACCGTACCTACCGTACTCGATGGATGGGTGTCCCCGCTCAGATTCATCCGCAACTCCGCAACTGGTCCTCCGTGTGAAGGTGTATGTAGAGGACAACCCGAAAAGTGCTCTAGTTACTCTACTATAGAGTAGTCTCGACTCTCTCGCACTGTGCAGCTACATACCAGTGGAAGTTTGGATGGACGGACTAGTTACTATATCCAGTTGGCCACGGCGGTGGTGACGAGAATGATTCGGGATCGGAAGTACCGCCAATCTACCAGTACATAACTATCCTATATACAGAGATGGTTAGACGCGCTTGAGCGGAAACACCTGGCGCGAGATACTTGGTCGAGTATCTACCTACCTACTACATACTTGGTAGGTAGGTATCTGGGTAGCCATCGGTTCGGCACATACCTACGGTATCGATGGGACCTGGAGGTTGTTTTTATTCCCCTCGGCTTCGTACCGTACCGTATGTACTCCTCTACATACGATGGATAACCGTAGGCAGCAGAGCAGGTAGAAGAGAATGGAAAGGAATAATTCATTTATTGCCCGCAATAGCGAGCCACTCACGTCACCATCCGTTGATTTGAATTATTTTCTCTCTCGCAGAAACAGAAACAGAAACATCGCCAATCGAATCTGAACCCCCGTCCGTCTGCCTGTCTCTCCATCTCCGAACGTATACGCTATCCTATTGGCGGGGACCCCACCAAAGAGGGCACTTACATAGTCAACTAGCACCGGCGGAACTGTTGGTTGTTCCGGAGGCTTTCCGCATGCAGTTAACGCGGCCGGGCGGACGAGCGGCGAGCGACCAGCGACTTCCGCAAGGCCCTTTCGCTCGGAAAAACCTTAGATACAAATACGTGCGCAGCGGCCGCCCGTGCATGGAGGGGCTGAGAAAGAGAGACGGACGGGGTGGTTGATACGGGATGCGATACACGACTACGACGACCACGATGACGATTGACGGGCATGGAAACGGGCACGCGACCTACGGTACAGCTGCGACCGCCGACGGTTTTTCTACGACGCGCAGAACGGACTTGATACTCGTATTGGAGTGACGACTGCGACATGCGGGATGCGGGGGGTTTACTTTTTTTTGCCTGGTGAAGCCTGGGATGAGTGATGAATTGCGACTTGGGATTGGGATTGGGATGCGAGTGGGTGGCTGTTGGGTTGTGGTTATGGTGGAGGTGGAGGTGAGGGTGGTGAAGGTGAGGGTGGTGAAGGTGGTGGTGGTAGTGCTGGTGGTGGGCACGAGGTCCATTTCATCAACGAGGATCCGGATTTGACCGTCAAGAAATAACGTTGTTCGGAACCAAGCAGGCAGGAACCAGGGGCACGACGAGAATACATCAACTCCGGTGAAGGATTTGCTGGCGAGGTACCGAACCGGGAGGGTGGTTTATCCATAGCAGGCCGGTTTTTTTGGCCAGGGTTGTGGTCGAGTTGAGGTCGAGACTCGAAAGCGACGCGGATCCACCCCCTCCAACCTCATGCCTCGTTTCGCGCGGATCAACTCGAGAGTAACGCAACCGGCGCAACTACCCTATCGCCGTTGCTGCTGCTGCGCTGTGGCCGCCGCCGGATAAACGCACACGCGCCATGCGACGTCGACCTGCCTGAAGAGAAGGGAGCGATACTGGACGGGACGGGGAGTTACGCGTACGGCGCGCTGGCCACGGCGATTGATTGATTGCCGTCGCAGTGGAGCAGGTTCGGCTGGATATATACTTTCCAGCCAAGGAGGTGAGTAATTGCTGGATGTACTCTAGGTACTCTAATACCCAGTATACTCTATGTGCTTCGGATCCACTCAAGCTGGGAGATCTGGAAGAGATACCGCCCCCATCCACACACATCTTCATCCTCACTCAGATCCGCGACAGGCCAGCCACTGCATGAGACCCAATTTCATGTCCGGGCGAAATAGAGTGCTCACCTTCCTTCTTTTTTCTTATTCTTATTCTTGTTCTTCTTCTCGCCTGCCCGTGGGGGCCGCCGATTTGTCACCTACCTTCTCTCCTCCACAGTCTGTCACACGAAGAAAAAAAAGAATTGCCACGAGCACTGCACACTGCAAACTGCACAATGCACGTACTGCGAGTTCGGAGGTTTCAGCAGCTTGCGCGATCTGGGCATCGGATTCTTCCTGCCACGAGGGAATGATCTACATCCCTCATTGCACAGGTTTTTCCTTTTTTTGCCTCTCTGTGGGTGTCCGCCATTCCCATTGGACAACCGGCAGTAGAGTAAGCAGAGAGGAGAGAGGAGAGAGGAGGAGGTAATGTGCGCGTGCCTTAGGCCCCCTTTTTCACCGCCAATAGACGCAAGGCATCAAAGACAATTTACTCGCCATCCCGATTGTAACCACCGACTGCCGCTGCCACCTCCATCATCTCGCAACGGACAAACGCTGCATTCGATACCTGAGCGCCTATTCCCCTTCCGGTCGAGGAGGAGACGGCCCCGCCGACGAAGAGCCGATAACGAAACTTTCACGAGCGATATATTCCCGCAGCGGTCCGCGAGCAAATAGAATAGATACGGTAGATACGCATACGCACACGCCCTCATCTCATCTCATGCGGCATGTCCCATTCATCCGAATCCAACGGAGCACCGTGGGTCTACTATACCTACACCTACCTATCCGCCATGCCAACTGGTGTGCGGTCGGCGGGTCCGGTGGAACGGGTGTTGCCAGGCCAATAGTTGATGAATGCATACACGCCCCCACGGATGATGAGATCGAGTCTTGTCGTCTGCTGCACGTCCATGTCTCGGATCCGACCATGGACAAGCTGGAATGGGAAATATGCCAATCGCATGAGGCGTCGCTTCTGGCTGGCTCCCAAGCCATCGGGTGAGCGGTTCGGAGACGACGACGGCCGAGATTCCGGGGTAATAGCGGGCGTGAGGTGGTGCGATGGATAGTATTGGATCGTATTGGATTGGATTGGTTGGAGTGGACGGATTGGACTGGAGGTAACCATATAGGCGAACGAAAAGCCACCCGGACCGTCAGCAGCATCAGCAGCATCAGCAGCATCAGCAGCAGCAGGTGTGCAGCGAGTCTCCGCCGATCCGGCCCTTTCGTCCTCGGTAGGTACGGTCAAGTCTCGGATCTCGAAAGCTCGAATGTTCAAATGCTCGAAAGCCCGAACGCCCAAATTTCGGCCCCTCTCTCCATCCACGTGGCAGACTCGACCCGATGCTGCACCACGTTTCGGGAGCGCAGAGGACTCAGTCGCTCAGGAGGGCGCTCGAATAACCCCCCCTCCCCTAGCGAGAATTCCCATTACCCGCGCCGCAGTCGGCAGTTCGTTTGCTTCTCTCGCACATGGCATGGAAGATTTCTCTCGTCCCTCCCTCCCTTCCCATTCCCCGGGCTGCTGCTGTCTTGGATGCAGCTACTGTGCTCTGGGTAAGTAGGTAAGTATCTAATTACTGGCCGCATTTCCTTCTGAAACCGCAAGTCACCCAACTTCGGAGCTTCCACTTTTGCGTGGCTCCCGTTAATTGGGAAAAGCTTGTTTTTGTTTGCAGTTGCAGTTGCGCGCACTCCTTCCTTCATTCCTTCCTTCCTTCCTTCTCTGTGGATTCACGAGGACTGACGGTCGACCTTCGCCGCGCTATACGGTGCGGCAATTTCAATTTCATTTGGTATATACAAGTACAGTACCTACTTCAGTAACCACATAATGAACCCATATAGGTCGGATCCCATCGCTTCCGGGGGAGCCGCTCGTTCACTCGTCTTGTCGCGTCCGTCCGTCCGCGCTGTTTGTTGCACTCTGCGTTTCCAATCATTCGATGCAAGCATCGTGGCGAATCGGGGGGGGGGGGGGGGGGGTATCACAGTTCACTTGCCTTTGCCTCGGCGAGGGATGGCTATGTTACCATATCTGCTTATCGTGATTCATGGTCTCGCACGACGCAGACTCGCCACCACTTCCGAGTTTCGGGACTGGCTGGTGTGTGGAGTATACATAGCACTCTAGTTAGTTAGTCAGTCAGGGAGGGGAGGGACTCAGAGGAGGGGTTAACGTGTCTGGCATGTGTCTGGCAGGTGTCTGGCAGGTGTCTGGCAGGTGTCTGGCCGGTGTCTGGCAGGCAGGCAGCACCCGGGGTTTGCCTGCAAACCGCTCGCTCCCAGCTGGCCAGCTGGAAAATCGATCGATTACACACACATACACAATATACATGAGATAGGGATCCAGACTACCGAACCGTACCGTACCTAGACTCTAGACTTCAGAGTGACTGCCGTACCGTACCGCCTTCAAACGCAATATATGAAGCATGTATGTAGATGATACGGTAGCATGTAGATGATAGCTGAGACCTGCCAGTGCCGCTGCTGCTGCTGTCATCGCTACATACTCGGCAAAGCACGCAGAGGGACGCAGAGCACGCAGCCTTCCGTCTCCACTGTCCATATGTGCGTGGTTCCGACTGAATACGGGCTGTAGCCTGTAGGTGCTGTACTCTCGCCAATGTAGGCAGACCTAGAGGCTTGAAGCTCCCAGAAAGAGCAGCGTACTTCCACCTCCGTCCGCCGCGCCGCTTGTGTCCCCGCCCCCGCCCCCGCCTTCGCCAATCCATGCCAACCCCCGCAAACTTGCCAATCCGCGTAGTCGAGGCTTGGAGGCTGGAGGCTGGAGGCTGAAGGCTGGAGCGATTGAGCTGCGGATTGGATGGGTGGGCTGGGCTGGGCATGGCTGGATTGGATTGGATTGGATTGGACTGGGCATGTATGTGCCATGGACATCGAACATACCAAGAACATCCGGCACGCGGACGAGCCACAAGCACACACGGCTGCATCGCTGCACAGCCCCGTTCACGATCAGAATCCACGATCCGAATCGCTGTCGAGCACTTCTACTCGAGCACATACATACCTCATACCTCCTACATACAGGATACAGATACCCACAGCGCCAGGACGAAAGCACGTACATACGCACGACGTATTACGGTTTACCTGTAGGTACTACCTGTAGGCACATATACACACACATGTATGTAGTGTGGTATATCTAGCGTGCATACGTAGCCCCAACATCCCCACCATCCACGCCGTCGGAAGCTGGGCGTCCGCCGTCCACCGTCCGCCTTTCGCACTCCAATGTCCGTCCGGCCGTCCGGCCGTCCGGTCGTTGACTCTTGGAAGTTGGCGTTGGAGTTGGTACCTAGCGCTCGGAACGGCCGAGCACCAGCGACCGTAGCCATGGCCATGGCTGTGGCTATGTATGGCCAGACTGGAGTGTGGAGTGTGGGGACAAGCTTAGCTTACTAGCAGGCTACCTAGCAGGCTACCTAGCTGAAGCCTGGGCCTGGGGAATTGGACCTGGGGAATTGGGAATGTGGGGAAAGCAGACGGCGCGGCGGCGGCGGCGAACGGGGTCGGCGACGGCGTTGGTGTTGGCGTCAGCATCACATCGGCGGCGGGTGCGCCGTTCGGTGGTCACTGGGGTGGGGAAAAAGCGGGGAAATCTGGGGTTGCCGGGGTTGGAACTTGGTGGAGTTTCCTCTGGCGTGGTTTGGCGTGGTTTGGCGTGGTTTGTTTCGTTTGGTTTGGCCTGGCGCGGCGTGGTGTTTGTTTGGCGTGGCGCGGCGTGGCGCGGCGTGGTGTGGTGTGGTTCACTGGTTCTCTCCCACGAATTACAAGCCCCCGCGAATTACAAGCCCCCGCGTATGGATGTACAGATGTATGTACATGGGAGGCCTGGGCACCGTGGGATACGAAATGTGGGGCACGGGCACTTGGAAGTGGGAAGTGGGAAGTGTTAGATATGTGGGATCGAAATGTGGGATCGAAGTTGGAAGTCAGTTAGCCCCGGTGGAACGGATGCGCTTGGTGAGTTCCTACCCAACGTACGTATGGCACCTCCACATATCTATGATCGCGAACGTTGCCCAGGATCTGCACGGTGCAAGCCACACATCTGGGGGGATCTCTGTGTGGTTACTGGTATCATGGTGGTGGTATGGTGGTGGTCCTGGAGCACCGTTGTACAGTAGTTACATAGCGCGCCCCACAGCCGACCAGCGAGCCGTCCAACATCTAGCAGTCCAGCCCTCGTCCCAACCTCCTGTGCAGATACAAAGCCTGGTCTGCTCTGGCTTGGAGTCTGGTCTCCTCTGCTCTGGCCAGCTCTGGCGTTCCCCAGGTTATGTATGCCCCGCACACGGATCTTGCCAGTGGTATAAGTACTAGCGGTGCTAGTAGACTTGGTACATTCGCCTCCCATCTCCAAGCCCAGATAGACGCAGATACCTGTGCATACATACCTTGGTTGTATGTAAGTAGAGCACCCACCTGTGCGACTGGGCCAGCCGCTGACTCACGAGTGCCAAACATCCCGACTCGGATCATCCACCTATCCACCCATCCACGGACCACCCATCCACGGACCACCCACCCACGCATCCATCCATCATCGCGGCTGCAGCACGCCATGCTTCTGCCACATGGGGAATCTCAGAATCTCAGCTCACGTCGGATGGATGTGCGTTCGGGGTGGGATGTGCGTTTGGGGTGTGCGTTCGTGGTGTGGAGGGGAGAATCTACGGAACGTCGTTCGATGGGCCGATGCCCGACGCCGCTCACGCTCGCGCATCCATGGCCCATGGGACGTGCGAGTAAAGTACGAGTAGAGTATGTACGGTACGGTACCCACCCGTACCGCCGTACCGCGTTGTGGTAGTATATATGAGTGTGAGGTATGCATAAATGTATGTACGTAGGTTAGGCAACGGGGAGAGGGGGGATGGGAGGAGGGGGGGAGACACGGTACTGGTAATGCAGCGGTTTATTGCGAGCAGTTGGGGAAATAGAGCGACAGAGCGACAGAGCGACAGAGCCAGAGGCCCAAATAGAGGGGAGCCAGAGGGAGATCGATCTCCAGCGCACTGCAGAGTCCCCTCGTCGCTCTCGCGGCTCACGAGAGTGTGCGTGTGAGGGTGCGGGGTTTTCCCATCTACATACCTACTCTACTCTGCCTGTGTGTTGTGCCGATTTCGTCTCGATCTGTGTCTGGTAACGAACCATCACCTCTATGCGTGTGATAGGCAACGGGGACCCCGGCTACTCTGCTCCAGCTAGTCTCCATGTGGAACTCTACGTCAGATAGAGTGCGGAAACATGGAAGAAGGGGGAAAAGCAAATACGCAAAGCAAAAGCAAGCGAAGCGCCGCAAAAACCGTCCCGACGCGCGCTCGCATGCGCCGCGGCGGATGGTCTCGCCGTTTCAGGTACATTTTCCGAAGGCTGGGAAAAGAAAGGAAAAGAAAGAAAAGAAAGGAAGGGAAAGGGAGGGAAGGATGATGATGTCCCCCCACCGATGAACGCGCCTTTGTTTTTGTTTTTGTTTTTTACTTTTTATTTTGGCTGACGCCCGTGTCTCACTGGTTTGGAGCGACTTGACTTTGACTTGAGATCTGATCTGTCGCGAGAACAGACATGATCGCTGCTGAACGGGGACGGAGGGAGGGGGGAGATACGCTCTGTCCGCATCGATATCTACTATCTATACCATAGAGACTGGCAATGGCCATTGTCAGGTAGAGTGCTCTACCACACTCACCACCTACCACTATAGAGTCACTATAGAGAGCCTTGGTAAGATGCACCCACTCACTTAGCACGACCAACCAGCCAACCAAGTCCTAACGCTTGGGTGGATACTCTATATACTCTATCCATAGTGGAGCACTTGCGACGGGCGACAAGGTTTTTCAACCGCAAAAACTACTGCGTCTTTGTTTCCCCACATTTTTAACGGGGCAAGGCTCGCTCACTCTTAAGACTCTTAAGCTTACGACTCTAATACTCTAGCTAGGGTAACCATACCATGTGTGTAGATACTCGACAGTCTCGACTAGGTAGGAGGGTAGCAGACACTCTAAGTAGGTTGTCGACGGGGATTGTAAGCACCGGTGTAGCGCGACGACGCTTTTAACCTCAGCCAATCCTGCTCGTGTCAGCTCGAGACGAGTGCGAGTACTACTTTATAGAGTAGTAGCAATTGCATCCTGCGAAATCGGGGGGGGGGGGGGGGGGGGGGGGGGGTGGGGGGAGAGAAAACGGGCGGACCTTCTCCGAGCTGGACCTTCTCCGAGCTGGACTCTTCTCCCTCTCTTGGGTCGTCCCGAATGGAGCGGGCAGGCTGCAAGAAGGAGGAGAAGGAAGATGAAGAGGAGGAAGAGCATTCATCCGGAATGGCATTCATGTATCGTCTCTGGCTGGCTGGCGACGGTTACATAGGAGGTAGGTACTCGAGTGCTCACTAGAGTAGGTACGTTAGGTGGTTACTCTACACCTAGTGCACTGCCAAACCGACCGCCAGACCGACCTCCCCCCCACACCTACTCTGCTCTGAGCCTGTCCACAATCTGCAGAAACTAGTGGATGTTCTGCACCGCGCATTGGCAGACACACCCTAGAGTACAGGCATGTGTTTGTCGGCCTGCGCTCTTGAATATCTTGATATCTAATCATCATCATCGTCGTCGTCGCCGTTCAGCCAGACAAGCAGGTGGCGGCGAGAGGGGAGAGAGGATGACCATTGTACTCGCTCACGGGCAAAGGGGACAAGACAAGACAAGCCGTGGAAAGCGAAAAACGAGCATGGTAACGAGAGGCTGGACTCTGCGTGCAGTCTGCAGCCTACAGACAAAGGAGACGAGGGGCTGGATGTCTGCGGTGCGTCTAGCTCGCACATATCTCTTGGTGCGGTTGCAGTCTGCAGGCAAAGTCCCGAGGGTTCTCGCAGACCCCCCACCCCCGGGACTGGAGCGGAGCGGAGAATCCTCATGGAAATGTAACGCTGGGCTGAGCTGTGGGAAGCCGTCGCTGCCACCGCAGCAGTAACTCGCTCGCATTGCCACACGGTGCCTGCCCACTGCGGGCATATTCCATTCCCGCGGTTTCAGGGCAATCGTAGCGAAGCAAGTAGGTATCGTAAGTATCATACATTGTACATGCTATCGCTCGCATGCTACATAGAGTACCGATCCAACTCCTTTTTTTTTCTGCCACTTTCCCAGATATCGCCGCCGCCGCGAACCCGCAGCGGCAGAAACGGGATCCAGTTCCAGCTCCCGTGGCCTTGATGCCCTTCCTGCCTACCGTACTCACATACCCGCTCTCCTTCTCCTTCTCGTTGTGATGTAGCAGTGCTTGGTATCCCATGGGTTCGACGATTCAGTGCACACTGCACAATATAATCCTTCCTACCTATATTCAGAAACCCACAGCTGCCTGCGTATCTACTAACCAATGTAACCATTATACCCTGCGTCCCCCAATGGCGCTGCTTTTTTTGCTCTTTCTTTGCTTTTTGTGGCTTCGGAAGAATACTCGTCACACTTGCCCCCCCCACCCACCGTAGACCCAGCCTTATTCCCCCCCCCCCCCCCCCTCCTCCCCCCAATATAATCTTCAGCCAACCAATGAGACGACTGCCGTGCAGCTGCTACCGTACTCTACAGGGGAGCTGTGGAAGGTTATTGTTATTATTATTTATTTAATTTTTATTGTTACTGCTGCTGTGGTCGTTCACGGTTGAGTAGAGTAGAGTACTCTACAGTGGTTCAGGTTCCTCTGGACCGACGTCCTCCGCAATCAGGTATAGCAGTTCTCTCTCTGTGTCTCTCTGGTGGACAGTGTGTCTCAGACGAATGTAGGTACATACAATTGATCCAACTGGAGAAAGTACTTATACCCCCCGCCGTGCCCCGTCACATCCCGCCTTTCCTTTCCCCCCCTTCTATTCAGACATCCCCATCCATCCATCCACCTGGCACTCGAAACAACTTGGCCCAGGACCAAAGAAAGAAGCATCGACATCACAGCGAGACTCAGCGCAGTTTTCGCAGTCGTCCCCCGCCGACTCGGCTTCCTACATACATACACACACATTCATCGATCGATCGACGAGATACACAGAAATGGCGTCGACACCGAATTACAACTCCTCCTCGGGCGACCTGGGCGAGAAGGAGACCGTGGCCCACGTACAAGGGCCTGGCTCGCTGGAATCGGGCTCTATCGGATTCGATCCGGAGGCTACAAAGAAGCTGTTGAGACGGATGGACTGGCATCTGGTGCCTTTCCTGGCTCTGCTGTACCTGTACGTTCTCCCTTCCCGACACGAGTAGAGTGAAGAAGAAGAAAAGATCCCCGGACTGACGTCGCGCAGGCTCTCTTTCTTGGACCGCACAAATATCGGAAATGCCCGTCTGGCAGGTCTCGAGAAGGATCTCGGCATGACCGGCCTCGACTACAATGTTGCTCTCGCCGTCTTCTTCCCGTGGTACGTCGCGGCCGAGATTCCTAGCAACATGATGATGAAGAGGACCAGCCCTTCCATGTGGCTTTGCGTTATCATGGTTGCCTGGGGTGTTTGTAAGTTTTTCTTCTTTTTCTCCCCGGACAAATATATCAAAAGTGAGCGATAGGCGCTGACCAAAAAAAAAAGGCATGACTCTCATGGGTCTGGTTACCAACTTTGGCGGTCTTCTCGCTGCCCGTATGGCTCTCGGTATCGCTGAGGGAGGTCTCTTCCCCGGTGTCACTTTCTACATCACCCTCTGGTACCGGCGCCACGAGTGCGGTCTGCGAATGGCCATCTTCTTCTCCGCCGCCACCCTCGCCGGTGCTTTCGGTGGTCTGTTGGCTCGCGGTATCGCCGAGATGGACGGAATAGGAGGAAAGCCCGGTTGGGCCTGGATCTTCATCCTCGAGGGCATCCTGACTCTCGCCGTCGCTGTCGTCGCCTACTGGGCCATCAACGACTACCCCGCCACCGCAAAGTTCCTGAGCGCCGAGGAGAAGATCGAGGTTGAGCGCCGCCTGAAGGAGGACCGCACCCACTTGGCCGACGAGTACGACATGAAGTACTTCTGGGACGCCATGAAGGACTGGAAGATCTACGTCCACATGTTCATCACCATCGGAATCTACACCCCGCTGTACTCCATTTCGCTCTTCCTCCCCACCATCGTCAAGAACATGCACTACACCAACGAGAAGTCGCAGCTGATGACTGTGCCGCCCTACGTCGCCGCCTGTGTCATGACCATCGCCTGCGGCTACTTTGCCGACCGCCACCAGCAACGCGGCGTCTACATGCTCCTGTGCTGCGTGATCGCCATCATCGGCTTCACCCTGCTGATCGCCACCGACGACCCCCACATCCAGTACGCGGGTACCTTCTTCGCCGCCTGCGGTATCTACCCCGCCGTGCCCATGGGAGTCGCCTGGAACGGCAACAACATTGGCGGCTCGACGAAGCGCGCCGTCGGCATCGCCATGCACGTCGGCTTCGGCAACCTCGGAGGTGTGCTCTCGGCCTTCTCCTACCGCGCCACCGATGCGCCCCGCTACTTCTCGGGCCACGGACTGCTCATTGGAACCGTCACCATGAGTGCTTGCTTCACCATCTTCATGACGCTCTACCTCCGCCGCGAGAACAAGCGTCGCGACGAGCTCATGGCGAGCCAGGGCCTCACCCTCGCCACCTACACGGACGAGCAGAAGGATGCAGAGAGGGAGCGCGGCGACGATGCCACTGTAAGTTTTTTTCCACCCCACCCCACCTCATCCACCACGCTTTCGAGACCATCCCACTGACTTTGTTCTTTTTCTGCAGTTCTACCGCTACACCGTTTAGAATGACGCCGATCGCGCGATCGCCATCGCCATGGTCATCGCCGTCGACTACGTAACGCATCTCATTGTTCATTTCTTTGGATAGAAGTAGATGGATGGGGGCTAGATGGATCATGTCCGCAACCGTTTTTTTCTTATCTTCTTTTTATTTTAGCTTGACAGCTTAACTTACTATTCGTTATACATATTTTTTTCTTCATGACTCTGCTGGAGGGTATTTAGCTGCCGCATTTTTGTAGTTTTTTATTTATTTTATTTTACTGTTGGTGAGGGGAGATGGGAGAGGGGAGAGGGGGAGAGGGGAGGGGGGATGGAGATGGGGGGTGGATGGGAATCGATATCGATATGATTACTTCTACGTACAGGTGCTGAGCGAGTGAGATTGTGAGTGAGGAAGTGAGTGAGCGGGCGAGTGAAAGATTGAGTCAGTGACCGAGTAACTATTATGTAGCGAGCAACCCACGGCGCAGTGGAGGGAAGCGGAGGGAAGTGGGGGGGAATGGGCAGCAGACGAAGCGGGAAAGCCGCCGAGTACATACATCTTAAGTGCATAGACTCCCTTCCACAAGCGAGGAGCTACTTAGGTAGGTGGGTAGCTCTGGCTGGTACTTGGGGTGCTTGGAGTGTTTGGAGTGTTTGAAAGTTGGAGTACTTGGAATACGTGAGGTATATGGAGTACCTACCCGAAGTACTTGAAGTACTTGGAGTAATTGGAGTTCGTGGTGCTTGGAGTAGTTAGAGTGCTTAGAGTGCTTGGAGTGATAGCTCGTTCCCAGGATAAGATCTCGGGTCCGTAGCTTTATACCGTATTGTACACGCACCGGGCCTCCAGTAGGTACAGTACAGTATCCGGACCATGGCGCGGCGCGTGGGAAGGGGGACTACAGTGGGCACGGCGGGATGCTGTGGGGTACGGTGGGCACCTCGCAGGCAACATCGCCGTGGGAACTGGGTATTTGGAGCGAGTGATAACGAGTGCGTGCTACGTGATGTGCAAGCCGGTTCTTTTCCGCTTCCACCGCCGCAAGCGAGGAGCTAGCGACGGCTGTGACGGCTGCGAGTGACGCGGAGAGTGATAGGAGAGTGACGGAGAGAGGGTACTTGGAGTGCTTGGAGCACCGTGACACCGCTCAACACTCACCGCTCAATGCCAGCTTCCCCGCTCAGTCTCAAATAGCGGCTCAACCCCCCATTCAACCTTCACCACTCAACTCCCCATTGAACCCTCCTCATTGAACCCTCCCCGCTCAACGATAAGCACTGGAAGCAGCAGTATTCTCCATCGTCCGGTCCGGCCAGTCCGAGCCTGGGACAGACAGACGGTCGCAAAAAAATTCCGCCAGGTCCGAGCCTGGGCCCTGGGAGGGATGGGCCGGTCCCCGTCCGACGGTGGTGGACGACCGTCATACTATATAGCATGGTAGTCACGTGAACATGATTCGACTGCTTAATGATTTCCTCGCAGCGGTATCCTTCGCACCACCGCGTCAATCCATCCCTTACCTGCCTCGCCAAAAGCTGTAAAAACTGCAGTAGGTATTCCGACTCGGCCGCCTAATGTAATGTGCGGCGCCTGGCCCGTATCACAGCGCTCGTTAGCAGGCACCATGTCCCACTATATCTCACTCGGCCACCAAACCGAAGGTCCACGCCCGAAATCAGGTTTTCACTCTACCCAAGGCTTGGCCTACGGCCGTCCGTCTCGTCCGTCCGCTGAAAACGAAAAAAAAACCTGCGCCTGACGGTCACATCCTACATAGGCTCGGACGTCCTAGGCTCGGACCGGGGGGGGGAGGCCCGCCGTCCGTCCTCGTCCGTCCTCGTCCGTTCTCGTTCTCGTCCCGTCCTCGTCCCAGTATGGACAGACGGACCGGACATGGAGAACGTAGTCAGTGACTGGAAGAGGATGAAAGAACTGTTCACATGTTTTCCATGACCAGACTAGACCAGACCCTAGACCAGAGTACGCACGCAATAATGCTTCGACGCTCTTACCAACGATCTTACCACCTCTTGTCTCTTGTCTCGTCTCGCCGTTCAGACATGAGCTCTCATTCGACGTCCGAACAAAAAACTAACTTTGTCCTCGTCCGTTACTCACCATTTCCAGCTAGTATCACGCTCACAATCCATATGATGCACGTTAAAATCATCACGTCACATCACCATCACAATCAAGAACACACCCATTCTCCATGTTATCCTCTCAATTACTACACAGTCCACCGACCAACCACAGACAGTGAACTAAGCTTCAAGTAGGTAGGAAGAACAAGAGATGAAAGAAAAAAAAACGAACCACAAGAAAACATTCATTAGTCATCAACGCGCAGACAAAGACAAAGACCAAGACCAAGATTATCGTAAAAAAACAGAAAAGAAAAGACGAAAGAAAAGAAAAAGGTCGTAGCAATTTTACAATATCCCGAAAGAAACGGAAAAAGGAAGAAGAATAAAGCGCCCTTAACATCCACAATCATTCGGTCGACATAGGAAAAGGTGAACAAGACCAGTAGGTAGCAAACCCAGAAAGAAAAAGAGAAAAGAACCCCTCACCAAAGCGTATCCAACCATTAACTAACGCCTTGCATTCGTACAACCTCAGGTCCGCGCAAAATGAATCCGTTTACACAGGGTAAGGAGCAGGCTGGGTGTAGCGGTCGTAAGTCTCATTGACGCCCTTGCTCAAGTGAACGGGGTTGTTGAGCATAACCGGGGGGTTGCTTCCAATGCTGTAGGAACTGGCAGCAGCGTTGTGGTGGGTGTTTCCGAAAGCGCTGGACCCGTTGCCGGTAACACCATCGTAACCGCTGTCCCTAGAAGACGGTCCCTTGACGGCGCGGCGGTGCGCGTGTGGAGACTTGCGAGTGACCTGAGGAGCCTTGGGAATGCCAGTGGTCGGGCTGGCAGAGCCGATGCCGAAGATGTCGTTCTGCCATCTGTCACCACGGGCAGCCTGGTTCTTGTACTCAGTAGCCCGAGTAGAGATGCCGCCGGGGAGCTTGACGTCCTTGAACATCGAGTCGTCTGCGGTGATAGCCATCTTTGCGTGCTTGTCGGCAACCTTGGCCTCCGCCTTCTGCTTGCGTGCCAAAAGCTCCTTCTGGAAGGCCTGGTAGTAGCGGGCGTAGATGTTCTGCGCGTTCTCGGGGTCGGGATTTGCCCGAAGCTCGGACTCAACCTTCTGCTCCTCCTGGTAGATGCGGTAGCAGAAAGCATCGAGGTCGCTGAACGTCTGGCGGATCTGCTTCTCCAACAGCTTGACGATCACGGGCTTCAAGACCTTGAGGAGGAGGGGCTTGAAGATGCCGAACAAGGCCTTGTGCTTCGACTGCTTGAGCTTGATGTTCAAGTGCTTGATGTTGACCTTGACGTCTTCGACCTTGAAGAAGCGAGCGCGATCGTGCTTCTCGGCGGTAGAGAGCTGAAGCTTGAAGCCGAAGCCCTCGCCACCAAGGAAGACATCGCAGACACCAGTGTCAGTGATAGCCGGGAAGCCCTGCTTACGCTTGACATAGTAGCTGATATCTCTCAGATCGCACTGGATCTGTGAGGCGGATACCATCACCTTCTGCGAGCGCCTGCTGTGTTCAGTCTTGCGTCCGAAGCGGAAGTGAGAGTCGTTGCCGATCTCAAGGACGTTGGGCATTAGGTTATCGCTCTCAAGCACCAAGTTCTCGATGACAGCGTCAAATGCGGGATCCGAGTACTCGATACGAGGCACCGGGACGTAGCGAACGCTCTCGAAGATGTCGGGAAGCACAACCTGGGTGACGTCTTTGATGAGGTGCTTCTTGAAGGTGGGCTTGCCGTTCTCGTCGTTGCCAAGATCGTTGAACAACTTCTGAAGCGCCTGGGCAAATCGGTTGTTGTCGGCATCGGCAGCGAACTGATCACCCATGAACTTGAACTCGTCCACGATGCGGTCGGTATGATCGCGGTAGCGGTTGCGAAGCAAGTAGTTTCCTTGGTCATAGAGCTGGTTGTACTCGCGGGTGGAGTCAGGCTGCATGATGTAACCCTCTTCCTGGAGGCAGCGGCGGATGTAGCGGTTGACCGCACGGAACCAGTTCTTGAGCTCGGGATCATTGTCGGCATCACGGTAGATGTCGTTGATGGCATCCATCAGGTCGTCGGTACTTGTGTTGTTGGCGAAACGCTCAAGGAGAACCTTGAGGTGGTGCTCGGCCTTCTGCAGGTTGGTGTCCTGGCGGGCATCTTTGAGACCGCCGGCACCCTGGGAAGTGATGTTCTTGCCGTGGCCGGTGTAAGTCTCTGCGAGATTGAGAAGGGTGTTGATAGCTTCAGTGTAGTCCTGGTGGCTTTGAATCTCGACGACCATCTTCTTGAGACGCCAGATGGTCTGCTCTCGGCGATCCTTGGGCATCTTCTCGTGGAAGTAATTCTTGGTGCGATCGCGGTACTCACGGCCCCGCTGTTTCTGGTCCTCGGGAATGTTCTCTTCGGCACGCTGATGGAGATCGTTGATGCCCTGGCGGAGGCCGCCCGCGACGTCGACACCAGAGTTGGTTCCCTGGCGCTGGTCCTGAGCGGCACGCTGGGCAGTCTGCCGAGGATCCCGAGATCCGTTAGGATCGGCAGCCTGGGTCATGTTGCCAGCGACGTCTCTAAGGTCGTTGCGGTCGACGGGCTTGTTGCGGTCGACCTTATCGCGGAACTGTTGTTTCAGGTTGTCCCGCGAGAAGTTGGGGGCATCGTGCCACTCGTGATCGGCAGCGGGAGCATCGATGTTTTCGAGCTCCTCCTGGGAGGGGTTCACGCGGCCCGCAGCTTTGGTGGCGGCGTCGCCGGCGACACTTCGGAGGAGTACGACGCTGTCGTTGAGGAGTTTGCGGAATTGACCTGTGCACGACGGTTAGAAATGCTCCTCACCCGAAATCATCCAGGGCTCGTCTTCGCTTACCATTGGTGATGATCAATTGACCCAAAGTCTTCAGACCAGCAAGTCCCTGCTCCTTATCTCTGTTCGCGGTGTCCTTATCGACCGGTGCATTGGGGGTTCCCGCTGGCACACCCTGCTGTCCAAGTTGGGTAGCGTGCCAGATGAACTCTTGTAAAGCCTCGTCGTGGTTCTTCAGAAGCAACAGCCTCTTGGCCTCCTCGACAACGTTGCGGAAATCTTCCAAGATCACCCTTCCTTCGTCCGAGAGCTTGCCATTGGGGGTCTTTAGCTTCTTGTGGTTGACGAAAGACGAGAGCGCAACGTCGATCTGGCTGTTCGAAGGGAGTTTTCCATTTGAGAAGGCTACACAAAGAAACGGGTGAGGTCAGAATGTGTGTGCAACCATAAGTGATAGGAGCATCGAGAGCTAATCAACTTACCATTGAAGATCCCGTATAGCCGCAGCTTGTTATCGACATCGGCATCTCTCTGCTGAGGGTTTGTGGGAACGTTGACTGAGGTATTCATGATTGTGATCTACGAGCGATTCGTCTGTGTGGGGAGAGGGCTGGGAAGAGAAAAGTAGTATGAGTGGTTTTGAGGCAGTATTCGCTTGTGGACGATGGGATTAGGTGGTGTATGGATTAGATGGATGGTATCAAGGGCAGGTTTGTAGTTGTGGTTGAATTATGTGTGATGGAAGTGGTGATGGTGGTGTGGTGGTGGTTGTGGTGGTGGTTGTGGTTGGTGTTTGTAGCGGTGGTTGTGGTTGGTAGTGGGTATCGTGAGTGTTCGTGTGTTGTGCTGAGTGAGGGGGGAAGTCCAGATCAGGGGAGAAAAGAGGATTATAAAGGGTGCAGCGGACGAGAGTCGTTCGCAGCAAGATTTCTTTCAAAGCCCGGTTTTCCCGCACTCCTTCTTTTTTTTTCACTTGCTTGCTTGAAATTGCGTGTGGTTGACTGGTTCGAGATCTTGCTTTGCGGTGCATGGTTTCCTTGGGGAAAGGTAGATGGAAGCGTCATGACCGATAACTCGCAGTTCTAGTGATCGACGTCGTTGTACCATTATGTCACCGTGCGATGACGTCGCAGCTACGTCTACGCCAATTCCCCAGCGATGCACGCACCAACCAACCACGCTGCCATCGTCCCGTCAATCGCCAATCGCACCGCCCAGAGTGCAGTCTGGTCTCAGATACAGTACATCATCATCACATCCCTACCCTTATAGGAATGGATCGTACCTCAGCGCATTGCTGTCCAGGGAAGAACCATCGCCCGTGGGACACGCAGCACGTCCATTCCCACTCTCGCCTGCCCATGTGAAAGGAAAAAAGTGCAGCGTCCTGCAGATTGGTCCTCGTGCTCTGTCACTCTGCTTTCCTGCTCAGTCGAGGGTAGTGACGCAGGTGGCTGGGCAGGTTTCTCGATCTTGAGCTCCCACGGAGCTTCCCGGTGGCAGCCAAAACGGTGGGCGACCACGCTCGAACGTTCGCGCTGCTCGCCCCTTCCACCAATGCCCGCCGAGACCGTTCGCGTCGCTTGCTTGGCTGGTCGGAGGTCTCTGCCGCTTACACAACCCTACCAATCCCGCACACCTCCCTCTGCCTTTAGCCTGCAGTCCTAACTTCCACGCGTCTCCCTGATTCGCGTCGTCGCGAACCTCGCATATTCGCCTCCCCCACTTCACGTAATCACCTCCCCCCACTTCACGTACCTGTATCGAGTTTCAGAACAAGCCTCCCATCATGCCACCCAAGAAGAAGGACAAGAACCAGGTTAGCAAAGCATCTGCTAAGAAACGACAGACCACTCTGAAGTTTCCCAGCAGCAGCACCACCGGCGGCGGCGATGGCGGGAAAGCCTCATCTTCGGCCACGCGTGACTCGAAAGTCGCGGCGATAGCTAGCGGGAGCGCTGGCAAGACCACGAACCGCAACGTCGCTGGCAGCGCGAAGACTCCTTCTCACGTGCGTCATGCGAAAGACACGGCGAAGATTGACAGCAAGGAAGACGGCGGCCCTGCTTCCTTCAACGTCGACCGAGCGAAAACGTCCGCGGCGACCACCAAGACGGCTGGTGCAGGCGGGAAAACCGCTGCTCCGATCGCACGTACTCTTCCAAGCCCGGCGGCGGTGGTTGACGGCAACAAAAGGGTTCACGGCAAAACCGATCCAGAAAAAACCCCCAGCTTTGCTGTCGTTATCAACGTTTCCAAGAAGACGAAATCCGAATTGAATGAGTTCGCCGAAGTCGATGAAGGCGGCTACGGGGACAGCGAGGACAATACAGACGAAGACGGGGACAGGGACGAGGACGATGAGCCGGTTCGGAGATCGAGTAGGAAACGAGTTCGTCGAGAGGCACCGTCGGGTGGCAGTGGGAAGGGCGGGGCTGGTTCTCGGGTCAAGGATAATAAACAGAAACCTACTGTCGAAAGTCAAAATGGAGACGATGAGATGGTGGCTAGCTCTGACGACGAGAGCATAATCACGCCCGCAGCCAGGAAAAGGCAAAAGCCAACACCCACTCCCCCCTCGACCTTGAGGAAGGGTAAGAAGAAGGTTGTCGAGAGTGAAGACAGTGATCTCGAACTGCCTATTACGAAAAAGAAGAAGATATCGTTGGATGACGATGAGGAGAGTGAGCCTACGTTAAAAAAGAACGTCACTTCACTGGAAGACGACAAGAGTGACTTGCCTCCGAGGAAGAGGAAGAGCTTGGTGAGGGGTCTTTCGAAGAATGACGAGAGTGACCCGGAACTGCCCACTCCGAAGAAGATGGTTCTATTGGATGACGACGAGAGTGATTCGAAACTACCGCGTATTCCGGGAAAGAGCTCTTTATCGGAGGAGAGTAGCAGTGACCACGAACCTCCTACCCAAGATGAGGAGGATATAAAGGAGGACATGGAGTTGGCTGCGGAGAACGGTAGGCGTAGTATCATTCCACGAGGAACTATGGCTTACTAATAATAAGACTACAGCCATCTTGGATAGGAGGGAGCGCAAGGGTGGGTCTAGCAAGAAGATGTCTTTCAGACAGAGGATGGCACATTTACGGGCCAAGCGTGACCGGAAGGCTGGAATTACTAGCTCGCAAGCCGTACGGTCTTCCACACCTTCAGCTTCTGCTCCTTCCTCTGGCGGAGATGGAGATGGTTCCGACTCAACCTCAGGCGATGAGGACTTGGACAGCTTCGTTGTGGAAGACGACCCCGACGACCTGATTGGAGCTCCCGATGTCCAAATCCCTCTCGAATTCACTTCGGCTGCACACGAGTCCGACTCTGAGCAGTTCAGGCTCTATGTGGAGTTCCTGATACACGATGTTCTGTTTCCCAATACCGTCACCAAAGGCGAAGTGGAAACCAATGCCGTCAGACGTTTGGAGACAGCTGCTGCCTCTTTCGGAAACTCAGTGATCCAGAGCGGTGCCTGGACGGCTTCATTCGCCAGAGCACTGAAGGCCAGACCCAACTTGGTTACTGGTGAGTGTGAGAAAGCAGATCACTGTGATGCCTGTAACAGGAACAACCAGCATTGCACCCTCACAGTTCAATTCTTGGGCCACCGTTACAACAAGGACACTCTCTGTGATTTGTCGAGTGGTGAGGAAGAAGAATCAACGGATGAGCATGGAGAAGAACTGTTTCCCGAGGACAAAATCTTCCAGCTTGGAAAAATGTGTTATACCAGAGCACGCAGTGCGCATACTCTGTTCCATTGGAAGAAGGAGCTCAAGGGCTGGGTCGAGAAGCACCTCGAGTCCACCGGTTACATTGATGAGGATGGCGATCTCGTGGACCAGTCGATCGGTGACACGCCGATTGAGGGTAGGCTGCTTTCATCCACCAATGGAGACCGCTGGCTAACGTGGATTCTCCGCTGGCGACAGATCAGATGGAATATGTCAAGAAGGTCATTCACAAATGTCGCAAGGACATCAAGGATCTCTACGGCGACTTCAAGCGTACCGTGAAGCAGGCGCGCGAGAGCATGGTGCGCACACCTGTCCCCCTACTCACGAGGTTCTTTGCTGACATCGCCATAGGAAGCGAAGAAATGGAGAGGCGGTGATAAGGCTGGTACCTTCATCTAATGGCTGGCATCGGCACCTTCCCCTCAACTCGCCGATGCAGTACATACACCATGGACGTTCGTTGGGTTTGGATCTGTTTATGTCTTCGGGCCAGGCGCATCTCGGGAATTCACTTTTACCCCTTCCATTGTCGGGGCGTGTATTTTTACTTTCGTCTGGGTTTCTTTTTGTGTTTACGATTTCCTCGGCGTAGGAAGGATTATGTTGCTGGGTTGCTTATCTGTTTAAGATTTCCTCGGCGTAGGAAGGATGATGTTGATGTAGATGGGCTACTTAACTATTTTCTGGCGTAGACATGCATGAGTACGGGGCACGGGTGGAGTTGCATCGCAATTCATTTTATCCATCGGTTGGTAGCATAGCATGGTATCGAATACGATTGTTTGACTACCCCGAGTGCAGCATTGTAGTAGCAGATATTCGGTCGTGCTATCGTGTTGTCGCATAAAAACCCACAATTCGTCTCGTCCGCATATCCGCCGCTCATTTCTTCCCCTTCTTCTTCTTGCCCTTCCCCTTTGCCGCGCCACCATCTGCCGGTGTCGGTGCTGGTGCCGGTGTCGCAGGTGCCGGTGTCGCAGGCGCCGCAGCCGCAGCGGGCGTAGCAACCTCCTTTTCGTTCGCCTCAGCCATCACCACATCTGTTCATTCCCCATCAGCCCCCATCAGCCCCATCCCCTTCCCTATCCCCATCCCCTTCCCCTCCCTATATCCATTGCAAGTATAACTCACCCTCCCTCTCCTCCTCCAGCACACCAATCTGCTCCCTGGCGAGCCGTTGCAACCCAGCAACCAACCGGCCGACATCGGCAATCTTTGTGGTCGAGAACTTGATCACGACGCCGGACACAGGATCGTACGTCTTCAGAGTCAGCGCGCCCTTGCCCGTCGCCGACGAGTGGTACGTCGTGGTCACTTTCGTGCTCGACGGGTATGCGCGAAGTAGGCGTACCGAGTGCGTTTGGAACTCGGCGGGGGTGGCGGTGAGTTTCATTGCGGGTTCAGGTTGGGGGTGGTGGTGGTGGTGTGGTTGGTTGATTGGAGTAGTGGGGGGAGAGGTCGGGGGAGAGGTGTTATGGAGTAGAATGTATGTAGGGAAGCGAAGTGAAGCTACATACAACAGTGTGGGGTTCGCGCCAAGCAACGACGCGACTCCCAGTGCAGTCCCCCAGTCTCGCCCAGACCAGCAGGGTAGTTAGAGCACCTCGCGCTATCCACCCAGAGCTACCTCATGCTCTACAGAGCTCCATTCACACCGATGTAATGTCCGTCCCGACCCCCTCTCGCGACTCCCGCGCTTCCGCCGACACACCCGACGCGCGCGAATACCTCGCAACCCTCGTGCACACGCTGAGTGACATCGAGCTGGCGCTGCTGCTGTGTCTCGTTGCGGACCGGCACTGTATTCTGACCACGGAGGCGGGCTATGTCGCGACGCTGGAGGAGGCGGTTGAGATTGTGGGTTTGCTTTCCACATCGCATTATGGCCTGAATGGGGGGATGGGAAGGAGGGCTAATGCGAAGGGAGACGGCGGAGTAGACTGCGCAATCGAAGTTCGCCCTTGCGGTACGCAGCGTGCAATGTGTGCCCGAGATGACGCTCGAGGAGTTTGTGGCCGCCGTTACGGGCGGCGAGGAGAGGAGAGGGTCGTCGGAGGTATGTAGGGGTTTCCCGAAGGAAGGTGGGAGGGGGCGGTCGTGATAGATCATAGTTAGGGGCTCACGACGGATGGGGAGTCAGGATGTGGCCCGCCAGTCGACACTGGGAATTCCGAACGTGCTGGTCCTTTGCGATCTGGAGAGTGCGGGTCAACTGGTTCAGGCGCAGGTGCTCGAGGTGGGTTTTGGCTTTTTGGCTTTTAGTTTTTGGGGGGCGGGTGGTGTAGTGGACTGGCGGGATAGGAGTGAGCGCTGATGAAAGAATAGCTGATGCGGACAAGAAAAATCACTACTACCGCGGGCACCACGGTGGTTGTGCCTGAAAGGTTTTTGATCATTGCGCTTATGGCGAAGATGAGTGGAAGGCTGAGGTTGTTAAGTCACTTGGTATGTTCCACTATTGGGGGAGGGGGGGGAGAAGGGCGGGTGGGTGGGCTGACAACCGGTTCAGCAAGAGCAATTCTTCATCTCGCACCATCACTCGCCGCCGGACTCGGGCGACGGCGACGACGACGACGCATCCTACACGGAGACGGACACAGACTCGATTTCGTACAACCGGCAGCTACACACGCGCCCTCCCACAGCATCGGACACATCCTCGCTCGCCTCAGTAGTCATACGCAAATACCCATCGTTCCAACCGCCGCCACAGCCCGAGACTCCGCCAATCCCCGCCGAGATCATCACCGAAACCCGTGCCCTCGCCGCCGACGTGTGCGTCAGCACCGAGATTCGTCGGTACTTGCTCGACATAATCGTGTTCCTACGCATGCACCGAGCCGTTCGCGGCGGGGTGACGGCGCAGGCGACGGTGGATTTCGAACTGCTCGTTCGGTAAACACCCCTTCCCCTTCCCCTCGTCCCCTCGCCCCCGTCCCCCTCCATACTGAAAGTAGTAGATGCCTCGCGCCCCTCCATAATCTGGATTTTGCCACGCCAGCGCTGGTGAGTCTCGCGGCGTTTAAGGTGTACGCGCACCGCATCGCGCTAGCGACATCCGCCGACGACGAGAGGAGCACGCTCTGGGGAAGCTCTAAACAGGCTGCCGAGACGTATCTTGCGCGCATCGATGTGGAGGCAGTTATTGAGGATGTTTTGGCGGGGGTCAAGGCGCCCGTGTGAGCTATCGTGCTGCTTGTAATCAGGGTTGTTTTATCGAGATTTGCGTCGTATTTCTGTCGACTCCGTCATATGTATCTTGGATTCTTAGTGCACCCCGTATCATCCGAGTGAGGTAATCCTGAGATCGTGCCGGCCGACGTGGGCGTGGGCGTGGGGTGCGCATGTATGTAGCTCTTATCGCTGGACCCTGCCGACGGGCCCCGCCTAACCGCGGGCGGGAGCGGCAGCCCCCAGCAACCTAGATACCTAGGCGAAACTCTATCTCCCCCTCCATCAACCTTATCCATCGCCATACCTCATAGATAAATACATAAACCTCACCGTCCCTCCCCACACCACCACCCCCTCCCCCTCCACCACAATCACGCCCATTACCACAGTCAGAATGCTCCTCCCAACCCTCCTCCCCGACCCCCCGGTAGCAACCCCCGAAGTCCTCTCACTGCTCTTCGAGCCCTCACCAGCGCTGCACGCGCTCATCGCCTCCGCCATTTCCACTTCCACCCCATCCCTAGCACTAGCAGGACGAGCACACCCAGCCCTCCACGCGCTCATCAGCACTCCCACTTCCATATCACCATCACCAGCGGAATTCCTCACATACGCCGACCTGATCGAGTGGACCACGTCACAGATCCTCTCGCTGCGCCGCGACGATCCGCGCTTACTGGAGATCCTCGCGTCACATCCTAGGCTCGGCGAGAAGAAGGTCGATAGCGAGGTTTCGCGGAAGGAGCAGGCGTCGCTAAGTGGTGGGGATAAGGAGGACGAGGGGGTGCGCTTAAGCGCATTGAATAAGCGCTATGAGGAGACGTTTCCAGGTGCGTTATTGTGTTCTGTTCTGTGCTGGTGTGGCTGGGTGAAGGTGGGAGGGGGGCGGGGCGAGTGAGAGTGGGTGCGGGTGGGGCGGGGCGAGTGCGGGAGGGTGCTGACTGTGCGCTGACGAACTGTAGGATTGAGATTCGTGTACGTCGCCAGCCTTGCACCTACGGTGTAGCGATTGTGCCTCACATGCTGACGGATAGGTACTCTACTTACTGTACACAGCGTCTTTGTCAATTCCCGGTCCCGCGACGAGGTAATGGCAGACATGGTTGCCCGCATCGAGCGCGGCGACATCGAGTTGGAGAAAGTAGAGGCTATTACTGTTCGTCCCCTCCTCTCCCCTACCCTCCCCCTCCCCACCATTTCATCTCCTCCCCCTCGGCCCCCCTCCGCCCCCAAGGTTTTCGTTTGCATGTCTCGCTTACTACGGGGACAAACGAAAATATGTAGGCCATGCGCGATATCGCATTAGATCGTGCGGCGAAATTTACGGTTGCTTTATAAGGCAGGACAAGAAATGCAAGGTAAGAAAGGCAAGAAAGGAAGGAAGGAAACATGCAGCAGAAAATGAAATGACAAGACAAGAAATACCACCCCTCCCATGATGTACCGTGCCGAACCCCGTAGCAAATGCATATTTCCGCTCCCCACCCCCGATTGATTTCCCCGGAATAAAAGAAAATGACGAGAGAGAGGGACAAAGGAGAGGGACAAAGGAGAGGAAAAAGGAAGGAAAAGAGAAAGCGGGGTGGCAGTGGCAGTGGAAGTGGCCAGTTCAGTTCGTCATAGTTGGAGCTGAGAATTTAGCCCCCTCGACTCCTCCTTGCTTCTCCCGGTGTCGGTTGAAAATAACACAGAACACGGCAGATGCTTCCACCACTAATGCAGCAGCGACGACTCAGCAACAGCCAATATCCAACCCCAAGCCCAACCCCAAGCCCAACCCCAAGCCCATACCTACACGCTGCCTGTCCAATTCCGCCTCGCTAGGCGGCGACGGCGGGCGGTAGAAGCTGGGAATTTCCTCGTACGGGTTCACCGCATGCTTCTCGCGCCCGCGTTCGCTGCTGCCGTCGTCAAAGAACGTCGCGAACAGTGGCTGCGGGTACGCAGTGGTTATGCACGATGTCTCCTCGGTCGGCGGCGACGGCGATCTCGACGGTGTATGCGGTGCTGCCCGCACCCGCCGCCGATGGAACCGGACCACGCCGTTACGCTGGAAGCTGGAGTGTGCCGCTGCAGCGAGCCGTTCCCTATGCACGCAATCCCCGATCAGCCGCCATCCTCTTGTTCCAGTGGACCCGCAGTCCACTCCCATTTCCGTCCAGTTACTAACCTAAACTCCCTCCTCGCCGCCTCCACCCTCTTCTCGTGCTCCACCTTCTTCGCGGCTGCATCCCGCCTGATCTTGTTGAGTATCGCCGCCTTCCTCAACACGCTGCCACCGCGGCCCCTGCCGCCGCGGCCTGTACCCAGCCGTGGTATCCGCAAGCCCAGGTTCGCCGCCGGGCCTGCGAACGGCGACGAGAGGCGCGAGGTGACGAGGTTCAGCCACAGCCGCCGCTTCTTCGCTGCCGGGGGGTGGCCGTCTGTGTCTGCATCCGAGAGGTCGGCGGGTCGGGCGCGCTTGAGCGTGTACGTGGAGGTGTAAGTGTGCGTGTAGGTGTGCGTATGTGATGGTGCGAAGGTGAAAACTACCTCGACATCGGCGACGGCGGCCACGGCGGGTGGAGCAAAGCTAAAGGTGATGTGTCCACCGGGTGTCATGGCTGGATGGAAGACATGTTGCGCGGGATCCATCGGGTTGCGTGGGGCATGCAAGTGAGCTGCGCTGGGTTGTCCGTTAGGGATGGGTTGCCGTGGCGAGTGGTCGAGTGTTCAGTGTCGAGTGGACGAGCTGGCTGCTGGGACTGTGGCTGGGACTGCGACTGGGGACCGCGGGATTTGTTTATTTCGCCGTTCGGGAAAGCAAAGCTTTGGTTCTGGTTCTGGTTCTGGTTCTGGTTTTGGTTCTTGTTCAGGGTCGGCTTCAGGCTCGGTCGATGTATGTCCGTATGTCCGTATGTCCGTATGTCTGTATGTCTGTATGTCTGTATGTCTGTATGTCTGTATGTCTGTATGTCTGTATGTCTGTATGTCTGTATGTCTGTATGTCTGTATGTCTTGTCTGTATGTCTGTATGTCTGTATGTCTGTATGTCTGTATGTCTGTATGTCTGTCTGTCTATGTACGTTTGTATGATATGTACGTATGGTATGTAGTCCGGGCCGGGCGGGCGGGTGCTTCCTTTTCTTCTGCGCGTTGAAGATGGTGGTGTGGATGGCGGGGGGAGGGGGGGAGGGATGAATAGTCAACCTCTATATCTACCCCGAGCCCGTCCCAGAGCCCGTCCCAGTCCCCAGTCCCAGCCCATGTCCCCCAGACCATGCATCCACCCACCCATTCACCCACCCCTCCAACGATCTCTCCGCCAAAGGCCCCTGGGCACTATCCCGCTAGCCCCAAAGACCCACCCACCCACCCATGCACGCGAAAATCTGGGGATGGATGAAGCGAGCGAGCCCTTGGTCCTTGCCTCCCTGACTCCCTTGACTCCTTGCAGACATGTAGGCAGACAGACACACAGACCAGACAGACCAGACAGACAGGTCAGACCATATTCTGGTCCGGGCCGGGATTGGATCCATGCGGTGAGGTGAGCGAGGTGAGAAGAAAAAAAGGGGAGGGGAGGGGAGGCATGCATGCATGCAACCCATCACCATCACCATCACCCATCACCGCCGTCCACTGCCCATCATCATCATCGTCAGTTAAAAAAAAAAGAGGAAGAAAAAAAACTGTAGGGTATGTAGGGTATGTAGGGGATGGAGGGGGGAGGAGGGATGATCACGCCGCCTTGCAGCCCAACACGGCGGTACCGTACTCTACTCTGCCGTACTCTGCCGTGCTCTGGAGTACGGAGGGTGGGTGCAACTGTGCAACTGCAACTGCTGAATCGGTACTTGCTGGATCGATGTGTGAATTCGCAGCTGAGCGGCCGGGGGGAGGAAGCTCACGAGTCGTCGCTGGCTTCCGTGCGAGCCCGAGTCGACCCGTGGGCTCCAGCTCCAGCACAGTCGTATGTCTCGCAAGCGAGCGTGCGAGACATAGCGCTTGGAATCGACGACGACGACGCGGTGTCTGGACTCTGGAGACACATAGAGTGCTTTTGGGTAGGCAGGTAGGCGTCGAACGCACGCACACACACTCATGGAGAAACACGCATGGAGACGTGGAGAAACACGCATGGAGAAACATCCAGGTAAGCCACCGGGCTCGGGCTCGGGCTCCAGGCCCTGGGGAATGGGAAAAGGAAAAGGGGGAGGGCGTTCGTGATGACGGTTGCTGGCTCGTGGACGAGGTTCTCGTTAGATGGAATGGGCAGAATAGTAGGCAGAATATTGGGTACTTGGGTACTTGGGTGTAGGTACTACTGGTAGGCAGTGGAGGACACTCATAGAGTACCTGTGGTACACCATTCTCTCTCCTCCCCTCCTCATTGATGCCCGATCACACCCAGAGTCCCAGCGGCGAACGCGGCAGTCCTCCTTGTGTTCCTCCCCCTCCACCTCCCTTACTCTCCTCGCCTCGCTTCGCCTTTGAGCACGCGCACAAATACGAACTACGGTCTGCGGTCTGCGGCCGAACAAACGAATTGAAGCCCACCAAGCCCCCAAGTTACCATGGATTCAATTCGATTCGATTCAATGTTGGCGAGGCGACTGCGACTGCAACTGCAACTGCAACTGCAGATGCATGATACTCCCTCCGGTGTGTATGTAGAGTGTCAACCCAAGCCGGGGTAGTTTCTCTACTGTAGTTACAAGACCAGGATGGGAGATGCAGCAGAGCCAGATGCAGATGCACCGAGCTCGAAAAGGGCGTGCGAGCGGCCCTTAAACCTTGGCGCTGGCCACTGGCTGGTGGCGAGTGATGAAGATGGTTGGGCGGGTTGGAAAGGGTTGGGCAACGGGAAAGGTTGGGAAGGTTTGGCGTAGGCGGCGGGAAACGGTGGAAATGAGCGCCGTGGTAGCCGAGACGACGGCGGCGACTACCGTAGACGATGAACGAACGGCCGTGAGGACTCTGGAGAAAAAAATTGTGATATCTTTGCGGGCGACCCGTAGGCTGTGGACTGTGGGCACGCACCTAATTCGATAATTCGATAACCATCTTTCGGCCTCTCTGGTTCGAGGTTCGGGGTTGGGATAGTCAGTGGTCAGTGGCCAGTAGTCACGCCCAGAGTGGTTGGCCGTCTCGTCGAGTCGAGTCGAGTCGCGGGTAGATATCGTCAGTTTAGTGTAGGTAGTGCTGTTCCGAAGACGGTTAGATATGGAATGCGCGAGACATTGGCCAATGGTCTAGTTATGGCCAGGCCGGCTGCAGTTGGTTCCTACTTGGTACACCTAGTAGGTACAAAGCTTGTAACTGCGATTCAACGTTCTCCTCGGGACCCTCCTCCACGCTTTTTCTCCTCGTGGACGGTGGCCCTCCCCTCCGAAAAGTCCGAAAAGCCCGAGCCATACGTTGCTTTTCCCGAAGGGCCAACACCCTGCCTGTCAGGCTGCTCTTCGATTTTGTTCTTTGATTTTGCCCTCCAGAGTGGAGAGTGCAGAGTCCACTTTGCCCTCCAACCTGGCCCTTTAACCTGGCCCTTTAAGCTCTAACTTTCGGTTCCTGCATTGCTACATACACCGCTGCATCACTGCACTCCATCGCCGCCACCGCCACCGTCGCCATCGCCGCCAGCAGTGAGCACAAAGGCAAGCGCGCCGCTGTAACCTTTTGTTGTCCTCCTCCTGCGCCTCTTTTCCCGTCGAGACGGCGCTCGCAGATCTCCGGGGTATTGACCGGGATGGAGAGGAGAGACTGGGACTCTGGGAGAGGTTGGGTGTGAAAAAAGGAATATGTTGGAACTTGGAGGTAAGTAGAGTACATATATGGGAATAGAGTTTGAGGGATGCGGATTCGGATTGGGAATTGGAAGTTGGGGTTAGTGCTGGTACTCTGCTGTAGGCGGGGGAAGGCTGAGAGCAGTGCTCTCGTGTCGTGTCGTGGAGTCGGGGTTGGATCGGAGGGCGTGACACGCCCATAACCAGCAGCTGTCATGGCTATCTCTTGCGAATCCTAATTCCGATCCTGATCCCAACAGATAGCAAGCGCTTCAAAGTTCAAAGTTCAATCCCTTCCCTTCCCTTCCCTTCCCTTCTCGAGCTCGCTGAGTCCGTATCCCGTACGTGGCCAGTTGGAACGGGGGGAAGCGTAACCATGTTCCGCAGCAGCTCAAGACGAAACAAACAAACAAAACCCATCCAGACCGTATGCAAATGTCTTGCAGGTTGGACCGTTGGAGTGATGTTCTGCATACATATGATAGTACTCTATGTATTGTACTTTACTTGTTACCATCCGTGCCATGACCGGGTATGTATCATAGAGTAGAGTATCTCTTCGTGGTGGAACTTGGAAGCTGTTAGTATACGGCCGGTAGGAGTGATGAGTGCACAATACACTCGCAAGAATCGCCTCGTCACTAGGTATCGGTACTAAGAGTTGTTGATTCGACACAACAGGCTCGTTTGGCTTTGCTCCCATCACTCGCAGTCAACACATAACCACCGTCTGTCGGAGTTTCTGTCGTCCGGGCTTCCGGGCTTCCGCAACCTTTGTATATCTCTGTAACTCTGTTGGTATTGTGAAACTTGTTCTTGTCGATTGCAGAGTAGGTATTCATGACAGAGCTCCAACCCTGTAGATACACAGGTAGAGTACATCGCTACATAGACGGTTGGATGTTTCTCACGACAGAGCTTCAACCCTGTATTCTACACAAATAGTTAGATAGATGGTTGGATGTTTCTCAGCAACAACCCAGTCCGGCGTACGCCCACCTTCATACATACTCTTCATACCTGCCTGCCCGCGAGTCAGTGGCTGAGACTGGAACTCAAACTCGAACATGAGTTATTTTTCTGCCGTGTTTCTTCAGCTTCCGTCTCCAGAATCCAGATTCCGTCTCCTCTCGGGTTCACGCACAGGGACGGACGTCCGTCGAGGCTGTTGACGAGGATGATTCCGGACGGAGATGAGATGGAATCCCCAGCCCAGTTCAGTCCAAAACAAACGGGGACGGAGACGGCAGCGGGAATGGAAGTGGATGGTGATTGGTGATTGGTGATTGGTGAATGGCGAACCCGGTTGGCTGGCGTCCCGTTGCGTTGCATGTCGACTCTCGAGACTCGAGACTCGATGCGTCGCCCGTGTACATACGAGTACGAGTACGTAATAGCAGCGGCAGCAGGAGCAGGAGTAGCAGCAGGAGCAGCGTCTCTTTGAGTCCTCTCATTTCACCGCCGCTGTGGTGCACCGCACCGCCAGCTCGCACAGCCAGCTGTGGAGCCCATCATACCGGTATCTACTGCCTATACCGTAGAGTACTGCGTCGTGAAAGCGATTCCCCCGAATGGCGGCACATGTGTAGGGTACCTATGTTAGGGTTAGTTGGGCTAGGCGAAGATCAGCACGCTACTGGATACTGCTAGCATGGCAACTGTCGAACGCTCGTGCCGTCGCACCATCACCGTCCAGGCCAGCTAGAGAAATCCGCCTGTTTTTCTTTCTGCCTTTGAAAACACACCGTGCCCAGAGCAAAACTTGACGATGCTCGTGTGCTACCTACACGAGTAGAGTGAGTATCCACTTCCTTCCTCTACCACATACCGGTATGTAGTAGCTATTGCAGGTCGACGTTACTCTACGCTCTCTCCGGCAGCGATCCATACCCCGCCCCGTTGAACTTCTTGGCTGGCAGCTGGCTGGCTCCGTTGTTTCTTTTTCGTCTGGCAGGCCGGCCGGCCAACCACGAATCGTCGATCGTGTCGATTCGCGATCACCGATTCCCCACAGTAGCAGTGCCGTGTGGTTCTCCGCACTCTGTTTCGCTGCTGCGGCAACGCGAAGGGGGGAGGGAGAGGGGGGAGGGGGAAAACAAATGTGATGTCCGAACAGCGGTAGGTACCGTAGCCAAGTTTGCGTGCGTGCGTGCGTACGTGCGTATTGTCGTGTCTGTCCGTCGGCTGGAGGCCGGTTGGCTGGCTGGCTGGCTGATGGCGAAAGTTGACGATGCTGCCGGTGATGGCGAGAAAAAAAACAGGTTGTGACGATAGTTACTCTACCTACGGCTTCATTCGTTCCTCCGTGTTCCGCGTTTGTTGCTGCCGTGATGCTCCTGCTGCTGCTCCTGCTGCAACGTCCACAGAAGCCAATCTTGTTACATAAAACGAACGCAAAAATCTGCTGTCGCGCTTCGAGCGAACGAGCGAGTGAGTGAGCACCCCTCGTCGAACTTTCCGGAGATCTGCGACGGCCTGCGTCTGGGTTAGCTGCAGTCTGCCGGTCTGCGGTCTGCAGGATGCACTGCAGCATGGCTCTGTCCGTCCGCTGTCCTCGTGGCACAGCTCGCGGCTGGTGGTTGTGGAGAGTAGAGATGTAGAGTAGGGGATCGAAAGGCTAAGGCCGTTGGTCACTGGTGATCCTGCTGCCTATGGAAGAGGTATGTAGAGTACCAACCCCGTAGGAAAGAGGGAAGGAGGGGAGGAGGGAAGGGAAGGAGTCTGGCCTGTGGGAAGGGGGAGGGAGAGGTTCTAGTGCACTGTAACGTAACCGCTGACCGCGAAGGCGGAAACGGCCACGGCGGCAGTGGCGATAGAGTGTACTCTCAGATCTCAGCTCACAGATTCAGCTCTCAGCTCTCTCTCCCTCTCCCGCCCATCGCCGAGGCGTTCGTTCGTTCGGATTGGATTAGAATGCGGGCTGCAAGCACTAAAAACCGGCAATCCCTTCCCCCTTCTCCCTCCTCCCTCCTCCCTCCTCCCTCCTCCCGCCTCCGTTCTCGTCACTTCCCTCGCCTCCCTCCCCCGAGCTGCATAAGGCTGCTTGCAGCACTCGCGCTGCTGTCCACGAAGCGCCTCCCACCCCCCTCCCCGATTGCAGTCAAGAACCCAGATCTCCATCGCTAACTAGAGTACTCTAGTTAACGTTTCTAGTTCAGACGCTGCACAGGTGGGACATCCATCCATCCATCCACCCATCCATCCACTTCGCACCACCGATGGCTCGCAGCTAGTTCCTCTAGAGTAGAGTGGAGTGCGGAGGCGGCGGCGGCCACACACACCCCAAATCTGGAGGTGTTTCGGCATTGCAGCGGAGGCTACGGTATCCATTGGTGCTGGGCGCTGACTATCGTCGTAACTATCGTCGTATCGTTGGTGTTGTGGTTTTTTTTTGGGTGTTTACTTTTTGGCTGAGATGTTCCTACGGACCTACGGTCGAACCCAGGGGCCAGGTGGTGCGTGTGGAGAAGACGGTAAGCCACCGGGTTTCCCCATACGTTCTTTTCCCCCCCGCTCGGTCTGATCCGAAGTACGGATTTGGTTTGAACTCTCTTGGGCTCGATCATGCCTTCGCTGGAGAAACTCTCCTCCGCATGGAGTTGTATCCCGTGCAGAGTAGGTACAATCCACACCTTCCCAGTCCACGTCGGTCAGTGGTTATACTCTACCTATGTGAATAGCCGTTGCAAGCGCCATGTCCGTCCGGTGTCCGTCCGGCGTCCGTCCAGTGCCCACGGAAGAACAGAAACTTCCTCAAACTTTGAAGCATGCATTTGCATGTTGCATTCCCAGTCTCCGTCGTGACTGGCAGTGCAGTGCAGTGCACTGCAGTTTCCATGGGGCACTGCGGGGCGGACAGAGAGAAAGAAAAGAAAGAGCAACTTGAAAGAAAGAAAGAAGCAAAGAGCACTCCAGGTCAGGCCGACAATGTTCACAGTTCGAACGTGGATTGGCCAGCGTGGTCTCCCCGGAACTTGAAAGAAGAAAAAACGGATGTGGATGGTGAGCCGTTGTTGCACGAGGCTGCATATAGCTGAAGAATTTGCTTCGCTCTGCTTTGCGCGACGAGACGAGACGTCGTACAGCATGACGAGGATGGGAGGGAGGGCTCAGGAGGCTGTCAAATGATGAGATGAAACACGAGGGCGGGCGGCGGAAGAAGAAAATATACGGTAGGTACTCCATGGACTTTGAAGTTTAAAGGGTATGGAGATACTATTTAGGTAGTTGAACGCCTGCGATGATGTCTCATGTCTCACTGCCCTGTGGAAAAGGTAGGTACCGTAGGTACTGATGTCTGCGGATACACCCTGTGGGTATATGTAGTACCTATACTCGACCGGCGGTATCCTATTGTATGTACAAAGGCAGGTAGTACATACTGCCTAGCAAGCACATACAGCATCATAGATTAAGCCGGGCGATTGAAGGAGCGTTTAGGTTTTTCTTCCGCCGGCTTACATTTGACGTATACCGTAGATATGCCAGGAACCCAGGTCCCATGGCCCCATATGCGTTAACAAGAACCATGGATAGAAATGCTCAATCCACCTACCTACTCTACCTGTTGGTAGGCATTGAACGGTCTGTCTGTCGTGTCGGAAGGCGGGGGGACGTGACGGCAGTGAGGAAGTATGTAGAGTACGAACCATGGATCATGACCGACCATTCTCGCAGGCCGAACCCCCCAGGGCCCATCATCAGTGTCACCCAAACCAACCCCTCTTTCCTTTCTTTCCTCTCTTTCCTTCCTTCTTTACACCTTCGCTGCATCCAGATTCCATACATCCATACATCCATACCGTAGCCCATAGCGAACCCCGTGGCCAGTAGCCACCAGCCATGCCGGAAATCCCGACAAAACAAAACAAAGCAAAGAAAGAAAGAAAAGTCGCCCCGCCCCACCCCTCCCCGCCCAAAACGAAAAGGAAAAGGGAAAAAAAAAGGAAAAGGGAAAAAAAAAGGAAAAGGAAAAAAAAAAGAAGAAAGAAAAAAAGGAAATATTTTTCGTTCGGCCTGGGCCGTTCCAATTTCGCACTAGGTGGGGCCCGGTGATGCCGTGACGGTGACGGTGATGGTGACGGTTCCGTCACTGTTCAGTGTTCAGTGTGCAGTGTGCAGTGTTCAGTGTTCACGGCTGTTTCTGTTTCTGTTTGTTCCCGTTAGAAGGATTCTAGAACGATAGGTGCTGAGAGACGAGAGATGAGACGAGAACATGCCCCTCTTTGGAAATTACCCAGGTCTCGTCGTATGCAATAGCTAGAGCCGGGATATATAGTGGGTGCTTCTAGAATTTCCACCGCGTCATGCATCACGGCCCACGGCTCGCCTCAGGCCTGGGCTTGAATATTTGCCGGATGTATCTTGACGAGAGCGTCGAAGATGTAGGTAGAGTATGAAGTTGTAACGGACCACCAACGGTCACCGGTCGATCACTTCGAGGAGTTGCTTCCGGAAGGAATTCTCTCGAAAGCCGTGGAGTATTCTGGTCATTGTAGAGTAGGGAGTACTCTACAGGGCGGCTGGCTGCAGTTTGACATGTCATGTCCCGCGCAGTACGCACGGAGACACGATCGGCTTGAGGTAGGTACTCGCATAATGTACGTACATATCCGTCCCGGTCGCCCGTCGCCCGCCATAAGGCCCGGCGTCGGGATGGTCGCGTTGCTCGCACGAATCCAATGGTTACTAATGATCGCGTCGGTATATTCGGTACACACCTAGGTATTAGGTTCGGTCACCCTCAACAGGAAATCCTAACCTTGGGCTGGATTGACAGATATTAAAGTTTTTGGAAAGCATTTGACATGTATAACCGATCACTCAGTTACCAGCAGATATCTCTCCCTATCTTGACTCGCGAGCTTTCGGTTACGTGGAGTGACAGTTCATGTGTGGAATAGACAGGTGATGGTGGCGGACCTCTGGTGATATGCTATGAGTGAGACGAGGTGCCTCGCGCTAGTAACCGTGGCGACGGCTCGGCTTGGCTTGGGTTTTGGCGTTTCCCCAATGACGTGCATCGCCTCTGATGACAATAATGTCACTGCACCTCGTCCAGCGACTTCCAAGGTACACGTTGAAAACAAGAAGCTGTCAGTCTACTTTATTCGCCTGCTGCGATACTTGCTCAGCTGCTCCAGAGTACTTTGCCCCCCTCGCCCCCATATTCAAGCATTGCGTGAATGGGAGCTCTCGCATGAACACGTCTCTTTCGCTCTCGTGCCTCTTCTTCTAGTTGTAACTTCCCAGTGATTTACACCAGGGAGTTCTTTGATCAGCACTCGGCCACCCACCAGCCCGCACCCTGCACTGACTACCACCACCGCGCGGCGTCGATCTGGCATCTGGCATATCGCCCCCGATTCTTATCTTATCCGGACCTCACGTCTTCCCCTGGTCCGCCGACGACGCCGCCGCCGACATCTCTGTCCAGAAAACCTACCTATCGCTTCACGACACCACCACCCCCGTGCGTAGGAGTAATCTCGGACCTCCTCGTATACAGTGCTAGCTACCTGTAGCACCCCGCCGTCAGTCAACGCCAACATGTCGACGTCGATGAGCTTACCTTCGATCAAGATATCCAAGAACGTGTTGGGCGGAGCTGGCAGGAAGAGCGTCGAGGTGCCCACGCCAATCAGCGAGATCGAGACTCCAACCTCTCCCGTAACAGAGAGCGATCGGCCAGATACAGGCGGGAGGGTAGACAGTTAGTTCCACTCCCCACTCCCCACTCCCCACTCCCCACTCCCAACTCCCCACTCCCCCGCAGATCCGCGCTCGGTGTGGGCGCCGGTTTCAGTGGTAGACCGGAGAACATGCATGGCTAAACAAAGGTGCGCGAACTTTCCAGGTCCAAAAGCTTCGACGCACGCGTCGGCGCTCATCAAGGCCGATATCGAGAAACCATCGACGCCCCCACGAACAGCTACCGCTCGAAGGGGAACTCTGCCGCGGGAGTCCACCGCCGACCCCGTAACTCTATCGATCCTGCGTCGTACCGGCACCGAAAACGCCTCGTCGAAAATCCTCCGGAACGACGGCAGCGATGATTTCGATAAGGGTGGTGGTGGTGGCGGCGGTGGAGGTGGTGGTGGGAGTGGGGGCGGTAATGCGCAGGGCGGAATGAGTGCCAGTGGACGGGTGGATAGTACAAAGTCGGGACTGCGCACGCAGACCGGAGGGAAAAAGTGCCGATCACCAACCGGGCTTCCCGTTCAATGGGCGCCTCGTCTCGTAATAATTATGCATGGATGCTGACAAGGTTGCAGGAAAGGCGTATCGTTTCTCAGCCGCATCATGGGAAACAAGAAAAAGGCGGCCGACGAACTGGAAGACACCGACTCGTTTGATGGCGATCGGAGGACCGAGGGCATGGATGCTGCTGTGTTCTCCCAACCGATTGGATTCACTCCTACTTTCCCGGCGCCGCCAAAATATATCCGGGTTGGCTACCCGAGATCCAACTTCGAATCAACGTTTTGTCTAACGGTGATCTGATAGGTTCATGCGCACCAAAAGCCTCAGCGCGACTTCAACCAGATATTCCTGGCCCAAGAGCTTACCACAGACGCCCCACCCGCGGAAAACGGCCATGCGAAGGACGAAAACGCGGAAGACTTCGATCCCAACGCAGCAAAGTCCGGTGCCATTTGGGCCATGAAATTCAGCAAGGACGGAAAATATCTTGCTGCAGCTGGAAAGGACAAAGTCGTGAGGGTATGGCAGGTATTGGGCTCCAACGACGATCGTACCACGCATGAGCAGGGGGAGGATGCGGCAGGAACCATGGATGGAGAAGGCGAGGACCCGTATGCGGATGGCCATGGTGTGCGGCTTAATGCGCCCGTCTTCATGACTGAACCAATACAACAATATCACGGTCACACCGGGGATGTGCTGGACTTGAGCTGGAGCAAGGTAGGTACCGGACATGCATCCGGGAAAATAAGGGAGGCTGCTGACGAGTGATCAGAATAACTTCCTCCTATCGTCATCCATGGATAAAACTGTGAGGCTGTGGCACGTCACTCGGAAAGAGTGCCTGTGCTGCTTCCAACACAGTGATTTCGTCACTTCGATCGCGTTTCACCCGCGAGACGACAGGTTCTTCCTGGCTGGTTCTCTCGACTCGAAGCTGCGCTTGTGGAGTATTCCGGATAAGAGTGTTGCGTTCTGGAACGAGTTGCCGGATCTGATAACGGCCGTTGCATTCACACCGGACGGGCGGATGGCTATCGCAGGCTGCTTGAACGGTCTCTGCTTGTTCTACGAAACAGAGGGACTCCGCTACCATACTCAGCTGCACGTCCGATCATCGCACGGGCGGAACGCTAAGGGCAGCAAGATTACCGGCATCGAGACGGTGACATTCCCACCCAACGACCCTAACGGTGATGTCAAGATTTTGGTCACCAGTAATGACTCGAGGGTTCGGATGTACAACGCTCGTGACAAGAGCCTCGAAACGAAGTTCAAGGGCTACGAGAACACATGCAGTCAGATACACGCGAGCTTCAGTGATGACAACAAATACATTATTAGTGGAAGTGAGGATCGAAAGGTTTACATCTGGAACGTTGGTTCCGGTGACGCCGACAAGAAGGACAAGAGGCCGGTGGAGTTCTTTGAGGCGCATTCGGCCATCGTCACGGTTGCCATCATGGCCCCAATCAAGACCAAGCAACTACTGAGCCAATCCGGTGACCCCATCTTCGATCTCTGCAACCCGCCTCCGGTCACGCTGGTCAGCCGCACGGAATCCGTCACGTCCTCCAAGAAGACGCTCACGGCCCCTCCATCCACTGTCGGCGGAGACGACCACGTCTCAGCCGCGGGAGACGCCATAAAGCCGAGTGCATCCTGGAATGCGCGGTCTGCACATTCCGCAGGCAACATCATCGTGACCGCGGACTATTCCGGCCACATCAAGATCTTCCGCCAGGACTGCGCCGCAACCAAGCGCAGGAACGAGTCATGGGAGACGGCCTCACTGTCGAAGAGGATCGGAACCGGAATCCTTAGAAAGGGCTCGCTCAGCCATGCCTCGCCCGACAGGATAATGTCTTGGCGCCAGAGCATCGCGTCGACCCATAGTTTGGAGGCGGGATCCATACGAAGCCGGAACTCGATCGCAGACCTGGGTTCAGGAGTTCGCAACTCATCCCCTAGGAACAGCGTCATGTCCATCGGCTCCACAAGCTCCAAGTTTGGCCGGGGAGTTGGTAGCCTCCGCTCCCGCGCGCAATCGCTTTCGCAAGGCGGCGGCAACTCCAAAGCCCGGAACGGTAGTGCCAACCGGAACTCTGTCCGCAGCGAACACGAGACCCACGACGCCAAGCAGCAGCAACAGCAACACAGGGACTCCCAGCTCACGCGCGAGCTGACACCCCAATCCAGCAACATCTCGGAGGGCGGCCGCGGGAAGCTGCCAAGGAATATCGTTTCTTCGGATGAAGACGAAGATGGCATTTTTAGCTCCGACGCCGAGAGTGAGGGTGAGGCTGTTCGATGTAGAAAATGCAGCAGCACAAGCTTCAAGGCCAAGCAGAGACGGGGAGAACATAAGCTGGTTTGCGTAAAGTAAGTGTGCTCCACTCCATTCACACCGAGGACTTGCATGCAGGATGCAGACAAAATAACTAACACTGTGCCAGATGCAATACTGTAATGTGATTGCGCGAGAGAGCGGTGGGTTGTGCTGCGATTGTGTGTACTGTACGATAGTTTCCTCCGTCCTGTCCTGTTCTTACATACTAGATACCGTGTCTCCGTTTCCGTTCCATTCTCGTGTGGCAACGTAGCTTACCTACTCTGTGGTGCCTTGTGCGTGTGCGTGTGCATAGGCATGCGAGTGTATATTTCTCGTAGGGATTGTTCGTTTTTTTGCTGTTGCTACTAGGTACATACCTCTACATTTCCCGGCCATGTTCTGGCACTCGATTCTTCCGTATGTACTTGCTTGTACTCTAATTGCTACTACTACTTGGTACCGACTCCGTTCCTCGTCCTGCTTTTCTAGGGGAGGGGGGGCGAAGCGCGAGGGGATAGAAGGTGGGCAATCATATGGGATGATCATTCCGGTGGATGAATCGCAGGGCGTACTACCTAGTAGAGCATCACGGCGGTGACGAGTGACGGGTCTGTCCGTGTTTTCGTGTTTTTCCTCGTGACGGGGTTCAAGACCAGAGACAGAGACCCTCTCGTGTCCGTCGATAAGGCGTGTAAGTACCGTCGCCATGTCCGAGGTTCTGGCTGGACCATCTTTCGTGCCCAGGCCCCAGGGGAGGGACCGAACGAGATGGGTGGAATTGCTCTGGGGAGTTGATCTTTTCTTGTATTTACATACAATGTAATTATCTTTCATGCCTTCCATCATACGTACAACACCCCAAGTCATGCAACTGCCACGATCTAGTAAGGCTGAATAAGTAGGTACCTACATACATAAAACAATGATAGACCAACAAATCCAACAAATCCAAAAATCCAAAAATCCAAAAACGTGGCAAGGAATGGAGCGTGGCAGGAACGGTGTTGCTAGATACATTAGGTATGTAGTAGACTCTGCTCACCGGCTTAGCGGTCGATTACGGTTGTGGTTGCGGTTGTCGGTGATAGTCTACGGGATCACGTTCATGGCATGTAAGTACGGTAGAGTCGGAACGAGCTATCACTCTAACTTCCATAGACTCCACAATCTCCACGAACTCCACGATCTCCACGAACTCCACGAACTCCAAGCACTCCACGAACTCCAAGCACCCCAAGCACCCCAAGCACCCCAAGCACCCCAAGCACCCTCTCCTATCACTCGCAGCCACAGCTAACTAGGTAGATCGGTAGAGCAGCTCCTCGCTTGCGGAAGTAAGGCAAAACCTCATATTCTGTCTAGTTCTTCGATAGGGGCACGTGTCAGGCGCGCGAACAGCCGCAGCAGCAGCGGGTTGGTTTGGATTGAGCTATTGCCTGCACTGGCTAGGAGTTCCGGTTTATTGCGCTCGCCGGCGTCTGCGGCCTCTCGATCAAGGAGCAACCGTGCAACGCGCTCGTGCCCGTGCCCTTTCTGCACCGCTAGCCGCCGCGCCGTCATACCGTATCGGTCTTTGGCCACGATGTCAGCACCGCGGTAAAGCAGTAGTCGCAGTGCAGCCGTGTGCCCGTTCTCAGCCGCCCAGTGAAGCGGAGTCCAGTCGGTGTTATCCTTGGCCTCGATGTCTGCACCGTGGTCGAGCAGTAGCTGCGGTGTAGCCGTGTGCCTGTTCACGGTTGCCAGGTGAAGCGGCGTCCGGCCGGAGTTATCCTTGGCCTCGATGTCTGCACCGCGGTCGAGCAGTAGCTGCAGTGTATCCGTGTGCCCATTCCGGGCCGCCTTGTGAAGCGGAGTCCAGTCGGTGTTATCCTTGGCCTCGATGTCTGCACTGAGGTCGAGCAGTAGCTGCACTGTATCTCTCTAGTCGGAGATAGCTGCGCAGTGCAACGCCGTATATCCTCTCTGGTTCCGGGACTCCTTATCGATTCCTAACTTTTTTACAAGCATTTTGACCGTGATGTTATCTCCCTCGCGAGCTGCGTTGTGCAACATGGCGGCCCGCTTCATCTCGGGGGTCAGGCGATGCCGAACCGTGGTAGTCATCTTGCTGCTGCTCTGCTGTAACCGTTGGAGTCCTTCCCCGGTGATACTGAGCAGTTGCGCCAGGTTATCGCGGGATTTCCGCTGCTCGTACATATCGCCGTTATTCAGCTCGAGAGGGTAGATGGGCAGAAAGATGACGGATATATTCGATATCTGGTCTAGGCTCACACCGGTGAGCTGAGACCAGTTGGATTCCGCGGTGCCGATGGTCTTGAAGGAGTTCGATGAAGAGTTCCTGGCTGCGTTCCTGTACAGCCGAGTCTCTCCCAGAATCCTGCGAAAGGATCGGACAGATGCACTGGAGAAGACCGAAGCTCTGGAGCGGACTGAGGACGCGGCAACGACGCCCACAAAGGAAGTGGCTGCTGACATGCGCTCCGATAGGTCTGGATTCGTCTGCAGGACTGTCGCCATGAGCTGCTTCAGTTCAGCCATGTCGTTTTGCAGTTTCTGCGTTGATGAGCTGAGCTTCGTCAGCAACTATCCGTACACACGCGGTGGTCGGGTGCGAAGGAGATCATCCATTCTTCGGGGGAGCTGGGTGGAGCCCTGGGAACCTATCGATACACATATATCGATCGAGAAGAACTCTGAACTAACCATGTATAAACCGACAGCAACAGACTCAGCGAAGTCTTATGCATCTGTAGGTTCCGTAGTATCTTGGCGATATCCTGGTCTTTGGCTGCCCACTTGACGCGGTCCCAGGCCCCCAACTGATGTTTGGTGCCGTAGGCGTAGTCCGTCTTGACGCCTTTGAGCTCCCCATCCAGCTCCGAGAAGGTACACACGCAGCCCGTCAGGATGACTACCAGGTCGTCGATTGCAATTCTGGATTTGCGAGTCATGCTCTGCTGGGCGAAATTGACGATGAAGTCGTCTAACTGGCGAAATATCCCGTGCAGCGCTTGGACTTCTGCGAGAACGTTGCGGACAGTGCTGGGGGCGTCGATGGCGGTGGAAAGAAAGCCGATGACCTTGGCTCCGGCTTGCAATAACCCTGCTACCGATGCGGCAACCGAAAGAGGGTCCATCGTGGAAGTGGTGATTGTCGGTTGACGCTCGTGGTCCGGTAGGCAGAGAGTGTTCGTCTGGCGATCGCGGGGTCCGTGATGTGCGACTTGTAATGTGGAGTAAGCGCACATCATGCATGGTGTCGGCTGGCACCTATCAAATCTTGCACGTTCCACGGATTCCGCCAGTAATATAGAGTAGAGAGGACGTGACTGCATACTACCTATAAGGCGAACTCAACACCGCCACGCACCATCGTCGTGCGAATTCTGTCACTGTGAAGTCTATTGTTCGAACATTCGGTCGTTATGTACGAAGTCCACCGTTTCACGAAACCATGAAGCAAAAATGGAGTCCGCGATCTGGTATCATACCGGAAGGAGTTCAGTCATAGAGAGACGACTCGGCTCGGGACGAACGAATACATATCATTGCGCTACGAGAGCATTAAGCGGGATTGGAGCTGGCGGCAAATATATAGCAAAGGAACTCAAGATCGATAAAGCTACAGCCTCGAGGATTTACCAGCGGTATATATCGTCAGTACCTACGGTACTCCTTCGAATCGAAAACGATCCGGTAGACCGTAGACCCCCGATCCTCGACGCCACGGAGAAAGCTCGTCTCGAAGCCTTTGTTTCCTACATACCTATCCGCGACTCCCGTACTCGACGTCTCAGCGGGGACGCAATCTGTAATGAAATAGGCTATGCCTGTGATCCCAAGACAGTTCGAGGGATATCACAAACGGGCACCGAGAAAAAAGTTCGATTTCAAACCTGACAACAGACTGGATCGGGTTACCTGGTGTCATTCCAGGCTACATTGGACTAAGGAGGAATGGAAAAGAGTTATCTGGACCGGTGAATTCTCCTTGTCGACCACAGGATTTGGTCACCGTCCATATCCTCTGAAAGTTCATGGGCCTGTTTTCTTTCTTATTGCTTTGCTTTTCTAGTCAATCTAATCGGTTCATTACCCGTACCTGTCGAGGGTCTTTCACTGGGAAGGGGTGGTTCACTGGGTTTTCCGCTCAGACAAATATATCACAGCCGATCACTCGTTCTGTTCTATCTAATCTAATAGTGCCATATATTTGTTTACGGCGCTTAGAATTTCGTAGTGGTAGTGGTGCACCACTTTCTCCAGCACGCTATATATCTATCCACTTCGTGTGCGGGCACGTAGGCCCATACCAGTCTTTACCGCGTATCTACTTCGCCGGGACAGCTTTTCATTGGTTAGTGTACTTCTCTCTCGCGGGCAGGCGAGGGACGCCGATTAGCTAGTCTCGCGGCGGTGGCTCTCACTGGTGTGGACGTCGTGATCTACTTAGGTCTATAGATACGTCAAGTTCGGGGAATCGCCAACAACACCAACCCAAATCCGTCCGCGAGTCTAGCTATGCGGCTCTCCCTGTTGTCCTACTGGCCCAATCAATGGTGATTCCACAGACCACCACCACCGCCATCATCTTCCACCCATACCAACTCTTCTTCCACCTCTACCAATTCATCTTCCTCTTCAGTAGCTTGTCCGTCGACCGGATCGGGCGTGTATCGGATCTCGCTCCACAGCCGCCATAGGTGTCCGAGATTCTGGCTGGGCTGTCTTCCGCGCCCCTGGGGAGGGTCCCGACGAGATGAGTGGAATTGCTCGGGGGTACATACATAACCTTTTCTCTTATGTACATAAGTATCATTTAATGTCACTCGCTCATACCTAGTCGCTCGATGGCGCTGGATTTTTTTTCGAACTTCAAAACCCTGATCCTAACTCGAATTTCCACAACATTAATACCAGGTAGGTGCTGGTACCCAGTATGATAATCGACGGGACGTAGGCTCGAACACTAACTAGAGGTGTGATTCCATTAGCCGTAGGTATTTGGCCTGGATGCCGGTTCCTGCTGCGGCGGTGGGATCGGCGTGAATCCGGAATGTTGGCAATTACTCAACATGTTCGGTATGCACGAGGAGTTAGATAGTGGGGGCGGGGTGAATCAGTGTCCGCCGGAGGTTAGCAACTGGCTAGTATCAGGTGCGAACGAAAACACCGACGCTCAATGGCCACTGGCACCAGTGAGTCAGTGACTCTCCATGACTTCATGTGACACGTCTTGGCACCGACGACAACCGACGCGCTCCATGTAGAGTACTACCTACCATGTACAATACTCTAGTACTATACCCACCCCACCACCGAGCCCCACCACTCCGGTACCTACACAACACTCGCACGCACAATGTTCGCCCTCCGTCGCGCCCCCACCTCTCCTTCGAACCGCCGCCTCCTGAGCACGCTTGCAGTGCTCGAGCACCGCGGCGGGCAGATATCAGCGTCGTCGTTACCAGCGCTCACCGCGGCGAGCAAGCTCGGCGGCCCCGTGACCGCATTCGTCGCCGGGACGGACTCGGCCGCGATCGCGGCGCTGGCGGCGAAGCTCACGGGGGTGCAGAAGGTCCTCCACGTCGAGAACGCGAAGTACGATAAGGTGTGTGTGTATTGGTGCCCTGGCCCCGCGGGCGGAGGTTAATCGGCGGATGAGAATGAAACAGGGAATGCCGGAGAACTTTGCGCCGCTGCTGGTGGCCAATGTGAAGGCGGGCGGGTTCACGCACGTGGTCGGCGCGCACTCGGCGTTCGGAAAGAATATTCTCCCGCGCGTCGCCGCGCTGCTGGACGTGCAGGCGGTTTCGGATATCACGGGGATCGTGGACGCGAACACGTTCGTGCGCCCCATCTACGCCGGTAACGCTATCGCTACCGTCAAGTCCGCACAGGCGGTCAACGTGATCACCGTGCGGGGGACGGCGTTCCCGGCTGCGACGGAAGAGGGAGCCTCGGCGGCGGAGGTTGCGAAAGCGCCCGAGGACCCGGATACGGAAATGCTCACGGAGTGGGTCGGGGAAAATCTGGCGACAAGTGAGAGGCCGGATTTGAGCACCGCCACGAAGGTCGTCTCCGGTGGACGCGGGCTGAAGGATCGCGAGAACTTTGAGAAGTACATGCAGCCCCTGGCCGATGCCCTGGGTGCCGCGATTGGTGCTAGTCGGGCTGCTGTCGATGCGGGCTTTGCGGATAATAGCTTGCAGGTGGGCCAGACAGGAAAGGTTGTGGCGCCCCAGCTGTACATGGCTGTCGGCATCAGCGGGGCTATTCAGCATTTGGCGGGAATGAAGGATAGCAAGGTCATTGCGGCGATCAATAAGGATGCCGATGCGCCTATCTTCCAGGTGGCGGATGTGGGATTGGTTGCAGACCTGTTCCAGGCGGTGCCCGAGCTGACGGAGAAGCTGAAGGAGTAGGGATTGAGCTGGTGGATGGTGAGTGTACAGGGGAATTCGTGTATATAGAGTTGAAAGAGGATCTCCGGGCAGTTACGGATGTGAGGGCATAATCCTGCCTCAATGTGGGCACACCACGGCGATTGCCTACCTATGTCTATCCAAGCGGTGTCCAATTGTATGAGTATACCCAGTTGCGGATATCCCAACCCGCTCTATAGAATATGATACAAGAATATATGGCACACCCGTACCACTCTCTCCTATTCCACCACCACTGCTCTCACCATCTATTTTATCTTCCTCGTCTTCAACTTGATTGTCTCGTTGTTGACGAAGATACCCTGCACCCATCAGCATCCGACCGCCACACACCATCCCTCCGCACGCACTCACCTTTCCCTTGTACGGCTCGGGTTTCCTCCAGGCCCTAATCTCCGCGGCAAACTGTGTAACCACCTCCTTATTCGCACCCTCGAGCAGGATTCTCGTTGGCTGGGGGGTACTGGCAGTGACACCGACGGGCACTGGCAATTCGACCGGGTGGGCATACTGGACCTTCAAATTGACGATCTTCCCGATGACGGGTCTCTCCTCGATGCTGGCCCTGTACCCGACACCGACCAACCGCAAGATCGCGACGTGGCCCTCCGACACGCCGGTGATGTGGTTCTGCAGCATGGCGCGCACGGTGCCCCAGCGCTCGCGCTGCAGCCGCTCCCGCGCGTCCTGCGGCGTCACCGTCACTTTGGCGGCCGCAGTGTCGATTTCCACACTGATGAAGTCGGGCACCTGCAGCGATAGCAGGCCCAGCGGGCCTTCGACGCTTCTGCAATGCTCGTCAGCCCCCGCGCCCCACGCTACCATTCAATTCCAACCGGACGGAGGGACGGAGGAGGGGGGAGAGGTACATCGTCCCCATATCCTGCTTGCGACCGGGTCGCGGCGTCGGCGCGATCTTGGTGAGTTTTACGGTCGGCGGGAGCGATATCGGCATGCCGCCGATCTTGCTGCGGAGCGGCGCCACGGTGCTGAACGCGCGGATGGTGCTGGGTCGGCTGAACATGGCGGGCAGGTGCTGCTGCGGGTATGGAGCGTAACTGTGGTGAGGTTTGGTTTTAGACGTGGGGTGGAAGGCTTGGCGTGCAGGTGGGTGGGCGTAAGACCGAGCGAGTGATGGCGGGGTGGAAAGGGACTCCTGGGCGGCGGGAACTTGGAAGAGCGGTGCAAGGTGCAAGGGAGGCTTTCTTGCTGGGGCTCGTCGGTAGACCCGAGGGCGCCTACTCTACCTACCACGAGGCGTTGAGGGAGTGCTCATTGCATTCCCACTATTTGTGTGGCTTAAGTGTGGCTCACACATTGATTTGCATGTGCCTCTTCGGCCACATGTAGTGTACTGAACTCTGACAGCCCCAACTTCAATGGGGCGTCATTCAAGCTTATTCGGCTTCCGATCTGCACCATGGCAAATGCTTGAGTCCTCGACTCGCACTCTACATACCTCGGAAATTGCCCTTTCCCATTGATTGTCCCACACGATCGGTCCTTGCCGGCACGGTGATGCAGAGCACAATCTAATTCGCGGACATCTGCTCCGGCAGGTGTAGAGTACAATGAGGCTCTTCTTGTGCACTTGCACAGTTGCACTCATGGTACCATATGACATCACCCCCCACTTCCGCGATCATCGATGAGGGGGGGGGGTGGAACAGAAAAGATGTTCACAGAAAAAGCAAGCCCCGCCACCGTGTGTATGTAGCCCGTGGCCCTGTGGTGCCTGTCAATCGTGTGTATCCATGTGTGTGAGACTTTCGACTTCCGGTGTCCCAGCAAGCTACCGAGGCTGTATCCCGTGAACGCAAGCAAATGTTTCAACTTGCACTTCGACGCCCCCCACTACTTGCCGCCACGACCGCTACCAGCACGACCACGGCCACGACGACGACGACCACTCGAAACCTACTGAAGATGCACTACGCGGCCAAGATCAGTCTCGGCACCCTGGCGACGGTGGGCGCCTTCGCCGCGTACTACCACACGACGGCGCGGCGGCGACAGCTCCCCGGCCCGGCTGGGCCGGTGCTGGCAGACACCAAGATCGTGATCCCTCCGGCGGCGGCGGGGGCGGGCAGCCGCTCGCGCGCCGCATCGCTCTCGACGCAAGCCGCACCACCCAGCGGCGGCGGGGAAACGCAGAACCAGCGGGAGGCGAGCCAGGACACGCAGTGGCAGCGGTTTACGGAGCGGCTGGCGGCGGCGAACACGTCGGTGCTGTCGACGATCAGCCTCAACAACATGCTGCCGGACTGGTCGATTGGGCTGCCGGAGTGGATTACGCGGCTGCAGCGCGAGCTGAATATGGAGCCCGGGTCGATGGCGGATACGATCTGGACTGAGGCGTGTGATACGAGTGCCAACCCCGAGGTGGCGTGGGATGCCAGGGTCCGCATTAGTCCTGACCTGTGTGATGAGGAGAAATCGTTTCTAAGGAAGAGACGCGAGTTCACCCGCAGGGCCCTGGCGAAGTATTTGGACCTGCCGGAGAATGAGGTGCATATGGATGATGTCCCCGTGATTGCGACGACCGGGTCCGGCGGCGGGCTCAGAGCTATGGTGGCCGGCGCTGGATACTACCAGGCGCTGCATGAGGTGGGACTGTTTGATTGTACTACGTATACGGCGGGAGTCTCCGGTAGCTGCTGGCTGCAGTCCGTGTACCTCTCGTCGATCGGGCAGCAGTCGTTCACGAGGGTCATCGATCACTTCAAGCAGAGGATCGGTGTGCATATTGCGTATCCGCCCACGGCCCTGGAGTTGATCGATACCCCGCCGACGAACAAATATCTCCTTAGGGGTGTGGTTGAGAAGCTGAAGGTTGGTCACTCGTCGTTTGGGCTTGTAGATCTATACGGACTGCTGCTTGGAGCACGGCTGCTGGTACCGAGTAGTGTGAAGGGGAGTGGAGGGAGCAGTGAAGGGGAAGGGGAACTGCCGGCGTCGTTGGACAATGACGATCTCAAGTTGAGTCGGCAACGGAGGTTTCTAGAGGATGGGCAGAGTCCGCTACCGATCTACACTGCGGTTCGCCACGAGATCCCAGGTGAGGGAAACGAGACCGAGAACAAGAACATAGATATGGAGAAGGCACGCGAAGAGGAAAAGAAGCAGAATGATTGGTTCCAGTGGTTTGAGGTGACGCCGTTTGAGGTTTACTCCGAGGACCTCGAGGGTACGTACTTTATATCTACCTTATCTAGTTCAGTTCCTTGCCTTTGTTGACGCCGCCGGTGACAGCTGGAATTCCCACCTGGGGCCTGGGCCGGCGGTACGAGAACGGCGTCAACATTGACCGCAAAGTGCCCGAGATGAAAGTTCCGCTTCTATTCGGCATCTTCGGCAGTGCGTTCTGTGCCACACTCGGCCACTACTACGCCGAGATACGACCATTCCTCACGTCCATCAGCATGCTGAAGATGTTGGACGACATGGTGCTGCAAAGAAGCGACGACCTGGTCAAAGTCCACCCATTCGATCCCGCCGCCGTCCCCAACTTTGCCAAGGGTCTGAAGGACAAGCTTCCGCCGACGTGTCCCGAGAGCCTTCACGAGTCGGAGGTGATCCAACTGATGGTAAGCCCCGTCCCCACCAGCGTCACGATAAACCCCGGGAATAACACAAACAGGATGCGGGCATGTCCAACAACCTCGCGTGCTACCCACTGATGCGGAAGGGGCGCAACGTCGACATCATGATCGCCTTCGACTCGTCCGCGGACATCCAAGTAGCGAACTGGATCGGGTACGTCGAGGGGTACGCGAAGCAGCGTAAGATCCAGGGCTGGCCGGTCGCGATCGGCTGGCCGCGCACCGACGACCCTAAGAGGGTGGAGCAGGAGCTCGAAGCCGCGCAGGCGTCGTCCGCGGCAGAGGCTAAAGAAAAGCTTGAACACGCACAGAATCAGGACCGCGAGGCGAAGCAGGCCGAGGGCGCAGAGCTCGCAAAGCAGAATAAGAACACCCTCGGCCCGTGCACTATCTGGGTCGGCAGCATGGAGACCCGCGAGTCCGAGGATGAGCCGCCAAGAAGCAAGGTCGTCGAGGAGGAGTGGGATCTTATGGGGCCCGATGCCGGTGCGTGATAATAATACTCTACCCTACCCCCCCGGCTTACTACTCGTGTGGTATGGTAATGCTGACTCCGCCTGCCTGCGCATCTAGGCATCGTGGTGGCGTATCTGCCGCTCATCAGCCATACAGATGTTCCCGGCGTAGATCCGGAAACTTCGGCTTACCTGTCTACATGGAACTTTGAGGTACGTGTTTTGTTCCACCGATCGATTTCTTCGCACCAATCAGTGTATCGGCGTTTCCCTTCCGCTCCCCTTTCGTTATGCGGTAGGGCTGAGATGAGTTGAGTGTGTGTGAGCCGCCTTGGTGGCTTGCTTGCAGCCACCATCTCACCCACATATCCCGTTCTTCCCAGCAACGCCTGTATGTACTCTTTAAATGCAGGGCTGACACTCCCCTCCGCAACCATAGTGGACACCCGAGCAAATCGACAACGTCGTAACACTGGCGAAGACGAACTTCAACGAGGGCGCGGACCGGCTCAAGCGCACTGTGCGCGCCGTCTACGAGCGCAAGAAGAAGCTGCGGCTCGAGAGGGAGCATAGCGACGACGAGCTGCGCCACGGCGAGAATGAGAGGAGGGGGGGGGCGGATCAGTTTTCCTGAAGCCGCGCGAGAGAGAGAGAGAGAGAGAGAGAGACAGGGAGGGAGGAAGGGAGAGGGAAGGCGGGAGGGAGCGCGGGGAGGCATGTCCGGGTGGTGTGGTCTGAGATGGTATGATACGATGCGATGCGATGGGGATGTTCTGCAGCTACCTACCTAACCTACATATGTACCGTAATGGATTGGATTGGATTGGATTGGATTGGATTTGTTGCGATGACGGGAGTTTTGGTGTTTTTTTCTTCTTCTTTTTCTTTCTTTTCTTTCTTTTCTCACGCCTTTTTATTTTTTTATTTTTATTTTGCTCATTCTATTTTGGCTCTGTTGGTTGGCCCGGTACGATGGAGGGGAGGGGAAGGGGGTTCCGGCTCTATGCGAGACGAGACGATACGGATGGATAGGGTTGGAAAGGCAGGTAGGCAGGTATGATGTGGATATAGATACCATATACGGGTTACGGATTCGACAGTGGACACTGGAGAGTGCTCCTCAACCACTTGCATCGGGGGGGGGAGGGGGGGGGGGGTTTTCTGCTCTGCTCTGTTTTGTATCGCAGAGTGGCAGGTGGGTGGGTGGTGTTTCCTTTGTCCTTTGTCCTCTCCTCTCGAGTCCCGACTCTCCACTCGTTCGCGGTATATACTCCATCATATCATAGAATAGTAATTAGAGTAACAACCTATCTGCCAATTGACATCAGACGTCAATAGTAGTTGGTTGGTTTTACCTCTCGTTGCTCAAGAGTCAACTTTTAAGATGTTTATATTTTTAGAGCGACACAATTACACAATTGTTTGGTGTTTGTGGCCGCCGGCCGGCCGGACTCCGGAGGGTTCGGAGGGTTCGGAGGGCTCGGAGGGTTGGGAGGCGGCAGGCGACGGGTGCTGACGTGCTTCTGCATCTATATCTGTGTCTGTCGTGTGCTTCTGCGTCTGTCGTGTGAGTGTGGGTTTGGAAGATCGTCAGTCGCTGCGACGATGGTGTTTTCTTTTTGCGAATGTGCAGCGAGAGTAGAGTAGAATGTAGATAGGGTATCTAGCGAAGGAATTCGGGATTCGCCGAGTTGCCATACACACCCACACACCGACGCAGAATGGCGACAGAATGATGTGATGTGATGTTGGGTGGAGGGGAGGGGATGGAGAAAGGGAGGGCCCATGACGAGGAGCCACGACGGGCAGCCGTGAGAGCTCGAGAGCTATGCAACTATGTGCAGCCGGCCGTGCCACCGGGTACTTACCGCAAGCAAGCTCGAGGCCGCATCGGCTCTCATGAGGATATCGGTACCTACTATGCTTTCTATGGGTCGAGTCACCGGACTGTGAAGCAACGTGGATGGGATGGGATGGGATGGACCTGATATCGCTCGCAGTTTCCTTTCATCACCATCCCCGCCCTTCGGCCACCCCTCCGCCACCCAATCGCCCAATCGCCCAATCGCCCAATCGCCCAGCCAACCAACCAAACCCGCTCGCCACCGCCGACTGCGCGCGCATGCAGGAGCAGAAGTAGAGCACTCTATTATACATGCTCTATGATACCACACATGCATACCGGTATTCTACTCTATATACACATGATACATACTCCTACATACTCTACATACACACTCTACTATATGCAGGACCGCCAGGCCGACTGGAGTTGTACCTGCCGTGCGGCGTGCGGGCACACGAATAACTGCTCGTCGTAGAAGTCTGGGCGGTTTGAACATTTGGTGTGCACTCGCTCCAGAGGCTAGTGCGAATGGGGGCATGCCGCATGCGCATCCATCGCAGCCATCGAACTCGCTCTGTATGTAGGGGACTCTGTCGCGTGCTCCCTCTTCAGGACAGGACAGGACAGGATAGGATGCGTCGGATGCGTCGGTCAGGTCAGGTACTAGTTACTCTGGTTAGCATATACATACCGGGACTACAAATGTATCTAGAGTGAGTATGCAAAAGGCCAGTTGTACCCACCTAAGGGGGGAGGGGGGAAGGGGAGCATTCCGATCCGCGTCTGATCCGGAGCAGCATGGAGTTTGTTCGGCGTTCACAATCACGGCAGCAGTTCGGATGGGTGGGATAGGCATGGAAATGGAAATGGAAGCTGGAAGCTTGGAAGAGATTTCACGAGTTGGGCTGGGTTGAGTTGGGTTGAAACGAAGCAGGAGTCCACTGGCCTGGCACCCCTCCCTCCCTCGAACCCCCCATTCACCCACCCCGACCCTCCCCCCGGCCCACCCTCCGCCCCCCGCCCCCCGCCCCCCGCCCCCCGAGAAAAAAAACAACGGAAACGCAACGGCAACGGCTGGAAGGAAGGCAGGCAGGCAGGAACTCGACGTCTGACAGGGGTGGGTGGGTGGGTGCTCGGTCAAGGTCTCTCAAGGAACGAACGAACGGGGGACGGAGGGTCTGAGCGGGAGATCTAGTTGCATGCTGGCCGCTACCAAGGTGCGAGTACCGTAGAGTACTTAGGGTCGGGGTCAGACCGCTCGCGAACGAACGGAACGAGTCGTTACCAGAGAGTACCAGAAAGCGGATTGAGGGAAGAGACGACGAGACAAGACGAGCGAGACAGAGACGCGAACCACCACGGGAACGAGAACAATAACAATAACAACAACAACAACAACAACAACAACAACAATAACAACAACAACAACAACAACAACAACAACAACAACGAAACACAACGAAAGCATCGATTCAGTCATCGCCCTACCGGACAGTTCGCATTCAAGGTCTACGGACCCACTCCCGCACACAGCCTTCGTCCTGCTACATACCACCCCCACCGCCTACACCAAGAAACAGGAAACACTCCGCCAAGGAAGCTCGGAAAAGAAAAGAAAAAAGAAAAGCAGGCCTATCGATTGGAAAGACAGAGAGAAAACCTGCATCACTTTGTGGAGATATATGGTCGTGTGTGCATCTTCTGGCTTGGGACAAGGCCGTCGCGCTGCATGAAGGAAGGGCGGGAAGGGGATTGTGTGTGAACACATAGAAAAGAAGGCACGAGCAACGGGGACCGCCATCTTCCTCATCATCGGATTTCCACTACTCGACTACCACTACTACGGTACTCTACATACGAGCAGCAGCAGCGCTTGCATCCAACTGAAATAGCCTGAGCGTTGTCTGCAAGCAAAGCAAACGGCTCGAGAAAGAGAGAGAAGAAAAGAAAAAAACCGGACCAGGCTTAGTTACTACTAACTGCTGCTTTGACTACTATTACATGCGTCTGGCGCATAACAGCTCGCCAGCTCTCCCTTCTATCTACTTCATAACACATACATCCTTCTAGTTCTCTACTATTCTCAATTCCTCAATTCTTCTTCAACTTGCCCCTCGTTCCCTCCATCTTCTAGTCGAATTACTATCACTCTTTCCAGTCTACCAGCGATCCCTCCATCACGTTCCGGTCTATTTAGATAGAAGACACTCGTACAGCTTCGAAAGAAAAGATTCAGGGACTAAAAGCTGGAAGACTCCGTTCTCTCCGTTCTTTTTCCTTACTGGGAACATCCTGCTTCTCTTTAAATCCCATTGCTCCCCAAAAACTTGTCCATTCAGATCAAAGAGGGCTTGATAGATCGACATCATGCCTGCCAGAAACATTCACTCGTTGTCACTTGCGCTTTCCCCTGCATCCAATGACGATGCCATAAACAACCCCCCGAGGACAATCAAAACAACACCCTCAGCCACCGACACCACCGCCGGCTCGCCCCCAAATAAAGCATGTCGTATGGATATGGACGATTGCCGCTCGATGGCTTCGTCTTTGGGAATCCAGTCGTTCGATCGCCAGCACCAGAATCCGTCGACCATCTTTCGGCAGGGCTTGATAACGCCCACCACGCCCTGCTACCATCACGAAGGCAACACCAACAACGACAGCAAGGGGGGAAGCAGTGGCAGTCCGAGACCAGCCGCCGCGGCATCTCTATCCGCTCTAACCAATGCAATGAGCATGTCGGCTATCGACAGCCCTCCAGACGAGGAGGACATTGGCTTCTCGCTCGAGGAGTTCGCGAAGAGCTACGTACCGCTGTCACACCTGCCTACACCGCCGCCGTCGGCCGCATGCTCGGTAGATCTCCATGCCGAGCGTGAAGTCGGGGGGCACTTAGTGGAAGCCGAGTTCTGGGGTGTGCACCATCACTCTCCCCCTTACTCGAAAAGAAGCTAACAAGTGTTGAATAGGCCCAGCAAAGTATTTAGTCAGCATGATACCGCGCAACGCATTCCGGGAGCCTCCCTCGGTCACGATGATGGCGGTGATCCTGCAGAACGCGAATGTGCGGCTTTCGGTGGTGTCCCTTGCCGGCTGCATTCTCGACTGCCTATCCGACCAGTTCGTGAAGCTGTGGCGACGGCGGTGCTGCGATGCTGCCGACGGTGCCGAGGCGGAGCTGGGCGAGGTCCTAGCTGTGGCCGCACTCGCCATCAGCATGAAATTCCTTGAGGATTCGGTAAGCACACACACCCTCACGACGTTCCTCGTTCTCTTTTGCTGACAGCGGCGGTTGGAATAGGCATACACCAACAGACTCTGGACACATAACATCTGCTCCGACATCTTCCCACTGAAGGCGTTCAACCTGACGGAGCGCCTGGTGCTGCACGACATCGACTACTGTCTGCACGGCATCTCCTCGCCTGAGCAGATCGGAGAGTGCTCCGACCGGCTGAAGCAGTTCACTGCCGAAGCTGCCGGCTTCAGACCACACCAGCAGCAGAAGCAGAAGAAGATGGATGAGCCGGCTGGGTACTTTGAGGCGAGGACTGCTTGGTTCTAGCTTTTAGCGAGACAGGGGGGGCGAGTGCATTGGGTTTATTTTTGGGCGTTTTTTTATTATTATCTACATCCCTTTTCCATCCCCCTATTTCCGATTCCCCCATGGAGCGAGCGGTTTGCAGCGTCATATCATCATTATTTCGTATGGGGGTGTTTTGTGGCGTTTTTTGTTTGTTTATTTTGAAAAGTTTGTTTATTTTCATTACTCTAGGCGCAGACTGGGTGGGGATGGATACCGTAACGCATGTCGTTCGTTATCACTGTTTGCAATGACATCGATAGTCAATAGGGGGATGGGGGAGGGGCGGAGGTGTTGGTTCTCTTTTTGCTGTACCTATTACTCTCTGTAATTTCACCATCATCACAAACACACGTGCTCGCATCCGTGCCAAGGTTCTCAACTGGTTGCGTCGTAACAGTTCTATGCTCAGTTTACTCTAGGTATTTTATTTCCACGTGGGGAGCAAAACAGATCACCGCGCCTCACTCGCCACACCCTCCTTCTCGCTCTGCTCCTTCGCCTTCTCCTCCTTCTCTGCCTTGACCCTCTGCTCCTCAGCCTCCTCATAGCCCTCGGTGACCATATCCAGAATCCCCAGCTCCTCCTCCTGCTCCTTGGTGCGGTCGACATCGACAATCGTCAGCTGCGGGTCGGGGTCGGGCGCACACAGGTTCTGCACGTAGCTGGCGGCGAGCGGGTCGTCGAGGATGCACGTAAACGTTCTTTTCCCGTCTTTCGCGTCGCGCAGCCCCTGGAAAAAGACCTCCCACTTCTCGCGGGTGTCCTTCTCGATCGAGTCGCTGGTCTCATCGTCCGCGCCCGAAAAGATGCGCTGATGCAGCTCGTCGTGGACCTGGGTGAGGAGGCCCTCGATGGTCGTGAAGCGGCCGCCCAGCGTCCCCGGCGTCAAGTCCAGGTTCAGCTCCGGACACGTCATCCCGCACGTCTCGGACTTGAGGATATCGCGGGCGAGGTCCTCGGCGTCCTCCACCCGCAGCGTGATGATCCTCCCCTGCGCCGGCACCGCGCCGCCGGTCTTGACCTCGTTGGACTTGTACCCGCAGCTGTCGCAGACGGTGGACATGATGACGACCTCCTTGAAGTGGGGGATCTCGACGAGTTTCATATGCGTGCTGCAGGGGCGGACGCAGCTCGGACACGTCGCGGGGAACGTGTGCACCTCGTCGGGGCGGATCTCGTAGTCCTCGTCCTCGCCGGCGCGCTCGCGCGCCTCTCGCGTGCCCGCGTCCGCGTCAGTTAGCCCCAAACCCTCGTTTTGCAACGCCGTACGCTCGTAGTGCTTGCTCGTCCACTTCCCGCGCGCATCCCCCGGCTTCGGCTCGATCCACGAGTTGCCGGAGGGATCATCGACGACCAGGGTGATGGGCAGTGCGTTGCCCGCAAGGACATCTCGGCCGCGCGCGATGAAAGTTGCGATCTGTGCGTGCGCCTCCGGGTCGGCAGCGAGCCGCTTGCTCTGGTCGCCGTCGAGGTCCTCGAGCACGGTGGAGAGCAGGCCCTCGACGGTGGTGAGCTGGCCGCGCTGCGCGGGGATCTCAAGGTCCAGCTCTGGCACGCGGCACACGCACGTCTCCGACTTGACGACTTGGCGGTCGAAGTCCTCCTTCGCCGCCAGCTTGAGCGTGTACGTGCACCCCCGCTCTTGGATCTCGCTTGCCGACTGGATCTCGCAGTTCTTGAAGAAGCAATGGGGGCACTCGAAGGACATGAGAACGACTTCGCGGAAAAAGGGGATGCGCGTTAGGAGGAGACGCGTGTTGCCTTGCTCGTGGCATGCCATGCATAAAGACTCGATGTTGTCCATGATCTGTGGCTCGTCCGTGTCGTCGATGTTGTCGCCTTGCGCGAGAACGTCCACGGCGTCTACCGTGTCGCCGATCGAACGGAACATGTCTGGTGCTGCTGCGGCGGCGGGCTCGGCAGCCTCGGAGGCGTGCGGCATGGTGGGCGCTGTGCTTGCTGTCTCTTTTCTGCGCGGTGTCTGTGTATCTGAGTATCGCAGTCGCAGTCGTTCTTTCTTTCTGTGCGGAAAGTGTTTTTCGAGTGGCGGTTGTATGTAGTCGGGAAGATGACTGACACAGAAACTTTTCGCGGGGTAATGTTTATGGTGGGGCCACACGCAGGCAACTTGTCGCGGCAGGTTCCGAATGTATGGGCTCTACTCTAGAAGCATCTAGTCAGATCTGCAGAACGGCAGTGAAGTGAAGGGCTTTTTTAGAAAGATTGCTTGGTAAGGCTGGTATGCAGCAAAACAAAGTAGATCACGGGAACGACGAAAGAGTACGGAGAAGAAGAAGAAGAAGAAGTAGTAGTATGGTAGTAGAGTAGAGGAAACGATCCTATGCGGTCTCAATGGAGATTGATGTTCCTACCAGTAGCACGTAGAAGCCTTCGCACGACCCATCCACTCTACCACCACTTCCACCGTCCCTTCCACCGTCCCTTCCACCGTCCCTTCCACCGCTCCTTCCCTTGCACCTACACCTACACCCACCCCACTCACCCCACCAACCACCACCGGCACACTCTCCCCACGCCCACCACAATGATCAAATCCGTCCTCGGCTCCGCAGCCGGCCAGCCCACGATGCCGCAGCCGCTCGTCTTCGTCACGGGCAACGCCAACAAGCTGCGGGAGGTGCAGGCGATCCTGGGCTCCGCAGTGCCATCACTGACGAACCGCGCACTGGACCTGCCCGAGCTGCAAGGTAGCATCGAGGAGATCACACTGGACAAGGCGCGGCGTGCCGCGGCCGAGGTTCTTATCCACTCCCTTCCCCCTCCACTTCCCTTCGACGCACGGCTAACGAGGACGGTATGGGTTGGGTGGATAGATCGGTGGCCCCGTTCTAGTCGAAGACACGTGCCTATGCTTCAACGCGCTGCACGGGCTTCCGGGGCCGTACGTGAAGTGGTTCATGAAGGAGCTGGGACACGAGGGGCTCAACAACATGCTGGCCGCGTATGACGACAAGAGTGCGCAGGCCGTGTGCACGTTCGCTTACTGTGCGGGACCTGGCATGGACGCGGTGCTGTTTGAGGGCCGCACTGACGGGAAGATCGTCCCCGCTAGGGGCCCGAAGACGTTTGGTTGGGACGCCGTGTTTGAGTATCAAGGGCTGACGTGAGTACTGATCTGTGGTGGTGGGGGTGGGCAGGGTGGGCTAATGTGGGTGGGTGGTAGGTATGCGGAGATGGACAAGGAGGAGAAAAACAAGATCTCGCATCGGGGGAAGGCGCTGGATAAGCTGAAGGTGTGGCTGGCGAAGAATCACTGCTGATCCGCGGGAACCTTACTCTAGAGCAAAGGAAGTAGGCACAGCTTGTGGTTTTCACTCGTAGACACGGACACGGGCAAGAAGTTTGTTTTGTTTGTTTGGTATTACAGCCCTTGCTTGATTGCTAGCTGTCTATACACCCGCGGGATGGTCGGACTCCCAGGCTTTGACCCACTGTGTTATCCTCTCGACGTTGCTGTCGATCTCGTCGGCGTTGTCGCTGCGCAGCTCGATCACGATCTCCGGACTGTAGGATTCGCGCGCCTCCTCGAGGATCACTTGCATGATCTCCGAGTCGAGGTTTTCCTGTAACTTTTGTTCTGTGCTGTGTTAGTTCCGTCGAGCCGCGCAGTAATCTTTTGTTCCTCCCTCAATTAATCGGGAAAAGGTACCTGGGTAATTTCTGTGCACACATGCTCATTAACATCTTCCTCTGCACTTTAACCCTCGGGTACACTCTCACCTCGCCTTCAACCGATCATAAAGCAGTTGCGAATCCACGCGCAATACTACGACCAGGTCCACCAGGCGCTCAGGGAACACCTCGCACACATGCCAATCGATGATATTCCCGCCCAGCTCCAGCTGCGGCTCGATCTCGTCCAGCAGCTTGTCCTCATCGACGATCCACGTCTGCAGCTCATCGTCGTAGCCCTCGTGGCACGCCTTTTCCTTGACAACCTGGTTGACCGAGAGGTGTGTCAGGCCCGTGGCCTCGGCGAGCGATTCGCAGTGGCTGGATTTGCCTGTGGCGCGCATGTCAGTCTGGATGTTGACAGAAACCGGCGGGAGGCGAGGTACCAACACCCGGTGTACCGGTGATGATGATGTTGGGGCGTGTGCGAGGCATTGCGTTGAGTGGTGGGAGTTGTAAGTTTGGCGTGGTGGGGGACTTCGCGATAGATGTAGTTTCGAAATTAAGATTTCTCGTGTAACGTGGTGTAAAGATCTCGGAACATCCCGAAGAAGTGGCTCGCCTCGTCGAGTTGGACCGCGACCACCCGCGGCGTACATAGGGTGGCAGTGACGTATGATATTAGCCACCGCACAGCACAGTACACTCAGCACCTAAATAGAGTCCAGCAAAGAAGAAGAACAGCTCTCTTCAACTAAGGCAGGCATCCTCTCGAATCACACACGGCCAGCGCAATCGGCGGGAAGATTTGCATGTAACTATCTGTACCCGTCCACAGCTGCGGGCTCTCGAAACACGGCCATTGAGAAGCCGTGCGTGACGCACCCAACCCAGCCCAAACCTCGGCTGCTGAGATACCGGTTTGATTTGCTCGTGAATTTGAATGACCTGCGACATCACCTCTGGGCCTGCTGTCTTTCCTTCCCACCCTCTCCCTCCCTCCGTTCACATTCCGAACGAACAACCACAACTACGACGACGACTTTCGCAATGCCGGGATCAAGCCGAGTCCCCGTGTCGCTGAGCAACCTCTCATCGTACACCAAGGCCGCCGCGCGCCGCAATCCCAACGCCGTCTTCAACTTCGACCTGTAACCACGCTTCCCCTTCCCACTTCCTTCCACCCACACACACTAACCTCCCCGCGCCAGCCTCCGCAACATAATCTTCGCGCTCTTTGTCCTGCGACACTTCCGCAAGGCGATCCGACAGCTGCGCGGCCGCGGTATCCTGGGCACCCTAGCGAGCTTCTACCGCTACCTGCAACGCGTCGCGTACGGAGTGTTCCTCGGGCTGCCGTGGATACGCTCAAAGGTGCAGGGCCAGATCGACGAGGCGCTCAAGAAGCTTGAGGACCGGCTGGTCCCTAAGGGTCCCGGCGTCACGAGATATACCACCTTGCCAAAGGACGGACTTGACAATGATAAGATCAAGGAGATCTTGAAGGAGTATGTTTTTTCTTTCCTGAGGAGAAAGAGCGAGAGGGGGCAGATGTGAATGCTGATGCGGAACCAGATTGAGCGAGCTTCACCATGCCGAGTGGGAGAAGGGCCAGGTCTCCGGCGCGGTGTATCACGGAGGAAAGGAAATGCTGGATCTCCAGAGCGAGGCGTACAGAATGTTTGCCGTCAGCAATCCGCTGCACCCGGATGTATTCCCCGGTGTCAGGAAGATGGAGGCCGAGGTTGTCGCTATGGTGAGTTTTTGTTTGGTTTTGCATGATTTTGGGTGAATTGCGGCTGAGACTTGCAGGTTCTCGCCATGTATAATGCTCCCCTCGGTGCGGCGGGAATCACCACCAGTGGAGGAACCGAGAGTATCTTGATGGCTTGTTTGGCCGCCAGAGCGAAGGCGTACGAAGAGCGGGGAGTTACAGAGCCGGAGATGTGAGTCCACCAGTCTTCACATCCGTTGCAATGGCTGACAGTTCCGCCCAGGGTCGTTCCTACCACTGTCCACGCTGCGTTCGACAAAGCAGGCCACTATTTTAACATCAAAGTGCACCACGTAGACGTGGACCCCGTAACGTTGAAAGTAAACCTCAAAGCCGTCAACCGTCTCGTGAACTACAACACCATCCTGATCGTGGGATCAGCCCCCAACTTCCCGCACGGAATCATCGACGATATTACTGGATTGAGTAAGATTGCGCTCAGGAAGAGGGTCCCGCTCCATGTCGATGCGTGTCTCGGCTCCTTCCTTGTCCCCTTCCTCGAGAAGGCGGGCTATGAAACCGAGCCGTTCGACTTCAGAATCAAGGGTGTCACCTCGATTTCTTGCGATACTCATAAATGTACTCCCAACCTCACTCTCACTCCAATCGACTGTCACTGACGCTTTCCAGACGGCTTCGCACCAAAGGGCAATTCGGTCCTACTGTTCCGCACCAGGAAGCTCCGCCAATACGGCTACTTCATCACCGCCACCTGGCCAGGCGGTGTGTACGCCTCACCCACCCTGGCAGGCTCGCGCGCCGGCTCGCTCATCGCAGGTACCTGGACCGCACTCATGAAGATCGGTGAAGGCGGCTACATCAGCTCCTGCCGCTCGATCGTGGGTGCCGCGAAGGCGATTGAGACTGGTATTCGCGAGAAGCTCCACCCCGACCTCTACATCATGGGCGAGCCTCTCGTAAGTGTTGTCTCGTTCTCGAGTAAGACGCTGAACATTTACGAGCTCGCCGATGAGATGAACTCCCTCGGCTGGCACTTGAATGCCCTTCAGAGCCCGCCCGCGCTGCATATCGCCTGCACCAGGCCGACTGTAGAGGCGGTGGATAAGTTCTTGACGGATCTCGAGGCCGCGGTGCAGACCGTTAAGCAGAAGGGAAGCGATGCCGCCCCGGGCAATACCGCGGCACTGTATGGAGTGGCCGGAAGCCTGCCGAATAAGAGCGTTATCAAGAAGATGGCCACGGGGTTCATCGACACACTTTACAAAGCGTAGTAGTTTGTAGCATGTCATTCATTCATTTGTCTTCTTCATTTGCGTGCCTGTTTGTTTACGTATGCATTGCATTTCTGGTTCACATACACGATTGGAACATACATATCACATCGCATCATGATGTATACCTGTAGCTACTACTACTGCCACTACTACTCTGCACGCTTACTCTGTCGCTCTGTCTGTCTGCCTCACACCACCGTTCAAAAACACATCTATACCCGCTTTGCCGCCGCCGTGTATGTTGATTTCAAGGGCAAAATATACATGCTAGTGTTCTGAACCGAACCATCCTCCCGGCTCAGCTTCCAGGTGCCTCCGACTAAGCGTCCAGTCTGGCCGGGAAGTTTCCGTTCTCTGCAATGCAATCCCCACATCAACAACATGGACCTCGGCAAAGGGGGAGGAGGGGAACAAACCGCGCTGGGTATCCCACTTGTCCAACCAGGCGTTGGGGCACAGCGAGCGGTAGGCGTAGTAGAACTGCTTGCAAGGCATGAAGTCCTCGCCCTTGGCGTTGACGCACTTGTGGTAGTCGACGTAGTTTTGCCAGCAGTGCTTGGTCTGGTTCTGGTTGGGGAACCGGGCGTCGAAACCTGTCACACATCAGGGCGTCAGCGGTTGTGGAGCTGGGGCAATTGTAGCCGCGGGTGGTGGTGCTGGTGGTGGTGATGCGATGCGCCAAGACGTCGCGGAACAAGGTATTCGGCGGAGCGGCGGATTGCGGGTGGAGAGTTCCTGCTGCTGGAGGAGCTGACGGGTGCCGTACCTGCAGTCACGAACTTGAAGGGCTTGGTCTCTCTCTCGTCGTCGGACATGATTGCGGTGGTTTCGTTTCGTAGGGGGTGGTGAACGAGGTGGTGAGTGGAGATGTGTGAAACCGGGTGTTTGGGGGGAAGGTGATGATGGTACGATGAAAAGTCGGGTGATGGGTGTCGGGCCGGGGAATTTGTTACCCGGCACGTGGGAGGGGCAATGATGGTCAGTTCTTTTCAGTCAATTCACGATCATAACCACAACAATACGACATAACGATGAGACCACCACCGACTTTGTTTTCAAGAGCGTTGAATGTGGCGAGAGTTCCGTGGACCTGTGTGCAGTGCACCACCACGAAGGCCATAGCGACACCGTACAGCGCCTTCAAGACGACGTCCAGACAGCAGTTCTTCTCCAGCACGCCACTACGGAAACAATCCACCACCACCATACCGCCGACAGCAACAGTGCCACAAACATCACGACCCAACTACCGACCGCAGTACCGGCAACGAAACCAAGACTTACTGTACTACACACTGAGGTTAGCCCGGCGCCCTTCCCCCCGGAATTCCTCGGCATTGACATATCACCGCGTGCAGTCTCGGAATCGCAACGCTCACGCTCGCGTACGCCTCTGTCCCGCTCTACCGGGCAATCTGCCAACGCACCGGCTTCGGCGGCGTGCCAATAACCGACCAAACCCGCTTCACGCCGGACAAGCTGATTCCTGTGACGGCGGCGTCTCGGATCCGCGTGACCTTCTCCTCCAGCGTGTCGGACGTGCTCGAATGGAAGTTCACACCGCAACAGCGCGAGGTGCGCGTGCTCCCCGGCGAGACGGCGCTCGCGTTCTACACCGCTACGAACAACAGCAAGGAGGATATCATCGGCGTCGCGACGTACAGTGTCACGCCGGGCCAGGTCGCGCCATATTTTAGCAAGATCCAGTGTTTTTGCTTCGAGGAGCAGAAGTTGAATGCCGGAGAGACGGTCGATATGCCCGTCTTCTTCTTCATCGACCCCGAGTTTTGTGACGATCCGGCTATGAAGGGAATCGACACCGTTACGTTGAGCTATACGTTCTTCAGTAAGTGATCCTCTTGGTTTGAAGGAGTGGACGTCTGCTAATGGATTTGCAGAGGCGAAGTACGATGACAATGGGAATGTGAGGCCACTACCCGTGAGAAACTCGGCCACTTGAGGAGGAGGCTAGGTTGTATAATAGACATGACGGAGTTGTACGATATTTAGACCGGCTCTGGGAGACTGGGACTCGGAGTCTTGTATATAGAAAATGAGGCTTGATGCAAGATCACATGACGTCACTCGTCAGATGCCACACAAGTGCGGCTCCAAAGTGACGAACCAGCCACTTATGCAGCTCGCCTAATTTCAGAGTTGCGCATTGAAACTGGGGAAAGTGGTGCACCACTACGAAATTCTAAGCGCCTTAAACAAATATATGGCGTTAGACCACATAGAGCAGAACGGGTGATCGACTGTGATGTGGTATCCCTCTTCCTCAAACCTTCGCATGCAAACGAAATGAAAACAAGCAAAACATTATCAACGAAAAGAGAAATGAAAGAAATCCCAACAACCAGAGACCCCAGAAACCTCCAGCCGCGATAAAAGAAAAGATGCGAAAGAAATGATCGTCTCAAAAATGCGGCCAGTAGTTGCTCCATGGAACAACGTCGAAGGAGCCCTTCGGAAGGCTGCGAAGACTAATGAACGACTCGACTACCACGAAAAACCTAGCAGCGAGGATGAAGAGGGCATGGAGAGCTAAGAAACTAAAGAGTAAGAATAACAACAACCGCCTCATGTAATTCAGCACCTGGTATTTCCAACCTCGACTCTTCGTACCCCTTCTCTCCATACCTCGACTCTCCGTACCTTGATTCTCCATACCTCTCTCCATACCTTGACTCTCCGTACCTCGATTCTCCATAACTTTCAGGCTCGTTTTGCGTAAAATTTCGTTGAGCTCATCCATGCCTCGATAAATACAGATTCCCAGTGGTATCCCGGTCGCGAGCCCAACTGAGGAGATCCTCCGGAATAGGAGCTCAACTTCACTTGGCATGTGTGTATTCCATGCCCCGGCATGAGCACCGCCATAAGTCACAGAGAAAGCCACAAGCACAAGCCACGATTTCCTCCGGACCATTTTGGGCCGCGCAGAGCCACACTGCAGCACCATACGTGACCGAGCACATAAATTCGACCGAGCCGAACTGTCAAACCTAATTTCCCGAGGCCAGAGGCTAAATGCTGTGTCGCATCGATTTCGGAGGGCGGGCCCTCTCGCAGAATCATCACCATCGGATGGGGGCCACAAAAGAAAGGAGTTAAACCAGCGGGTATAGTAGAACAAATGGTGGAAATTTTGTTTCCGAATACGACGGCTGCGTGTACGAAAGCGGTTGCCTTCCAAGCGCTCAGGGTATTTTGTGTCCATATGGGCTGGTTGGCTCTCTATCCCGGCGTCTGCAGGCACGCCAGGCACGTGAAGCACATCCTCAACCGTTTCCTCCACATAAGAAGTACGATTCTTTGCTCCAAGGACCGTCGGAACATCCTTCGCATCGTTCCTGTGAGGGATATGGTCCTGTATGACGGGGTCTGCAGGCCCATCTCGAACCATACCCTTCACGCGAGAAGTAGAATTCGGTATTCCAGAGTCCACCTGCACATGCGGTACTGTATCTTTCTTGTAAGTGTCATGAGTCTGTTTTCTGAAAATTGGTGGTCGACGGTCGTGGCTTCCATCGAACGAACAGTATATCTTCTCCGCCAGGTCTGGTTCGAGACGCAGCACGACGGGGTATTGGATATCCATTGGCTTATGCCACCAGAACCCGTATATTGCAACAGCACAAAGCACGTGCATGATGGTGTGGAGCTCGATCAGCGTAAGAGGGAGTCGACTTGCCAGGCGTCCGGCTCCCTGGACGACGAGCCACTGAAAAACATATTAGCAGTCCTCTCGTTACCATTAAAAAAGGGGGAAAAAAGAAAAAGGAAGTATTTATGGATTTCTTACAAAAGCCTGGATACAAACAATGACCTTGGCTAGCCCATCAACTTTCGATTTATCCTTGACCACCCGGGCTCAAGGTCTTCGGCCTCTATTCCACCTTGTGCGTATAATAGAGCAAAGCCCTGGGGTGTCAACGTCACAGGATGTCCATAAGCCTTCTCGGGCCCAGGATGCACAGCATATCCCCCCATCAGAACGAAAAATGCAGACGTTAGGCTGAAGTGCGGTTCCTGTATATCCAGTCGGGTTCTCTGTATCTCTAGGATTTTCTTTCGGATTGCACGGGTCTCGAGGAATTGATTGTATGCGATCCAGAGGACAAATTCCGGAGCAAACATTCCCAGAAAAATCCACCAAAGCCTGAACAGGAGTAATCGTACACGGGTCGGTTGAGGGTTGATATTCATGTGTACCGCCGTCCACACGCAGAGACCGAGCGTAATGAGGCACGGCAGCAAGATACCCATGGTCCCCCACCGTGTAGGTTCCTCGCCCCACGACGGCTACGTTTCGGCGACTGGAAGAGCGAGCGTGCGGCGGACATGGCTCGCCGCGAGTAACCCGATGATGGTTTTCATCATTCTGGCAGCGCTTAGTTGCAGAAATCATGTCTTTGATGGAGGACCAACCTGCTCGCTTCCTTCATCCGAATATCGATTCCCTCATTTTGTCTCTTCTAAAATCCGGCGATGATAATTGTATGTAGGCCACGCAGAATTCCTCACACCGGCACTCCTGGCGGTAAGTCTTGGGAACTGCGTGGAAGAGGAGGACTTGGTGTATACTGCAATCCGTCGTTCCGCCGTCGCTTTCGTTCGTGTCGCCCGGAGAGCCGAGTATAGTACCGGTAGCTCTTGGCTGTTGAGTTGACAGAAAGCCCCAAGATAATATCCCGCAGTAGAGGCAACCCGTCTTCTTACGAACTTTGCGTTTCCCCCGCTTTCCTTAATTTCTTCTTGTGATGCACACGTGTTCGACACTGCCACCTCTTGCTGGCCAACCTCACGAATGTACGTCGAGCTGATGGCCGTCACATTCGCCCTACCATTGGTTTGACGTAGCGAAGGGTCTCAGATACCACCTCAACAGCCCGTCCACCTAGAAATTTGCTTTTTTTTAAGGTAACACGCCGCCAGTTGGGGTTGACTGGATTTATTGACTCGACCATCAACTACATTAACCATCATTCGCTTGGCTTGGTGAGTCATAACATCCCCATCCAATCTGAGTTGAATTTCGTCCGTGTACATACCTATGTGTTTCCGCTATCAATCCACTGGTTTGCTTCGGTATTCTCTAGCCCACTGCTTCCTACGAAGTCTTCCCTGCCAAATCAACCATAGCTTCCATTAAAATACTTGAATATAGCAAGTGTGTTTCCGTAGGGTAGGTATTGTCGATCAATCGAACACACATTCAGTCGTGAATCGACGGTGATATCTCACAAGATCACTCGGTTGTCTTGTTGAGCTAGACGGACCGGATATCTCTTGTATTTCTGTTCGATAGCTCTGCCATGGTCTACTAAGGTCGGATGCAATGATGATTAAACAAAAAAAAATAGTCTGTTCGATAGCTGTTTCTCGGGGTCGGGTCGTGGTTGGTTATTGATTCGTCGTCCTTTTTTATAGCTCGCGATTTTCTTCTGCGCGCCGCTCTTGAACATCCCGACGTCTTTCGGTATCCCACGCATTGATCCACCTCACGCATACTTCTCGATCAAACTCTTCCCAGGGTCGGTGCTTTCTCCTACGGGCATCGCGTTGCTGTCGTGTGGTGGGTGTCGAACGCGTAGCATCGCAACTTACTATTGAGTGCGCGCGCCAAGACACTCGCCCATTACCTCGTCTACTGACAACCACTCCCACCTCTCTAATCAAGCGGGTGGCCTTCACCCCACGGTCCCGCCCCTCCACCTCCCATTCTTCCTCCTCCATATCCTCGAGTCGCCAGCAATGAAGGGTCTACGCATGGACGAACTCTCGGCGGAGGTAGAAGTCCTAGAATCGTATGTGCATGCATGGGCCCCGCCGCGTCCCGTCCACACACCCCTCTAATCAAGCTCAGGAAGCTCGCCAAAACCGCCGAATTGACCAGCAAAATCTCGCTTTCGCTAAAAAAGCTATCCGCCAGCGCGCAGCAGGTTGAGACTGCCGTCAAGCCAATATACTCCAAGACGCAATCGCTTACTGTGCTCTCGTCGAGTGCGTGCCAATCTATATTGAGTTGGTCTACGGGAAGGTGCTGATCATGTGAGTGGCATAGATATCGACGAGACTATCAATGCGATTGACCGAGTGCGCCAGCCATCGGATGCTGTGTCGAAGGAGGAGGGGACCATACGACGGGGGTGCGTACATGATTCTTCCGGCGGGGATTTTGCGGGAAGGTGCTGATGCTGGGTGTGTACAGGCCACAGAAAGTCGGGCTTACCGCGTACCTGGCATCGCTGAAGCGGGTTAATGAGGGCTTGTCCGTGCTGAAGCAGTCGAATCTACGGAGCTCCCAGAAGGTTGTGCAGCAGATGACGGGGCTGCTGAAGGCCGGGAGCATGCAGCTAGAAGAGCTATTCCGACAGTCGTTGGCCGAGGACTCGCAGTCTGTAGAACCGCTACATTATATCACCAAAGGTTCTACTCTATTGTTCGTATTGAGGAGAATAGGAGCTGACAGACCGGCTTCTTCCTCGTGATAGATCTTCCGTTCCCGACCTTCAGCTCGCAGAAAACGAATACCCTTGCTGTTTTGAACGATTTCCTTTCCTCAACGCTTGCTACAGCATCAGGGCTACAGTCCAATGCTACCACGATCTATGCCGAAGTGCGTGGGCCGTACATTACCTCCTCGTTATCCACACTCGCTCTCGCGGCAATCAACACGACTCGTCGCAATACCACGGCGGCGTATGAGAGGGGCTCGAACGGTATCGGAATGTATACAAGCTCACTAGAAGGCATATTCGACGCCGAGTACGAAAACATCTGCCACCTCTTCGCGTCAAACACCTGGTCGACGGTGTACCACGGCACCACTGAGCCCGCCATGGCCGTGTTCAAGCGTACGATACAGGATCTCAACACCTTCATCACGCGAAACATGTCCACCGATTTGTATCTCGCCTACGAGATCATTGAATGCGTGCAGCCGACCAGTGCCCGGCTGAAATCCAAGACTGGAGAGCAGAGGGAGTTCACGGATGCTCTGAAACCGATACGACAGACGGCGCAAAGCAGCTTCAACTTTATGCTCGAAGACTTGAAGCGTGCTGGGCAAATAATGGTGGTGCTGCCGGTAGACTTCACCGTCGCCGAAATCACCAAGGACACCATGGCACGCCTGCAAAAGTTATCGGAATACCAATCGTCAATCTCGAGTCTCCTCGTCGCCCTCGGCGACGGAAACTGGAAGCGTCCCTATGACTCTCTGAATCCGAATCTCACCTCCTTTGACGTGGGCGCGGACGGTGCTCTCCTGCTATCCCACTTCCTCCTCGAGATGGTGGACCAGCTCATCACCGAGCTCGAAGGCAAATCACATGGTCTCCTCAAGAAGAAATCGAATATTGCAGTGTTCATGACCAACAACGTATCCTTTATCGAGGCCACTATCCGCCGCAGTGACTTGAGCAAGATCATGACGGGCACTGCACTCAGCAAAATCGAGAAGTGGAGGAAGGATGCTATCAAGCTGTATATGGAGTCCTGGAAGGAGTGTGCAGCTTTCCTGATGGATGTTACGTACACCAAGCAGCAGCAGGGTGGTAAGGGCCTTACGGGCAAGGAGAAGGAGGGGGTTAAAGATAAATTCAAGGTACTTACTCTCCGCATCTAACTACCCCCCTCCGCCCCTCACTAACCTGAGATAGAACTTCAATATTGCCTTTGAAGATTTGGTCACCAAGCACAAGGCCTATAACTTCGATAAAGACGTGCGGACCATGCTCTCCAAGGAGATTGGATTCGTGGGCCCACTTTATGGAAGGTTCTATGATAAGTATAAGGACGTCATCAGCTCGAAGTATGTCAAATACGATCGGCCGAGTTTGGATGCGATACTGGGTGGATTGTAGTTAATCGGATGGGCTACGAAGGGGATGGAGTTTTATATCATGGCGCTTTGTGTTTTTCCTGTACGTTTTAATGATGGTGGCGATACCCAGTTAATTTAATCAGCGGGTACTTCTTATACACAGTGACAGTTGTCTGATGGTTTAGAGGGGGCCCTGCATCGTAGGTCTCCCACGGTATCACTCGTGGATAGCCAAGTCCCCGGACCTATCTCGGCCCAGTGCAGCAGTATGATAATTGCTGCCGAGGCACCTGTCATGCACGCACCCCAGAAAAAGACGAGTGAGATATCAAACTTTTTTAATTCACATCTCCAAGGTATCAAATAATTCCCCAAGCGCACGTCATAACCCGTAGCGACTTCATGTACATGTACACCCAACGAAAGAGAAACAGAAACAATAATCAATCGCCAGCCAGAACCGGAAACCCCCCTTACAAAACCTCATTAACCCACAGTCCCGCCATTCCCATGCCGGTGCCGATACACATGGTATTGACAAACAGCTTCTTCTTCTGTCTCCGCATCTCTGCGAGGCCAGTGACGACCTGTCTGCAACCCGTGGCGCCGAGAGGGTGGCCGAGGGCGATGGCGCCACCCCGGGGGTTCACCTTCTCGACGTCCAGCTTCAGCTTGTCGACACAGTACACGGCCATCGAAGCGAATGCCTCGTTCAGCTCAAAGATGTCGATGTCGTCTACCGTGAGCCCGAACTTATTCAACAGCTTGGGAACGACGATGGATGGACCAATACCCATGATCCTGTGGGCGGTGGGTTAGCAAGAAACGGATAGACCAGTGAGGGGAGGGAGATGACAAACCTGGGAGGAAGACCAGCGACTGTGGCGCCGCAGAACTTTGCGAGAATAGGCTGTCCCAGCTTCTCCGCTACACTTCTCTTCATCAGCAGCACGGCGGCGGCACCATCCGTGACCTGGCTCGAGTTTCCACCCGTGCTCCGATCACCCCACTGCGTGAACGCCGGGCGGATCTTGCTGAGCCCCTCGTAGGTAGTTCCGTAGCGAATGCCGTCGTCCGCAGAAACAGTAACCTGCTTCTCCTCGCCCGTCTTCGGATCCTTCCACGTCGTGGTGATGGGAACGATCTCCTCGGCGAAGAGCCCGGACTTCTGCGCGGCCTCGGCGCGCTGGAACGAGGCCGCCGCGTAGCGATCCTGCCGCTCGCGCGGGATGTCAAAGTCGCTGCCGACATTCTCGCTCGTCTGGCCCATGGTCATGGAGCAGTCCGCGGCGTCCTGGTTCGCGCCTGTAATGGCGGCGGAGAATCCTGGGCCCTGCTTGTCCACGTTGAGGGACATCTGCTCGATTCCGATCGCCACGCCGACATCGATGGACCCGCAGCTGATCTGGTTCGCGATGTTCTGGATGGCCACTAGGCCGGAGGAGCAGAAGCGGTTGGTCGAGGAGACGGAGGTGGTGTTCGGGAAGCCGGCGGCGAGCGCCGCGGCGCGCGCTTTGTAGGGGACGCCGACTTCGTTCACGTTGCCGACGCAGATATCTTCCACTGCTGATGGGTCGATCTTGGAGCGGGAGAGGAGGTGCTGCATCAGCTGCATCAACAAGATGTCGACGGGTGTGTCTTTGAGACCGCCCTGGTGGGTGTTAGCAATGCGTGTGTGGGAGGGAGAGGGGGGGGAATTACCTTGAAGGCTTTGGTCAATGGCGTGCGCATAGCACAGGTCAGGACTACATCGTCGGCATTCTTTGATGTCCTGTATCGAAACGAATCATGAGCTCAACCCCCCATGCAGCGCATCCCAGAGAACCTACACAGCTGAAACACCAGAGGTGTTGCCCTTCAAGTGACCGAGGATGTTGGAGAGACGTTGAGAAGACATGGTGTAGTATGTGGAGTATGCTGCTACAATGTGGAGGAAGGAAGAAGTATGGAAGAAGGATGAGAAGTTCTTAAGGTAAATCCGGTTGTTGCGGAGACCGCGTGCGCGTGAGCTCGGCTCTTCCGTCACAAGTAATGGGCCGAGGTCGAGGTGACGGAGCTAAATAATTGTGGCAACAGGTGCTACACAGCTTGTGATACGTGAACCGGGGTTGACGCACCACCCCCGCACAACCCGTGGATACCAGTGCCGGTACAGAAGGAAGGCCAATAGACAACTCGGTCGAAAGCGGTACTTTCTACCATTTTGGCCGATGGAAGGCCGACGAAATGCCGACTGCCTATACGCTGACCAAATGGCCACACGCGTGGCGGAGTAATTCACGCCTTATTCGCACGGGAAGCCGGCATCACTCGGGCGTTCAAAGGGTCTGGTCTAATTCATTACTCCGAGACTCATACACCAACACTACTCTCTAATACTCACTGTGCGCTCGCTCGCTCCCTGACTTGCCCTTTCACCCAGATAAGATACAACCCATTCACCGTGTGTTGATCCCACCCCACCTTGAGCACTTCAAAGACATCCAAGGAATTCAATGGTAAACACGATGGGCTCCGTCGTTTCGATCTTGACGACGTCGTCGATGGTGTGATTACTAGTGCTCACCATTCCGCCAAACTTCGTTTCGGTATTGGTCAAATTCCACTCGAACCCCTCGGTAGAGATGGTCGAAGGGCCGCCGACGGGAATGATACCGCAACACGGTCCCAACAGCGACCGTGGAGTCTTCACAGTATTCCTCCCCGGTGCGAGCAGGAACGTCACGTTCTGATCGCTGAAGAGGTATATCTGTCGCCCCAGACCCGGCCCTTGCTGTGCAGTGAACAGCATGTGAATCTGGCGTGGGTAAGCGTCAGCACCTCGCTCCCGTCTCAAGATCGCAAATAACAAAAACCCCTTACAGAATGAAAACTCTGATCAACTCTCCCGCCGACTGCCCCGAGCGCGACAACAGTCAACTTGGGATGCTCGACTCTCACGCCCTCGGCGGTAAGTGATGCTTCGACCGTGTTGGGTGTCACGAAGGAATCTGGCGGGTCATGGGTCGCGATGTAGCGCATGCATTTGCCGAAGTCTGTCGAGTTCTGGTCTGCATCTTGAGATACTTCGACGCCTCGGGACTCGTAGTAGGCTCGCACATCGGGACGGAGCGAATCGAGGTCTCCGATTATCGTATTGGGAAGCTGGGAATCCGTTAGTGAGATACTTCTTCACGCGCGGAGTTGAGCGGGGTGAATCACAAATTTTGGTCTCTCTTTCGAGCTCAAGAAATCGAACAACCTATTTGCACCTCCATCTGCGCAAACACGCACCGTCGCTATTTACACATCATCAGCTCGAGCTCCGTGTGCCGTATGCGGCGAGGCGACTAACTGTTTTTCCACAACGCAGTAAAAAACTTGTTGGTGATTTTTTGGTTCAGTATCAGCAGTGCGAAAGGCGGTCTCTCCCGGGCGACCTCTCCGGCGTCGTAGTAGCTCGAAGGGTCCCAGTAAGTGACCGCGGGTAAGGGTTCGACGCAGGAACTGCCGACCTTCGACTCTTCGCATCCCATGGTGATTGTGTAAGTGCTGTTCTGGATGGTACTCTGGGACCTGGGTCGGTAGCGGAGGATGAGAGACAAATGGTGGAACGGGTAGGCATGCTATGGAAACGAGACTGCGAGGTATGTACCTAAGCAAGTAGGTTCGTAGGTGTTTACGGCAGAAACAGAGTTACAGCTACATCCGGTTGGCTTCTAGAAGGAACTAAGTGCTCTGCCACCATGGAAGAAGCATCGCATCGCTTTCAATGTTTCCATTTTTGATCCAGATTCCCGTATATCGATATTTCGATTTCATCTAACAAGTAGTAGTTGACCGAACAATTTCACAGCCGAGTCCACTGCCTGCGCGGCAGCGGCAGTCGCGGAGAGCCGCTAGTTAGAAACCAAGCTACCGAGCAAGCAACGCTTAGAAATCCGCAATTCCGCATCCGAAAAAATGCCCAAAACACTCGCAAGCAAGTTCCACTGACGTACCCACCTCTCCGACGACGAAACCGATCCCCACCCCCGACACTCACTCAACCACCGCATCACGATGTTCGGTACTACAGCTCGCTCGGTACTGCGACGAAGCGTCGTCTCTACCCCTCTCACCCGCCAATCCCGAACCCTCTTCATCTCCGCAGCAAAGCCGCGATGGAGCCTCAAATCGACCGCCCTGCGATGGGTCGCCCTCGGTGGAGTAATCTACTACTACGGCACGTCTAGCGCTTTCGCCGAAGAGCCGAAATGTACGCCGACCTACCTACCCCGGGGTTCAAACTAGCTCTGACGTGGTGCAGTCATCGAAGAACGGCCGCCACAATCTACAATCGACGAGGAGCGTCCCCCATCGCTGATCGACGATGTCAGAAAGGCGGCGAAGGAGAGGCAGGGGCAGGCAACTGAGGGCGATGAGGACTCGGAACACGTGTCACCCACCGTCAAAAGCGAGGCGAACGGCGCACCCGTGGCGCAGCCCGGTAGCAAGGAGGTGGGATCGATTGAAGCCGGAGCTGGAGAACTGGCGGAAGAGGCTGGACAGGAGGGCGCCTTTAACCCTGAGACTGGGGAGATCAATTGGGACTGCCCTTGCTTGGGCGGAATGGCACATGGACCTTGGTATGTTGCGGCTGGGATGGGGACAATAGCGCGGAGGTGCTGATGAGATGCAGTGGAGAGGATTTCAAGGCGGCTTTCAGCTGCTTCGTTTACTCGACAGCTGATCCTAAGGGTGTTGACTGCGTCGACAAGTTCAAGGCTATGCAGACTTGCTTCCAGGCGGTATGTGCTCCATTGCCAAGTTCACGGGAAAACTATGCTGACCAACCGATTCCAGCACCCCGAAATCTACGGTGCCGAGCTCGATGACGATGAGGACGAGTTAGACATTGAGAAGCCGGTAGACGCACAGGTTGAGGAGCCGCAAGAGTCGCGTGTTGAGAGGCCAGAGATCACAGAGGTCGATCCGACGCCGAGTGACGCGCCACTTAAGGACAAGAAACCGGAGGACAAGCCGGAGGACAAGAAGCCGGAGGACACACAGTAGAAGATGTACGGATGTGAAGAAAAAAAAACGCCGTTTGTGATGTACAATAGACAAATCACCAAATGCATTATCTAAGGATCGGACGTAGTATCGCAGGTTGCGTGTGGATTTACATGACCATAAAAGAAAGAAAGCACAGTCTGTCACCCGAAAAAAAGAATTGATCCCGCTCTGCGGCTTAATTTTAGTCTGTTCCGTTTCCGAGGCTCTCGTGCTCTCGTGACGGGTTGTCACGAGGGGTAAGTACTTGGACAGATCCCTAGTTGGGCCAGAAGGCTTGGTGAAACCAATCGCAACTGGGCCAATCGACATACGTCATAGGTTTGATTGGAGAGAAACTTTCAAGTACAAAGCCGCCCGCGTCCGATTCCCCGTCTTTCGGACACCACATCGCACACCAAACACAAACCACACCACCACCCACCACAAACACCACAACCACCACCACTCATCCACCCATCCAAACTTCATCATGTCCGAGTCAGGTTCTGAGATGTCCTACGCCGATGTTGTAGCCAGCGGCCCCCAGCAGTCGGCGGAAGAAGTGAGTTCCCTCGTACCCCCACGATCGTCGGATCACATGCCTTGGTATCTGTTTGTATGTTACTCGGAATCACTAACACGAAATGTTTCGATTCTAGGCGTACGTCCAACCTCTCATGACGATGGCAGTCGCGATGGAAACAATCCAACTGACGATGAAACATACAGCCGTGCCAACCCTGTTGACGAGGTCATACCCACCGACCAATCCGTTGAGTCCCTCATCGACGTGAACACCGGAGTCGCCGTGGTGCCCAACGACTTCTTGGAGCAGGAGGTTTGTGTTTCCCCGGCCCACCCACTACTATCCCACCCCCGCCGGTGACCCCGCTAACCCACTCCACCTCCAGGTCCAGACCGAGACACAAGCGAAGCGCATAGAGCTCGAGGAAGCTGCCGCTGCCGAGGCTGCCGAAGCCGCCGAAGCCGAGAAGAAGGCCGAGAAGAGGGAAGCGAGAAAAGAAAAGGCCTCCGACAAGGCATCCGACAAGGCGGCAAAGAAGGAGAAGGCGAAGACTCTGGCGCAGAACCCGATCATTCAGGCGAACGGAGTTCTCTTCGCTATTGCGGCTATCGCTCTCGGCTTTGGCGCCTACCGGAAGCACCAGGCGGGACAGCTCACCTGGAAACTCGCCGGGCTCTGGAGTGTGGGAGTCGCCACGCTTGTGGGAGGCGACTATTGCCTCAGCAACTTCCTGTGGAAGAAGTACCCTTTCTCGAAGAAATAAGCTTGCGCTGCGGGTGATGGTGTAGCAACTGTTTCTTCTATTTCTTCCCTTCTCCATCCACTCTTCTCTCTATGTGCAAACCTCTACTCCTCATCTCATCTACATTTCTTTCAGTCTATTTTTGCGGGCGGGCGGGATGGCTCTTCCATGGTTTTCTTTTCGGCGAGCGGGGTTCTCGGGAAGGGGAGGATAATTGTAAATGGGCGATTCTTGATTCAATCTCCATTCGTTCCCACTCTACTTGCGGTAGGGTGAGGTGTTCACTTGATTTCCATCGAGATCCACTCGGCGGGCGGGTGGGCGATGATCGATCTACATACGTGGTGTGCGGTGGGTGTGCAGAATTGGCCAATGAGAGAGGGCGGAATTGCCGAGCCACCGGATCACCGGGACGTTCCGGTTATGTGACATGCAGGCAGTTGCGCGTTGTACCAGTAATATCATGTGCTTAGCTCAGTCATGTTAGCTTAGTCATGTTGGGCGCGCAAGCCGTATTGAATGCCCTGACTTTTACATACTATGCAAAGGTCCATAATTGTATGACTAGACTTGCAGACTTCACCTTCCAAAGATCGATCCATATTCGACAACCCAGCGCGGACCAGCCTGACGAGTGATACTTTATGATGAGTTGGAAATTGGGATACTACTTCCTAACTATCCATCCACGCCTCTGTAGTACCGTAGCCTGTCGCTATTAGAGTTGCCTGTAAGTGCAAGTAGAATATGTACAGCCTTCTGAGATCTGCCTCCCAGCGACCCCGAGTGCCATCCGATGCCTGTCCACAACTTTCACACCCCGATGATGAACGTGCACCCGCACATGCAACTCACACACTTCCCCCACGGAACAAGACCAAAACATATATCAAAAACGACAAGCTTCGAACTTGCGCGGGCGAACCCATGAGATGCTAATCGACTTCATAAGTGGAAGTATTCGAGTCGTACTACTTAACAAGGTAGGTACCTATGTAGGAATACATGTATAGGCTTATCCTTTGGCGTGTAGATTAAAAGCTACATTATCTGTACCAAATGATAAACGGCCGTTCATTGTATCTCACTCTCTGACAAGCTACCAGCACAAAAAACTGCGTGCCCGTAGGTCTGAAAGCGTTTGTTAATCGGAGGTCGAAGGAGATCGAACCGTACTGAGTGGAACTTCATCGTGATGAGCACACGTGTGGCTGGCTCGAAATGTTTGTAGTTTTCGAAAGTGAAAGATCCGGGGCCGGAGAGCGCAATTGAAAATGGAAGGATGATACGGCTGGGAGATAATCGGATGTGGCAGACTGAATGTGCTTTACCGGAGCAATTGAGCTTAATGATTTAGAGTGGTTACGGCCGTCGCGTCTTTGTGTGGCTATTCTGGCTTGTTTTTTGAAGCCACCTATTCGTGTAGACGGCCGGGTGATAGCAAGTGATTTGTCTTGCACCAGCCGTACTGTGCCGTACTGTGCCTTAGCAATCCGCAACCTTAGTGCAGTGAGGGTCTGATAGTCACACGTGTGGCCGGTTCGGAATATTTGTAGTGTTAAACGGTGAAAGATCCGGGGCCGGAGAGCGCAATGGAAAAGGGAGGAGGAGACGATTGGGACATAATCGGATGTGGTAAACTGAATGTGCTTTACCGGAGCAATTGAGTTTAACGATTTGGAGTGGTTATGGCCGTCGCGTCTTCGAGTGGCTATTCTAGCTTGTTTCTGGAGGCTATCCATGTAGACGACCGATTTATAGCGAGTGATTTGTCTTGCATCGGCTGCACTGTGCCTTAGCGATTCGCAACGCTGGTGCAGTGAGAGTCTGGTACATACATACGAGACAAGCAGATGATGTGAAGTGATCTTCACATTTCACTCGGCAATCTCTGCCACTCTACACAGTAAGTGCAAGAACAAGTGCTTGGATCTCACAGGGTCACCTCCCAGGCCCAAGTGCATAGCTCCACCCAACCACCACCCCAGCAACTTTCCAAGAAATCTTCCGATATGCACACCATATGTATCGTTCTTGCTTCGACTTTTCTTCATATGTAGTGCCTCCTACCCCGCTAGGATATCCCGGATTTTCGGTACAATTGACCTTTCAAACGTGAATCGGTTGGTTATTGGGCCGACTCGATCATTCGGCCTGATCATCTGGCCGGCGTGGGCTCCCCACGGCCATTGCCATTCGAGTCCCGCTGTAACCCCAAAAGAAGGCCCCGTGGCGTGAGTCTGGTTGTGAGTCTACATAGCTTCTAGGCTTCGGTCGTGCGTACGCTGTTAGCCAACTGTCTCCAAGTTGACTTGAAATTCCTGCTTCGCTGCCGGGCCCTTTGTGCCATATCTCGTCTACTTCTGAAGAGCACTGTTGTGTATTCAGAATACTTTTTAGGTATTAGAATACCTGCTTAAATGGAGTAAACATAAGAAGAGGAAAGTTAAAAAATAAAAAGAATATATCGACAACGACAAGATTCGAACTTGCGCGGGCGAACCCATATGATGTCATCAACTGTTGAGCATTCGAGTCATACTCCTTAACCACTCGGACACGTTGCCATTAATGAAAATGTGTTATGCCCAGTAACCATACGGTAAACAAATCCACTGTTACTCTACCCATCTCCAAAATCGTACGATATCTTCATAACCACGGGCAAGCATATCGATATGGCCCACATCAGGCCGTTGGGAAGTCGTGTAGATTCAACCGACGACAACGACATAGGTTCTAGCGTTCCCTCCCCCTGGTACATGATCTTCGCGATTCCGAGTCCCGACCCGGGGACCCCTCACCACCCCCACCCATATTGGCCAGTGTTAAGCTCGCAGCGCTTGTTTCTGATATCTCAGGTTCATCCGATATAAGGAATGGCGCCTAAACTCGCAGCCGCGGTATTGACTGGGTTTGGTTTATCCGGCTGCCGCTAGACTTCACTCCTTCATCGTTGCGAATATCAGAAGGCATAACATAGAGCTTTAAATCCACGGTAATATTAAGAACAATAAAAGAGAGGTTCTCTTGGGGGCATCGGCAAGGGCCGTGGATGGACTGCGTGCCAAGGGGCGACTCGTTTGTTATTCTATTTTCTCTGACTTCAAAGCCAGCACAAGCTGCTCCTCCGGCCCGGTCCTTACTCGGACACGGATCCCACCAATTCGACCTACCTGCCGGCAACCCAACGACGACTTACGCAAACTGACTGGTAGGCAGGGGGTAAGCTGCGGAGAGTTTTCATCTTCCAGCAGAGACCTACAATGCAGAATACTGTCAGCTAATGCCATGGAATCAAGGAATGCGGTTGTTCTCCCCGTGCATCCTGGCTTTTACCTGAGACCTATAGCAGCTCGACGTAACCACTCCATGGACTTTCCAGATTCCAGACGCCTGCGCTCGAACTTACAGCTGGGCATTGACATGCTCAACATTCTGTCCCCAGAATTAGTACCTAGTGGCCCCGGCGTTGTACCGAACGGCAGGAGGCCAAGATAATCCGTCCTTCAGCCGGCGATCTCAGCATTTCTCGCGGGGTAGAGATCCAATCTGCCGGGTCTACCACTGGTCACGCTGATACATACCAATCCGGGCATGCTATATATGGCTGGAATGCTGCGGCCACCTTCTGGACCGGATCGGAATGCGTCGCTTACCTCTCCACGAGTTTGTAATACTGAGGGTCGATGGCCTTCACTGCTTAGAATTAGGTATGCATGAATGGCACTGAAGTTTGATGTGCGGTAGGTATCCGATGTCAAGAGCGGCAATTAGTGTTAATTAGGCGCGCGCAGCCGGCGCATGACTTGCATGATATCCGCAACACGTCTGCAACAAAGGGGGTTCATGCGTTAGGAGCATTGTGCTAAGCAAATCTATATCTATTAGTAGTTGCGAGAGTCAGGCAACTAAATCGAAGTGACGCTGGCGTTAGTTAGCATGCACGTCCTAGACTTCGGAGTTCAGAATAAGTGATCGCTTATGATCTGTGTCTCGTAAGCCACAGCGCAAGTAGAAACAATGATACATATCCACATTTTCGACAGTGCGGAATTTTACCCCGCGATCTACCTTTAATCCAACATTGCGACACAGTGAGAAAGACCTAGTAGTTGTAGTAGAGTCACTTCCAGCGGGCGCCACGGGTTCTGCGGGGGCCCCACACACAAAAGAGGGTGAATCACGCTGTAAAAAGCGCATATTAGAGCCGCATCTATTATTCGCGTGAGCCATTCCAACTGAAACTCGCAGGTGGAGATCCTGATAGAAGAAGATGCGATTGAGTATGGGAATGTCAAGCGCCATTTTGGGTCACGACAGCTGGTCGCCGGCGATCTGCGGGACAACGCGAAAACCAGTGAGCAGTAATTCTGCCTTTCATAGTTGTTCTCTTTTAATACTAGACTCAAATCACATCCGTGGTAGCCGCGCGTCCAGATTGGCCTCAGAGTGCGAACAGCTGGTTCGGTCACCGGTCAGGAGTCGAATACTCTGTAAGCCTCGAATCACATTGAGTCACTCGAGCCCGTGATCCAGCTTGCTTTGGCGGGTAGGCAGTACTCAAATACCTCAAGGGCGGGAACCAGAAACAGGCCATCGTTAGCGCAAGCTCGTGGACGGTCTCTCCTCAGACGGCCTACGGTAAGGAGGATCATAATTTATGACTCGCGTTTCGAAGCTACGGCTCCCCGGCATTACCCCATAGGGACAAAATTGCATCCCCGAAATCACCGATTTTCCTCCGAATTAACCTGCCGTGCAGCATATCCATCACTACACCCCCGAATAACACAACCCTCCGAGGCCGCTAGCAAAAACAGGAATAAAAGCACCCCTTGTCGCCAGAAAATGGATTCGAGGCGGAGACATGACGAAGAGAAGATCACCATCGCCACCGAAGTACCAGTACACACTGGTATCGAGCTGAAGAAACCGCTGCCATGGCCGCGGGGCCCGCCTCTGCTATTCTGCAACGTCACGCCGTCAGCTTCCAACCGCCCCTGACTCCTGAGTCCACACGAAGAGCAACGCCGACAAGGAGTCGGACAGAGCAATGAGTAGAATAGCTGACAATCTGGCCTGCGCCATCGAACTCTTCACACACCGCTAGAACCCCCAACTGGAGTATGTAGGTATTTGGAATACATAACATCTGCTAAACGAGAACGCATTAGTTACGGTACTTGGAGCACTCGAATCGACCGAACGCGCACAACGCTAGCGGACAGGTGGCGGAAAGCAGCAAGCGAACGCAATGGTGATTAGATCTCAGTCGTGGATCTCACGCACCCCTTCAGCCTCCTTCTCCGCCATGGGATCGATCCCGCTTGACGTTTGATCTGGACTCGTTCTCTTCGGCTGAAGGATCTGCTTGCAGGAATTAGAACCCGACTAAAAAAGCAACATATCCCGTCGCATCCAGTCACTTGAGTGCTGAGAAGCCGCGGCAAACGTTGTGGCTGGAAAAGAAACAGGTCGGTGTCAGTTACTCATGCATAAACCCCCAACATGGCGGTTTTGCAACGGATCGTGGCACAGAAAATCAAGCGGCCAAGCCTCTGTTTTACTGCTTCGCAACCATCAACGCAGGAAAAGTCTCACCATCCTGCCCGGGAAAAAACAAAAAACAAGAGAAAAACAAATAACAGAAAAACAAAAACAAAACAAAACCGCAACACGTATCAACCACCAGCAAGCAAAGCAAAGAAAATCCCCCACATCCGACGGGATCCCAGGCGACCCAGAAAGTAAAAACGCCCGAAATCCCAAAAGCCACAATAAACGCACATCGGCAGCATTCGCCCCGATGAGCACTTCTCCTCCGGCCCAACCACCCACCTTCCCCCGCTCCTCTCAGCGGCTACGTGACCAGTGACCATTCAGACCCGGACGTGGACGGACGGACGGGGGGCCTTGGCCGCCGCAAACCACCGACTCCCCGGGGCTCTGTTCGTTCAGCCTCCGCGCGCACCCGCCGCCAAAATGCAATGCGAATGGCAGTTCAGTTCAGCCGCTCGAGCCTTCACATCTGCATTGCGTACGTACTACATGGGGTCGAGATGGGCTCCCCGTATTCCCTCCTGTGGCTCTCACTGGTCGTCGTCTCGAAGAGGGGCCGGGTCTCGCGATCGGGCCACTCGGCTGGCTGACACGATCTTGGCTTGGGCTGGTCCCACCCACCCACCCACCCACCACTCACCTACGGCTGCAGGTACGACAATCGAATACCTACCATACCTATGCTCCACCATGCCAGTGTGCCTCCTACGGCCCAGCCAAAGGGGGCTGTGGTTACGGTACCTCAACGGGCCGCTGCATAGAGTGTATGTGTACTTTTTCTCTCGCTGTCCACCCGGAACGCGGAGTGCGCCCTTCTTCTTCTTTTCTTGCCGGCTCGGAATCCTCTGGTACCCGCGGCATGGATGCGATGGAGAAGGAGAAGGAGGAGTGGCATGTGGGTTAGGGGTCATTTTTGACCTGTCTGCTGCTGCTGCTGTGGGGGGAAACGACACCCTCTCACCCACCCTCCTCCACCGAGGCGCCAAATTTCCCAAACCCAAGGAGTGGAGTCCACGGATGATTTGCACACTCTACATAGCACGGGACCCGTTATGTCCGACCCCGACCCCCGACCCCCGACCCCCGACCACCGCGCCGACAGAGGACTGCTTTCTTTTTCCCCCTCCCCCGTCCCGCCCGAGGCACAACATACATAAAATCACCAGTGCAGTCCTGAGCCTCGGCGCGGTGGTGGTGGTTGTACGAGCGTTGCTTTTTTAGGCAATTGACGGCGCTAGGTATCCATACCTACCAGTCACTCCACTTGCTTGTAGTCAGGATCTCTCATTTGATGATCTTCCGTAAGGCAGAAGGAGGACATCAAATTATGTTGGAAGCCACTAACAAGCAGTTATGGATCTACCGTGCCCGACTCTACTCTACTCTACCACGTTGTCCGAGAGAAATTGAGAGGAACGGCAGAAAGCAGCCACCTCCCTCCCTCAGCGGGGCAATGAACGAACGCAATTTCGAGCGCCGCCGGTAGTTGCCATAGGTAACTCATTCAACATGGCGGCGGGCGCGAAGATCACTACTCCGTCGACTGTCCAGCGGCGCACGTCCCGCAGACAGACAAGGCTTATGTAGAGTAGGTATGTGCTACACATGACCTTGATAAAACATAGGCGCCGCGGCGTCAGATTGTGATCTTCAACGAAATGTAGATATCTACTGTCAGCTGAAGTTGGAACATCGAGGTATAAATTGCAACGGCCACTCTGCGAATCTCCGGTCCCCCCTCACCACCACCACCCGCAGCGAGGCCCGCACACGGCAGCGCGAGTCGAGTGACTATACATGTTGCCTTTTTGATGCAAACCACCGTATGGTACTTATCACCTACATACGGCCTATAAAAAGACAGTCCACGTGAGTTTGAGGAATGAGGAATGAGGGGGAAGGGGTGAAGTGTGGCAGGAGCGCTTACGCCACCAGGCCACCTTCCCAAGACCCCCCAGGCTCCTAGTAGCCGCCACGTTTGCCGGCCTCGGGAGGGAGGGAGGGTGGGAGGGAGGGAGCTGCTTAGTTGGCATCGGCAGCATTACATACCGGCTGGCGGTCTAGCCAGCGGCCACAGCCTTGTATGCCATATGTACGGTATAGGTAGAATAAGCACCAGCGGTCCAGCGCTTCGCATCTCGGCAGTCGGGCTCGGACTTGGACTCGGACGAACAAGCATTTGTAGAATATGCACGCATCAGCATCGCATTAGCATTACGATTACGGGGGTGCCGGTGGGAGTGCATATGTGCATACGAATCCTCCCAGTAGAGTATGTGTGGTAGGAGGTAGGTAATAGGTGGGTAGTTGAAAGCTGACGCTGCATTCTATCCCATTCCTTTTCACTGCTGTGTGTTTCCAGTATTCCAGTATTCCAGTATTCCAGTATTCCACTGTTTCCAGTTAACAAGGTATTAGTTGGGGCACGCAGCGAAGTCCGTGGGCGATCTGCTAGTAGTATGTACTGTAGAGTACTCTAACGACATGCTTGCTGACTTACCTAGTTCCTCCCCCGCGATATGTACGAGGTACATAGCATACGTACTCTTTTACTTCACACACAGCCACTGTCCTCCCCTCTCCCCTCCTCCCTCTATCCCCCTCATCTCTCCCTCCCTCTCTCCTCTCTCTAAGGGGGTTTTCCGAGGAATCAGCAGGTAGAGTATGATAGTTGGTGGTTGCAAGCCCCGCCGATCCAGAGTCGGCCGTGGCTGCTGCAGCCTGCATATCATCAGCCCTTCGAGAAGGACCTGAAACAGGCCACTGTCCTTGACTCCTTGCACACCCTTGCATGCCGGCAGGACAGTAAACCGTACCGCACTGTACCGCACCGTGCTGTAGTAAATAGACGTTATGTACCGCACTGTACTGTAGCAAATAGACGTTATTTATGTACTCTACAGGAGGGAGGGAGGAGGTGTGGGCGCGGGAAGTAGGAGGAGGGGGGAGTAAACAAAACACTAACCAACTAACCAACCTGCCGTACTCTACACACCGTTATGTACAATAGCTATCATACATAAATCCGGGGCGGGCGGGCGGGTGTAATATGATACACTAACTAGAGCAGTGCATACGAGCGGCGCTCTCCGCATGTCTGCCTGCTCATCCCCTCCCAACGGCGCGGTGCGTAACCGGGGCCGGGCCGCGGCTTGTTCCACACGACTCGGGAGGCGGGAGGGAGGGGGAATACCGGTATCTACTGGAATACATGCCGGTACTGGAGTACTGGAGTACTGGGATACCGTACTAGAATACCTGCTGCGTCGCCCTGATTGTACAATAGTTATAGGTGGCATACCATAGCATACCGTAGCATACAGTAGCATCGGCCGCCACTGTGACCAAGATCAAGACCAAGACCAAGACCAGAACCAGGGCCGGGACCGTGACCGAGTGGCAGCCTGCGGAAATCTACAGTCCTAATAGTAGTATACAGGATATACAGGATATCTCCATCATCATCCAAATAACAAACACTAATTTCTCGATTTCGCGACGATGCGTGCGTACGTGCGCTAAAGCCTCATGGCCGATCATGTTCCGCCCTAAAAGTCGACTACACACTCTACGTGCGTTGTATATGCACCTGCCCCGTTGCTAATCCTGGTCCCATGGACCATCCATCACAAACGGGCCGCCCTACTACCTATATCAATCATACGTAGAACGAGAAACAAGAGAAGAGGAGTCCGTGTGAGAATCATCGTCAATTACGTATACTAATTGTGTAGATAGTAGTAGCCAGCCAGCCATGTACCGTATAAGGTATGTAGGTAGGTCATGTAGAGTAGGTAGGTCAGGTAGGTTAGAGTGAGTATGAAGTAGGAAGGAAATCGTCAAAAGAAACCCAAAGCCCCATGAATCCCAAACCAAAAAAAAAAAGAACCTAGAAAAAATCCCCCCACCAGAAAAGAGAGCCATCTAATGTACAGAAAGTATATCAGACTAAACACCCGCCGGAAGCGAAAATGAAGAGCGAAAGAAAGCAAGAAAGAAAGCAAGACCAGAAACCGTGCCTTTCCCATGTAAAGTAGAATGCAAAAGCAACCATCCTCCATCCAATCCAATCCATCCACCGATCCATCATCCATCCCCCAAACTCAAAACCTGACATCCATAGTCCACCGACGTAGCCGTATTCGAATCCCGTCCACCCAGCCCAGGACACTTCCACCGATAGTCCTCCAAGTCCAATCCTTTCCTTTCCCACTGTCTTGCCAGACACTTCCTCCCCTTCCCAGTCGAGTGGATGTCGTATTAGATCCACCACCACCTCCCAGACCCTTCCCCCCAGAAGCCATCACGGTCCTCCCATTATGGCGATGCTCCCCCCAGTGACCCATATGAACCCCCCAAATATAGGAGAAGAATAGGAGAACCAAATAAACCAAATGAAACCAAATGAATACTCCGCTTGTGCTCCATATTGTTACATGCGCCGTTCTTGCCAAACTCTTCAGAAAATAAAAATAAAAATAAGCGCAAAAAAGGAAAATGAGCGATGCCGTTAGAAGTGAATGCATTGCCGGTCGTCAGAAAAACACAATGAAATATGCGTGTATAGATGCCAAGTATCAGTAAGTATCGACAAAGGAAATCAGTCATGTGAGAGGGTTTATGGGACATTAGCGTTGCTTGTAGTGTGTGGTGAGGTTCGCCTCCCGCCGGACAGATTTGCCCGGTCATCCCCCAGTACTGGATGGTCGCGTGAATAATAGGTAGAGCTAGCAGGGCCGGATCCAGGCTCCAAGAATGGCGATACATCCCATGAGCTACGATGGCCAGGTGCGGGCGGTAGAGGATGTGTCGTTGCGGGAATTGTTTGTGGTTGTTGCCATATGGCATGTGAAGCAGTCACCGGTGCGATGCCTGGCAGAGATATGTGCGTACTATCCGATATTCCAGGCATTCGGCTCGCAGGTGACGCGGTAGAGGTTGAACTCCCAGGTAAAGGTGCCGTGCTCGTGGAAATGATCGAGGATGTTGTTGGTGCGCCAATGTCGCCAACGACCGGAGAGGGCGTCTTTCTCGGAGGCAGGCTCTCCGAAGGTCTGGGATGCGGCGCCTCATGGGGTGGAGCCCCGGGATAGGGCGACGCCCCAGGAACCGGCGGAATGATTGAGGCGGTCGACGAGTAACTTGCAGACTTCTGGGAGTCAGTGATGAGGCCAAAGTTATGGAAGGGGGATATAAACTCACGTATTTTCCAATGATCTTCTTCAGAGCATGCGGCAAAATACTCCATGCAAAGACCTTGACATCCTTCTCAATGTTCCTCGGCTTCGGGCTCGGAAACTGCATGATGAGCTTAAAGAAGCTTTCGCAATCCTTCTTTCCCTTCGATACTGTCAGGGGCCTGAAACCTTCTAGGTTCCGTCGTATCCTGTTCTTCTCCTCAACCGTAAATCGTACGGCGATCAACGATTCCAGAAGATAGATGCAATCGACACTCGTCACGTAGCACTCGTTCCTCTCCGCCCACCAGATGCAGCTGACGCAGACGGCGCTCGTCGGGCGATCACTCTGGGGAACCGGTCGGAAAGTGGCGTGGATCGTGTTCCCCTTCTGCTGCCGCCAGAATTGGACCAACCGCCTCTTGCTATCCCACTCCTCCGCAGTCCAGTGTTTCGCCATATCGCTCAAATCTCCCTGGATCTGCAACACTGCTTTGTGGGGGTAGATCGAGTAGGGGTTGAAGCCGGGCGGTCCGCGGCTTCCTGCCTCGCCCTTGTCGGCCAGGGTTGAAGTCCGAATGAGCGTGGGGTTGGGAAGCTCGGGCGGCGCCAAGACGCTCGCGGTATCCGCGGGTGAAGCCGCAGTGAACTGCGTAGCCCATCCTCCCTGTGTTGTGGGGGCGGATGATGCGTGGGAGAGCTCTGAAGGTCCACCGTAAGAGTATGGGAAGTTGCGGGGCGAGGCCTGGGGTTGGTATGACCCGGAATGCGCCGAGTCTTCGTAGCTGGAATACACACCGTAAGAGCGCTCGCTGTTTGTGTTGGTGGCGTACGTAGAAGTGTATTGCGGGCCGCTAGTATGCGGGTACCCATATGGCCCATAATCTTCACTTTTGGGGCGCAAAGGCTGGGCGGCAGCGCGCTTCGCTGGGGCGCGCATATCCGCGGAATCTCCGGAAGCTTTGCGCTTCAGGGTGGCGCGGGGTGGTGACGAGTACGAGACCGGTGCCGGCGCATCGGGGTAAGCAAACCCGTTGGTTACTTCTTCCATGCCCAACTGCTGTCCCTCCTCGTCCTCTATCAGAAGGAACACCTTGACCTGCGACGACCTCCAGCCGGTGCTTCGGAACGGCGGAACCGGAACGGTGATCTGATATTCATCTGGCCGGTTCGTCGGTTTCGGGCTTGCGGTGTTGTTGCATCTGTAAGTGCCAAAAATGAGTCGGAACGAGCGCGGATCCGTGGTCAGATCCGTTGCCGAGTGCAGATGCACCGAAAACAATGCCCCATCTCCTCCGGCGCGTGGATCGCTCCCCACGATCTGCGGAAGCTCACCGTACTGCCGTGAGCCATAGATGGGCTCGCCGAGGGTTGTAGGTGGATGCTGCTGCGCGGTTTGCTTGGAGGTGATTGATGGGCGATGTCTCGGGAGTGGTTGTTGTTGTTGTTGTTGTTGTTGTTGTTGTTGTTGTTGTTGTTGGGAGCTGGCCGTCGAGTAGTGAGATTGAGACGGATATGATCCATAGGCAGGTGGAATGGTGGAATATTGCGCCTGGGCGGGTCTCGAATCGTATTCTTTCCAAAGTCAGTCCACGTCCCGCAAACCAGTGCAGGGCATGCGAGTCAGTTCTCACCAGGTGCCTGAGATGTTTTCCCGTAGCCCGACATCGACAGCGTAAAGGCCCGAAAGCCAGGCTTGGCCAAAAGGCCCTCCTCAAAGGCCAGGCTAGCTCTACTCGGGTAGTACGATGAAGCGTCGAGAGGTGTAAAGGCAGGAACTCCCACGGGAGTCTTTACAGACTACGGAGGGATATGTAAGCATTTCGTGGGACGCTTCAAGTTATGTTCAAGGGAATCGCTTCGCACCTGCGGAAGCGGATAAAGTGCGGCCACGATGAAAGCGGTTGAGAGTTGATGGAGGAATAGTAGGGAAACAGCTGTACGATGGTACAGTTGAGGTTGACAAGTTCCGACTCAGTTTGCTGGAGATTCTTTATTTTTTGTTATGGCGTGTGTTCGATATGCAGGCTGTGAATTGCGGCAATGCTGGTAAGCTGAGATTTCTGTCTGACAGAGGGAAGGCAGGGCTACTTATTACTAGTCTTCCGTGGAGGCGGCTGAGGGAGTAGGTACGGGAGTTATGTGAAGGTGAAGGGGGGTGTGTGTGAGTGCGGTGTGTGTGAGTGTGTGTGAGTGTGGGTGGGGAGGGGGTAGTGTAATAGATGCAAAGGCGGAGTTGTTGATCTTCTATAAGGCGGTCAAGACTTGTTCGGCTAGCAAGCAAAAGCGTAGTAGAGCAGGTAGGGTATGTGGGTAGCACGCCGAAAGATCCACACTGGGGGGTGTGAGTTCTGTGTAAGGGTAGTAGTTCTGTGTCTAAAGCCGGGGTTGGGGTGGGGTGGTGATTAGACGGGTCTCCGGCTACACTAAGTACTCGGTCGTTGCACCGGGAGCTTGGGGGGGTGGAGGGGGGGGGGGACGGGAGCTGATTGCCTAGCACCTATAGATGGAGTGGGCCTCAAAAGAGGCGGCAGCGCAGAGGCGGCAGCACAGAGGAAGAGCAGGGCAGGGAGACAAGCAAGCAAGGTAGGCAGAGTAAAGCATGTCGAGTAGATGACCAGGGCTGGCTGGGGGTGGGTAGGCAAGTACCTGAGAGAACCGCGCTGTCGGGAGCGAGCGCGGTCTGGCCAAGCAGCGAGCAGTCAGTCAGGCCGATACCTACCATTGCTTTGGCGACCTGCCAGAAACCAACTTGGCCGAAAGCGCAAGGGGACCGAGACGGAGATGCTGCAAGGGAGAGGAACGAGCGAGATGTCGAGCGCGGCAAGTGTCTGAAAAGAAGGACTTGCTCCGCGAAAAGAAAAGAAAAGAAAAGAAAGCAAAAAAAAAGAACACCGAACAGAATGGCAGTAGCCACAGCGGCAGTATCAGACCGAGTGGGCGTGCCGTTTAGGACCGGGTACCAGCTATTATTACTATCATCACCATCATCACCATTGTTGTTGTTTTTATTGTTGTTGCATTGCTATTATTATTATTTTTGCTTGCTTGCTATTAACGCCTGCGGTAGAGTAAACACAGCTCGATTGTCCATCGAATGCCCGAAGCCCCTTTTCCTGTAGTCACATACTGGCGCGTGTTTATTTTGTTCCTTCTATGTACTCTATCTACGTAGGAAGCCGGCGGCCGGAGCACGGAGAGGGCGTCGAAAAAAGGAAACCACGGGTGGGGAAAAAACAAAGGTCAACTATACCGGACGTTGGACAAGAATTGCTAAGATCTTACTGCAATGCCCGCCGTCCTACTGATGTACAGTGTATCTAGATGGATTGGTGTGATGTACGTAGTATGTGCGTTTATGTGTGTGTGGATGTGTGGGTGGGTGGGTATGTACGAGCGGGACCAAGCAAGAGCCCGGAACAAGGGGGTGGTGATGGTGGTGGTGGTGGTGGTGGTGGTGGTGGTGGTGGTGGTGATGCTGGTGGAGGTGGTGGGTGAGGGAGGGGTGGGTGCATGGAGTGGGAGGAAAAGGGTAGAGTGCGGCGCACTCCTACCCAGTCCGCCCAGACGGAGGGATCCAACGACTGCCGCCATACTACCACCACTACACCCCACTGACTACCACTACATACAATTACCTCTACCACTACCCATTACTACTACCACTACCACCACTCACCATAGTTACCACTACTACCCTCCATACCACCTCCACTGCTCCCGTACCACTACTATACTCTCCGTACCACTACGCTCCATACCATTCATTCATCGCCCTTATCACGTCCTATCGGCGTTTGGGCTTTCCGATGGGTGAAGGTCCGGCGGCGTGTGCGTGTAAGTACGTGTGCGTTGAGGAAAAATTGAGCTGAGATATTGGCGATCCCAACTGTAACGAGCACATTGCATGTTGGTCATAGGAGGAGTCGGAGGAAGGAAGGGAGGCCTCTCTTGGTTCGGGACTCGGGAGTGCCCTAATCAGGCATCAAGGGGAAAAATCCCCATAGCTGTGCTTCGGAGGTTGGTCAAAATGGTGATGAGGCGAAGGAAATTGGTCATCATTCCCTCATGCGAGGCGGGCGGGTTCTTCAAGGAGGCAGGGAAGTTCTTCAAGGCACAGGGAGAGACGCGGAGAGAGGGAGAAGGCGGAGACGGGGGCGAACAGCAGGAACAGCAATTGCTGGTGCTGCAGCTCAAGGCACTGCGCACAGCACAGCTCAGCGGGCCCAACGGACAGAGCAGATTCTTCCTGGCCGACCCAGCTCATTAACTGTGAATGGCCGCCCAGGCATGCGTCGTCGGAAGCGATCCGCCAACATAGCCAGTACTTACCTCACTCTAGTGCCGAACAGCAGATGGTGCATCATCGAAACCCGAGCAAGAGAGAGAATAAGACACTCCATGCGGGCCTAACTATTCATACATACTCGCTCGCGTGTTCGGGATCGTTATAGCTACGGAGATCAGATTCGGCATCTGATCTCGAACGGGGTGGTGATGGCGGCGGTGGTAGTAGTGGTGATGGTGGTAGTGGTGGTAGTGCTCGGCCACAATGCTACGGCGGCGTACACGTAGAATGCCTCCCTCCACAGATGGGGTCAGAGCGCGCGCTTCGCTTTCCAATGAATACCACCACCGGCGAAAGAGCTATGGTCGATTGACATGCACAGTGAGTGGCATTTGGTTGCATCAGACGCCACAAGTGACAGGAAAAAAGGCGAGAGTTGTCGTGTTCGAGGAGAGGAGACAGGCGGTTGGTTTGGTTGGTTGGTTGGTGGTGGAAGCGAGCTGGGGGCATCGTATCCAGACCAAACCCACGGACCCTTTGAGCGAGTATGAAGTTACCGTAGTTAACCAAGTTGCACTGCCAACCCACCACCCTGTGTCATCCTCCTCCTCCATTCGCGAGCAGCGCTCTGTGGAAGTAGTAAAAAATAAAAAAATAAAAAACGCTGTACTCCCGATTAGCCGGACATCGAGTAGGGTCGATACCGTACCCCTTCCTTCCTTCCCTTCCCTACCGTGCTCCATTGACTCTAGGGGCAAATCTGTGGATCTACGCAGGTGAGTCCGATTGATGTGATGACATGCGGCAGTGCAGTGCCTACTCTACTCTAGTATTTGATGAGACAGCAAATATTCCTATGTACCAGCTGGCGTCAGTGCAGTACTATATCTACTATAGAGCACGTCTGTATGTACTTGCCGCCGCCGCGCAACCTCAGATCTCTCCTGCGACGCGCATAGAGTAGGTACCAGACCGCTCGGGTCACAGCCCAGCGCATCATCGTCATCGTCATCGTCGCCGTCGTCGCCGTCGTCGACTTTATCATCAGCATCATCACCATGATCATCATCATCACTTAGCCACCCCCCCCCCTTCCCCCCGGCGCTCGCCAGGGCTTTCGCCATCCCGTCCGTCAGGGCGGGCAGGGCCGACGTGTATGTAGAGCTCCCCTCTGCAGTTCATTGCAGGCCTCACATTTAAGATCTCCATAATATCATAGTTGCGGGTAAACGCCCCCCCAGCCTCCAGGCCCCTCCCCCTTGTAAGTTACATACTCCTGGTTCAGTGGTTACCTAGGTTACTCCTTTTTTGAGTGATCGTCCCCAAAATAGCCTGCGTACACCGCAGTGCGGTGCGGAAACCGAAAAAACAGGGGTTTACATATGGTACTCTAGGTATGGTATGGTACTCTAGGTGCGGTCGATCTCGCGAGTCGCAAAACACCAAGACCCAGACCCAAAACCCAAGAACCTTATCCTTTGCATCTTCGGTAACTTGAGGGGTGAGTGGGTGAATGGGGGTGGGTGATACATAGAGTGCAGTGTAGGTAGTGCACGGCGGGCCGGGAGGGAGGGAGACAGGAGAGAATGTGATGGTAATGGTAAAGGCAATGGCATGGGCAATGGCAAAGGGTAAAGGCAAAGGCAAAGGCAAAGGTAAAGGTAAAGGTAAAGGTAAAGGTAAAGGTAAAGGTAAAGGCAAAGGCAAATGCAAAGGGCATTAGGGGTAACCACTTCCCTATTTGACTTGACTGGCGGTACAATACGCGTACATGTGTAGAGTACGGGTGGCCCGGTGCGTAAGCACTGGATTTGAAGGCAAAGAACGTCTGCCTGGATATGGCACATCTGATAGGGAGGCGGGCATTCGGGCGGGCATTCGGGCCTGCAGGAATACCTAACAAGTGGCTGACTAAATTGGCCACCCCGTCCGTCCGTCCATCCGTCCGTGCTGCCGGTCCGAGTCCCTTCTTCGCAAGCAGTCCATCTATCCAGTCCTCAGTCCAGTCCATCTATCCGGGGGAGAAGGGGTGGGGGGGTGGGGGGGCACTGCACCCACTGGACGAAACAATCCCAACCATGCGCATGGCGTGCAATTCAGCTCTCTTCGTCTTCGTTTTTGAGGGGGTCAAACCCGAACGGACGTCGGATGGTGATACAGGAATAATCAAAAGTAATAAACTATAGTAGATATAGTAGCAGTACGCAGTGAGTAGAGCAGAGCAGATCAGAGTAGAGTAGAGTACGGAATGCATGAAATAAAGGAGCGAGCCTAGAACTTTGAACTCCGCACGCCATACAATTCCATCTACATCTCTAAACTGAACCAAATGTTTCCTCCACGAAAGAAAAAAGAAACGAAAAGAAAAGGAATAAAAAGAAAAGAGAAACCGACAGAAATCCAGACAGAAAATCGAAAAAGAAAGGAAAAAAAGAAGGAAAAACACCCCCTCCTCCCGCCCGCCCGCCGGCCGGACCGGACCTTCACAGAAACGGCCGCAGATATTAGACATGACATGACGACGACAGCGACGACGACAGCGACAGCGACTACATAGAGCACACGGTCAGATACGGTACCGCTTAGCACCAACCGATAACCAACCAACCCAACCCAACCCATCCATCAATCGCGTCGGATGATCATGGGTTCATCATGGGTTCATGGATTCATGGACTGTCTGGCCTCCACGTTCCGTACCGTACCTAGCTGTCCATGGTGAACCTACATATCTACACACACACATACAGACACGTTCCGCTCTTGCCCCCTAGGCCGATTCGGGATACATACCGACCCATCCCATCCCCATCCTGCCTGCCTGCCTGCCTGCTCCAAGCAGGCAATCTGTCCGATCATGATCGACGGCAAGCGGTGAAATGAACACCGATACTCGAGGCTTCCCGGGGGGGGCTGTTCCAGCACACGCAATGGGTTGGAGTAGCGATCACGATTGCAGTTGATATTGATATCCCGTGCGGGCGGCGGCCAGCCTCTTTTCTGGGGCACTTGGCCCGTCCGGGTAGGTGGGCCAAGCAGCTAGAGTGGAGTAGAGTAGAGCACTAAACCATACTCCACTGGTAGATATCTGGGCAAGCACTCTATTATTTCGCTAGCGACCCTTCCGAAAGGGTAGCAGCCGCCGCCTCCGCCGCCTCCGCAGCAGCAGCAGCAGCGTTCCGCCCTGCTACATACTCGCGTCGGTGAGGTCGCTCGTGGACGCAACACGATCCGCGTCCCACCTGACATCGGAGCGGACTCTGCGGAGTGGAGTGGAAACGGAAGAGGAAGCAATTTCTTGACCTCACGCGCGCCAGTCTTGTGGGTGGGTACATTACGACATAAATGTTCTTTTTTCTACATAAACATGGAACACAACTCCTTCCTGATGGTATCACAGAGAGTAGATGTGAAATGCCTACCCAAGTAAGTATGATATCCAAATACTCTACATACCCTACACGGGGGGGTACGTACCTACTTCGATGTAGAGTACTGGGAGAGCAGGTGTGCATGTAGTTACTCTACATACTGTACTCTACTATACACAGTGCTGCGCGTGCAGCATGTATGTACCATCCTGCATCGCTGTCACCGATCACACATCTCCCAGAGATATCCCTGGACCCCACCCGCCGCCGAGGAGAGCTGGCAGCACCGGCATCTGCACTGAGCATTTCAGAGTGTGCGGCAATCTTGCGTATGGCACTAACCCGCATTCGCTGCCCCCGACTAACCCACTGCCCGATTGGGATCGGGGGGTCGGATTCGCTCCGCTCAAATAATTGCTTCGCTGCTTTCGCTAGTGCCTGCTCCAAGCGGCGGCCGGAGCCTCGCCCTCCCCTCAGGCCCCAGGCAGATCATGCACGACAGCCCCTCTCCCAGAGAGCGAATCGAGTCGTCGATTGGGCGCAAGCATCACGAGGGCGATACCGCTGCATTCGATATCTGGGAAATCCGCCGAAATTCTCCCGAGACGCACGGCCGGTCATCTACTCACCAACACGGACAACAGAAAACGGGGTGCCCACCCCTAACAGCGTCCACACACGGGCACTACCCTAGGTGAGTGGCAAATACTCTACATATCCACACACACTCACAGCACACTCACGCTCACACTCTCAGCGCGCTCACTCTCAGCGCGCTCGAGCTCACTCAGCGCTCAATCCATGAACGGCATCATGATTCGCCCCCCCTCTCCGCCCCGGACCGCACCCTACTGGAAGAGCAACATCTTCACTCCGCCGCCGCCCATCTCTCTCGGCCACCACCCCCCATTCACTCTCTATCTTTCTCCCTCTCCTGGACAGCCCCCCCCCCTCCCATCGCGCTCGGCGGTCAGAATTCCACTCGTGGCTAATGCGCGCTCAACCATATGCGAAGGTACATAGAGTACTTTGGAGCACCTCGCTCCGCTCAACAATAATTCGACTTGTTTGGTTTACCCGGTAGCGTCGTTGCTGGGGGGCGGGGGGGAGGTCGCGCGTCCAGGGTTCGGATCAGCGAGCGAGCGAGTGAGTGAGCACGGCTGGGTCACCGAGTCACGCATGCTTGCGGGTCGGCTTGGTTGGCTGAGAGCGCAAGTTGTCGCGGACCGGAGAGCATGAACGTGGCAGGTGGAACCTCCCTCCCCAAGCGGCCGCCGAAGGAAGGCGGCTAGCTAGCTACACAGCTAAGCTATGCTTACCGTACTTGGCTTGTTCACGAGTTGTTTTGTTTCTCGGAAGATTACCATGGTCCGCCTTCCCCCCTCTCCCCCCCAGTTCACGGAGAGGGCGACTTGGACGCGCCTTTCGACGGATGGTTGGCGCAGATCATAACTGTTTGATCTGTTCCTCCGCCGTGATGGGAAACGATAATAATACTACATATAGAGGGCGAGTACTCTTGGCACCGTATATTACTACTAGTATGTGGTACTTCGAGTAGCACCGCGTCGTCGTCGCCGGCCCCGATAGAGCTCCTCCCTACTCTACTCTACTCTCCGTCACAGGGGATGACTTGAAAGAGACTAGCCACCATCACCATCACCATCACCACCACCATCATCATCATGCATATCTGGAGTAGACACCCGGGCAGGTACCCAGGTACTTCCCTATGTCGGTACTCTACTTTCCATCTAGGTACTCTACTCTAGGCAAGTACCTAGGCAATACTCGATGGCCGCCCGTCTACATATGTACCATCCCGGTTCCCAGCTCCCAGCTCCCCCCCCTCGCCCCTCCCATCCCCTCCCTCCCCTTGAAGAACCCCCTCCCCCTCCCAGCTCCCCCTCACCACCTGCGCCGACCCAAAACGACTGTCAGATCCACGCAGCCCAAGCGCATCATACCGAATCTGTTTTCCGTTTCAAAGCATCGTCCAACGCGGCCGGAGGAGTTGTATCGTTTCAGCATAGAACGGGAAGGGAAGCCACTTTTTCGAATGATCGGCGCTGCAGGTCACCATGCTTGTCCCTTGGCGCAGTTGGTTTCCGAGAAGGTTGAGGGAGGGGGGAGGGGGGGAGGGAAAGAAAGCGATAGCCGCTCCAAGTGCCGTAACAAGGCCGATCCTGTTTTCGGCACCACAGGCGGATAGTAACACGATCTGAGTGAGCACAGGGTCGCGAAAGGCGATTAGCGGTTTCGACAGGGATAGGGATATAAGAAGTCGATGTGGGGGGTCCGCGCATCGAAAATTGCACATCTCAAGCGACACCAGGATGCCAGTGATGAGATCGAGGCTGTGGGCCAGCCGGGAATCTCTCTGGCTGTTCGATTCAGCTCCTGCCTGCCTGTCTGTCTGCTCGCAACGCGGCGCGGCAGGCTTGACATGGCTGAAGTGGCTCCTCCTCACCTAGGAGAACCTTCTTTTTTTTTTTGATTCGACCCCATCTTACACACGCCCTCCCCCCCCCCCCAATCCCCAATCAGTGTTTGGCCGCGCACGGGAACAATGTCTCGATTGACAGCGGATCCCCGCATGCAACACTTCTTCGTCTTCTGTTTTTTTTTTTTTGATTTGGTTTTTGTTTTCTACAGAGATGCGACCCATTTCGGAGACCCCCCCTTCCTTGGATCTTATTCTTTGTCGCGTCCGAACACCACAGACTTATCGATCGACTCACATCGCGCTATCCGCAACTCTACGCAGGGGGGCAGGGGGGAAGGCTATGCCGCTATGTATGTAGAGTTCTGACATGGAAAACCATCAGAGTTGAGCGAGCAAGCCGAGCACTGCACCGCCGCACGTAAAATAGAACAGAAAAGAAAAAAAAAGAAAAGAATAGTAATATTAATGAAGGATAAAAAGAATGAGGAGGAGGGGGAAGAGAATGGATTGGCTCCTCTGTCCGCAGAACCTTCTGAAGGTATCTTGTGCTTCTAGAGCAGGTACCTAGAAAGTAGAGTCTCTGAGCTCTTGTCCAGTCGGCGGGCTCGATACTTATCGACGTACTTCATACTATACCCAAGCAACCGCAGGTCCGCAGGTCCACAGTAGTATTTCACATTCACCCTAGATCATGTAAGTATGGTATGGTAGGTACTCCGGTTCGCAAGTCGACTCTGATCACCGTGCTATCACCCCTTTCCGATCTCGAACGGCGAGATCCACCGCAATGCGGAACAGAAACAAGCATCGCGCCCCCCGCCCCGCCCTCCCCGAACCACGATCTCTTTTTCCAATCATCGCTGGGGCCACCCGGACGTGGTTACTCTACTGCAGTCTGAACTTCTGAAGTGTTAGCTCGGTGCAGCAGCAGCCTTGGCTCAGGCTCATGCTCATATGACATGAGCACCATATGCTATCCAACTCCAACTCCAACTTTCCCTTCCGCTGGTTCGACTGGGCATATGGGACACCGGGGCATATCTATGGGACATGCCTGTCAAAAATGGTCATCCATCCACTCACCGCTGTTGGATCTGGATTGAATCTTGATAGGTGATAGGCCACTGAAACATTTCTACGAGCCGAGCTGCCCGCTATGTATGTACATACTAGTATGTATCTAGTTTATCTCGACCGCATGCTACCAGTGCTGTGGCCACTTTACAGGAGAGGAAGAACCTCGTTGTCCCCCCCCCCCCCTCCCCCCCCTCCCCCTTAGTCTCAACCACAACTACATCGGGACCCCCCTCCCCCCCAGATTACGCAGGCTGTGAGATCTCTCCCTTGGGCCCTTAGGGAATCTACCGCTTCCAGCAACTTCAGAAGCCACTGAAGCGGGCGAGGGACGAGGTGGGAGGGGGGGGGGGGGGTGGGTGTGGGTGTGGGGCCCAGATGATGACAACAGCTGAACGGGAGGGTCGGATGACCCGGGTAGCGGTAACCATAACTATTCTACTATTCTACTAGGTACTGTACTATTACTACTCCACTCTAGAGGATAATGCGGACCACATACTTGCATTTCGTTACGAGGGCCTGTGCAGTTACTGTTCATGCGTCGCGTTGGTGGTGGATGCGGACAGCTCTTGGACCACCGTGGTACGGTAGACCAGACCAGGCAAATGGGGCAGGCAAGATACCCTGAGGTTGCTATTATGCTCTACTCTGCTCTGCTCTGTTATGTTGTACTGTGGATATGAATGAATACCCATCGGCCACGGAATCCCAAATCCCCCCCCTCCTTCGTGACAATCGCAAACCAACATACGCACCCTTAACCAAATCGGCGGTGTCGGGGTGGATCCAAGTGGACTCCACTCCAAACGCGCGCTCTTCTAAGCAGCAATCGATCCGCACCATGGTGTAGAGTGGGGAGGGGGAGGGGGTGTATCTCTTTTTTTCTTTCCTTTCTTCTTATTTCTTTCCCACACTGCTCTGCTGTGTGACGACCACGTCAATGACGGCGATCTGATTCTGATTCTGATACCGTAGCCAAGGTCCCAAGGTCCAAGGATCCCGCAGCGCAGCGCAGCTCGATGGGATACATACATCCATGATATATACAGACATCCGGAAATGTGTCTTCCGGAGGGCCTGCAGCTTACAGCTTGCAGGCCGCTGGTTGTGAGTAATTCGATGGCTCTACTACTGCTAGTGAGCTAATCTGCATACCTATCCGCGGGAGAGAATGGAGAGATTACATACGGTTGGTTGGTTGCATACATACATAAATGCTACATAATATACATAAGATAGTATAGGTAGGTAGGCTAGCACATATCTACCGGAATCTCGCAAGTTGAGACCTTCATCTGGGTTCTGGGCGATCAATCCAGATCTGTACTTTCTTCTCTACTAGGTACTAGTAGAATGACTAACAACTAGTAAAGTAGTTTTCTCGAAGGAGGCAGAAACCGCGTTGGTTGGAAAGGGCTGGGGAGAGGGGGGGGGAGGGGAGAGGGGGGGAGGGGGGAGGGGATGGAGATGGGGGGGTGCGGCAGATGGATCTTCTAGCGCAAGCACCTAGGAAGGTGTCCGAGAAGGATCCCATCCATCCATCAGCCGTCAGACTCAAACCTGCGGTTGAGACAACGAGACTGCTGCAACTATACTCCGCCTATCATACCTACGGCTCGAACTATGTACGGTAGAGTACTAGGTAGCAGGTAATAGTAGTAGGTAGCCTGGCGGACATGTCTCAGCTGTCTCAGCTGTCTCTCTCAACGGCGGCGGTCACCCATCATCCATCATCCATCAGCTTTCCCATCTTCCCTTGGCGAAAACTTTATCTTCCAAAGGGAGGGAGAGCCTAGTCACATTCGCCGCCCCTGGGTCCCGGCTCGCAGTGTCGAGTGACAGATTGTGAGCTTCCTCGAATAGAGCCTGGGTTTTGCTCGTGTTCAACTATGCCGACTGGTGGATCCGGACCTGCATACCATCGAGAGATCTCGAGACTCGAGAGGTACTGTATACTTACGCACAGGGGCTGGTCCTTGCTTTCAACAACCGCAATACCAACACTCATCTCCCCTCCCCCCGCCCCTCCGTATGTAGAGGTCGAATTGCGCTACATACTGATGTGTACCGGTATGCTGCTCAAGATACCCAAGTAAGCATCTCACTACCCGCTCCCACTCTATGTAGAGTCTACACACACACACCAGCGGCCACCTGGGTATGCAAACGATGCAAATGATGTAAAAGAAGGCTACTTCAAGCTCTCAGCTCCGCCAGTCTGGATCCACATTCGCACCTGCTGTATGTACATACCTACCCTTTGAGGGTTGAGGGTTGAGGGGTGAGGGACGAGGGGCAGGCCTACTAGTATTGGTTTCAGAGATCCTGCACAGTTCATGTACCATCAGCTCACTAGGTAGAGTAGAGCAGAGAGCACCCTGAATGAAAGACGGGGCTCCAGGGGCGAGAGCGACGGGGAGGGAGGGAGGGAGAGAAACGTTCCAAGCCTCTTTCAGCGTACATTTGGAAGAGTATCCACCCCCTCCCTCCTGCTCGTCGGTCTTCCCGAGTTCAAAGCCTCTCGAATATGGATGGATAGCTGCCGACTTGGATGGAGTAGGAATGCTAGAATTTCCAGCCAGCCAGCCAGCCAGCCTTTGCTCTCCCCCCCATCTTCAACTTCAACAATCAGAATCAGATGCATGCAGATCCCTTTTTCGCTCGCGAATCGGCTTGCTGGCAATCACACCCATTCGAGCAGTAGCAGTGGTGGGTGGGTAGTGGGGAGGGTGGTATTAGCATTGGTGGGTGAAACGCCTCCCCCCGACCGACATACATACAGCATACATATCATACACACGCACATACATATCATACATACAGCATACATACAGGTGAGACCTATCCATCTCAAGGAGCAGATGCGCCATCCATCAGCAAAGCAAGATGGCCGCACCAGCACCAGCCAGCACCAGCAGCGGCAGAGTACACACACACACACACACACACACACACACACATCGTCAACTGAACGCCTGTGCCAAGTCAGAAGCCCCGCGATTGGCGAGCCCAAGAACTGGCTTGTGATTTGCCTCTGCCGGTGCTCTGTCTCTGCAGTTCGGGCCTCTGCCGGCGTTCTAGCTAGTCGCTCCCCCCCCCTCCATAGATCGTGTGTAGCTTTGTATGTATGTATGTAGCTGCACGCACGCATGCTCGCTCTTCACCGTACGGATGCGAGCGGGACAGGACAGGGCAGGGCAGGACAGATGAGAGTGCGCGCGGGCGCGGGCGGGCGGCTTGGACAACAGCTGTCATGGACGCAACCAGGTGGTGGTGGTGACGATAATGATAAATAATGATTGTGATGATTGCGATGATGATGATACATAGAGGTGGCAAAATTCCTCCACGCCCCATCATCCATCCTCGCACTCCATAATTATTTCTTGGTCACAGGGGGACAACCAAAAACACAACAGGAGATTCGTTTCATTAACTCATTCCCACAACTCCGCCCGCCCCGTCCGCCCCGGTGAGCGAGCGAGAACAAGTGAAAGGATCCTCCCTTTTTTTCCTACTCAGAAACCAAAGAAAATTGACTGACTGACTGACTGACTGGGTCATAACCGTTGAGCGGCAGCGACATCAACATCAAAAGGAAACTGCAATGGCCGGACCGCATCGGCAAAAGAAACCTGAGACAGAATATTACTCCGGCCCCACCCAAGACAGAGACGCATGCTCTTCTTACAAGTTGCTTGGTTAGGTGTCGGGCCGAATGGATACATAATCGACTAGCAGAGAAAGCCACTTGACATTACAACTCCAGTCTCTCCACCAACCTCCAACTCAACCACTCAGAAAGAAAGAAAGGATGAGGCATCCTAGCAGAGATCCGTTATCTGACAATACCTGACTCTGCATACTTGCCTCGGATATTCGTATTTTTTTCTTTTGTTTTCTTCTCTTTTTCCTGTTGCAACAATCCCATGTAGACAAAAGAAAACACCCAGCAGTAAAGTAGCAGCACAGGCTAGTACATGTGCCGAAACCGTCCCCCCTCCCACCACCTCCCAGCTTTCTTGGGGGCTATCTCAAGACTCGGAGAAGCCCTTCGGTGCCGCCTGCTCCTTCTCCTTTTCGTCCTTGCCCATGATGTAGGCGTACTGAGCGTGCTTTTGGTCCTCGCGATTGTAGCTCTCGCGCCGCTGGTGGAACTTCTTCTGGAGATCCTTGAGCTCGGCGGTCGGAGCTTCGCCGGACGCACGCCTCAAGTGGTGGGCGAGATCGCTTTCGTAGTGGTGAGATGACCGACGGGTGTGCGCGAGCGGCAGGGCTCGCTCGGTAGTAGTGCTCGTGTTGGAGTCCTTAGCTCCGCCCGATTCGATGCTGGCGGCCGAGGCCAGTGTGGAGGGCGAGACCATGGGGTACGTCTTGGTCTGGGTCTGGGGCTGCTGCTGCTGCTCCGTAGACGATTTGGTCGAGTCCATGATGCTCGGTGATTGGTCTCGGTGTGTCTTGATGTGTCTTTTCTTTCCCGGTATTTCTTTTTTGTCTCTCTCTCTCTTGTTTTTTTAAATCGCCTGCGGATTTGTTCCCCGCAAAGTCAGCCCAGTCCGTCCCAACTCCACAGGAATGAGGGGGGCCAGGTCGCAAATAATAATAATTGCCCATCATCGGGTTAATGTGATACGTACGATTGGAGGTGTTCTTCGATATCGAGTTGCTATCGTGAAATGGGGGGGTGGAGGGGGGGTTTGAGGTTTGTGGTTTGGTGGTTGAAGCGGGAATGGGTGAGGAGCAAAAGCGGGGACGAACTCAAGGCGAGATGATAGCAAAAGTGGTGGCGGCGATCAATCTGGTGATTGTCCTGGGTCCCCTCTGCCCCGCCCGATTCCCTGCGCTGCGTGCGGTGGTCGATCACCAATCGGGGAACCCTGTTCTGCATCGAGTTTCTCCTGTGGTTGGTACGAATCGGGCGCGAGGCGCACAGGGGAGGGGAGCGAGGGAGGACGAGAATCAACCGCCGATCTCTACCGGTAGCCACCCCCCGATATGTGGATTGTTGTATCGTACTCTAGATAGGTATCCCAAGTGGCTCAGTCACTGAGCCACCCGCCCTATTACGCCACCACCAACACTTCGGAGATTACGCAGAACACGGTTACCCCCTTCGAGCGCAGACGGCAGTCTCGGGGCGCAAGGAGACAACTTACCGAACGGGGTCAATGCGCCGTCTCGCCCGCCAGCCTGCCGCCGGATCTCCCACCCAACTAAATATCTCGGGGCGTTTTCGAGCAGGATCCTACTTGTACCTATCCGACTTCGCTGCTACCATCCACCCTTCAGTCGCCAAGCAAGCAAGTTCAGGTTCTCCGCTCTCATAAACCGCTCCCAATCCACTCACTCTCCCGGTTCACGCGTTTTCGGCCAATACTTCCGTTCCCCCATGATGCGCCATCTCCGATGCTAGCAGGGCAAATCCTCCGCGCCCCCGTCGACTAAAGCGGTAGTGGCCTCTCATAATCGCTCACTCGCGATTTTCCCACCAAAAGCTGGCCGCCCACCCGAACGCCGGTTTACGCACGTTTTTTTCCGCCGCTTCCGAGCGCTATGGCGCGCGCGCGCTCTCCAGTGGGTGTATCTCGTTCTCGCTGACCCATGATTCACCGAACTAAGACATTGTTTTAGGTCCGTGATGCGATAAGAAACCTCCACCAGAGAAGTGAGAGAGAGCGATGGGCGGGAGGCGCGGGGGGGAGGGAGAGGCATCCTCACCTTGCTGATACCCGCCCTAAAGCAAGCGCAAACCAAAAGTCGAGCGGGGGGAGGGGGGCGGGGCGGGAGGGTGGACGGAAGCGAGGGGAATCATCCCCAAGATGGTGGTTTTGAGGGGTACATCCCTCCATAGCCAGCTGAAGTCACTTGCGCATCATGGGGCCTATCGACTTTGGGTATGATGTAGGTTTGTTGGATGGATGGATGGATGGGGAGAGTCCACAGACCGATCACCGATTGTTCAGCCTTTCACCACACACCACCGCATGAACTGGCGGACCAACGACCCCTCCTTCAAACGATAGCGGCAACACGACTCACCGCTTTCGGATAACCAACATTAGAAAATGGGATCCTGGAGTTCGGGGAAAACGGTCTAGATCGTCCTGTCGGTTCGAACCGGGCTGCTCGTCCACAAACAGTCGCCTGGTCTGGCTGGATGGCTGGATGGATGGATGGGTGGCCGATGACCGGACAGGCTGCTCGCACAGACTGTTTTGCGACAACCAACAGTGTTGGCTATCATCGATATTTGTCAAAGGCATCATGGGAAAAGCAGTGTTATCCATACACGCACGAACAACTATTCCATAAAAAAGAACAAGAAGAAAAAGAAAAGCTTGTCTGCGTCTGTTCCACTGGAGGAACGGTTTGGAATTAGAAGTCATCCGATATCCAGCTTCATGCGCCACTGCAATTGGTGATAGCGCCATCATAAGACCTGGTGTCTCAGAGAGTCCGACTTTGTCTGGTTAGCGGGGAAACCTACGTGTACTTTTTCCACCGGGGTTTGCTGGGTCTTTCGAAGTTCCGGCTGGGTTCACCATCCTACCAATTGGATCGACATTCTGGCAAAGTGCTGACTTTGCATCACGAAGTTCTGAGTGCCCCCTCCCGAAGAGGGATCAGCTGGTTCCCGTTCCGAAGTACCGACCGTCGTCCAGCGGAAGACTGCCTACTTGCTCGCTATAGCGACGGAACCGCGGGATTTTCGCAGCCCCACCCATGATCCTCTCTCTGCTTACCTTACCTGCAGCCAGGTTGGTGGTTTCGAAGTTGCTCGTACGGAATAAGTATTACGAAGGAAGTGCATACATTCCTGGGTAAGTATGCCCTCCCCTCCCATGGGCTTGACTTTAATCTACTGCATGAATTCAGTTGGGGAAGGACCTCCGACATCGACGTTGCCGTTTGGAAACCCTCCAGCAGATCATAGCCCCGCATTGTACGGGTTGGTACTCCCTTCCAAAAACCGCTCACACAAGGGGACTGGTATGGCTCATTGCCCCCCCCCCCCCCCTTCCTCCGTTTAACCATTGGCACCGGCACTTTGGGCCTCTCTCTACACATTGGGCTGGTTGAGTCCACTCCGCTGCCTGCATGCAGCGTGCAGAAGTTCTCTTAGAGGCACATAGACACCTGGGGTTCCCGTTGTGGATGCAGCCGTTTGTGCTTGCTTGGTGTTTGATGGATGGATGGATAATGACATGCTGAATGAGAAACAAGGCAGTGGAGGGGTCACAAACCAACCAGCATGGAGATGCATCAACTCCACCTTAGCAGGCTCCACCACCACCACAACTACTCGACGGTAGCTCGCAGGCTTGCATCCATCCCCCTGAGTGACTTAGAACGCCTCCGATCTGGCACACCGCTACTACTATAAGTCAAGTCTTTCGATGATTCGACGGTGCATGTCTGCCGCTCCGATACGGTGGTGGATCACAATTCGTGAAAATCAGCCATGACATTTATGACCGAGGGCCCGTCGGTTTGTCAAGACTCGACTCTAGCATCTGCCTTGCTTTTGCTTGGCCACACTGTACTGTACGTTACATATGTACACATGTAAGAGCCATCGTATCAGGCGGATGAATGAGGCCGAGGGGGTGGGGCGTCGTCGTTGGTGATAGTGATCGATCAGTATGATACGATAGTAGCCACTAAGCATCGATGGGATGATAAAGCCATCTGCATACTACTACCCATCCGCCGCAAGTATTTGGAATTAGACTGGGCGCCCAGTGGCCTATGTACGTCCGCCTTCGAATATCTTGAACGAGGTGGTGGTGGTGGTGGGTGCGCCCACTTTTCAAGTTCTCCGCATCATGCATTGGTATGTCTTGGGGACGACGAGTCCGACGATGGGGCGATGGATGGGTTGGTAGTTAGCTGGCAAGCTGTGGCAGTTGACAAGTACAGTAGTTATTTGTTTCCCGCACACACAGTCAACGCTGCCTGCTGTTCCAGAATCGACATCTGACACCCTTAGCACATGAGGTATGTACCTAGTCGACTCCCCAGTTCTTCTGCGGCTTCCCGTGACATATACGCCGCTCCACCCACACATCCCACACATCCTGCTCGAGCATCTACCGTGAGACAGGCTGTTCCTAGACGATGCTGCATTCCCTCCCCCCTCGCTCCTCCGCTTCCTTCTCATCCTCCTCATACCATTCGGTGAGTGCATGACCGACCGCCCCCTGGGCCCTCCTCCTCCAAGCTCGAGCAACCGCACTATAGCAAACAAAGGCTTTCGGTTGGCTGGAACATGAAGGAAGTGTAGTTGCAGAATTCAGTTGATCTGCAAACCATCGTGTCTTCCGGTCGGTTCATAGGCAGGTCGTAATGGGAAGAGCAGGGCGGAACAGGATCCGGCCCTTCCAGGCGGGAAGCAGTTGCAGTTAGTGGCAGTGGCAGTAGCAATGGTGGCAGGCAGGCATGGCAGTAGGGCTTCCAAGTTCCTTCACTATTCATCACTCATTGGGTTCGCCCCCTCCACGGAAATGAAGCCAGCGCGAATCCGGCGAATCCGTCGATTCGGCAGGATGGGGTGCGGAGGAAAAATTAATTTTGAGTGCTGATGACCATGGTTTCGATTGGATATGTACGGTAGTTACTCGTCAGTCGTTCCTTCCAGAATATCGTCGTTCAGCCGGTACGGTACCATCGGTACCGACGATGAGGGATGGGATTGGTTGGTTAGCTGGTTGGGGCGGTGATCGCGGGAAGGTGGTACATGCATAAGTTACATACGCATCACGACACACGTCCTCGTCCTCCTCCCTCTCCCCTTAACAAACCATCATCGCCACATCCTGATGATTGCGCTTTGGTCCTTGAGTCGCTCTCCCCGAGAAGACGGCAGATGCAACGTCAGACAGAATGCGGACCGAATAGTTATTTCCGACTGAATCCTTCACAAAAAAGAACCTCCTATCTTTTTGAGATCTCACTTTTTTTTTGCGAACATGTGCGAGCACGAGGCTTGGGTTGCTGGGTTGCTGGGTGCCGGGTGCCAGGTGCCAGTGGCGATCACTCGCTCGTCGTCGTGTGCGCTCCACAAACAAAACGGTGACACCAGAACGACCGCAGTAGAGTTGAGAGTAACTACCGTAGAGTAGCTGGGTTCGGTGACGCCTCTCAGGGAATATTAGCGCCGGACCGTCGACGAGGTCGCTCGCGTCGCCTCGTTAGCTGGTTTAAGCACTCACCCGGCCCCCCGCTCGCGCATAATTTCCCACGCCAAGTACATACCAGACCTAGAGTATCTAGGCAGGCAACGAAAGTGTGGAAACTCTGCTCTGCTCTGGAGTTCGCTCTGCTCCACACACGTACATTACGCGGCCGGGGGGCGGGGCTGAACCGAACCGAACACACCCACAGCCCGCCCGCCGGGTTTCCGTGCGTATGGGGTAGGTATGGTACGGTATGGATCTTTGCTTACCGGCGCTCGCTGCTACTGCTGCTGCTGCTGGGACCTCCCCCACCCCCCAGTGAGTCCGAGGCAGGCAGGCAGGCCGCAGGCGTGTTACACGAGCCCCGTCCCCCGTCCCCCCACTCGCCATCGTGACGGGAAAAAAAAACTCGGCCGGCTGCTGCTGGTCGACACGCGGTGCGAGCGTGCGTACGTGTGAGCGGAGGCGAAAGAATGGCCCATGGGGCGACGTCCACCCCGACCCCGGCCGACGCGCACGGGCGCGCGCGGGCGCGGCGATAATGATGTGAATGCAGGTAGTGTAGGTCGATCGCTACTAGAGTATGTACACTACAAACCTTGTACATACTCATGTACCTTGGTAGGTAGGTAGCTGTCGAGTAAGAGGCAGTGATGTGATGCGACCCTGATGCGATGCGTCTCGCCCACGGCGTGGGTTTAGGGCTGTTCAGTGTCGACGACGCCGCGCCGAACAGATACGAACGATCGATCGTTCCTTGCCGTCGTGCCGTCATTTCACGGGATATCACTCGTTGATGTCCGTCGCCGAGATGGATGTTGCGTACTCTATCAGTGTGCCGTGTGAGAAGACCGTATGCGACGGTAAATTGGTGTTCTCTCGCTCTTGGAGTGCCCTATGCTGGTTCGCCGTGGTCGATAGTGGTAAGGCTGTATGTAGAATAAATCGATGTTCCAGGCTCTCTCGGGAGTGCCCTCGCCGGCCATCCCACATATGTACAACTAAAACAATAAACTCCCGAATTGTATGATCTCCTGTGTGTTCCCGAACGAAGGTCGAACGGCAGCATTTGTTGTGCTTGTGGGGGTGCTGAAAGTACCTACACCATTCGACGACACAAGGGGTTAGCTACCGGGAACCTAAGCCTCATCGGCGTGGGTGCCGTCGAAGCCGCGACCTTGCCGGATGGGGACTGTTCGAGGCGGTGGTAAAGTCCGTTAAATGGCCAGACTTTCGGAGGTCATGTGGTTGAGTATAGTATGTAGTGCCCTCTCCGTGGACCATTGCGGCCCGTTCTTCAGTGTGGTCACGCACCAGGTAGTTAGAGTATAGCTGAGGTATGTAACAAGGGTTGTTTCCCTCGCTAGGTATTAGAGCTCCGATGGTCTTGAAGTCGAACTTGATGGGTGATTTCCTACCGACGTTTTCGCCGGTTCCGAGGAGCGCAGTTTGGAAGGACTGTGGGACGTCAACACCCTACCTACATATCATCCCGTGCGATAGCTCCTTCTGGTACATACCGCTCCTTCTGAAAGGACTACCGGTTATTGTGCCGGTTTAGCCCCATTGCAAGGCCAGTTAAGGGCCGGGCCGTACTTCTCGAAGTAGTTCTGAATGCACCTGCCGCTGGATAGTGGCGGTTTGAGCGGGCTGGCCTACATACGGCATGGAAAGAAGAGAGTATCAGCAGCGAGAAGTATTCCCCCCATTTCAGGTGGTATGTACACAGCGGTAATGTCCATATTTGAAAACCAAACTCCTTGAGAAGGGAATACCTATGCCGCCGAAGGCTGGGATAGTGAAAGTGAAGTGGTATGGCGATTTGTTAGGTGTTGTATATTGGGAGGATGGATATTTTTGTTAGTATGTAACACTTTAGTTGTACATACTGACGATAGAACTTGACAGATAGACGATACATGCAGCATCTTCAACTGGGAATACACGGTATCACTCGGTGGCATGGATGCGCCAGAATATCTTCGTTCTGCCACGCTTTATTTTTTTCAAATGCACAGATTTAACGCGCGAGGTTCACGGTGAAGCTTCTCATCAGACATACCTTTAGACAGCTAGGTGGAACTCCGGCGCCGAAACAGGTTAAATTTGTGAAGTTTCTCGGTTAGGCCACTGTAGGTTCTCACCAGCTTGTCGTGGCTGTAATTGTTGTCACAGCCCAGGGAGTGAAGTATAGAACCCAAAACCTCCGTCCGGCCAAGAGTGAAAGTCTTTGGCGGAGCTGTTTTGCTGCTGGAGCCTGGCATGCGTTAATCACGGAAGCGCACTCGTGATGCTGTATTAATCTGTGGCTGCGCAGTGTGGCTTTCACAGTTGCACTCTGTTGTGATGACGTCATAGCTTAGCGCGTTTTTAGTCTAGTTATCAGGCCGCAAAGATTGACAGCCGACTTGTCACTCCAAATCACCTCACGCGCCTCTCAACGCCACAGGGCCGCCCCTCCCACCGCGATTCACATTGAAGCCTATTCATAAGCTTGTGTTTGTGTTTCGCTGTCGTACTGCACCACTATCCTCCCTTCTTCCACGCTTCTTATGCGGGTACTCGTTTCCGCATGAGAAATCACTCTCTGTGCTTCCCCCGGGCGTATGCCACTACGGGTTTGGCTTTCCTACATGGCCGGCGGCCGTGCTTTCCAGGTGGTAGTGCCATCTCTGCGCTGCCGCGTACTCGGCAACTAAGTGGTCATAATAAAAAGGCACAAACACCAGACGACCCAGTATGGTTCCTTCTGGCAGATGCACATATCGGCGTCAAGACGATGCCGCGTCTCAATACATTTTTTAGCAAGCATTTCTTTCCAGAGTTCGAGGCACAGCGGCCATCGCAAGTCCTGTTTCTGGGCGATACGTTCAATATCCGTGGAGCTACGGATCCGGCTCATCACCGGTTTTTTACTGATGTGTTGTTCCAGATCACCACGGCGAAGTGGGCACCGCTGGTTCATCTTTTGGTCGGGAATCAGTGAGTCTTTTCGTTCCGATTTCTGCTCTTGTTCTAGGTGAGTAAGTTGAGTGCTGACCAAGGGATTGCTAGTGATATGAAAAACCGCTTCAATCGACAAGACAACTCGGTGTACCCCTTCAGTCTCGCCTCAGGCAAGGTGAACGTGTACTCCGAAACCACATCAAACACATTTGATAATGTCAAGACGGTGTTCATACCCTACCACATCGATGACAAGACTGTGCGGGAATACATTTCCTCTACGTCCTCATCCGATACAGTGGCGTTCTACCACGGCCCGGTGAACGGCGCCGTTATGAACAGTCACAAGCTGTGCGAAGACGCAGAGGTATCTCCCGGTCACCTGAAGAAGTACAAACATGTCTTCCTGGGCCATTTCCACACGCACGGCCCGGTCGGTGGGGAGAAGTCGAGAGTCGTGTACGTGGGCTCTCCGATCCAGTCGAACATGGGCGATGCGGGGGACACAGCCCGTGGATTCATCAGCTATCGTCCACGTGCGAACTCCTGGGTCCTGCATCGGAACCCGCATGCCGAGTATTTCGTAAAGATACCGTGGAAGGGACTTGCAAATGTCGATGAAGGTCAGGTTGCGGGGAAAAAGGTACAGCTATCAGTTAAGGACGATATTCCGGCCAGTGAAATCGGCAAGGCACGAGATGCTTTGTACCAACTCGGTGCGGAAATGGTGGAGGTATGGTACAAGAAGGCACCAGTACCTAAGGCGGAGTCACAAGAGGTCCTTCCAGACGATGTTGCCATCAACCCCGAAGCAGTAGCGCTTACGGATACTGTTCATGATCTGGTCAACTCCTTCATGGATGCTCGGGCCGATGCAGGGGTCGAAGTCGACGAGGTACGAGAGGCCGAGCGGAAGGCCTTCTTCCTCGACTTCATCAAACCATATCAGCAACATTCAGCCCATGCACAGGAGGGAGCAAAAGGTGGTGTTTTTCAGGGCGACTTGGAATCCATAGAGATGTACAACTTCCGTGGGCTCAAAAATACGACCTCATTCCACCTCGATAGCATGCCTCCCTCCGAGGTGTTTTTGGTTTCTGGTGCGAATGGGTCTGGAAAGTCAACGCTCATCGACTCCATAGGTAATTCCAGTTCCGGACCCGGTATCAATGATAGGGATTAACGGGCTGCAGTGTGGTGTCTATTCGGCGAATTCGTGGCCACCCGAATTCCAGTGGAGGAGATTTCTTACAACAACGCCTCCGAATGCTACGTGCGACTACGTTTCCGCAACGGTTACACCTTCGAGCGGTCACGGCGCGGAGGAGGGAAAATCAAGAAGGTGACATTCAAGATCTTTGGGCCGGATGGAGAGCTACAGGAACATGGACACGACGCTACAACGAGTACTAAATACCTGGTTGACAACATCCTGCATATGGATCTATCCATGTTCAAGCAGACTGTAGTGATCGGTGATAATGCGGAGTATTTCGTGCGTGCAGCGGGAGACAAGGGGAGGACCGAGTGTTTGGATGCGATGTTTGGGCTGGATTTCTTGAGAGATATTAGAGATGAGTTGACGGAGATGTCGAAGGTATTTGCCCTTCTCGCTGGGAATACGGACGACTGCTGATTTGTTGCCCGAAATAATAGGAATTGACGCGTGAAGTGGCGGAAGCTAAAGCCACCAGCAGGGAGGTATCTCTGCAACTCGTTGAAAACCAACGGCAGTGGGACTCCCGGCAGCGCGAGATGTCTGACGAAGCCACTCGGGCAGAGACCCTAGAACGAGAAAAAACCATCCTGGCCGTAAAGCTCGAACACCTCCGTCCTCAAAGGCTTCAACTCGACGAGGTCATTGCCCAGAAGCGAGCATTGCTTGACGTCGTTGATAGCGAAAAACACCATATACTTGCCATCATTGAGGGATTCTCCAACAGGAATCGGAAATATCGGGCGGCGGCGAAGGAACATGAACAGGTGCGCAAGAATCGGGATGAGTTTCTACGGAAGCAGCATGCGGATGAGAGAAAGGCGCAGGAGGCAGCGCGGAAGGCACAGGAGGCGGAGATGAGAGATGCGCAGCGGCCAGTGCGGATCTTACTCTCACTCGTTAAGAGCTTGTGGACGAGCTTAAGGGACATGCTCGGACTGCCGCCAGCTGTTGTCGAAGAAGGTAACCTACCCCAGCTGCTGGATCCATTGACTGAAGGTTAACATCGCTCCCAGAGAATTTACCAAAGACGCACAACCAGCAACCCTCCCCTCCATTCTACGACCAACATCTCCACGAGTACATCAATAAAAAGATAGAAGCCGTCGATAGTATCACCTCCACTCACCAGCGCCATCTCCAGCAGGTCCTATCCCGCTCAACTACCATGACCCAAGACCTCAAAGTCCCTCTCTCACGCGCCCAACAACTAGACCAGGAGCTCTCATCCATAGAAAGGCGCATCTCCTCCTCCTCAGGCCAGCTCCGTCTCATCGCCTCCCAGAAAGTTGGACACCTCCGTAAAATTGCCGCATTTTCAGCCCGGGACATCCAGCTGCAAGAACAGCTGTCCTCATCCAATAGAGGGCTAGAAGTGAAAGAGCACCGTCTCGACCTAGCCACATTCTGGAAGACGCAGCTGGCAGATACCGAGCGCAGCAAGGGCGGCTTCCTCACGCACTGTCGCAGCGGGTACGTTTCGCACATCAATTTATTGATCCCATCGATTCTCTCGCGGCTATGCTCGGACAACGAGCAGCTTCTCTCGACCGAACAGCTTCTCTCATTCGTGCTCACGGCAGATTTCAAACTCCTACCCTCGTCAGACGCACTCTCACTCGCCCGTCGCAGCCGCGGCCAGCTGACGAGAACGTATCTTGCACTGTTTCTGGCCATGTTTGTCACCGCGAGAGCGAGGATGCCGTTTAGACCGAACTTTATGTTTATGGATGAGATCATCGATGCGCTGGATGAAGCGGGCATGGATGGGCTCCGCGCGTGGCTGGCGGAGTATCTGAGACAAGAGGGAGGGAGGGCCTTCTTGTTGACACATAGAGAGGTCCCTGGTGGGAGGAGTATTGAGGTTGTTAAGGAGGCTGCCGGAGGGACTGTGTATAAGTTGAAAGATTAGTGAGAGGCTATTCTATCGAAAACACTGTGTTTTACTGTGTGGATAGGTGAATGTTTGTCAAGCTATTTACACTACTGCTCATTTCCTAGCGTCATAAAGTCAAACGAACAGTCGGAAAATAACCTAGAAGACCCCGGCCTGCCAGGCCAGCAATCCATATCCTCAATCCCGCAGATACGTGAAGAATATCGATGACCGACTAAAGTCGAGTGACACATCTTATCGATGAGCGCGTCGCGAAATATTATGCTTCATGCAACCTAAATCCGGTAATTTGCTTCATCTCCCTGGAATACATCATGCATCCTCTATATCCTACAAGATTGTATTATTTCGCCAGAGCCACGTTCCATGCGTGTGCTTTGACCTGCTTGCTCTATTCGACGGTTGAATACGGTAATATGGCTACCAATCATATCACAGCTCGGATGGTCTAGTGGTATGATTCTCGCTTAGGGTCACTCCCTAAGTACAGGAAACTGATTGCGAGAGGTCCCCGGTTCAAATCCGGGTTCGAGCCGTAACTTTTGTTCATGTCTTGACAGACATGACGGTCTTTTTTGTGGTTCTACCTAGAGCTGTTTGGTTTTCCTACTCGCGATTCAAGCCAATAATCAGGATTGACATTCGTTTGGAGGGGACCTTTACGGTTACAACGACAGCCGCCTGGGGGCACCTGTTGAGTAATCTTCGTTGGAGAGTAGCAGCCAGACGCAACAATTATCGGGTTCAGTGTTTTCGGCATGGGATAGATGATCTACCCATGAGACTCAAGATAGAACATTTGTAGGATATTGGCTGCGAAAAACTTTAGAAATCACCGCGCTAGGTCTAGTTTTTTCCCCATCATTATTCGCATATCCGGGCTGAAGCCAACTGATTTCAAGTTTCAACGCGTTGTTTCCGTTGCATATCGAGTGATAACTATGAACGAATCACACGGCTTATGTAACCAATGGCGGGATCCCGCTCCCTCGGTGTCTAAGCGGGGTTTCTCGGGAAGGTGCCTACCCCGCATCCGCACACACCCCCGCGAAAAGGATTGTAAATTTTCGTTTGCATATTAAAACAAAGCTCCCGCTTCTAGCACTTGTAACTGCATCGGTTGGTAACTCAATTCGTTTCAACAGAGGGTAGAAAGGCGCAATTGAGTTGGCGCAGGTTTGAGGTTGGTGTTTCGTATGGTAGACTTCTTTACCCAAGCTTAAGCGGGAGCGGCCGACCGGGTGGACGGATTGACTGAGAATGGTGACATCACATGAATCTCGATGATACCCCCAGGCCGGCCTGAAGGAACGAGTGTTTGCGGAGAGGATGCAAAAGATAGGAACGTTAACCCGCATCCCCAGCCAAATGCGTCGGTATGAATTGTTTTTCTGACACATCACGCAACACACCGTGATCGCCTCATTATTTGAGCGGAAGGGGCAAGCCGGGGGAGGGCACGTTGGCTTGGCGTGGAGTGAAAGATCTTCACTATCCCCAACACCGTCTCTTTAAGCCCTGCATCTTTTCTATCCTCCTCAAACCTCCTCTCCCCACAAATCACCAACCACAAAATGTTCTCCGCAAGATCAATCCTTAACACCGCTCAGAGGCGCGCCTTCTCTGTTTCTGCTCAGCAGGTACGTAATGGTTAGGTGGATGGATGTTGTCTCTCTCTACTTGCTGGCTTGGGGTCTGTGCTAACAACTTCGACCCCCATAGAACTTCAAGGTTACCGTCCTTGGTGCCGCTGGCGGTATCGGACAGCCTCTGTCCCTTCTGATGAAGACGAACAAGCTTGTCACTGACCTTGCTCTCTACGATATCCGTGGTGCTCCCGGTATGCAATTCCTCTTGCCGTTATTTGTTGTGCTCGAACAGCGGCGCTGACATGGAATCAAGGTGTTGCTGCCGATATCTCCCACATCAACACCAAGAGCAGTGTCAATGGATACGCTCCTTCCCCCGAGGGTCTGAAGTCGGCCTTGTCGGGTGCTGAAGTCGTCCTCATCCCCGCCGGTGTCCCCCGCAAGCCCGGCATGAGCCGTGACGATCTGTTCAACACCAACGCCTCGATCGTCCGTGACTTGGCCAAGGCGGCCGCCGACTTCGCCCCCAAGGCCAAGATCCTCATCATCTCCAACCCCGTGAACTCGACCGTCCCGATCACCGCCGAGGTCTTCAAGTCCAAGGGTGTCTACGACCCCAAGAGGCTCTTCGGTGTCACCACCCTCGACATCGTCCGTGCTTCGCGCTTCATCTCTGAGATCAAGTCGACCGACCCCGCCAACGAGGCCGTCACCGTTATCGGTGGTCACTCCGGCGTCACCATCGTCCCCCTCCTGTCCCAGTCCAACCACTCCGAGATCTCGGGCGAGGCCCGTGACAAGCTTGTCAACCGCATCCAGTTCGGTGGTGATGAGGTCGTCCAGGCCAAGGAAGGTGCTGGATCTGCCGTATGATATCCCCATCTCCATACTGCGGATGATGAGATACTGACGATACCACTCTAGACCCTCTCCATGGCTTACGCCGGTGCTCGCATGGCCGACTCCATTCTCCGCGCCGCCAACGGTGAGAAGAACGTCGTGGAGTGCACTTTCGTTGAGTCTCCCCTTTACAAGGACCAGGGCATCGACTTCTTCTCGTCGAAGGTCACTCTCGGCCCCGAGGGTGTCGCCAAGATCCACGAGGTCGGAAAGGTCAACGAGTACGAGCAGGGTCTCCTCGATGCCTGCATCGCCGACTTGGCGAAGAACATCACCAAGGGCCAGAAGTTCGTCAAGGAGAACCCTTAAATCAATTGAATAGGGCTGGAGCATGCGTGTATTTTTAATTGGTCATCGGAGTTTAGAAACAAAATGTCTGCTTGGTCATGATCAAATGTCAATGATGGTTCCAGTGTTACTACTACCTAAGCGTTTCGTCTCTGTTCTGTAATGTGGGTCATTGAGGGGTGAGTTGTAGGGTTATGTGCTTATCAGAAGTCTCTTCTCCCATCGTCGTTGAAATCTTGGCGCGTGATGATCTACGCAATTGCACTCGTGACTCCAGGGATTTGTTATGTAGGGCAATGCCATCACCCTAGAGCGCCGCAGCAGACGCGATCTTCCCGTCCATCCACCGCGCCGCATAAGCAGCTCCCACGTCGCTCATCTAATTCGTTGATCGGCTTGCCTAGACATTACCGTCTGTGCTCAGCTCCAGCTTCAAACCCTAGATCACTACCGACCTGTCAGAGTGGTACTGCGCCCTGGCTAAAAGAAACAGTATTTAATCGTGGCTTTGCGGGCGAAACTCTTCATGTAACCTCGCGGGCATCCTGACCACCCCCCAACCCTCGCCCTCAATCCGATGCTGCTGCAGCGAAAGCATGAACGACGAAGAATTCTTTTCCGATGATGCGACCCTCGACGCCCTTGACGAAGACCAACTACGCGCTCTGGAGGAGGAGGCGGTGAGGAGCACTCAGCAGTCAGAACAGCATTTCGCGCACAACGACGATCACTATGTTCACCCTCCGCAGTACCACTACCAGAATCCGTCACAACATCTGGGCGTCCGTACCACCGCGTTTAAACCCCCAAGGCAACAGAATGTGCAACAAAGACAACAACAACAGCAAAACAATTACCAGAGACCTCCGTCGAGCTATGTTCCATACTCGCAGCTGCAGCGCGGCGCTGCCACCACCACCACCGCCTCGAATCATCTCAAGCCCCACCAGCGACCATTCGTCCCTCCCCAACGCGGTGGCTACAGCTACATCGAAGAGCCGACGCTACCCGCCTACGTTTCCAACACCGCGACGGCGAAGCACCAGGTTCCAGTCACTGTCGACGAGGTTTCGTCCGACTACGGGGACATTGAAGGGCTCGGGGAGTCGGCCGAGCTGTGGGAGGAGACGGCGCCTACCGCACTGAATGCGCACCATGAAGTCCAGGAGTATCCGGTCATTGGCGGAGGCGCGGATGTGTACCAGCCCGCAGAGGGTGTGCAGGATTGGATCGAGCAGCAGGAGGAGCTGGGACAGATTGTGGAAGATGTGGTTATGGCTAATAGCCAGCACGATACTACTGGGGCGACCACCAATGATGTCTACGCACAGCAGCAGCAGCAGCAACTGCAGGTGGATGTGGACGTTTACAAGGTGCAGATAGCGCAGGTATGTTGTTTCTGTCCGAGTCCACGTGTGGTCTTCGGTGTTGGCTAATGACGTATGCAGCTCGAGAGACAAGCGGAGCAGATGAGACAACAGCTTCAGCAAGTCCAGCAGGCAAAAGTCGGCGAAGTTGCAATCGTACGAAACAAGCTCGAACAGACCAGCCGTGAACACGAGCGGAAACTGGCATCTGTACAGAAAGTGCACGCCGAAGACGAGCAGAAAAAGCTGTCGGAAATCGAAGCGTTAAAGGCAGAAAGAGACCGGCTACTCACGGAAGGGTTATTCCGACAGAAAGAACTGGATGAACTCGTCAGGAAGGAAAAGGTGGCCCGGAAGAAACAGGAACTGGCGGCCTTTACACAGATACCCAAGAGTCAAGAGGTGACCATGGTCGACATTGACGCATCCCGGAATCGTACCTCGACACCAAAGAAGAATAAGAGCTATGCACATAGGGATGGGTTCGAAGATGATGATATGTTTACAGCCCCAAGTCCGTCCAGACGAGCCATGAAGATGGGGACTCCAATAAAGTCAGGTCTCAAACGGAAACGCTCCGTCAATGGCAGCCCTCTGCCTCAACTACCGCTCAGTCAATCTCGTAGCAGCATGATGATGCAGGTTGACAGGATTCCCATGGTGGACGATAAGGTGTTAGAGAGACTTTTCTCCCACGATGATCGGTTGGAGGTCAGTTACATCATTGTCAGTGTTGTGCGGGTTCTAACATGTTCCTCAGTTCTTCGAGGCGATAATACTACATAGATGTTCCATCACGCAGGAGCGGATCTTTGACGCATTGATGAGATACTCGTTCCCGTCGACGCCAAAGATGACAATCTCCTCATACTTTCTGGACAAACTCACCACATTGCGTGCATCGGCAGAAAAGCAGGCGTTTTCGGTTGGCGTTTCTCGGGTTTTGCTTGGCATTTGGGCTCGGTGTCTGGAAGAAAAGTTTGTGGGTTCGAACCGCTCCATGTCGTGCGGTATATGGTTTCTAACGAATGGTAACAATAGTTTGGCCCGTTGTCCATGGTGGTGGAATTGTTTCGGTTTGGGATTCTTTGGACTCAGGGTAGTCATTGCTTCGAGGTGATGGACGAGGCACTGGCCATCTTGCAAGAAACGGTGGACATCAATGCGGCCCCGATGGCGATGACACGCGAGTACGTACTGAAGGACGGAGTGCCGACCATCGCTTGTCTCAAGATCATGGAAGACATTGCGCTGACGACTCTCGGAGATGAGGCGCACGTGAGAAGGTATGCCCCTTTTGGTTCTGCCTGGTAGAAGGTTCCGTTTGCTGAGTACAGGCCCCTCCAGATTCTGGAAGCAGATCCGCGTCGATTTCCCCATCATGTGTCTGCACCCCACACAGCCGTTGGACGTTATCCGCCGCATGGCCAGCGTCCTCTGCACATCGGTCGTGAGCGATTCCTTCGGCCCGATCACGAGCGCGCAGCGCAAGAACGAAGCTTTCCTGCTCGAAGCCGCCACGAAACCACTCGAGATGGTGCCGAGGCAGCCGTCGAAAGATAAGAAATACACCCCGGTACAGGTTTTGGAACTGCGGCAGACGCTGGTGCAGTTCCTGGGCAGTGTCTGTAGCATCGAACTAGGAATGCTGGCATTGGCGAAGCACGAGCGTGCTGTGCTGCGCCTGGCGCTCAGGATCGGGGAGGAGGTGGATCAGTGCTACGAATGGAGGCTGGGGGAGGGGATCAGGTGTGTCTGCTTTGTTCATTTCTTCTCTGATAGATAGAGCCCACTGATACTAACAATTTTCACAGAATCGATTTCATCAACTTTGCTGTCCGCCTCCTCCACGGCATAATCACTAGCCATCCCGAAGAAGCCAACGGGAAACTGGCCACGAACCATAAACATCTCGTGTCGATGGTGCGATTGGCCTTTAGCGAAGGGATTGCCCAGGAAGCGGGGTTGGAAAGCGATGCTGTCGATTGTGCGTTCGCCCTGTTGGAGAATATGGTTACGCCCGATGAGGCACTGGCGCTGGAGAGGATGTTTAATACGTGATGTCGTTTCTTCTTGCTGTTTCGTTCGTAGGGGAGCTGGTCAGGCAAGCGCTAGGATAGCATAAATGTCTGATGTAGAGTACTGTAGACCATATTTAGCCACAGAGTGGCTGTCGCCGCGAAGTAGCACGATGCGACGATTAATCCTGCACGATCTCTTCACAAGCCATGACTCGCTGCACGACGTTAGTAGCTTAGTTATCACTCGATATGACCCAACAAGGTGTAGCGTTGAAGATTACCTGGCCGAGCATATATCCAGCCTCATCGCAACGTCGGGTCTTGTCTTGTCCTTTTCCTCCCACCCCGCTGCATGCCTGTCCGGCACATCACACAATCGCGATGTTGGGATTCCGTCCTCCACGATTGAGCACTGGGACGTTGGGATATTGCGGAGTCCGGCCGTCGTCCTCGTCTGCTGCGCGAACGGAAGATACTAGCATCTGGTGGGGTTTCGGTTGGCTACGGTGCGGGAAGAGGGGGGGGGGGCGATCGGAGGTGAAGAAAGCAGGCAGGCGGGGCGGGGGCGGTCCCAAATGTCGGTCAGCCAACCGACCGACGGGCCAGATCTTTCGTGATGGCTCGGCGAGGTTCCCGTAATGACCACGACCACGCTGGCACCACGTTGCTCTTCCCTTCTCTTCCCACATCGGCCCCGGATCTTCGTCTCCGTCTCCGACTCTCGGGGGAGGGGGGATCAAGCGATGGCGACGGCGACGGCGGAACCAACGGTTTATATATGTAGTGTACGTACTACGTATTGACCCTGCATGGGTTTAGTAGTAGTATCATAGGACCACGTTCGCCATCGCCATCGGCGGGATGGGATGGGATGGGATAGTTCCTATGGGGCGGGATCCAGACCGTGCGCCAGCCCGGTCGGCGGGGTAACGCGGGGGGCTGGGAAACGCAAACTTTTTTCTCTCTCTGAAGAGAGAGAAAGCCCTCTCCGTCTCGGTGTTAGTGCTCGCTCGTGGCCGGGGATCGGTGGCTACCGCATCGGACATTTGAGGAGAGACGGTTTGCGTTTCTTGGTCGTGGCGCTGCGCTGAGGCTGAGGCTGGGGTTGAAGTTGTAGGATTCCATAGCCTATGGCCGCCTTGTGTCTGCCGTGCACGACGACGTATGTGGAGTATTTAGAGTACGATGTGTGTCCCTACCTCTGGCCCGGCTCCACTGCGACGTGCCCACGGTGACGTGCCCACTGCCCAGTCGGCAAGCATCATCAAGTCATCTGTCCATGTTATCTGTCCAATCCGACCGACCGACCTAGCGGGTAGTTATAGAATTGGTAGTTATAGTAGAGTACTTTCCGACCAATGCTTCAATGCTTTAAATGACGGCATTCCGCTGCTCGGTGCTCGCTGGCAACTGGAGCGCTCCAACCCATATCATAGGTACTCTAGAGTACCTACATGAGGACAGCGGAAAGATGAATCCTCTGACCTCGTTCGGTGTCCACGTGGATTGCGCCGGCCGCCAGTCATATGTACATGAGTACGGTAGATAGGATGAGGTATGTACTCTACTCAAGTTAGAGTACTCTACTCGAGTAGTGTGTGCGGCGTACGGCGGGTCAGAATCCAGAATCCAGAATCCAGAATCCAGAATCCAGATTCAAGATATGCGATATGAGTGGGCATCAAGCGATAATTATAACAGAATCATAATAATGTGTCTCATCCCACCTCTCCGGATTCGTGGATGTGTGGATGAGTGGATGCTGCAGATCCCGTCAGCTGGCTTTTGTGTTTGCAGGTTCCAGTTTGCAGTTTGCAGGTTTTTTCTTTTGTTTCTTTCTTTTCTTTGGGATTGCTAGGGATTGCTATGAGGGAATGGGATTGGGATTGGGAATGGGACGGGGGTGGAAAGCTCGGCAATCATCAATGGCATGTGGGTATCATAGTAGTATTTCCGGCGCTGACTGATCTCTTTATAGTAGAGTGACAGAGTCTACATATCCGGGAAGTTCACGAGTTCACATGTAGACCATCATACCATCATACCAGTAGAGTACTTAAAGCAAGCAAGCAACTATTCCCGGAATACATAGACCTGTTATTTCTGGACGATATATACTCTACATACCTCTTAACATACGTAGATTAGGTACGTAGAGCAGGTATATAGGTTACAGGTAGGTAGCAGGTACTCAAGACTCTAGACTCTGGAGTAGAGTACAGCCGGTCCTCTACTCTAGCAAGTATTATACGCGAGATTGAGGGGCGGACTGGTGGCGGATGGTAAGGGATTCGCGCCCGGCCGACGCGGCGCGGCGGCATTTACGGGTTGCACGGGTTAATCATCATAACTTACATATCATTGGGGAGTGGAGAGTGGATAGCCGGGAATACCTAGAGTAGAATACGTGAGCGTCGCCGTCTCGTCGCCGTCTCGTCTTGTTGTCTCGTCGTCTCGAACAAAGACCGGCCGGAGACGCAATGTACATACCGGTACCGGTAGTAAGTAGAGTATATATGATAGTACCCACGGCCCAGTCGCCTTTAGGCTTTTACACGACATTCGGCGTTCGCGGCGGCGGCGGCGGGGGCCAGAACACACCTCAACACACACCTGCTGAGTTCTCGGGGAAGAGGTGCTGTGGCTTTTACTTGCTTTCATCATGATTACTTGCCTGCCTGCCTGCCTGCCCGCCTGCCTGCCTGCCTGCCCGCCCGCCTGCCTGCCTGCCCGCCTGCCTGCCTGCCTGCTTGCTTGCTTGATTTCTGCACTGCACATTCCAGTGTCTAGTGTCCAGTGTCCATCCACAGCGCTGAGTGCACACCTATACTAACCCGGCTGCGGTGTGAGGCCCATGAGACCCACTAACTGCTGTATGCTACTGACATGCATTGGCGCTGGGCTTTGCTGGGCTGGGCTCAGTGGGCTCAGTGGGCTGGGGTGCGATGAGATGGGGGGTAAATACGGTACTAGTACTAGTAGGAGTGGTGGACACTGGAGCGAAAGAGGAGTGAGATGTAGCCACGAGTATCAATATAGGTACCGTACATACGCTGAGATGGCCTGCTGGACTGGTGACTGGGGAGTCGGGACTGTGGATATGGCGCAGCTAGAGCAGGTAGATACAGGTACAGCTTACGGAAGGAAGGAAGGAAGGAAGTATCTATGGAAGGAAGTATCTACATAAGGAAGGGAAGGAACGGAAAGGAAAGGCCTTGAAGGCTGTGTGTATTTGCATATATATACCCAAGTACTTGAGTGGTACAAGATTACACAACATGCTCCGGAACGAAACGTATGTATTTAAGGACTTATCTCCCCCGCCCTTTCTTAGCCCGCCAGCGCGCGCGTGCCTCGGCGATGAAGAGCCGCATTCGAGACAAACAGAAGACGGACGGGAGAAGAGACCTATCGCATTTCCCCGCGTCGTTGGCGGCGGTGCTGGTGGACGCTCCGGAACGGCTGTGGGTTCAATTGGGATAACCGGGGGTGTTCCGTATTTTCGTTCCGATCTCGAAATAGGTGAATCCATAAATCGTAAATCACGACAATCGACTGGCTGTGGTGACTCGTGGGCTGCATACTAGTACCACTCTAGATCCATCGGGGCATCGGGCTCATCCCTGTCGGTGCCGGATCACGTGAGGCGGTGTTCGGTGTCGCGCGTTGCACCCGATGAGCGCGTCGTACTTTAGAGGGAAAAAAAAAACCACCGAACCGAACTGGGGGAGGGGAGAAAAAAAGATTCGTTGTCGAATGCTGCGAACGCTGCGAGGGGGCGACGGTGACCACTGACGAATGTGCGATGCGATGGAGATGCAGCTTTCCTTTGTCTGCTCACTTACTTACTTCTTACTTACTACCCCCATTCCCCCTTCCGCGCTTCCCGGAACGAAGATTGCACTGTTCGTTCGCTCGTTCGCTGAGCGCAAAGGTGTAATTCGTGTCAGGCTGTCCTGTCCGGTCCTGTCGTGGCTGGCCTGGCACTGGAGATTGGGATCTGACCAGACCATGGCGGTGGCGGTTACCCGAGCCTCTTTTCCGGAGAGAGACAGAGAGCGAGCGGAGCGCGCCTGGATGTTTTATCCCGCTGCCGCCTCGTTTCCCTGTTTCCCCCTCTGTTTGTTCGTTCGACTGGCCGACTCCCGCTGTTCCGAGGGGACGGACGAAGCGACGAGTCTCGAGGTGTTGGATCGATGGATCGCTGGATTGAGGGGTTGTGCGATTGTTTGATTGCTCGATTGATCGATTGACTGATCGTTTATGCCATCTGCTCTATCTCTGCTCTACTCTGCTTTCTCTACGCCCGCGTTCACCGACGCAGCCACACTGCCGCCTACATGTCCTCAGGGCGTGCAGAGAGCAGAAAGACCCACTGCCGGGACAGGCATCACTCCTGTTAACTAGCCGTTTGCCCTGCCGGCGAAGCAAGCAAGCAGAGTAAAAGTAGCAGAGTCGAGCAGAGCAGCAGAGCAAAGCAAGCAAGCCCCCTCCCCCCAACCTCCCTCCACGTTAGTTAGCTTCGTGGAACCGGCGCCCTTCGTGCTTTCGTGCTTTCGTGCTTTCGTGCTGTGTGCGTGCGTGCGTGCTGAGCGGTGTGTGGTGCTCGCCTTTCTTTTCTCGACCCTTCGCTCTGCTCCTCCGTCCACTCATCGCTCGTCCTTGCGTCAGAATTGCTACTGCTATACCCATTCTACAGTAGCGGTGTTGTTTCTTCCGCTTCAACGAATCCGTCCTCCGCTTCGTGTCGTCGTCGTCGTCGCTTTCTCTCCTCTCGTGTGTTTGACCACCACTCCCTCCCCCCGTATGCGTGAAATCGACAAGGCCTGCCTGAACATCGGTGTTTTCTTGTCACCTTCCCGCAACTTGCACATTATCCATACTGCCACTACACTACTGACTCTACATCCTACCTCGCCCTCGGACATTCCTCAGACACCACCGCCTTCCTGTCTGTCGTCTGTCTGTCTGTCTGTCTGACCGTCTGACCCTCTGCAAGCCTGTGCCTCCCCCCCCTCCCCTCGACCCCCCCGGAAGCGCGACAACACCCCCCCATCGATCTTCGCCCTCCTCTTCCCTTCTCCTCTGCTGCTGCTGCTGCTCCTCCCATTCCTCGATTTCCTCTTGCCGCACCGCACCGTCAACTACTTTACACGTGTGCCACCAACGAAACCACTTTACACGCTTTCTCTCTCCCTCCCTCCCTCTCCCTCTCTCTCATCTGTCGCTTCCGTTTCGTGCCTAACCCACTCCACCCCCTCCCCTCCCCAACCTCCCAGCCCTCGTTCACACCCGTCGATAGCGAAGGGGGAACAAAGTACTTTACCCGAAACCAACCACACTACCACTACCACTACCATTACCACCAAAACCACCACCAACTCCTCGACCACCACTACAACCCCCCCAACCTCAACGCGAACTTAACACTCATCCTCTTCCTCCCTGCGAACAACAACAACATCTCCAAACATTTCGGCAAAATTAATTTTTCGTCTTTTTCAAAAAAAAGACAGTGATCCTTCCGAGATGTTGGACTCATCGTCGCCAAATATCCACCACAACAATGTGGCGGGTATAAAACGGTTGCTTCCAGCATTCGAGCCCACAGAGTCTCCGCCACGTTTCAAACGACAGAAACCTCGTGCCGAAGCCATCACTGATGAGAATCGATACCCGACGCCCGTGCCGTCATCCTCAGTCGGGGTCATCCCTTCATCCCCTCCGCTGGCTCCGACACAGATTGCACCAGTAGAACATCAACAACAACAACAGCTGCAGCAGCAGGAACAACCACAGCAACAACCACAACTGGCTCCTCGGAGACCAAACCTCAGACGCACGCAGTCGACAGTATCGGAACGTGCGCCATTGTCTGCAGTGCCGTCCATCACCCTCCCCGAGAACGGTCAGCCAATATTACTCGGCCGATCGAGTAATTCCTCGCACTATAGGCTCTCGGCTAACAGGCTCATCTCGCGGGTCCACATCAAGGCCGTTTACCACGCTGTTACGACAACATCGAAACCAAAGATTGTGATCGAGTGTCTGGGATGGAACGGAACAAAAGTTCATTGTCAGGGCCGCGCCTGGGAGCTTCTGAAGGACGATATCTTCGTCTCCGAGACGGAGCATGAGGAGATCATGCTTGACGTCCATGACTCCAGGGTAGTGCTGGCTTGGCCCATCGTTACCCGTGCCTCGTCGTCGTTCTCCTCGACTAGTACTACCACCGCCACCGGTGGCCCGCCGACTGCTGGCGCACCCGCCAATAGGGTTATCAGGAGTCCGTCTCCGGAATGGGAGGGCAACGACGAGAATGCTATCCCTTGGGAGGGTGCTCAGCGTATCAGTGCCAGGGCAAAGTTGACTCCCGTCTCGCCCACGCCGAGACGTAATGTTGGCAATTCGTTGAATGCGATTGCTTCCGCATCCATGGCGGAAACTTTCTTGGATATCTACGAGGACGAACCGGAAGAAGAAGGAGAAGAAGAAGAAGGGGAGCAGGATGAACAGGAACAGGAACAGGAACAAGAAGTCGAGGCTGAAGATGAAGATGAAGATGAAGCTCAGATTGAATTGCCGCCGCTGGTCGAAAAGTCGACCTCCAGATTTTCACGTTCCTACTTCAAGGATGTTCCCGAGGCATCGACCGACGTGGTCCATACGGATGAGATTGCCCAGAGCTTCGATTGCGAGCCAATGCTTCCTCCCATGTCTCTCTTCTCCACCAGAGATCCCCTCCGACACAGGCCCAGGACGCCACCATTGCTCACTCGCCGTGCCAGGGACACATCTGTGACGCTGCCCCCGTCCAGTGTTGAGCGTCGTCGAAGTGCATCGACCTCGCCCTCCAAGTACGTGACATTGCAGAACCACCTCACCAACCAGCTTGCCTTTTCTCGCGTCAACACCATGCCGCTGTCGGAGCTCTACGCGAACCTCCCCACCGCTCTGGCTGCTACCGTTACCATGGAACGGGTGAAGGAGATGCTCTTGGGAGCCGAGTGCATCGGTGAGATCAAGAGGAGCGGAAAGGACGCGGCCGGAAAGCCGCTCGAGAACCAGTACTACTACATCCTGGAACAGGATAAGGACGATGGCAGGAAGTCTGCGGTCGGTGGAAAGGCCCGCATGAGGAATTGCAGGAAAGAACACAAGGTTTGCTTGTCCCCCCTTTTTCACACGATGGATAGAAACGAGGACATCGGCTGATTACATGGCGCTCGGCAGCAATACTACTGGAAAAAACCAAAGAAGATCTCGTACTAGGACCACTGGATCCCTAATGGTTTCTCTAACGGTCTCATGGTGCGCTGATGGTTTTGATGGATGGATGGATGATGATGGGTAAAAAAAATATAGGAGGATGCTCCTTTTTTACTTTCGCATTGCCTTACCCATATGCTTTTGTTTTTTTGCTTTGCTATGCTTGGTGCTTCGATTTTTAGCGCTTCTTTCGATTTCTGGGCTACCAACCTCCTGTTCACTGGAGGTGGGGTTGGATTTGCAAAGTTTGCCTGGCTCTTTTTTTCTTCTTTTCTTTTCTTTTCTTTCTTCTTTTCTCAACGAATTGTTTTTTACTCTACCTACGTCTTTTGTTGTCTGCTTCCGTTCTAGTACGGCCGCGTCTTCTGGCTTGTGTTTCCCTTCTTCTTTGACAGAATTAACGATATGCAAAGTGGCCCCCGTCGTCGTCGTTTTCACTTTCTAGTTTTGTTTTCGTTTTCTTGTGCGGTGTGCGGGGTTTCCTTGCGATGATGATGATGCGTGTGTTGCGTGCAAGTTTGTTTTCTTTCTTTTTTTCTTCTTCTTTTCTTCTTGACTTTTCTGGTTTTTTTTTGGTCGGTCTAGGGCTGTTCGCTGTTCGCTGGGTCTAGGGGTTTGGGTGGTGGGTTTGGGTTCGGGAGTTAGGGGGCTTTGGAGGAGATAGGGAGGGAGGGAGATGGGAAAGAGAGGGAGGAATTGGATGGGAATTGGATGGGATGGAGGAGTAGAGGAGGAGGGGATGGAGGGAGGATAGCTACATATCCTGACGTCGACGGAATGGGTGACGTCAGTGGGATGTTTGGATATGTTTGGGCCGGGTGGGTGGGTGGATAGGTGGACGATGGATGGATCATGGGGGATGGGGGGATATAAATTTACCTCGTAAGAAGTGGGTCCGTTGGTTTACGGGTTCGGGGTAGAGGATGGTATTCCGACGTTGGGGGGTCGAAGGGGGGATTTTCTGTTGCTGTGATGGACATGGGCGGCGATGGGTGGGCGATGGGCGGCGGGTTGCATTTTCCTTACAAACGGCTGTCTGTACATTTCATGGTTTTGGGGGAAATAGGGAAAGAAAGAGGGAAAGAAAGAAAGAGGGAAATATACGAATGAGCATTGGGCACGGAATCGATTCTCTCTCTCTCTCTCTCTCTCTCTCTCTGACTGGATGTGATGGTGTTGCGTTTGGATGGGTCGGCTAGGTTAACTGGAAATGACGTGCAGATTAAAATTTGACGCGAGAAACACGCGACAAATACGCGAGAAATACGCGTGGTCGCGTGAGTGCGCGTTTTTTTCTTTGCTTTTTGCTTTTTTCGTTTAGCTGTTGTTGTGTTCCGATCTGTGGACGTGGACGTGGGCGCGTAGAGTCCTGGAGGGGATGGAGTGTTTGTGTTGTTGTACCACCACTTGCTTTGGTACTCCACTTATCTGTTTGTGTGTCTCTCTCTGTGTGTGTGGATGGTGGGGTGCAAGCTGCAGCTGGAATTGGCTGGTTGCTGGGCAGTGGGGAGATTACCGGTATCGCCGCCGCCGCCACCGCCGTAGCAGCAGCAGCAGCAGCAGCAGCAGCTTGGTTGGCTGGTTGATGCAGCTTGGTTTATTGGTTGATGCAAAACCTCTGCGTGGGCTTCATTCGTGGGTTTCATTCGTTCATTCGTTCGTTCGTGGGATGGGATGTGCCCCCTACCTCCCCTACAGCCCCGGGGAAAGGATGATGGTGATTCGTGAGTGGTCGAGTCCCGTTGGATTTAGCCTTCAGCCTTCAGCCTTCAGCCTTCAGCCTTCAGCCTTCAAGTCTCAGGGACATGAGATTGCGTGAGAATGCGTGATGCGCAAGTTCCAAGCGCGCGCTCTGTCAACGGATGGGGGAAGCCGGCTTTAGGTACTATAGTCTATCGTATGGTTCGACGTCTATGCTTATACATAGATCACACACCATCGGAATAGATACATCGTCGGAATACCAGTACTATAGAGTACATTATCCATTTCATACATACCGTTCATCTCCTCCCATTCACTCCCTCCGCTCCTCTCCCCTCCCCTCCCCTTCAGTTCACCTCCTCCCCTCCGACATCTACCCAAGGCGAAAACACGCTCCAACGATCGTTACAGGCCCTATATAAACACAACCCAGAAAAAGAAAAAAGAAAACTCCAATATACATTAGGCACAGTACCGTGTTGTGTAGTACTAGTGGTGAGTGGGTGGGAGAACTGCGTGCAGCCTCACCCGTCTACATTATCATCCCCTATCATCCCCTATCATCCCCCTATCATCAAAACCCAGACCGCGTCTACTTCTTCATCCTGCCCAGCACCTTTCCGACCGCCTTCCTTATAACGCTGCCGCCCGCCTCAACATCCTTCTTCGAGTGTCCAACGGTAACACTCGCCATCAGCATCGGCGGACCCTCCCAGCCAAACCTCCTACCGGGCGCAAAATCCGTCGCACTGGAGTCCTTAACCTTCTTAACTCTTGAGATCATGACGCCGGAGCCCATGCACTCATCGACGATATCGACGAGGACACGCTCCTCGATATCCGCGCCCTTCTGCTCAAAGATATCATTTTTCAGGTAGAATAGACACCTCGGATTCTCGGGGGCCGAGCTGATGAGTATATGTTCACAGCGCTCGAGCTGCTGTCTGAACAGCCGCATTTTCTCGCGGAGGTCCGTGATCAGCTCTGGGTTCGACTCGAGGAGCTTGACGGACTCGGCCGCGGCGACAGAGAGCATTGCCGGCAGCGCGGCGGAGAACACGTAGGCGGACGACGAGATGCGCTGGTGCTCGACGACCTCGAGCGTGCCTGCGCAGAACCCGCCGCCCGCGCATAGCGCGTGCGATAGCGAGCCGATCAGCATCTCGACGTGCGTCGTGTCGATGTTTTGGTGCTCCGTGGCGCCGCGCCCGGTGCGCCCAAGAACGCCAAAGCTGTGCGTTTCGTCTAGGATCAGACGGTACTTGAAACGGTTCTTGAGCTCGATGATCTTGGCGAGGTCTGGCATGTCGCCCGTGTTTTCGAAGAGGCCTTCGGTCACGATGAAGCGCCGCGTGAGTGGCTTGCGTTTTTGCTCCTTGGCCACTTGCGTCAGGACGCGCTCGAGGTCTTCCATGTCGTTGTGGTTGAACCAGCGGACGGTGGAACGGGAGACCTAGAGAGGTTAGTCGTACGTAATGCGGCGGGATTTCGGAAAAGTTACCTGGAGACCCTTCTGGATCGAAAAGTTGACGGCGCGGTCGGCAATGATGATGTCTCCACGCTTCGAGAAAGCCGGGATGACGGACGAGATGGTGGAGAACGCCTGGGCATAGACGATACACGCCTCGACGCCGAGGAACCGTGCGATCTCCTTCTCCGTGTCCATGTGCACATCCTGAGTACCGTAGAAGTTTGGGGGCCCGCAAGCACCGACACCGTAGCTGCGAAGAACCTGCACTCCGCGTTCCTTGATGAGCTCGTTCGCCACCAGGTTGTAGTAGTTGGTTGAAGCCAGGTTGGTCACGGACTTGCCGTTCGCCAGCTTCACCCGGGGACCAGTGGGTCCGGCAATGATGGGACGGCGCTCCTCCTCAAAGACTTCGAGCTCGGTGGAAGGTGCGACGAGGGGCTCCGGTGACCACTCTTCGACTAATTCGTCAATCTCCTATCGTGCCCAAGGCCGTGATTAGTTCCGGAAACGAAGCTTCGTGACGCGGGAGTGGATCGCTTGCAACAAACCTCTTCGGTCAGGTCCATTGACTTCTGTTTCGTAGAGTACCGTGGAGCGAGGAGGTATCGCACGGCGAAGAGGAAGAGACATAGTTCGACAACGGAGCGGATAGGGTCGTTCTGGTAGGAATTTTGGACGTAGCGGAGCAGGATCGAGGAACCGGGGACTCGCCGAAATTTCGTAGATACTTCGTCGATGGTGCTGTTGAGGAGCACGAGGGCGTGTTGTAAATCCATGATCGCGGCACGTCGTGGTGGTGGTGGTTGTGGTTGTGGTGGCCGAGAGTGTGTGCTGTTAAGCTGCGGCGCTGAAAGTTGTGGTGTGATGGGATCTCGAAAAGGAGAAATACTCGGAATCGTGGCCTTCACGTGATGCCGGGGTCCGGAGTTCGGGTCAATTCCAAAGCATCATTTATCACTCGTCCTCGGGTCCACGAAGACTGCTGATTTTTACGCCGCTGGCATAAATCCGTAAGATCAAAAGCATGAGTTATATCGGATGGCATTATTCGAGTCAGGTTGTCGTATTATCAATAGAAACCCATGTCAGTAGAAATAAGGTATTGGTCGGTCGTCATGTATGTGATCTTCAATGGCCAAGGGAGTGGCCGTATTGGGCGGCCGGCAGTTCACGGTTTACTCGTACTCGGGCACCATATTGTAAGAACAACCATTAGTTTACTAGACCACTACCACTCGACACAATGGCTTCGACGATCCCCTCAGAGTCCACTCTCGTACGGCGTGTTGCAGCCTCCCGAAAGCTCGAAAAACAGATCCCCCGCATTAACCTCATCTCCATCATTATCCGCGTCGCCCAATTCATTATCCTCGGTGGCTTCAGCCTTGCCTATGCAATGGCACAGCCTCCCGTCTTCCTCGACACTTTCGTCTGGCCGCAGAACACATCGCCGCCCTACACAATGACAGTCTATCGGAACACCACCTCTGGTAGTGAAACACGGGTAGAATACTTTGGCCATCAGCATAGGAGCTCTCTTAACTACTCGGTCATGACGGTTGAGTGGAACGATAAACGGTCGCCGCCGGGACTGTCAGAGAAGTATGATTGTGGCTGGGACCTGCGGTTGGGCTGTGAAGGTGCGCAGTGGGCAGCTACGAGGATTGGATGGTTGGACTCGTGGCCGTTTGACGTTGATGAGCAGATGGCAAGAATTATCTACATTGATAGGTATATCTTCTGGTTACTGGTCGTAGGGGTAAGTTACTCTATGTGAAGCTTTACAAAGATACTGATGCCGAAGCAGGGCTATCTGGGCTCCAGTCACAACGTGGTGGTAATGATTCATGCCCTAGAACCATCCGGAGTCGGATTTTATAAGTAAGAGAACGGATACATGGGGCTCCTCGGGATGCTAATGACAAGTGACGCCTCAGGTATATCGCAATAATGGACTTCATCATCAGCATCTTATTCCTCCTTCTCGGCATCTTCCCTATCGCGATACAGCAGTATCTGTCGTCGATCGTCAAGGAGGAACAAGGCACATTCGGCACCTCCTTCGCCTCCCTCTTCGGACTTTTCACGAGCGTACTCAACGCCAACGAACAGTATGCGTTTTGCATGGGATGGACTTTGTGGTAATAATTAGATCCGGCGGATGTCGGAGCGAAAGAAAGCTGACTCGAACTGTGATAGGGCCCTCTACACGGTTACGTTCCTTCTGAGTACCATCTTGGTCCGGAATCTGGAAAGGTACGAATCGCTTCCGAAGAGGCTGCCCGCATCAATGGCTACGAACAACAGAAGCCCGCCAACTACCCGAGCGACCGCCGCCAATTGTCGAGCAATACCGGGGAAAGACGTTGCCCCAGCTGTCACAATTACGAGGAGGTATATCGGGCCTTCGGGAAACGTGAGGAATTAGGTTAGACGGGGTCTCATTTCCTGGCCGCATCGAGCAAATGTCTGTCTGGGACTCTCAATTATTGTAACATGATTAAAGTACTTGGGTACTTATGCAGTGAACTGGAGGGAGGATGGCATGGTTACTGTAGGACTAGCATTGTGAATATGAGGAATGGTCGAATAAGACTCTTCATGATTCACTGGGGAGAATTCCTACGGTCCACCACATCTTTGGCTCCAGTTGCTCCCCTTCACATTGGCTCTCTGTTCAGTTGTTTTTACAGGATCATTGTTCCAACGCATGGGTAGAATAGCTCGTCCGTAAAGTAGAGAGCTTTCAGGTCGCTGATGCCATCCTCACGCTGGAAATTTGGCCGTGTCTTTGATGGTAACATCAAGGAGATGGTAGACTCATGGCATCGTCCAAAGTGGAACCATCGGTGGATAATCTGCTTGCAGGATTATTTCTTTCCGTCCAGATGCTTGCTCGCGGGCTCATTTATTAGTACGTACTCCTTGCGCATCGATCTCCACTGCCGCTCGCTCGATCGCACTATGTGTTCTGAGACCTGTCCCAATCAGTAAGCACATGCAACTGCAACTGGCAGCCAACCCATTGTCCCCGCCCTCCGCCCTCCTCTACTTCCACACATCCTTCTCATCCTCCACCTCTCCTCATATTCCTTCAACCTTTCCGTATTTTTGCTATTAACTGAACCATATCTCCATTTGCTGCTCGGACCAGATTCCCTACCGCCGAACTATCTCGAGGCTGTCAACAGGTCCCACTACCGCACTTCTTGCATCGGATTTTGCTCTACCTCCCCACAGCACCTTACGCGATGCACCGTCTTCTGATTGCAGCGAGGGAAAAGCTCGCCTCAATAGACTGGCGGCAGAGAAAGCGGTCCAACTTCAACAGAGCTCTGTTCTTCGTACAGTTGGTGTTCTTCGGTGGGCCACTGGCAAATCCTCCCTTTCTCTGCCCAGCTGATATTCTCTAGCGACCTCGCTCGGAATTGCCTCCAGAGTCGGTTGCACGTTCGGCGACATACTACTCGCGCCTTCTTCAACACTTCCTAAGCCATGGTGCTTCAGTTGGCTTTTCTCTTTCGTACGGCCCCTTTATCTCCAAGGACTTCCCCTAAAACTAATGTTGGGCATAGGCAATCATTGAAGGTATTATCGGTGGCCTTCAGCTTTTTCATTCTTGCTACCAGGGCGTCACCAGCTCAGGTCGCTGCTTGACAATCCCTCTCCACCGCTTCTATATCTTCATCGATATAGTAATGTGCGCTATAAGCTTCTTGAGCCTCTATATCATTGCCAACTTCATCATGATTCATCACGGGCTGGACCCCAAAGGAAAAAATGCCATTAAAGATCTCATAGGAGAGGAGAATCTTCACATGCTATCCGGAGAGTCAAAGTGGGCAGCTTGCATACAGCTCGTGATATTGGAAGTTACTCAGATGTTTGTCATCCCTTAACATTCTTGGACAAGTTGAAATCAGACCATTCTGACGATGGATGCAGCCTTGGCCTGGGAATGTCTATCATGCTGCAAGCAGTGCTGCACTCTCGCCGGAGGCGTGGATGGTCACTGAAGCCGGGGAGATGGGGGAGAGAAGGGCACGAACTTCAAAACCAGCCCCGTGTCCTTCCAAATAGACACTCGAGTGCTTTCCCCCAACCCGAAGGTGCAGTGAACAGCCCAACCCCGATTGATCCACTACCCAATGGTGCTGCAGCCAATCAAGAGGACAGAATCGAACCTGTCTAGAAGGGCAACAAGGGTCACAATGGAGCACAGGTAGGCGGATGATGATATTCGTGTGAGGCTTCGTTAGGATCAGTTTTGAAAAAAGCTTGGATGGAGAGTTTTGGAAACGTTAATCATTGGTCGAGTAATGTTCTTTGCTGTTGAAGGAATTACAGAAATATGGAAATGCGGGTTCTTTTCATGTTTTAATGTTTAATGTTGTGGAGGACGAGGATGGGTATCTGTCTGTGTAGTTGCGGATGGCTTGTTGGTCTTCTTACTGTAAGATGCTGGTTCGGTCATGTACCATGCTGCTGGAGAGCTCTTCCTAGAGGAATGATAATGCTTGTTTGACGAGTATCATGAATTGCCATCCAGTCTCTCGTGAATTCGGAAATATGTAGTGCCTGTCTCAGAGCGGGAATTCGCACTCCTACTGCATATTTGCTCACTCGCACTTAGCCTCGCAATAGGCTGCTTGCATAAAAACTACACCGACTAACTCTTCCGCTCTCTTCGCTGCATCCATCTTCTCTCATACCAACTCCTTTGAAACTTCTGCCTCACAACTCTCTCCCTACTGACGTCGCACTTCCATCAAACCCCACACACTCGTCAAACATACAGTACTTTCCCCAAGTCCCGTTAGACTCCGCTATGTTTCACGCTGCTGCCAATCCCAACATCCTCGCCTACGTGGATCCCACCTTCTTCCCCGCAGGCACACCATTTACGGCCAGAGCACCAGGAGGCCGTCGAAACTGCCTTGCATTCTTCGACTATGCTCGGAAGCCACGGACTCCCATTGAAGCCACGCTGATCACATTCCGGATATTGGGGTTCCTTCTCGGTGCTGCTTTGTTCCTCATGGGAATCCTCTACATCAGTCTCCCTGCCACCTTTGGGGCCAATCGGGTCGAGCCTATTGCTGCGTTGATCGTGGTAAGTACTTACCTACTCGTCGATGGATATGGGGATGGGGAGGGTGATGGAGATGTTGACGACGACGTCGATTATAGGGTCCCGTTACGATGACGTTTTTCTTCTTTGAGGCTTACCTGTGCACCGGGCACCTCGTCGATCCCGCCGGATTGCCGGTATTGTATGTTTCTTGCTGCCAATCATTCTTCCCTACCATCTCGGGCGCAGAGTGACTGATACGACATAGTATTACCGAATTGGTGTTCCAAGTCTTCAACCTCATCCTTAATGCGTGCGCGCTTGGGTGGCTCGCACTGTTCGACTTCGGCCGTCAACAAGACCGCGCCGACTGGTGGGTGTTTGTGATGTTGTTTTCACTCAACGGGTATGTTGCAAAGTCGTCCAGTGAGCCTGGAGGATGCTGATAAGAGATTGCAGGTTTCTGGCACTCGCCGTGGCGATCACCATGACAGTCATGATATTCATCGCCGTCGCAAAACGCGAGAAGGCAGCTGTAACGGTCGGATCCCCAGGCCCTGAAAATTTGACGGCCACAGCTTGATCAATGATGTGTGTGTGCTGGTATTGTATGAATAACTTCGTCATGGATTATGGGAGGTTGAGGAGCTGTGAAGCTGGTGGGCTATCTGTTTTTTTACGCAGCTGGTATGCGGGATAATTGTATGAGTGTAGTAAGCAAAGAGATTCACAACCTGATCCGGAATCACAGTATCAGTGCTGCCTTAAACCTCAAGTACATAGGAGGCACCGGATGGGCTTCGTCGCGGTTATTGATGTTTCTCACCGACTGTCGGAATGGCCCGCTTCCCAAATGTTTCCTCTGTCTCCACGCTGTTGCCGTACAGAGGCTTGAGTCCCCGTGATAGGACAGATTTGACACCCCCCATCAATAGCTAGCAAAGTAACCTTGCACGTACGTATCTTCTAATCCTTCGACTCGTTCTTGCTCACGTCCACCGGGCATCGCCTTTGGGGATCTAACGTGGAATCTGAACGGAAGACCCGAAATACGTCGTCAGGTCATTCTTGATGAAGACACAAGAGTCACCGGAATTGCGCGTACTTCGGGGGTGACGACCTCCCCTGCAGGGCGAATCAGGCTCGGCCTTAAATGTCAGCTTTTGGATCTGGAGATGAGATATCCGGAAGCATCTTGGGCTATTTGTTGGCTTGCGTAAGTGGTATTTCTTGAGTGCTCATAGCTAGAAACTAACGGCATGGCTTGAATACATAGGTAGGCTAGACTATATAGAGATCCAGCGGACACTTCCTAAGGTTAGCAACGTTTATTCGGCGCTACATCATGGCGTTTTAAAGAAATTTCGAAGACGAAGGATTTACTTTCGGGGAGAGCCTTTCTCTGGGGAACAAATGTCGAGGGTGATTCACCTATGGGAATTACACTACGCCCCGCCTACGAAAGACGGAAAGCTTGGCCAGCTCCGCAGTACCTAACGCTGCCGGTGCCACCGCTTTTACGTGCACCGTCGGTGGACGGTGGACCCATCATCTGTTTCGGAGTTTAACTCGCTCAATTATTCTCTCTCCTCATGCCACATATTGGACAGGCGATATTTAGGTTTGCTTCTATCGTTTCCGTTTCCACCTTACGCCCCGATCACCCAGCTAGTGTTAAGTAATGAAAGCGAGTACGACTTCAGGCTACCTTTCAGTTCAATCATACAAACATTGCACGCACACCAACACCGCAACTGTGCACATCACTTTGCAACTTCTTCCATTTCATCATATCCCGGCTTCCCTCAAGCCCCCCAGCCTCTATCCAGCCTCATCACCCCCGACCCTCCATTCGGAAACCCCTGATAAACGGGCTTATAAACCGGCGCTCCTTCCGTTCCCCTCCTCATGTCGAAAACACCTGGCCCTGCCATCCCCGGGCCTCTTGTACTTATCCCCATCGGTGACGACGGCATATGTACCGGGTGATGGTGATGTATGTGCGGCGGATGCTTCGGGTGTGGATATACGTAGCACGGCGGCGGGCGGATAATCTCAATCCACCTATTCCTTCCTCGGCCGGTGGGCATGCTGAGCAGATGTCTTGCGCTCGCGGCCGTCTCGACTCTTCTCTTCACCACGCGGCGGTGCAGGAAACTGGCCGCTACCAGTATAATCACTAGGAGGATCACCATCGTGAGGATAATGGCGATCGTGGATGACGGAGGGAGATTTGGTGGCAAGGGAGACATCGTCGTTTACTTCTGAGGAGCGGGGAGGGGGGGGGGGGAATGCTGGGGGAGACGGGGGTGGGGGGAGGTGAAGATATGGAAGATCGAACGAGTGCTGATGAGCAAACGAAAGGCGAGTGCGTGCGAGTGATGTCGGGTCTACCCAAAACGAACGGCGCCCGGAATGGTGCATATCGGGCTGTAGGCTTCAGATGGTTAGATGCCACGACTCCCGTCGGGATGCGGACACCCTGCCTGGGAAATTTCGGTTCGTGCGTGCGGTGGGACTATTGGCCGACGTCCTGGAGGAGATATTTCCGCTGGCTTCGATAACTATCGCGCCGGATCAAGCGTCAAACGAAATCGATCGTAATCCGTTGGTCATGTAATATTGCTAACGGCTCATGCATGTGCTCGCACCGAGCACCTGACCGATTAGGCTACACGTAAAGACTATGACACTATAGTCTCTGACAATATAGGTAGTGGAAGCCCCTCCGGTAGAGAAGAATACTGGTTCCATGGTTCGCAACAGTCAGCCCTGGGCATGTTAGCAGTTGTTCGATAACGGATTGCTTTTTTCGGACACAGAATCTTCACCTGAATGAAATCAGTGCTTTCAAGGCTGGGACCATGGTGTCTACCAGCCGCGGGGCGGCGAATGACGGCTGATGATACCGGTTCTCTGCCGTGGCTTGGGTGTCTTCGCTTTCAGCCATCTAGTACCTTGTATACTGTTGACTGTGATCCGAAGGAGAATGAGGTTCGTAACCTGGGTATCGGCTCAAGGAGGCGCTGCAGCAGACCGCATCACCAAAGTCTGGGCATGGGCCCTACTATGTATACCAGCATGGAAGTACTACATGCTGCATGTATTTTGTGATCAGTGGCGTCGAGGAGCCACAGAACATGCACTCAGACAGAGGAAAGTATAGATCGCTGTGTAGCAGTGCCACTTTCCTTTCCTAGACTTGTAGCCCTGTCGCCACGGCGAGCATACAAAATAGCCTAGACCCACATCCTAGCTAACAAACATCGAACCATCCCGCAAAGCTACAGCCCTCACCCATACAAGCACGTAATCCACTTCCAGTCGCATACCCAAAAGAATCTTCAAACTGATATCGCAACCGCACCATATCATAAACGTAGGCATGCTCTACCGACACAAGCATCCAGCTCTGCATAGCAGTAGCATCCCAAAGAGCAACAGAGACTGTCAGATCACGCCATTTGGCTCAAATTAGCATGATTATCATAGCGGGAACTAAGGTACGAGAGTAGCACCCACGCGCTCTCGGTTCCACCCTAGGCTTGAGGTCCATCGTCACGCTGCCAGGTCGAGTGACTTTGAAGGACTCTGTCAGATTGTTCGCCAAACGGTGCAGCTGGATGCACCGCCGCCGGTGACGTCGGGTTGTGAGAGGCTAGTTCCCTATAGAGTCAGGCCAAACAGGCACCACTTAGCCGCCGTCATCGACATTTCCAGATCAGAAGGACTCACTTTCTATCGAATCAAGCCAAACAGGCACCACTTAGCCGCCGTCATCGACATTTCCAGATCAGAAGGACTCACTCTCTATCGAATCAAGCCAGGCAGGCACCACTTAGCCGCCGTCATCGACATTTCCAGATCAGAAGGACTCACAAGCTATCGAATCAAGCCAAACAGGCACCACTTAGCCGCCGTCATCGACATTTCCAGATCAGAAGGACTCACCGGCTATCGAATCAAGCCAGGCAGGCACCACTTAGCCGCCGTCATCGACATTTCCAGATCAGAAGGACTCACAAGCTATCGAATCAAGCCAAACAGGCACCACTTAGCCGCCGTCATCGACATTTCCAGATCAGAAGGACTCACAAGCTATCGAATCAAGCCAAACAGGCACCACTTAGCCGCCGTCATCGACATTTCCAGATCAGAAGGACTCACTCTCTATCGAATCAAGCCAAACAGGCACCACTTAGCCGCCGTCATCGACATTTCCAGATCAGAAGGACTCACCGGCTATCGAATCAAGCCAGGCAGGCACCACTTAGCCGCCGTCATCGACATTTCCAGATCAGAAGGACTCACAAGCTATCGAATCAAGCCAAACAGGCACCACTTAGCCGCCGTCATCGACATTTCCAGATCAGAAGGACTCACTCTCTATCGAATCAAGCCAGGCAGGCACCACTTAGCCGCCGTCATCGACATTTCCAGATCAGAAGGACTCACTTTCTATCGAATCAAGCCAAACAGGCACCACTTAGCCGCCGTCATCGACATTTCCAGATCAGAAGGACTCACTCTCTATCGAATCAAGCCAGGCAGGCACCACTTAGCCGCCGTCATCGACATTTCCAGATCAGAAGGACTCACAAGCTATCGAATCAAGCCAAACAGGCACCACTTAGCCGCCGTCATCGACATTTCCAGATCAGAAGGACTCACTCTCTATCGAATCAAGCCAGGCAGGCACCACTTAGCCGCCGTCATCGACATTTCCAGATCAGAAGGACTCACTCTCTATCGAATCAAGCCAGGCAGGCACCACTTAGCCGCCGTCATCGACATTTCCAGATCAGAAGGACTCACTCTCTATCGAATCAAGCCAGGCAGGCACCACTTAGCCGCCGTCATCGACATTTCCAGATCAGAAGGACTCACTTTCTATCGAATCAAGCCAAACAGGCACCACTTAGCCGCCGTCATCGACATTTCCAGATCAGAAGGACTCACTCTCTATCGAATCAAGCCAGGCAGGCACCACTTAGCCGCCGTCATCGACATTTCCAGATCAGAAGGACTCACAAGCTATCGAATCAAGCCAAACAGGCACCACTTAGCCGCCGTCATCGACATTTCCAGATCAGAAGGACTCACTCTCTATCGAATCAAGCCAAACAGGCACCACTTAGCCGCCGTCATCGACATTTCCAGATCAGAAGGACTCACCGGCTATCGAATCAAGCCAGGCAGGCACCACTTAGCCGCCGTCATCGACATTTCCAGATCAGAAGGACTCACTTTCTATCGAATCAAGCCAGACAGGCACCACTTAGCCGCCGTCATCGACATTTCCAGATCAGAAGGACTCACTCTCTATCGAATCAAGCCAGGCAGGCACCACTTAGCCGCCGTCATCGACATTTCCAGATCAGAAGGACTCACTCTCTATCGAATCAAGCCAAACAGGCACCACTTAGCCGCCGTCATCGACATTTCCAGATCAGAAGGACTCACTCTCTATCGAATCAAGCCAGGCAGGCACCACTTAGCCGCCGTCATCGACATTTCCAGATCAGAAGGACTCACAAGCTATCGAATCAAGCCAAACAGGCACCACTTAGCCGCCGTCATCGACATTTCCAGATCAGAAGGACTCACTCTCTATCGAATCAAGCCAGGCAGGCACCACTTAGCCGCCGTCATCGACATTTCCAGATCAGAAGGACTCACTTTCTATCGAATCAAGCCAAACAGGCACCACTTAGCCGCCGTCATCGACATTTCCAGATCAGAAGGACTCACAAGCTATCGAATCAAGCCAAACAGGCACCACTTAGCCGCCGTCATCGACATTTCCAGATCAGAAGGACTCACCGGCTATCGAATCAAGCCAGGCAGGCACCACTTAGCCGCCGTCATCGACATTTCCAGATCAGAAGGACTCACAAGCTATCGAATCAAGCCAAACAGGCACCACTTAGCCGCCGTCATCGACATTTCCAGATCAGAAGGACTCACAAGCTATCGAATCAAGCCAAACAGGCACCACTTAGCCGCCGTCATCGACATTTCCAGATCAGAAGGACTCACCGGCTATCGAATCAAGCCAAACAGGCACCACTTAGCCGCCGTCATCGACATTTCCAGATCAGAAGGACTCACCGGCTATCGAATCAAGCCAGCCAGGCACCACTTAGCCGCCGTCATCGACATTTCCAGATCAGAAGGACTCACTCTCTATCGAATCAAGCCAAACAGGCACCACTTAGCCGCCGTCATCGACATTTCCAGATCAGAAGGACTCACCGGCTATCGAATCAAGCCAGGCAGGCACCACTTAGCCGCCGTCATCGACATTTCCAGATCAGAAGGACTCACAAGCTATCGAATCAAGCCAAACAGGCACCACTTAGCCGCCGTCATCGACATTTCCAGATCAGAAGGACTCACTCTCTATCGAATCAAGCCAGGCAGGCACCACTTAGCCGCCGTCATCGACATTTCCAGATCAGAAGGACTCACAAGCTATCGAATCAAGCCAAACAGGCACCACTTAGCCGCCGTCATCGACATTTCCAGATCAGAAGGACTCACAAGCTATCGAATCAAGCCAAACAGGCACCACTTAGCCGCCGTCATCGACATTTCCAGATCAGAAGGACTCACCGGCTATCGAATCAAGCCAGGCAGGCACCACTTAGCCGCCGTCATCGACATTTCCAGATCAGAAGGACTCACAAGCTATCGAATCAAGCCAAACAGGCACCACTTAGCCGCCGTCATCGACATTTCCAGATCAGAAGGACTCACTCTCTATCGAATCAAGCCAGGCAGGCACCACTTAGCCGCCGTCATCGACATTTCCAGATCAGAAGGACTCACTCTCTATCGAATCAAGCCAGGCAGGCACCACTTAGCCGCCGTCATCGACATTTCCAGATCAGAAGGACTCACTCTCTATCGAATCAAGCCAGGCAGGCACCACTTAGCCGCCGTCATCGACATTTCCAGATCAGAAGGACTCACAAGCTATCGAATCAAGCCAAACAGGCACCACTTAGCCGCCGTCATCGACATTTCCAGATCAGAAGGACTCACCGGCTATCGAATCAAGCCAGGCAGGCACCACTTAGCCGCCGTCATCGACATTTCCAGATCAGAAGGACTCACTCTCTATCGAATCAAGCCAGGCAGGCACCACTTAGCCGCCGTCATCGACATTTCCAGATCAGAAGGACTCACTCTCTATCGAATCAAGCCAGGCAGGCACCACTTAGCCGCCGTCATCGACATTTCCAGATCAGGAGGACTCACAAGCTATCGAATCAAGCCAAACAGGCACCACTTAGCCGCCGTCATCGACATTTCCAGATCAGAAGGACTCACAAGCTATCGAATCAAGCCAAACAGGCACCACTTAGCCGCCGTCATCGACATTTCCAGATCAGAAGGACTCACCGGCTATCGAATCAAGCCAGGTGGACACCGTTTAATGGGTATCAACACTGCAGTGGTGGTGGCTGACTTACTTTAAGTCGTAGCGTCTAGAAAATGAGATCACATTAGCACCCCCTATTTCTCTCTCCAGGGACATTCTTGGAGAATTCACTGCTCAGTTTGCTCGACCACCACATGCCAACGGCGGATTCGCATGAGCGCAGTTGCCTCATTCTGAGTCGCGTCTGCTGGAGCCTGAGCGCTGTCGTCTTCTGAAAGCTCCGTGATTCGCGGCTCTGACGATACTTGAAACCACGTCCCACAGATGGTACTTTGGGAAACACATGATAGTTTAGTATGGTAGAATCGCAACATCATCCGAAGTGTAGGTACCATCGAACCCGTTCAAGGTCATTGCCCTTGCCGTAGCCTCTATACGCAGTGCGGCAACTAGGACACTCCTGTTCTGTTCCTCGAACCGGGTCTTGCTGCTTTTTCAGTCGCATAGACATGGAAAGGGTCTTGCCTGGTGATATGGTGTCTTCCCAGCTTGCCGGGGTAATCATTGCGGCGTTGTTATCTTCATCGAAGATTGCAAATGATTTGCTTTCAACCCACACGCTTTCCCGCCCGCCCCGGAAGCCTCCCCGTACTGCTTCGTGAAAGGCCTAGTGTATTGTAAGGTTCATACTTGACTGAGTACGCTTCGAACGAGGCTTGTACAAACCTCCCATGTAACGCACCACTCGTACGGGAGCGTCATTTTTCTATCGAACGCGTCTACAAATCTGATGGGCTTGTTGTCGCTCCAATTATCAAGGCTTTGCGGAACTTGTGGCCGTTGCATACTTTGCAAGGCGACGCACATGTCTTCAATCCGATGCAAAGCTTGCCTGTAAACGTGAAAGAACCCGATTAGATCATGCATCGTCAGCGGCGGATACTGCCATCACCCACGCATTGTGAACGGCCAACAGCATCTCTATCGCTTCGATGTGCCCTTGGAGCCGGCGAAACAGCTCACTCGTATCGGCCTTCAGGCCCCCCCACTTCAGCTTTCGTGATGTATCTTTCACCTTCTTCCCCGATCCTCCTGGTGAAAGACTGGCATCGTATTTCTTGGTGATTTCGTCAAAATTCCGTAGAAGCTGAGAACACTCGCTAAGGTGTTTCTTTGCCGCATTGGTGAAGGATTTCGGCATGGAGCTGGGTTTCGGGGACTGGAATTCAGCCTCCACAATGGCAATGGTCGTTCCGAGGGAGCCCCGTATGAGCTTCAGAGTCTGGTAATTGGCGGAAGACCCTGTGCTGTCCTGGAGGCAGGCATATGCTTTGATCGCGACATTGCTGGCGGCGATAAAATCGCCGATGCCGAAACCGAAAGACATTGGAGGCGACGTCTAGGCTCAACGGTAGCGTGGTGGACTGTAGGTGGTGGTGGTGGTGGTGGTGGTGGAGTGCAAGGTGGTGGACTGTATCTTTGCTGCTGTTCTGTGGGCGGGGAAAGAACACCGCGGGGCCCGGGCGAAAATTCGGTATACACTTATTTTTACTGCCGTGAGGGGTATGTATCTCGGCCAGTTTCACAGGATGTTGCATGAGTGCGGTACTGGTACATACTGTCCAACACGGGTTACATGATGATTGGCGCCACCAAGAACATTCACGGCTGACACTGCGTGTTTTCCGTCTACGGGCTCATCATCAAAAGACACAAAATAAACACGGTAGAGCCAATGGACGACCTGTATACGCAAGCGCTCTCTTGATGCTTCGTCCGCTTTCGCCGATTGCAATAACTGCCTTCAGAAATCGAGATGTTCGTCCTATCATATCAACTAAGTGAAGTGACTCCGACTCCTGTGCCCCGAACAGGTTTACACTCCGAGTCCGTCGCACTATGGCTCAGAAGTACCTCAAACAAAAAGCTCTGGGGCTGGTCATCACAATGGTTTCATTCATCCGCTTCGGCATAACTCCCACTTGCGATACCTAGGTGAGTAGGTATGCATCCCAAGTGAAATCGACTTCAATTTCAATCGTAGCGACTCTGCGGCTTCTACCAGCATGATCACATCGCAAAACATCTCACTCTCTTGTATCTCATAGCAGCCGTAGTATCGTCTTAAGCCCCCAAGCAATGCTCGTCGAAGAGATCCTCTCCCCATCCTCTCTCCGAGTACCTCATACACCACCTCAGCCCCTCTCCCTTCTCAGCACCCCAATCAACGGCTTCAAGATGAGTAGTAGGCACGGGATAGCCGAGCCATATCCCAGTGAACATACTAACGTAATGCAGCGCCTCGGCGACATTCGCAATCTCCTGCCACCACTCACACCGCTTCTCGTCTCCTCTGTTAGCGACCACGAACCTCCAATCCACCATGTTTTCATCCTCCTCGAACGGAATATCCTTAAACTCCTTCACCTCGCCGGGCAAAATACACGATTAGTTTGTTAACTCCCGTATCTTCCAGAACAGTCCGGTAGAATAATCCCAGTCGAGGAGCGCGGAAGACGGCAGGAGGTCACAGCCATGGCTAGCGACGGTGATCTTCTGTTCCGCCTGCAGCAACCGCTGGAAGGATTCTTCGGCCGGTCCGACAGCCTCACGGGAGACTACCATTCCGTCTGCGCCTCGTTTTCCGGCGATGTGGGAGTAGGGCGCGGGAACGGCGAGGGGTTTCTGCGAATCATCGTCGGTGCCGACGGACCTGCTGCGCGACGGGAAATCGCAGGTGTAATCGTTTTCGACAAAGAGGGGTACCAAGGTGTCGTGTAGGTGATGGTTGCGGTGCGATTGCAGTAGCTCGTCGAGTGGATTACTGAGAGTGGTGTGAGGGTTGGGGTATCGGGGTCGTTCGGGATGATCACCATCCGTCTCCCCCACCGCAGTATCCAACCGAGAATCAACGGCAATGATGGTGTGCGCGACAATCCTCCTCACCGCCTTCCTCTTCGTCGGTTTGTCCTCTGCCTCAGACGAAGCCTACATATGAAGCTTCTAACGTTCGAACTGAGGAGGAGAGGTCCGGAGGGGGGCCATTGGGGCTGGAGGGTGGCTGTAGGACATGATTGGATTATACGTTTTAACGCGTCCATCGTGACGCATACTCTACCGGTACTTTATGTATGTAGGATGATTCATGTGTGTTGGCGCCTGCCGGGACCCCGCAATGCATGAAGCCACATTAAAATGTATGGGTCTCCGGCCGACGGGACTAAACTACTACCTATGCAGTGAGTCACCGAGGCCAGAAAAAGGAATAATGGTTTTCAGGAGGATACTGTCGTTGGAAGAAGCTCAAAGTCAAATACGAGTTGCTAACTTGATAACCTTGTTCTCGTATGTAGTATCACCACCTGCGATATTACTCTGGCCAATGGTGGTGGTGGTCCCGTATTATCTCCTGGTCTTACCGAGACCAAGATTCAGTACATTTCAGCCGCCTTTTCCAGGTATTCAGTCTGCAATCGGTGCCTAAAAATTTCTTCACGGTCGCTTTGAACGAATGATCTCTAACACAAATTAGGCGATGCGCGTGTAGAGCACCCATTCCATCTGGGAGGTTGAAATGTCAACGAATACGGCCCACCATTATTATGCGTCAGAGCAACTTCTACCCTGGGTTGAAGGCCATACCATAGGTATTGGCCCGATAACTGCTGGCCTTGCATGTTGCCCGCTAGTGGCATGATCGTCGACCTTTGGGGCCGTAATATGTAGCGGATGGGACGCCGAGTTCCTTTTAAGGAAGTCTTGAATCGGGACGGACTTACTCGGAAGCTATGTAGACTCAGTGGAGCCGTACTATCTATAGTACATACCGTTAGCCATCTTCGCTACGTTGTTAGGGCTGGAAGCTATCCACTGCGTCCGACAAGTGCGTTCGACAGCTGACTATAAAAAGCGGGAAGTCATTCTGAAAGGTGATGCCGGAGTTGTCTTTTTTAAGAGAAAGATTAGACGGGCGGCAGTGATGGCCGGTCACAATCCGCCACGCAGTTCCGACCCACTGTTCCGATGGTCACTGCGGTCTCGGTCCGTCTGTTATGTACTCTTGATGGCCATGGCATCAGAATGCCGCCCGATGCCGAATGAATCAATAGGACTCCATTTAGAACACCGAGTGAACGGCTATCGATTACCACCCAGCGCCCGAGGGGAGCGGCTACCAATCGCATGGAATAATATACGGATTGAATTGTGGGCTTACAAAATAATGGTTAATGGCCGTAAGTTTCTGCGCTGGGATTGACTTTTTAGCACTACGGGGCGACCCGTCATAGCCAATTCCCACCGGCCTAGTCGTTTGGAAAATTGAGTTGAATAGTACCTTGTACCTCATTCACGTGAAAGCTTCCCTCCTAGTTTCGTGTGCCATTCAGGCCTACTTCACCATGGCCAACACCACTTGATTCGAGTGGCTCGTGGGCTTTATTCATCGATTAAATCATGGACGATCGCTCGAGATCACTCGAGATCATCGTGTGGCACTCAGGCTAGAACCCGCCCCCTTCTCAAGATGCACCAGATTGAAGTGTGCAGTCTACAAAATATACACGAGACCGGACTGGTTGATCGGTACCGTGGAAAAAAGACCTATTGCGATTAACTGGTCTAAGGGTTCACAACATCCGTCCCAGAACTTCTCAGTACCAGTGGGCGAAGTGGAGAGGACTATTGTTACTTTGCCTACTAGTAGTTTTGACGAAGAACATTGGAATAACATTCGATAACCACACACTTTGCTTGGGCTTGGTCATTCCTTATGCTCGTCACCGGCGGTATCCGCCTGCGTAGTGAAGGCAAAGTAACTTTCGTACCCCTTTTTCGTCGAGCCTTTAGGGCCATCCGCAAATATTTGTGGCGGGTACGGATGTCAGGCCCTACAGCCTGAAGTTTGAACCCGATCGTCTATCAATACTGAGATTTAACGCCCGACCACCGACTAGTCCGCCCATCGAAACATCGTCTAGAAGCGATCCACCACGTAGAGGACTACCAGACTGACGAGAGGGCGGGCTTCCTGGAAATCCAAGAACGTGGGCGCACAGTCTCTTGAGAGTGCTTCACCAGAGCCCAGTTGAACACCTTTTTATCGCAGAAGTTGAGACGCTGTAACTACTGTATATATGTACTCGATTTCTCCACCCCTGAACAAGATAGGTGTGCTTGATGTATGGATAGTATGGATATATATTGCCTTTCTACGTTAGATGGTGACAGTGCATGTGGCTCGGAGGGTGCTTCGCCACAGGTGTCTTGTGTGGATTTCATGAACGATCACTCCCTAGAAATCTGCATTCTGTTCTGTTCAAGCAGCGGAAACGAAGGTTGTTTATGGGAATTGATTCACTTTTGCATATTGTGTCGAAATGTGGGCTATTGAGTGCTCTGTCGAAGTGTATATTCTGAAAGTGTAATTGAGCCCTGGACCTGGCACGCCGCGAGTTGCTGCACGCTGCACGCTACCGAGCTTAGCTCGAACTGGTGGACGTCGCAACACCGCCTCGCCGCATTCTGACGACGATCTCTCGGAAAACAGGCAACTAACCCAACCAACCACCATTCATCCCCCACTCATACTACTTCAAACCTCAATCGCGCCCCAATCCGCCTCAATCCGACCTTGCGTTGCACAAAGCATCTCCACCCCGCCATCCCCCGCATTTCCCCTCAAATCCTTATTCTGGCAAGGTTATCCACCCGCCGCTTGCTACTTGTCTCCTTCCTCGTCCTTCTCCTTTCCACCATCACACTGGCGCCAGCAACCCGTCTCCTCTCACTGCTGGGTCAATTCTCCTTCAAAGCCAGAAATACTTTCATCCCATCTCGACTATTAACGACCACCTCTCTCACCATGACACACCCGACTCCGCCGCCGGCACCCAAGTTCACCCACACGCCGGATTCCGTCATCTCCAACACCAAGCGTATCATCGAGTCATCGCGTACGGTTCAAGACAAAATCACGAAGGAGGTCACACCCGACAATGCTACATTTGGCGCCGTCCTCGAGCCGCTTGCCATCGACGAGAACCACATGGGTCTTGAGGCTGCCATCCTCGGCTTCTACCAGCACGTCAGCACCGACAAAGTACTTCGTGATGCCAGTAGCGAGGCGGAGAAGCTTCTGGACGTTTGTTACCCTCCCCGCCCCCCCCCAGCTCTCGATTCGATGTGGTTGATTGATGTGTGGGGTTGGTTAGGACTTCGGCATCGAATCCTCGATGCGTGAGGACATCTACAAGCTTGTGTCGGCCGTCTACAAGGCGAACAAGGAGAAACCGATCGACGAGAGTCCTGAGGCTAGGCGTCTGCTCGAGAAGATGAACCAGGATTATGAACGCAACGGATTGGGACTCTCAGAGAGTGATCGTGCGAGATTCAAGGAAATCAAGAAGGAGCTTTCTCTCCTGAGCATCGACTTCTCAAAGCGGCTGGGTGAGGAGAACGGCGGTATCTGGTTCAAGCCCGAGGAGCTCAAGGGTGTACCGGAGGATGTGATCTCTACATTCAAGAAGGGTAAGGGGGAGGACGAGGGGAAGTTGTTCTGCTCATTTAAGTACCCCGACCTTTTCCCCATGATGAAGTACGCCGTCAACCCGGAGACGCGCAAACAGGTATGTGCATCATGGCGGGCCTTATGGAATGGAGATAGAGAAACCACTTTTATGCTCACATCCAGTGATAGGTGTTCTTAGGCAACGAGAACAAGTGCAACGACAACGTCGACCTCTTTCGCAAAGCCATGAAGCTTAGAGATGAGAAGGCACGCCTACTAGGCTTCAAGTCGCATGCCGAATTTCAGCTGGCTACCAAGATGGCTAAAACTCCCGCAAAGGTGATGGAGTTCCTGAACGACCTCAGGTCCCGGCTACAGCCTGGAGGAAAGGAGGAGATCCATGGATTGAGATCCCTCAAGAAGGCTGATCTCAAGGAGATCGGGTTACAAGATGACGGAAAGTACTACCTTTGGGATCACAGGTATGTCATGGTTGAGAGTTTGCTGCAACCTCATGGCTGATGGAGTCAGGTACTACGACCGCCTTTTGCTCGAGAAGAAATATCAACTCGATGCTCAAAAGATCGCTGAATACTTCCCTTTGACGCACACCATCGACGGCATGCTCAAGATCTTCGAGGTTCTATTCGGTCTAGAGTTCGTCGAGGTAACTGATGATAGCAAGAACGTGTGGCACGAGGATACCAAGCAGTTTCGCGTCTATAACGAGAAGCCCTCCGACGGCAGTGAGCAGACTTTTGTTGGTTGGCTTTACTTGGATCTGCACCCCCGAGATGGCAAGTACGGTCACGCGGCCAACTTCAACCTTCAGCCCGGCTTCACGGACGAGAACGGAAAACGCCACTACCCTGCCACCGCGCTGGTCTGCAACTTTTCCAAGCCGACACCAACCAAGCCGTCCCTTCTTAAGCATGATGAGGTGGTCACGTTATTCCACGAGCTGGGACACGGCATTCACGACCTTGTAGCTATCACCAACTACTCTAGGTTCCACGGTACGAATGTTGTCCGGGACTTTGTTGAGGCCCCCAGTCAGATGCTCGAGAACTGGTGTTGGACGGTATCCGAGCTCACATCGCTGTCAAGCCACTACAAGACGGGCGAGAGTATCCCCAAGGATATGATTGACAACATCATCCGTACCAAGAATATCAATGCGTCTCTCTTCAACCTCCGCCAGCTCCACTTCGCCTTCTACGACATGAAGGTGCATGACCTCGCCACACCAGAAGACGCTGAGAAGGTCGACCCCACTTCTGAGTACAACAACCTTAGGACGGATATCACCATGCTTGACCCGCCGAAGGGAATGGATGACCACTTCGGACATGGAGAGGCGACTTTCGGTCACTTGATGGGCGGGTACGATGCTGGTACGTCTCAAAGGAATTCACACATTGTTCCCCGTGCTTGAACTGACGAAATTTCATAGGCTATTACGGCTACCTCTGGTCGCAGGTGTTTAGTACCGACATGTTCTACACAGCTTTCAAGAAGGCGCCTATGGATGCCGCTACCGGAAGGAGATACAGACATGCTGTGCTCGAGAAGGGTGGAAGCAGGGATGAGATGGATAGTCTGAAGGACTTCCTTGGACGCGAGCCGAACAGCGATGCGTTCTTTGAGGATCTTGGACTAGGAAAGAAGGCTTAAATGGTTGTTTGCCTGTGACTCTAGGGACTATGAATCGAAGCCTGTGGTGCATGGATTGTAAAAAAAAACTGGCTATGGTGAGATATGTGTAGATGACCAAGTTTATGAAATTTTGTGACTGCAACATGGTAAGGCCGAAATCAAAGTGCAAGTAGAGGCCTATCGCACCAGCTTTTTGGCAGCCTTATGAAATCTGCACTAGCTAGAGTAGGTATACTACCTGACGACTAATCGCATACGACAGGGGATGGTTTGGATCAGCATAAATAGAATACAGCGCGAAGCTTTGTGAATCAGTGAATTATTGCATGCCTTACGTCTCAACCTGCATGATAATGTAAGCGTACGTAATACAAGACCTGGCTCATGGTGAACCCAATGGCAACGTGTCCGAGTGGTTAAGGAGTATGACTCGAATACTCTACAGTTAATGATATCATATGGGTTCGCCCGCGCAAGTTCGAATCTTGTCGTTGTCGCTATCTTTTTTGGTTTTTTTATCTTGAGGTACGTATGTAGCCTGCTGGCCAAATCGGTCTGCTGGCTGGAGATCAGCCCTTTGGCCAAGAGGCTAGATGTACGCACAGACCCGGGCAAGGAATTAATGGGCAATTGGCACATGCCAACCTGGTTTTCCGAGCGATCATACTCATGTCATCAAGATCTCGTTGGGGTTTGCAAATCGATAAGATACGGTAATGGGGGCTCTGCGTCTGTGCCAATTCCCAACCACAAGTTGTATGTATAAAAAGTAGATTTCATCCATCGAGGTAATTATGTACTTATGTACTATACACCCCTCCTCATTCCGATGAGCCCGTTGAGGCCGGCGCGGCAAGTGGGCGCAATGGCGATCGCCCTTTTCATCTGAAAACTCATTCAGCTTCTTTCTCTGGAACACCTCAAGCCCTTTTGCTCTCTGCCTGGACTTTTTTCTTGTATATACTAATAAGGGGCGTTGGTTATTACCTAGGTCCTACATACAGTCTACTCCACCGTAGCAGGGACGGGCAGTACCTTACTTTCGCCGGTAAACTGGTGGCTATGTACGTAGCACTCTCCCCGGGTATCTTCTCGATTTACTAACTGCGCTATGTATTCACCAATGAGGTCTCTGCTACACGAGTACAACTAGGTAGGTACCGGGTGGAGTCGTGCTGTTCGGGCGGTTTTTGCGATTGCAGGGTCCAGTTCGCGGATCGTGACGTGCAGTTTGCAGGATTTGGGCCGGCTTCAGCTGAGGAACTTCGTTGCTTGCATCGGTGATCCCCAGAGGCTTGCGGGGCGGCAAAAATCTTGGAACTTCGTCCTACATACATGCAACTGCAATAACCCCGGGACCTGGGTACATACTCAGATCTATGTACCTACGCAGTGAATCGGGTATGTAAAAAGCGATACACTAGGTACTATGTAGTAGGAAGGGTACTGTAGAGTACCACCTGACCTTTACTGCAGACGTCTATGTAAGCGCTGAACTGTAATACCCAGTAAGCCGCTTGACCGGGTGGAGTAGGTAGCATGAGTGATCAATGATGATCGTCCTGTTCATCATGTCCGCCTCCGACTTCAACGTCAACGTCGCCTTCAACGCGCCATCGCCGCTTCCCCAGAGTCAACCACTACTCGCAGCCATATCCAAAGCCCGCCGATAGGTGGCTGGAACACCCCACTCTCAGGCTGCCAGCGGACCCATTCTCACTCACTGAAACTCAGCTGAAGTTTGTCTCACTTCCCCCCGCACACGGCAGGTAGCCCCCACTGCGTATATATAACTGGTCGGATTTCGGACTTCGCTTTCGTGACGTGAACAGGCTTATGTAGAGTACCGTTGCATGAGCGTTTGTATGTATGTATGACATGGGCGGCTTCGGGAAAGAGGTCGGGCCGTATATCTACGTAGGAACTAGGTACTCACATATGCTAGCCCATCCCCATGCGGTCCTGGTTTGCCGAAACCCCCGGGCTACGTATCTACCTAGTTGGCTGGCCAGCGCTTCACCAAATCCTGCCTGACCGTCTACCTAGTGTTCCCACAAATACCTCTCCGAGCGGACCAGCCCCCTCTGCCATACCTGGTTTTCCACATGGGTGACGGGCCGGTCGGAGTGCAGCAGTGCGTTAGAGGCTAGCCCTTCGGGCAAGGGGTCGGTCACCTGATGACGGGAGTCAGTCCCTCGGCCGATACATACATAGCTGGAATGTTTTCTCAGCCGGCTATCCAGGACAATTCTAGCTGTGGTATGTATAAGTATCTAGAGGTACTGGCTGAGAAACAAGCTGGTGGTTGCCAGTTAACCAAAACACCCGTGATTGAAACATCGCCATCCTCCCGACGGTCACCTCAGCGGAGTTCCTACGGTGAACCTTCCAAGCCAGCGCATGATTGACGCTCTGGGAGGGGGGTGGGGGGATGCGTTGCCTGCCGGGGAGCTTCGCAAGGATGTGAGTTCTGCTGCCTGCAAATCGATGCCGATGGCTTCGGGGGATTACTCGCTTGTCTCGCATGATGATTGGCGCCTCGGGGATCGTTCGCTTGTCTCGCACGGTAGATCGTGATTGGCACTTCGCATTCCCAGCGTGTTCAGTGGTGATCCTGCCGAGGAACGAAGCTGCAGGTCACGTGTGTCCGAGTGAGACAGGTTCTTGCTCCCCCCAGAAAGGAAGGCTATCCGTCCACAACGCAAAGGCGGGCGTCTGTGTAGAGGGTATTGTCGCGAGATCAACACAATCCCCCGCCATAGATCTTCATGATTGTCTCGGATGCTTCGGCAATGTACTAGTAGCAATGTAGCATCCTCCCAAAGCTTGGTTCGCCAGGGCCAGAGGGAGTATATAAACCGTGGTCGAGTAACCGTCCTTGAGTTAGAATTCTCATATACACACAGAAGAACCTATTGAACGCAGCAACAGCAATGTCTCCTCTAGCCTCCACATTCTGTTCGCTTTCCGTATCCCCTTCCTCCGTCTCCGTCCCCGGCGACGAGACATACACCGCCCAGAACAGCCAGCATTGGTCTGGCACCACCATACTCTCCCCATGCCTCATTTTCACGCCCAGCAGCACGTCCGAGCTCTCTGCGGGGCTGCAGCACCTGGTGTCCACCAACACGCCGTTTGCGGTGCGTAACGGAGGCCACATGCCGAATAACAGCTGGTCCTCGGTCGACAACGGCGTAATGATCTCGATGGAGAAGTTCGCCGGGATCGAGTATGATACTGCGACGGAGGTGGCCAAGATTGGCGCCGGATTGAGGTGGAAGGATGTCTTCGCCTCGATGGCGAAGTATGGTAGAGCCGTCAATGGAGGAACGAACGGTGCGCCTAGCGTGGGTGGCCTCACTCTGGGAGGTGGAATCGGGTACTACCACAACCGCCTTGGGTACACCGCGAATGGCGTGGTAAACTTTGAGGTTTGTCTCCTTCTCTCTCACACTCTCTCTCTTCCCTGCCGTGGATTATGTGTGCTGATGGCAAGGGAATATCTAGGTTGTCCTGTCCTCCGGCAAGGTCGTGAATGCGAATGCATCCGAGAACCCCGACCTCTTCTGGGCGCTCAGAGGTGGCGGCAACAATCTCGGCATAGTGACACAGCTCGACTTCACCACAGTCCCGACGGAGTCGGGCGTCTGGGCCGGTACGATGATCTTCGTGGGCGCAGCCTACAACCCCGCCATCGAGGCGATGAACGAGTTCATCAATAATCACTCCCACGACGAGGATGTCTCCATCATGTTCACTTCTAGGCCGGGAATGCTGGTGGCCGTGATGTTCCATGACGGTGATGCTGCCGGAAAAAGACCGGAGGCGTTCGAGAGGTTCAAGAAGATCGGACCGATGGTTGATACCGTCGCACTCACTACTGTGGCGGAGATGGGCAAGAAGAGTGCCGAGTCGTCGCCCAATGGCCTTCGGTTCGTAACCTCCCCTCTTCCTGCTGGGGTATGTATGTACACATACTGATGCAAATCCGATGGATAGGAGATACTTCAATACCCTCACCGTCAAAAAGGATACCCAACTCCTCAGCACACTCATACAACAGTACGAGCAGGGGCTGCAGAGGGAGAACCTCGGGGCCCAAGTGGAGGGATTCGCCCCCCATTTCGCCGTAATGACGCTTACCCACAACTTCCTGGAGAAGAGCAAGCACGGCCCCGCAGCCGTCAGTGACCCCAACGGCGATGAACTGATCTGTATGCCTTCCCCAGTCTCCTACCCGTACATACCCCATACACTGCTAACATCGATCAGGTATCGTCCAGCTGAGCACATGGAGGAACGCATCGGACGATGAGCTGGTACACGCAGCGACCGAAAAGATCACGCAAGAGCTGCAGGCTACGGCGGAAAATCAGGGAGCACTCAATCCCTTCATATTCATGAACCATGCAGGAGTGAAGCAGGATGTTTTCGGTGGGTACAGAAAGGAGAATGTGGACAAGTTAAGGGAGGTAGCGGGGAGGTACGATCCAGACGGTGTGTTCCAGACGCTTCTGAAGGGCGGGTTCAAGCTGGGATTCTTGAAGGAGGCACCGGTAGCGAGGTTGTATGCTCCAGACGCTATCTTCGAGACGCTTCTGAAGGGCGGCTTCGAGGCGGGATTGAGGGAGGAGACTGTGTGCGTGTAACTTTCGTCGGATGTTAAAGTTCGGGGGGTTCCATTTTCATTGTTGTTGCTTTATGCTGGTTGTCCTTTTATAATACGTACCATCGACTTCATGTGCCTACGAGTAATGTTATCCGAATCAGATACGATCGTTTCACAGGCTATGTAATCACTCGGAGCGTGAAGGTCATCTTATCTTATCTTATCGCTGCCCATCAAAAGCCCTTTACCCTAGCTTGTCGGCCAACCTTACGAGCCTAGCCTGTCGGCCAAAGTAGAGCTTGGCACCCTACCCAGAGCCACCTATAAAAGGCCCGGCTCCCACCTCCAATGACTTTTCTTCTTCATACTTACCTTGATGCGACTTTGGCAGCTCATTGATTGTCAGAGTCCGAAAGCAACAAAATCTTCATTGCACAGCGAGGGTTGAGCTTTTGTGAAGTGCCTTCGGGTGCTCTCGGCGTCGCAATTTTTGATTTATCCCATTACTTGGTATTTTTTTTTTCGTTGATGTGCTGGGCGCTGCCGAGCCGTTGAAGAAAAGAGGTAACTTGTACTTATTCGTGAGATCGGAAGTGCATGGGGCTGGCGGAGTGATAATTATTCGCTCGCGCGCCCCGGCGGGACAGACGTATCCGTGCCGTACGTACAAAATCTACATAGGGATGCAGCCTTGCTGCTAGATAACGTTCTTATCTTCATCCTCGGGTATGCAGTGGCAGTTGCCTAGGTACGCATGTGCTACTACTGGTAGATATATAAGGCTGCACCGCAGACGCGCATGTTTGCTGATGGGGCTGAACACTGGGGAATGCTCGTCACACCTTAGTATGTAGTCAGTATGGTGATCACTGTTCGCCCTATTCCCAACCCCCACGGGCGCGTTCCTGGCATCATATGTAGAATTCCGACGCTCTGGGATGCAATGCACATCAGCCCCTGGTGACACCTCACAGTCATGTTGTTCTGGAAACGTTCCTTGTGCATATCATATGAATGTAGTGTTACAACAACGAGCTGCTTCCCGGCGTCATCGTGCAAACGTGCATGAGGAAAGTGCGCATAGGACGTGAAGAGTTGCGCGTTGGGCGTTGGGGCCCAGACTTATATGTCGCGTACTATTCTAGAATAACTGAAGAGCAGTATTGTAGCACAAGCGCAAACCTCCCGTATCTGGCCACCCCGCTGCGCGTGCCGTATACCTGCATACCGTACTCCGCGGGAGTCGACGGCATGCATAAAAAGGAATTGGCGAAGTCCTACCGCACGGCACCGCACCGTGGTTGCCTCCGCGGTTGCCTCCGTAACTGTCTCCGGGCTCCTCCCGTACGACATAAATCGGAAAAGTAGCCCGGCTTCGCCGCTTCCTCACTTTCTAGGCAACCGGCGAGTGCTCGTTTGCAAAGCAGCGGGTTTTCTGTGTAGAAGGTTTACGAGCTCACGGGTAGGCGCGGCAATGCCCGGGGCAATTTTCGAGTGATGGCATGTGATTGTCAGTTTTATGTGATATCGTGGGAACGTCCTGATTCCAGCCCGTCGTCTAACGGGTAGGCACCTACCGTATCGGGAAGTTTTAGAGGTCTACTGTGCTTCCGAGGGCGTGTCCCGTCTCACTGCGGCTATACAGCTCCGGCTTGGAGCTGAGACGCAGACCAGACCGGCAATTTTCCGGTCTGGATAAAATTGAGCAGACCAGACCTCATCCGACGGCAGTTAGAGCGTTTTCGACACCTAACGTTGTTTCTTAGCCAGACTTATCCCGACCTAGGTATGTCTGGTCGGTCGGGATATATCCCGTCCCGACCTGCAATTTTTGGTCTGTATATATCCCGGCCCGACCAGATCACACCCAAATTTGGTCGGGACTGGTCTATGTAGAACACTGGCTCCAACTTTATGCTTTATCTCTCGAACAGGATCATCATTTCGGGCATTAATTAGGATACATGAGGTAACACTTAGTACATGAGGAAACAAAAACAGTCTTCAAAAAACAGTAAACATCCGGCGAAGCAGAATCTAATAAACCTCCTGACAGAACATGGAAACAAAACCCAAAAACACAGAAAGCAAAACAAAACCAACCAACCCGACACAGCCCCTCCAATAACCGATCCCTCAACAGGGAGCCTGATCCCTCGCGGGCTCCTCCTCGCAATCCATCTCGCTCCCGTCGCTCTTCCCGCCGCTCGAAGACGGCACTTCCGGGAGATCCTCTTCCTGCTCGCTCTCTATGCGGCTCATGAGGGCATTTGCAGTCTTGACCAGAATTCTGATCATTTCCTTCTGGGCCGTCAGTTCTACGCGGCGAAGGGCGGCGTCCTGGGTGGTGGCCGAGTTCTCGGCCATGTTCCGCGCCTTCCGCGTGAGGTGCGACTTCAGGTGGATGTTGAGATTATCCTTCCGCGAGAAGCCGTGCTTGTTGCGGAAGCACTTGAGATGCGTGCACGTGTATGGCTTGTTGTGCGTGTCCATGTGCCGTCTGGAACATGATATGATCCGTCAGCGCGATGAGGGATTGAAAGGGGGTGGGGATTAAGTGACTTGTAGGCGGATCTGGCGCCTTTGCCGGTGAATACCCGGTCTTCGTCTTTGGAAGCGCATGACTGGAAGGTACAGCGGAGGATCGGACTGGCGATCTCAACGTTAGGCTCCGGGAGCCGCAGGGAGGCCGGCTGAGATTCCGTCTGGGAACCAGCATTGGACTTTTGAAGTGGGGGCGGGGATGTCAATGCCTCGGTCTTTCTCGTTTCGCCACCGGGGCGATCAGGGAGCACTTACACGTTCTGCCGGCTGGATGGAGTTTTCAAAGATTGAGCCCATTTCGCTGTAAGAGGTTGGAAGGAGGGAAGTGAGGCTCGTGGGAGATGGGAGCTAGACAATGTGAAGTTGAATACGGATAGCTAGCTATTCGGCAGAGCAAGAGGCAGATACTTGAGAACAATGATGAAGCTGTGATGATGGGGAATGATTGTTGAACCGTGGGTAGTATATATACCCCTCTAAGGAAAGATAAGGTTGGTCTTGTTGAGTAAGAGGATCGATGGGCCTTCACCTCAATGTCACTAAGGTCTTACAACGATGTCAGCCTGAGTGTCCACGAGGAAGGATGAAAACTCTAACATGGTTCAGTGCCGCACAGTCGTGCCTAAGGCAACAAGGCGCTGTCCCGGGATGATTACCGGGAAGCCTCAGGTGCGCACACCAAGGCACCAACCGCAATAGTTTCGAACGCTAGAGTAAGCAACGAATCCATAGATACCAGGCTCCCGTGAGCCCGTTTGATCGGCGACGGCTGTGCTTCTAGCCTTTTGAAAAGCCGGCAGTGACGCCAGTGATTGTTCGGCAATAATTCGGTTCCATAATTGATGTGGAGAAACAGCGGTTTCGGCGCCTACATGATCTACGCTCTGTACGAGGCAGGGCCAGCGTACATATAGCTTAGTTGTGCGTTGTGCTTTTACTTGCGAGAGGGTTAATGTGGACGGAAACTTCGGCTTATCTTGACAGGACGTGGAGGCGTACCGAGCCCGTTTGGCGAACCTGGGTAGTGGCGGGGCCGGCCCCACGTATCAGAAACCGCAGCCTTCAACAGGGATACTTGTCACGTCGACGGTCGAGGCTATCGATGAACCACCGATAGAAGTCGCCTTGCTATGTTGGCATGTAGACGAATCGACAGTCCGGCCCCGATTGCTCGACCGCCAGCGACGCGGGAGCATGAGGAAGAAGCCGCACGCGAGACACCCACAACCCACAGCCACAACACCGATCCTCTCTTCGTTGTCTTCATCTTCTTCTTCAACTTCGTTTTTCATCATCTTCTTCGATTTCGTTTTCTTCTTCTCCGTCTTGGCACGTGCTGGCGACAAGAGTTGTGTCGATTGATTGGTTGAAGTGCAAGAACGAAAACGAACGACAACTGGTCACAGTGTCTGCCAGCACATCCCGGGCGATAATAAGCGCCAGCCCTGTGGCCGCCTCGAAAGTTGCATGTTGCCCTAGTCGTCGACCTGAGAACTTGCAGGAGAACAAGTCAACCTCAGGTTTACCGTTCCTCCATTCCTCCAGTCACACCCAATGGAGTGGGATGCGCAGAGCCAGCGACTCGTCTCCACTGCCTAGCCCGTCATGGAAAGCGTATGCCCGAATCTGGAAATCGGAAGATCGGCAGCCCCTTCCCCCTCAAGTTCGTCATTACAAGTGGGAAAAACCTCTCGTCACACCTTGTTTGTAACACCGAGTCCATTTGACTCTGTATAAATACCGAGCCTCCACCCGCTCTTCGCATCGCTTCTGTTTCGCGTGTGTACAATACATTCAACCGAAATCAGCCGTAGGTAGACGAGTAAGCTAGCTCCAGAGAGGTCATTGCATTCGAACTACTTAACCTATGGTTGTCTCCGTGATTTTGACAAAGGCCCTTCGTAACTACATAGTGCGCAACCATGGCTAACCTCGAGAATCCAAACTTCCACTCAACCATCCACAGACAGACGCGAATTATAGGTACGACCGAAGATTCTCGACACGATCGTTTTATCTCCCTCCCTGCCCCGGCTTCAAATGTCGGGCCGCAAGCTGAAATCCCCAATCGCACGACGATTTCGAACGTGAACGATTGCCAGTTTCCACTGTCCAGCCTTGCCCGGGCCCCGGTCCTCAAAACACAGGTCCGAGGCTCGGTATCGTACGACATCTATCTACCTACCTACCTACGGGACCGGATAAGTGCCGTGCTGCGATATCGGATACATGTGCCTATGTATGATACAGACTGATCATCACCAGGCCGGGCATGCAATCGCAACCGAGCCGGCGGAACCCATAGGGCCACAGGCTACAGCCGACCCCGATAACCAGCCGTCGAACAGAGCTGCAGCCTACAGGCCGCTTCCCCGCCGGGCCTTTCTTGTGCACAGTGCACCTACATGCCCGGCCTGCGAGGCCTCCCGCCCCCGAGGCCCGCAAATTCATGGGCCCGCCCACAAATCCGTGCCTGAATCCTCCTCGAGTGTGTGTGCTTCGGACCTTCGGTACCAGCGGCCCCGTACTGAAGCTAGCAGTCAAGGCTCCAGACTCTAGGCTCTACTACAGGCGTCACATGCACGGTCACCAGAAACCATACCTCTGCCCTGCCCTGAGGGCCTGGGCGTTGGTGGTCACGGACTCACGGCTCAAGGACGGTTTACAACCTGACCGTTCACCTTAGGAGTCAAGACCCACGGTAAGAGGCGAGCCGGTCGAAGCAGGGGCCTCTCGGGGTGCGAGGTCAGGGGTCCGGGGAGTCATCGACGGCAGTGGATGGCGGTGGCGGTGGCGGTGGTGGCGGTGGTGGGCAAGCCGCAAGGACGAAATGCGCCTAGGTATTTGGCTTGGGGATGATAAGGTCTGGGCGTGTTGGGAGGAAGATGCATGTGTCGAAGCGACAAGGAGGGCAATGCGACTGGCACAGGCGATGGTTGAATTCCGGTAGCTAGTTGGATTGCTAGTTGAGGAGGGCGATGGCGATGGCGATGACGAGGACGACTCAGAGGACAGCGTTGACAACAGCGACCATGAATCATGATGGCGAAGATCATCAGGACCGTAATGACGAGTCGGAGGACGACGCTAGCTGAACGGAGCAAACTCGCCGAAGAAAGGAAGGTTAACCGTTGCGGGCATCCGCATTTCAGGCTGCGTAGCGTAGCTGCGCAGGTACTATGTAGTTTTTTTTCTTTCTTGCCATGAATTTCTTGCCGTGAATTTCGCCTGCCTCTCGTAGTTACTACAGCGACGCATTCTTCCATATTCCTTTTCCCTGTGGTATCATATGATTCATATCTCGTCGTGAAATTCTATCGGTCGGATTGGAACTTAGAAGATCGTCCCGCAGACTCGCCGTCAGTGGCACCCAGCTTTCGCAGACTCAAGTCCAGCAACGTGGCATGCAGGCGCGGCAGAAGTGCGTAATGAGGCTGAGCCCCGGGAACGCCAGTTATATATTATCGCCACCGATCAGATCTACCTATCGCTGGAGAATCGAGAGTGCGGTGCGCTCGAGTGCAGGCTGCCCAACGGTATACCTAGTATATATGAAGTATGATGTATGTTAGACGGTGCCCACGCTATCCGAATGATATACTTGAGTATGGTGGCTTTCACCTTTGGCCACCGTTTTCAAGCACGGCTCATGAGTCAGGTATGACTGATCCAAGCACCCAGCAAGTTGCCATCGAAGCCCCAGTACGGTAGGTACTCCCCGTCGATACGCACCGTATTTCCGTATTTAACTGCGGACGTCCCCCCTCACCCCACCCTGTCAGGAAGATATCTGGCACTGCACCTACCTACACCTTCAACTACCAACCTTCACCGGATCAGATTATTTCACATCAGGGACGTCTTGGTTGAGAACCTACATACCCAGGAATCCACATCTGCATCTCGACCACCACCCCACTCCGATGTGTCCGCAGCCGTCCGTGAGTGCAGATCGCGAAGTCATAATACGGGAGCACCCGCCGAACCGCCGAGAACTCTCACCTCCACCAACACCGGCGGACAGGACCGAAAGCACGCAGATCACCGGCGGAGACCCAGCGGCGGCGGAGCCGCTACAGTGCACCTATTCCGCCTGCGCCTCGAAGGACGAGGACCGCATATTTACTGGGCGAGGGGCAAAGCCCGCGTACAAGTCTGCGCCCCCCTTTTCCCAACAATTAGGTAAGTGGGATGCTGACGTTGCCGAAGACGCCATATGGATACGCACCACCGGCCGTACACATGTCCGAAGCCCACTTGCGGGCGCCACGTGAATGGCTTCTCGCGTCGGGATAACCTGAACGCACATTTGAAGACTCACCAGAAGAGCCCTGTCCATGAACACCGCTCAGGATCGAGCCCGTTGGCGGGGCAGAGTGGAGTTAGGAAACAGCTACAGGGAATGTCGGGCGGCGAGAGGAAAAGGCTTGTGGATATCTTGCTTTTGTGCTTCGAGATGGGGTTCGAAGATGAAGATGAAGATCATAACGGCGAGGACGAAGACGTCGGTGAGAGTAGTGTTGTCGGAGACGAGGAGAAGGAATGACCGGCATTGCTTTTATGGAGTTCGGGGAAGGCGTTTCTTTAGTCATATGATGTATGTACGGCTCTTTGTTGGGCTCTGTCACGACTATTTGGTTTTGCTGTCGGTAGAAGTGTATTGATAGACTGTATGGATACTTTTGGTTCCTTTGTTATGAGAATGGAGCAGGATTTCCTTAGCATACAAGTCTTGTTTCGTTCGCTTTTTTTGGTTCTCATCACCTTTTCTGGAAGCTCGCAGTGGTTGTTGTAACAGTACCTAGTAATTCTTATTTTATTGAATGCCTCTAAGATGAGTAGACCGAAGTGAATGACACTTCAAAGGATAGGTATCATAAAATGACCAGTTTTGGTGAGCAGAACGCGCAATTCTCCGTTGAAAGTAAAAAGCCTTGTAAGTTGTTATTCCTTTGAAGTGTTCCAAGCGCGCGATCCTGGTCTCGTATCGGATTGACCAGTAGGCGGAGTCAAGTGGGATGATCGGACGGACGAAAAAGTGTCATATGCAGGAGTTAGCGAGTAGAAAAATGCGCATTCACCAGGCCGAAGGCCTGAATCTGAAGGCTGAAGGCTGAAGGCTGAAGGCTGACCAATCAGATTCGACGTCCACCCACTGCATACTTCCCCGTCGCACTGAAATGTGATTTTCTTTCGCGATCTCAAGGATCTACTCGCTTATTCCTACCGGCACCTCCGTATGACACGATGCATACAAATATATTTAGACGTCGTGAGGCTCCTCCTCATTCCACTCGGGTTCCGCACACCGCAGTGGTGCGCAAAAGAGTAGCTACATACATAACCTGGGGCATTCCTACGATACAGTGGCGCGGCATGGCCTGCTCCCCGCCGGCTGCGGAGCCCCCGATGGGGGTGGGGGCGGAGGCGGGGGAGGAGGGAATACGCACTCGAAAGCCCGCAGCTGAGCTGAGCTGAGCTGCTATTGGTTACTCATTTGTGGAGTAGATGCTGACATCGCAATACCTGCATTGTGTCTCCCGCAAGCACTTTCCACGAAATATCTATTTCGTAGGGCAATGACCACCAGTTCTCGGACGAATTTTTTTATATTTTCAGCTTGAGGGTCCATTCAACTTCCACCTGCTCTACCCATTCAGCTCCCTTTTTGTGGAATTTACTTCCAAGTTTCATGCGATATCACTCTGATGTTCACCACCACTGCCGCCGGCGAATCCGAAGCCACGGGAGCAGCAGGCTGCAGCGTCGATTTTCGTTTCGCCAGGGAATGGAGAAAAATCCCATACTTCCACCGCTTCTCCGGTGAGGCTCGATGGCGATTCTCTTGGAACCCACAGTCAGTCACACCGTATCACCCGGCCCGTTCCTCCTGCAGGGCTGCAGTGGGGGGTTGTGTCTTTACTATTACTACACAGGCACATGCCTAAAATAATAACGCCCTGGCGTCGGCCACGTCTTAGGAGTACACACATCCCAGAAGTCTAGATGCCTGTCCGCCGATGTCCTATCGCGTCGGCAAGACGAAGAGTGACTACAGAAGTGAGTCACTTGTGTATCATGCGTGATCACGCGTTACGAAAAACGTGATTACGCATTGTGAAAAAACGTGAGCTACCTACCTAAGGTAAGTACGCAAGGTTCTGAGCAGCGATTCGATGTCATACGTGCTTGGATCGAGACGAGCTAATTGGCATGTGATCCATGACTTCCCGGATGGCCTGAAAAGTGCCAGTCACCATGGTACCGTACACAAGCCAGTCAGTGCCGTCACCTGTCGTCGTTCGAATCGATAGACTCCCTCTCGGCTAGAGGCGTGGTTTCTCATAACGTGTAATGCTATAGCAAGGGGCGAGCACCCCGGGTAATGAGCGATCCTAAAAGGTGATTAGAAGAAAAGAGTGATTAATTGTGAGTGTGTGTGTGTGTCTAAGATAAGAACAAGACAAGAAAAATACAAGAACAATACAAGAACAAGACAACGACAAGACAAGAACAATACAAGAACAAGACAACGACAAGACAGGAACAATACAAGAATAAGACAACGACAAGACAAGGACAATACAAGGACAAGACAAAAACAATTCAAGAACAAATCAACGTTGCCCCTCCGTTATGTGCTTGACCCGGGTTACACCGCTCCGCCTCTCCAGTCAGCTCTCACAACACCAATATCCCTCCACACCCGCTCTAACAACACACGGAGGCCCCTCTACTCCCACTCTCCCTCAGCTATCTCCCCTCCCTTCAGCAAGAGGACCCCTCTCAAATGATGAGTCTAAGTTTGTGCTTGAATCTATGCTCGAGTCTGATCCCCACTTGGAACTGCGGTCCAAGACTCGAGGCGCCGGGTGAATGAGATGGCTTCATTGACCCTCGATTCTCCGCTGACATCCCATACCCTTGACGCTAATACGCATGCCCGCGTAGTATTATTCCTCAAGCCACTGGCGAACGTCTTGGCCAAAATGTTTAGCAAGCTTGGATTTCCTTTGCAAGCGTAGATCAGTCGATGATACGTCTCGTGTACTGGGCAATGGACTCTCCACGCTCCTGCTTCAGACGCAAAATCTTCAACAAGGATTCGCCCTCGCTCTGCTCCTCGGATTGGTATTGCTCTTGTAAGGCCGTGGCTAGCCTGTCGAAGTCCCCGGTGATAGCTGGATCGAGGCGCCGGGCGAATGAGATGGCTTTATCGACCCTGGATTGTCTGCTGGCATCCAATGCCCCTGACACCACCATGCATAGCTGTATATCCATATCTCTCAAGCCACTGGCGAAAGTCTTGGCCAGAAAGTCTAGATAGTCTGGAATTCCTTTGTAGGCGTCGGCTAGTTGACGGGTACGTCTTGTGTACTGGGTAATGGACTCCCCATGCTTCTGCTTCAGACGCGAGATCTCCCGCAAGTCTACGTACTCGTTCTGCTTCTTCTCGGTTCGATATCGCTCTTATAAGGCCGTGATAAGCCTGTCGAAGTCCCCGTTGATAGCTGGATCGAGGCCTCGGACGAAGCGGCAAGCGTTGGACTTGAGGTTGCAAGTTAGAGGGAGGAGCTTTGCCGTGGACCGATCCGCCGGTTCCGTGAAGACTCCCTCTTCCGCCTTCGCAACTAAGGCTACATGCACGAGAAACTCCTCGACACTCTCCTCGGCATCTCCTCCAAAAGGGCGAATCCTGATAGAGGTCCTGCGGGGAGGCATTGCGGCACGAGTACGAGCTAACCGGTTGAGATCGACTTCCCCCCCCTCCTCCAAAGATAGCCCTTCGATAGGGATGTGGTGACTCTCCGGTCCCTCTGGGCTGCCAGAGCTCTTGTTTTCTGGTGTGGGCGGCAGGGCTGAGTGTCCCGAGGTGGGGGTATTGGATGACATCCTCGTGGGGGCTCGTGCGGGGGGTCGGATTTTAGTCGAGGACTTTGACGATGAATCACCTCCAACCGAGAGATGCTGATGCTGACGCCTCTGATCTATGACTCGACGTGCGTCTTCGTAGCGGCGAAGGTCTTGGAGATGTCGCTCGTAGGGCTGAGATTCGTATGGATTGGATGCCGTCAGCTATGCCAGCTTCCTCCGTTTGCGTGCTTCCGCCTCTGTACCGTTTCACTCGATGATACTGATAGGGAGGGGGGTGTGGTTTTCGTCAATCACACTAAGGTATGAGGCACACCAGCTGAGAGACCCGAAACGGGATGAGAAAAAAACGGGATCAATTGGAAAGTGAGGTCTATGATGATGATCAGAAGAAAGCAAGACGGACAGGAAGAACAGAAATGGTGACAACAGAAACAATTCAACGTTTTGCCGGCCGCATCGGGTCTGATCCGCATCCCACCTCCATAACACAGGTCCGACCAGGTCCCAACAAGGTCTCTCCTCCCAATTGCAAGGTCTCACCAAGGTCTGATCTCTCTGGAGCTCACCGATGACGCCCACGTGATCCGGTTTATGGGAAAAGTGCACATCAGATCGCCACGGTCTGATGGAACATCTCATGACCGATCTAGTGAAGTGAATCGGTCGGTGCATGTAACTGCGAACGAGGACTCAGGAGGCCATTCAGTCTGGATACTACGCTGCGGACGTGCACGTATGGGGCTAGGTAGGTACATGTAGATCCTCCATCCGCTAGCGAAAAGGTCGGCGTATATGTATATGCATGATGTACATACTGTGGGATTCGGGAGGCCAGACCCGATTCGGTTGCCTCGACGTTGAAATGCCCTCCTCCGTTGCTACTTTTGTGTTCGTCTCGTCGGTCGGTCTCTACATATCACACACGAGACATCAGACATTATCACCACCATCAGGCATTAGCATCGCCGAGATACTTTGAGGTTGCTCGGCCTGAAGAACATAGGCTGCTTTCTTTTCTTGTTGCTTTCTAGTCAATTCAATCAGTCTCACCAGTTGCCCGTACCCATCGCAGGTCTCTTAATACTCAGCGAAACCAACCGGCTATGTACGGTAGGCGACGCAGCAATTGCTGCATAGCCGTTATTCGACTCCGCCCATCATGGAGGATCCCCTACAGAAAAGCCGATCACCGATGCCAAAGCATGCCTACGGTATACGCCGAACTATGGAGTTGTTCCGAAACATTGATGTCTATATGTAGGTGTCCCCGGCGGCGTCCAATCGATACTTCACGAGGCATTCGCTGACGACGCGGGATGGCGGGGTGGCGGCAGTCGCACCGGTTGCCCCCCACACGCCCCGGCGCTCCGACTAGCCATTGGCTCGTTTAACTATTAAGCACCCTACACTAGCGACCATGCTCTGACGACCTCGCTTCTGATTGGCCGCTTCAACGTCAGCAACTCGTCGCTCGCGAATCACCCCCGATTCCACCGACGTCGCTAGAGAACTGATGTCGGATTATCACTTGCCGCAGGGACTGGTGGTTGTTGTGATTGGCCTCGAGCTGTTCACTTCCAGGCTCGCCTCGCAGTAGGCGATTGCGGCAGCCGTTGATCGCAGCAATAGTAACCAAAATAAGAAAGAAAGAAGAGCAACAGCGGTTATCGATATGTCCCGCGGCCGTTGAGCTTCGGGATTTTGAGGAAGACCCCCCACAGAGGTGGAGAGGACATACCGGGAGCAATAAAGCTTCATGAAGCCCTTCGCCGTTGGTTGCGAGTCCTAGTTGTGGAGTCGGCTCTGCATCGCAGTTTTATCCGATATGCCTGCAGTAACACCTTTCCTCCCCTTCGAGCTCGATGTCGTCTTCCTCGGCGGCGTCCTCTTTGTTGCTTCGGTGGCTGTCTATGTTGTCGCGTGCTACGGTGGCCCTTACGCCATCTTTGCCTACAACTGCTTCTTCAAACCCATCGCCGGTTCTTCCTCGGAAAAAGGTTCGTCCAGCAGACAACAGGATGCCCTCGAAAGCTTCTACAAGGGTCAGGCGGCGATATACGATTCCACTCGCGCCATCCTATTGCAAGGTCGCGAGGAGATGATGGCACTGGCGGCGGCGCAGTTACGGCTGAAGAACAAGCGTGAAGGTTTCCGGAAAAGAGTTTGGGTTGATGTATGTAGGCCTCGAAACTCTGACTGGTTATTAGTTTACACGGGCTGAAAATTTTAGATTGGTGGAGGTACTGGATGGAACATCGAGCAGCTCGACAAGCACATCTCCGTACGGGACAGTTTCTCCGATGTTTACCTCGTGGATTTTTCACCCAGCCTCTGCGCAGTGGCGCGAGAACGCTTCGAGAGACTCGGCTGGAAGAATGTCCACATTGTGTGTATGGATGCGCGGTCATTCCGATTGGGCCCGGAAGATGGGAAATCGGAGCGGAAGGCGGACTGGATCACCATGAGCTACTCGCTGAGCATGATCCCGGAGTACGCATACTCCCATCCACCCTGGCTGCGAGCGTGGCAGCGGTACTGATAAAACCTCTACGACAGCTACTACTCGGTAGTCGACTCTCTAACGAACCTCCTCTCGCCAACCGGTATCATCAGTGTCGCCGATTTCTACGTACAGTCCTCGACGAATGCTAGCTTCAAGAACACATATGCCGGTGGCATCGCCGGAAGAGGCGTGAACTGGTTTTCGCGGCAGTTCTGGCGCATATGGTTCGAGTTCGACCGAGTCAACCTCGATGAGGGCCGGCGGGACTACCTCGAATACAGATTCGGAACCATATTGAGCGTGAACGAGAGGTACGTCTGGTTCGGGACTCGCAACATGAATGGAGACTGACGGTGGGTTCCAGAAACGCCCTTCTCGGTGGCATCCCATACTACGTCTGGGTCGGATGTCCCAAGGCCACCTTCCCCAGTTCGGATATTCTGGCAAAGGTCGACGCTGCGGCTACCAATTCCCCATACCTCTCCCCTGTGCGTCACGAAGAAGCCCGCAGAGATGCAGTCGCCGCAGCCAACACCGCTACCGCCCTCCAGGTTCGCTCCAAAGGGTTTGAAGCCGCAATCCTAAACATTTCTGTCGGACTTCCTCTCCCCTCGTTCTTCTACCAGAACCATCATTTCAGAATCTACTACAACGAGCTTCTATCTAAACACACCCAATTCAACAACTCCTACATTTACGCCTTCACCTGGGAAGACGCACGGGTGGACCTCCGCCTCCTCAAGCTCACATCCGACGATGTAGTCCTGGCCATCACCTCTGCAGGCGACAACCTCCTATCCTACATTTGCGATGCGTCGCCCAAGCGCGTTCACGCGGTCGACCTCAACCCTTCCCAGAACCACCTTCTCGAACTAAAACTTGCGTGTTTTTCCGCCGCGCTGCCGTACGGCGACATCTGGAGCATTTTCAGCGAGGGCCGGCACGCGGGGTTCCGAAAACTCCTGCTATCGACACTGTCGCCGCACCTGAGTTCGCAGGCATTCCAGTTCTGGCTCGACCGTGCGGCGGTGTTCTCATCCGCCGGAGGACTGTACGAAACCGGCCAGTCCGGCATCGCCCTGCGCGCGACGAAGTGGCTGTTCCGCGTCTTTGGCGTGGCCGGCGATGTAAGACGCATGTGCGAGGCGACTACGCTCAACGAACAGCTCGAGATCTGGCGGACTAGGGTGCGCCCGGTTATTCTCAGCTGGTGGGTCTCCTGGGGCATCATCGGCAACGAGCGGTTCCTGTGGAAAGCGCTGGGCGTGCCCGCGAACCAGAGGAATATGATCCTCGAGGACTACTTCACGCGCAGCGGACGCACCGGTGCGAAGGATGGCGGCCACGCCATGTGGGAATACGTGGTCAACACACTCGATCCCGTGGTGGAGGATAGTCTGCTCGGGAAGGACAACTACTTCTACCTCCTGTGTCTGCTGGGCAGATACACCAAGTCCTCGCACCCGGCGTATCTGGAACCAAAGAACTACAAGAAGCTCACGGCGTCCGGCGCGTTCTCGGGCGTCAGGATCCACACCGACGAGATCAACGAAGTGCTGGCACGGCTGAAGCCCGGGACTCTGACGGTTGCGGTCCGTGGCTCCCCTTCCAATCCTCCAATCCATGGGCGGCCTCGCTGATAATCCGCAGGTGGTCATGGACAGTATGGACTGGTTCGATACCGACGGCGTAGAGGCACGGTCACAGATCCGGCGGCTCAACGCGTCTATGAAGGTTGGCGGGCGTGTGCTGCTGCGCAGTGCCGGCCTCGCCCCTTGGTACACTAAGGTATTCGACGAGGAGGGGTTCTCGGCGAAAAGAGTGGGCACTAGGACCTCGGGGCGCTGCATCGACAGGTGTGTCATATCCTTCCTCCCGACTCCCTTCGAGCTCACCTGGGCTAACTTTGTGCGCGCGAAAATAGGGTGAACATGTATGCGTCGACGTGGATATGCACCAAGCGGAGCGATCTGGTGGAGGAAGGGAGGGAACGGAAAGGGAGTGTCGAGATGCTGCAGCTATAGAGTGGTTGTAACTTGTGTACCTTTTTTTTGCTTGGATCCCAGAACAAACAGAGATTGAAGGGATGATTGCAAGGAGCAGGGAGCGAAGGATATCCATGATGATATTGAAGGACCCAATATAACTACATATGTACTGACGGTACCCTGCTGCCGAATCTGCCGACTCTGCCGCCGCGGACAGATGTCACTGTCGATGGGGGTCTAGGCGCAGCATCCACCTTTCGCCTTGTCGGTGGGTACCTGAATATCGCGATATTACCCCGCCGGATCCCGTGGTTCCGTGGAGATCTGATCTACGGCTAGGCCAGCTGAGGGCGTAGGACGGCAGGTACATAATATGGCCGCCTACCAGGTACCATACTGGCAATACCGCGACCCATCCACTGTGCCAGTGGTCTGCATAACCAGTCCGGTGACCGGTCTGGACGGTAGTCTTGTTCGGACGGACTGGACTGGAAAATTATATCAGTATTGAGGACGGCAGTGGGATAGTCGGTCCAGTGCAGAATCACTGGACCGCAATTCTGGATGATGGGTGAGTGACGAGTGAGTAGTTACTGAGCCGCGCTGGAAAGAGTGCGGAACGCCAGAACCCGCGCCGCCGCGCGTGTCTTTAGCGCAGCGGAGCAGACACCACGCCACCTATCCAACCGCCGATCGCCGATGTAGGATGGCCCATGCGTGATCCCGATATATCAGCAGCGTAGCTGCAGTACGCAGGAATGTATGTATAGTACATATGCCTGAAGAGTTGGTAACCATGTAGGTAGAATACCTACATACATAAATACATACATGCAGAGGATGATTGGAATCCCAATTCTCGCGGCCGGCGGCAACCGGGGTCCGGGGAAGACATGGTCAAGACGGAGGAAATGCTGGAGGCTTTGAAGTTTGAATTGACGGTCGAGGGGGAGTGGGGGGTGGGGGTTGTTGCTTTGGAGTCGTAGGGAGTTTGAATGTTGTCTGTCTGCTTGGGTTTGTTTTTCAAGAAGTGAAATGCGGAGTGCGAAGTGCGAATTGATGTCCCATGATAGACACCTATTATATGTAGGAAGACAAAAAAACAAGGCGATCCGATCATCCGACAGTGGACACAGACTTACTCCGGAGTCTGGAGAAGCGAAAGTGATCGCCCGGAAGCGGAGATGACGTGCATGCATGCATTGACCTCGCCCCGCCCTGTGCGGATTCGGACTCTTCAGCGATGACGGAGTGGATTCGGTTCGAGTCGTTGCGTTCGCATTGATGGGCGGACGGGACGGACGAAGGCATGAATTGACGAGTCGCGACACGGCATGAATGGCTGGGGTGCTATTCAGCTGCGGTAGTTGACTTGATTTTCCATAGTGGATACGGTACTCACCCAAGTACATACCGTGGAGTACTTATTTGCGCCCCTTAAGCGCATGCAGTTTCTCCCACCAGCCATTAAGATTCAGCTCTCCCAGCCACCCCATGGCATGGGCCATGACGGCGATTCGGCGAATGGGCGAATGGGTTCCAATCCGACTTCCAAGTGCCAAGCACCAGGCTCCAGCCCAGCCGGATCTACTTTTCTGTCGACACGAGGCACAACACAACACATCCCACCGTCTCCAGTCCACTGCCCACTGTCTCAGACATCTGTGATTCCGTTCGCATCGACTTCCGGGGAGGTGGCACATGCTCCCACGGACGCTATTCTTGTTCTGTACCCCTGAGTCGGATCCCCGCCGTGTCCCCACCGCCGAATCACATCTCCCGCCGAGAGGCCGACGATCCCACCACTGCAAACTGCAGGATGGTCGACAGGGGTCGACGCTGGCTCGACGCTGGCTCGGCAAGCCGTGTGTGTGTGGTTTGCATCACCGACGACGTCCGTTCGTATCGAGCAGCAGCAGCAGCAACAGCAAGTTAGCGGCGTCCGTCCGTTCGTATTGAATGCGGTAGCTTCGCCGCCTAACTACCGTACCAAGTATGTAAGACATCTGCGCTGGCTGGCTGGAGCCTGAAGGCTGGTGTAGATATATAACCCCACTGCCATCACCATTGCCACCACTCACCCTCCACCGCCCACCGTCACCATCACCCCCACCTACCACCTACCACCTACCACCTATCACCTACCACCTACCATCCCCTCCACCCTCCACCCCCCAAAATAATAATGAAGACCACCTCCCTCCTCTCCATCCTCTTCAGCGCGCTCGCCGTCGCGCACCCCCTCGCCGCCTCCCCCCCCTCCCCCCCTTCCGACGGCTGCTTCGTAACGCAAGAGCTGCGGTCGACGCTCTCAGGCACATTCACACTGCAGCTGCAGCCACACCCCTTCCACACCTCCACCTCCCCCGCCCCCTCCCCCTCCCCCGCATGGACCTCCGCGCAGCCCAGCTTCGTCAAGTCCGCGGACGGCTGGGAGTACGGCGTGCACGCCAAGGGCGCAAAGATGCGGCTCACGCTGACGGACGGGGTGCTGGCGAACGAGAAGCGCGGTGTCGCGGTTACGCTGGAGCCTAGGGGCCGGCCGAGGTGGCTAAGGGTCGCGTTTAGCAAGAATACGGCAAATGAGCACCGCGGCGTCTATCAGGCGCAGAGGATGTGCATTGGTGGAAAGGGCGTTACCACGGTGGGGCCGAATGAGGGGAGAGGTATGTTGCGTTCCGTGATAATGAGTGGGATGAGCGTTGGCTGACAGTATGACAGTGTTCTGTGTCGTCGCCGATGAGCGCAGGAAGGGCGACTGGACGCTGTGGACGAAGCCTAGCGATCAGGAGGACGAGTGTGTGGTCGTCGCGGCGGTCGTGAAGATGGCGTAAGCTACTTGGGATTTATCAGGGTTTATTGGGATCGGTACTTAATATTAATGTTAAATTGTTAATCGATTAACTATGGGATTACATATGGGATTATTTCGAACAACGAGAGAAAATATGTTGGGTGCTCTCAGAAGTCAGAATAGCGCCCATGTGCCCATTTGTGCGGGTGCGAACACCAGCGAGACTTGGAAGAGATCCTGGACGGTGGAAGCTCTATTCCGTCGTTCGCAGAGATATCGCTCACCGAGCCCGAGCCCAAACCCGAACCCGAATAGGTACACACAAGCTATCCGTCCGACCACTCAATCCTATTCCGCTTGCACTTATGTAGAACAAGCCGGGCCGATGCACTCTATAGTGCATACATCCCAGTTAGCACCCGTGGGCTGGCACCGTCCATTCATGCCGTGTCGCGACTCGCGAATTCATGCCTTGCCTCGTCCCGTCCCGTCCATCAATGCGAACGCAACGACTCGAACCGAACCATAACTATCCACTCCGTCATCGCCCCAGAGTCCGAATCCGCACAGGGCGAGGTTAATGCATGCATGCACGTCATCTCCGCTTCCGGGCGATCACTTTCGCTTCTCCGGAATCCGTGTTGGATGATCATCGCCTTGTTTTTTTTCTTCATGGATTCATACATGGTGTCTATTATGGGACATCAATTGAATTCAATTCGCATTTCACACTCCGCATTTCACTCCCATCCCTCAAAGAAAAAACCAAACCCAAGTAAGCATTCCAACTCTCCACAACTCCAAAGCAACAACCCCCAGCCCCTAATACCCCATCCCGCTCCCACTCCCACTCCCACTCCCACTCCCACTCCCACTCCCACTCCCACTCCCCGCCCCATCTGGCAAAAACCTAACCTGCACCTTAACGCCGCCGCCCCAGACACCCACGGCCGCATACACATCGCAGGCGCCTTCGAGTCCGGGGAGGGGATCATTCTCCTCTTTTCCATCTCTAAACTCATCGAGGCGCCATCCGTCCTCATTCACGCCATTTCTCGTGAACCACACCCTCCTCCCGCCGTCGCCCTGACCACCAAACGCCATACCCAGGCCGACCCTCTCGCCCTCGCGGAACGGCCGCACGAAGTCTCGGCCGCCGTACGCGTCATTCGTGTACCGCCGCCCGTCATCGCCGTGCACGCCCACGCTGCCGCGATTCCAGCCTGGCAGCCGGAACCCCGGGTATGGCACCGCCACGAAGCCGATCGCTACCGCCGCGTCCGAAGGCATCCGCTCTACGGATATCTCGAAGTATATCTCTCTGCCCCGCCCCCCGCTACCCCCCTCTTTGCTCTTCCCCCCCTCCCCTGCGCCGTGGTGGTAGTGGTGGTGGTACCCAGCCGCATAAAGCGGCAGCGCCGAAACGAGGCAGCAATCAGCACACCCCGGCGCAGTCGCCACATTGACCACATTCCCCGTGCCCCCACCCGCACCCGCCCCCGTGCCTGCAGTAATCAACCCTCTAAACCACCCCGGCGGCGGTGCGAGTCCGATCTCGCCGCGCGATATGGCCGCAAGCGTGGCGGCCGTGAACCGAGACGGCGGCGAGAGCGCGTGCGCGTCCGTGAACGCCCAGCCGGCGTCCGCAAGGTCCGCGGGCGCGTTGGATGTGGGCGATGACAGGTGTAGTGCGTGGAAGAGCGGGGGTGGGAGGTCGTCTTCTTCGGCACCTTCGGGCTCGCCGCCTTCGGTGAATGCGGGGAGGGGTGAGAACGCGGGAGGTGGGTACGGCGGAGGAAGGAAGGGGTTGTTGCTGTTGGTGCTGGGCGGCGGGCCCGGAGGCGGCGCGTACTCGTCTGTACTGTGTTGGCGTGATTTCTCCTGCGCCGGTGGCGGGCCTGGAGGTGGCGCGTACTCGCTCGTACTGGGTTGGTGTGATTTCTCCAGCGGAGGGCCCGGAGGTGGCGCGTACTCGCTCGTACTGGATTGGGAGGGCTGGTACGGGTTCGGCGCAGGATACGGATCTGGCGGCGGCCGGTCCGGGTGGAAGCCGTTGTTGTCCGACTTGCCGTAGCCAAAGAGTTTGCGGATACGTGACATTGCGATTGAGGTGGTTGTGGTGCTGGTGGCGAGAGGGGTGTGATCTGGATCGTGAATGTGGGGAACGTGGAGTGTGGGGTACGGGGTAGTTACGGGGTACGTGGGGTTTAAGTACGCCGTTGATGTGATGTGATGTGCTGCAGGGACCGACCAGCTCGTGCTAACTGAAGCTAACTGAAGCTATTTACCTTGGTGGTGTCGTCATGGTGCGTGTACCGCACCTGACCCGACGGCTGACTTGGCTGGCTTCAAAGTTCCAAGGCTTCCCGTGATCAATGATCATCGCGGCCCAGCCGTCCAACCGTCCAAGCGTGCCTTTGCGGAACGTTGCTCACCGACAAAAGTGTGAATAACAATGGCACCAGCTGATTCCAAGTAGAGCTCTTCCAGACTCCCTTCTGCGTCAGAATACGCGAGATTATGTAGGTACATATCGACGATTCGCTATCTCAAGATTCGCTATGTATCCCACGATACCTACCAGGCACCGCATCATCTGAACAACCTCCCATTGCCCTGCGTAACCGAGATCTAGACCCTCCCCTCCACCTCATCATCCTTCTAGACCCTCCCCTCCACCTCCACCTCCATCATCCACCGCTTCCCCTCGCCCCACACCTCCCCCCTCGCCCTTATCCCCCGCTGCCCCCCACTGCAAACGCCCGCCAAAACAAAAAACATGAAAAAAGTAAAAAAGCCAAATCGTCATAACGTGTCCCACGCAGAAAAAATGCTATCACTGTAACCGTAACTGTACCGTATGATGTCATGTATCTGATATCGTGAATGTGCAAGACATCAATATCTCAGTCCCCCCGCCGCCGTCTTCTTCCCCCACCCCCCCCCCCGTATCCCGTGCATATATCCCAATATCCCAATATCCCAATCCCCCACCTCTAAACAAAGAAACCACATGCAACCATTAAGGACGTTCCGAAAGCAAAAGAAGAAAAGAAAAAAGAAAAGAAAATAGGTATCGCGAGTGACATCTAACCACATAACCACATAACCACAAAACAAAACAAATCTCATCCCATCCGATTCCATTTCTCAATGATGGCGCTGGTGCATATAGACCACGCACGTGTATCTGTGACACCAAAGTGACGTTAGCATGGTCAAAACAACGGAGTCCGCAACCCAACAAGACAAAAACAAACTCACCCAGAGCAACACGCCGTCTCCATCCCGTGCAGACAATACGGACATCTAGTTGCACCGCCATTCTCGACCATGCCGCGATACATAGCGCTCGGGAGGTCGTGCCAGTACTATCACCACCATCATCATCAGCTATCGTTCGCGACGCAAAAAGATTTGGAAGACGGATACACACCTTGCAGCGACAACAGATGACAAACAATTTCGCCACCGGCTTTGGCGGGGTAGGGGGTCTCGACGCGCCAACGGTGCTGGACGGCCTGGTCTTGCCCAGGTACTCGCTTGGCGGCGGGTACACCGAGCTCGCCGAGTGCTTGGACGAGGCGATCGAGGTGTCGTGTTCCTTGCCCTTGCCCTTATCCAGCTGTTGGGGCGGCGGCGACGCCGAGTTGGGGCCGACTTCGTTTCGTAGCGGAGACAGCGATTTCTGCTTTCTGTGGCTTGGGCTTCCCGGCGGTGGGCCCGGCAGGTTGCGCATCGACGTGACGCTGCTGTGCTGCACTGGCGTCTTGTCGCCGCCGTCGTCCTTGATGCTCGATGCCGTCGAGCCGCTGGTCTTGACGATGGTGAGCGGTGCTGTGATCTCTTCCTTCTCTTCCTTCTCTTCCTTCTCGCCATCTCGAGAATCGGGAGGGCTGGGTGGCCGACCAGTGTTCAGCTGCTCCTCTAGGAGCTTCATCTGTCTAACCGCCACATCCAGCCCCACCAGATTCTCCTCGGTGACCGAGTTCCCGGCGATTACCGGTGGCGTGGGTACCGGCTTGGGCGCGGCCACGGGCTTCGGCTCGGGATTCTTCTGATTGAATCTGGCTTCGACGCTCTTCATCTTGTCTCTGAAATTCCTCCGCGTGCTGCTACCAGCCTTGACCGGCGATTTCGGAGTCGGCGGTGGTGTATCGACTGCCTTCGAAGGAAGCGGTTCCGTCGTCGACCTCGTTGGCAATTCTGAAGGTTTGATGCCCGCTGCCGCCGCTCTCGCCGCGAACGTATTCGCCGGGCTGGAAGCGCCGCTGCCAATTCTTGTGGAGTTGTTCGACTCGGGCGAAGATCCCTGGCCGCTTGAGCTGCCCTCCGTGGGCTTCGATTTCCGGAATTCCTTATACTCCTGAGCATAGCTTTTGTGCTGCGCCTTCTCGGCACTTGGCGGGCGGGGGCTCGAGAAGCTATTCCGTCTGCGATATATCCACCCGCCGCCCGACCCCACGCCCACCGGGCCATCATCGATCGGAGTATCTCCGCCATCTCGGCTGCTACGGTCTCCTCGCGAAGAGTTCTTCATAGCCAATTTCCAGCCCCCCATAAACGAGCCTCGCCTCTCCTTCTTCTTCGGCTCCGGAACAGGTACTGGCGATGTTTCCCGCATGGATGTGGGCGAAGAGGATTGCGTCGATGACCTGGTGGGAAGCACTATTGGCTCCTCGGCTGTAACCGCGTGGAAGCCAAAGTCAAGTTCGATGGGACTGTGATCCGATGGTGTGGGTTCGGCCGGCTGCTGTTGTTCCTGCTGTTGTTCCTGCCGCTGTTCCTGAGGCGGTTGTTCCTGCGTCCGTTGTTCCTGCCGTTGTTCCTGCCGCTGTTCCTGAGGCCGCAATTCCAGAGGCCTTGGTGTCTGTGCCGTCTGCAAGGGCGCGATCAGAGGCAGCGGCGTCGAAGGCGCAGTTTTTGGCGTAGGCGGCGCCGATTCCACGGGCGACGGGGGATCCGGTTGCGGGGATCTCGACAGCGAGCGGGGGCGCGTTTTCCTTCCGGGGTGTTTCGGCGAGAGCGGGGGACGTTCTGGCGCGTCTTTCCAGAGCATCGAGTCCTGGCTCGAGAACGACGAGCGCGCCGAAATGGTGACGCCCGAGAACGCCTGCTGGAAGGGTGGGAGTGGGGGCAGCACGGGGGATTGGTTCGAAGTGTCGCGAGACTGGCGTGGTGTCTGTGGTGCCTGTGACGATCGATCGCCGCTGGACCCTGACGTCGATCCGGACCCTGCAAATGGCGCGGTTGGCGGGAGGAGGAACGAGCTGTCGATCGGGAACGTCTTCGCTTTTGGTTTTAACTCTGGGAGGTGTCTTTCGTTCCCGCTGCTCTGCTGGTATGCGTCTATGACGTGCTGTGGTCTGGGAGGAACGGGTGGAGGAGGATCAAGAAGAGTGAAATCGGACAGGTCGGTGCAATAGCTGCCAGTCGAGTAGGACCTTTCCCTAGTCCTAGCTCTCTCCGAGGAGGCAATCAAACGGGACGGGGTGACATTATTGATATCTGAAACGGCAGCATTATAACCTGCCGATGAGAGGTTTCTTGTTGGACCTCCAATATCCGGGGGAGTAATAGCTCCATCGTACCCCGCTCCCGATCCCAAAAACCCATTAACCCTCGCTGCAACTGCAGCGGCAGCAGCAGCACTGTCACGATCCGTAACGGCAGGTGGCTGCGGTACTGCCAGGTCCGGCGCCGGTCTCCGGAACTCATCCGGCATCCACTCATCGCGCACATTAGCAGCACGAGTTGCATCCATGCTTTTCCTGCTGCCGGGCGTGAGAGCTCTCGAGAACCAGCCACCACCACCACCACCACCACCACTACTAGGACCACTATTGGAACGGCTCGAGGCGGGGCGCGACCTGGGTTGTGAGATGATTGACGAGGCAGCGCTAGGGAGCTTCTGATGCTTTGCGGATCCAGAAGGAGGTGGAGGATTCTTGCGACGCAGCTTCCTCATGCCCTTCTTAGGGGCTTCTTCCTGCACTGCACGCACGCCTCCACCTCTACCCCCAGCTCCACCTCCACCTCCACATCCACCCCCACTACCGTTGATGCTAGGGACCTCGGGAGCGAGGAGCGGTGCAAGCGCAGGCATTATGGAAGTGATGTGTGATGTGATGTGAGCTGCTGATCTGCGTGGGCGTAATGGTGGGCGTAATGGTGGGCGTGGGCGGGGGCGGGGGGGTGTTTGAGCTCGTGCCTAAAGTGTTTTCTCTGTTATGATGTGTCGCACCGTTGCACCGGGCCAAATGTAGTCACCTCGCGGTGGAGAGGAAAAAAATATAGTATCGGGAAACGCGAGGCGAAGAGTAAGCCGAATAATTACTGGCAATTAAAATGAGGCCTGGGTGGGGTTGCTGCTGCGGCTGCGGCTGCGGCTGGGGGTTGGCAGCTGGGCTGGGGCTGAAGGTTGAAATGAAGGTTGAATGGAGGGCTGAGGGTTGGAACTTGGAAGAGCTGCCGGATTATCTAGCTATCTACATGGAAGGTGGTGGCGGTGGTGGTGGTTTTGGCAGGAGAAACTCTTCTCGTCGTTGGCGGCAGGCAGGAGGTTGAGTATGGTATGTAGAGTAGAGTAAGGATGACGAGCGGCAGCGGCAGCAACAGCAGCAGCAGAGTCTGGGAATTAAAAGAGCTTGGGGGTGAGAGCAACACGCAGCTGAGCTGATCGCTGACAGGTGGGTTGGGGTGGTGTGTGTGTGTGTGTGTGTGGAACGGGATTGCGAGGTGATGTGATGTGATCTGTATGTGGATGTGTATGTTGTGTATGTGGATGTATGTGGATGTATGTAGGACGAGACAGCTCAGTTGGCAGGTGCTTGTGTTATCTGCCAGCCTTTTGCGGGCGGGCGGGAAAGGACAACGGGAGAGGGGGGTGAATGGGAACCGAAACGAACGACGGCGGCAGCAGCAGCAGCTGGAGCAAAGGAGACAAAGCGACCGCGAACGAAGGAAGGAAGGAAGGCACTGGGTGACAAGGGAAGGGAAGAGAGGATGAGCGAAGATTTACAGTGCCGGTGTGGTGGGTACGGTATGGTACTCTACAGGATGTGCAGTGCAGCAGCGAGGTGAACAGGCGTCGGGCGGCCCTTCTATTTTTTTCTTCTATTTTTCTTCTATTTTTCTATTTTCTATTTTTCTATTTTCTATTTTTCTATTTTCTATTTTCTATTTTCTATTTTTCTATTTTTCATTCGGTTTTATCTTCTCGAAATATGGGGCGGCGGGCGGGCGACATGGGGGATGGAAGGAGGGAAGTTCTTGAGTTGCCAGCTGTAAGAAAGCGCATCATTCGCTGGCTGGCCGTGATGGGAGCTGCAGCTTTACTCTAGAACGAAGCGGTGTGTAGAGTACCCAAGTAGAGTAGGTACCACCATAGAACACACACACCATCGCTTCCAGCGAATCATCGTCACCGAATCGTGCCCCCGATCCAATCGATAACTGGGCAAATCGGTGTGGTTATCCACTGGAGCAGATCTTCCCGCGACCGTCCGGGTGTGCACCAGTAGAGTACTCTAACTACGTGGATCGGTGGCGCGCTTTGGGAAGTTGCTTGCTTCATGCACCGAACACGTCAATACGTGTGTACCACCACCAGAGTGGTTAGCTGGAGAAAGGCGAGAAAGGCACCAATTGCCACGCCCAAGGCATGTGGCATATCTGGCGATGAACATTGAACACCCTTGTAGCGACTCTTCAGGGAGTCTTCAGGGCGCGTTCCGGGAGAAGAGAAGTATCGAGATTCTACATAGAGCAGTTAACGAAGCACTTACCTGCCTATAAGCGGATGGTTACACGCTCGCTCGCCTCCACAATATCCATATATGTTCATATATGGGCATTGAAGGGCTAGTTGCTACCATCTTGCCAAGTATATACATATCAGTTGGGGCGGACATCTTCGATCTCTCCTCCTCTATGTATGTCGGTTCAGTCCCCTCCCTCCCCCACGTTCCATCTTGAAGATCATAGGTGCAGTGTGTTATGTATAGCAAAGTGGTTAGCCCGTAGGCATAATATGTACAGGTATAGGTACTTGGGTACCGTATCGCGCGGCCCGATGTTACAGTTACATACAGCGCGGGGGATGAACCTGTAACGATGGGTACTTGAGCACTCAGCAAGAGATTCAGCCCAGCTGCCCAGCTGCCCAGGTCCCGCTTCTCTTCCACTCAATCTCGGATCCGGAGATACGGCTGCGTGGGGAGTACGTACCTGAGCCAATGCCGGCTATGTGGGGCGAGACTGGGTACCATGTACTCTATAGTATGTATCATACTATAGTATAGGCAGTATAATCGTATAATGGACATGGGAACTCTGCTCGAGCAATTCATGGACTGTAATTTGTGTGTCCAGACTCCAGACTCCACTGTTCATTCGGAAAAACGCCCGTAGGACCGTAGGTATGTAAGATCGCAGACGAGCTGAAACTTGCCATATAGAGTGGTTATGATGCTAATCCAACCCGAAGGATGAAGGGAACACATTCGAGTTCGAGTAGGAAGGTAGGTGGGAGGTAGGTACGTACCTACATATCTAAGCTGTCACTTCGGCGATTGAAGTGATCCCCATAAAAGCCAAGCCTCTGCACGGGCATTCCTGGAGATGTTGGAAAACTACATCAACTTCGTGGGCCTGTAGGTAGAGTACCTACCCATAGGACTGGCCCAGCGGTGAGAAGGGTTCCTGTCGAGTACCTAGTTGAAGATTTCGCCACGGCGGGCATAAACTTCCTTGACCAGTCCTTTCTCTCCGCCAGCCCCACGGCGAAAATACCTTGCAGACCACGGATAATCACCCATCCAGTTGTCCCTTTGGTATGAACCGTAGGTATATGGTCGCCGATCCGTGGAGAAGACCATTGACCGCGGTTATCCTCGCCCAGAAGTTAGAACTGCAAGATTGGTGGTCTGCCACTGGTCTCATCGACTGTACTTTTTCCCAGCAGGGTCCGACACGTTTTGGAAGACCCCCGAACCCCCAGCCAATCTAGAAGGCGGTTCCAGCATCCATTACTAGGTAAGCAGGTCTGTAGGAAGGTATTCTTTGACCGTTGCAGTGGTTACCGGTCTGCTTGGTGGGACACGTGGTATGGTACTTACCATTTCCTGGAACTACATACTCATAGAAAGAACTCGGGGAGCCCCACGTGATTTTGTGATCAGTGCGTCTCAATGGAGATATTTCAAGTACATAACTCGGCTCCCAGTCGAAATGAATGGATATTCTCTCGTAAAAAGCGACGGGGGCAGGCCTGGCATCAGCGGACCTACCTGCAGCAGTGAGCGGCAGTGAGAAAATCTCGTGGGTTTCATCCTACCTCGTGGCACCGGTACCGGTATGGGCCAAGGATGCACCTGCCCAATTTTCCTGAGATAATTGTATGTCCATACAAGGCGCAAGGCACAAGGCATCTCGGCTGCATCCTGCCACGTGGGGGCACCAAGCTTCCCAGCTTCACGGAAACTCTGAGGGTAATACTGTTCACGACCATATATTTCTCCCAGGAATAATGACTGATGAATCCGTCAAAATATGGCCTCGCGGACGCCATTGATGGGGTGACGGACGGCTTGGAACCAGGTGATGGAGGTTGGCGGTGATCTCAATAATATGCTCCCGGTATTCAGCCCTATCGGCCTCGGCGCCTCGCAACCGGCGTCAGCTGAGTGCAGGCTGAGGGCGCGGCGAGATCCGTTGCTGCTGTCTGTCTCCTCATCCTCCTCCTCATCCTCCTCCTCCCCCTCCTCATCCTCCTCCTCCTCCTCCTCCTCCTCCTCCTCCTCCTCCTCGTCGTCGTCGTCGTCGTCGTCGTCGATGTTGACGGACGATGAGTGGAAGGAATGAAGCCTTCAATTTCCTGCAGGTTGTTCCCAAACAAGGCAGCCCAGCCTGGGATGCAGTAAATGCAGCCATTGAACAGACACGAAAAGCGCCGCGGGCGTCTCGACTCTCAATCAACGAAGAAGACGGAACATTCCGCAAAAAAACTTCAATTCGCGGTGACATGTCTGCACGTACTCACTGGTACAAGGGAGGTACATCTGCAGGTGATTGCTGGACGGCCGCCGGCGTGCACATGTCTGCGGCGTGCGTGCGAAGTAACAAGTTGGTCACACGAAAACGCCGCCGGCTGGGCATGATGTAACTTCACAGGCACTGGCAGCGAGTGCTCGCCGCCCGGCGCCAGGACATGTGTCGGAAGACATCAATCGCCCCCCCTAGACACGGTAGTTGTACCTGAGCCAGCAGCCACTGGCGGCCAGTGTAGAAAAACACAACCACTCACCATCGCGGCCCCCAAGAAGACGGCACGAACCCACGAACTCGTGCAGACATTGCATTCGGCCGGATTTCGATGCCGCTGCTGCACTAGAGTAGGTATAAGGTACATACACCACTAGACTCCACGACGCAATACGGCAGCGTGGCGATAAGGTGCCCGCTCCAAAGTCTACTCGATCGGGACTTTCTTTCGCATCCGAGATCGGCGCGATGGGCTGGCTGTGATTCAATGGTTTTGGTTCATGGCGCCGCGCTGCATCGTTACGTTGGTTAAGCCCCGATCGGGTCTGTCCGACTCTGGGGTCTGCTCGGAGTCTGGTTGGATTCGTTTCAGCGCCTTCGAAGTTCGGCAACGTTGAGGCCAAGTCCAAAAATAGAATAACCTAACGCCGGGGAAATTGGAAAACGGCGAGGCGAGAGTCGAGACTCCATCACTCGACGTTGGGCGCTGGGTCGCGTCCAGTTTTTCTTTCTTTTTCTTTGGGTTGAATCGTGCTGGATCGTGTGGGGAGGGCAAGAGATGCTGATGGTCATGGCGGATAAACTTGGCTACTCCAACTAGAGGTCGCACACAACCCGCATGGTTTTCGAGTTCTCATCACGCCGGTACCGGTATCAGCCTCAGCCTTCAGGTCGGTGATCAGAGATCTTATGGTGGTACGGAACGGCAGCTGATAGGACGCTCGCAGCTGGAGTGCAGAACAGAAGACATGAATAGGCAGCATACATCTTACCGTCCTGTCTGGACTCTGTCACTCTGATTCTCCCAGGTTACATGGCCGCAGAACAAACTGCTGACCTGTGCAAACAGGGCAAGTGCTTAGTGCTGTGTACAAGGCTGAACTTTGCGGTATGCATCCACATGCCTACATCGTTGATTGCTCGACCAGCCAGCTCATGAACACCACTCTCGTCTTCGGACAACAGTGTGTGGCTTCTCGTCAAAGCCACGATACTGCTCTACAATTTCCTTTCACGGGGCCGTATTATGTCCCGAGATGACGATGGTAACCAACTACCTGCCGTGTCCCTTAAAACCCCCCAAAGGAGGTCACTGCTCTGACCACCGAGCTGAGCCTTTTTTACGATACCTTCATCCATGCCATCCATTCATCCATCTATCCATCCACTTATGTCACCTAGTGGATGTACGGTGTATCCATTGGTTTGCAGTAGGTATCGTAAATTGCAATCTCTTCAGTCCATCAACAGGTTTCCTCCAGATCTCGAAAGGATCTTGGAATTGCCAGGGTCCCGTCCAGAAATCAGATCCTTCGAGTGGCTGCGTACATGGCTGTCTATGTAGGTACGCTACCGGCATCTGCACGATGGGAGAGTCATGGGGATTCATTGGCCAAGTGTTTGTCGTCGTGGGGAATCGGGATGCGAACTTGAACACTCAGCCTGCTATCTTGCTGTGGAACCTGACGGCCTAGTAGTACGTAAATTTGATCCGGTCCCCGCTGGGCCTCCGCACACCGTAACCCCGCCGGGCCGACAAACAGATTAAACCGGCAGCTCCCATGGGTCGTAATCTCCCGCGTCGTACTACCTACCTGACACTGTGTACGACAGTACGAGCTTCCCCCCGAGTACTCCCCGAGGGCCAGCGGCTGAGAGGATGCAAACAGTCTGGTGGTATGTAACACGACGGATCACGTAAACGTTATACATACCTCAATAAGTACTGATCCAGTACTGATCCAGCACTGGTCGGCTATGCATGTAGGCCTCCGCGCCGTGTGCAGCTCAGATACCGGTACCGATGACCGGAGCCCTAGGTAGACGATGTCGGATGTCTACTTACATCTTACTTAGCCGAGGCTTGAATCCATCATATCCTGTCAACTCCGTCACGTCAGCAACTGTCTATCATACTTGGGTAGTTAATGGGCTGACATCTACGGATTATGTGAGAAGTAGGCTGCTGGCAAGGCAAGGCAATTATGCGGTATGCGGTATGCGGTAGGAGGTAATTCTAGGCGGTTAGTTAGTTGGGACGTGATTATCCCTACGGGTTCAAATTTCAGCCCCAACGTATTGTACATACGTACGGTAAAAGTAAGTGGATACGAAGATGACCGAATGACCGCGGCATCGACTAATAAATAGCAGATATTCCGCACGAAATCAGCGGCAGTAATACGACTATATATGTCTTGCCTTATTGCCGTATATACCATTGAGGCCACACGCCGATGGGGCGCGGATATTACCATGCGCGGTACGTCCAGGATTACCGGAGGAGCCGCCACATGTTCGCCGTCATGCGGTACCGGCCCCCCGCGTTCCCGATTTCCGCTTATTTTTTTCTTTTCTTGTTATAACCAGTGAGTGCCACGGCCACTCGGGATCGAGATGGCATGTTCCCCATCCCCGTGTAGTACAGCGAGCGGGTATTTCCGTCGCATCCATGCCGAGTCATCGTCCATCACTGTGCCCACCCGTTGCCGCAATATGTAGCAACGATACTGTACTATAGACTTTCGCCATAGTCTAGATAGGCTGCATGCGAAATAAAACAGGAAGATCTCTCTCTCTGTACTATAGACTGCTGTTTCTTCGGTGCGATAGACGGCGGTACGGGACCATTCGGAAACCGTCCGGTAACCACCGCAATTGGGAGTGAAGTGTCCGAGTTACCTACGCACCACCGGCATGTATGCGCCGCATATAGGTGCTATTGCAACTTGCGTCACTGCATTCACCTGTAGCCTGTAGGATCTACCGCTCGCCTTGGTCGTTTTTAGATTCTTAGTCGTGGATCGACTGCGTGTTCAATGTTCATCGCACGAGTGATCATGGGTAGTTAAGTACTTAAAGTAGGTGCTTCTCACCGTGATCCCCCGCCTCCGAACGTTGGCACTCGCCGACTCCGTTGGCACCCGCAGGATCTACGACAGGTCCCACTATAATAGATACTATATACGGGCCCGTACTATATAAGTTATAACAGTCGGCCGAGTGAGACTTGAACAATCCCGACAACACACCCACACAGTGTACCCAAGTACATGTTTAGGTATCTACTACCACCACCACCGCCTCATCCACCATACCAGGCGTCGGGCGTCCCTCACTCACGTCTCCGGCCCACCAGTAACGCCACCAGCCCACAAACCGACGTACCATCCCACCAAGCGGAGCATTGCCATCCGCGCGTGTAGGCAGGGAGGGTATCACTCTTCCCGTCCGCCCCTCCCGTCCGCAACAGTCTACATAGGCACTATGTAGCAAGCACTATTCCCAGCTTACCTACTTCGAAAAAATCTTGGAACCATGGAAGCCAGATGGACGAGTCATCAACGTTCTCCAACGTCCTCCAACTTCCAAGAGCTACACCGCATCATGCACAATCACTCGGTCAAATGGATCCAACTCCTGTTGAAAATATGAATGTGAGGTTTCAGTTGCTTGATTCATTCGCAAAACACGGCGGATTGCCAGCTAGACAGAACCTAATAGAGGGAGAAGTAAGTATGAAAAACAATATTCTCCAGGCGCGAAAATATTACCAATATGACAAATGTGCAATATCTTGGACAAGTGACGACGGTGGCTTTTCAATGCGAACGAGAATCGCAACAAGGAGAAGGAGGCGGATCCGCTCAGTTTATGTCACATGATTCATTATCACAGAATCCCATCACGATGGTTTACTCAACTTGGATGCTCGGAGATGTATGTATATCCGCAAGGAAGTTTAATGTCTTGACTGCTCGGGCGCGCTGGCGTCTTTTGTGACGTTCAGCGTCGCCCGTAGTAGGTACGTATTGCTCTGCCATATGTATGTGCTCTGTATGTATGTACAACCTCCTCCTCCGCCTCCTCCTCCTTCCCCTCCTCCTTCTCATCCCGAATCCACAAATCTAACGATCATATGCTACATCAAAACCCCCAATGCAATGCCCGAACCCCCCAAAAATCCAAAACGCCATGAATGCATACACCCCAAGCCCCACGCCCGCTTCCACCATCGAGCGGCCTAAAATCTCCCCGCAACAACACCCACAACCAGTAGCGCGATCACCACGAAGCCCATGCCCAAGAGCACCAGGACAGCAGCCTTCTCCGCGGCGCCCGCAGGGCCGGCACGCACGGCGACGGCCAGGGCACCTCTGCCGCCTCTGCCACCTCTGCCAACGCCCGCCTCGAGCGCGGCAGTATCGATCCACGCCGCCGAGCCCATCGTCAGCGCGGACTTCTCGTTCTCGTTCTCGCTCGTGGCGATCCACATGGGCGTCGGCGGTGCGAGGTGGAGTGCCAGTGGGCGGAGGGACGCGAGGTGCTGGAGTCGTGGGGAATAGCGGGGTGGAGCGAAGCGCGTGGGGAAGGGTTTGGGTGAGCTGGGGGCCGAGGAGGCGGGGGAGGAGTGAGGAGATGAGCCGAGGAAGGTGGAGTGTGTGGGACTATTGTCGCTGCTGTTGCTCGAGGTGGGAGAGGTGGGGGAGGTGGGGGAGTACGGCGGCGGCGAGGGAAGTGTAGAGTGCATTTTGGTAGTGGGGGTGGGTTCCGTGGGGGCGATGAGCGTTCGGGTAGATGTAGCGGGCGGAGGTGAGAAATGACAGTCAATGCCTGTGTCGTGAAAAAAAAAGGACCGAGTTGAAGTGAAGATTCCGTCAAGGAACGAGTGTGAGTGTCGATCTTGCGTCAAGTGAAGCGAAGTTGATAGCGACGACGACAACAAGATGAATGAGAAGAAGAAGGAGAAGGAGAAAGGAGAAGGAGAAGAAGCACAGATGTAGGAGTGTAGGTGTGTGTATGTGTGTGAGTGGGTGAGTGTGTGAGTGGGTGAGTAGTGGAGGAATAATCTTCCCCGCGGCGCAGACAAGTTACATATACGCACAACATCCCCACCCGCGTCCCCCCTCTCCCCTCCCCAGCGGCCGGAACAACCCCCTGCTCGCCCCGACCGACCGAAACGATGAAACACCAGTTAGTTACGCCACACGCCCTGAGCCATCCCTGAGCCATCCCTGTCCCGCCACGGACGGAGTGTTTGAGTGTTTCGACTAGATGTGCCTTGGCACCGCTGAACCACTCATCCGCCGGTCTGGAGATTTCAGATAAATATAAACACCACCTACCTACAGGAGGGACGGGAACTTTGGAAGATGTAGGTACTTGTGTAGCCGCGGGTGCCCTAGGTGTCGGGACTCAGGAGGGAATTCAAGCCTCAATCCTCAGGGAGGGACATGATGAATTTCTCCATGCATGTATGCAGCGTACGGCAGAGTACATAGATGTATCTTTTTTAATCTTTTACGTGGCGCTCGGACGGTAGATGGAGATTTGTTCCCGCTCGGGTGCATTGTGCTGTATGTACCGTAGATCCCCCAATCCACCCTTTCCCCCCAACCCCGCCCCCCGGACCCCCGATTGACCTCGAAAGCGCGGGCGCGAAGCAAAGGTGACGGGACAGAGAGTGTATTTTCGTCACGACACGACACGGTGCCGGCGGCATTGAGATGAATCGCAAAACCTATGCTACTAGTACATAGATCCCGATTTAGGGTACCCAGATGAAGAGAATGGGTACAGTACTAGTTAGTAGAGTGCTGATCAATTTCTCGTGATATTGCGCGCTCTACTCAGTGCTCTGCTCTACTCTACTCTATTCGACTCTAGACTCGAGTACCGCACGTGCCCAAGTAGTTTGGCATTGAAGCTCATGTGTAACGATACGCGATGCCGCGGTTCCAATCTTCATCTCGCCGATAGGTACGTCGCTTACATACAACCAAACCGAACCGCACCGAAAAAAACCTGCGTGGTGACACGGTCGGTTGGATGACGGTTGACAGCGGCTGTCCCCACATCGGCCCGAGGCAATGCGCATTCCAACATCCACATCACTCGAGGATATCACGGGTGACGGCTACGAGAGAACATCACGAGTGACGGCTACGAGAGAACACAAAGGTTTAGGGAAACCAAACTGCAGCCTTTATTTATTCCTAAGCCCCAGCTTTTATGCTATTCCCCTTTTGAGCCTCAAGGAGTTTTATTCCCTTCGGCTTCCCATTTCCCTACTCAAACCAAACACATAACCGACAGAATGCATTTACGCGGAGTCGACCTTGGCGATGTAGGAGATCAGGTCAAGGACACGGCGGGAGTAGCCCCACTCGTTGTCGTACCAGGAGACAACCTTGACGAAGTGGTCGTTCTGATTCCACGTTAGCATCTGGGACTCACGAATAACATACGAATGGGATTGCTCACCAAAGAGATACCGGCCTTGGCGTCGAAGATGGAAGACGCAGGGTTGCCGTTCATGTCGGAAGAGACAATCTCGTCCTCGGTGTAGGCAAGTATGCCCTTGAGGTCACCCTCGGAAGCCTCCTTGATGGCGGCCTTGATGACCTCGTAGGAGGCGGCCTTCTCGAGACGGACAGTCAAGTCGACGACCGAAACGTTCTGGGTAGGAACACGCATGGCCATTCCGGTGATCTTGCCGTTAAGCTCGGGGATAACCTTGCCGACAGCCTGTACACAGTTAGGGTCCGTCGAGCTTGACGCGGGGGGAATGGTGCGAAACTGACCTTGGCAGCACCAGTGCTGGAAGGAATGATGTTGGCGGCAGCGGTACGTCCACCACGCCAGTCCTTAGCAGAGGGACCGTCAACGGTCTTCTGGGTAGCGGTGTAGGAGTGAACGGTGGTCATGAGTCCCTCAATGATGGTGAACTTGTCGTTCAGGACCTTAGCGAGAGGAGCCAAGCAGTTGGTGGTGCACGAGGCGTTCGACAGAACATCGATGTCCTTGGTGTACTTATCGAGGTTGACACCGCAAACGAACATGGGGGCATCGGCAGAAGGAGCAGAGCTGTCCAAGATCAGCACGTGTCGTCTGTAAGCGAATTGATCCGAAGAACCTACATGACGACCTTCTTGGCACCACCCTTCAAGTGGAGGGAAGCCTTCTCCTTGGTGGTGAAGACACCGGTGGACTCGACAACGTAGTCGGCACCAGCCTTACCCCACGGGATGTTGGCAGGGTCGCGCTCCTGGTACATCTTGATCGTCTTTCCGTTGACGATAAGGTCTCCATCGGCCGAGGCGGAGATTTCACCCTTGAAGTTTCCGTGGGTGGAGTCGTACTTCAGCATGTAGACCTATGATTGCACAGTAAGTCTCCGCGTGGTGTAGACCGGGGGAGGAGATATCGGATGTGACAACGTACAGCGTACTTGGGCTCGATGAAAGGGTCGTTGATGGCGACGACATCGATGTCTCCGTGCTCAATACTAGAATCCAGTTAGTCTCTGTTCCATCATTGCCGCCATCGGCGAGTGTCTGCAGTAGATCAAACTTACGCATTGCGGAGGACCTGGAAGCAAGGGGATACGTGTTAGTTTAGTGATGACCCCGCAGCGAGCGAGAGCGATGAAGAAGTTTCCACATACGATACGTCCGATACGCCCGAAGCCGCTGCGAAGGGGAAACACTGTCAGCAACTGCAATCCATCATCGTTATCCCGAGGGATTAGAACAGGATGCTACTCACTTGATTCCTACGTTGACCATTTCGTATGTGTCTACAGAGAGAAGTCAGCAAACACTGACATCATGGACATCACGGCCTTCCGATGAACGATGACCGATGAACCTTTCGCTGCCGCAAAGAGCGCGCTATAGAGAGCAGATGGGATGGAATGGGTGAGAGACCGACCTTGAGATGGTGTTTTGAGTGGGGTTGTGTTGTGGTGCTGGGTGGAGAGAGAAGACGAGGAAGCCCGAGAGGACAAGGCGGGGTATTTATCGAAAGCACCCTTACGTCTTACCTACACTTGTTTTCCACCCACCGCCCACCGCTGCTCGCCTTCTTTTGCCTTCGATAATCGTAATTATGATTTTAATAGATTGCCAGCTGCCCCTCCGCTCTCGATAATAATCAAGCCTCTTCGGTCATCGCGAGCTTGGCGGCGAACATATTCCTTTTTGGGAAAGATACGCTAATACGGTAGAACATCATCGTCTGTCCCGTTCCGCCACTGGTAGATCTCGCGGCGACCGCCGACAACAGCTGTGAGACCTCCACCGCCTGCACGCATAACTCGCTCCTGCTGCTGCTGCTCATCCACTGCGATATGATCCGACCCTGTCTTTCGGCGTCTCTGCTCGCAGCGCTACCTTACCTCCACCGGCAATAGAGCCCCCTGTCACCCTCGCCCTTCCGAAGCCCACGGCTCCGTCGGTAAGTAACGATAATAATCCGCTTCAGACGAATCCTCCGTCCGAGGTAAACAGCCTCAGACGAACCCGTTAACTCGCGAAAAAAAAAGCCGGTGATTGCGTTTATTATTAGAGCAGTATAAAAGGTATTTCGCTCCCATCGGTCTTGTGGTTTCGAAAGAAATCCCCCACCGCTCACTGCTGCTCGATATCGCCGCTTTCGCTCTCGCTGTTCCGCTCGGTCTCTGCTTTGGCGCCACCCCCACCACGGCCACACCCACGGCGCACGCCTCTCAGCCTAGCAAACCCCACCACGACCACCACAAAACCAACCGCTCTCCCAGGAACGTGCGTGCCTGCCTGTCCGCTTCTGTCCCGCCTGTCCCACCTGCAAAACTCTATGCGCTTCAACATTCTTCTCGACGATTCCAGCGGGAAAGAAACAATTGGGGGACCGGACCTGCGTACATACAGAAAATTTGCATCCCGCAACGCAGGCAGCCCGCTGTTCGCGCCGCTCGGGGATAGATCCCCTATTCGTTGATTTTTTTCCGTGCCGCTACCGCGGTCGTCGCAATCGAAACCCCTCATCCCATCCCATCCCCCAGCCAGCCAGCCACGCAACTCCATAATTCCATTGATAATAGATAGGTTTTTTTTTCTCTTTCCTGCGCGCGGGGCCGATAACGACCACCACCACGATTACTATGCCCACGTACGAATGAGGTGAACCTCCGCTCTCTCCCTCCCTCCCTCCCTCCCTCCCTCCCTCCCCGGAATTCGCCCTCCCCGGCGTTCCGGCTCCATCAGCTCCGCGAATGCACGACACATCTCTTCCCCATCCCAAAGCTGCGAAACAGACGGACAGCAGACGGCGACCTCCAGTCCCTCTGCGAAACTCAACCACGTTCCTGAGTCAAAGTGCCAGAGCGCGTATCTACAAACCTACATGTCCTGCACGTCATCGTCATGTGTGTTCGCCGTGGTTCGGCGTACTGGGATCTTCTGGAAGTCGGCCCGTACGGCGTGGTCTAGAGTGCATTGGAGGCTAGACACCTACGCCGATTACTTATGATATATCTATACCAAAGTTGTGTCCCTGTGTGGGTAACACCTCTTGGTGGTATGTAGGATCTACCTAGTGGTACGACATCGAAGAGGGGTAAAATTGGAGGGGTAAACCTACCGTCTCGAGAGAACAACATCTTATCGTGTCTCGACATGAATGATTTGTAGATAAATAATAATCGTCCGTTTACTCACCGCCGCTAGCTCTTGCACGTGCTTGCTGTTGCCTCTGCTTCTGCTGCTGCTGCTGGGTGGGGAGAGATGAGCGATTAATGAGCCCTACATTTCAACCGGTGATGCTTGTGTACCGTACCGTATGTTTCTGGGAAACAGGTGCCTGGCGCGCGCTCTGTAGGTAATAATGGCATCATGATTCATAGGGAACTAATCCCTCGTCGCACTGTCGCAGACTCGCAGTGTCGCACTTACCAGTCGCCACCCGGCCGGTGTCGGGACAAACTGCGAGCCGGTTGTTCGTACGTCCCTGTCAGTCATGATCTCAGCCCGCGTCGTCGCCGCGTGGACGTGCTCGACTGGAGCTCGGGAGGGATATTCCGCGGGTAATAGCCGACCGACCCGTCCTGTCACCGTCCTGCCCTGCCACCGTCCTGCCCACCGTCCTGCCCACCGTCCTGCCCACCGTTAACGTGAACACTAGATACGGTACGGTACACGGTGTAATCACCATTCCGTCACCCCGCCAACCCGCCAACCCCCGCCGACCCTTCGTCACGTGCCCGTACAGCATCACAGGCGATCACCCTCCCAACGTCCGTGCGTAGCGCACCCCGTGCACCCTGTCGGTTGCTCTAGGCCAGGGCAAAAAACTTTTTGAGCCGCATCCCTTTGCATTTTTCCCTCTGGAACCTTCGGAACTTGCCATCCACCGCGCCCCACCACACAACAGCCATACAACAACCACGCACGATCCACGATTCACGAATTCGATGTCGGCACAACACAAAGAAACAGGAATCCGCCTTCCCAAAGCGCTGCGTGAGGAGCTTGGTCTCGGTGAGTACGCCCCGCCCACCTTACTTGCGCGCGCACGTTGATTGGGCTGGTTGGACGGGCTGGGTATAGCTAATGCGGAATACAGATGATCGCGGAGCGCAGCGAAACGGCGGGCGTGGTGGTGGTGGCGGGGGGCGTGGCGTTGCTGGCGGTGGTGCTAGCGGGAGAGGCGGTGGCCGAGGAGGCAGGCCCACCGGCGATCGGAAGGCCCTGCGGAAACAGGCGCGCCAGGACGTGAAGAAGACGCGGAAGAACACCCAGAAGCGCGGACGGCAGTATGGCGGAGCAGCAGGCGCGGATGGGGGTGGAGGCGACGAGGATGGGGAGGAGGACGAGGACGAGGATGGAGTGGATCCGTTCGATATTTCGGATCCGTCGGATATTGAGGAGTTGATGAAGCCGGTTAAGGACAGGAAGCCGAGGAAAGCTGAGCCCGTGCCGGAGCTGTTGAAGGGGGGGAAGAAGAGTAGGTCCAAGCAGGAGGAGGAAGAGAAGAAAGAGAAGAAAGAGAAGAAGGAGAAGAAGGAGAAGGAGGGGAAGAAGGAGAAGAAGGAGAAGAAGACTGCGAAGCGCAAGGCGACTGAAGACCTCGACGACGAATCTGCGCCGCAGAAGAAGAAGCCTAGCAAAGCAGTGCTGGACAGGATCGCACAGGACGCAGCGGAGATTGCTTTCCTCGAGAAGAAGTTGAAGATCAAGAGCAAGAAGGTTCCAAAGGCCTTTGAGGAGGACGGGTTGGACTTTTTACTGGATGGTTTGAAGGATGATTATCTCGACGATCTGGAGGAGCCGGTGAAGAAGAAGAGCAAGAAGACTGCGAAGGTGGAAGTGCCAGTGGAAGCGGAGGAGGAGGAGGAGGAGGAGAGTGACGACGAAGAGATGGACGACATGTCGGATGGCGGTTCAGATGACGAGGACGAGGGCGAAGACGATTTTGAGGGCTTCTCTGATTCGGAAGCCGAGGAGGCACCACCGCCCAAATTCCGAGAGAACCCATACAAACCCGGTGTGACTGCCTCGACGACGACGGACGAGAAACCCGCCGCCAAGTATATTCCCCCGTCACTACGCAAGCCTGCGGGCAATGAGTCAGAACGTCTCACTCGGTTACGGCGACAGGTCCAGGGTCTCATCAATCGTCTCTCCGAAGCCAAACTCATTCCCATCCTGGGCGATTTCGAAGAACTCTACCGATCGAACCCACGAGCGGATGTCACAAGCATTCTGACCGACATCCTCGTGTCCACGTTATGCGATCCTTCAGCGCTCAATGACACATACCACGTCCTCCACGGTGGGTTCCTAGCAGGTCTTTACAAGATCATGGGCATCGACGTCGGCGCCACAGTCGTGCAACGAATCGTTGAGGAGTTCCTGAGTCAGCACGAAAAAGCGAATGGCATCGCAGACCCCTCGACCGCCGGCAAAGAATGTACCAATCTGATCAGTTTTCTGTCGGAGCTTTATAACTTCCAAGTGATCGGCTGTGTGCTCATCTTCGACTTCATCCGCCTGTTCTTGTCGGAGCTGACGGAGCTCCACACGGAACTCCTCCTCAAGGTTGTTCGGAATGCGGGCCCACAACTTCGCAGTGATGACCCAACGGCTCTCAAGTCGCTGGTGGTCCTCCTCCAACCCGCCATCGCAAAAGCCGGCGGCATTGAAAAGCTCAGCGTCCGCACGAAATTTATGATCGAGACCCTAACCAACCTCAAAAACAACCGTCTCAAGTCTAACACCGCAACCTCGGTAGTGACAGCGGAGCATACAGTGCGCATGAAAAAGCTTCTGGGCTCGCTCAACAACACACGAACACTGCGCGCCACCGAGGCCCTCCGGGCTTCCCTCGACGACATCAAATCAACCGAGACCAAAGGGAAATGGTGGCTTGTAGGAGCATCGTGGGCCGGTGGAGAACCTACCAAGCCCTCCCACGAAGATGAGGAGGAACAAGAAACCATAGCACCCTATGTTTCCGACTCCGAGGAGGACTCCGCTGGTATGCCAGACCTTCAATCGCTTGCGCGGCAACACAGGATGAACACCGACATCCGCCGGGCAATTTTCATCACGCTCCTCTCCTCGAGCGATTTCGCCGACGCACACACGAAACTGTCGAAGCTCCGCCTCAAACGGTCACAGGAGCGTGAGATCCCACGAGTGCTGCTCCACTGCGCCGCAGCAGAAGGCACCTACAACCCCTACTACTCACTGGTAGCGAAGAAGCTGTGTGCCGGACACGCATTGCGAATGACATTCACATTCACGCTCTGGGACTACTTCCGCCGCTTCGGCGAAGACGATGGATCCGCCACCGCCAGCAACCCGGACGACGACATCGACGGCGACGACGACGACGACGTCTGGTCGCAGCCCACGGGACTCCGGAAGATCGTGAACCTCGCACGGCTCTACGCGTCTCTCATCACGTCGGGGAGTCTGCAGCTCGCGATCCTGAAGACGCTAAACTGGGCGTATCTACAGTCTCCGACAAAGAGCTTCCTCGAAGTCCTCTTTACAACCATATTGGCAGAGAGCGAGTGGGAGTTGAACGTGGTGTTCTCAAACGTATCGGATAATACGGAGCTGGTCAGGGGCGTGCTGCATTTTGTAAAGAAGACGATGAAGCATGGAGGTGTTGCCGCGGGAGCGGAGGAAAAGGCCGCAGTCAAGCGGGGCTTCAAGACCGCGGTGGAAATGTTGGAGGATGTGTTGAAGGCGCAGGTATAGTGGGATAGAACGGTATATAAAATTTAGGACCCGCGAAAATAATTGACAGTATCATACAACAAAACCGACCCAGTGAACTTGACATCGCTGAAGGAATGCTGTGACGTTCCGCCACCACGTAATCAAATCAAGTGTGTCGTATCCACCGAGTCGGTTTTGGCTAAATATTGTTTTGATTTGGGGCTTTGAGCGCCATCACCGCTGATACCGGATAACCATATTCGTAAATCGTAATACCTACTCCGTACATCCACAATATATCACTCGTCGGAAAGCAATTTTGCACCGGTTCTGCTTTCTTTCTTTCTTCAGTACTTATGTACGTAGACCACACCCATATAAATATCCCCACGTATCGTCCCGACGGTCCGCCAACTCAGCTGCGGTCGCGCGCCAGTTGCACGAGTGATATACCATGCGATACATCGACACATCGACACATCGATCCATCCATAGTACTTCCGCGAGCGCTATAGTAACGCACTGCATTATCGTCCACTCCTGGTTGCCCGGCTCTGTGGATGCTGGCTGGTAAAGAGTTTGTCCGCAGCCCTGTCGGTCCAGTAGTTGTGGGGCTACGGATACTTCGATTGCCAGCCCTGGCCGGAAGGCTGTAGACGTCCCATAATGTTACCACCGTCGTGACCGGTCAACATATACACGATGCACACCGTGTAAATGGCGAAAATGTAGTAGGTATATTCGACGGTCTAAGTATACAGATAGTATCTAGTAGGTAGGTGGTACATGCTGATGCAAATAAAACGCAAGAAAGCCCGTCGTCTCCCCTCTTCACACCGTGACGGTTACAGCGGAGCATAAGCCAAAAACTCAAACAACCAGGCACTCCCGAAAAAAAAAGCCAAAGAACATCGATCGATCAAATCAAGACACGCAAACAATGCCAAACCAAAATGCTGCTCATAGATAGATACACCCCCATCACATCACATCACATCGAACCCCGCACAATCACGGGCCCACCTCCGCCTCCTCGACCGCATCCTCGCGTCTCACCGCCTCATCCACACTATCGACAATCTCGACCACCGCGGAAATCCCCGACCTCTTCATGCGCACCATGATGGCGCCGTCCTCGCCACCACTGACGCGTGCAATCCACACCCTGACATCGCGGCTGACATATCCGGCGACGAGTTCCTTGACGACCTGCGCACCACTGCCATCGATACTCGACACGCCGGCGATATCGAACACCACGCCTCTCACGCCCTGCTTGAGCCTCGGCAGGGAAGGATGAGCGCGGCTATCGCCGTAGCGGTCGATACGCCACAGCCGTCGCGCCAGATCACCGGCGTTCGCAAATGTGAGCGATTCTCGGATCTTGATGACGAGGATGTTGGGGGTTTGCTCGACACTGGGGGAGTCCTCGACAGGCTTCCAAGCTCCCGTGATGGGGTCGCGTCCAAGGATCTGGATGCGTGCGCGCGTCGAATGCTTTATCACCGTGATGAGGGAGATGCCGACGCCGACGGCGATGCCCGTTGAGATGGACCAGACCAACGTCGTTAGGAATACTAATGCCATCGTCGCCAAATCGGAGTATGCGTGGATCCTGACGAAGAAGAGGATATCGTGGGGTGCTTCTTCCAGGAGAGAAACGCCGACGACGGAGATCATGGCGCAAAGAACACCGCGGGGCAGGTAGTAGAAGTAAGGGAGAACAAAGTAAATGCATAGGATGGTGCAGATTGACAAGACAATGGAGGACACGGGGGTACGTCCGCCAGTGGCTTTATTGACCTTCGATCTTCCGTAGCCGCCAAATGCTGGCAAAGCACTGAAGCAACCTCCAAGGACATTTGCAGCTCCGAGGCAGATGAGTTCGCGATTAGACGAGATTGAGACGTCGAAGTTTGTTCCCAGAGCTTTCGCAGCTACCACTGATTCGAAGAAGCCAAGAACCGAAATGAGAAATGAGGTCGAAAATGCTTCTTTGGCGTGGTTCAGGTGCGCAATCTGCATGGGAAACTCAAATTTGAAAGGTTTACCACCACTGACTTCGATCTTGCCGAGGATCTCGAGGCCTTGCTGATCCCAGCGGAAGATCGAGGTGAGGACAGCACCCAACACCACAACGAGAAAGCGATCGGGCAAGAAGTGTATCCACGGATGCCGTGGGGCAATCCGTTGTTTCAAGACCCGCCCTATCATAATCACTGCAAACGATATGCCGGCAACGGCAAATGTGAGAATGTGCGTCTGTGGTAAATGCCTGACCAGCCAGTGAAGTTTTGAAAGAGTTGAAGCATGAATAATGTGTTCCTGTTTGGCGAGCGGGATAAGTCCCATCTCCGGCTAATCTCATCAGTCAGCCCTGGTGGCGGTAGAACGCATGTAAGGGGCCGATCATACCAAAAGCTGATCCACGAAGATCACGAAGCCGACACCCGAAATAAAACCTCGCAACAATGGCCTGCTCAGAACGGAATCCAGAAAACCTAACCTCAAGATTCCAGCAACAAGGGCAATCGCACCCGTCATAGCCGTGATCGTCGCCTAAGTTCGTTAGTACAGCCCCATCTCCTGCAAGCCTCATTCCGACTAACCGCGAGCCGAGCATTCTGGAAATCGCTGCCTTCTCCACCATCATCATCGAACGCGGGATCGTGATGCGCATTCATCGTCCGTATGGCGTTACCCATCAGCAACGACCCGGCAGCCTCTGGCCCCACAGCCATCGTCGGACACGATCCCAGCAACGCGTAGATGAACGGTTGTACTGCAAACCCGTAGAGGCCGTGTATCGCGGGAAGATGCGCCAAGTTCGCCGACAGCGACAGTGCCATTGGAATATAAATACTCGCCATGGTAACTACAATCCCCCGCACCCCACCTGTTAGCTTGCGATTCCCGCCCAACACCTATGAAACAGCATAGGGGGGCTTACTCCCAGCGGCAACATCGCCCATAAAGAAGCTGAATTGATACTTCTGCACCCAGGCGATACAGGGAATGTAGTAGCTAAGGTACATGAGCCACGGACGCTTCACGCCCGCCTCTTCCGCAAGCACTGTCGTCGTCGTCGCACGCTGCAACCAGCTCCGCTTTGGCGTTGAACTGCCGCCGCCGCCGCCGCCGCCTCCCGAGACAACAGAGTCTCCCGGCGATGCCGGACGCGAGCCGATGGGCGTGAACGTGCCGTTGTCGGAAACATTATCGTGGTGCTCTTGGAGTAACCGTGTCCGCGGATCGGTAGCACGGTGAGGCTTCGAAGCCGCCGCCGAAGAGTCTTTGGAGCTGCCGGGCCACGACATGGTGGGCCGAGGGAGAGACGAGAGATGGGGGAGTAGTGTCTATCGGCGTCGGGTGAAGTGCATGAAGGATCGAGATTATGGTTATAATTGCATTCGAGCGGAGGCAGGAGTGAAGAAGTTGGGGAATCCGTGAGGGCTTCAGGCGCAGATGACCAAGAGTACGGCAGTGACTGCATGCAAAAGCGTGCCGCGCCCCGCACATCGTATCCCTGTAGCGGTGCCACAGCCTGCATGGGCGGCCGCCTACAAGGTCTGAATGCGGCTGATGGTTAGGCAAATGCCCTGAATCGCGACAGCACCTGACCGGGGAACGGCGACAGATGGCCGAACTGCCTGCAGTCATCGCCGGAGAACTCGCTCAAACCCAAGATATCGCTTGGTTATCGATAACAACGTACAGGATATAGCGATTCTCGCACCTTGATATCTCCTGCAGGATTCCTCCGTGAGATAGACCTTCAGACTTCAGTGAGTTACGCACCAGGTACCACCGACTACCTTGAGCATCTATCCGCACTCCGCACAATTATGTAACCGACTAACCGAACACGTCGCAGTGTCAGGGCGCACTCTCGCTTTGTCAGCTCCAAGACGCTGAGTGACCGACTGTGAGCCACCACAATTACGTACCCGGTCTCAACGGACCTCTCGCTGTACGGTTCATCGTTGAGTGGCGAATCTAGGCCTTTCTCTCATGTCAAGAGTCTATAATCTAGCAGGATAGACTCAGTACCGTATATCCATAGGTATTCTAGCTTTCTCGCAGGTCGTATGATAGGTAGCACAGTAAGAACGAAAAGGCCTTTTCCGAACGATTTACAATTCATGAACGGGGTTCCTATTGACGCCAGAAGAGAGTTTCCATGTAACCGAATAGCTCCTACATCAAGTACACGCTCATATTGAACACCCGAGATCACAGCAATACCACACATTTCTCATTTTGACAAACGCAAATCAATACAGGATCCATGATACGCAACGTCAACGCTCCACACAGCTCACATGGTACATAAACAGCAACATATTTGCTCCCTCAATCCGAAATTTTTACGTACGTACTCGTCGGCCAAGCATTGGCAAAGCCTAACCAGCGTTGCACGAACCACTTGCGGAAGGGATTGTCTATGTAGCTATCTACAGCTAAGCAGAACGTAGTTTCCCAGCTGGCAGTTGTCTTGGTGTCAAAGGTGGATAGCTCCCACGCCGATGAGTCCTTTAACTTCTCCATCACCGAGGCGATGGAGAAGCTGTCGTACGCTTACAGCTCAGCCACCGAATGAGTTGTGGAGAGAACGCAACACCTCGTGTGGAAACATCAGGCAGCATGGAGGAGTTCTGGAGCATCTTCTTCGTGTTGTTTGGGCGGTGCGGAAGTTTGGAGATCGTACGGACAAAGGATACGGTAGAGAGAGAGATGCAGAACAAGGGATTGTATTGACTGTCTTGCTTGATTGAGAAATGAAAGAGCGGGCAACATGGGCGGTTTATATAGAAGAAAACAGGAGATATGTACAGTGCCATACAGTTCCCGACATCTATCTTCCATCCTTGAACTGTGTCGTTCTACATTGCGTATGCCTTATCCTCCTACATTACGCGTCATGCCTTTGGGTTCGTCCGACTGTGTTGACGCATATTTCTTCACGTCGTCTCAGCGATAAATATCGGCGACTGTCAAACGGTTAGTCACCGACTGATATGTTGATCTCGGGCCACATCTCGACGCAGGGTTGCGAATTCCCACGTACCGATGCGTGTTGCTATTATCAATCGAGCTCTTCCCTCTTTCTTCCCATATTCGCAATGCTCCCAAGCTTCACACGGCCGTTATTGTCATCCGCAGCTTTCTTTCGGGGTTATGTGCCTGCCGTCATCCGCTCTTAGCCTTTGAAATTTATATTAAACTCGAAGCCGTATTTATCTGAAGTGCAGGCTAAGGCCACTTACTCATCATGGATGGCACGCCGCACCTCCATATCATGGATTGCCGCTCCACACGCAAAGCCAACATGGACACAGGTAGCTAGCGATCTCTAGCCTCCTCTTTCGCTCTCCCTGCTTCGCCATCGATTCTGCAACGTTCGTATAGACTTTGGTAGCTCTATCGACACCGAACCGCTTGTGTTGGGAGAGGTATGATCGGTCATCTTATGATGTGGCCATAATTTCGATCCGAGTTGGTCTGATCGAAAAGCGACGCAACAGGATGGAACGAAGCGGCCTTGACCTTAGCGTTCAAGTCTCCGCCGCGGTAAGCCGCCGGGAGGCCCGAAAGCGGCAGCTTTGGTTCCAGTCTCGAACACCTCCCCGTGCATCATTCGTCGTTGTTGTTGTTGTTGTTGTTGTTGTTGTTGTTGTTGTTGTTGTTGTGTTCTTCCTCGCTAGACTCTTTTGCAGTCATGTCGCCGCCTGCCAAGAATTAGCTTCCTACATATACGCTGCGATAAAGATCACGTTGCTTGGGACTCCGTGTGCTTGCCTGATGCAATGAACTGGGGGATGGGAGGGGGGGTGGGGGGTGGGGGGTGGCAATTACCACCAAGGGCACGCATGTAGAAGATAGGCCAGTTCCTGCGGATCGCGAAGGCATGGCAGCGAACGGATCTCATATTTTAGCGACACAGCGCTTTTTGGGATGATGGTAATGTTGATTGTGGTTGCCCGGAGGCATATATCTGGGTGATGATGATGTGATGGGAAGGAGGAAAAGAAAGGAGCAGAGGTTCAGCTTCATTTAAGTTCACGAAGATGACGGAACCCTGCCGGAATCACGCTTTGTCACCGTCTCGGCACTGAGACTCGGCCATATATGATTGTTTTCGTGGTTTGAGGGATCAATATGCATGTCTAATGAAGCGTGAGCATTTGCTGGAGCTCGGGGATGCGTGGTATGAAAATTTATACATGGTCTTTCGTGTATGTCTGTGAAGAGTGCTATGGTCTATCAACTGGACCTGCTCCGCGGAAATTAGTCGCATATAACACTCGCATCACCCGCATGCCGAGCTTCGTCCGCGCCTCTACATCATAAACCCGACTCGAATAACCTTTCAACATCTGTGTATTAGTGAGAGAGGTTGGCTTCACGTTTGATCACTCGCACGTACGACTATCTGACGCCGGTCAAATGGCTTCTGCTGGACTACTGGTAGATGTATCTGTGGTCTCCATAGTCTAGTAAGGCCGTATGCGACAATAAACCGAGTTTAGTATTGCGAGCGTTGCCTATAAACAAGCTGGAGGCGGTTATGGCTGCGCCTCTGACAGCCTCCATCATCATCTCTATCATGCAAAGCATTCCTACAGACACCACGAATCATGTATCTAAACCCCCTGCGTGTGTAGTACCGTACATCTTAACTACCTTCCTACTCAGCACTCGGCCACATTCCCATTATCCAATCGCCCAAATCGCCGCCTCGCAATGGCGCTTCAAACAGCCTTACCCACTCGGTCCGGGTTTCTTCCGAGAACGAAGCTCCCCGGCACCAGTTAACGCCGGGGATGGACATGCGGCATTTGCGGCTGCAAAAATGATTCCAAGTACCACAAGATTTGCCGCAGCTGCGGCACCTAAGCGGTGACCCGGGTACACCCTCTAGCCCGATTGTTGAACTCTTGCTTTTGGTACTACATGTGCATGTGCTTCCATGGGCAGGACATCTTATTTTTGACATCACTCGGTAATTTCCACGTCTTATTCACCCACAACGCTAGACCGAATTCTATTCTCAATCCTCTCCACTACCTCCTTCTCCTAACCCCCACAGAATAATACCCACTCATCTCCAGCCCCAGAAGGAGCATGCCCAACAAATTCGCCTCCTCTTTATACCCGGTCCCAAACGTTCCATCTACAGCTCCCCTGCGTCCCTCAAGATCCTTCCTTCCATCGCCATACCCACGCTTCTCACTCAGACCGCGACATACACTGATGAATATTCCCACTCTTCGTTTAAAGCTGCGATACAGCCGCTCTGTTTCGTTGCCGTCGGTAGTTTCTTCTTCCTCGAATGCCAGGCCGCCAACGGGAGCCGTGGAGGTAGTCGGTGGTATTTCCTGTCCAGTGGCCTTAAGGTGAGAGATATGGGCGAATTTCAAGATGATGGCAAAGATTTCGTCGACGATTTTCATGACTGGCTGCTGACGCTTGCGGCTGAGGGTGGCGAACATGATTCTGTCTAGGGTGCTCTCATGGTATGCGCGGAGACGATCGAGGGATTCGTCTTCACCGGCGCCTCCACGGCCAGAGTCAAGATCCTTTTCGAGCTCTCGGAGCTTGCTTTCAAAGCGTCGCCACGTCGTACCAATGCCGGATTCGAGCATGTAGCTGGCGAGCGTAGTGACGAAGTGGCGGGCTTCGATGCCAAATTTGCGGGAGATGGGGTCAACGGAATTCCATTTTGTGGAGCGAGAGTTGGCGTCACGCCAAAGTGTGTTGACTACGAAGACCATGCGGAGAACCCGTAGGAGAAGCTTGAATATCCGGTCGTATCTGTACATGGCTGTAGGCGTGATGACTGCCTCGAGTGGAGAGGGGGGTTTGTATTCTAGTCGGAGAAAGTCCAGTGCTGAAATACCGTTTGGGTCCATGCATGCTTCCAGCTCCTCGTCGCTCATCTCCCTAACCGCGAAAGATAGTCCACCAGGCAGCTCACCTGTCTTGCCGGCGGAGTGGACTCCGGATTCGCCAGAGAAGCTTTCCGTGAGGACATCCATTAATGCCAATCTGAGTTCGGATGATGCGGGTGGCCAGGTATCACGACTGCCAAGTTTGAGTCCCATTGTTCCACCGGTTCTTTGCACGCCTGCTTGACGTTCAGTGGTGTCGAGGTCGGCGTCGAAGAGGGCATGTGCAAGGCGGGATGAGAATACGCCATCTCCGAAGAGTTGGAAGCGGCGGAGAAGCAGGAGATGCTGCCGGACCTTGTGCTCTTTAAAGAACATACGCAGACATGCTTTATTGATGAGACGGGCCTGGGCTGAGAATATATTGGAGAATGACAGGATGGGCGTGATGGAAAGTGGAGGTGCAAAGGTAGTTAATTGCAACGATTCGGGATCTCCACGCGTAAGATGGAGTACCATTGTTGCCAAGGAGTCTTGCGAGGTTGCTTCGATGGATGGAAGATTGCGGTTCATGGCTTCCATGGATTCCACAAGCGTTTCGCTCATCTGTTCCTTGGACCTACCAAAGATTTCAAAGGAATATCCGCTCGGGGTGGCAGTGTCCACAAGGTCAACATCCATCAGGTCCACTGGATCATCTTTCGAGAATATCGATTTTTGTGCCAATGTGTATTTCTGGATCGCAGCACGAAGATCCCGCTCATACGCCTGTGCTTGTGTCTGGAGGCTGATATCTTGTCAGCGTTGCGCAATCCGAGGTAACGTATTCACTCAACCTACTCTTCCAGATCCTGCCAGGAGAATTTCCAATGCAGCCTCGGCGCGGCAGCGCTTTGTGTGGTTGCCGGTGTAGAAAGTGGATGTCTGGGATGAAACTTCTCAAGATATCTCAAACTCCTACCAATCTCAAAGACCATTTCTGCATTCTCTGTACTGATGAACGACGGCACCCGGGATTTCTCAAAGATGTAGTTTTTTACGGTCCTCTCCTTCCCAGTCTCATCCAGTTCCGAGGTCTCCTCGACGCCGACGAACCCACCCTTGCGGACTAGTCCTGCAACGCCAAGACCACCCGGCCCTTCGTCTAGGCCGATCCATTGTTCAACGAACTCCAGCCACGGTCTTGTTGTCCTTGCTAGAGTCTCTACCAGCAAAGGCTTCAGCCAGCCGCTTCTATGTTGCTGCTGCTGAACGGCATCAAAGAGCCGCGACAGCAACTGGGAGTCATCGCTGAAACCTTCCGTTGCTTGGGTAAGCCTTACGAACGTGTCAACGATAAGCGCAGGCTCGCGTATGAGTGAATGCAGGTGTAGTACACTCCGTATCGAACTGCGGGATGTAGATAGGCGTTTCTGAATTGATTCTATGATGGTGGTCGTGCATTGTGCTAATGCGATCAACGCTGGACTAAAAGAACTGTCTGCAGTATCAGTTCATGTGCAATGATGATATCCGGAAAAACACACCTTGAATCTTGATACGCAACGTGGGCAAACCGTTCCAGTTTCTTGACATTAGTTCCACACTCGGCAAACGTCTCGATGATACTCTCTATCGTGCCCGCCGTACATCCCGAGATCCGTAGCTTCTCCCTCACAGGGTTAAACGTCTGGCTTCTCCTGTCATACGAAAACAGCACGGAGCTGCGTCCCAATCCCAGATGTAGCAAACAGTCACAAAACACCGCCGTAGCGACCACAGTCCCTTCCTCGCCCGCCTCCACCAACGCTGCATCCAGCAACTCAGGCCCCTCCTCCGTAATAAACCCATTCACCGGCGTATTCCCCCCCTCGACCAAGAACGAATCCCACGTATAAAACCTCGGTTTCTCCGGCGCTACCGCCGTGTCCGGATCCAGCCAGATGTCCATTCCTCCCCCGGCCCCGTCAGAGCCCATATCCGAGAACACATTATCGTCGTCGACAGTAGTAAGATCGCTCAAGAACGAGTCGTCGTCTGCGGGGGGTATAGGCCATATACTGGATCCGAAGTTCGGTAGCATTGGCGGGAGCTTGAACTCCGATGGCATGTGGAAGACCGTCTCATGGCTTTTGCGTGGTGGTGGGGGAGTCGCAGCTGGTGAAGGAGAGAAGTTGAACGAGAACAGCATGCTGCCTGTACCGGGAGCTTCGCTGCTCAGCGAGGAAGCGCGCCATAGATCGGGAAGTACGAAGGGATGGCCTTCGGATTTGCTGCGTTCAGCCTCATCTGTTGGGAAGAGGTGCGAATAGTGCGACATTATGGTGAGCGTGAGGAGACGTGAGGAGACGCGACGTTGATTAGTGCTTAAATGGTGGAGCCTCACATGTCAAGTTACACAAACTCATATTGGACCACCCAATAGATAATAAAGATGTTTCCAGATTCAAAGCGGGACAATCCAAGATTCCAAGGTACTGGCAAATGCTAGAAGTTGAGTGCTATAATGAAGATATATTGTGATTATGAAGAAGGTGATGTGCTCTGTTACTATTGCCTCGGGTTTAATTGTCTCTGTAGGCGTGCCGCTTCGGTCCACCTCCGGAAAATCTACCAGCTGCTCGTCCACCACCCTATATCTTTACACACAACAAGCGGTATAGCGCTCACACAGTCAAACTCTACACATACATGAAAAATATCGCATTCCAAGGCCAAAATCCCAACGCCCCGGGCTTAATAGACCGCCTATTCACTGGTAGCAGGCCCGGCAGTCTTAACAGCGTCCGCATAGCTCTCTCCCTCCTTCAGCTCCGTGGAATCAGGGACTTCAGCAAAACTCTCGCCCATTATGCTACCAATAGACCCTTGCACCTTTGTCACCTCGTGACTCCCCTCAGAGCCATCGCTGCTAGCGCTCGGCTCCATCTTTACCGCATCAACGTAGCTCTCGCCCATGATGCTGCCAGCGGTTGACTCGTCCATCTTTACCGGCGTCTCCTCGACGTAGCTCTCATCCATGATGCTGCCAGCAGCGGACTCTTCCATTTTTGCCGGCGTCTCATCAGCGCTACTGCTTCCGGTAGTACTGTCACTCGTCTCCATCTTGACAGCATCAGCAAAACTCTCCCCCTCCCTGACCTCTGTCACTGGCATCTCCGGCGGGATCTCCGCATAACTCTCACTGGTAGCTGTATGACTCTCCACCTCATGCTCCCGAAAACTCGCAAAGCTCTCCGCGATCTCACTTCGTTCCAGATCCACACTAAGATCCTCAACGACAAGCTCCTCACTGACATCACTATCCTCCTCCGACTCATGCTGCTGCTGCTGCGCAGGCAACTCTCCGCCCTGCACCCACACCCTCCCCAGCTCCTCTTTAACATGTTCCAGGCGCTCCCGCATCTCCTCTGTGCCGCGGATACGCTCCCGGAGGATTTCGAGCTCGCGCTCGACCTCCCCCCGTTCCTCGGCGCCACCGATACGCTCCATTGCCCAACCGCCGTCGCCGTCGAGGCTGAGCTGGAAGACGTGATATTTCTTTAGGCTTGCGCGAGTGGAGAGCGTGACGAGGGTGATTCCCTTCGCTTTGCAGACTTCATAGAGGAGGCCCTCTACATCGGAGGAGACGGCGCTGGTGGGTTCGTCAAGAACCGCGAATGCGGGGAGATGGTAGACGATCCTAGCGAGGGAGATACGCTGCTTCTCGCCACCGGAAAGGACGTCTTTCCATTCCTTCTTGGTATCCCACCCGCCTTCACGGCTGGGGAGGTAGGACAGGCGTACCGCTTCCAGAACCGCGACGAGATCGTGGTCTGACACGCCGGCGGCACGCATGTCCGCCTCTGTGTGGGGGTAGATCACTTGGTCGCGGAGGGTGCCCTGCGCGAGGTAAGGTTTCTGTGGGAGAAACATCACACCACCCATGTCTGGTGTCACTGGCTCGCCTTTCAAACCAGCGTTGGAGATATTGCGGGGGCGGGAGACAAGGCCGCGGTAGACCGGCCAGAGACCGGCGATAAGGCGCGCGATGGAGGATTTTCCGGCTCCATTGGGGCCGGAGATGAGGAGATGGTCACCAGGACGGATGAGGATATCCACTTCTTCGACAATCTCGTCACCACCGCGGGGCCAGACCACTGGAGCCACGATAGGGACTCCCTCAAGACGGATACCTGTGAAGCCCGTGTGGAGAGTGCCTTGGATATCTGTTAGGGAATAGAGTTCTGGGCGGGTGGAGGAGTAGGAGTGGGAGTGGACGCGGTGCAGGGTCGAAATGAGGGAGTACACTCGGCTAGTGTAGCCGGCCAGTTCTGACAGATCTTTGATCGAGTACATCATCCGTCCTCCCGCGTCTGCGAGAGAAAGCATGAGTCTCTTATTGGTGATGAATGCCTTCATCCGATCTTCCTCGCGGCCACCGCTGCCAGAAGAAGGAGCACCGAGCTCGAGAAGACCTCCGAGACCACCCCACGCAGGGAGAAATATCGGGAGTGAGGTGATCAGATATCCAAACGCCGACCAGGAGTACTTGAGAACAAAGTCCTCGAGCATATTATAGCGGATTTTCATCTAGGGAATATAAGCATTCGGAAGAAACAAAACAGCACTTATGGCATAAACATACCCCGTAAATCCGCTCCATGAGCTGTTTGAGCTCCTTAAACCCCTTATCAAGGAATCCCCGCTCCATATCCGAGCCTCCATAAAATGCAATTTCCTCAGCATTGGCGATGATACGCGAATGCAGCCCTCGTAGCTCGCCCTCACGTCGTCCCTGAGTAGCGGCGAGCTTTCCAAATGGCGGACTGAGTTTCCGGAGCATCCACGCACTACCAATGTAGTTTACCATGATGCCGGCAAAGGCCAACGGGCCAAGCGCACGGTAGAGCTGGTAGTTGAACACGCAAAGATCTAAGAACGGCTTTCCGAGCGAAGAGTATAACGCCGCAGCATTGTCGCAGAACAAAGGGAGGTCGGAGGTTATGAATTGATCTGCGCCACCGCCAACAAGGCCACCATCGAGGTTTTGAACCTTGTAGTACCCCAGGCTATCATTCAGGTAGAGATCGTGGATATACCTAGTTAATCGTGTGCGGAAGGCAATCGAGATCTTCGCTTGAAGGTATTTGATCTGGTTGAAATCAGCACACGAGCCAGCACCATTTCATAACTGAGCACACCCACCATGGCGTTACAGTATACTGCCGGTCCACCAACACCCAGCCACTTAACGATACCCCATGAGAAGGATTTTCCGTTTCCTGCGACAAGATCGCGAACGATTTCACCATCCAGCCGCGCAACCACCAATGACAGATACGTTCTTGTGACCAGAAATATGGTGTGTAGTAGTAGCAAAAAACTCTCCTTACTCGTCAGCCTCGGGATCATGATACTGAGTAGACTCAGCAGTTGATGTAAAAATGCCAGATTAAGCCCAGGCTTAGTGTTCATCGGTGGTGCTTCTCCTCCGGCGCCAGCACGCTTGAAATTCTGGCCGCCCGGCGGCTCGAGGAATAATCGTCTGTGCGCATCGAACGTGGTTCCTTTGGTAGGCTTGAGGGTGACCTTGGCTGTTTTTTGCTTGTATGGGACATAGATCACTCGTGTTCCTACAATAGACAGTTACCACCCTACATCCCCCAGCTGTGCAGAGGGAAAAACGAACCGTCCGTGAGCTTTACGGCCGAGTTCCTGCGCACAAGGGTTTGTCCTTGCCTCTCATCGGCCGATTTCTGCGCTCGTCGCCGTTTCTCGTAGAATCCTCCTAAGACGGTACAGAATACGGCTGCGGTAAGCACTCGCGAATACTTGGGCGCGATTCGCAAGAGCTTCAAGTACTGCTGTAGTAGAGACGAGAGCTCCGGACGGAGAGTAGATTGGTTCGCCATAGGGTTTGAGTGTTATGACGGCGAAGGAGCATGTGAGGAGACAGAAATGTCTGTTGAAGGCGCACAGAAGTTGAATGGGAGCTTTGAGGATAGGTGGTTCAGTTGTGTGTAAGCGCCTAATCGAGATCTTGGGTTGGCTGGGTGATGCCAGTTCTCGTCAAGGGGTTGGTCCACGCACTCAGCAGTGTCGATTCGCTGTAAGTAGTGAAGTTGAAGTCTGGGGAAGAGAATCCGGGGAAGAAGATCGAGTCCTTGCGACAATAGGCACCGGTACACTGCCTATCACGAGTCCAGCTTGTGATGGGTTCGGCTTCCTCGGCATGTGAAACCGCAGCCATGACATCAGCTTGGCGAGCTGACTTGACGGATGCCCATCACCTGACGTAGGCCTGAGTTAGTCATGATGGGTGCTCGGTTAGCCTCACCCGATCACCTTCTGAACTTCTTTAGCCTTGGATACTTCTTTGAGGTCAGACTCCCTGTGAAGAGAAAGACAAGGCTGCGGTGCGAGCAGCAAGCGGGCTGGAGTCTAGACGATAGCCGCTTTCGTCGCCGCTGTCTCCTCGTTGCGGGAGGCGGGTTCACGACTAGCGTTCTTGGCAACGTAAATTCCCGAACATCCTCCGAAGAACCGGCCCATCGCGAAAATCATACCCTCAACCCCCCACCCACTAACTACGAACCACCAAACCTACTACCAACGACAATACCCACCTCCGTCAACCACCATGCGCTCCTCGGTTCTCCGCGTCACTCGCCAGCAATTGCTGACCAGCTTCCGGCGCTACGCCTCGACCTCGACCTCGTCGAACGCTGCCGCGCAGGCACAGGCCGGTGCCGCAAAGGCCCAGGAAGCCGCTACCAAGTACGCCGGTAAGGCTATGCAGGTGTTGGGCAAGTCCGGCGAGTCGTTCGCGAAGCTCGCCTCGAAGACCGGTGGCCGAACCGGAGCGGTGTTGAAGAAGATTGAGAGTGCGTAGCTTCCTCTTCCCTATCCAACCCGGCTGAGCGGGATTGCCGGGGCAAAGGAAAGTACTGACTGAATGTACGAGCTGTAGCCGCCATCCCACCCACAATCTACTACTCCAAGGTCGCTTTCGAAGTCTCCAAGCTCGTCTTCCGTGGACAGAAGATGACACCTCCGTATGATTATTTTTTCTCCACACGTGATCCCGGAACGTTACTGACCGTGCAATCGCAGTGACCTGGCTTCATTCCAGTCCAGCTTCAAGTCGTTCCTCAACCCTGCCAACCTCAACACCTTTGCGCGCAACGCGATTCAGTCGGTGCGCTCTGCAAACACGAAGGATCTTGCCTTCGTCGGTGTGTTGGGTGCCGAGATCTTGGGCTTCTTCACCGTCGGCGAGATCATTGGAAGACGGAAGTTGATCGGATACCGGGCTAAGGTTGAGGCTCACCATTAAGCCGGCGTACATACGAGATAACAAGTGCGAAAAGTTTACGGGTTGGGTTGGGCGGAGGTGTATAAAAGTTCCTGCGCATGACTGCGTCATCTCCATCTTTCTATTGCGGCGTGGGGGTGGGTAGCGCGGCGGTATTTAGGGCTTGTACAGCTGCAAGCAATAGATCTTGCTTTCGGTTTGTTTTCGGTTTCTTAAGCATGGGTGAGTGGAATAGAGCATCATTTGGCATTTTGTGTCTCGATTACCAGCAGCTCCATATCGTGCAAACAATTGAGGGATTTATGTCAAAACACAACACTCAGACGACTATCCGCAAAAATTTATGTACAAAGATAAGAACTTCGGATATCCCAAATTGTAGAAATAATAAACGTCTCAATAGTTTATCCAATCCGTTGCCGTTTGATCCCACCAGGCGCGAACCCTGGCTCGGTATTTTTCCGGACCCGCTTGTCCATCTCTGCCTTCATAATCCTTTCGGCCTCGCTTATTGGCCGTTTCAGCGTTTCGGACTTCTCCTTGCCTTTGCTGCTCTTGTCCTTCTTGCCCATCGATGCAAAGACGTTCTTCTTAGGCTTCGCTTCCATCTTCATCGACACCTTTGTCGGTGGAGGCGTGACTTTCTTGGCCTCTGTTACCTCCTCTTTCATCTCAGCCCCAGCCTGAGCTCCTTGCTCGGCCTTCGGACTCTCGGCCTTCTTGCCAAACTCTAGTTTGACCTTCTCTCCCTCCTCACGCACCAACTCCCTTGGCCCCTCCTCCTCCTCCCGTTTCTTCTGCGCCTTCGCCCTTTCCACCATCTCCTCGATTGCCCTCCTCTCCCGCACCTCATCGCCCCTCTCCATCCTCTCCTTCTTCTTAATAAACTCCTGCCGTTTCAATGCATCCGGCGAATTGTCGATCCAAGCAACCATGAGGCCTCTCTCCCCGTCCTCAACTCTGCAAACCCCCTCCCTTCCCAAGAATTTCACGAACTCACCAAGCGTAACCCACTTGGTACTGGTCATGTGAACATGTTCCTTATTGGCAATGTACTCCTGATAGAACCTATTTGCATCGATTTTCTTCTCGCCATGGGAGGAGCGCAAAAGCGTCAGGAAGTCGCGCTTGAACTGCTGGCTGTACTGTTCGATGAACTTTTTCGGATCCTCGCCGACCAGCAACATCTGCCGGATATGCGCTTCGCTCGAGGTGTGGCACTTGAACCCGTTCTCGTCACGCATTTGCCGCTCGCAGACCTGGCAGTACCATCGGAGGCGTTGCAGGCCTTTCGATTTCATCTGGTTCGCGAGGTGCTTGGTGGATCCAATTTCGGCGCGCGGCATGACGATAGTGATCTTCGGGAGGATGCGGACGTCGCGGGGCGGGGCGTGTGTTGTATGGAGGGTTGGAGGTGGTGGAGATTAGGGTGTGCTGGTGTAGATGCGTAAAGTTGAGGTGAGGTGAAGTGAAGCTGCCATGCAGAGCTGTCGCGCGCTCGAGTGCCGAGACACTAACAGGCTTTAGCTTTATTTGTCATTTGCCCTTGGCGCGAATGGTTGTAAATGAGGTTTCTCTGTTTTACAAAGTACCACTACTCTCAATAACTTCAAAGGCGGCCGGACACTTAGAAGAAATACCAGTCATAGAGCAGGTGTGATGTACTCGAACATTGTGACCATAAATAACCACTCCGTACTGCTGTTGGGACTGGAAGAAGCCCTTTTCCAAGCATATCAAGATCTTTGATCAGATAACGAAGGGGGCAGAATTCCTTTTACTATTCCAGCACCAGTACTGAGTTACACCGTGACTCCGTGAGGGCGAGTTCGTTGCCCGTCACACAATAAACAAAATATCTGCGGGACCCACTCACAAACCTTTCGTCATCTTCTCCGATCCTTCAAACCTCTCATGTATCTTCTCCATCAAGCTCCATACATTTCTCAACATCCCCTGGAGATCACTGCCAAGCCACACTAAAACTTTCCCAATCCATCCCCATCCACTGTCCCGCCTCGCGAGAACACGCCGGACCAGGACCCCACCATACCGCCTCACCTCCGCCGTCGTCGCCGCCTTCACAATGCCCGTAAAACTCAAGCCCAAGGACATAACGTACCTCAAGAAGGGGGTACGACTATTCCCATCTGCGCACTACATCTCCACGGGCTGACAGACTCGACCACAGACGGTCCGCCAAAACTGGTCGGTTGTAACCCTCTACAACTTGACCCGGATGCAACGGCAAAAAACAAACGGCCGTACGTTCTTCCAGCAAAAATACGCAGCGAAGCAAGAGACACGGAAGTACCACGGAGAACACCTTACCAAAAGGCAATGGCAGAACATCTTCAAGCACTCGCTCAAATCGGTCGTGCCGATGAACACGCCGAAGTTGGCGTCGAGCGATGGGTCCGAGTATGGTGCCGGTAGAGGAAGTGGACTGGACAATGCCGAGAAGAGACGGACCATGCCAGTCCCGTATATGAACCAGACTTTTGCGCCGATGGAAAGAAGACTCGATATGGCGATTTTCAGGGCTATGTTCGCATCCTCTGCCATCCAGGCACGGCAGTTTGTTATTCATGGGTTTGTGAAAGTCAATGGAAAGAAGGTGCGTTTTGGCAAAGGGCTGCGATGGTTGGCGGGCATATGGACGGGTTATTAATGATTGGACAGATGCCATACCCACAGTACATGCTCAACCCCGGCGACATGTTCAGCGTCGACCTCGAGAAGGTCCTCTTCGCGACTGGCGCGCCGAAGGGCCTACCCACCAGTCTCAACCCCCGCCGTAACAGGAAGCGCAAGACAGATGACGAAGAGGCCGCCGAAGCCGTTGCCGCTACGGAGGAAACCCCCGCTGCCGCTGCCACCCCCGCCGCCAAAGACGCTGCCACCCCGGAAGCAACGAAGAAGGGCAAGGGCAAGGCTGCGGCCGAGGTTAAGCCCAGTGTGAGCATGGGCGAAGATACGAGTGAGGAGGCTACTGCGGAGAAGAAAGAGGAGTTCAATAAGGAGAAGGAAACGTCGAAGGGCATCAACTGGTGGGACCATGAAACCCGTGATAAGATTTTCGACCCCCTCAAGCCTTACCGTACGCCGTGGCGGCCGAGGTACTACCTGAGTGCTTTTGCTTTTATCCCGAAGTATTTGGAGGTCAACCACAGCATTGGGCATGCCGTGTATCTGAGGGATCCTGTGGCTAGCCCTGGGCTCAGCGAGGTACGTTGTGCTGTGGTGATGATAGTGGAGTGGGGAGAAATGCTGATCCGGAATAGGTGCCGACGCCGTTTCACGGTGAGACGTTACAGCTCGCATATAACTGGTTCCTTCGACGGAGGTAGTCATGTGCGAGGGCGACGCTGGTGATGGTGCATCTTGTACATTATGAAAACCGATAGAGTACCCCTCGGGCTTGCGCATGTAGAATACTGTATAATACCCGAGTTGTGGCCGGTTCAGGCTCTAGGACCCGTTTTTCGTCCCTTTGGCACCACTTTCCCGCTCCTCCCTCCACTCCGCGTCCACGCAAACATCCTTCTCCTCCTTTGCACGCCACTCTTGATGCGGCAGAAGACACTACACAGCTACCTTTCTTTCTTTCCCGAGTAGCAGCCATAGTGCAGTGAGTATTCGAGACGATGGTCGAGGTACAGAATCCTCTCGTATCAGTAACAGTTCGCTCTCACCGATGGCGGTATTGGAACGATAATCACATCAGCTACAGTCATCAGCGTATCTGTATGGTCCGTAACGGATAACCGGCAAGGCCGAAAAGATTCGCTCAGTACAACTGAACCCGTACTGAGCAGTGTTTTACATAGTCCAGTCCGTCCGTTTTTAAGTTATGTATGGGACAGGACTGCCGAGATACATACGGATGGAGATCAGACGGAGATAGGTATCAAACAGAAGATCGAAGCGACTCTCCATACCTAGAAATCGAGTACATAACAGAGTAGATTAAGCGAATGGTGGTGAGCGGCCAAATTTAGTCCTCCCACAAGCCCAACTCATAATGAGCGAGCTGCGGAATTCCAAGTGGAGTGAGAGTGCATGAGACGAAGTGAGGGTACTCTAGATTCTCTTAGGTAAGTGTGTATCCGAATCATCTCGCATGAGCCGTTCACGAGTGCAGCCCCCATCTTACACGCCCACGCCGACGCCCCGTGCGCAACACGACTTCCTAGCTTCACCCCACCAACACCCACGACACGAGCAACAACAACGACAACACCAACAATGGCTGACCGCCTAACGCAACTCCAAGACGCCGTCGACCAAATCGCGACACAATTCTTCTCCGCGATCCGCTACATCGGCACGCACCACGACGCCGTCCCTGTCGGCAACGAAGCAAAAGTCACCGACGAGAACGCGACCATCGATACGCCGGAAGTATTCGAATGTACCCCGCCCACCCTAGCTCCTCCTATGGTTCGGTGCTGATGCGCAGCCACAGCCAGGATGAGCGAACTCGCCCGCGACCTGATCATAAAGTCCAAGCAGATCGAAGTCTTGATTACTACGCTCCCCGGCATCGGCGTGAGTGAGGATGACCAGCAGGCTCGACTTCGAAGCCTGGAGGCGCAATTGAAGGAGGCGGAGGAGGAGCGCGTCAAGAGTGTACAGGAAAAGGAAGATGCTCGAGTCAGGCTCGAGAGTGTGGTTGTCAAACTACGGAGGGTATAAGGCGCCTGCGTGAGGTGTGGAGTTTTTATGGCGTTTCGGGTGTTTAGGGTGGATTTTCTACTCAATTGATGATGATATTTGTTTTACAATGTGGTACATCCAGCATCCCCCGATGGGCGTGCCAATTCCCGTCTCAGCATTCACGCCCAACCGCCAATTTAACTCTCGCCATTCTCGGCTTTCCACTTCGACAGGAATACGGAACCGTTAATCGGGTGCTGGTCGGTTCCGTACCGTCCTCGTGTAGGCTTCATCTTCATGGTGACAAAGGGCGTCAACTGTTTCCCGCGCCGATCAGCCCCAGCCCACATACATTTTACCACAATCCACCACCCATAGAACCCACCTCAAACCCGGACAAATCGGGACACTTGTACGTGCGAACTTTCTCCCAGTCGATCTTGAAGCCTCCGTACTTTGTGTGCGAACCCATCTTCCCGGATCCGGTACCCTTGTAGTATCCGCCGTTGACCATCTTCGTCGTCAGCCTGAGCCGACGAATTCCGGTTGTGGAGCGCGCGAGGAATGAGGTGGTCGGTTGCATCGTGGCAGTCGGTGATGGTTCGCTTGGTGGGGGTGTTTGCGAGATGTCGTGAGTGAGTGGAAAGTTCAAGACCTTCTTCAGCCGGGGGTAGGTTTGGTCGGGGTTGTTAAGCGAAGCACTCCTAGTTTCCATGTTAGCGGGCCATCCAAACACGAACCTGCAGAAACCTCCATCTCACATATTTTCTCTCTTTCTACGTTCGTACACATCAATGCGCCGAACATTCACCCGTTTGCTTCTTAAAACCTCATGGGTCCCTCGTCTACGGCTGCCACATTCGCCACTGCTACAGTTATCATGTCGTCTTCTCACAACTACCGCATCCCGGTGTGCGAAAAAGAGGAGGAACACGACCCCACCACCGCCGCCTTCGCCGCCAGCGGAACCCCTACCGCCCCTCCAGCTCCGTTCTTACCAAGAGGAATGTATCGAATCTGTGCTCCAGCACGTCAATGAAGGGCACCGACGCATGGGAGTTTCTCTCGCCACTGGCAGCGGTAAAACCGTCTTGCTCCCCGTCCCGACTTCTATCCAACTCTTCGACTGACCTCCACAGGTGATCTTTACCCAGCTAATATCGCGGCTGTCGCACCCTGAGCGGCCGGAGGAAGCAACACAAACCTTAATCCTGGCGCATAGAACCGAACTTGTCCAGCAGGCGGCGGAACAATGTCGGCGGCAGTATCCAAATGCAACGATCGAAATCGAGATGGCGTCGGCACATTCTTCGGGCATGGCAGATATTACGGTGGCCTCCATTGCGAGCATTACTAGTGGCGACCGACTGCTGAAATTTGATCCGACCAAGTTCAAACTTATCTTGATCGACGAGGCGCACCATGCCGTTGCGGCAAGGTATATGGCCACATTGGATCATTTTGGCGTGCTGCATATGGATGAGGGAAAGAGAGCGGACAAGCCAGTGGTTGTAGGCGTGTCGGCAACCCTGGCGAGGAATGATGGGCTTGCGCTGGCAAAGGTGTTGGATTACATTGTTTACCACCGCGACTATGTCGACATGATCGAAGACAACTGGTTATCACAGGTGAAGTTCACGACGGTCAAGACGAATGTGGATTTATCGCGGGTGAAGGGCACTGGTGGGGATTTTGCAGTGGGAGAACTTTCAAAGGCAGTGAATACCGAGACGACGAATGAAATCACCGTACGGTCGTGGCTGGAAAAGGCGCAGGAGAGGAAATCAACCATCGTTTTTTGCGTCGATATTGCGCATGTCGAGGAGCTTACGGCGAAGTTCCGACAGTGCGGTATCAATGCCCACCCGGTTACTAGCAATACTCCGCCGCAGGATCGACGCGAAAGGCTGGATGCTTTCCGCAAGGGGGAGTACCAGGTCCTGGTCAACTGTGGTGTTTTCACCGAAGGAACGGATATCCCCAACATCGACTGTGTTCTACTAGCACGGCCTACTAAGTCCCGCAACCTCCTCGTACAGATGATTGGCCGCGGAATGCGACTCCATCCAGGCAAGAAGGACTGCCACATCATCGACATGGTTGGCAGCGTCGAGCGGGGGATAGTAACAGTGCCCACTCTCCTCGGCTTAGACCCCGACGAGATCCTTGAGGGCGAGAGCATTGAGCAAGCAAAAGAGCGCATCAGTTCCGCGCCCGCAAAGAATGTTCACACGCAGGACGACCGCCCAGCTACCGTAACTTTCGACGACTACCCAGATGTGTTCTCTCTCCTGGCCGACAGTCATCAAGATAAGCATGTCCGACGGATCTCGCAGCTTGCCTGGGTGGCAATAAGCGGGCACACCCAAATTCTTTCACTCCGTGGCGGCCACATTAAGATATCACCCGTGTACCCCACGCCCGGCTCCACCTCCGATCCCACCTTCATTGTAACCGAAACTATCGCCCTTCCGATCGAACTGACTAAAGGCCGCAAAGATGTCCCGTTCGCCAAGCCACGTCTTCTTGCTGAAGCCCCAAACATCGACGCAGCTGTGCGCGCGGCCGACACGTATGCACTGAGCAAGTATCCGCGATCCCTCCTTATCCACGCGGCTCCCTGGCGCAGCGCCCCCGCCACCGAGGGACAACTCAAGATCTTGAGCAAAATGAAACTCGAGAAATCACTCGATGGGATCACGAAGGGAAAGGCGGGTGATATGATCACACGGATGAAACATGGCGGCATGGCGAGGTGGAACATGATCGAGAAGGAGCGTCGCAGGGTCGAGAGGGAGAACGAACGTGACGAGAAACTCCGCGCGCGCGGAAGGGTCGAGGTCGGCGCGCTGCTCAAACATACCCCCGACTCGGAAACACCGAAGAAACAGAAGAAACCGGCCAAGGAGGATAATAGCATGGATTTTTCCCCTGTTTTCACCGCCGGAGGGTTTTCGAACATCGACGTAACAGAAACACTTGAGGAAGCGTTAGGATTGCCCGCGCACAGCAAGAGCGACGAGAAGAAGAAGAAGAGGGTGGTGAAGCTACAGGAGGGGCAGCAGGAGACAATAGTGGGGAAGGAGACGAAGGCGATGTTGGAAAGGGCGAATGCTGAGTGGAGCACGGCGGGGTCGATGGATAATTTGACGCGTGTAGTGTAATAGATTTGTACATTGGAGTTTGACCGCTGGAACGGGTGTGCAATTACTTATGTATCTCCCCGGGTGGGAGGCAGTCTCAGAGGTGTCGAATTTCTCAGGATGAATAGCACGAGATTACGGATCGAAACAATTGCGTGATGAATGGACATGTAGAAATTCTACCCGATCACACCACTGCCACCGACACACCAATTGTATCATACGAAATTGCAAGGCTCCTCCAGGCTCACTCTCTCGCTCATCAATCACAGAATGCGTTATGTATGGAATTCCTTTCCCCGCATAGTTGTATCATACCTTCATTCCTCAGCACATGCGTACCTATATAAAGTGAGGGGCCATGCCCCGCACCCCACCCTCCATTCCACCCCTTGCTAGAGATTTCCCCACATCAACCCTCGGATCTAATCGAAAACTTTGATAGCCCCAGTTATCTCGTACTGGCAAAGATGAATCAATTTTCGAAGCCAGGGGATGAGGACGGATGGAATGCGTTTTGTCTGGTTTGGGTCAATAGTTAAGACGTGGTGGTTGAGACTTGGAAGTGAAGTGAAGAAATATACTCTGCCGATAGCCAGTAGGTACATTGCGATCACTGACAGCTACCAGCTCGGAATGGAGGTTGAGACCGAGATGTGCGGTGGAGAGGAATGGCGGTGGACGATATCTGTATGGGTTTGTTTCGTCGTACGATAGGCATTGCGCGAGCCCTGCTAATATCATGGGAAATATGTATGTACGTACAATCTCCTTATGATCAGGTTCGCAGTCTAGGTAGAATGGCCGGTGCAGCGACCCGCTTCTTTTCCCAACCCTTTCCGCTGAATGGAAGTTACCCTCGACAGCGGGCAGCCTGCGGACGAAGTGCTGAGTGAGTTTTCATGATGAATTGCTCCTCGAGCAATTCAGGTACCATGTACCAGGCACCTCCCTCCCATGACCCCGCGTGCGGAGTAATAAGTGCACGCCTAAACAAGTGCACGTCTAAAGAAGTGTTCACGAGACAATTTAAGGGGATGCCACGTAGAATGCAATCGGAGGGAAATTCGAAAGGATTGGGGATCCAAGTTTTCTTCCAACGTTCCCAGTTATTTTGACCAGAAGCGGCCCATACCATCGAGCAGTGATAGATATGCACTAGCCAAATTCCAACCCAGTGGTGGTGGGGTAGGTAGCAAAGCTCTGGGCTGTGATGGTGTAGTGTGAGGAGAAGAAGCAACAAAGACCGTCCTCATAAGGAACCGTATGGGATGTGGAGCGACCGTTCCTCCGGAAAACAAAAACGACAGTCATTCGATGCCACGGCTGCAAATCATGGACCGCGTCCGCCGTGTCTTCCTTGTCGAGAGCCTCAGCTCGATCTCCAGCGCAGGCGAACAGCCCAAACGGAAGAGGCTGAAACAACAGAGATCGGAGCCGGCTTTGAGGCCGATGCAGCCGAGGGACGAGGGAACGAAACAGCAGTGCGTGCCGGTGTTGCTGGCCGGTCCGTACAGACATGCGTCTATCGACGCATTGATATCACCGTCAACATCGGAGAGAAGGGTTTCCACACCCAAAGATGGCCTACCAACGACGATTACGCTGCCGTTCAGGCAGACGCATCTTTCCAAACGAATCCGAAAGCCGACGATAGAGATTGTGACCACGCCGTGCACTCCTACCCAGCTGGAGCCAAAGAAGAACAGGCTAGAGCAAAGTCCCGGACCACTCCTCCATCTCGTCGAGCAGCAGGCCGGCTTCATGAACGAGCAGCAAATCATCATTTCGCAGCTCATTCGACACCTCGAGCGAATGGACATGCTCCTGCGGTCTCAGCAGTGCATGACGGCACAATACAAGACATTGCCGACGCCACCGTCACCCCCACCTGCAGAAACAAAAGACGCCACGACATCGACCTCAACACCGACGGGAACCCCGACCCCAAGCCGAGCCCCCACTCCATTTCATCCGTACAACCTACTGGGCGCCCCCGATTACCGTTCCGTCTCCGCGCCTCCATGCGAATATCTTGCCCACATCACCACGACCACCCCGCGCTCCTCCTACGGCCCGCCTATCTCGCTCCAATCCGACGAGTCCGCCGCGGCACTCGACCGGATCGCGGAAGAAATCGCGGACACCTACGACGCACTCTCAATCTGTTCGCAGCACGCAGACACCGTCCCCTGCAGCCGCACCAGCGTCGGCGCACACTCCACCGAGTTCCACGCATACACGAACATCACGCCACCCAGCGAGCACTCTGGCTTTCCCACCGCGCCCTCCTCCTGCCACGTCTCGCGGACATCCGACTACTCGACGCTGAACCGGATCCACCACGTGCAAAGGGTCGCACCGCTGAAACACTCCCGCTCCACCGCAGATATGGACGGCATGAGGATCCCCGAGCTGGGATGCGAGCCCGAGAGCCCCGTGCTGCCGAAGAGCACCGGAGAGCTTACGCCGCCGATTTCGCCCACCGTGGCGGCCGTAGAGTGTGGGAGGCTGCCGCCGGTTGCGCGCGGGGATGGCAGGGGTGACGGGAGTTGGGGTCAGTGGTATCAGGGGTCTGATGGGAGGTTTTATTGTCGGGCGTCGGGCGCGGGCGCGGAGCTGCACGAGGGAGGGTATATATAGATTTGTAAACATTGTCTTGGCTTGCTGCGTCTGTTTAAATGTGCTGAGTGATTGCCTGGTTGGTGCGTTTTCGACTTGTAAGTTGTGGTAGCTTTTCGGATGCTGATGTTTCTATGAGCCCGAGGAGTGTGGTGGGCATGACATGTGAGCGGCGAGTTTTCTGTAGCATCGGGGGAAAAATATATTGCGTTGAGTGCGTGTAAATACTAGACGGTCCTAATGCACCCAACAAGAAACCCCTATTCTTTCAGCCGTAGGTTATAGAGCTTGAAGACGAGTAATGGGATCGTCTTGAGACTCGCAACTTTTGGTTTTTGGTTTATTATTCTTCAATTCGGTAGATAGAGTACCTGCATTTATTTCCGCAACCGACTAATCGCTAGCAAACAGCGAGTGCTGGACCATGACCAAAACCTTGAGACCGGCGTGCGGGTGATGTGGTTTAATACGGTTCTCGGCAACATACTCGGGGACTTCAGACATTAGCGCTCGATTCCTACTCGCTGATTCCGCAAGCTCATCGATTATCCTTCCGAGATATCTCCGGGTTGTTGCCGAAGAGTCCGTGGATGCTCAAACGTTGGTATGATAGGTAGGGTATGGACCGCTGGTTGGTTCCTTACCTTAAGCTCACAGACTATACGTCCGAGATATCTCCGGGTTGTTTGCGAAGAGTCTCCGACGAGTCTGCCGCTTAGAGCATTGAGGTCACCGCTCCACTGCTAAGGCAAATAGAGTACACGCTTCAACGCCGAACGTGCACACGGCCCGTGCTTGCTATACAGTGGACCCACGCTTGCATGTACTACCAACTAGTACCAAACGTGTCCGAGGCCACTTGGGACTCATCTTAGGTCGCTTGAGGCGCACCACCGGCGACACAATCTATAGTGTCGGTGACATTAAGCCTGGCGTGGCTTTGTGGCTGGTTACATCTGTGAGTCTCATCACAAGTTTACCTCGCAGTCCGGCGCTGGCTCGGCGTGGCTCGGCGTGGCTATGTGGCGGGTCACCACCGACCAAGGCAAGAATATCTCGCCTCTCAGATGGGGGGTTTTTTTGGGGAAGGGGACAGGATGTTTTCTGCTTGGTTCGGGTTTAGAACACGGCCTCGAGTATGGACTCTACCTAAGGATGTTTTCCACTGCTGATAGGACGGCAGTGTATGGGAGATGACCGGGTTGACGTCTGTCGAACACACGACTCGAGATCAATGCCACGTTGCCTCAGATAAGGCTGGTACAAGCGTAACACTGTCAAAGCCCTTGGCGGTGGAACGGTGACCTCAACAGCGGACCCGTCGGCGACATTTCGGACTCATCTGGAGGATGTATGTTTCCGAAGACTTTCCGAAGACTTTCCGAAGACTTTCCGAAAAGATTCCTCGGAGATATCTCGGAGGACAACTGGACGTGCATTTTTAGTGGAGTAGGCATCAGTCAACGGCGGCTCAAGCGCTGGAGTAAGCGCTCAGACGGTCCGTCGTAGTGTGTAGCGGTAGCGGCATCTACAAGTACTACCTAGAGTATACACTTGGGCATAATGGCGACACCGCAACACCGCGATGACACTGTGGATGCCATTACGACGGCTGGAATTTTGCCTCTGATGTTTTTACATACGAGGCGAACAGTGCGGAATCGTGGTTTAATCGTCATGGCATTGGTAGATCATGGCCGAGTACCTAGAGTACATACGGTGTGATCCCTTTTCTCTCCACCCTTGGCCACACCTCCGCCCACTCTATGCTCCCCCGTGGGAATGGGGTTGGTGGCGGTACATAATACGTGGGTGCGGGAGGTTCCGGCCGGCTTGTATGTATCTACTCTACCTGTGGCACTGAGGGCGTGTGTCCGTGACTCCGTAGGGAGTGCTGGCAATAACCACGCCCAATACTCCGTTTTCTTGGCTAAGTTCCATGATCCAAGTTCCAACGCACGAATAATATATATCTATAGATGTGATTGGTGTGCGGAGACATACTCGGACACTTCGAATCCCAAGCGCTCAAATCTGTGGCTGCCTAGTTAACCGCGATCGGTGCCAAGTTGGGCATCTATCCGAGGCGGGTAGGTACATATCACCGGATTATCTCCGAAGAGTCTCCGCAAAACGAATGCTTCAACGTAGGTATATAGGTAGTGCCTAGGTAACGGGGATTAAATGCTTCCGAGATGTCGCCGATGGGTCAGGCGAGGTGCACATCGCCGCAGGGACACAATCTGGTACATACATACGCAAAATGTCTGCTTGGGATCTCCCTTGCGAGCCCTTCCGTTGCGTGCTGTGTGTAACGTGTTTGTGGTATCTGCGCTGATTCTCGCGGCGTTACGCTCTTTTGTCGCACATATCCCCCGTATGTCACCTGGTTACACAGTTATGGCGGGCACGGCTTCCATCTTATCAGATGGTGCGGCGCTACCCAAAGGCATAATCCAAGTTGATGGTGGTTGCCAGCGCCCTTCACCAGCAAGTATTTATGCTTTAAAATCGCTTTTTATTCTTTTATTTTTCGTCCGCTATGTATCCTGCCGTACTGCAACGTACCGACGATTACCTGCCGTTATTGAGGTTTTGCACAAGCATAGTCTGTAAAGACTGGTACCGGTCGTTACTCCTGCTTACGGTAGACCGCTACCAGTCGCACGGTATCAGGCTGTACAAACGCCTAGGTACTTATACCGTTATCTATCACCGGCAACCTTAAGAGTACTCCCCGGTATTCCCAAGTACAAGGAATAGGTACACTCCTGGAAGCTGACATACAGCGCGGAAAACCGCATGCTTGGGTATTTGGCCAGTAACTACCGGCTGGTACGGGTTGTGTTGCTCCAGTGGCTGGTAATCTTCGATACATGTTGACCAAGTACCTTTCAGTAGTACGGCAGCGTCTTCCATAGCGCGGGAAAAAATAAAAAGACAAATACAGCCGCGATTTGAATACCCGCAGTACCGGTAACTACTGCCGTACTTTGCCGCGGCGGCAGTAGCGCCGGGCACTGCTACCTAGGTAGACGATGCACTTCGCCATGGTCTTGACAGGCTTATAGACGCGAAATAAGATCGATGACCGCCCTCTAGATGATGCACAAACTTTATTCCCACCTAGGCCCAACTCGATAACAGGACTAGACGATGGGGAGAATACACCAAAGAAACTTACGGCAAGATTCCACCAGGACGGGATACGCTCTCTTATCTCCTTTCTTTCCTCCTTGTCCACCTCGCCACATCTATGAATTCCTTGGTGCGCTGCAAGAGCGGGCTGGGGCGGAGAGAGAGAAAAAGAGGAACCCACACCGAGCCCACGAGCAGCGGCCGGGGACGATGGGGTGCAACGGTGAGCCGGACATGTATAATAATACAGCCATGATCTACGGTACTAATAGTACAGTAGTAAGGCCCAATGCTATGATGATTAAACAAAATAGTAAATGTTACTCGTACCACCATAGTGACTGCCTAAGTATGCGGAAGGCATTTGCATCATAATATTGCATGCCCGTCGCTTATGAATTTCCTCTCGGCGGGTTGACAGCCTGCATTTTAGCGAATTGATAGACACATGGGCGCGTTGACACTGGACACGCACATTAGCGTATGATGTATCTGCTTCCTTCCAATATACCGGTACGAGACGTCAGAACCTCCGAAAGTGAAACACCAAGCCGCATATCTGGAGGCCTAGGTATGATGCCGAGGCATGTGTGTACATAGAGCCCGGCGCAATACATACGGTACTCCAAGGCGACTTTTCCGGCTCCCGCGTTACTGCGGTAAAAAAAGATATTCGTATGTTGATGTGATGAGCGGAGTCTGCCACGCCATACCTAAGTACCTATGCTGTACTGTACGGTATCCAGTGGTGCCAAAGCCGATCGCCGTTGATGCAGTGGTGGTGGTGGTGGTGGTGGTGGTAGTGGACTCCGGGGTTGCATATTCCAAAGCTATTCCATACCTATTCCATAGCGATAGTAGATACCTAACACCTACCCACGGTGCCCTAGGCAACCCAATTTATACTTCCAACGGTGGGTATCCATCCACCGTATGTCCACCGCATGTCCACCAGCTAACTAGTAATCAACTAAACGGGTATCTCTCCGGAAAACTCCGTGGAATGCTGTGCTAACTCAACTCGAGCACACGATGTGGTCGGATTCTTAACGGTCAACCACGCGAGAGAAGGGAGGAGGGTTGATTACATAGATTTTGCGGTGAGCGTTCCAAAAGACAGCTAGTGTTTGGCCCTCTGACGTACGTACGTACGTGCCCGAGATATTGTCAGAATCACGCCGTCCACCGTGTGCCCTCTTCACTACGGTGCCGGGTGCTGTTCTGCGTGTTACATACGGTATCTATCTACCTAGCAGCTTGATTTTCCGATCACCGAGTCACCGACAGCTCGGTTTGCCGCTGCCGCTGCTGCACCCACACTATCTACAAGCGGAATTAATATGCACCGAGAATCCGGGATATCTTAACCCTTGAGCCCCGAGCTTTGTCAGACGTCGTTACCAGTCCCAGACCTTCGTATTTACTTGCTTGCTTGCATACTACGTGGTGCCTTATCTGTTACCTAGTGTGCCCGACCAGCGTAGTTCAATGGTTCACTGGTTCACTGATTGGCCATGATGTGAGACAGCTCTACGGCTAGTGAGTACCCCCGGAGTCCGATGCTAATGTTTTCGGAGTTCGATGGTCCATGGATTGGGCACGATGTGAGGCACCCGAAGGCCGCTGGCAAAACCTCCGGAGTTCGATGGTTCGATATCTGGCAGCCTACAGCAAATGATGATACCCAGAGGCCGCTGCCAATATCTTCGGAGTTCAGGGGTTCATCGATTGGGCACGATGTGGGGCATCCCACGGCTGATGAATCATGATTACACCCCGAAGCCGCTGGCAACATCTCCGGAGCAAACCCCATCCGGTGGTATCTATCTCCACTTATTCACAAGTACTTAAGCAAAGTACCCGGAGTCGTCGGAGTCTATTTCACCGCATATCGTTTCCCATCGCCCCGCCTCGCCACACAGACCCGGACATGGATTTCGACTCGACTCATCTGCATGAGACGCTCCCGCGCTTGCTGAAAGCCTACTGGCCTCCCGTGCTCGTCGGACTCTTGCTCCTACACTTTCTCGCCAACAAGTTCCGCTCCGGACTGGTTTCGATCCCTGGCCCTTCCCTCGCGGCCTACACGAACTTCTGGCGGTTCAGAGATACGTGGCGGGGGACCGCGCACAAGAGCTACCGCGAGCTCCATGATCACTACGGACCGCTAGTCCGCATCGGGCCGAACATAGTGTCCGTATCGGACCCAGAGGCTATCCCGATCATATACAACATTAAGACGGACTTCCACAAGGCGCGTGCCACATCAGATGGAGTGGAGGATGGAGAGTGCATTATTGACTGATGGTGGAGCGATTATAGACGGCGTCGGCAGAGGTGCAGAAGTTCATCTACAAGAAGAAGCGCGTCGCGAACCTGTTCTCGCACATCGATCCCGCCGTGCACAGGAGCAAGAAGCGGCTGTTCGGTAACGCTTACAGCCTCTCCTCCATCCTCGAGGCTGAGCCCGGCCTCATCTCGGTCACCACGCTGTTCATGAAATCTCTCCGCGAGCGCTCCTCGAAGCCCATCGACCTCGGCGAGTGGCTCGAGTACTACACATACGACAGCATCGGCGAGATCGCATTGGCGCGGCGACTCGGGTTCCTGCGGAACGGCGGGGACATCGACGGGATGATCCCGCTGGGAGCGATCCTATCGAACTATGCATCCGTCGTCAGCCAGAAGCCGATACTGGACTGGTTCGGGCTAGCGAACCCGCTGTTCCCGTACCTGCTGCCCTCGATCGAGACGAAGAACGGGGTTCTCAACCTAACGATCAAGACGATGGAGGAGCTGGGGTTCTCCGGGCCGCCAGAGAACCTGAAGTCCTGCACGGGCGGCGACTTCCTCTCGCACATGGCGCGGGCGCGGGCCGCCGACCCGGAGCGCTACTCGTCGGACGACATCCTGATCCAGACGTCGGCGACGGTGTTCGCAGCGACAGACACGACGGCGATCACGCTGCGGGCGATCATCTACTACCTTTTACGCAACCCTCTTGTGCTATCACGGTTCACCGCCGAGCTCGACGCGGCGGAGCCGCTCCTCTCGCCCGTCATCACGTACCGCGAGTCGATCGACACCCTGCCGTACCTGCAAGCGGTGGTGAAGGAGGCGATGCGGCTGCACCCCGCGATCGGCCTGCCGCTCGAGCGCTACGTCCCCGCGGGCGGCGCGACCATCGCGGGGAAGTTCCTGCCCGCGGGAACTACCGTCGGCATGAGCGCCTGGGTCGTCCACCGCAACCCGGACATCTTCACAGAGCCGGACGCGTTCGTCCCCGAGCGCTGGATCGGGTCACCCCCTGATCAGCTCAAGCGCATGGAGAAGTCCATGTTCCAGTTCGGCGCGGGCGCCCGCTCCTGCGTCGGGAAATATGTCGCGCAGATACAGACGAGTACCCTCATACCGCAGCTGTTTAGGGAGTTTGATGTCCAGCTGGAAGATAAGGACAAGGAGTGGGAGGTCACGGCTAGGTGGTTTGTCCAGCAGGTCGGGTTGGTCGTTAATTTGGTGCCTAGACGTAGTACGTAGTCCGCGCGGGGAGGATGGTGGTTGAATATTTTGTCTCGTCGTGTCCCGCGTGAAGGCGTATGACGTACCTAGTTTTTTTTGCTTTTGCTTTTGTTTGATCGTTGATTGCTTGCGACTTATCTATACCATGGCAATATACACACTGCGTTTCCATGTCCACTGTGCAACCCGACTTTCTTCAAGCGGCCCATCGTGACTTTCGCTTCCCAAAGACACATGCCGAGGAAACGAAAGCTAGGAAAGAAAAGCCCGTTCCTCACTCTGGCGTGCTCCGTGCTCATCTCGTAGTGCCTCGAGGCCAGTGCTTGAGGGGTGGCTATGCCGGGATCGGGAGCGGTTTCCGACAAGGTTTCCGTCTGTGCCGGTACTTCTCGTTTGCGACTCCTGTGCCAGCCCTTCGTGATCACCGCGCTTGAGGTAACGAGTGACGGGGCGCGGTAGCGGTCCGATTCCGTATCGCTCTAGGTACATCGTACACATCGGACGATGGGTTCGTCCGCCGCCGCCGCCACAACCATCGGCTATCGCGCTCCAGAGTGGCGTCTCTGTATGCCGGACACCATCCGATCTCGCGGGTGAAGCCGGGTTCTGCGAAGTGAATCATCCCGATACATACCGGTATACGGTATCACACATGGCGTAGGTACATACTTGGCAGTAGCCCGACGTCCCGTCGCTGTGATGCGATGTAAGAAACCGAGTGATCGCGTGTGGACGGGAAACATCCTCATCCTGCGGAACTTAGAAGCAGACTTCCCTGAAGTGGCCACTGTCCAGACCCCACAACCCTTGTGCGAGCGCCACCGAAACAGCGCGGACGGACTCGAGCATCTGATCCGCCTCGCCGTTAGCGGGGTAGCACTGTAGCACTGTAGCAGACCATCCAGCCAGCCATCCAGCCAGCCATCCAGCCAGCCATCCAGCCAGCCATCCAGCCAGCCATCCAGCCAGCCATCCAGCAAGCCACTCTACCAGCGGGGCAGAGGAACACGTTCCCAACTCCAAACTTCCACCCGCCCAGTTTTTTTTTTAATTTTGCGCCTCCGCCACCCCGCTATGTACTTTGTATGGTACTGTCGCGAGAGCACAGTTTACACTATGGGACGGTACTCTACTATATTCTAGTTACACTCTATCGGAGGATTCTCGTCTACGTCGATAAACGATATCGGCGGCATGCATATATAGAGTAATATATAGAGTACCTACCTGCATGCATGCGCGGTGATGTGCGCCCTGCATGTGGGTTTGGTCAGTGGGAATTTACATATGTAGAGCAGAGGAAAGAGAGAGTGAGTGGAGTGGAGTAGAATAGTAGAGTGGGTATATAAAGTAGATTGATAGATTGGTAGATAGAGCGTACATACCGGTTTGCGGATATACTACTGGGTAGTAGATTGTCCACTCTAATCTATGTACTGTACACACACATGGCACCCCTCCGCCGCTATGATTCGCTATGATTCATTCGCCATCCGCTGCGAGTGTATAGTAAAGGCAGGAAGGGAAGAGCCATATCGATACCGACAGCGAACATGTATGGATGACTGGCCCCTCCGCCGCCCCTGCCCCTGCCCCCCCTTCGCTCCCTCGCCCCCTATTCCTTCCACGCCCACGCGAGATAGTGACATTATGGGAGGGGAGGAGGGGGCGGAAAGGCAGAAATGAAAGCACTCTACTATATATGAAAGCAGCCGAGGATCGAGAGATGAACCAATCGTGTGGTCTGCTGGGAGGCCCATCCAGCCCAGATTGCTATTGTTTCTCTATAAAAAAAACAGGAATTACATGGGCGTGCTGCCGTGCAGACTGTGCAGGTTAACGTTTTTCGTTTCGTTTTGGAGGGGAGAGAGGGGGGGTTATTTCGGCGGCGGAAATTTTGTTTTGTTTTTGTTTCGAAACGGACTGCAGCGAGGGGGGTGGTGGGGAGGGAGTCGCCGTAATAAATCGATATCGACTGCCCGGGCTGGAGTCGAGTACATAGGAGCAGGCACGAGTGACTGGCCTTGAGCATGAGTAGGAGCAGCAGCACAAGCAGGAGCATGAGCATGAGCGATATAAGAGCGCAGTGCCTCACTGCCTCTGCGGAAGCCGCGTTGATTGCTGCCGCTACTACTACCACTGCTGGCGGGGGCGAGAAGGGCCGAATGAGTGGCCGTGTCGCGCTACTAGTACTCTAGTCTTTGTGCCTTTGGGCCTGCAACATCGACATAGACATCGACATATCATATACCTAGATATCGACATATCATACCCAGAAATCGACATAGACATCGACATATCATACACGGACATCGGCATAGTCATCACATCCACATAGTCATCACATCCACGGACGTCCAGATTCCCTAGTCCAGACTCCAGTGTCCACAGCTCATATTAGTCCCGGCTCACGCTGCCGGCGGCGGGCGCGCGTAACTACTAACTACTAACTACCGGTGCGCATGGTGCGGTGCAGGTATTCGATACTCACTCACTCACACGGGACATATTGTGTGGAGTACTGCGCATCGCCGCTCGATGACGGCGACGGCAACGGAAACGGCCGCTGGGGTGGTCTCCAGTGGAGTGAACGCAGGGCAACTACGGTGCCCGCGCATAACCGGTACGGCACGCGGTCGTTGGTGTTTCAGTGCCCAGCCTCCGAGCTGCGAGTGGCGAGTAGCGAGTGGTGTGTCAGCCCAATATACCGTAGATACGGTACATACGGTATGTATGAGGTCAACATCACGCAGCCCGCAGTAACTACATAGGCGGCACTCTGAAAGCACATCACTCTCCAAGCACAGCACGTATGTAGATAGATAGGTCGGTACCTACGCAAGTGAGCCCCGCGGCGGGGTAGAAGAGAAATGAATTGCTGCCGTCACTTCCGCCGTGATGGCGGCGGCGGCGGCGATGAGAAGAGCATGCAGCGGGTGAGCAGGATGCTCTACCCGCCAAACATCCCGCACGTAGGTAAGAACTTAGGTACTTACGCAAGTGAGCCCCGCGGCGGGGTAGAAGACAAAATGAAAATGAATTGCTGCCATCCCGACTCACATCCACCGTCATATCCGCTATGATGGCGGCGGCGATTAGAAGAGCATGCGGTGAGCAAGATGCTCTACCGTACATACCCGCCCAACAGTCCTGAGCCCTCACGTAGATTGGTAACTAATACTAACTATAGGCATCAACATGAGAACATCCGGGACGGACTACCTTTGCGGGCGGGCGTAGTCGGATCTTTGGACGAAAGAGAAAACTACTGGGTGGTCAATGGTCATTGGTGGTAGAGGAACAGGAAGAGGAAGAACAAGAACAAGAGGATGAGGATGAGGAGGTGTGAACACTGAATCGGAGATTCGATTAGTTACATACGTGTGGGCATACGTGTACGTCCCCGGGGGAAAACGTCTAGCTACAGCTACTTACGGTACTATGTATGTAAGTAAGTAAGTAAGTAAGCAGGCAACCCATTCTCCGCAGGAGAAGCACGAGGTGGGATACCTAAGTTAAGTACCTACCCCTACATACCGCATTACGATTCACGACGACCAGTTAGCAGTTCGTAGAACCTATCCCATCGTTCACCGTTCACCGTTCACCGTTACATACGTTCATCCGAAAGAGAAGAAAAAAACCGTCTTTCCCAGCCAGCAGAATCCAGCTTCCAGTAATCCGGTAATCCGGGAAGAGTAAGAAAAAAATCTATTGCAGCCCAAAAACGCCGAATATAACATGTACTACGTACTAGCTTACTCGCTCATCTGAAATGATTCGAACACAGCCCTCCATGTCATCCCAATCCTCGCCCTTGCTTTTCGATAGATTCTAATTTCTAACATCATCAACCAGACAAGCAGGAACTACTCTACTCTGGATCGATCCGGAGAAAACTAGTTTTCGACACACCGACCGACTGAATGGATGGATGGGTGTTGCGTATGGCTACGGCTGCGGCTATGGCTGTGGCTGTGGGTGAGTGGTGGTGAGCTGGATCCCTCGAATCTCGATACTGTGGATCCCTTCACATGCTCAACTGGAGAGTCGAGACCGTATCAGAGCCGCCAGAATCGAAGCCATCAGATCGCCGCCAGATCGCGAGTGAGTCCTCGTATATTACCGTGACAATCGTTGCAACTGTGTGGCCAGTGCATCACCGCCGATGGGCCTGCAATATGCTTTTCGAATCTTCTGATGAGTGGAGGGAAGATGCGATACGATAGGTACGACACATGCGGCGAAGCCTGGTCGGTCTCGCACGGTACGTCGGTACCTACCAATTTACTCAGGTCCGCCGCGCAGCTCAGTGCAGCGCAATGATCGGACGATGACGACATGTGCTTCTAAACCTGAAGCCATACGAGTACATAGATGATAGATCCCACGACAGTTACTTGTGTACTCTACATGCGCAAACCGGTAAATTACCAGGCTCTGGGAATCCGAATGTCGTCGTCGGAAGTGGCAGGGAGTGGCAGGGTGTGGGACGCTACGAGCCTACGGTAGTTACCGGAGCAACCCGGCTGGGTTGGGTTGGTTGGGCTGGCTTGGGATCGCACTCGGAAAGCTAGCCAGCCAGCCGGACAGCCCTAACTATGGGTGCTTCTCTCTGGGATAGGGAAATAGGAAAATAGCGGTGGGTGCAGGCGGCGATCGAATTGGACGCATTATCCACTCGACTCGCCGACGGGCTTTGGCCTTGACGTTGAGCGTGCACGTGCACACACACGACTATGCTAGTTGCCGCGCCACCGCCTCGTCGATTCTCGAATGGAAGGATGCGCAATGCGCAGCCGTGCGATTGTACACATTACTCGAATCGTTGACTCACTCACGCACACGCACAAGGTCGAGATCGATGCCATTCCTTGAACGCGAGGCTTGCTCTGTTGGAAGGGCGAGGCGGCGGAAACCAACGAGCAATTACGTCACGGCGTATCACTCGGTGCAACTGCTACAAGTCCGCACATTTGTCATTTACCGCCTCTGTGGTCTCCAATGTCCATGGTTAACAACCTACCGAGTGACAATTCCCTCCCTTCCATTCCCTACGTTTGTTTGTTCCACCGAATGACCACTTCTGGGAATGAATGAATGAATGCTTCTAGAGTATCATAGATTCTAGACCCCGAATAGCGGCCGTGCACGCGCAGAGTACCCAGGTATGTGTGATATGTGTGATGCCGGTATGTAGGGTGGACGGATTGAGAATGCGGGGTAGTTAGTAGTTAGTCGGCCAATGCAGGGCTCACATCATGTGTGCTGTGCGACGATTGATTCTGTGCCGTTGCATTGACGTGCACACTGCACCACAGCGACTCCCAGTCTCCCACGGGACATAGCGGCTTCCGGAGCAGTTCGACTCTTGAGGGCGGTGCTGTGCTGTGCTGTGCTGTGCTGTTATCGGTGGGGCGGGGGAGGGGGGAGGGGGGAGGGGGGAAGGGGTGTCGTCGGCGTGCATAGCAATGAAGAAGAAGAAAAGGAAAAGGAACGAAACGGCGAGCCACCGGGGAAGCGGTTGGTCAGTCGTCGTCGTCTACTCTACTCCACTCCACTCCTCTACTCTGCATACTCTACCGTACCCACTGCAGCGCAGCGCAGCAGCACCGATGTGTGTATGTTCGTGATCAACTGACCGACCGACCGAATCGCCCATGCTCATGTGCTTTGAATATGAACTCTCCGCGGCGGACTCGAGCAAAAAGGAAACAAACGGGCCGTCATTACTGGTAACTACATACGGCGCTGCGATACGATGCGGTGGATACGGTAGATACGGTGGGCATTCCTGCGCGTCCCTCATTGCTGTATGTATGTATGTATGTATGTACGGTATGTCCCTCAAATACCGCAGGAAGGAGGAGCGTGACACTGGCACTGACATCTCATCCTCTGCTGTGGCTGGCTGGCTGGCCGCTGGCGACGGGGTACGCAGGAATAAGCAAATACAGGACGAACACAACGATGATTCGTTTCCGCCAGGACACTACATGGGAGGGGCTGGTACATCATCATACCTCGTACTTAACCATCCCGCCGCTGCTGTCGACAAGCGATAAGAATTCGCATACCCACCTACATACATACGGTGGTACCGAAAGCCCAACTTGTTCCACCTCGTGTCTCGAGACTCGGTAGTTGCGGGGCGGTAATATGCCGTTATGATATGTACTGGCTAGTACGACGAACGCATTACCAGTACCAGTACTCGTACATAAGTGGGTCGAAAACCCCTCCAGGCTCCGACGCGAGTGGTCGGAAGGTTTGAGGTTTGAAGGTTGGACGCGCAGCGCATTGGCTGGTGGTCGGTCGCTGGCTGCAGCGGGTTCAGGCCAACATGTATGTACGGCCATCGCGGGCCATTGGCCATTGGCCGTCGGTCGTCGGTCGTCGGCCATTGGCCATATGCAATTTTCCATCGTGGGCTGTGACTTTTGCCCGCACGCCCAGTGCACCACAGGGCCGCAGTTTCGAGTCTGTCTGGATTTGGAGAATCGGAGGGGTTTTTTGGCATGTGCGGTCGACCTTGCGACTCTTCCTTTTGCTCCCCGGTCAAGTGTTCCCAGGCTAGGAATCGGCAGGTTAAAGGGGAGCCCTACGTACCTAGCACCTATCCACCTAAGGTAGTGCCTTCCGATTAGCGCCTAAAGACACACGAAAACGCTGTGTGCTGGCGTTTGTTTGTCGTGTTTGGAGTACGCGCTTGGGAGGGGAGGGGAGGAATCGGGAGGGGAGGGAACCGGGAGGGGAGGGAACCGGGAGGGGAGGGAATCGGGGAACCTCGCTCGAGCACGGAGCCGTGCGACCGAAGGTCCGAAACGGTGGAGTGTTACCTGGCCGACCTGGATCCGAGTGAGCTTCACGGCCGTTGTTCTGTAGCGGGCTGCTGATTCCAAGACCGTGAGGCTCGAGCTCGAGCCCGAATGTGAACGGCATGCAAGTATCGGATGGTTCGTCAGCGGCTAGCCACTCGTATTCAGCCTTTGTCTAGCGCGGCAGAATGTCGTCCCCGCTACCGACCTACTGTCATAGCTACCACCGCTTCCATGATGCCGAAATGGACTTGGATACTCTACACAACCTGCTCAACCGCCTCGTCGATTCCGGTGTGCTTCTCTCCCCAGAAGCAGCAGCAGCAGCAGCAGCAACAGCCTAATTCTCGTGCCGAGTGGCCGTCCTCCCTCCCCAGCAGCAGCAGAATTCTCATGCTATCTTCTCTCCCCAGCAGCAGAAGAAGAATTCTCCTGCCAAGCAGCCCGCCTTCGAATCACCAACACACGATACAGCGGTCGTGCAGCTGGCCATGCAGGCAGAGTCCACCTAGGCAATCGTGACCGATACTGGCAGGCCTTCGCTGTTTCGCTTAAGTGGTTAGGGTGAGATCATGACGACTGGCGCAAAAGCTGGCGCTGAAGTCGGTGCTGGACTTGTTTACGTACTGTACTGTGCCCGTTGCCTATCTTCTGGAAGGGCCGTCAGTACTCTAGGTGCCTGCTACGGGTGAACGGGTAGGTACGAGTATGTGTGTATGAGGTATGTACTCGATCTCACAGAAGAATGCCCGCAGTCTCCCGCCCCGCCCCGCCCCGCCCCTTGAATGGACGTCGTTCTTGCTGCTACTACTGCAACTGCAACTGCGGTGCGCTGTAGGGTAATAGGTACTACTATATGGTACTGTAGAGTAGGGTGGAGCCTGTAGAGCCTGTAGCTACGTCTGGTACGTACAGGCTACCTACTCTACTACTGGCTCAGCTCCAGTGGCCTTCCACCTCCTGGTCCTCGTCCTCCGCCTCCCCCTCCTCATCATCCTCCCCCCGCTTTAGCTTCACACACCGAACCTGTTTTCGGCATGTACATATGTACGCCCGAGATGCTTCCATCCAACCAATCCATCGCCAACTCGTGGCGTGCAGTGGTCATTGTTGACACCGCAGTGCAGTGCATGAATGAACGAGTTGCGCATCCGAGCTCCGGTGTCTCGGGGCTGATCCCTTGTGCTGCTACTACTATTCCATACAGTAGTAGGGAACGGCGGAGCATATAAGAAAAATTCCTCCCGCTCTTTTCCCCCCCACCCCCCTCCCGACCGATTCCAACGGGAAAAAAAGTACATACACCGCCTTCGCCATCGCCGCATCGCTACATCGACACATCGCTACTTCGTCCGACGCATGCAGTAATACAATACATACAGGCACAACTACAAGTGCAAGCACAACTACAACAAAACAACAAAAAAACAACCAACATCCCTGACAACTAACCTCGATTCGACTTCCACCGGTACGTAATCGATCAAAACAACCCGAAACCGACTCGGTTGCACCCCAGTCCACCAATGGCCGGACCGGGATACTCCTTCGTCGCCTACCCAGGCGCCGACTTCGCCTTCGCCTCGGGCTACCCGGGGCCGCCGCCGAGCTCGATGCCGCACGCACACATGGATCTTTCCAACGGCGGGCCGCTGCCGTACGCGCACTTTCCGCCCACTATGCCGTTCGCGCACATGGGGTATTCGCACTCCCACGTGCAGGGAGCCGCGCCGCCGAGTCCCGTATTCTCGCAGCCGAGTCACGCATCCCAGCAGAATGCCCCGCCGAGCCCAGACCGCGCCAGCTACTCGACTGAGGTCAAGGTTATGCGCCAGCTGTGTACCGCCATGACGAAGCTCCAGAATACCATGAAGGACTTGGCAGAGAGGCAGGAGCAGATTCTCGATCGGATGAGCTTGCTCGAACAGCGTGGTAGGTTTTTCCCCGTCCGAGTAGCCGGCTGGAAAAACATGGGCTAATGACTGGCCGATAGTCGGACGTGTGGACGACGGTATCGAGACCATCATCGAGAATACCGAGGCCGTTATGGAAGACAGCCGAGCGATCCGAACACGGGTCGAAGACGGTGAAACGTATGTTTTCTTTTTCCTTTTACCTTTTTCCCCGTCGAATGTCAGCGACTAACATCCGCACAGCCACGACGCCTTTGAATCCCGCTTCACGGACCTGATGAACGACCTCGTCGGCAAGCTGACCGGCTGCATCGGCGAGGAACTCAAGGAGATCAAGAAGGTGGTCAAAGACACCGACCGATACACCCGCTACGAACCGTTCCAGTACAGCACCTCGAACAACCTGGCGATATCCCGTGCCTCGATGCTCGGGGAACAGCCGCAGAAGGAACTAGGCACCATATGAAATGCATGCACCTCCTCGACAGACAGACAGACAGACGGATCGACAGAAAAGCTCGGGGGCATGAGGGGGTTCTTTTTATTTTTTATTTTTGCGCTTCTCCAACGGTCGCTTCAAACGGTTTTTTTCTTTCCTTTTTTTCCTTTTCTCCTTCGTACTTGAGAGGACGGGTCTGCATTCTTTGGGCGTTAAACATGCATTTGGCACGAAGGTTTCTTGTTTTCCTGTTTTCTGAGATGTTTCGGTTTTACTGTTTTTTTGTCTTCCCTTTCAGTCCATCTTTTGCACACGGCTACATACCGGTAGTTGCCGTTTCGTTTCGTGGCGCACAGCTCGGCCTACATACCTGCCAGCGGGGATTTACAGAGTAATTGATCGATCGTCGTTCCCCCACCCCCGACCAAATCCAACGGTGTGTGCTCTACGTGTGTTCGTGTGTGCGTTATGTGTGTGTGAGAGTGTGTGTGAGTGTCTGCGTGCGTAACGCTCGATTCTAACTTACTCTACATCCATTCCATCCGGAGACTCCCGGGCGGTCGGTCGGCCAGCTGGCGATTTCAATTCAAAGGAACGATAAGGAAGTTTCTTCTTTTTCGTTGCTTTTACTTCTTTTTCTTTTCTTTTGCTTTTATTTTGTTCTGCTTTTGCTTTTGCTTTTCTTCCTTTTGCTTTTGTTTTGGAACCGACCGCATGGGTTTTTTGTTTTGTTTTGTTTTGCCGCCGTCGACGCCCCGCGACCCCCGCCCCCGCCGCGCCGCGCCCGGTATCGATGCGTGCGGACTTCTGCGTGCTGCACACCCGCCCCGTGACATGACGGCGTGGTGGTCGTGGTCGTGACATGACATGACGGCGTGATTGCGGTCGCGGTCGTGTTTGGAACCCGCACTGATGTTCCGTGCCTTCGACTTCGCGCATCCATCCAGCTATCCAGCGCATCGATATCCACCGGCTGCTATTGCAGTGCCAGTGTCAGCGTGCACTAACTAGAGTAGCGGATGCGCACGACGTGCATGCACGACCAACGTTGGACAGCATGGGGGGGGGGGGGGGGTGCTGGCCACAAGCAGCGACCGCACGCCGTTTCGGAGGGTTGTTTGGAGAGTGTGATGAGAGTGTGATGATAAGAGTGTGACAATTCAAGCGCTGGGTTGATTTGGGGGAGTGGGGGTGGGGAATGCACGCTCACCTGCCATCACTCGGCTTCGAACTCGCTGCCGTGTGTATGTTGGTTACTAGGGTAACTCAGGTAACCAACTCCGGAATCCGGAGCTGCAGAGATCGGTCCGGCAAGGACGTGCACAAGGACGGCGACGAGGGAGGTTTCGGGACTCGGTTTGCTGGGCCTCAAGTTACTATGTATGTTTGCTGCCTCGAAACGAAATACATGCCGGTTAATCCCACCGATACTACATGCTCATAATGTATCACTCGCGCCGGCTGATAATCTGGAAATACTGCGCCCCACTCGCGGAAAAGCGGCTCACGGAGCGCAAGCAATACCGCCGTAGGCAGGGTTCAATGCTCATGGAAAGACACGGTAGAGAGCCGGTATATAATTCAAATACCATAACCGTTACAGTACGTACATACTCTACACATATCCCGCAACCTCCCCTCCGTTTCATCTACACCAACCCCAACCCCAGGAGCCTATTCCCGACCTCCAGAAAGAAATAATCCGCATAGACGAGTCCATGATCCGCCCACCTCCTGGGGGCAAACTCATGATTATTAATCGTAGCATTCAATAATATCGTATCTCCGCCACTGCCCAAGTCCACGGCGTCGCTCCCATCATCACGGAACCTCGCCGGCGGTGCGAGCGACATCTTGAGCGTAGCGTCTAGGATCCGCAGCGCGTGCGAGAGGAACCTCACTTCTGGCGTCGCCTCGTAGATACATAGGAACCCACACACCGCGATCATCGCCGCGGACGTGTCACGGTAAGTGGGACGTGGAGCGTCGAAATCCCTAAGGGGCAGGCGTCAGTGCGTGGACGGGAAGGTGGGGAGGGAGGGGGAACTAACCAGTGCGGAACTCCGTCTCCGTCGTCGAGTCTGGAGACAAAGTATTCGCCGAGATTTATCGCGGCGTCGAGAAACGCTTGCTTGCGGGTCCAGGCGTAGCACTGCGCGAAGCCGAGGATGCCCCAAGCCTGGCCACTGTTGCGGGTCAGTAACGGTACTAACGGAGGCCGTCTCGGCATGCGGGGGCCGCGAGGAACTTACCGGCTCCAGGTGCTGTCGTCCGCGTAGCCCTGGTTCGTGAGCTTCTCCTTGACCGCCCCCGTCTCCTGGTCGAAGTTGACGACGTGCACGGTCGACCACTGCGGATGTCGGATGTGGTGCTTCAGTGAGTTCTCGGCGTGTGTGGTTGCGATGCTGGATAGGCGGAGGTCGCCGGTCTGCGCGGATACCCAGTAGAGGAGGTTTAGATCTGGAGCGATTGCCCATCAGCATCAGATACGGGATCAAAGGTGCGATGTACGCATGTAAGTACTCAGCATATTGTCGATAATGACCAAGAAATCCGCCTTAGGATCCTCAAAAGCGTAGCGTTTGGTACAGCACGTGTCCCAGCTACGTATCAACCCAACCCTTGGCTCAAACCTGCTGGCAAGGCTATTCGCCGCGGTAACTAGCGTATCCAGCGAGCGCCTATCCCCGGTGAGCTCATAATCCTTCTGGAACGGCAGCAATATCATGAATCCCAAGTCATGAGTATCTGTTCTGTGAGCCTGAACATGTAGATTTTCCGACCACCAGCGACACGCATAGCGCAGCTTCTCGACATGCAACTTCTCTATGGGAAAATGTCCCGGATACACCTTCGCCCGCTCCAAAAGCAGGTACAGGCTCCCGGGAAAAAACCCCGACGTCCAGAAGTCCGCTGCGGTGTAGCTGTACGAGCTCGATCCCGGTGGCGTGTACTCCGGCATTTCTGTCGGTGGCGATGCCCGGTCCAGTGCCCCCCGTGCGACCCCCCAGATCTTCGCTACGGCGCTCGGGGAGAATAGCGCGCTGGTTGCGGATATCCGCTGCGAACGCGCGAGCCGCTCAGAGTCTGTCTGCTCGGGCTGAGTTGTTTCGCCGCTGGCGAAGAGCAGAGGCGGCGAGGCCGTCGGCGTGGGCATCTGTGCGGCTTCGGATCCCTGGGCATCCCAATCAGCTAACAGTACCAAGTACCAACGGCATCCAAGCACCCAGATTCGCAATACCATCTCCGCCCCCGCCCGCTCATCCCTCCTCAACCGATGCACTCCGTTCGCCTTCCGCTTCTTGCTGATGGGGGAGTCGTCACTTGTGCGGAGCATTTCGGCGTGGTTCGTCATTCGCCAGCGTTAAGGATAGGATACGGTTGGGACTTCTAGTTGATTATTTGAAATCCCTTCGTTTTCCCAGATTATGTACTTATTATAACTGCTACATACGAGAACGGATGAACGGTACGATGAGCTTTACGGTTTCCTGATGATGACGGAGCCCGGAGGAATCGCCGGAGCGCCTCCGCTCAAGACGGAAAATTAGGCCCCGCTCGGTTGGATGATTACCGGAGTATGTAGAGGCATCATCGTACTGCGAATAGAGTAGGCCGGTTCCCCATGGGGATCATTCTTTTGTGGCAAATAATAGGCAACAGGTCAATGTGGTAACTGTCTGTCGAGCCAAAGTGTGCAGCTTATATAATCACGTATGGAGAAAACGTACGGCAACAGTTCACAGGAAAACCCCACTGAGCTCAGCCCGACAGGGGAGATATGGATGTGTGGACTGCGGTATGTATGATGGCCAATATGATAGTATTTCACACCTCTCCCCAGCAGAATGTACTGCTTCCTAGTCTAAATGAAAACCTTTAAAACATCAAAGAGGTCCTCCATTATACATCAACACCCGATCCAATTCCAAGAACTGCGGGTCGGCAAAAAGATTCGATATCTGTGCCATCTGCTCCGCACTCAACCCTGCCTCCATTTGCACATGTTGCTGGTGCATGCTCCCGGGACTATTGCTGCTCTGCATGAAATTCTCATAGAATGCCGTGTCCGTTTGGAACGCGAGGGGCATCGGCGGCGAGGCGAGGGAGAGAGGTTCTGAGGCTGGTATATACTGGTTGTCGAGCTCGAGATAGCCGGAACACCCGTTCATGGTGCCGGTGGTGGTGGTGTGGTTGGTGTCTGAAGAGTACGCGGGTTGCCGTAGGTCCACGCCGTTGTGTTTTGCTGATGCCTGCGTTTGCGCATTCAACAGGTTGCGTGCAAAGCGGCTTGCGAGGTTGTCGGATCCGTTTTCGGTGACGTAGACACCTTGCCAGCGGTTTGAAAGCTCAAGGAGAGACTTGACTAGGAGATGGAATTCGGGGAGGAGCTCGAGGCGATAGTATGTTGAATGAGCTTATATAGGAGGTCAGCGGGTACATATCGGTTGAGGAGTGAAGGATGGGGTACCTAGTAGCGATCTTCCGGCCACAAACAGACAGAACGCAAAGTGTGGGTTTGTGATGCCGGCATTGTGGATGAGGTACTGCTGGGTGATGGTTGAAATCTCCGTGGCAGCCGACACACACGTGTCAACAGAGCTTGCCTGCGGCAGTTTCATGGCGCTGGCTTGCCACTGAGCGGTGGGAAATGCGATGCCTTGGTGCAGAAGGATAACCGAAGTGTTATGTGTGATGTGAGCCAGTGTGAGATTCGGATCCATTCTGGGTTCCGCATCGCGAACAGTCGCCTCCCGCCATTGCGGGGGCAGTGAGAGTTTCCACTTGACGAGCGCAAAGTCAAGCTCTTTAAAGCGCATCAGCCAGTGTTGTACATCTTCGATGTTTTGCGGATTGACGGCTTGTTGGAGAAAGAACCGAGTGACTTGGCTCTATTCTTGTGAGCTCACACGCATATGTAGGGTCCATCGATACGCACCAATGACTCGGTTGCTTCTATGCAATACGCAAATCCTCCTAGTGATGCAACCTCTTCCGGACTCTGTGCCGTACTATTTGTAGGGGCGTCGAATCTCTGAAGTCCTCCCGGCTGGCTGCTATCTCCAATTCCGAAGTATCGGGTCTTCACTGGCTTTTCGGCTTCCCAGATAGCGCCTTCACAAGGTAGCCGTCGGCGCGCGTCTGCACTAGTTAGGCCTGGATTCCACCCTGTCGACACACTACAGAAACGATCGAGCAGGAAGACATTCCAAAATACACGCCGCCGTTCTTCGGACTCTACCCAGTTCCTCGGTTTTCCAAGGAAGGACAGGCGGTGTATCATGCGATGGCTTGCGCCATTGGCCGTGCCGTACGACTGGCCTTGCTGCTCTGTAAAATCATCTTCAAAGCTCAGCTGGAGGTGCTCGACTTGTCGAGACATGCAGTCGACTATCGCCCAAGATTTCGGGCCCCTTCCGGATCCAATCTTTGGATCATAGTCAGTAAGTAGGCCACTATAAGGGAGTAATTCGCATACCGTGTCAAAAGCTACGATGATCAAAGCTTGTAAGTTTTCAACCGAGAAATTCTCCATGCATTTCAAGATGACATTCTGCCGGCAGATCTTCGACAGCCGTTCTCGCGTCTCCTGCTGTTCCAGTCGGGGGTCTGAAGAAAACCTAACCGTGACTACAGTGATGGCACACAGGATGGTAGAAAGCTGGTCTCGTTCCGCGGGGCTGTCGAGTTTTCGAAGCAAGCATTGCTGGTGTATGACTGGTATCCAGGGGTGTATCGTATTGAAGTATATCGCAACAAGTTGCTGCATCAGATCGAAAGGAGGAAGATCCGGGTCGTCGAAGAAATTGGTTATCGATCGCTTTCTGGACCGTATGGTGGGATTGTCCCGAACATCGCCTGCTTCGCTAGAGCCGTCCATCCTATTCGGCGTAGACGGACTACCAGTATTCCCGGAGTGCTGTCTACGAATCTTTTGAGGTACAGGGTTTGCATTATCGATGTCAGCCGAATTTGAGTATGCGTCCATTAGGTCTCTTTTCAAGCAAGCGACTTCAGCTGTGATTCTCTGCTGTGCCGTGCCGGTAGGTTGTGGCGTGATGACCGCCATGTTCAACGGCGTTAACTGCGTAGTAGAAGCAAGTAGCTGTCTCATAAGAAGGCTCTGGCCAATAAACATCTTCTCCAGAGCATCTTCAACCGGCGGTCAGTCGGCGTCCAGGCCGGATTCGCTTCTTCGCGGACTGGAAAAAAAAACAAGCGCACCTAGCCGTTGAGACAACGACTCGACGACTCCTGCCTTCACCCCCGGCTTGGTCTTCGACTCGTCATACTGACACTCAACCCCTAGCACCATTGTTTAGCGGAACTGGGCAGCTACAAACGCCCCATTCTCGAAAGTTCGCACCGAACCGGACGCAGAGAGTGCATGGCTGTTCTCGGGTGCACTTTGCCTTGCGCTTGCGGCACGACTGGCAGCTAGTTGGCAGCAAGTCAGCGAGGCACAACGCGGCATCCAGGATGTGTTGGTGTACGCTGGCCCTTCGTCTTCCTGCGGCTCCGAGCCAGTCTCAAGCTCATTTTCCTCGCTCTTGCGTTTTCCCCTCGAACTGCGGGACATGGCTGGTTGGTTTCGTTTTGGTTGGGTTGGGTTGGAACTTCTTCGTCGCGCGGGAGACTGTGATCGCAGAAGTTTGGACTTTCCTAGTGACAACGTGTATGTACGGCGATGCAATATGCAGATTGTGGGGGAGATATCCTGGGGTAAAGTGACGCGGCAACTCGGCTGGATGCCGTCGCTTAATTTAGCCGGGATGACTTCATCCAAAAAGGTTGCCACACGACGATTCTTAGCAAAAGCCAAAAGTAAGAAGTCAGGTATAAGGTATGTGCCTAGAAGGTTGTTCATATCGCTGCACAGCTCTCATTGCGGATAGCCCTCGAAGTAAAACAGCCAGAAACAGTTCGGAATTAAGGCATTTACGTTGATTCACGCTCGTCGTTTCTATTCAGTGGTTGACAACCAACCCAAATCACTAGACAGCATTGAATGGGTAGTTCGAGCTGCTAATTACTCTACTAGGTATATATGCTAACTCACAACCCGCTCATAGCACAGGCGATCACTCTAGTCTGTGAATGTCCTCTCTTTACTGAATTTCAATATTCTTTGTTTCCCGCTAACTTAACCCGCCAAATTCGTCACCGAAATAAAGCAATTGCAGATCCTCCAACAAGTTTTCCTCCCACATAGCCCCCATCATAATACCACCCCACCCACCCCAGTCCGTCCGTTCCATACATCCTTAAAAAGCATAACGAAAGTCGGGATTCTCCTGATCCGTCAAGTCTTCAAACGCATGTGCATGTTCAATCTTCTCCTGCGCCACATCCGTCACGCCCGCATCGCTCCTCTTCGCCGCATTCCGTCTGGTAAGGATAAACCTCGAGATACAGACCATCGAGATGAAGAATATGTACAGAATCAGGTGGGCGATGAAGCCATGCCTGTAGCGCGGCTTATCGCTGGCCTGGAAGATCTGGGGGGCGGTCATGTTGCCCGCGGCCCAGGCGCTGTGGACACTGAAATCAGCATCGCATGCGAGTAAAAGGGCGGGGAAAGAACTTACACAAACGTGATGGTCAGAGTGACACTCTTCTTCGTCTGCCCGGCGATGTTCCGCGAGATCAGCGAGAAGATCATGTTTCCCTGGGCCAGGAAGAACTGCGTGCAGTAGAACGCGATCAGTAGCCCGACCTTGTTACTAGCATTCGGCGTGATCTGCATTATCACGACTGTTCCCACGATCGCCGGAACCGTCCACAGCAACATGACGGCGCAGGTTTGTTGGTATTTCGTGGCCAGAGTCGCACTGCCGATCATGATCGCGATGGTGATGGCTCCCTGCGCGATGTTCAGCAGCTGTGTTTGAAGATACGTGAACCCGAACGCCTTGATGATCAGGTTCGAGAACACCCCGAGGCCGCCGATGATGAGCGTACTGCTCGTCTGCAGGAGCACGTAGCACCACACCATCGGATCGGTCAGTGCTTCGACGATCTGGTACTTCTTGTATTTCTTATTCTGGATACCGGTTTCGTTTGCGCGGACCCGCTCGATGAGGAGCTTCTTGGTGTCTTCGTCGAAGCATTTAGCCTTCATGGGGGAGTCGGGAAGGTAGTAGCCAATGAAGCAAGCCCAGACGCAGGTGAGAAGACCCAAAACGAGGAAGAGCAGTTGCCACGATCTAATGGGCCCGTCGTTGAAGTGGGAGACTCCGAACGCGATCAGACCTCCCACCATGAGCTGCACGCCAAACATGCAGTACCATAAGGACGTCAGGATCTGCTGTTCCTGGCGCGTGTACCACATCGCCGTGAGGATGATGAATGCCGGCTGGACGCAGGACTCGAAGAACCCCAGAAGGAACCGTACCGCCATCAATGAACCGAAGTTTTGAGCGGCCGCGGAACATGCTACGACTGCGCCCCAGCAGAAAACACTTCATCCCCGAGAATGTTAGCATCATGGACAAGAGGGGGGTGCTACCGGTGACAATGACTTACTTGACGGACAGATACTTTGCAATGGGCAGCTTCTGTAGCAGGAAATTGGTCGGATATTCACCCACCAGGACGCCCATGTACAGGATCGTTCCCAGCCAGGAAAACTGTTGTCCGACAAGATTCGCATCCTCCTGGATGTTCATGATGGAGGAAAAGCCCAGGGTGCCTTTGTCGAGAGACTGGCAGAAATAGGTCTACATATCCAATATTAGGCTGGGGGGTCTGAGAATGCGCGCCAGAGAAAGACGGTGTCTTACACCCAACATGATCACCAGCACCCTCTTGTTCACTTTCCAGAACAGCTGTTTGTTGAGCTCTTCGCCAATGATGATGTGCTCGACGCCGGCTGTGTAGCGCGCGACATCCCTGTCGGCCTCGGTATCGACGACGCGATCAATCGTATCATCGGCCGCCTTTTCGCTCGTGCTGTGAACACGGTTCACATCCTCAGTTGGTGGAGGCATGGCTGACTGTTTGTTCAAGGGTGCGGGGGGCGGGGGTGTGGGGAGGGAATCAGGGGACTGGAGAGCTGCGGATTAGAGCCGAGTTGGCCCAACAGCAGGATAAGCATTTAGTATCTATATAAATCCGGGGACGGTTCAAATGGTACGGAAGATCATATTCCAGCCTTCAATTGCAGCCCTACGTGTGGGGTAATGGGCTGTTCGGAGACGCTCCGACGATTGCTCCGCTGGCCGCTCTACAGCATATCACTCGCCCCGGCACAACAATCGACGTCAGATGGATCGTAAAACGGACCCCATGAATTTACAGCTCACGTACATTAATGCTGGCAAGGATTCTCTGCTTGTGTAGGGTTCGCTTCTGAAGCGCACAGGCGGGGTGTTTTGTCATGTGTTTCTGAACAGACATGCACTCGGGGGGCACCCCTCATGACTGTGGTCCAATCATCACAATACCGACCGGTCAAAAGATTGGATGAACATAAGCTCTCCAATATTCCAGCGCGGGGGCCAAATTCGCTTCAGCTCCCGACAACAGCCCGCCTCCGGCCCTAACGAAATCGACATGCACATGTAGAGTGCCAGTACCAACCAAAGGCTCCTGGCAACTGTCAGTTAATGCCGCCGTATGAACCAATCACTACCCAATACCCAAAAATTCGAATCACACTCATACATCTCTTATTCGCCCAAGAGTCAAATTTTTCAATAGTCTACTTCCACCGCTACTCGAGCGCCGCACAACTTTATCCTCCTGAAACAACTTTGCGACACAACACCCGACCAAGCAGCAGCGATGTCCGAAGTACCCACCGGCTGCGAGGTAGCCTCCAAGCCACTCAGAGCACTTGAGAAGCCCCGCGCCCACCTCCAAAGTAAAGAGCTCAAGACTTTCTTACACATCCACAACTACAGAATCTTGCCCCCATAGAAATCGTTAGGTACATACTTTATACGTTGCGTGGAATCCAAAGAATCACAATATTACCGGAGGATCAACCGACAAAGCAGCGGGACATCCGGTGAAGTTGAAGGACGGCTTCATTACCAGAAATTATTATATCTGCTGGAGGAAAGGGCATCCGCTGCTGGCCACGATGACGGGACAATGATGACTCCGCTCGATGCCGACTCATTCAAACACTTGTGCAGCATGCCATTGAAGTCAAGTGAGTATGACGGATGGAGCCATCAAGCCTTGAATCTCGAGACTCAGCCGTTGAGGATGTGGTAGGGTCTGGTAAAATAAGCGGGCTCACTACTAGTAAGTATCCTCGATTATCTGTCATGGCCTGGGAAATACTTGGAATTGACGCCATGTCTGCTGAGACTCCCGAGCAGGTCTTCAATCCCTAGCACCAGGATGACTAGATGTCATTGACCGCCGATAGAGTATGTGTAGTGAGGTTTGTGGGTGTCTCGGGCATTAGGAAGTACGAGTTGACACTTGACAGCTCGAAGGCGGCAGCTGAGAGCCACGCCATAACTTCATTTCAAGTTTCAACCTGAGAATCGCCCAAATTCTCTAACCCACTGCTGAGTTTTGAATTTTCCGTCGGATTACTAGTGTAGAGCCGTGTGAACCAAGCGGCCCATCCAGCTCAAGGGGGGACGTGATGCAGGCCATCACTCCACAGCCCAGCTGCGGGTTAACTAAGGGGCTATTGCCAGCACGGGTACATCCGGGGGGACCCAGTCCCACCGGGAGAAGCCGAGACGGTGGCGGCAGTGTTGTTGGAACTTGGGTCCATGATTGTCAGCGGGAGGCTGACTTTGCAGACTGGGGATGCGGGAACGGGCGGAAGTTGGAGCAGCCTCCATCGCGGTGATTTCGACTGAAACGCACAGACAATGGATCATGGATGATGAACGCGATAGCTTGCCTTACACCCGTAGTTATTCTTTTTGGTCCGGAAAAAAAAGAATATGTATTGTACTACCGGAAGTAGAATGAGTGATTGACTTATAGATAGGCTGGGGGAGGTTTTGTAGAGCGCCGTGCACAGGAACTAAAATTATCACCACAACAACAGACATGGGTCCTTGCAAGAAGAGTAAAGCACCCACGCTGATTAACTATCGTGTAAACCGAGTCCTTGCCATCGACATTGATTACTGAGGTTCATAGATCAGCGTGTACTACCTACGGGATGTAAACAAACATGGTGGTTGGTAGTAGAATGTCTCAGTGCTCCAACTTCCGGTTCCCTTTCCCTCGCAAAATGGAACCAGAAAACAAATAGCAAAGCACGGAGAAACTCTAGAGGATCCGGCAAGAGTTGGATTTCACTGAATCTTCTGAAGTCGTCAAGAGCCGAATAGTGAATGTATTGGACGCGAAAGATTGCGCGAGTAACTCGGTTTTGTGCCGGAAGAAACTCACAGAAGTACGGCTGTGATACAGCGCATTGCGAGCAAAATCACGAGGTCCGAAGTAGGATAGCAGAATATAAACTGTAACTTCTGAAGACATCTTGCTTGTGGGATCAGTCAAGCTACCAGTTAATGTGGTTGTAGCTCTTGAAAAAAAGAGCCGAACCTCCCACTTTCCGTGCGCGGACAAAACCCTCATATACCCCCTGATGGTTCTAGAGTAGTTCTAGTGCACGAAATCTGTAGAACCTCCCTTGTGTTTCGGGCCGTTGGGAATGTTTTCCTGATTCCTCGGAGCAAGGAACGGGCAATAGGCATTACAAAAAGGCGCTCACGGAGGTCTTCCGTCTCACGTCCTTAGACCTAAACCCTCAGAAGCTGGCAAAAAAGAATGATGGAGTGAAGGATCTCCAACCTGCTCAGAAGAGCCCATGTAGGGGGGAAAGCCGAATGGAAATCGAATGATGTCGCGGTTCCAGACCCCTCGTCCTCAATTCAGAAGGTTGGGAAATCCCACTCACAGACTCGGTTCAGAAGCTGGCCACCGGGGGACCACCTGCCGGCCGGGAAGGGGGTGAAATCCTCGAGAAGAAAGAAGCGAGACCCAACAGGAAGCGTCGTGAGGTTCGCCACCCGGCTATGTGGCATCAATGATCGAGGACGTCGCTTCCAGCCAACAGATATTGCTGCGGCTGCCCGCACGGTCCTTACAAACTCCAGATATGTATGGAACCCACGGATGCGGGGAGCTCAGTAGAGCCTTGTCTTACTTTTTCTGGTCTGCAGATGTGTCTGTAGGATCTTTTCCCCCTGCCATACGCGTATGCATGCTACGTAATTAGCCATGGTCCACCCGGAGCTACTCGCTATCAAGACACTCCAGCCTGTGTAAGGAGTTCGAGGAGCGGTGGTCTGCCCGTGTTGTGGTGTAGACGGGAAGTGGGTCGGCCCAGCTGCAGACATCCGCCTAGGGCTGAATCGCAGCTACGGAAGAGGTGGATTGGGCCGATGAGACGAGTTCTCTGTGCCATATCAGCGCTCGTCTTCTGAATGCTGCGTGCATTTGGGGAATTGAGGTCACACGGCAGTCATGCACTGGGCGACTGTAAACAACTTCAGCTCCGCTGTTCGGCTGATCCGAGCCCTACAGAAACGCGTCTGGAAACATGCTGAGTGCGGACCTTGCTGCGGTGCATGCTTGGGAGAAACAACGACGGCAGCGAAGAAAGAGGTGGAGAGAGTATCCTGAGTCCTCGCCTATCAGGCTCGATTTGGCAGGGCTTAGTGCTGAGCCTGCAGTTTGTGCGACATCGACGACGGATGTCTCGGCTACAATTCCTCGGGCCAGTCCTCTTTCTTCTCCATCGCCACCCGCGCCCCACCTCGTGCCGCGATCTGCACGCTATGTATTGGCTGGTCACTTCTCCGCAGAACAGATCAACCGGATGGATGTAGGACGAAGCTGCACCTCGAGGTCGAAGCCAGCTGAATGGCTCAACTAGCTCAAGCCACATGGCATGGGGCTTAGCGCAATATATGCAGGTACATTCGTCGTCCCCCCGTCTATGTACTCCACATTGCGAGCAGACTCTCACGGGTATGTAGGGGAATTCCAAGTAGTTACTGCTCTACGGACCCGCCGAGGAAGCTGCCTGCCAGTTGAGCGGCAAAACCTCGAAGCGATCAAGATTCCCCGAAGGAGGCAACATTCCAAAACAACTGGCCCGGAATGTCGACGGTCTGGAATTCTAAATTCCCAGACAGTGCGGACATGCGGTAACAATCGCGCCGGAGAGTATCCGCGTTCTCGCATCGAAAATTCAGCCAGGGGATTGGCGTTTCGTTTCCAGCTGAGCTGTCACTGGCTTTCGTATGCACAGTGGAGATGGAGGCCACACGGAGAATATGAGACGATGTCTCACGCGTCCACGGACTCAGCCTCCGAACCGGCCTTCTCATGCATGCGGTAATCCGGGTGGAGTTTAGGTCTATTCTGGCTCAAGCTTCAGTTCCTGTCGTCGACATATCGGGGAGCACAAGTGGTATAGCAGACACCCTTCCGGAAAGAGCATCAGGATGGGGTCGCAGCTCTACATAAAGACGTCTTCTCTTCCACCTCAGTCTCGCTCACCAGTTCGACCAACCAGATTCCTCTATTGCTTCAATCCTTTACTTTCTTTCACACTCATCGCGAAGATGCTTTTCGATTCGGTCTTCAAACCCAACGGGACCAATGGAGGTACATTTCTTCTAGCCATTCATGGTCTTCGTGTCATGGTGGCGGCACATTTCTAATAGTGCTTGAGAATAGTCGCCAACGGCACCAAAGGCCATACGAAGGACGACGTATCTTCGAACGGTGACAGTAGCAGCAGTGGCACTGCGACCCCCATTCATACGGATAGCCTCACCATCCGTCAACCCCTACCTGAAATGATCAAGCCAACTATGACGCGAGTATACGAGTCGACCCAGGAGACGTATATTCTCAAAGACACCACGACGTTGATCACCGTCCGGTGCAAGAAGGAGTTTCCCTCGAAGGTAGACGACATCTTGACGGGAGTGCCCACCTGCCATGCATTCCTGGATTTCATCGCCACCGAGAGATTGAGGAGCATGCCACACAAGGGAAGCAAGTGGGATAAGGTCTTGAAGTGGGCCGAGGGCTACAGCCGAAAGGTCGATGCGTACTCGCATGCTATCAGTGGCTTCGCCCCTCATAGCTGGGAATCGGCAAGGCTTGTTTGGGGATGCTGTCGGTGGCTTTTGCGGGTAAGACAACTCGTGCACGTCTGGCGAATGGGCTTTCTGACGCGTCTTTAGATGGGCCCGGAATACGTCGAGATGCTTGAAAAGATCTTCGGTGTCATGTGCCAGATCGGACAGACCCTCGACTTCTTCCTGAAGAATAAGCGCCTTTTCTGTGCCTCCGTGGAGATTCAGGACATCCTTGCTCTGGCATACTCCGATCTCATCCGATTCACGGTCGAGACCACCATTCATTACAAGAAGACCACGAGCATCTGTCTCGCAGACTTCGATATCCTGTTCGGCCGTGTTGTTGATTCCTTCTTCCACCGCAAGGAGTGTTTCACCAGCGAATCGTGGGCCTGCAGTTTAAGAGAAGAATCCCTTACTACCACATCCACCACCACCATTCACATCATCCGGCAATGGCTCTCGGTCCAGGATAGAACCTTAGATATCTGTCTTTCCAACCGCATGGGGACGCGTACCGCCAGATACGAATTTACCTGCGAGTGGTTTGAGAGCCACATGCGGGAGTTCCAACGTGATAGGACCGATGTGCTATGGGTGTGTGGAAAGTCCGGCTCGGGTATGTAATTCCCCTCCTCTGTGGCGCTACCTTCCGTCTAACTGAGCCTAGGAAAGAGTGTACTCTCTGGTTGGATCCTGGAGAGACTGCGGAGAACCCAAGGTACCCGCAATGGCTATGACGTTATCTCCTATGCCGTTGGTGAGTGCTACTAGATATACCCTACGCTCAACGGATGACACTTACGCAAGACACAGATGCCAATCTTAAGAGCGAAAGGTCGTCGTTCAGCATCGTGAGGTCGCTGCTCCTGCAACTCCTTGAGAGGAACGTTGGAGACTTGTCGGTCTACAAGATCCTTTCGGCACTCTATGAGCGTGCGGAGCGCAGTGGAGTAACCGACAACCTTGAAGCCGCTCTGTGGAAGGCTTTCGACTCCGCTCTGGGACGAAGCGAGTGCAAGTTGATGATTGTCATTGACGGTCTCGATCATCTGGATGGCGGCGAGCCTGTGATCTGGGAGCTTTGCGAAAGACTGCGCTGCACAGCATCTAAGTACAGCTACGTCAAGTGCTTGCTCCTCTCCCGGCCGTTGAGCAAACCATGCCCGTCCACCATCAAGGAGTTCGTCATCGAGGCAACCTGCAACACTGCCGACATCAAGCGGTTTGTCGACATAACCATCAATTCTTGCATCGAGTTCAAGACCCTCAAGGTTGAAGAACGCCGCAAAGTTGTCGAGACGATCACGCAAACTTCGTCCGGCACGTTCGTATGGGCCGAATATTCCCTCCAACTGCTTCGGATGGAGAAAACGGTGGCCAATATGATGAAGTGCCTCGACACCCTCTCGACCATGAAGACCCTGGATGATATTCTTCACAAGCTCATTCTCAAGCTCGACCTCAAACAGTCGGATACCAAACTTTTGATATGCCTACTTCTCGCTGCCGAGAGGCCGCTCACCGTTCAGGAGCTCGGGTGCCTGTTCGAGATCGACGTCACCAACTGCAGCCGCTCCGCCCGCCTTACCAAGATCGAGGATGATATCCGTATCGCCTGTGGCTCTCTAGTCACCATCCGCGATGGGCTCGTGTGCTTTTCGCACGTCTCCGTCAAGGACTACCTCATGGAGCTTTGTCTCTCGGACGATGACTTCCCATTGAGTATCGAGGAAGCTCACACGGAACTCACCATCCGGAGTTTGGGGTACATGAAGATTTCTCTGAAGGGCATGGACCACGAGCCCACGCTTGAATGCGGTTGGGATGGCTCCGAAGAGGTCCTGCAGAAACATCAGTTCCTCGAATACGCCGCGCGCCACTACGTCATCCACTTCAAGCAATCCACCATGTACAACTCCAAAGGAAGCCACAGCTGCTCGGCAACTTTCAAAGCCTGCTTTCCTAACTCCTCTTTCCTCGCGTTCATCGAAGGCAGCTGGTGGGAGACGCAAACCTGTGCCAGTGAAGCTGCAGAACTGCACCATCTTGCCCTGCAGCTCCGGAAGATCGCGCTGGGCGAGAAGTGCGTCTCGGTTGTCCAGTGCTACATCAACCTGGCCAGAACACAACAGAACCTTTCGAGTTATGTTTTTGCCAGCGAGAGTTACTACGAGACGTGGAAGATCGTTTGCAAGGTCTTGGGTGAGACCCATGCGATTACTCGCGCCTGTGCCAAAGCTGTTATCACTTGCACGGAGTTGGTCACTACCACCACTGCGACGGTCACTCGCACCGAGACTATCATCAAGCGCAAGGAGACCATATACAAGTATATGTACACCCACTGCGAGACCAGCGAGGAGAAGATCACCTATGCCAAGGTGCTCGCAGAGCTTTACATCCAGCTCAAGAGGACGGAAGAGGCTCTCACGATCTACCACGAGATACGGAAGGTGTGCATCGAAGTCTATGGCGAGCTTCACGAGGAGACGACCACCATGACCAGATGTCTCACTAAAGTCCTCGAAGTTCTCGAGAAGCATGAGGAGTGCATCACCATCACCCGCAAGCTTTTGGAGACCTGCGAGAAGACCACCGAGGTGTGGGAGGAAAAGCGCATCACCACCACCATCACCATGGTCGAAGTCTACGAGAAGCAGAAGGAGATCAAGAAGGCTGAAGAGCTTTTGATCAGTCTTTGCCGAAGCATCACCGAGGTCTGCAGAACCAGCCACGAGGAACATTACCATGAGGCAAAAATCAAGATCACGCTCGAGTATGTCCGGTTCTTGGAGCGCTGCTCCAGAGACAAGGAGGCCGAGAAGATCTTGATCGAGTTGTGGAACGAGTTCAAAGGCCAGCTGAACGAGAATGACTGCAACCATGGCCATGGCTTGCTCATCCAGATCCGGATCATCGGCGACGAGTTGAAGAAGTGGAAGATTGTGGCGGTCGCCGAGTCCGTGTTCTCTTCTCTGTGGGGATTCTACAAGAGAACGAGCAGAACCACAAGTAAGGAGGCCACCTCTATCGCGATCAAGCTTTCCGAGGTTCTCAACATCAAGCAAGAAACCCATAGCGAGGAGACCATCTTGAAAGAAATTTTCAAGACCACCTCCACCAAGACCACGGTTGACATCACCGTCATTAAGACGTGTACGAAACTCAGCGCTTTCTACGAGCGAGAGGAGCGGTGGGCGGAGGCCATTAGTGTCTGCACCAAGTCCCTGGTCAAGATCTGGTCATCCCTCATCAGTTTCATCGAGAGCAGGTCGGGCATCTGCGCTCTGCCGGCGGAGTATTTCGAGGAGGCGATCATGATTGCACGGCGCCTCGCCATCTGCTATTTCAAAGCTGGCCACATTCACAATGCTGAGAGCGTCTACATCTACATCTTCAGCGCCTGCAGGTCTTCTCTGCAGGTCCACGACGAGTACATCCTTTCTACGGCGGAGTTTCTGGTCACCTTTTACGAGTCGATAGGCAAGATTGATCAGGCCCTCAAGATGTACCAAGAGCTGTATGAGGAGTACCAGGAAGTCCTTGGGTGCTCCCACACGCTCACGGTCAAGATCACCTACAAGCTTGCGCACTTCTGCACGCAGCATCAGCCCCGAAAGGCCGAGCAATATTACTTGGTCATTGTCACTTCCCTCGGTCACCGTACAGAGATTCTCGAGACGACATCCATCGAAGCCGTTCTCGTTCTCTGCCGGATCTACGAGACCGACAAGAAGTACAGCGATGCGCTCAAGTACTACCGCAAGCTCTGGCTGACCTTCTGCCGCCGCGGAGAAGACTGCGGGATGAGCACCGAGACCGTGCTGAACATCTACCAGAAATACGTATACATTCTGGAGCGGGAGTCCCAGTTCTCGATCATCTACGATGTCACCATCCAGTTCCGCGAGGCGTGCATCAAGCACTACGGAAAGCACCACCACATCAGCGTTCTCGCCACGATCGAGCTTGCGCGTGTCCTCGAGCGCGAGGAGTCGAAGCACCAGGAGGCCATCGTCATCTACGAGGAGGTCCGCAAGATCATCTCCGAACACAGTGAGCTTAGGATCATCATGCAGGCCACCATAGTTGAGGTCCGCAAGCGGCTTGCACAGCTCTACGCTGTCCACACTTCGTCCAGCTCCAAGGCGGAGGTGATCTACATTGAGTCCTGGGAGGAGTATAAGTGCAAGCATGGGTGCTCACACGAGGAGAGTCTATCGCGCCTCTACGAACTGATCATGTTCTTCAAGAAGCAGAGCACCAAGGAGTGCACGCATACGGCCACTATCACCCTCCAAACCACCATCATTGAGATCATCACTAAGGAGAAGGACACGCAGCGGTTGTTTTTCGCCGCTGGATCGATCGCAAAACTCTACCTGGCATTGGGCCTCAAAGAACTCGCGTTCGAGCTCCTCCAGGAACTCAGCCTGCAGCTCAACTCGGTCGAGGTCAGGACTTCGAAGAAGTTCGGGTTCTCGCTCCGCACTGGACACACGCTGGATCGGAGGTCTTTCCTCTTCGTCGTTGCATTCGAGGAAACGCTGAGGGGCAACTGCTCGGCCAATCTCTACGCCGAACTGATGACCGACCTCGTCACCGAGACGACACTGTACGAGAGCTGGATGCGGACGCTGAAATACGGCGGATCATTCGAGTCCTCGCTCAGCGTTGGAGCTCGGCTGCGGCTTTTCCTTGTCAGCAAGCACCGAGAGGAAGAATGCAACCGGATCACCGAGGAGCTTTGGGAGCTTTTCCAGGGCGGAGTTGGCAAGCAGGCGAAGAAGTCCGGCATCATCTGGGAGCTGTTCCTCATCTGCGTCAGGGAGATGGGAGTCGAAGAGCACGACCTTACGGTCCTCGAGACCGCTGCCACCACAGTGGTCACCCACTACGAGAAGGGCGACTTCGCGGGATCCCACGAGCTCGCCACTTGGACTTACCAGTACGTCAAGGTTCATGGCGGCTTCATCGAGCAGCGGAACCTCGCCGTTGGCTTCAAGATCTCCCTGTGTATGGCTGGGAAGGGCTCGCCGCCGTGGAAACGCTGCCAGGATGAAAAGCTGAAGGTGATGATGATGGAGCTTTCGCGCACCGTGTTGGCCGAGGTCCTCAAGGCCAGCGAGTCGGAGCATATGTCGTTCAGCAAGATGCGCATTGAGGAGGTAAACCTGATCGTTGGACTCCTCGGCGAGCAGCAGAACTTCAAAGATCTCGAGGTAACTTCACCCCTCCCCTTTCCCCTCTGTCCCGCGCCCTCCACCGCAAAACATACTAACAATCCTGATAGCGTATTCTCCGCGACCTCTGGGAAGCACGCCAACACCGCGCCTCATGGAGCGCAGACGTAATCGTGTCGATCGGCCACCGACTATGCGAAGTCCTCTTCGCCTCGGGCAAGCGTTCCGAAGCGATCGATCTCTGCAACGACATCCGGTACAACGTGAAGCGAGTCTGGGGGGCCGTTGACGCCAGCACAGTTCTCAGCTACAACCTTCTGTCAGGGATGTACACTGCATCGGGCTCGTACGACAAGGCGATGGAGCTGCACGTGGAGCTGTTACGGGAGACGCTCGCGCCCGAGAACGAAGACGAGCTTGTCGACGTCGCCTCCGGCGTCATTTTACAGCAGATGAAGCTGCTGAAGCGCAGCTATCAGAGGCTGGGTAGATGGATTGATAGTCCCGAGGAGTACAGGAAGCTCTGGGACGGCTTCGAGGAGCTGTTCGATCATACCGATGACCTGTGGAAGGGAATCGACCATATCAAGACGTGGTCGCCGAAGCCCACCGGCGTAAAGGTCCATGAGGGCATTGGAATGTGGAAGGCGCCCGGGAATTGGTGCTTCCTTCCGAACGAGGATGAGAAGAAGAGTAGGGCCAGACATGCGTGTCATCTGAGGAGTGAGGATGATGATTAGCCGGTTTGAGGGGGCGCTGCTTTAATGGGTTCTGTTCGCGGGTTATCTTGGATTGTACTTTTGTTACAGCGTTGCTTTTTGCGTGGGATCTTTCTTCTCGGTTTTGGAATAGGGTACTGGGTGGGTGGGTGGCTGGCTTATGTTTGATGTTTTTGTATTTGGGTCTCGTATTTTATGTAGCACTATGGATGACGATTTATCTTGAATCTTGAGTTCTTTAGAATACGTTGGATTCCGTGGGTTCCGGTCATACTGTGGGTCCGCTGGTACTGCATTTCATCCGCACGACGGCAAACGTAGCCCACCTCGTTCAGAATTATGCGACATCACTCACCACCGCCCACCCAACACCGAGTGATACTAGGAGCACACGATACTCCAATTCGGGACAAGAACAAAAGAACAAACACGGCACGCCGCGCACCTGGCCGTGTCATAGGTACATGGGACAAACCAATTGCCTTCATCACTCATTATTATATGTCGAACTACGTTGACCTCAATAGCTTGGTGCAATATGGCCCCTAGCTTGCCGCGCCGATTGTATGTGCCAGTATATGCCTAACCCAATACCTACCGGATGGAAACGCAGCAGTTCCTCAGAACTGGCGCCCCGGCCATACCTACTTCTGAAGATCGTAGGTGCCGCGGGCCAGCATCCAAGCGAGCGGAGTGGGCGGCCGGCAAGACTCCGCTGCTCGTTGCTCTCAGCCTGCGACCCACACTTGTAGAGGGAGTCCCATATCCGCCGCTGTGGATGGCAGTTATGTAGGTATTGGGTGCGACATCAAACACCCCACACCCTTTCTGGGCCGTGCAGGCTTTTGTGAGGTGGGCCTTTATTATGTTCTGTTCTGGTTTGTCGCGTTTTATTTTTAGCAACGGGAGCGGGATCGGGTTTGTGTTTGACACGATGTTTGGTTCTGGCTTCGGTAAATTCCCGACAGACAGACAGGCGGGCATAATGGGAATAGTTTAGTAGGTAATGGCCTGAGTGCGAGCGGGTGCGAGCGGGTTGCCGTGGATAGTACCTACCGGCGGTACATACAGAATCTCACGGACCAATGCTGTCATCTGTGGGCTCGTCGTGATATCAATCCTCTCGCACTGAATAGGCAACTGCCTTGGGTCATCCACTCCCTTCGCTCGCAGACCCAAACCTCCCCTTCCTCCCGTGCTAAGGCTTCAACTCAGCAAGCGTCGGCTGGAGCATCAAACCACTATTTCATCTACCGTCCAAACTACGGGAAGCTGCATGCGTCTGAGGAAACAACCGAGTTCCCGGCTATGTTTTTTGTTCGAACGCTCACAGCCACAGTAGAGCACGGCGGCCGGCAAAGTCACTGGCGGCCTACAGGAGCGTGCAGGTAGTGGGAGTCCCGCTGCTGGGCCACAGCTGGATGGCGGGGATGGAGGGGTGGTGGGGGGTATATATAGCGGCCCATGGTTCTGCTCGATCTCGAGCTCGGGCTTACTCGCTGCGTACTGCTGCGTACATACTGCATATCGAAGGAACTAGGTACTTGGGTGATCTGGTCGACAGCTGGTAGTTGCGGTTTCTGCTGTTTTTTGGGGGCGCACTGACTGACTGACTGACTGACTGACTGTGACAGAGGCAGAGCGAATCGAATCGCAATGGACCAATCGTTCGAAATAACAGAGTACCCCCCTCCCTCCCCGCCCCTCCCCTCCTCCTCCCCGAGCAGCTAACTCACACACCTTTAGGCGTCCGCCACCGCCTCCACCGCCGAACACGCCCCCGCCCCCTTCCCGCATGCAGCAGCAGCGAGAGCGCATCCACAACCCGTTGCACCCGCACCACCTGGGCAACATACCGAGCGGGTACACTACGCAGCGACTTCAAGAATGGGGGCCGATGTACATATTCGACGCCATGACGAGCGACGCGTTTATCCGCGGGGTATCGATTCCCTCCTCCACGCCGGACGGCATCGTCCGCGTGCGGGTCGATCCCGCCGCTGGTGGACGCCCGTTCTTTCTTAGGAAGATGTTTGTTAGTGCGGTGGTTAGGTGTGGCTGTGGGACGGGGGAGGGCGCGAGGAGCGGTGGTGAGATATTCCCGATACGTAAGTGGGGTTGGTGGGCGACGGAACGGATGGAAGCTGATTGGTTGGCGTAGATGTTGAGTATGCGTTGTATCGCGCCCCGCTGCTGGCGGCTGTGCTGCTGAGTGGGTTTGTGTGCCGCGGGGATTATGTCGAGATCCCGATGCCGCATCCGGAAGTGTGGAGGGAGGTCGTCGTGTGGATTTATACTGGGTTGTGGGATGGTGGTGAGGAGGTTTTGGAAAATATCATGTACCTAGGTGGGAGGGTTTGAAACAAGGCGATCAGAGCTTGGTGGTGACTTGAGAAAGAGTAGGTATGAGTGAGTGATGAAAAAAGTAGGAGATCATTCCATAGAAATCATAAACGCCAATTTTGTAGGTAAAAAACAGTCCACCTCTCCGCCCTGCCATCTGCCCATCCAGAGCTTGCGGACATCGATATTAGGAAAAAAACGAACTTTTTATCCAGAAAAAACAGCCCTACTCCTCCATCGTCTCGGCTTCCGGCTTTTCGACAACCGTAACCTTCTCGCTCTCCATTGTCCAGTAACTGCACACCTATCAGTACTCGCATCTATAACGGGAACGAGGTGAAACCTACGCAACAGGAGTGATTGCGAACTCTGCCGTCATCCGTCCGAACAACTTCAGCAGTGCTGCCTGCTTACTGTCCAGCTTCTGTCCCTCCTTGCACAGCACATACTCCTGGTCCAACCACACCTTTCCCTTGACCAATTTTGTGGGCATTCCAAGCGCTCTCATGGTTGTCTCGAGCGAGTGGGGCAGCGGCAAATCGTCGTCCGCCGGCATCTGACCACCCAGACTCATCACGACGCCACCAGGCACAATGAAAGTGAGCGGCGCCACAGCACCCATGCGGGCGAAATCCTCGCGCACAAAGTTCTCCAAGTACTCGATCAGCTGCTCTGGCGTTCTCTGCGAGAAGATCAGCCCGACGTTGCCGGCGATGTGCTGCGAGAGTTTGTGCAGGCTTGGCCGCAGCTCCTCGGCGTCGGTGAGCCCGAGCGCTTTCGCCATGACTTTGGTCTTGCCGAAGAACAGCCGCGAGTCGCTGAGCTCAGATCGCACCTCCTTTAAGTGCGTGTTGCGCATATTGCTGACGGAAAACACCAGGATCGTGGGGTACGTGTCAACGCTTTCGCGGATCGAGGTGAACAGGCGCTCGTTGTTCTCGCGGCCGGGCTTTTTGGCGGTAGCAGTGAGGGACACCTGCTTGTTGCGCTTGGAGCGGGGCATTTTGTCGTTTTGGTTGGGAAGGTGTGGCGGAAGACTGGTTTGGTTTGGTTGAAGGTAGTGGCGATGGTGGTGGAAGGTTGATGGGTTTGAGGTGGGTTGGGTTGCGATAAGCGCAAGAACGAATCTTTTTTTCTGACTTGGATTGAGTGCATGGCACTAGCCGCCTGCGGTTGGCGCCGCCGAGACGAGCTTAATTTTGAGCCGCTTTTGCAAAGCGGATCACTCGGTATGGTAAGTGCGGGGCGCGGGGTGGAGTGGCCGTCACATCGTCATATGCTCATATCGTTGCAGGTTGTCACATCTGCTCCCGGTACAACCATATTCAACAAGAGAGAGATGGTCTACCAGAAGTTACCTGATGATATCTACACGCATATAATACACACATTCCCAATCTCTAAAACAACCTGTTCGCAGCCTTGTCCTTCTTGGCCTTCTTCTTCCCGCTCTTTGCCGGCTTCGCGTCCAAGTGCTTGAACAACAAACTAGGCGACTCATTGTTTGCAGCCACGTCCGCACTGAGAAATCCTCTGTGCTTCGGATCCCGGTAGTACTCGATATCGAATCTGCTCGACGGTCCAGCGAGCCTGTGACCCTCCTCAAACGCTCGCAGGTGGGGATGCGTAATGGATTTGATGCCGATCTTGTTGAAGAACTGAGTTGTGATCGTCCCACCAGCCTTCTCGATGGCCTCGATCGCCGACGTAGATGCTCGCGACACGGTAATGTCGATCGGGGTCTTGAAGGTGTCGGCGCCGTTGCCAAGAAGTTTCACGCCGTCTTTGATGCCATGCACCGCTCGTGTGTCGAGGAGCTCTTTGAATGTGATGGGTTTCGTGGGGTCAATCCGACCAGCGTCGATCCATTCCTGGAGTTTTCCGAGGTTCAGGGGAGACATGTGCACCGAGAAGCTGGAACGGTGTGTCAGCGGCAGGTCCACATCCAATCACAACGATCCCGAGCGGTCAAGCGGCATACACATTCTTGAATCCTCGCTCTCCGTGGACAACCTCGAGTTTGGTTTGTCCTCCGTTGAACCCAGCCGGCACCTTTCCGTGCTGCTTCTGACCTTTGTGACCACGACCCGAGGTCTTTCCCTTGCCGGAAGACGGACCACGTCCTCGTCGGATGCGCTTGTTGTAGGCGTCGGGATGATCGCTGAGGCTGCCAAGAATCGAGGCATGTCGGACTTGGGGAGCGAAGAGCTGGCAGAAAAACAACGGCGACTTCGATGGCCGCAGGATCGACCGCGTTGTGTGCGAAAGGGTGTTCATGGCGGCTGCAGGCGTAGGGCGGACGGGTGAGCTTGACGTTCACGGCAACTGCAAGGACTCGCTCGCTGCGATTTATTTTTTGGTGTGGGGTTTACCCGGCCCAAACGCTGGGAAAGGCAGAAGAGCCTCGCAGCCGGGTTTCTCATCGCCTCGCCTCCTTCTTCGCGTTCGCGAAAGAGACACAACACCGGGCAAGTGACAACGCACCAACATCCTACCACCGCCACCACTGGCCTCCTCCACCACCATCATCGCTATCCAACCCAATTTCGGATCACCCTCGCGAGTCTACCTTTCAACATAACCTTCACAGCAGTAAAACCACCCTCTCGCTTCGGAGCCGTCGCGCTCTAACAACCCTCCGCCAACATGACCGACAAACTTCCCCCCAACTTGCTCGCGCTCTTCGCACCGCGTCCACCGCTGCGTTATCTCCCCCATTGTGACCATGAGCCAGCCAAGCGCCGCACAATGCCCATCTCCGGCGTCGCCGCGTTCCTCGAAGAATTCCGGAAGCCAGATCTCGACTATGTCCCTACAGAGAGTTGGCTGCAGAAACGCGATCGTTTGCAGCTCGAAAAGAAAGAGCGTCAGGAGAAGAAGATCCAAGAGGGACTGGAAACCTGTAAGTTTACACTTGCCGGCCGAAGGAAAAGCGCAAATGCTGTTTTTTTTTGTTGCAAGAGCGATGATCGTTCAGCGCGCTAATGCGAGAGTGTACCTGCAGACAAGCCTGAAAGCGATGCTCAAATTCGTGGCGACCCCTACAGAACGTTGTTCGTGTCCCGGCTGAGCTACGAGGTGAAAGAACCGGATCTTGAGCGAGAGTTCGGGCGCTTCGGACCAATTGAAAGGGTACGCCTCTCTCTCTCTCGTCACTATTGGGATATCCGATTGTGGACTAATAGCAACGGTAGATCCGTATTGTACGCGACAAGACGACCAATAAACATAGAGGATATGCATTCATCGTCTACGAGCGAGAAAAGGATATGAAGGGTACTGTTATAATAATATTCCCCCACCCCTCCCCTATCTCGCCCTCCCGCTCTTCCCCCCACTCTTTTCTCGATTTGAGGACCGCCAAATTATATGGGTATTCTTCGCATCGTGAGCAGTGATGGCCACGATCCGCACCGCAAGGTTGTTTACAGTAGGAATAAGTTGACTGACACTAAGCTTCATTTGCTGTCCACTCACTTCAGCCGCATACAAGGAAACAGATGGAATCCGCATTAAAGACCGCCGCGTTCTCGTCGACGTTGAACGTGGCCGTACCGTGAAGGGCTGGAAACCAAGGCGTCTCGGCGGAGGCTTGGGAGGCCGTGGCTACACTAAGGCCCCTATAGCTCGTCCTGCTGGACCTGTCGGCGGCTTCGGAGGCGACCGCTTCGGTGGTGGAGACCGTGGTGGCCGTGGTGGTGGCTTCAGAGGGGGCTTCCGTGGTGGTCGCGGCGGAGGCTTCACCGGAGGAAACAGGTTCGAACAAGGTGGTGGAGGGGGAGGAGGCCGTGGCCCCCGAGGCGGTATCGGATACCAAGGTGGGGGTAGCTTCGGTGGAGGAGACAGGAACGCTTTCGCAGCATCTGGAGAAGGTATGCCCAATGCACCCACTGGACCTGGTGGCCGCCGTGGAGGCGGAGGCGGGTACCAGGGTGGTGGCGGATTCGGTGGTGGCGGTGGTGGCGGCGGCTTCCAAGGCGGCGACGGTGGCCGAGGCGGGTATGATCGCGGCGAGCGCGGTGACCGCGGCGGCGACCGCGGCGGATTCGGTGGGTATGGTGATCGCGGTGATCGACGTGGTGGTGGCTACGACCGTGAGGGCGGCAACAGAGGCGGCGACAGGTATGGTGGTGACCGTGACGGTGGTGATCGTGGCGACCGTGGTGATCGTGGTGACCGCGGTGATCGCGGCGATCGTGGAGACCGTGGTGACAGAGGTGGAGGAAGGTATGGCGGACACCAGAGAGACGACAGAGAGGAACACGGCGGATACCAACGGAAACGGCCTCATGATGACAGCGCTCACGGCGGCGGTGGTGACCGTCACCGACGAAGGTATTAGTACCTTCGTGGGGTGTATTCAGGTGGGCAAAGGTATTCTTTCATCCATAAGTATCTTTCGTGGGGCACTTTCAGCGTTGGGTATGAATTCAACAAATGGAGGACTACGCGGGATCCAATCACGATCGAGTACTCGTCAATTAGTTTTCTCTCTCATCACCACCTTTTCAATGCACTGGCATACACGGAAAGAAGAAAAAAAGCACCGGGTTTGTTCTCCTCCAGCCGATGGGTGAGCTTTGTAGGATAGGAAGAATCAACAACGAGCTTGGTTGATTTGTCTGGCGGCGAGGGGAGGTTTTGTTTTGCTTTTGCGATGTCTCATGTTTTTTCAACCGGGAGGACGGACGGGGGGTTTAAAAATCACTTTGATCGACGAGTTCTTGGTTTGTATTACTTTCTGTTTTCTTTCTTTCTTCTTTCGATTACTTCTTGTTCCTGGCTTCTGTCTGTGGTTTTTTTCTTTTGTTTTGTTTTATCTTTCCTTGTCCGGATGGATTCCTGGTGTTCGGGTAAGGACGTCGGGTTCATTCTTCATGTTGCTTTCTTGTTTAATGTCTTCTTTTGTCATTCAAAGGTGAGTATAAATTGGTAAGGAGAGAAAAGTGAGAGGCGAGACGATAGAGAGAGAGAGAGAGAGAGAGAGAGAGAGAGAGAGATTTGACCGGAACATATACCAGTTCAGTTCAGTTCAGTTATTCACAGCTCTTGTCCAGGCTACCTAGCCTGGACTCTGGGTAAGTCTGGCGGTTGTTTTATGCGTTTTGTGTAGTGGTAGCTAGTGCATCTAAGCAGCGGTGCTGTTGGTGGTGTTGGTGGTGGTAACGGCGGTGCTGAGAGTAATGATCATGGGAGAGCTGGAGTCATTTGTTTTAGTCAACGTGATGTGCATGAGCTGTGGGGGCGGGGGCGGGGGATGGGGACGGAGGTCGGGGGACGGGATGTCTGACGCCATCACACATCCGCCTGGCCGGAGCCACGTTATCTACAGGACGACTTCAAAAGTACCCAACCGGATAACTGCATCGCATCGCTCGAAAGAGCGGCGCCGTTCCTATATCAGAGGTGTTGTATATATCGATACTTTGTTCGATATTCATAGTTCCATCCGCACGACTTCCACGGTAGCAATCCCCCCCAAAACACTCCACGCATTACCTCCGTATATCAGCCCTCGGCGGTGTATTGCCTTTCAATACTCAGCATACGATACATCATATCACACTCTTGGCCCCAAGGTTCCTGGATTCGGGCAGTTTCGAAGTCATCAGCAGATACCGTGATACCTAACTGACGTAAGATGTAATTTCTCAGCTTTGTTTTCTTGTACTTGGCACACAGCTCATTGCCTGAACAAAAAGTAAAGCAAATAGAAACATACCGTAATAGCTCTTTTCATGTTGCTACATAGTATGGCAATAAATCATTTCCTCATAGGTGAGATGTTACGGTGCTCGAGTACGTCAGTCGGACCCGCTTCGGTCTCGGCCCGAAGCCGGCGCCGTAGAATGGCTGGTCTCGGTGATGTCTCAAGTACATACAATGTAATGTACCGGTATGGCCTTTGAATACCTAGAGACTGCCGGTCTGCACTTTTGAAATCCCCACTCCTATGTAGAAACTAAAAGTAAGTACTTCTGTGGCCACGTTCCAAAGATCTGAATCTCTGCAGACCCTGGTCCATGGCTGGTACGTGGGGTTTCTCCGCAGCCGCCAAACCGTACCAACCCCGGATTTCGGCGTGTGACATCGCATGTGATGGCGTAACCCTCATCCTGCGTCCGTTCCACCGCGGTCCTGCCTGCTGGACTCGTGCATCCACCCCACCTTCATCTCTCTCCTCCCCCTCTGCTTCTCCCTCGTTCCGACTTTGTTCCGTCCAACCGGTTTGCTTTTAGACAACACGAAGTTCCCCCTTGACCCGGACATTTCCTCCTTCTTCCTCCTCCTCCCGTCTCTTGCCTTGCTTATTATCTTTCTTTCTCTCTCTGTCTCTGTTCTCGGGTCTTCGTCCCGCCGCCACATACCAAACCCACTTTAACAATCCCTCGTGATTGCTAGCACGGATGTTGTCGAACGTGCTTTGCCGAGGCACGTCAGCGTTTAAGTCCATTACCTCGGCCGCAGTCCGGCGCCCTGTCGCTCTTTCTCAGGTACGCCGTGCACTTGCTTACAAAAAAATATCTTGCACCTGAGCTTCATATCCTCTCGTATTTTTATCTCTTAGAAGAATATTCGAAGTTAACTTTTGTACTTTTGTTTGTTGAAGATCCGAAAGATGGCCCCAGCAGCTGTACGATCAAACTCATCGGCCCCTCCAGGTACGTATCATAGTCCCGGCGTGTCGTGGTGGACATAACTGACGGAGCAAAAGGATATGTGGAAGACATGAGTAAAGGGCGCATGCTGCGATTCCAGGAGTCGCTACCGCGCCTACCCGTGCCTTCGCTCGAAGAGACCGCTTCGCGCTACCTCAAATCCGTGCACCCCATCATCACCCCCAAAGAATACGAGAACACCAAAATCGCCGTCGACGAGTTCATCCGTCCCGGCGGAATCGGCGAGGAGCTGCAGAAAAAGCTTGTTGAGCGTCGGGAACGATCAGATGTCCAGAACTGGCTTTCGGAGTGGTGGAATTTCTCGGCGTACCTCGGATACCGTGACCCGGTCGTGCCATACGTCAGCTACTTCTACTCGTATAAGGATGACAAGCGGTTGCGCAACCCGGCGAAGCGCGCGGCGGCCATCACCGCGGCGGCGCTCGAGTTCCGCAAGGAGGTGGTCACCGGGAATCTCGAGCCCGAGTACATGCGCAAGGCGCCGATCTGTATGGACTCGTACAAGTACATGTTCAACTGCAGTCGGATCCCCGAGAAGCCGGCCGACTACGCCAAGAAGTATGACTACGACGCGCACAAGCACATCGTCGTGGTGCGCAAGAACCAGTTCTTCAAGGTTCTCCACGAGGTCGACGGGAAGCAGTTGACGGGTGGCGAGCTGGAGCACCAGTTCAACCGCATCTACGAGCTGGCGAATTCCCAGAAGGTACCGGCGGTGGGCGCGCTGACCAGTGAGAACCGCGATATCTGGACCGATGCAAGGGCGCAGCTCATCGAAGCTTCTCCGGACAACCTGAAGGCCCTCGAAGCTATCGAGTCCGCGTCGTTCGTGGTCTGCCTTGACGACACTGCGCCGGTGACCCTGGAGGAGCGCGCTCATCAGTACTGGCACGGCGACGGCCAGAACCGGTTCTACGACAAGCCTGTGCAGTTCATCGTCAACGAGAATGGCACTGCTGGCTTCATCGGAGAGCACTCGATGATGGACGGCACCCCGACCCTGCGATTGAACGACTACGTGTGTGATCTGATCGCGAGCGACAAGGTCACGGTCGATGCGTCGTCGGTCCGCAGCAACCTGCCCGAACCTGAGGCGATTAAATTCACCATCTCCACCGAGGTCCACGAGAAGATCGACCAGGCTCAGACCCACTTCCGTGAGCTCATGGCAAAGCACGATCTTAAGGTCTTGCAGTTCTTGGGCTACGGAAAGGGCATGATCAAGAAGTTCAAGTGCTCTCCCGACGCTTATGTGCAGATGATCATCCAGTTGGCATATTTCAAGATGTATGTTTCTTCCCTTCCCTACCTTTGTGATCGAATGAGCGAGACTGACATGTGATGACAGGTACGGCAAGAACCGCCCCACTTACGAGTCCGCTGCCACCCGCAAGTTCCAGCTCGGCCGTACCGAAACCTGCCGAAGTGTCTCGGAGGCCAGTGTCGCCTGGTGCAAGGCCATGAACGACCCCAACGTCGACGTAAGTTGCCCACAGGACTCTTTCTCTCCTTCACATGCTCACCATCCCCCAGGTCAAAACCTGCATCAACCTCCTTCGCGAGGCTATCAAGTCTCACGTCGAGTACATCTCCGCCGCCGGTGACGGCAAGGGTGTTGACCGCCACCTCTTCGGTCTCAAGCAGCTCCTTGCACCCGGTCAAGAGCTCCCGGCGATCTACAAGGACCCCGCCTTCGGCTACAGCAGCAGCTGGTTCCTTTCCACCTCCCAGCTGAACTCGGAGCACTTCAACGGCTACGGATGGAGTCAGGTTATTGACCAGGGCTTCGGAATCGCGTACATGGTCAACGAGAACACCCTGCAGTTCAACATTGCCAGCAAGAAGCTTGGTGCCGACAAGATGAACTTCTACCTTACCGAGGCTGCGAATGAGATGAGGGCGCTTATGGAGACGGAGCTCGAGGCGCCCAAGGCGAAGTTGTAGGAGTTTCTTTATTTTTGGGGTTTGGCTTTTGGATTTACGTTTTTTTTGGATGCTTGGTTTTCGGTTTGCGTCGTGTCTGTCTGTATGTTACCCATCGTCGTTGTCGTCTCTTTATCTGTGTAGGTCTAGTAGAATTAGAAATCTAGAATAGATGTTTTTCTGCTATATATACATCTTTTGGTCAATTCTGCATGTCTATTTCCACCGTGAGCAATAAACGCTAGAATCGAGATTATGCCGCGTAAAGATGAACCCAGAGTTGCCGGTTGCCATGACGACAGCCCTGTTGGGCAACTCAATCCCCGAACTCCGATATGGACATCACAGCTTCCTTTCTCCTTGAATCAACACCATACCTCACCACCACACAACCACGCTCATACATACTCATTGTCCACAGCATCCACCGTAACAGCTACCTCGTCTACATTACCGCAATTCCACACATCGCACCAACACCCCCAATGCCAGCACAAGCATACCCGCCGATGTCACTAGCGCCGCCAAAACCGCACAAAGACGCCGCCACCGACCCCAAAACACCCGCCCCTCCACCGGCGCTCTTAGCCACACAGCGCGACCCGGTCCCACCGCCGCGCGACCGGGACGCGCACGCCCTCTCGCGGGCCGCCGCGACGGCGACGACCATCACGCCGCGCCGCCCGCACAGCCCGCCCCTCCCGCAAGCGCAGCAAAGCAAAAAACGCAAGCTCGCACGGCCTCCCGCCGCCTCAGCGGGGGCACCCTTCCACGCCGCACGGTTCCCACACTTACCGGCTCCTCCACCCGCCGCCTCTGCCTCTGCCGCCGCCGCCGTTATCGACCCGCTCGCGGCGACAGTCGCCACATATATCTCGACCACCACGCGGCGGGCAGCCGACATCACGATCGCGCTGAAGCGGCGGGCGCAGAGCTACGAGATGATTGCGACGCATGAGCGGTGGGCGGAGTTTGCGCGCGGGCCCGAGAGCGCACGGCTCGATCTGCTGCGTGCCATGGATGATGCCGTCCAGGCGGACCGCGAGATTATTAGGGTTATTGCCGCTGAGCTGAGGGATACGATTGAGGCTAGAGAGAGGTTGGGGGGAATCGTGGATAGGGAGCTTACGGGTGAGGGAAAGGGGATGGGGGTGGCGATGGCAAAGGGGGAGGGCGCGGTGAGGAAGAGGGTTGTTGGTAGGAGAAGGGGGTGGGGATGGGGGAGGACCACGGTGCTCATTTGGGTACTCTTGCTGATGGCGTGCGCGGTCAAGTGGTACTTGGGGCTGGACAGGTTATGATCTTTTCTAATGGCTTTTTCGGGGGTTTTGATCGGGTGTAAGATATTTAGATTTGGGTAGCCGCATTACGGACATGGGTTACATGTAATATACTTCTTTTGTTACGCTGGGCGAAATGATGGCTCGACTTCTTCTCAGCTCTTAGGACGAACGGCTATCGTGATATTTCATAGATCTAACTATGGACATCCATCCATCCCTCTCTTGTCCATTACCGTCGCCGTCTATTGCCCGCCATGAGGATCCTCGGCTGGTTGTTCGGCTGCGCAATCTAGTCAGCATCACCTCTCACTCACTCATCCACATCACTGGGGAGGAAACTCACGATCCAGTTTGATCATCGTATCGATACGCATGATCGAGATACAAGCCTCGACGGCACTTTTGAGAGACTTGACCTTACTCATGGACGGCTCGAGGACACCGGCCTTCACCTCGTCTACGACCTTGCCCCGCATCAGGTCCAGACCGTAGTTCTTGTAGCCCTTCTTCTTGGAATCAGTCTCATCCGCGTTCTGGCTGGCTGCGTGGTATGAGCGCAGTTTTGCAACCAGGTCGGACGAGTCCTTGGCGGCGTTGATCGCCAGAGTCTTGGGGATGATGAGAAGGGCGGTAGCAAATTCGGCAATCGCGAGCTGTTCGCGGGAGCCCTGTAATGCGTGTTAGTATATGTATATGCGGGAATGAGAGGGTGTGATTTACCAAAGTGGTGGCGAAGTTCTCGAGGTAGATGGACAGGGCAGTCTCTACTGCTCCACCGCCGGGGACGACCTTTCCGCTCTCGAGTGTCCGCTTGACAGCGCACAGGGAGTCGTGAACGGAGCGCTCCATCTCGTCGAGCTGGTAGTCGTTGGCACCACGGAGGATGATGGAAGCCGAGGGGAAGGCCTTGGTTCCCTTGACGAGGATGCACTCGTCGTCGGATATCCTCTCCTGGACGACCTCCTCGGCGAAACCAAGACTTGACGGGTCGAAGACCTCATCACCCTCGAGGTTGGAAAGCGAACCGACGAGAGTAGCACCGGTTGCCTTGGCGATTCTTCGGAGGTCCTCCTTCTTGCAGCGACGTACGGCCATGACACCCCGTTCCACAAAGGACTTCAGGCACAGGTCGTCAATACCCTTGGTGGTCAGCACGACGTTGGCGCCGGCATCGAGGATGAGCTTGATGCGGTCCAACACCATGGATGCTTCCCTCTCGCGGATCTTCTCGAGCTGCGCAGGGTCGTCGATGGTGATGTGCACGCCGAGGGCCATTCTCTGCTTCTGGAAGTTGATGTCGAGGACAGCGATCTTTGCGTTCTGGATTCGGATAGGCATGGCCTGCGAGGCGACAGTGCAGTTCAACGCATATCCCTTCACCAACATCGTCTCCAACGCACTCTTTCCGTGGGCCTTCAGGATGTTGACCGCCTTAACCGGATACTTGGTTTCACCCCTGCCGTTGGTGGCCTTCACCGCCTGCATAGCATCCACGCACATGTTGGCGAAGAATTCCGAGTCCGAACCAATGATCTTGGAGGACATGGAGGTCTTTGCGATGTTGACAAGAGTTTCCCGGCCTAACGCGTCCACCGAAACCGACATGACATCCTGCATGAACCGCAGGGCCTCCCGCAGCGCAATTCGGTATCCGGTTATTATGGTTGTGGTGTGGATTCGGTTGCGGATCAGGTCGTTGGCTCGCTTGATGAGTTCGGATGCGAGTATCACTACCGTTGTGGTGCCATCTCCAACCTGATTTGATTCCATCAGCGAGGGGTTCTCCCCTTAGTAGTCTCCGAGGTTCGCATCGACTTGTCGTACCTCTTTATCTTGTTGCTGCGCCAGCTGTACCAGAATCTTTCCGGCAGGATGGTCCACGTCCAGCAGACTCAATATTGTAGCACCGTCGTTGGTCACCGTCACATCACCAATGTCATCCACCATCATCTTGTCGAGCCCGGCCGGGCCGAAGGAGCTCTTGACGATATTTGCGATAGCTTGCGTAGCGAGAACTGCAGATAGAGCCGTCAACGAACCGAATCGAAGAAACCGGGAGGATTGGGTTAATACCATTTTGGTCTCGAATGTCGGAACCACTGATTTTCTCACCACCGAGGACTGGGTAATCGATGGAATTAGCAACGGCAGGCAAGCAGAGGTTATTTTGTGGTATAGCTTACAGAGAGTACCACTGTTTCTAGGAGCTGAGAAGATTCCAGCCATAATATATGATGGAAGTTGGGACAATCGAGACGTTCGAGATGCGTGGTTGTAGCAGATGGCGGGGGGAGCAATACAGCAGCAGCAACAAGTAGTAGTTTATCTTTTCTGGGAGTTGAGCCTCGCACATTAGCTGAGTGAAGGAGGATGTGGCTTAGCAGTGGCATGTTGGCCCCGCCTATCGGATTGGTACTTAGCATGCCCAGTCCTACGCAGGCTTCGACACAGCCAATCACGCTTGCCAATAGGCTTGTCATCATCAGGCCTTCCTCCGTCCATGTATGTACGGCAGACAGCTCTCCACCCTCATCCTTCCCGAGAAAACCAAGTACTATACGTTTACCTCCCTAGTGCTTTACCGGCTCAACAACCACTCCACCCGCAAGACCTCCATTGCAACCTTCCGTATTCTCGAAATCTCGAACGCCCTCCGGCCTCAGCAGCGACATCAGCAGGCTTCCACGCGTCGGAACCAAACCTTACCGCCCGACACAACTTGCATCCGTGGTTGGAACATTTCACAACTTCAAAGTCGATCTACGAGGCTAACACTTCGTTTTTTCCGTAACGAAAGCACCTTTCTTTCTTCTAGGCGCAGCAGCAGACACAAAGATGGCCTCCCCAGTTAGCTCCTATGACGAGGAGGGAGAGATCTTCGAATCTGATGCAGAGAAGGCACCTCCATCGCTGCCTTCCGTGTCTGGCCCTAGCGTTGACCGTCCTTCAATTAGACTCCCGGCGAGAGCTTCGACGTCTCCACAAGATCCTCCGACCTCCACCTCGCGCTACAATGACCACCGCTACGATCGCCGCACTCCAAACAACAACGACGGGTACCAGCCACGAGGCGAGAAGCGGAGGCGGAGCCGGGAAGACGACGCGAGAAGCCACAGGGTGCACTACGAGGCGGGCGCGAGGGATGTGTCGATTCGTCGCCCAAGAGTCTCCTATGCCGATATAGATCGTGGGGATACCCAGACTTTCCGGGACGAGCTTTCCGACGACCACTTCGGTGTTGATTCCAACCGCTCTCGAACACGCAGTCGCTCACCTCCTCCAAGAGGCTCCAGACCAGACCGAGGAGGTAGGGGAGGCGGTGGTGGTGGCGGCGGGAGATACTACGATGACCGCAGGAGGGATGGACTGGATGGGCACTTCGACGGGAGGAATGGTCGCTACGGCGGGTATGGTAATGGAGGACGCCAGAGGTCAAACGACAGATCGCGTGGTGAACGGCGAGAGAACCCGGCTTCTTTTGATCGCGCGAGACGAGACGCTGAAACACGCAGTAAAGACTCGGATCGTCACGGAGGTCGGGAGGCAAAGTATGCAAGGCCGTCTGGAAATGAGAGGTGCGATACTCGCTTCGTGTGGCTATTGGAATCTGCAGCAGCTGACTTGTGAAGGTCAACAAACTGTGAAGACGACAAGAAATCAGCCAAAGAGCCCAAACTGGCGATTGAGGAACCTGTTGATGAGGCCAAGCTTATCGAGGAGCGCAGGAAAAAGAGAGAAGCTATCAAAGCCAAGTACCGAGGACAAGGCACTCCTATGCTTGCGACAGCTCTTGGAATCAAAGATACACCGGCGGCCTCTCCTTCCGACTCAACTGGACCCAATTCGCCCAGTAAGCCGAGCCTAGGTTCATCTAGCAGAGCCCAGGCTAACCTTGAGTCTAAAGTCACCCCAAGATCACCACCAGACTTGACCCCCGGCGGAGTCTTCACCCTCGCGAAACAAGGTGCCGCCGCTGAACCAGACGCCGAGCTGGATGCCGCGGATGAGCCATCGGCTGCTGATTACGACCCAACCCTTGACATGCGGGAAGATCAGAAGCGGAACGAGCAGCGGCTCCATAAGAATGAGGTTTCGTCTGGCGCCTATGATGAGATGAAAACCACTGACCGTGATGTCTTGATGCGGGAAGCCGATGCTCCTGCGAACCCCGAGCCTGAGAAGCCGAAGGCTGAGGGTGAGAACGATTTTGACATGTTCGCCGAAGGCGATGACGACGATATGTTCGCTCCTGCGTCAGCTACGACCGATCAGGAACCTGGAACCACCCCTAAGCCCGTAGCCACCATCGAGGCCAAGCAGCTTGATGCAGGCTTGCTGGATAACTGGGATGACGACGAAGGGTATTACAAAATGATCCCCGGAGAACTGATGGACGGTCGATACAAGGTGCAAATGAGTCTGGGTAAGGGCATGTTCTCTGGTGTAGTGCGGGCCAGAGATATGACCACCAATAAAGATTCGGCGATTAAGATCATTCGAAACAACGAGACGATGTATGCTACCACTGCCATTCTCACTTCCGATCGCTGCTGATGTGCAAAACAGGCGTAAAGCAGGCATGAAGGAGATCGATATCCTCAAAAAGCTCGCGGAAGCAGATCCCGAAGATAAGAAACATGTCGTGAGACTTGAGAGGTACTTTGAGCACAAGGGACATTTGTGCATCGTTTTCGAGAACCTAAAGTCGGTAATCCCCGCTCCTCATCATGGCCGGATATGTTAATAAGTTGTGATTCAGTATCAACCTCCGAGACGTGCTCAAGAAGTCTGGTATTCGCGATGTTGGTATCAGCCTCAACGCTGTCCGGGCGTACGCACACCAGATGTTCCTCGGTCTGTCGCTCCTGCGGAAATGTAACATCCTACACGCCGATCTCAAACCCGACAATGTTTTGGTGCGTTGTCAGATTCTACTCCTCTCCCTCCCACATCATGCTAATGGCTTATTTTAGGTGAGCGAAAGTCAAAACGTCCTCAAGATTTGCGATCTTGGTTCTGCCTCGGATGCATCTGAGAATGATATAACCCAGTACTTGGTCTCACGTTTCTACAGAGCACCAGAGATCATCCTGGGAATGAGTTACGACTTCGCTATTGATATGTGGTCGATAGGATGCACCCTGTACGAACTGTATACCGGTAAGATTCTGTTCACTGGCAGAACCAACAACCAAATGTTGCGGAGTATCATGGAGTGCCGCGGAAAGTTCTCCAACAAGCTGCTTCGCAAGGGACAATTCACACCTCTGCACTTCGATGAGATGGGCAACTTCAGGAGCGTCGAGAAGGACAAGATTACGGGGAAGGTGTGTAATCAATTGATCTTTGGTCAGCCATTAAGAACGATTTGCTGACTGGCTGGTGTAACAGGACGTGGTCAGGACAATAAACTACACGAAGCCGACCAGAGAGTTAAAACAACGCCTCCTTTCGGCTGCCAGTGGTAGCGAGACCGAACTGAAAGAGCTCAACCTTTTCGTGGATTTATTAGAAAGGTGCCTCAACCTCAACCCGGAGAGGCGATGTACTCCGGACGAGGCTCTGAAGCACCCATTCATCCGACGCCCGGTACCTTCGGCCAGATAGATAGAGCCGGACGCGGATTGGAATGGCATTATTTCAAGGCAACTGTCAGGTAGATGATTTGGTGCATTGCTTGATTGGTACGATACACGGTAGTCGGTTGAAGGCAGCTTCTCAGTTTCATGTGCGTGCGTGTTTTTTCTTCTTTCCCAGCCACTGCAGTTTACTGGCTGGATAATGGGATTGTATTGGATCGGTGTTTGATAGAGATACTTTCTGTATGTAAGTGCTTTTGTATGATTTTTGCGAAGTAGGTTAGCGGAGATATCACGTGCTGCTAGCCAAGGTGCCATGATTCGCGTGGCCCCTTTCTGTGAATATTTCACTATACGCGCACACGCGTTTCGAATATCCTGCACAACCTTAGACACGCCTCCACCCGCATCATCCTTCCACGCCACACTCCGCCAATTCATCTCTCTTCACGACTAACGACTCTCTTTCTTCAAGCGGTGGAATATCTCTCTCAAATCGGCCTCCATTCATCGCTATTAAAGCCTTCTCCACGATCTGACGCCCCCGAACCACAATCTCTGAAACCCCACCTTCTATCACTCCACAATCACAATGGAGAGGCCTCGTATCGGCGATGTAGTCCAAGGCGACCGAATTCGGATGTTCTCCGAGTTCCTCGATCCCCACGACGACGCGCAAAAGAGCTACGCCGACGAAATCAAGCGAATGCTTGCACGCGGCGAGCGGCGACTGCAGGTATCTCTCGACGAGATCCGAAACCACAACCGCGAGCTCGCCGACGGACTCCTCAATGATCCTTTCGAGTTTCTTCCTGCGCTCGATAAAGCCCTCAAGGATACGGTCCGCGCTATGCCGAATGATGGACGGTTCCCGGTCATCACCGACGATACCATGTTCTACTGCGCCCTCATTGGGAGTTTCGGAGAGTATGCGGTCAATCCGAGAACTTTGAGCAGTAAACACCTGAATCATATGATCTCCATGGAGGGTATTGTCACCAGGGTTAGTCTGGTCAGGCCGAAGGTCGTCAAGAGTGTGCATTGGAACGAGAAGAAGAAGCTGTTTCATTCAAGGGAGTATCGAGATCAGACCATGTCCGTCAATGCGCCGGCAACAAGCAGTGTACGTTTTCTATCCACGGGGAAAGTGGTATATAAATGCTGATTGAACCAGGTCTACCCCCAAGAAGATGAAGCTGGCAACCCGTTGATCACCGAGTACGGCCACTGTATCTACCGTGATCATCAAACTATCTCGATCCAGGAGATGCCTGAGCGTGCCCCGGCTGGTCAGCTCCCAAGAAGTGTGGACGTGATAATGGACGATGATCTGGTGGACAAGTGCAAGCCCGGTGACCGAATCCAGCTTGTGGGTCTCTACCGCTCTCTGGGAAACCGTAGTGCTGGCGAGGGATCATCGACCTTTCGCACTCTTTTACTAGCGAACAATGTGATTCTGCTTTCCTCGAAGGCTGGCGGTGGAATTGCGCAGGCGATCATCACAGACACGGATATCCGCAACATCAACAAGCAAGCAAAGGACAAGAACATCTTCAATAAGCTTGCCACGTCACTGGCTCCCAGTATCTACGGCCACGACCACATCAAGAAGGCAATCCTGCTAATGCTGTTGGGTGGTATGGAGAAGAATTTAGATAATGGAACCCATTTGCGAGGAGATATCAATATCCTGATGGTCGGTGATCCTTCCACTGCCAAATCACAACTCCTCCGGTTCGTCCTTAACACAGCGCCGCTGGCGATCGCCACGACCGGACGGGGCTCCTCCGGTGTCGGTTTGACCGCTGCCGTTACCTCCGACAAAGAAACGGGTGAGCGCCGCTTGGAGGCCGGAGCCATGGTTCTCGGTGACCGTGGAGTCGTGTGCATCGACGAGTTTGACAAGATGAGCGATGTCGACCGAGTAGCCATCCACGAAGTCATGGAACAGCAGACGGTCACCATCGCCAAGGCCGGTATCCACACCTCGCTCAATGCACGGTGCTCGGTCATCGCCGCCGCAAATCCCATCTACGGTCAATACGATCCCCACAAGGATCCCCACCGTAACATTGCGCTACCCGACTCGCTGCTCTCGCGTTTCGATCTTCTCTTTGTCGTAACAGACGACATCGAGGACGTGCGTGATCGTCAGATCTCTGAGCACGTCCTCCGTATGCACCGCTACCGCCAACCGGGTACCGAAGAAGGAGCTCCTGTCCGCGAAGGCGCCCAGCAGATGCTCGGCGTCGGCCTCGCAGACGACAACGCGGACTCGGGTCGGCCAACCCCCGTCTTCGAAAAGTACGACCAGATGCTGCACGCCGGAGTCACCATGACGCAAGGCCGCGGCAAGAAAAAGGAGCCGGAGATCTACACCATGGCATTCGTGAAGAAATACATCCAGTATGCTAAGACACGTATAAAGCCCGTTCTCACCAAGGGAGCGGCCGACCACATCGTCATCACATACTCGGCGTTACGAAACGACCAGCTTGAGGGAAGCCAACGCCGCACCTCCCCCATGACCGCTCGTACCCTCGAAACCCTCATCCGGCTCGCCACCGCCCACGCCAAATCCCGTCTCTCCAACCGCGTAGAACTCAAAGACGCCGAGATCGCTGAAGACATCATGCGTTTCGCGCTCTTCAAGGAAGTCATGCAGCCCGAGCGCCGGAAGCGCCGAAGGGTCGACGACGACGTCGAGATGGCCAATGGCAGCAGCTCCGACAACGACTCGGACAACGACAATGCAGGCGACGAAGCCCTCCGCCTCGCTGCCAACATCCCAGAAGTGGAAATGGAGGAAGCAGAAGCCGGCAACGTCGACGACGACCTCTACTCGCGTCCGACTCCACGCTCCTCCCGCCGCTCCGCTCGCTCCACCGCTGCAGAAGCAGCAGGAGAAAGCCAGGAGAGTGTTTCGTTCGCATCCAGCATTCCCCCGACTTCTGGCTCACAACAGACCGCCTCGTCGTCGTCTGCAATCTCGCCAGCGAGACTGGCGGTATTCCAGATGCAACTAGCAGGACTCCTGGAAGCACCGGTGTTCAGTGATGATTATGCAGAGATTGCGCCGCTGGTCGAGGAGGTCAATAAGGGGCTGTCGGTCAGAGATCAGTTTGAAATGCCAGAGGCGAGACTGGCACTCGAGGAGATGACCGAGAGGAATATGATCATGTTGAGCGCCGATATGGTTTATAAAGTGTAGTTAGATGGGTTGGGGTTGGGGTTGGGAAAGGACGATACCTACATTGCTATGTTTCTTGCTGGTTTTGGGTGCGGATTAATGAGACCTCAATGGCCATTTGGGCTGCCCGTCAATATCACTCGGGAATTTCCGTGAAATTTGTTAAACTCCATACTGCATTCAATCAATCAAGATCATGGCATAGGATTTAGGGAGCAGTGCCAATGCGACTCGCGATTTGTGACTCGTAACTCGTGAGCCAGTGGTATCACATGAATCCTGGGAATTACCGTATGTGGTCGAGTGATATTGGAGCTGACGATGCTGGGTAGGACGTTGAGTTTGTATGCTGCATCAAAACTCTCACGGTCACTCGCCAATCGTCTGCAATACCTATTCCATTCACTCTCGCTTGCACTTGCCTAGCACGAGTGTCTGCAACGTCTCATTCACTCTCACATTCACCCACCCATCTTTTGCAATATTCCATTCACTCTCACGGTGACTCGCCAATCGTCTGCGATATCTCATTCACTCCCGTGCACTCGTCGAGCACGAGTATCTGCACCGTGCCATTGACTCTCGCGGTCACTCGCTAATCGTCTGCAATGTCTCATTCACTCTCACGTCTCTTTACGCAGCACGAGTGGCTGCGTCGTGCCATTCATTCTCACATTCGCCCATCCATCGTCTGCAATATCCCACTCACTCCCACGTGCACTCGTCTAGCACGAGTGTCTGCAATGTCCCATGCACTCTCAGGTACCTTCACGCAGTAAGAGTGTCTGCACCGTGCCATTTACTCTCACGGTGGCTCGCCAATCGTCTGCAATATCCCATTCACTCTCACATTCGCTCACCCATAGTCTGCAATATCCCATTCACTCTCACGTTCACTCGCCCAGCACGGGTGTCTGCAACGTGCCGATGAGGACCCTCTGCCCCGAGCCTTATCCCTTCAGGACGAGCGGCTCTCCTCCTTCCGGTCCTTTCCTTTCCTTTCCTCTCCCTTCCTTTGAATCTTTCCCTTTGCGCTCGCTTACTCTCAACAACAGGGGTCCTCAAACCTCAAATGGAATGAAAAAATGGAATGAGTTGCGTATTTCCATTTGTATGGAGTAGTTTGAGGACCCCAGGTGGAATGGGGGGTGGATTACGGGGTGGATTGGTTATTTAGTGGCGAGGAGTAGGGGGAGGAGCAGGGGGGGTGGCGTCCACGGCGACGGGGGGTCTCGCGGATTTACTCAGTCATTTCTGCTCGGTGACTAGAGTCATTCCTGCTCATTGACTAGTCGTTCCTGCTTATTGACTAGAGTCAATCCCTCAATGACTAAAGCCATTCCTTCAATGACTCTAACCGTGTGGGTTGATTGACTCTTGCAATGCTTCCCGGATGACATCTTCTTCCATCCATAAAACAGGGTCTGGTTCTATGTTACCTATACCTACCTGTTAGAAGCTAGGGGAGTTTAATTGTACAAGCTATCTACTGTCATAGGTATCTACTATAGTACAACACCCCTCCCGTCAATTGCCCTTCCCCGTATGCTTCCTTGAATTCCAGTCCGCCCCTCCCTTCCCTTCCCATTCCTCACGAAACCTCTCTTTGTTCTGACTCCTCACTTTGTTCCATGTTCCCCTTCCCTTCCCTTCCCTTCCCATCCCATCCCCTTCCTCCCACCTCCCTTGAGCATAGAAAGGGGCAACCTATGTAACCAATCACAGCCAGCCACAAAGCAAAAGCTGCCTGTCTGTCGCGAGCGAGCGAGTGCTCGAACCTCCCCAGCTCCCAGGCTCCCAGCACGCCCACCACGCCCACCATGCCCACCACACCCACCCCACGCTACTAGTAGTTAGTCAGGGTGCACGAGTAGACTGTCAAGTCCTAGCAGATAGTCAGGCACCGGCCCGCTTGGTGCATTGGTGTTTTGGGATTAGTCGTTCACTAACTCCTAGCATGGCAGGGTGGGACGAAAGTGAGACGTGAGGCTGGTTTGCCATTCGGATGTCGGGGACTTCGGATGCTGGGCTTTTCTTTTTGGCGCGCGGGAGACGGTGGTGCGCTTGAATACTTTCTTTCATGAAAGCTTGGATTGGACATCTTCACCCTCTTACAAAGTATCCACCCCCGAAGGCCGAAACCACGAACAGTCTCAGTCCCGGAGCTTATAATGTAGGTAATGGTATATTAGATACAGAAATAAGCTCTTCGCACAAAGCACAGAAAGAATAAATGAGACAATGAGACATCGAATAGCAAAGCAAAAAACAATTCACTACAATACTCCAAACCGATGCACACGTATCAAAGAGAAAGGAAAAAGAAAAAAGTGAAAGACCCCCCCGCATTCTTGCTACCGATAGACATCTTGACAGCATCCCTTTTTATACCTTTCATTTCGTACCACACTCCCGTCCGCCCCTCCCGCCCATCAACCATCAATCGACCATCAATTACAACCAAGAAAAGTAAAGGAAAAAAGAGGAAAAAAACGCCCTGTTGTCTATAGATTACCGCCCAGGATTGCTTCCGTAGCTGTTTGAGATGTGTTAGCCAATGTTCTGGATAATAAGGGAGTGAGAAGGGTGAGCATACCAGAGTTGATGTAAGTCCTCTTCGCATTCAAGTTCATTCCAAACCTCATTTCCAGCTCCGCCTTGATGCTCTTCTTCGTGACGGTCATGAGATCGGCGGTGCGGAGGATATCCCTGATCTCAGCGAGGAGGGCATCATCGGACGGCAGATCCAACATCTCCATCTCGACGCCGTAAGCACCGCTGCGCTGGCTCATCATGTCGGACTGCGCCATGGACATGCGGCCATGTTGCTGCGGGATCGGGAGCTCGAACGTCGACATCGGGCGGCTAGCGTAGCCGGGAGGCATTCCGCCGCCGTTACCGCCAAAGCCGTACTCCGAGGTGGGAGCGTACGACTTGGTGCCGTACGAGTAACCGGATACTTCGGAGCGAGTGTCGTCGTGGCCGCGCTGCGTCTGCTGGTCCCAGAGTTCCGCCTGGTAGTCTTCCCACTTCTTGCGAGGGATGCTGGCGGGGTCGAACTTGCCCTCCTCGGAGATGACGATCTTCTGTCCCTTCTCTCCGGTGACGACACGAGTGTTACCCCACGAGAAATCGTCCATGTGCCAGAACGAGTATAGCGGAAGCGCGAAACTGAAGACGGGAATGGCAATGATGTACAGAATCATCCATCCAATCATCTCCCACTTTCTTCGCATGATGAAGATGATAGCTTGCAGACCGTAGACGGCGGCGAGCAGGACGAACGCCATCATGGGTACCAGGTCCGAGCTGCTTGCAACCATGTAGATGAGGTATCCGAGATAACCGACCGTGACGGGGGCGAGGATAGTACTGAGCAAGTCGAGGAAGACAACGAAGCGCATAGAGAAACAGCAGAAACCGCAAAGCTGCTGCATGGGTACCAGCTCAGCAAGATTGTGGATGGTCGAGTTAATCCATCGTCGACGTTGGGACAAGAAGACGGCCCAGGAGTCAGGAGCAACGGTCCAGGCGTGGGCGTCAAAGATGAACTTGGTCTTGTACGAAGCATGATGTTTCAAGAGCAGAGTCGTCAGGTATCGATCCTCACCCAAGTGGAGCAAGTTCTTCATGTGCAGCGTATCGACACGGTTCTCGGCGTAGGACTCAACAACCTCACGGCTGACGAACAGGGGCTTTCCGGTTTCGGCTGCGCGAATGCGGTACATCGAGAAACAACCAGGCAAACAGGTTACCGAACCGAACAAACTTTCGAAGGCCTTCGCAAGGTTGTGGGAAATGAAGTATTCGTAGACCTGGATCATGGTAACGAACGAGTGCTTCGCATTGTTGAGACCAGTCTCTCCGCAGAGAGCGATGATTCGGGTATCTGCTAGGAAAGCAGCCACCATTCGAGTGCCAGAGTCCGGAGCGACAACGGTATCGGCGTCGATCTGCAGGATAAACTCGTAGAAAGTGGGATTCACCCCAATGATGTTGCGAATTTGATGGTGCATCTCGAGTTCGAGCGGGCTCATGGCTTCATTGTAGTGTACGCGGTTCAAGAATCGCATGATAACCATCTGAGAGTCACGCTTTCCTCGGTTACCAGGCCTGGAGACCTCCGATGGCTTTCCAATCTTGACTACGACCAGGAAAGGCACGATGTGTCCTTGCACCTCGTACAGTCCGGAGTAAATCTTGCCCATGTTGTGCCGCTTTTGACCTTCTCCCAGAGACTCGAAGCTCAGGGGCTGCGGGTCCACTGATTCCGGCACACCGAGAATGTCGAGAACAATGCGAGGGGTGGGTCGGTCGTTTCCTTGTCCGATAATCATACCGTCACAAACAACAATCAAAAGTTTGCGCTTGTCGTCGTAGCGCATCCTGGCCACGGAGTCGATAGCACGTCGTAGAGAATCTTCGTCTTCAGTATACGCCGGGACCTGACACATGATGAATTTGTCGAGATTCTCGGGCATGTTCTTCCTGCCGAACTGAAGCGCAGCGATAAACTTGAATGCGATGACCGAGACGAGGATGATCGTGATGGCGAGGAGGAGATACCGCGCGAATTGACATTGTGCCGAATTTCTTGTGTCGAGTTTGCCGACATAAAACAGTCGATTCAGACAGACCCTCATACGATCCTTGACAGCATTGCTGAGGTTGAGGGTTTCCCAGTATTTGGTGATGTCTTGTCCGGCCCGTCCAGAGAAGAGGTCTGCCACTTGCTGATCCATGAAATCGACGTTGATACTCGACACATCCGTATCCTCCTGGCCCGCCGGCAAAATGATTCTTCGCCCACCCTTGTTGTACACAGTCATGTCATAGACTCGTTCTCCAATGATGGCCATGTCTTTGGCCTGGCTCTTTGCAGCCCTCGCAACATCCTTGGCGGAATATGCTATATCCCCCATCTTGAAATTAGCTCTCATGACCATCATCTGCTCATAGAACCAGTCGGGCCGTGAGTCGTTTGTGAAATAGCGGAAATCGTGATATTTGGCATTCTTGTCCAGTGTCGTGTCCTGCGTGGTGTTGGTGCCCTTGTAGGAGAGCTGCACTGCGGGGTGAACGGTCCCGTCAACTCCACCGCACAGAGCCGAGACTTGGACGGGGAAAAGGTTGGTGGCATCCACTCCGGCGTAGCTCCAGTAAGATTTATCGGGGATGATGTTCGGGTAGTGCGACGGGATGAATGAGGTGAGATCAAAGACTACACCCCGAATAGCGGTGTAAGCAGTGTCTTCGGTGTGATCCTTGCCTCCATTATGGCTGGAGAGCTCAGCGAGTGAGTAAACGTCTTGTCTGGGACAGATCAACTCGGGGAAAACCACTAAGATATCATCAGTAATCCGCACCAACCGCAAATATCACCCCGAGGTCCTTACAGAGGAAGAAGATCGCAACACCACACGACAGCCAAATCATCAAGTTGATGGCAAACTTTTCACGCCAGGCAAGTTGCACGTCTTTACGCTTGATACGGCCGAGCCAGCGAATCAAGAAGTCCGGAACGAACCACGTAAACAGCCAGACGACAAACATCCACCGTTTACGCGTACCTGATACGGGCAACTCCTCGATCTCCTCTTCCCGCGCGGCTTTGCCCTTTTCTGCCATTTGCTCGCGGGTGTCGAAGTTGCGGAACATGTCGCCTTGATTGAACGCCGATGCCGCCGCTTCTGACCGCAGATCGTCGGATTTCGCGAAGTAGCCCTGCTTCGTACCAGCGCCGTAGATGTGAGACCCTAGACCAGCCGAGGGACTTTGGCCGGGGATTAGACGCACTCTGGAGTCTGAGCCACTAAACAGACCGCCACCTCCACCAGTCTCGCCGACTGGCGTCAACGGGCCACTGCCTCCGTCGTCTGGGTCAGCAGCATACGCAGCACCGCCGCCGACAGCTCGCGTATTCGTCGAGTCACCAAGCTGTGCGACCTCGAACCAGCATCGTTCGCTGAGGAAAATACCGGTAGCTCCGACGCGGGCCTCGTTCGGTTCCCAGCCTTTATCCTCGACCACAACTTCGGCTTTCTCCCGCTCACTACCAACGATAATGCTATCCGCCTCTGCGAGCCCCAAGAACTCACCAAACGGCAGAAACACCGAAAAGTCCGCATTCCGCACGCGCTGAGAAATCTCCGCGATACCGAGAGTCCGGATCTGAGTGCGTACACACTTGGAATCGAACTGGTTGGCGATCCGGCGGTCGTTAGGTTTCAAACAGAAGATGAAGTATGGGTTGGTATTCGTGCCAGTGAGTGACCTCGTTACCGTGTCCAGCGCACCGACAAATTGACCGGCAGCACCCTGTTCGATTAAGGTGGCTTCCTTAGCCTCGGATTTCTGGCCTGGCTTCTCCCCCTTCTTCCTCATGACGCTGGGCATCCGCAACGGCCGAGATGAGATTTGTCCTTGCATGATAGCCGTCTTCTCGCGCGGATGATTTATGGTAGTCACAGCCTTACTGCTGAACAGGTCGGTGATGAAAGAGCTGGTCGTTCCGCGGAACAGGTTCATTAGATCGGCGGAGATGATTTCACTGTTCTGTTCGATTAAGCCGGTGACGGGGTAATCGACTTCACCGGCAAAATGCTTGACCGTGAAGCTGTTGCCAGCCGACTGGAATTGCGCTCCTGGGAGAGGTGAAGAACCACCGATGCTGATCGCAGGGTTGCCCTTGGCGTCGAAACGCTTCTTGAGACTCTCAAGGAGCTGAGCGTCGGAACGGCCTCGTTTGGTCTGATCATCAAGAATGCTGAGCAAGCCATTGCTGGTCTTCAACAAGCCACGCACGGCGTCGGAGTTATCAAAGTAACTGGTAGCCGGCACGGAAACCTCCTCGTTCTCCAAAAGCTCAGCCTTCTTGTCGAAGAAGCTTTGCAGACAGAAGTTGTACAGACTCTCGGTGGCCGCATTGTTGAGCAACTGGTCAAGAGTGCTACCGGTAGAGGAAGTCTGCGAGAACCCGGGGAAGTCGATGATCGAGATCGTGTTGCCGATTGAGTCCTCGACCGCGCACAGGCGCTCGTTACACGACTCGATGATCCACGCGACGAGCAGAGAGTATAGCGTTCGCGCAAGCTCATCCGCATGTGCTCTAGCGCCTTTGGCATCGAGCATGACCGTCACCCTTTCACGGTGGAGCGTTTTGGTTCGGTATCCCAGACTAGTCTCCAACGCATCCTGAGGGACTCCCAAGAACGCGGCGATCACTCCGAGCACTTCCTTGTTGCGCACAACCACCACCTGGTCACCTCCTTCCATTGCACCGGATTCCTCGCCGCCAGCCGTGGTAGCGTGGCCATTAGCGAATTCGAGCTGACCGAGGTGCAGCACGCACGCAAGGAGCTGGCATATCTCGGCGATTTCCTGGCGTGGAAATTCTAACTTTCTTAGAGCCGTCTTGAAGTGCTGGAACCCCTCGGTGTCGTTGATGCCGACCTTCAGCTGTGTCGGATGTCCAAGGTATTTCCAACGCTTCTGGGCCGACTTGCCGCTCAGGTCACCACTGTGCCTGTGGGCGGCAGTGGTTGCGTTTTTGAGGCCCAAATGCTCTTTCTCTGCGTCCGAAGTTCCCGCCAGGAGATAGTAGAGAACGTGAAAGTTCCTTTCTCCGGTCGGAATGCTGGTGATCCGCGATCTTTCGAGGCGGTGATCGAGCAGCTTCGCACCAATCAAAGTCTGAGAGATGTTTTCATATTGTAGCTCGAGGAACAAGCCGGCTTTGGAGGCCGTGGCCGTCGTCAGGGATTTTGTCGTTGTCAGCGCGTCGAAGAGGTACGCCAGGAGCGAGACCTTGTGCGAGAGCGGCGTCGAAGTGAAGCCCAACAACGACGAGAGCAGCTGCGAGCGGAGCGTCGTCTTTCCAGATCCCGACTCTCCCCTTTTTCCCCCGGTATCAGCATTCCACGCTCATACACGACGACCACACCAACACCGTACTGATAACAAAACAAAGACAATGGACGAGAACTCACAAAAACACAGCAACCTGATTCTCCCCCCTACCGCCCATACGCTTCCACATCCGCGTGGCCATATTCTCGAGGTCCACGCCGACGACATGGGGGTTCGAAAAGGTGTTCAACGAGACGATTGCCTGAGATCCGAGAGTGGCTGTTGGCAACGCCAGGTGGAATCGTGAGGCCAGGTGAGCCGTGATGTGGGTGTCGGACTGGAGATGTGCAGGTAACGACGGCAGCGAAGGCTGCGACTGAGGGGATTGTTGCGCCATGGCGGGCAAATTCGCGGGCGAGTTCGCGGGCGGGCGGTGGTGGTGGGAGGGGATTGCGCCCCTCGCGGGAAACTTTGTATAACTTCGACAGCCGTCTACTTGCCCTCACTCGTCCGATTTCACTGCAAGAGGAGGCTCCCTCAGTAGCTAATTGCGATGCGTGTTGGAATAAGTATCGTTAGACGGCGGATAGATGGCTAGCTGGTCGTGATGCAGGAGGAGTTCGAGTATACAGCGGCAGTGAAGTGGGAACGATGAGAGAAAGGGGAACGAGAATGTTGTTGTTGCTGTAGTAGTGAGTGGTGGTATTGGGTGAGACAGCACGAATAAGCAAAGGGCAGGAGAGCAGTGAGCGTGGACGTTTGCCAGAAAACAAACAGAGTCGGTGGAGACGGAGACAAAACACGCGCCCAAGTGCAAGAAGCGATGGGAGGGTTCTACTTCTGCCGAACCACGACTGATCGTAGTGGAAAGTAGCGGGAGCTGGTGGTGATGGTGATGGCGGGTTGCTGGATTACTTTCGGCGGTGTTGATCAGACAGAGAAAGATATGGGTGAGGGTATTCTGGCATGCAGTCACTAAGGCGGCGTTGTTATTGCTACACACTGCTACGGGGATGTCTCGATGCCCCTTCACTTCCGCTTCTTCCCACCCATCCCTTTTCCACGACGTGGGATAACATAACTAAACGGTGTGGCGTCGAAGCAGGCACGGGTGGGTGGGTATATGGGAGCACCCATCTAAACCCATCAGGTCACGATGGTTCGGAAAAGGAGTCAAAATTTACGTCTTAGTTTAGCACATCACCACCATCATCACGGTCCGAGCAGACAGTTATCGAGACCAATTTAGATCCACAGCAACTCGCAAGTGGGCATCGAGCCGAGCCCCAAGTTGACGGTGAAAAGGAGTGTCGAAGGCTTTATGTAGAGTAACCGAGCTTTTTCTCTGCTCTTTTTCTGATGGAGGATTCGGATTCTGCAGAGAAGTGCATGTAGGTACCAGGTAGCAGATACAACGTAAAGACAAGAGAAGGATTTGTAGTACATATTGCGGGCTTCCCTCCTCGTATCGTGCAACCCGAATTCGTCTCCTGCCAGGCACGCGATTTGGAAATTGGTGGAGAGTGCGATGAGCGGTTGTTGCTCCTAGCAACGCCATATCCAAGAAGCGACAGAGCATCACGATCGTCAACAACAATGTCCTATCAAAGAACATCACCGACACCATCATCAACAAAGTGTGGTCTCCAGGTTTTCCCAATGAACACGCACGGCTCAAGTACCGTACTCTATTGCTTTACGCAGAGTACCTCCGTCCGGAGTTCTCGAGTTGCCGTACTATCGAGTACCGCACTGTACCGCACAGTCCGCACAGGTGATGATAGTTGCTATTTCCGGAACACCGATCATCCTATCCTCTCCGCCGCCATCCACCTCATCCCTTGCGCGACGACCGCCGCATGCCACGGCCTGCTTCCTATTCGCCCCTAGCCACGGCCGACAGAATGGATCTCCGGATCGCGACGGCTGCTAGGTTGCGCAGGAAGACCCTTCTGTCTGGGGGCGAGCTTGTATGATGGATGATGTACGAGTCCGAATCTCAATGAACTCGACGGTCGAGGCTTGTTTCTCTACCGAACTTGATGTTCTATGTATCATATGCACCTCCGGACGTTACCACCTTCCCACAGAGACTCGAGAAGGATCACTGATGCATTGGTAAGGGACGTCTGCAGGCATCGGGGTAGGCGCTAGAAGGAGCAGAGTGCTTACATAACTCTCTGCATGGCTCAGGAGACAGGTCAAAACAGCCCTCGTTTGGGTGCGGTGGAGGAAGAAGGTTGCATCCGGCAGCTTTGGGCGTGTGGTCATGGCAACAAGCTGGTGTTTATTTGGATCATCCATCCATCGTCCCCCCTCCAACAACAATAATAAGAACCCAGATTGGCTGCGTAACACTTCGTCTCAGCTGTGTCAGGATCGTCAGGAAAGCCGCACACGCATACATATCTGGGAGCATGTCGACGCCTGACGGATCAAGAGTTGTCATCGCGGAGAAGGAATCAAAACATCCCTAAACGGCAATAACTTTTCTTTTCGCTTTCTGCTGCTGTGCTTTTCAGCTTCTCCTTTCACGCCCTCCCGCGCATATCCCTCCCCTCCTCAGACTTGCAGCAATGGCCGGACAAGAGACAAGGGGCACCGGAGACGCAGAGCGAGAGAGAGAAAAAAAAATGAGATGTACCGAATCTACATTCGTTTCTTATTATAGCCGAGTGTGTTGGCCCATGGCACCGTCCAAAATTCAAATTCCATCAGCGTCATTATCCGCAACCCGCATGTGAGCAGGAAGGGAACGGGAGCGATATGTGTGTGCGTGCAGACACAGAGTTGTCACAGACATGAGGATGAGGAAAGGCAATGGAGAACGCGAGGTACATACGGTAGATAAGCCAATAAATGGGCCGGCTTCAACTCAAGGGACGCGTACGCTCGAAGATGTACGATGTGCAGTTATAGTAGGTAGCCAGCCTGGCTGCCGGCCGACTCTGTCTTCGCTGCCATCCATCCATTAATCCGCCTTCACGATCTTTCCGTTGAAGCTCGAACTCGTTCTCGTTCCTTCAATGGAAGCCTGAAGGGCGAAGGGCCCGAGAGAGCGTCTACGAAACGCTAGCAGTCGCTAGCAGATCGGGCTGGCTCTCGTTGTCCGTCGTTGTCGCTTGCCGCGATTCTTCCGAAAGTGTTGCCTGGACTCTGGACTTCCCGACGCTCCCGGATCGTTGAGGCCTCTGTGAACGACTAACCCTTTTGGGCGATTGTCCGAGTGGCTTTCTCGAGCCTAAAAAATGCTGTTCTTAATCTCGTCTTCACGGTCCATCACGCGAATCTTCGAACTTTTATTCGGTCGTCTCTGAGGGTCCGGTTCCTATCTCCACTGCTCAATACATTCCGATAACACCACCGAGTCGTCTTCAATCGCAGCCAGATCATATCTGTGTGATTAACACGGACACTGAACTGTCGAGTTGAGCTCTGTAGAGTACGGGCGATAAAACTCAAGAAGAAGTCGATAAGAGTATGAAATATATCTCCATCACTACACATTCCGCGCTTTTGGATGTACAGTGCACATCGATCGGATCACGATCGATCTGTTAATCACATTTTAGGGACACTTTGTATGGTGTCCAAAGCTTCGGTAATCGTGAGCTTCACGATTTGGCAGCGAGTTGTGCGGATTCGCAAAGAAGGCTGAGACCGTGACAAGAAAACAAGCCGTGGTTTGTACGATTATGCTTTCATCGGCTTTCGGTGCTAGTACATTAAAATAGGGGCATCTGACAACGAGTCCGAAGCCGGATTTCGGATCGAAAGAAACCGGTAAAATAAACAAAACCGTAAACAAACACGAACCCCCACCGACAACACGTATGTAGCAGTCGAACCGTCGGGCGCTATGCCAAGTGATTGCAAATCGGCCAAAACTCCCCGTTCTGGCGTTTTGCCATCACGCCCTTGTGGTGTTAGCCGATTAGTGGCATCGAAAAAAGCCCATGCCCACTCCCGTCGATGCCACGATGGCAGGGATGCGGAAAATAGGAGAGCATCTATACTCTACCCTGCGACCGGAATGGAAGTGGAATGGTCTCACAGCACAGGAACAGTGAACGCACCCTAGCGGAAAGTAGCACCGTGGGGCATTGGCAGCGGGAACGAAGGAAAGGAAAACTGCTGCTGCTGGGTGGTGTTGGTTGGGCTGGCTCGACTGGGCTGCTTGCTGCTTGCTGCCATCCATCATCTATTCTCGCGACCCACAACAACCAGGACCTCCATACAGAACGACCTCCTAGCCCATACCTCTCTTACTGGTGGTCGACTGTCTTGCTTGTTGCCGTAACAACAACCCTCGTTCTTGGTCCTCTTCCTCTCTTTCTTCTCCCACTCTCGCTCTCCCTTTTGGCTCACTACTTCCTATCTCGCTGTGGAAAAAAAAACATTCGGGTCACTTAATCGTTTGTTTGGCGTGTCCCCGTCTTGCCCGTGCTTCGTTCCTCTTCCCTCCCACTTAGGAGACTTATCTCCAAGCGCAAACAAATCTCAAATCTCAGCGGACTACACGCATCTCATTGTTTTGCGTCTCACTCGAGAGATCCCTCGCCTGTTCCTGCCCATCAACCCAACTCCCAGAACTGCTCCTCGCATCAAGGAGACTGTGCAACCTATTCTTCCCCCCCGAACCGTTCAGCACTACTGGTGCGCACCTGTATAGTACGGCCAACTACTTCACATTCCGCTTCTGCGGCGCGGGCTCTCCCTGAGTAAACTCCCGCGATGTCGTTCACCAATCGACAATCAATCTACTCGACGACGTCGGCAGCACCATATGGCGGCATGGCTGCGAACCAGACCTTGACGACATCTTCGCTTCTTTCAGCCCTTCACAATGCTTACCTCTCGTGTTCAGTCTATTCCCTGGATGCGGCAACATCCGTGGTCGTGAACTCCGGCTCGGGCAGGGCGGCCGTACACTCGACGGGAGTCTTCGATGAGGAGTTGGGGATGCGAGCTTGGGAACATGCACGGCGGAGAGCTGAGGACCAGACTATCGTGTTGACGTACGTGAAGATTGGCCCCCCAGATGACCGACCTGGAAGCTAGCCAGGTGCCGGAAATCTCATGATTGTTTGACCCCCCGCTGATGAGGAATTCTTTAGGTCTTTGCATGCGCTCTCGCCGTCTCTCCTTTTGCCGATGCTCTCTACGCTGCCCGCAGCACCCGATCTCCTCAATACCTGTTTGAGCTTGATCAGTGCATTCACAAATGCCCTGACCCCGGAATGCCCATACTCCGTTCCTTATCACCGCGGTCTCGCAGTCTCGGTGCAGATTTCGCTCTCGGGCGCGATCTCCGGCGCTCACATCTCACTCTCGGACGCGGGCCTTGACACTGAGAATGGTCTTCTCCACATCCCTTCGACGGCAGGTTACCGGGCGTTCGACGTATTCTACTACCTCCTTTCGGCTGTGTCCACGCCGGCCGAGAGGCAGGGTCTCGGATTGCAGTCAGCAGACCAGTACACTATGCTCGCACGGAGCAATACCTACACACTCCCTAGTTATCTTCCCACAGCCGATGATTCAGCTGCGGCGGAAGACTGGAGGGCCAATTTGAGAGCCATCGGAATCAAGGGCGGAATGCTGCGTGGCTTGTTGTCCGTTCTGGCCGGTATTCTCAAACTTGGCAACTCGGTTGGTCTGCTGGTCGACGAAGAGGTGGTGGAGGAGGTGTGTAGTGACGTCTCCGGCCTCCTCGGGCTCGATCCGGAAGTGTTGGCAAAGAGGATGGGCGACTCCGAACGCGAGCTTCTCATCAGCACCATATATGAGCTCGTAGTAGAGTGGGTGATCGCCAAGGCTAACGAAGCGATTTCTACCGATTTCGCCGCGAGAAAAGACGCGGATTCCAACGCCGACGGTAGCCAGGAGGGCGATACCGTGCAGATCACCGTTTTGGAGTTGCCCGCTGAGAAACTGGCCAAAGCCGTCTGTCTGAAGGGCGTCTTTGACGACGAGAGCGGTCTCAACATCGAGATGAAGGCTGACGGCGTCGATGTTCCCAACGTTGGCAGCACGATCCTTCGGGAAATGAAGGCGGCTTGGAGCGACGCCGAGACAACTTGTTTGGTTGGTATGAGCCGGGAACGCGAGTACGAAAACGACCGGAGAGATCAGATCATCGAGAAGGCCGGCCGAGAAGTAGAGGACGGCGGATTTCTCAAGGAGGTCTTGTTCCCTGCCGAATTCGGGCGATCGTCTGCAACCGTGCGTCTGGATGTCTCGCAGTTGCTGGCCGCCAGCAGAGCGTGGTACCATCTCAATATTTCCCCAACAGCCGGTGTCCCTCTTACAGATGACCTGCATACGCAGAGTCAGCCTTGGTCTGCCGCTGCTGTGAGTCGACAGTTGAGAGGCTGGAGACTGCCTGAATGGGCCAACCGCCGCAGCAAACGGCTGGATTTCACTGCGGATTTCGACTTTGACGAGTTTGCCGTGCGTTATGCCATCCTGGGCTGCTCCGGTGGACGAGACGGTGTTGAGAGCTGGGTGCTCGAACGAGGTTGGAGCAATGGGGAAGTCGTGGTTGGCAACGAGCGTGTGTGGATGCGCGAGCCTTGCTGGTGGGAGGCGGAGAACATGCTGGATATCAAACAGCCTGGTGTGATGCCTGGGATGATGGGTATGGGCGCTGTGCCTATGGCCATGGACACCGGATACACCACAAACACCAACGGAAGCGGCTACTTTGCGCCTATGGGTGCCCAGGCGTACGACCAGGCGGCGTCTAGAGAGAATCTGCTTCGCCAGAGCACCATGAGCGGCTTCCCGGCTGGTACTTCGCCGTCACCTCAACCGGGCCAGGAGCAGAATAGGGGACTTGGCGCAAAGTACGAAACCAACAATTATACTGCTCCTGGGGACATCGAGTTGGGCGACAAGACCAAGATCGAGGAACATACGGTCACGACATCGCGTAAGTTGTGGGTCGGCTTCGTATGGGCCATGACGTTCTGGATTCCTAGCTTCCTGCTGAGATATGTCGGTCGGATGAAGCGTCCCGACGTGCGAATGGCGTGGCGAGAAAAGCTTGTTCTCGTCTGGCTGATCTTCTTCATGAACGCTTTCATCATCTTCTGGATCGTCGTATTTGCGCGACTTATTTGCCCCAACATCGATAAAGCCTGGTCTCGCGATAATGTCGCCCGTCATCAAGGTGAAAACGATTTCTGGGTGAGCATCCGCGGCAATGTGTACGATATTACGGACTTTTGGTCTCTCCAGCACAGCGATATCACTGGACAGGATACAACGAAGGATGTCATGATCGAGTTTGCGGGATTGGATCTTACTCCGTACTTCCCGGCTCCGTTCTATCTTGGATGTCCGGAACTCGTTACCAACAAGCGCTTCACATTGCAGTACAACGACACTACGGCACAGTCGTCTTCCCAGGCTGTCCACAGCTCCGGAGAAGTAAGCCCGTACATTAAGAGTGCGTTGGCCTCGGAAGACTGGTATTCACAGAAATTCCTTCCCAGGATTAAAGAATACTGGACCGGAGATCTCGTATGGGATAAAGATGATGTCAAGTCGCAAGGTGTCGCCGATAACAAACCGTGGGGAATTATCAACGGTGAGATCTTTGATCTGACCGACTACTTCTACACGGCCGATAGGTTCGGAGATCTCGCCGAATACCGCTTCTTAGACAGCAAGCTGGAGGAAATCTTCCAGCAGAACCCTGGTTCCGACCTCACGGACTTATACAACAAGCAACTCAATGCCACCACCAAGAGGACGAACATGCGATGCATGAAGAACATGTTCTACGTTGGAATCGTCGACTTCCGGTATGGCGCCAAGTGTCAAGCCAGTGGTTACGTCCTCCTCGGTTTTGCCGTTTTGATGTGTAGTGTCATCGTAGTCAAGTTTTTGGCCGCACTTCAGCTCGGAACTAAGCGTCGCCCTGCGCAGCAGGACAAGTTCGTCATCTGCCAGGTTCCTGCGTACACTGAGGGAGAGGACCAGCTGCGCAAGGCACTGGATTCCTTGACTGCTCTGAACTACGACAACAAACGGAAACTCCTGTTCGTCATTTGCGACGGTATTGTCGTCGGAGGTGGAAACGACAGGCCCACACCCAACATCGTGCTCGAGATTCTCGGTGTCGACCCAAAGATTGATCCTCCGGCGCTTCCTTTCAAGAGTGTCGGTGAGGGTAATGCTCAACTCAACTACGGAAAGGTCTACTCGGGATTGTACGAATTCGAGGGTTGCGTTGTCCCGTACATCGTTGTCGTCAAGTGTGGCAAGCCATCCGAGACTTCGAAGCCCGGTAACAGAGGAAAGCGTGACTCCCAGGTCCTCGTGTTGGACTTCTTGAACAAAGTCCACCACCGCACTCCCATGTCTCCCCTCCAGCTGGAAATGTTCCACCAGATCAACAACATCATCGGTGTCGACCCGGAGCTGTACGAATACATTCTCATGGTTGACGCTGATACCAGTGTCAAGGAGGACGCCCTCAACCGTCTCGTCGCTGCATGCGCTCACGACGCGAAGATCGCCGGTATCTGTGGTGAAACCAGTTTGGAGAACGAGGAACGCTCTTGGTGGACTATGATTCAGGTCTACGAGTACTACATCTCGCATCATCTGTCCAAAGCTTTCGAGTCTCTCTTTGGTTCCGTCACTTGTTTGCCCGGTTGGTATGTAGTCAGTTCGGATGCCCCTTCGTCGACGTTATGCTAATATGATTTTTAGTTTCTCCATGTACCGTCTGCGAACTGCGGATAAGGGTCGTCCTTTGATCATTGCCTCCAAGGTCATCGAGGAGTACTCCGACGGAGTCGTCGATACCCTGCACAAGAAGAACCTTCTGTCACTCGGTGAGGATCGTTACCTGACGACTCTCATGACCAAGCACTTCCCGTACATGAGCTTCAAGTTCATTCCCGATGCCTATGCCATGACTGCCGCACCAGAGAGTTGGAGCGTTCTGTTGTCCCAGAGACGTCGCTGGATTAACTCGACCGTTCACAACTTGGCTGAGCTGATGTTCCTCGAGGAGATGTGCGGTTTCTGTCTCTTCTCGATGAGATTCGTCGTGTTCCTCGATCTCTTCGGTACCATCATTCTTCCGGCCACCTGTGTGTACATTGGTTACCTCATCTATGTCATCATCAGCAAAACCGGGCCCTTCCCGTACCTGTCGTTGGCTATGCTTGGAGGTGTGTACGGTCTACAGGCGATTATCTTCATCATCAAACGCCAATGGCAGCACGTCGGATGGATGATCATCTACCTCCTCGCATTCCCGATTTACGCTTTCGTCCTTCCGGTCTACTCCTTCTGGGCTCAGGACGATTTCTCGTGGGGAAGCACGCGTATTGTCGTTGGAGAATCGGGCAATAAAAAGGTTGTCGCAACGACCGAAGAGTCTTTCGATCCTCGGAGCATTCCTCTCCAGAGCTGGGATGAGTACGCGGCTACGAACAAGCTCCCCGGCCGTCGCGGTGCACCAACCGAGAAGTACGGAGACGCTGGTGGGTACGATTACGAGATGGACGACATGCACTCCGTGTATTCTTCGGCCAAGCCGGCATCCACGATCCTCACTGGCCTTCCTAACATGAGCGGCCAGCCATACATCGCCCCGCGCTCTCCGGCACCCTTCGCGACCAACCGCCATTCCACCTACTCCGCGTACACCGGCATGACCGGCCAGGGCGGCCTCGGAGGCGACCACGGACACCCGCAGCAGCAGCGCCTGATGTCGATGGGTGGGATGAGCACTGGCGACTACTGGCAAGACGGTAATCAACAGCAGCACCGCCCCAGCCCGCTCGCGCTATCCACCGGAATGCCTAGCACCGACAACCTGCTGAACGTGCAGACGCCGCCTCCTCGCGCGCATTCCACCACACCACTGGGCTTCTCGTCGCAGAGCCGTCCCGTCAGCCAGATGGACTTCATGCGCGTTGGTGGTGGTCCCGATGACGAGAGCATCGTCGACGCTATCCGCTATGTCCTCCGTGATGTCGATTTGGACACTATCACCAAGAAGCAAGGTATGTTTTGATTCACACCCTTCACTGTTTGATATTCGATAGATACTAATGTTATTATTCGTGTAAAGTGAGAGCCCTCGTCGAACAGAGACTGCAGACGGAATGCCAGGGCGAGCGTCGCTCGTTCCTAGACCGCATGATCGATGCCGAGCTGGCCAACATGCCGATGTAATTCGCACGATCAACGGATGTGCTTGGGGATGGGGGGTTTTACTTTCGGTTGGGGTAAGGGGGAGGGGTTTAATGTTACTTGTATTCTTAATCAGGATGGGAGATGAAGACGAAAACGTCGAACGCGGTGGGGGTGCATGCCATATGGAAAGGGAGGTGGGGCTTTAAACGGAGTTTTTTTTTCATTTCTTTCTTTCCCTATCAAGTTTGAGCTTTTGATTGATGTCTGAAGGGTTAAATGAGCATTGTATTTTGTCTGTATGTCTGCCTGTCTGTCTGTATGCCTCTATCGTCGTTTATCGCTGAGTTAAGTTGAGTTGTGAGTTTTGGATTGGATTGGACGAGCTTGCGGAGAGGGGAGGGGAGGGGATCTGGGGGATCTGTAGACTACTTTTGTAACTTGTTATGGACGGAGGTAGGTATTTGAGTATCTTGAATCTTGAATCATTTTCTCTCACTTGCTTGCCGTGTCATCCGTCGATGTTGTACCACCCTTGATTATTGAATTAACTTGAAGATCTCTCTTATTATTGCGAGGTGGTGGTGGGACGTGGGGCGTGTGTATGTCTCGCGGCACTGCGGCAGTCGGTCGGAATTCGGGAGTGGAGTGGTGTTACATATGTCCATTCATGGAGGATGGAGGTGTAGATCTTATCTTGCCGCTGGTACTCGAGAGACTCGCGCCAGCTGAGCGCCGGAGGAGCGCCACAGCCGTACACATCAGTTACTCATTAATCTGGTCGTCTGGGTCATCTGGGTCCGCGAGTCGCGACGACGCCCATCAGTTACCTTCTATTTTAAATCTTCACATAGAAACCCTGGAAGATTGTGATAGCTATTACTCTATTATAATAGAGTGCCGAATCTCCTATATATCCTCTTCGATTCATTCGCCTCTTTCAGTTGTTTTTATTGTCGCGACGGAAAGTATTGGCTGAGGTATGGGTTCAAGTTGTAAATTGTGGCTGGTGAATTAGCGTTTGTTGGACCATGGAATCATGGATGAGCTTCTACATCCTAGGTTGTAGACTTGCAGTTACTGGGTCCCAGGATATCGGCCGAACCCCTTCCCTTCACCGGGCAGTATGATGTATGCATACCCTTCACCCAGGCGGTCCACTTTCCTTTCCCTTCCTATCCTTTCCTTTATGTACTCTGTGTATGATAGGTAGTACGTCAATTCACTCTCTACCACGCGTCCTGACTCCTGCCAATCAATCACTCAATCACTCAATCAAAATCAATAATGGCAGCCCGTCCCTCCCCCCCCCCCCTTCCATTCCAGTACCGGATATCGGCACCCATCCGCGCAACTCTTCTCTTCCATTCCTCCCTGCTTGCTCCCTGCCTTCCTGTCGTCTATTCATTTCGCATGCAGCAAGCAGCAAGCAAGCAGCAAGCATGGCATGCAGGCCAAGATCTTGCAACTGTGGATGCAAGCTAGGCTAATGTATGTAGAGTACGCAAATGTATGCTGCAATGTAAGGCGGCCGGTACGTGCCGGTAATCATGTCTCTACTCTACATTTCTTTGTGGGAGGGAGGTTTCTGGAGTTGGGGGGTAGGGGGAAGGGGGGAGGTTTTCTGGACGATTACTGGAAGCCTGAAGGAAGGGGGAGGGGAGAGAAGGTTGGTACCGTACGGTATGTATCTACATATGTGGGCCATGGACTGCACCGTGCACCGGACGGATCACCAAGCGATCGTCACGACTGGTCAGTGGTTAGTGGTCAGTGGTCGCTGCCGGGCGAACCGTAGAACCGTAGAGTGCAGTGCTTGCCGGTAACGTTGGTACTCTAGAGTGATATCGTACCGGGCCACGGAGTGAGGGACTACCACCCCAATGTGGTCTCGCTGGCTGGGGCTGGCTGGGGCCGTACTGGCGGGACTACCCGCTCAGGTTTTGGCTTGCAGCAGCAGGAGTAGAAGCAGCAGGAGTAGATATGTGAAGGTTAGAGATTCACAAGCTCGTGCTCAGACTGAGCTGGGTAGCTGGGCATCGCGAGGCACCGAGGGGCCCGAGAGAGAGATAGAGATAGAGATAGAGATAGAGAGGGAGAGATCATAGAGAGAGGAGCGAGATGCAATTGGTATGTCATACCCGGTTCCCGCGGGAGAGCTGGTCCGTCCGTCCAGAAAACTGGGCCATCTTTGGTGTGTGGTGGGGTTGGCCTAGAAGGAGGAGGAAGACGAGGAAACTTTGGGCGCGCGCCCATCGTGCCGACTTAACCGAGAAGCTCTCTCGCGCGCTAAATCTATGATTTCCCTTTTGTGGGTCCGGACGGGCAACTCCATCACTAGTTCTGACGTGACAAAGTTCTCCTCTCTCCTTGAAGGAAGGAAGGAAAGAAGGTTATAATGATGCGGTCCTCCCTCCCCCTCCCCTTGAATGGCGGACCTAGAGATGTCTGCAATACAATAACGTTAACGCCTTTATGATCCTAAAAGTTTTCTGCTTTTCCTACTTGACATCTGTGATTTGATTTGGATTTGGAGATTGAGATTGAGATTGAGGTTGAGATGAGCGCCCCCAGGGACCTAGAAAATCTGGAGCAGGTATGCTCGCTGGATATACACCGAGTGCAGTCGAGTCGACTGCGGAATGAGGGTCTGCCCGAGGAGGACGAGCTCCGAGTCGGCATCGAGAGCAAGATTGAGGTCGACGAGGCCGCGCGAAAGCAACGGGTCATATCATTCTCGCCGGGAGATCCGGAGAATCCGCACAATTGGTCTTCGGTTCGTTTTTTTCTTCTCTTTCTGTCCCTCTCTTCGTTGCGTACGTTCTTGACTGACTGACTGACTGGTGGTATAGGGGAAGAAATGGTTCATCACAGCTTCGGGAATCCTCGCCGTGACGAATAGCACCTTTGCGTCGTCGCTGCCGTCGGGGGCCCTGCCGTTTATCCAGAAGGATCTGGATGTTGAGCGCGTGGAAGTCGCGGTGCTGACCATCTCCGTCTTCCTGCTGGGTTATTTCTTTGGACCGATATTGTTTGCGCCGTATTCAGAGTGGGCCGGGAGGAGGACCGTCACGCTGGTCGCCTTTGGCTGGTTCGTCATTGGCAGCATTTGCTGCGCCGTTGCCCCGAATATCGAGGCACTGCTGGTGTTTAGGTTTCTCACTGGGATGGGCGCCAGCGCGCCGATGTCGGTGACAGGTGGCGTGCTGGCAGATATCTGGCACGAGCCGGAGCAGAGAGGGAGAAGTACGTCCCTTCCTTCCATTTAACCTGATGTGCGAATCAGTGACTGACGGTGATCCAGCTATGGCCGTATTCTCGGCGGTTACGATGATAGGCCCCACCCTATCCCCCGTCATCGGCGGCTTCGTCTCCAACTCCCGACTGGGCTGGCGCATGGTCTTCTGGATAGAAGTGATCGTCTCGGCTCTCTCGTTCATCCCCTTAACCTTCTGTCCCGAGACATTCGCACCGATCCTGCTCCTGCGGAAAGCCCGCCGTCTCCGCTCGCAAGGCGCAACCGGCCTCATCGCGCCCCTCGAGCTCGAAGACCGCTCCTTCAAATCCTCGCTCAAAACCACGCTCTCGCGGCCGTTCCGCATGTTCTTCTTCGAGGCGGTGGTCCTGCTAGTCTCGATCTTCCTCAGCTTCGTCTACGGTGTATTCTACCTATTCTTTCAATCCTACCCACTGATCTACGAGGGGATCTACCACTTCGGCCCTGGGATCTCGGGGCTCCCGTTCATCCCCGTCGGCGTGGGCGGGGGGCTCGCCTACTTCGCGGTACTGATCTGGGACGCGCACCTGCGCAAGCTGACGGCGCGGGGGGAGACGTTCTCGGCGGAGTACCGCCGGCTGCCGCTCGCGTGCATCGCGGGACCGATCTACGTAATCTCGATGTTCTGGCAGGCGTGGACAGTGCGCGCCGACATCCACTACCTCGTGCCGATTGCTGCGGGCGTCCCGTTCGGCTTCGCCTTCGCTCTATTGTTCATCGCCCTGCTCAACTACATCACCGACTTCTACGAGATATATGCGGCTAGTGCACTCGCTGCTGCTAGCATGTGTCGATCACTATTTGGTGCCGCGTTTCCCCTGTTCGCGAAACATATGTATAAGGGAATGGGAATCAATTGGGCCTCTAGCTTTTTGGGAATGGTCGCCGCACTCCTGACAATTTGTCCGTTTCTGTTTATCAAATATGGTATGTACTCCCCCCCCTACGAACTTGTTACCCCGAATCGGATCGGATGGCTAACGGAATTGGAATTGTAGGTGATGCGGTGCGCCGACGATCGCGGTTCCACAGGTTTCTGCAGGAGCGGAAGGAGATGTTTGAGCTCCGGGAAAAAGAGGAGGGGGAGGAGGCGAGTACCGCTACTTCTAGGACTGAGCATGAGGGTGCCGAGGAGATAAAGGATGATATCGAGAAGGAGGGGAAGTAAGAGGGGAGACGAAGTGGGTATGAGGGTTTTTCATTGAGGTGGAGTGGAGTGGGTTTTGGCATTGCATTGGGAAAATGGATTATGGTATTAGAATAGTAGCTCGGGGAGAGTAATGGTCATGTAGTCGTGTATAAAAGCATTGGGGGAGTGGATATAAACGGAATAATGAATTTGGATCTTATACATATGGAACTCGCGAGTCTTGAGGGTATGCATAGAGGGCGTCGGATGTATGTAGGTTCGGTGAGACCCACGAATCGAAGCTACATATGGTTTCACGATACCCACAAGGGATATTCCTAACCAGCCGGCTAAATGACAAACCCGCAAGCCGGGCCTGGTGAAAGGATCTATGTAGGAGATCATTCGTCCGGTTTCGCCTATGCTAGGAAGGAAGCCTGCCGAACCTTACATACCTCATACATGAGAAGAAGGGCTTCGGAAGCTTATTTGTAAGTATAGATCCCGCTGAACTGCCGGCCGGCAATATAACCTACCTCATACGTAACTCTATTCCACCCAGCAGCATGCGTGAATTCCGCTGCTTCAGCCCAGTCTAGTCCAACCGTCAACGAGCAGACCTGGCGCTTGTCCACAACTAGGGACTCGGGAGCGAGCGAGCTGCGAACCATCGATACATATATCAGCATCCGCTCGTGCGGGCCGCACCGTGTAGCCCGTGTGCAGCCCCCAAGACCCCAACATCAGCCTGAATGGTGCCGACCGATGCTCGGCCGGCACTCGCTCATTTTGTCCAGCGCTCCGGCCGACCGGACCCCGTAATCGGCTTTTGCAATAGCATTGCGACTATCCGCGAGCGGATATCGGCCCGGTGCCGGTGCCGGTGCATTAACGGTCTGCAGTTATACATATGACCGGCACGCATGCCGCCCACGACCATGTATCTGAGTACCTACCCGGAAGCTTGTCATCGAATGCCATACATATCGGCTATTCTGCTGGGAGTGGGGGGGGGGGAGGGGGGGTGGTGGGGTTCCGTCCGGTCTGTCATATGCACTCGTATGTAGTGGGGGGAGGGCGCCACAAAGCTTCTAGTTAGTGTAAAGTCTAAACACACTGCTTCACTATTTATCTACGGTAGGGGACCTTCTAGGTAGTTTCCCCGCATTTCCCTGACCCCACAAGATCGGCACGGAATGCGGCCCTGGAAGTCCTAGAGGTTTACCCAGTATGCATAACGGTTTTATCCGCCAAAACTGACTGCGTGTGTAGTCCTCCCTCCCGTTTTGGAGATCCAATACCCACCCCGACCGTGTCCGGCGACGAAGGAGATGGCTGGGTTTAGCCTGAAGAGATGATCTTCGGCGGGAGGTGGGGGGAAGGGCGCGGGGAGGGATGAGATGGGGGAAGATGCGAGGGCAATATATATAGCTATAGAACGGATCTTTGCTGCGGACGTTGATTCTTGAGGAGGAAGGAAGAAACAGGTGTGGAATCGAAGCATAGCAACATATCAGCCAGCCAGTCATTCGAACATTCGAACAATCATGTCGATTCTCAAGCTCGACGGTATCAAGATCGTGGACGACAATGGGAAGGAGGTGCTTCTTCGCGGCGCCGGTCTGGGTGGATGGATGAACAGTTTGTCCCCAACTCCCCCTCCCCCGCGCCCCCCCCTCCGTGGCATGAACTGAACTGACTCCCTCCCTCCAGTGGAGAACTTCATCACCGGCTACCCCGGGCGTGAATACCAGATCCGCGAAGCACTGGCAGAGGTGATCGGCGCCGAGAAGTCGCAATACTTCTTCGACCGGTTCCTGCACTACTACTTCACGGAGGCGGATGCGAAGTTCTACCACCAGCTGGGACTGAACTGCATCCGTGTGCCGTTTAACTACAGGCATTTCGAGGATGACATGAACCCAATGGTGATGAAGCCGGAGGGCTTCAAGTGGCTGGATCGCATTGTCAATCTGTGTGCTGAGCAGGGGATCTATACCATCCTGGATCTGCACACTGTGCCTGGAAGTTTGTGGCTGCCTTCCCCTGTGCTTGATGGTGGTGGTGAGTGCTGATTGAGGCATAGGTCAGAACGGTGATTGGCACTCCGACAGCGCCACACACGTCGCCGACTTCTGGCGGCACAAGCACTTCCAGGACCGAGCCGTGTGGCTGTGGGAGGAGCTTGCGACACACTACAAAGGCAACCCGTGGATCGCGGGGTACAATCCTCTCAACGAGCCGTGCGACCCGTTCAAGACGCGACTTCCCGCGTGGTACGACCGGGTGTACGCCGCGATCCGCGCCATCGACGCCGACCACCTAATCTTCCTCGACGGCAATACCTTCGCCTCCGATTTTAGCTGCTTCAACATCGAGACGTGCAAGAAGTGGATAGGTGTGGTGTACGCCTGCCATGATTATAGCAGATATGGGTTCCCGCTGTCGAAGGAGACGTATGTGGGCGACGATGAGCAGAAGCTGAGGGTCAAGAAGTCGTACCTCAAGAAGGTCGAGTGGATGAAGGAGAACAACCTCCCCATCTGGAATGGAGAGTTTGGGCCGGTGTATGCCCGCAGACAATATGACGGCGATGCCACCGACGAGATCAATACCTCGCGTATCCAGCTGCTGAAGGACCAACTCGACGTCTACGATGAGGACAACATCAGCTGGAGTATCTGGCTGTACAAGGACATCGGATACCAAGGTTTGTTTCCGCTCCCCCCACGGGGCATGTACATCCCCGCTGACCTCTCCATCCAGGCATGGTGTACGTCAACCCAGAGACCAAGTACATGAAGATGTTCGAAAAGTTCCTTGCCAAAAAGTTCCGGACCGCGATCGACGCCTGGGGAGCCGACGAGTCGCACGTGAAGCACGCCTGGGGCCCGATGGAGAAATTCATTGCCGACAACGTCGAGCCTAAGTACCGCGGGCTGTACCCGTACCCCGTGTGGACATTCGAGAACCGCATCGGAAGGCTCTCCAGGAATATCCTCCTCGCCGAGTACATGGTCAAGGAGTGGGCGGATCACTTCGAGGGTATGGAGGAAAAGGAGCTGGATGAGATCGCACAGAGCTTCAGCTTTGAGAATTGTATTCTGCGCAAGGAGCTCAATAAGGTGCTCGTTGATCATAGGGGGATGCAGAAGGCGTAGAGCTGGGATGGGGAATGGATCGGTTGGACTGTGGGTTTTCGTACGGCTATTCTTTGTATGTAAGCTCTTGTAGGAATTGAGATGTCTTTGGAGTTGCACCTTCGCTTGCTGGAAAACAGCGCTTTCTCCACACAGCCACTTCACACGCGATCACCCGTCATTTGTCTTGTCACTCTGTTGTGGCGGTTGAGACTCAACGAGTTCCACTGATGTGGGCAGACAAATCACAGAGACTGGCGTGGAAGATGCAGCAAGTGAGGTGTCCGAGTGGGAGCTCAGGGAGCGGGAAGAAAGGGAAGCAGAGCTGAGGCGAGAAGAGAGTGCTGAGGTTGAGGAGCCGATGTCACTCTCGCTGTTCCTTCCCACACATTCCTTCATAGAATCTCCTGGTGAAGAGGAAGGAGACAAGGCGGAGTAGGGAGAGGGGCGAAAGTTGTCTTTTACTGGTTTCATCCTTGGTGAGCTCTGTTGTTATTGCTGGGACAGGCTGGAGCGGAGGGTAGGGAAAGACACACCGGGCCGCTCGATGAAAGTCAAAGTGAACAGCGGTGTGAAACCGGATCGTGTATGTACTGATCAATCAAAACAAAAGGAGGCTCTACAAGTAGCATGTCAGTTTCAATGGCGGGTGGACTCAAAAGAGAGTAGCGGGGGGACAAGAGCGGTAGCTACCCCTACCTGTTTCCATCCTTCTTGGGCTTCCCGGACGTCAAACATCCAGCCCTGCCTTCGACCACGTCCCCGGAAAATCTCTCCCTCTCTTTCCTCCTTTCTCTCTCCTCTATCCCACCTCCCCATCGCATCTCCCCATCACACACCTCAATTCCACACCTCAATCCCGCCATCAAGAATTCTCTTCAAGATGACCGGATCTAAACCCCGCAATGACCGTTACAAATCTGGCCAGGAACAGGAACGGGAGTACATCGATACTTACCGACCCCTCGAGAACCCCGACGACAAAAAGTTCAGGGGCAAGAGAAAGCATAGCCCTAAGAGAGAGTACAAGGACAGGGACGACGGCAGATATAAGGATGTCTACCCAGCTGTTGCATCCGACCAGGAGCACAAGTATGTTTACCTCTCCTTCTCCTCCTCCTCCCCTTCTGAATACTGACAATCTAGGCACGACAATACTTCTGAACAGGTCTTGACTAGCCATGAGTCTGAAGCTGGCAAGACTTCTGAAGCGGCAGAGACCGTCAATCCTGCTGGCACCAAGATAACCAAGTCTGGTTTCAAGTTCCGTTCGGTCGCCGCCGAATGGAAACGAGAGGAGGAGAACTTGAAGACTGATACCACGCTGGTCACCAAGGACAAGGAGGAGAACCTGAAGACCGATGCTTCGCTGGTCACCAAGGACAAGGACCAGATCCATACCTCGCTGGTCGCCAAGGATAAGGAGGAGAAGTTGAAGACCGATGCCTCGCTGGTCGCCAAGGACAAGGAAGAGAAGTTGAAGACCGATACCCCGTTGGCCACAAAGGACAAGAACCTGAAGATCTATACCTCGCTGGTCTCCAAGGACAAGGAGGAGAAGTTGAAGACCGATGCCTCGCTGGTCACCAAGGACAAGAACCAGATCCATACCTCGCTGGTCGCCAAGGACAAGGAAGAGAACTCGAAGACCGATACCTCGCTAGTAACCAAGGACAAGCTCGAGAAGGCTCCCCACCGCAAGTCCTCCTACAGCTATGCCGATGAATGGGAGGAAGAAGAAGCTCTCAAGAAGAACAACGCCACCCAAGAACAAATCCTTGCCCTACGTGAAAAGCACAAGCTCAAGCGTGAGGCTCTGTTGAAGCAGAGGATGGCCGACCGCAAGAAGGTCGCTCAGTCGAAGGAGATTAAGACGCTGGAAGCCGCATATCCTTTGCTTAATCACCACCTCCCAGCTTCTCAGACTTCCTACATCGGCAAGCATCATCTCCATGAGCAGCAGCCCGACCTTCAGGGTGAGAACTATCATCCCGCCGTTTGGCAGCAGCCCGGCCTTCAGGAGCAGCCCGAGGTTCAGAAGCAGCCCAACCTGCAGAAGCAGGACCAGCGGCAGAAGCAGGACCGGCATCAGAAGCAGCCTGACTTTCAGAAGAAGGACTATCGTCAGAAGCATGACCCACACCTGAAGCAGGACCGTCGTTACCGCCTACGCGCCGAATCTCCTCGCCCTAATCGTCGCCATTCGTGGCATGAGCACCCTCGGTCTCCGGGGCCTGCCCCCCGGCACTCACGGCATGAGCGTTCTCGGTCTCCTAGGCTGACCCCCCACCACTCGCCACATGAGCGTTTTAGGTCTCCTGGCGCTGTCCACCGTCACTCGCGGCATGAGCGTTCTCGGTCTCCGGCTCCCCGCTCTCAGCCTTCTTCTCGTCGCCCGTACTCCAAGAAGGAGATCGATAGGTCCGCGAAGAAGTTTGCTCAGCCCATCGCGGAGTCTCCTGGCCCTGTCCCGCGCTACTCGCGGCATGAGCGTTCTCGGTCTCCGGCTCCCCGCTCTCAGCCTTCTTCCCGTCACCGGTACTCGAAGAAGGAGATCGATAGGTCCGCGAAGAAGTTTGTTCAGCCCATCGGGGATGACGAACGCTTCGACGCAGGAAAGGGCAAGACTAACCCGCCCGAGAAGAGTGGCCGTCGTCGCCTCTGCGGTACCAAGTTTCAGGAGCCCGTTGAGCGTAACAGGCGCTAGGTGAGTGTCAGTCCTATGTATGTATCGGGGAGAAATCAAACTAATGGTTGAACAGACGCACGACTTTCGAATAGTGGTTCCGGTAGGTGTGCATAGGTGTGGACGTGGGTAATCTTTTTTCATGGTTTTTTTTCTCGAGGTTTACCTATAGCTACAATGTACTTACTACGATTTCACCACAAATTCACCGACAACGTTCTTCATGCTTGATGTCGCGGCAATAAGCGCGATTTGTGATCTACGCGTGGTAACTAAGCGAGACTTGGCGTGAAAACGCACTCTTCGCGACATCAGAAATCCCAGCTGGACTGTGAGAAAAATGGGATTCGGTTTGCTCCATTCCCCCTGTGTGGTCGGTCGGCTGGTAGATCCGGGTGATGGATCAATACGAGTTGATGACCTTTGCGAATACTTGTGATGGATTCGCTGGAGGGATCGGAAATGCTGACGTCCGAAATAGTTAGTACCACCTATCTACCTATACATAAGATGTATAACTGCTGCGTTGCCGATCTTCTCGGCCGTGATCTATTTCTGTAGATGGAGGAATGACTTTCTGTCGCCGTGATTCCGTGAGGCTTCAGTGATGGAGAAGAGCTTGCTGACCTGCCCTGCGGACTGCTTATGCGCAATTCACCCCTGAACCTCGCACTACCTACCTCCGCAAATCGGCAATTCAATGCGGGGTGAAATCTCGGCCGCATCCTAAACCCGGAGTTGCTAGACACATTTGTATATCCCCAAAAAGTCGGCTTCCGCCAACTCAGCTTCCGGAAAACAATGTCCCCTTTCTTCTACTTCCTCATCCCACACCCCCGGCATACGTAGAAGGTAGCAGCTCATCGCATCTCGAAATTCGCTCGTTGTGACGATCACGACAACTCCGGACTGAACGAACCCAAAACCCCCACTACACCAAAGAACACCCCACCGACCTCAATCGCAATGGCAACAACGGGAGGTGCATTCCTAGCTGGCGGTATCGCCGCCTGCGGTGCCGTCACGGTAACCCACGGCTTCGAGACGGTCAAGACACGGTATCCTCCCCCCCATCCCCGCGTCCGCCCTCCGAAGGCCCCCGCTGACTCCCACCGCAGCCTGCAACTCCAGGGCGAGCTCTCCTCAAAGCAAGCGACGAAGCGCGTCTACACGGGCATCTTCCAGGGCGTAACCGTGATCCTCAAGAACGAGGGACTCCGCGGGTTGCTGGCCGGCCTGGGCACTGCGTACTGCTACCAGATCATGCTCAACGGGTGCCGCCTCGGCTTCTACGAGCCAGTCCGCACCTCGGTGACCTCGCTCTTCCACGACAACCCGCTGGAGCAAAACTTCGCCATCAACATCTTTGCCGGCGCGTCCTCGGGCGTGCTCGGTGCCGCGGTCGGCTCCCCATTCTTCCTCATCAAGACGCGGCTGCAGAGCTACTCGCCGTTCCTTCCCGTCGGCACACAGCACAAGTACAAGGGGGCGATCGACGGGTTCGGGCGGATCTACGCAGCCGAGGGCATCAAGGGGTGGTACCGGGGGGCGGGCGCGGCAATGATCCGGACGGGCTTTGGGTCGAGCGTGCAGCTGCCCACGTACTTCTTTGCCAAGCGCCGGCTGCAGAAGCATTTGGGAATGAGCGAGGGCGTCGGCCTGCACCTAGCGTCGTCCGCCGCCAGCGGCTTCGTCGTCTGCTGCGTCATGCACCCCCCGGATACTGTCATGAGCAGGATGTACAACCAGACCGGTGACAAGTATAAGAGCGCTGTCGACTGCCTCATGAAAACTGTCAGGACCGAGGGCCTGCTGGCTATCTACAAGGGCTTCACCGCGCACTTGGCACGCATCTTGCCGCACACCGTGCGTGTTCCCCGTTCTACCTACCGAGGGAATCAGGCTGACCAGACGATAGATCTTGACCTTGACACTGGCGGAGCAGACGACAAAGTACGTGCGGCAGCTCGAGGAGCGGATCTTCCTAGACTAGACAGCTACCTATCTAGCATGATGCCGTGGGAAAAAAAAGGGAATAGACATTTCATAGGGTGTTGAGACATGTTAAAAAAGACTAGATGTTTCATTTCGGGGCTGCGCTTTGTATGCTATGGACGGGTTGGGGTTTCGGGTTTCTGTTTTTTCCTCTTCTTTTTTTTTTCTTTTCCCTGGGACCGCGCAGCGCAAATACATGTGGACGGACATGCACTGATCAGCTCGGCGATGGTGTTCTCGGGATGCCGGGGAGGCAATGTGAGTGAGAACGGGAGTGGGAGTGGAGTGGGAGGAGGGAATGGGCGTGGCAAGCCGAGGCTTTTGATATGATAGGTAGGGTGAACGCGGTGGGCAGAGGCGGGCAGCGGCGGGCACACCATAGAGTACCGGTACGGTAGGAGGCAGCGGGTATAGAAGAATAATCATATTTTACACTGCGAAAGCCTAGAGCACTCTATAGTGCACGCGATCCCCAACTTACTTACTTGGGAATGCATCTACCAGTTGTGCCTGACGATTGATTGCTCGACCTGTGATCACTGATCAGTGATCACCGATCAACCCACCGCCTGGCACGACCGCCCTCTCCTCCCTGTCCTGTTTTCCGTTCGATCCGCCGCTGCCGCAGCCGCTAGTCAAGCAACACCGCGGGCACTAACAGAGCAGGAAAAAAGCTTATTTTCGCCGTGGGTAGCACTCGCCGCGCCGAACGGGGGGTTCAAACAAAGCCTTCAGGCTTGGGATCATACACAAGGTCTTTGGGATCAAGATCAGGAGGGGTCTGGGTGTGGTATATAAACCATTGGCATCGAGAAGCAAGGTCTGGGCAGTGGGGGTGTTGGACATCCTGGAATGGGTCGAGAGAACGCCGAACGCCACAGGAGAGAGGCGCAGTGGCTTGCTTCGGCAGCCGTCGAGTGCCCAGACCCCCAGTGTGGACAGTCGATCCGTCCTCGACTGGATTTTCAGCCCGAGCCGGGCTCACGGAATCGACACGGGAAGAGGGCGGCAACCGAGAAACGCAGAAGCCGATTCTTCACGATCTGCAGGTAGCCAGCAACTGAATTTCGTCGGCCGGCCTATATAGGATAGGGTGAAACCGGTGCGGGGGAGGGACAGATGGAACCAGACGGGTAGGCCGGCGGGAGTACCGGAGAGTAGGTGAGTACATGCGGCAGTCACGTGGATCCGTTGGGGGCGGCAGGTATCGCTATCTAGGCTCTAGCGATAGCGATAGCACTAGCTTTCCGAGATGGGGCAAATCGACGAAGTCCTGCGGTCTGCGGAAGTGGATGCCAGATGTTGCAACTTGAGCTGGGAGCGATCGGGGGAAGTGCAGATGTCTGTTTGTCCCAGAGCCGAGGGAATGTGTGCAGTGTGTATGTGCCGCAGAGTGGAAGTTTCGATACAGTGGGAGAAGCACGCAGCGAAGCTGGCAGAGATCTGTGGAAGCAGAGTGATGCGGCCGCTAGACGGAACATTTATCCGACGCCCAGTTGACGATGACGTCGTCACGCTTGGGAGAGGGGGCATCGTCGGTTACCCTGCTTTGTGACGGCTACCGTTCCGCGTTCCTGTGGCAACTCAACTTGTGCAGCACGGCCACACTTGAGATCGCTGCGGCCAAAAGCAATTCGCAGCCAATTCTGATGGGCGGCGGCAGTCACTACGGGTCGTTCCTTTTGATGGGCATACGACGGCTGGCCGGGGACGGTAGATACACGGAGAGACCGTTCTTATTCGTGCTCCATGCTGCGAGCATGCGGCGTGCCATGCCATACCCATTCGGTCAACCCCGCCTTGTGTCATCACATCATTCCGCATGAACTACCGCTTTCCAAATGCTTGGTCGTTCTCAGACTTGTGCCCGGGAAATGGCCATCATCGAAAAACCGCACTGCCCGTGGCATACTTAACTTCTGGACTGCGTCAAAATCCGGAACAGCATCATCATAACAATCATCATCATCGGAAATCCCTCCCTCTGTTGCTCGCGTTGTCGACCTCGCTCGCCCGCCTATCCCCCGTCAATCAACCCAAACCCCCACCACCACCGCCACAACCACTCCACCACTTCACCTCCCAAGACACCCCCCCAACCGGTGCCTCGAACCCTTTAACAGATCCTTTCCCTTTGAAAGCTCAAACCCCCTCCCCCCGCGCCCCTTCCAATTCCCCCACCCACCTCTACACCCCACTAACCAACTCAACCCACCTCTCTCTCCGTGTCGCTGCCACCTCTACCTACCCACCACCGCCACTCTGTCCCAAACCCTACTCCTACTCCTGCTGTTGTTCCTGTAAATCCCCGACTTCCCCCTCCCACCCTTTGTCCGTCATCACCTCCTTCGCTGCAGCCGGTCGAGATCATCCTCCCACTCACAATAAACTTCCCAATCCAACAGATCCTCCTTCGGTTAGGTACCGGTTATTCGCACACGAGCCAACTCTCTCATACCGAAACACTGTTGCAACGAAGTCTCCGAACGTTGAACCTTAGCTCAACGCACGCACCACTCGCTGCTACGTCCCCGCGTAACGACCGACACGACCCCAAACGAATTCACCACGAAACCCCAACAACACCTCTAAGTAAACAGCAGCAATGGCGGAGTTTGTTCGTGCCCAGATCTTCGGTACTACCTTTGAGATCACCAGCCGGTATGGTCGCTCGTTCTTCGTTAGTGTTGATCGCATTCTCACATTGTCATCCGCAGCTACACTGATCTTCAGCCTGTCGGAATGGGTGCCTTCGGTCTCGTCTGGTAGGTTTTTCGATCCGCTCCGATCGTCGTTGTCCCGCACATCTAACAGTTCTCAATGCGGCAGCTCCGCTAAGGACCAGCTTACCGGTCAGTCCGTGGCGGTCAAGAAGATCATGAAGCCTTTCAGCACTCCGGTACTGTCCAAGCGAACGTATCGTGAATTGAAGCTGCTCAAGCATTTGCGCCACGAGAATGTATGCTTTCATCGTCTCACTACTCCTCACCTGGAAGGATCGCTGAACCCCGCCGCAGATCATTAGCTTGAGTGATATCTTCATCTCGCCGTTGGAGGACATGTAAGGGCTCCCGCCTCCCTTTACCTATCCCCTTGGAGTACTGACCATCGTCGTGTTGCGTTAGTTACTTCGTCACCGAGCTTCTCGGCACCGATCTGCATCGCCTGCTCACTTCTCGACCCCTCGAAAAGCAGTTCATCCAATACTTCCTGTACCAGATTCTGGTGAGTAGAACTCGCGGTCCCGATAGCGGGGTCGTCCCCCACTGACATTCCGTAGCGCGGATTGAAATACGTCCACTCGGCGGGTGTCGTTCACCGTGATCTCAAACCTAGTAACATTCTGGTCAACGAGAACTGCGACCTCAAGATTTGCGATTTCGGACTGGCCAGAATTCAAGACCCCCAGATGACTGGATACGTTTCTACGAGATATTACCGCGCCCCTGAGATTATGCTCACCTGGCAGAAGTACGACGTGGAGGTTGATATCTGGAGCGCGGGATGCATCTTTGCCGAGATGCTCGAGGGCAAGCCGTTGTTCCCTGGCAAGGACCATGTGAACCAGTTCTCCATCATCACGGAGCTCCTGGGAACTCCCCCCAATGACGTCATCCAGACAATCTGCAGCGAGAACGTAAGTCCCCTGCGCACTTTTCGATTAGACTTCGTGCTGATTTCGTCCAGACTCTACGGTTCGTGCAGTCTCTACCCAAGAGGCAGAGACAGCCTCTCGCCGGAAGGTTCAGGAATGCTGATCCCCTTGGTGAGATATACACCACCGCCTACGACCACGTGCATAGCTAACGATTACAGCCATTGATCTACTCGAGAGGATGTTGGTCTTTGACCCCAAGAAGCGTATCTCGGCGGAGATCGGTCTCGAACACGAGTACTTGGCGCCGTACCACGACCCCACGGACGAGCCGGCGGCTGAGGAAAAGTTCGATTGGTCGTTTAACGACGCTGACCTGCCAGTCGATACCTGGAAGATCATGATGTACGTCTAGCCGTCCGAACTACTGTCCCGGAGCAATTCTGACAGACTCCATAGGTACTCAGAGATTCTTGACTACCATAATGTCGACAACCAGCAGGTATAGGGTCGTTTTTGCACTGTTATACTCGCTTTTTGTTTCAGTGTATGTACCTTTTACAATCAGGCATTAAGTTGCTTGCTATACCTTGGCTTGGGTCTGTTATGAGTTCTGTTTTTTTTTTTTTTTTGAGATTTCATTCGTCGATGTGCTGCGCGTAATAGGACAGACACGGGGGAAGAGATGGGCATTGCGATATGTTTAGGGTTTTGTTGGCGCTCAAGAATCAGGATAGATGAAAACAGAGGCACGATCACGAATAAAACCTACATATTGTGCTCTTTCCGACGTTCTGCTGGAGAACGGACGGTCGTGATATTGCCTACATAAGGCCAATCCGATATTTTGTTTTGCGGATCTTCCGTAGGTAACTGCAGGGACCGGCGAGCGGCGGGTGCGTCGTCCGTGCCGTCCCAGTGCCCACTGCAGTCCCCCGAGGAATAGTTACCGCCGAGTGCATGCCGTGGTCGGGGTCCGAATTGAGTCGTCACGATGTCTCAGTATCAGCCCCTTGAATTGATGTGATCTGTCCAGAGGAAATGCCAACTGAGGCGTCGCATTCATTTTTGCGTAAATATGAATGGCGCCTCTCCAGCTTCGCGATTCACCTTCGCAGCACACTCCAGTTTCATTCGGATATTGTTACCCTCCTCAGCTAGCCAAGACGCCAACATTTAGCGAACTTTGGTCTGTCTCCTAGGATCAACAAGGGCAGTGCTCCCTAGCAACTGATCTGTGTTATTCTTCAAGAGCAACACAACAGTTCCCGAATCCTAGACCGATCATACATTCCCAATCCTCTCCACCATCGCGTCTCGAGCTCGAACTCCACTGTCGCCAGTTCCTCAATCCCGTACCGCCTCCACCCGTTCGTTGCCGCGAGCGCTCCACCGTCCCTCATGAGCCGACAACCCTCCAGCTACCCAGTTGTTAGCATCATAAATTTCAACCACGCGAGGCAAGCACATTTCGCCCAACCCTTTCTTCCGGAATCCCGAATGTGCTGTTTCCTTCGTCTAACGCATTCATTTTCCGGTGACGTGCAGAGGGCCCGAAGTTGAAGAGTGGATCGGCATCGAGAACGAGTCGGACGTCTCGGAGTGGCCATGGCTTCCGTTCCTGGCGCTCACGGACGGCGCCCACAGCTCCACCGAGGATTTTTCGTACTTCACGCTCAAGCACACGGGCGGCGAGAAGCCGACCACGCTGTTTGGAATCTCGTGCACGCGCCAGCTCGACAGCAGGGAGCTCATCGAGCGCCCCGCCGAAGTCACTAGGAGTACTGTGCAGAAGGCCGTTGTCGTCATCGCCGATAACCCCACTATCTTTTTTGGGAGTGTCAAACAACAACTGAGTGCGGTTACGCAGGCTTGGTTTGCACAAAAGTAGGGGAAGGGAGGGGGGGGGGAGGGGGGGGGAAGGTTTCCAGGGGGGGATGAGGCTGATTGATGGCATAGGAACTTCCAGGACTTCGATATCCTCAAGCGATTCCAAGAAAGCCTAAAGTTGAGCCTGAGATTGAGTCAGGAGAGTGGGAATGATCGCGACCACTTCGTTGGTATGTCGCGTCACGCTTCGCCCCCTTGCTTCCTTGCTTGAAAGCTCGCTCGCTCATGCACCTGTCATTCCTAGGGTTGTCGCTTCGGGAAATCATCTATGAGTTCAAGCATCAGGCATTGGTGCTGTTCAAATGCATGCTTCTGCAACCAAAGGTACGGGCTTCCCGGCTCCGGAGGATCTGACTCGGCTGATAGGGAATAGATGCTCTTCTTTGGGTTGCGCGGTGAACGGCTGTGTATGACGCAGTTCTCGCTGATATCGCTCATTCCCGAGTTGCTGCACAACCTACAGGACAGTAGTGATCCAGAGCTGGATTCTTACGAGTCGACGCTTACCAAGCCAACTTCTGTGAGGACGAGCGACCGGAAGTCTCGTGGGTAAACTTGTTCTCCGGTGGATGTTTTGCGCTGATTGGGAATAGTTTTGGCTTTCATGGGTCAGCCACTTCAGATCTTCGGCAAGGGAAGCTTGTTCGGACCGTACACGCCTCTGCAGCAACTCGACGTGCTGGCGGACGTTGGGACGAAATCGTACATCGTGGGATCGACGAACTCGCTGCTGTTGCAGCAGAAGGATCGGTACTCTGATATCCTGATCAACGTAGGCTCCGCTTCCCCGGACTTGGCCGGCGTCCTTGCTAACTCAAGTCGCAGCTCGAGGACATGACGGTCAACATCACTTCCTCGTCGTTGAGGACTGCGTTGGCACTATCGGCTGCAGACAGACGGTGGATCGATAGCCTCGTTCAGTCAGTGTCGGAAACTTGGGACGAAACCGACCCTTCACGACCCAAGTCTTTGGGATTCGTCGGCAGTGAGGATCACATCCGACTGCAGTTCGAAGAGTATATTCTCTCCATGGTCTCGGCGGTGAAGTATCAAATCTTCCTGGAGAAGCACACGGGATCCGATTCCAAGGTCTTCTTGCCTGACATTGGTATGTTTGTTTCATCTCATCTCGAGTGCTGTTCTACGGCTAACTGTGAATAGAGGGCGATCCTTCAGCCGACTTCAATCCTGACTTTGTGGACTACTGGAAGAAAACGGACAACTACAGGATCTTCCAGAAGTTCACGGAGCCTGAAATCTTCGACCTGGTTCCGCCAAAGCACGTGATGGCTGGTGGCCTCACTGTGGAGGATGTCCAAAGACGGATTGCACAGTAGGGATCTCCTCGCTAGCTTACCTTCCTAAGGAACTAACACGATCCCAGACAGATTCATGACCTGGGGCTGGATGAGAAGGTCAGCGCCGGCAAGGAGACCATGGCGAAGGCGGTAGCAACCGGTCGGAACAACTTGTCTCTCGCATTCACCAATATCAGCAAGAATGTAGAGTACTATCGGGAGCAGCGAAGGATCCAGGCGCTACAGGCGCAAGCGGAACAGCTGGAAGCAGAGGACGCTGCCTCTATAAACACGGTAGAGACAGACGACAAGGACAAGGACAAGGCAACCGTCCCGGAGAAGAACTCGACCCCGTCGATTCTATCCGCCAGTAGCAGTAAATCCTCTGCACCTATTTCGTCTCACGACAATGCTAACGAAAGTTCCGCAGCTGCGCCAACATCACCAACCGCAGCCGAAACCCCCGGAAAACCCGGTGCAGCCGGCGCCTACATCTCCAGCTGGGCTTCCTGGGCCGGCGAAAAGAAGAAGGCCTTCGCGGGTGCCAAAAGCCCCGAGGTACCCGGTTCTCCCGAACCCGAAGGCGTCATCTCCCCCTCCGCCAGATCGTCAATATTTAGTCGATGGTCGAGGAGCTCGCAGGACCTTACGCCCAGATCACAGCCTAAGGACGACGATCCTAGAAGCTCGGGTGAGACTACGCGCGTCCTGTGGGATGAGAATGAGGCCGTCCAGGCGAAGGAGAAGAAGCTGCCCGCTATTAGGAAAAGTCTGCCGCCGCCGCCGTTGCCGGCTAAGGATTCTAGGGTGGAGGTGGATCTGCCGGCGACGGAAGAGGAGCCGCTACCCGTACCTACACAGCAGGAACAGAAGGAGGTGAAGGAGGTGAAGGAGGATGTGGTGACGCCGGTTGAGAAGTCGGTTGAACTCGAACACAAGCCGGTTGAGGAACCAAAGCTTGTTGAGGAAGAGCTAAAGCCGGTTGAGGAACCAAAGCCGGTTGAAGAAGTATCAGAGCCCGTCCAAGAGCAGCCAATCAGGAGATCGATTATTGAGCCGGCCCAAGCTCGCGCCGTTACCCCTGTGGCTATGCAGGAGCCTCAAGTCCAGGCTCAAAAAACGCCCGAAATGAAGCCCGCCCAGCCCGAGGAAAAGGTGGTTATGCAACCACTGTCGCCCGGTGTGACCGTCAGAAGGCCGATGAAGGTTGATCGGAAACCGCTGTCGCCCGAGAAGCCGGTGTTGAGATCACCATCGCTTGAGAATTTGGTTAGGAGGCCTACGGCTGAGAGGCCCACTCGGACTCCGCTGTCACCCGAGAGGTCGGTCAGGACGCCGCTCTCCCCCGAGAGGCCCGTCAGAAAACCGTTGTCGATCGACCGCACGCCCCAGGAGAAACCAATCGAGCACCGTCCGCTTAGGAGACCCACTAGCGGCTTCGCAGCCCGCCATGCCGCCGCCGCTGAGCCAGAGGTTCCTAGGTCGTCGCCGAAGCCGCAGGTCCCGATGTCGCTGCCGAAGCCGGAGCCTTCTCCTCCCGCAATCAAGCCCGATGACGTACCGAAAGTGGACTCGATCGTCAAGAGACTTTCCTTGAAGCTGGGAGCAGAGACCGCTGCCGCCGCCGACCCGAATCCGAGCTCGCCAACGTCCCCAACCAAGCGGACGGCTCCCAGTGCTGCGGCCATCGCGAAGCAGAACTCTATTGCTGCGAGAAGGGCGATGTTTGAGAAGCGGTAGGCAGGTTGTGTGTGTGTGTGAGTGTACTGTGTTGTATTGTGTATTGTGTGAAACGGCCGATATATAACTATCTCATAAGAGTTACGATATGATGTTACCCACCTACTTAACTTGTATTTCCTCTTCTGTTTTCACATTTCTGCGATCTAGGGGATGGATATGATATGGATGGTATACCTATGAGTTTAGTTTGATTTGATGTTCTTTCTTCTACCTATTTGTGTTTTTTATTGCATGTTTCGTTTCTTTCTTATGTACGGTCTTACATACCTTTATCTCTCTTGCTGGATCTTTTTTTTGGTGGTAATGGCTTTTGTGGAACTGGAACTAAAATATGGATGGAGTACCTATTACATACTGTTTCCACTCTCCCCTCGGTGCTATCTATGGAGACGGACTGTCGAGGTCATTTCATTGTCGTAGGTGTAAACATATGGATATCGGGCAATAAGAGGGGGATAAGCCAATTAACCAACTAAAAAAACCCCCAATTCCTACACATGATGTCCTAGAGAAACCGACCGCATTTGCGGTGGCTCCAGTGTTTGCGATGAGTGCGATAGACTTCTGGAAGTGATCCAGATTCCTGAAAACCGAAGTATCCGAGCAGAACGCTACCGACAGCAGCAGCACCACCAAACCCGACTACATACAATTCGAGTAATCAGCGGGTGGAATGAGATGGAGTGGCGTATGTACTATACCCATGCATCGTTTGTTGCGAGAGAATTGGGCGGTTGTCAGTGTCGGTATCGGTATCGGTTTCGGTTTCGGCTGAGGGTGGGACTTCACGGGCGATACGGAAACATATTACGACTGCTCCATGGACAATGGACATGCACTGTGAACCTGCGGTTTATGTTGATGTTTATATCTGAGCTGTACAGTGTCCGCCGTCCGGGAAGCGGTACGGTAGATATATTGCGCCCATATTCCGCCACAAATAGGCTCTCCTTCGTTTGCTCTCGGTATCCCCCCAGAAGCAATGTACCCGTCCCCGAGGCGCAGCTGCTCCATCGGCCAGGCCTACCAAACCGAACCGGGTATCATCCTATTCCCATTCACAGTCTCTACCCAGGAAACTGTAAAATCCAGTCCCGCAACCCAGTCAGTCAGTCAGATCGGGGACGTATCACCCGCTCTCCACCCCCATTCCCCAGGAGCATTCGCACTCCTGATTCCCGCCTTCGGGCACACCCCGTGCACCATCACCACCATCAGCCGCGGGGTCGGAAGCCTCCACAAACTCCTCAAACTCCCTAACGAATTCCATCTCCTCCACCGCCACCACCTTGCCATCCCGTATCCGCAGCGTCCCACAATACGCTCCACGGGAGACCACCCCGGGCTCATCCTCCCGCACACGAGAGTCCCGGCGCTCGCGCACCGTCGTCCGGCCCGGCCACACGGGAATGTCTGTGCCCGCGGTGCCCGCCGTGGGCGTGAACGCCAGCGGGTCCGCGTCGATGTATAGGTCGATCGAGAGCAGGGTGTGGCCCCAGACACATCTTGTCACATCCTCGTCCCCCAGGCCAGTGTATTCTGGTAGCTCGGCGAGCAGGTCCGCCGCCGTCGCGTTGTCGGGGATCGCGAATGATTGCGGGGTCCCGTTGCCACGTGATAGGCGGCTGGTGATGTTGTAGGCGTACGTCACCTTGTCGTGCGGGATATCGGCGAAGTACCGCGCTACTCCGGCGCTGTCGCGCGTGTACTGCAGGCGGCTCGCAGGGAAGTACGGCGGTGACCGCGGGAGGAGGATGTATGATGTCTCTATCCCCGCGGCGGAGAAGTCGGGGACGGTGAGCGGGCTGCGGATGAGCTCCCAGGTGAACGGGGAGGGGCCGTAGGAGGCGCACGACCACAGGGAGTCGTTGATCGTGCAGTTGCTGTTGCTTGAGGAGGCGGGCAGGCGGAAGTGGAAGATCCCGGGGTTTAGGAACGGGAGCGGGCGGATTGTATATCCCGATCTGTATTGTACATGTCGTTAGCTGGTGATCTGATGTCTGGTGAGAGAGAGTGCGTGCATACCCATCATCCGCCGCCTCCTCCGTCTCTTCCACATCTTCGGAGCTTGATCGCACACCAAATACCACTGCAACCACAAGGACCAGGGATAGAAACAGCATGACGGGGATGGTGATACACCAGCACTTCTTCCACTCCTTTCCCTCAGAAACCCACACCCGTCCCCCCACCCTTCCCCCGCATCGAAACATCTCCCATACAGACGCGGTGGCCCGGTACTTTGGTGGCTCCTCGTGCGGTAGTGGCACGGGTGTGTATGCCGGCGGCCCCTCGGGCGACGATGGGTCCTGCAGTGATTCGAGATTTATACTTGGCTCGCGGTGGTGGGCGGGCTCTGGAACAGTGATGTGGCCCGTGGAGACGAAGGGGGGTGGGAATAGTCCCCGGCCGTTCCAGGGCACCGAGGAGATGGAGTGGTTGGAAGAGCGGGAGGAGGAGGAGGAGCGAGGCCTGGTGGGGATCTCGCGGATTGAGTCCCCGCTGCTGATGCTGCTGCTGCTGCTGGCCGTAGACGTAGTGCTAGCGCTGGCGATACTCACGAGGCTCATGGAAGGAGCGATGGAAATGATGGGGATATCGTGGGAATGTCCCAGCGGCCCAGCCGCAGCCATGATGTTGGGGGGAGGTGGCTTTACGTATCACACCCACACCGTTTGTCCGTTCTCTGCAAGCAGCTGGCCCGTGTCGGAATACCAATGGATGCGGCTGCGGTGCAGATCATGGCGGTCCAATCGTGTGCCGCGGATAGGCGATTCTGTACGACGGTCGCTGGAGAGGCGTGCGAGTAGATGCGGCTCATTATGCGGACACATGGTAGATTTGGACTTGGGTATGCGTTCTTTGGACGATTGAATGCGCGTAGAGTATGGGGTAAGTGTAGCGGAATAATCTTTCCGGTCTCTTGTAGAGAACCGCAGTCGTCGGGCATTGCTTGGCTGTAACATATCTGCAGGAGGAACAGTTGCAGCTGACAGGCGGGTCACGGCTCCGTGGTCGCTCAACAAGTAGAAAAAGCAAACAACAAATGGATGATGCGGTGGCTGGAAAACCGTCATGCGTGGAAACACAGACGACCAAGTAGAAAGACACTGGCTCCGCCATGAGCTGTACAGGCTGGAATCAAAATTTGTGAATATGGCAAAAGAAATACATTTTGAAGCCGGGAAGAAGATGACGCCGGCACCACTCCTTTCTGTAGCCATAATAGCCATAATAGCCATAGCCGTAACACAATCTACCGTACACATTCCCGGGCCGCCTCAAATTCCCGAGTCACTCGCGGCCCAAGCCACGAGTGAGATTGCGTGGACTAGCCTACTGAGTCGCTCCATGTGGTTCGATGCAATCGTCGGAAGCCCATGACAATTCGTTCCCTGGAAACTTTGTTCGAGCTGGCTACGACAACTTTCGGCGTCGCCCCGCGATGCGTTGTGGCTCCAGGCCACAAAGTCTGTCCGGAAGGCAACACTGTGTCGCTCAGCCTGCAGAGAGATTGGTCTCCCCAGGTTTTGACTGAGGCCACCAGGCTGCCCGTACGACTACTGGAAGCTCCATGAACGATTCCCGATTTGACAGTGCAGACGGAGTCAGACGGGACGGTGACGAGCGGCCTCCCTCCTCAGCACCGGCCTTGCTCGCAGGCAACGAAACATACGAGTCGAACGACTGTCTCCTGGTCGGCGGAATGATTCCCAACTGCTGTCGTTCGAGTGAGCAGCTGCCGAGCCTTCCCTGCTGCTGTTGCAAAGGGTATTCCGTAACGAGACTCCTCCCTCCATTCCCATTCCGACTCCACCCTCGAACCAGAACTCGCAGGAACGGCATGACAAGCACCAGGGTGGCACAGCAGATCTCGGCCACGTACGCCAGCTGAACCCGAGCGACCCGGGTGCGCACCTCGAGGATAAAGGCGATATCGTCTGGCTCCGTCGGGTCCCGCTTTATGTTGGTGATTTGGGAATCGATCCGGAGGGCACTCCCGGCGATTCCGGCGCCCACTGTGCACATCCCGAGAGCGAAGACGAAGACGAAGGCTTTACGCTCGCCGCCGTGCATGGGTATGTAGCTGAAGATGATGACTGGGATTGCGAGGACTAAGGGTGGGGGTGAGGTGGGGTCAGTACGGTGTCGAGGGGCTTGACAGCGGATGATGGGGCTAAAGGGGAAGGAGTTTACGTACCCATCGTTTCGGAAAGTAGGTGCAGGATGCTGACCCATAGCAGTCCGAACTTGCTCGTCTGGATGCTGCAGTATTCGTCCTCGTCCAAGCTCCTGATTCCTGTTAGAGTAGACTCCAAAGGGGGCGGATGTGCCGTATTCGACGAGAGAAGGAATGGACCAACCAATTCCTGGACAATGGTCGACACCACAGAACAGCAACCATGAGCACAGCCAAGAAGGTACAAATGCAGAGGGCCGCCGTGGCTTTGATAAGCTTGGGAACGTAGGCAGGAAGGCGGCCGGCTTTCGAGATATCGGCGTACATGCAGAGGAAGGCGCCCTGGAGAGAAACGGCCACAGGAGGTCAGCCTGCCGTAACGCATTCGACTATAGATGTAAATAAGACTTGCCTTGACGCTCCAAAGAGCGATCATCCAGGCGTACTGAATATATGTGTGCGCCTGCAATTGATGTTAGCCAGCCAGACCATATCCCGAAGTCTCCGTACGAGATGCCATCCGGTTGCGTGCCTTGAAACTCTGGGCAAAGTAGATCCGGTAGTCAGTGCTATTGAGCGGAATGTTCTGGCTCTGAAAGGACATCTCTCGCCAGTTGATCAGGATATCCATCGCAATAACCGAAGTTGCAAAGAAAAGGACGATGGCGAACAAGATCTCGCGCCCAACCGTTGTCGGAGTCCACATGATGGGCATGTCGCGTTTTCTGCATCTCAGCAGAAACCGCAATATCACCGCACAGAACGGAAAGACATACACGCAGTGGTCAAAGATGATGTTCTGGAGCGGAGTCATCTGGGACATACGGGGCGGCGAGTGGCGGCGGGCGACGAGACAGCGGCGTCCTGCCGTAGGAAATTGTCGAAAAATTCTATCACTTGCACGGAGGGGTGTCGAAGACTCGAAGAAGTCATGCAATACTTGTAGTTGGAATGCGAAATAAGCATTCGTATCTGCCGCACCAACTCGGTACCTGCACCAATCATTTCCCCACGCTCTGCTCGTGCCGCAGAAGACTCCACGATTCCAACTACACCTGGTTTGGCGATGCGTGGTTTAGGGGCGGCGCAGCCCCCCACCTCACCGGGAAATACCGGACGGCACATTCAGGTACATACGGTGCACATCAGCTTACTTGGGATCAGCGGCCGCACGGTAACTATAATAGTCTGTACTTATTGAGGGGGCGTGCTGCAGGTACAGAGGACATGGAACGGGTGCGAATCTCCGAGACAGATATGTAGTTATATGTGACTGCGGGGCGAGTCGTCCATCCGCACCTTCGGGATGAAGTCGAACCGCATGCTCCAGTGACCACCTCCAAGTACGTTCTGGTTGCCAGGCTGCTCCCGACGCTCCGGAGACGATATTCGCACACCCAAACAATCAGCAATCAGCAATCCAGCAATAGCCCTTTCCCGTGCCATACAAGTTAGATTTAAAAGTATTCGGTACCAAATGGCATTCTCTCGTTTGCCTGTCTCTTTCGTTGCGTGGCTTCCAGCGTTCCAGCGTTCCGGCAGTCCCGCGTAGCTTGCATAGCCCATCACACAAACTCGAAACCGGTCTAGACGCGGATCACCCGGCTCCCTTCCAGGAGCGATGGGGGAGCATGTGCATCTTCCGCGCTCGGACGCGAGAAACATCTATCTATCGGTTATTGGTCGATAAGTAGGTACGCTCAGACTTCCGAGACCATTAACGAAGAGTCGATATTCCCGTCTATCCCCTAGGCTTCCCATTTCGAGGGATGGATAGCGGGGCTTCCGCTCGTGCATGGATAGATAGACTTTCTTCCCCCAGACAACAAAGTTTCGTGCCTGAGGGATTAAATAACTATGTCGTTCGAAATGTCATCCATCACACCGAGTATATAAGGCGGAGAGTCTATTCTTAAAGAAGGTTTGCGGGAATATGACCCAAACAATTATGTCATGTGTATGGGGAAAGTGTCCCTGGATCAGCGACAATGCAGCCCTTACCCTTCTACCCTATTGTAACACAACAACCCTAACCCTAGGCGGCTGAAGAGGTCCCCCGTCAAGGTTTATCAAAGTGATTCCTCACACCGATTTGAGTATTTACTCGTGAACATGACGAAGTTTTCACACAGAGACAGCAGTCTTCGTTATAAAATCTGCTGACGGATTATTTAGAGTAGACTAGATGCATGTCCTTATTCATGTCCTTTTCAACATTCGTATTCGCGCCCATGGGAGGGAACGGAATTAAACTTCACTCAACCCTCTGTTACGCGGTGACATGGCTATTTTTTCCGGTCGCAGTGCCTGAGTACACGGGAACCCTTCCTATCGATTTACAAGTCGCTGGAGGCTCTCGTACTGCTCCTGAGACCTCCGAGTGAGCGCTCATGATGCGGTTACATTGTGACTTAGATCCACTCGAACCGACCATTCGATCTGGATGTCCTTATGGCGCTCTAACCTATCGGCGATTGTCATTGAATTCTCCCTTTGAAAAGAGATATGTACCAGATGATGATGGGTCACCATCATATTGCAGTGGTACCGGTTATTTTGTAGGATATTCAGGTTAAATAGAAACTCTCCAGACAGAATGGCTCATTGCAAGGGGTGCAAGAGCAAGTCGCGTCTCTAGCGCGATAGTGCGCGTAGAAGGTTGATGTCTGATGGGAACTGCAACGCGCCAACCTCCCGCCTTTCGCACTTAGAGTTCTTGGGTCACTCCTTGTCAGATCGCATGGCTTGCTAGCCCAACTTCACTCACCACGACAACCAACAAACCAAACGAACCACTTCCCCTCTACCTTCTCTCTCCTCCGTTACTCTACCTACCCACACCATTAAACTCTCCCTGCACATGACCACAACTCTTCCCCGACTCAAGTTTCCTTCTCATCGACACTTCCTCTCTTCAACTCGACACTCCTCCTTCTCCTTCAGCTTGACACTCTTCGGCTCTACAGATTGGCCCCTCTTATCGGCTTTCTGCAACTGAGCCGACGGTAAATAACTGCCAAGTTTTGTTGCCGAACCGTCAACACGCGTCTGTTCCCCATACCAACCACAACCCTCAACAAACCCAACCGACCGAACAACCAAAGAAACTCCACACCCTCACAATTGAGAAAAATGCCGATAATCACAGTCGCTCCGGACTGTGCCCGGCAGCTCCAGCTGATCGCCGATGCAATTGCTCGCTCGAAGAAGGTGGTCGTTGTCACTGGTGCCGGAATCTCAACCAACTGCGGAATACCTGTAAGTGCTAACTTATTTACACCACCCCTCCCACAACAAAACAATTCCAACTCCTAGTCCGAGAGGAAGAAAAAATAACCCCCACATACTAATGCAATTTCCGATATCAGGACTTCCGCTCTGCCGATGGCTTGTACAATCTCGTCAAAGCCCAGTACCCCAACGCTGTGGTCAAAGGACGTGATCTTTTCGACGCCGTTCTCTGGACCGACCCCGGCTCCACAGCCCTTTTCTATACTTTTCTCGCAAACCTCCGCAATGAGGTCTTGAACGTCAAAGACACTTCCTCGGTGCACAAATTGATAAAGACCCTCGCCGATGCCGGCAGACTCTTGCGTTGCTACACGCAAAACATCGACGGACTCGAGGAGAGGGAAGGTCTGGTCTCGAGCCTGTCATATGGAAAAGGAAAGCGGAAGAGGCCTTCGCCTCTCACTGAGGAGGACAACCGTACCGACCGGGAGAAGGGCTGCCAGGTTGTGCAGCTTCACGGAAACCTGAAGACGCTTCGGTGCACCAACTGCCACCTTTTGGCCGAATACTCCGAGTCGTCGGTCCAAACCCTGCTGTCGGGCGAGGCCCCCCCCTGTATGGCCTGTACTGTGGCCTCCAATTGTCGCCAGGCCGCCGGAAAGCGTGCTACCAGAATCGGTCTCCTCCGCCCCAACGTTGTCCTCTACGGAGAAGAACACCCCGATGGAGATATGGTCGGAGCACTCACCGAGGGTGATCTCGGCGCCAAGCCCGATATCATGTTGATTCTCGGCACTTCCCTGAAGGTGCACGGCTTGAAGCGTATAGTCAAGGAGTTCGCGGCTGCCATCCATGCGAGGAATGGAATCGTGGTGTTTATCAATAACACGGCACCCTCGGAGAGCGTGTGGAACGAAGTTATCGACTATTACGTCTCTATGGACTGCGATTCTTGGGTTGCCGATGTTCGCGTAAAGCGCCCTGGAATCTGGGAACGTCAGTCGAAGCTTTCTATCCGCAAGGTGACAAAGATCACCGAGGGGGACAAGGAAAACGTGCAGGCGCAGAGGAGGGTTCTGGAGCCAAAGACTCCCAAGAAGAAGGCCAAGAAGGCCCTTGCACCGAGCAAGGTCTTCGGTGCGGAAACGCCATACATCTCCCCACCGCCCTCTAGGAAGCGTGGAGGAAAGAAGAACGATTACAACGCGGCTCCGTCTCTTATGGAATCCGATGTACATCGTACGCCGATCAAACGCCAGCAACTTGATGGCAACGTTTTGTCTCCGACCATCAGCCCCCCGGAGACACCATCTTTGGTTGGTCGAATGACCAACATCACGATCGTGACACCTGCGAGGAGGGGTAGCCCGAAGAAGAATCAGGTGGAAGTTTTCGAGGATGCCGATAGCATGCCCGTTCCGGACACACCTAGCAAGCATGGTCGCAGGGCGGCGGTCGGGACCGAACGCGGCATCAAGGCCGTGGAGAAGATGCCCGAAATCGAACCGGGTTTCAAGACTCCGAGCAAGCGTGCCAGCAGGATCGCGGTCAAGACGGAACACGACATCAAGGCCATGGTGGAGATGTCTGAAGGCAAGCCGGAGCCCAAGACTCCGAGCAAGCGTGGCCTTTGGGCCAAATCGGCAATTGAACTGCAGATCCAGGCGGAGAGCAAGCAAGCTGATGAGGCCGAGTTCAAGAATGGCCTCCCCAAGACCGCCACGCCGAGGAAGGTCGCCCCCAAGCAGGCCACTCTCGAGATTGGTCCCGGTGTCCCCGCCCTCCCCGTCGAGGCCACTCCACCGAGGCGCAGCCTGCGCAATATCAAGGTCACCTACGAACCCCTTAAGGGTTAATGTTCTTTCCTGATGATATCTCTCTTTTGTTCGGCGTTTGTCTTTTTTCTTCTTTTTCTTTCACGGCTAATAGATCTTATTGGTACTGGGGTTACTTGCTGGTTCTTCTGCATGTTTTTCTAGAGTTCCTGTTTGAAATGTCTGCCGCGTGCTGTTTGTTCCTTTTTTTTTACGGAATTACAATGGAGTTGGATGGGGCGTTTATGTTGTTATCTTTCATTCGGATTGTTTTTTCCTGCTGATGCAACTTATTTTCTTCTCTTCTTAGGTTTCCTGCGCATGGTTTCGATTCGATCTGTCTATATTTTTACCACACGTTTTTCCTTCCGGTTTTCTTTTTTTGCATGTTTGCGGGTATATCTTCCCTACATTTTTACTCTTTTTACTTGTTGATGCTACGGTGGGTACACATGGGGGATACTACTGCGATTTTCTTTTTTGCATGTTTCTGGGTATCTGCCCAACATTTTTACTCTTTTTACTGCGTTGTTGATGCTACGGTGGGTACACATGGGGGATACTACTGTGTTTTTTTTCTTTTCTTTTTTGCATGTTTGTGGGTATATCTGCCCTGCATTTGTACTTGTTTTTACTTTATTTTACTCTGTTGTTGATGCTATGGGGGATACTACTGGGGGATACTAACTGGTTTTCTGCGGTCATGTCTATACTTTTAGCTTTCTGCTTCTTTGTCGATACCACCTACATTATATTTTGTACATAGACCGGTGGGAATATATTGTTCCGTATTATTAAAAACTTGGTCCCAGTAGAGGCGTGAAGAGTGGTGAAACTTGGGGATAAATCATAGCCACTGCGGGAGTGTTTCGTTGCACGCGAAAGTCTATCATGGAGATCTGGATCCGCTATGTACCAACAGATTGGGTTGGATCCTTCAGATGAGCGGCCACGGATAAAGTACCAGTGGTAAAGTATAGGTGGACAGTGAGCACAGTCGACCCAAAGCTTGGGCAGCGTTTGCCATCGGTGCTTCACCAAAGTTTATCAGTCTGGAGGCAGAGTACGTACGGTTCCTCACAGTCGCCGGCCCGTAACCCCAAATCACAGCCAAGTACTCTGAGTCCTGGGCATCTAAAGGATATCACAATCTTGAATGCGAGCTCCGACGTCTCATTCACTCTCGCATGCACTCACCAAGGTCTCTGACGTTCTATTCACTCTCGCATTCGCAGGAAGGAGATGTTTCTGCAACTTCCCATTCACCCTCACGTCCATCTAGGTACCTCGTTAGAAAATCCTGAGTCACCACGAATCCCGCTCCTCCGTGTATGATGTGAATTTTTGCACTAGCAATGCAAGGTCGTTGCCGGAGAAGAGTACCTACCGTAAGCCTCTCTCAAGTGATACAGAGAGTCATAGCATGCGTGTTAATTAAATGCAATATATTACATGGAAGCGTCCGGTACCCGGCATTTAATCGACCGTAATTCTCCTCCTTAAAGTCCATCTTCATGCCCATCGATCATTGATCACGCCCACCGATAAAACATTCCCGATCACGGCATTCAACGTACCTACAATTGTCAATCAGTCTGTCCGGACCACCAGTCGAGCGCTCCTTCGTAGGCCAAGCCGCGAGGACTCGCATCCCTAAATACCCCTACCTTATGACTTGCATCACTAGTCGCCCCAGATTTTGCCCTTTCTCAACGGTATGTGAGTACTGACGATCCGAATGTCCAAGAAAGAGCCGCAAATCTGATCTAGGGCTTTTACTTAGGGCTTCCTTGCTCTCCGGCTGCTTCGATCACAGTAAAGAGGTCCCGGGACTCTTCGCCTCTTCGTTTATCTGTCTGACGATCCGACGACCTACCCGAGAATCCAGCCACACCCTTCTTTTTTGGATATTAGTTTCCTCTCTACCTCGAATACACACATAATGAACACTCCTCGGGATTCAAAGAAGAACTTCTTTGACGAGCTTCATTCCGTCTACGAAGGCGGCCTAGACGAAGACGAAGATGAAGACGGGCTGTTCAAACTCCCTTTCAAGCGACACTTTGTGCCTCCTTCTGACACAACACGGTCGACACTTCCCGCAGCTCGGCCGCAAACTTCAAGAACACAGTCGGCTCCCACCTCCCAGCCATCGGCTTCGGCAAAATCGCTCCAGGACAAGGTCAGCAGCTCGGATAAGTCCCCGTCAGCCAGACGAGTGAAGACTACTGGTTCTACTTCATCGACTCCAGTAGCATCGCTCAAAGAAAAGGTCGTCAATACTCCACTACTTGTCGAACCTACTACTAGCATTGGCTCGGACAATGTCCGGCCAGCCAAGAGGGCAAAAACTGTCAGCTCCATTTCGGAAACCGGCAGAGCTGTGAAGGGAAAGGCCAAAGAGCCGGTAAAGTCACTGCTCTCGAAGGAGAGATCCGAGGCCTCGGAGTCGAACGAGCAGCTAAAGACCAAGGACCCGAAAGCTGCGTCGAAGCCCGAAGCCGGGCCTGACACGAAGCTGCAACTTCCGGAAAGCTTACGCTTCATCGTTCACGACCGAAAGGCGGCGGGGAAGAAGAAGCCTCCCGCGCCAGTTCGGAAGTCTGGCTTGTTCGACGGCTTGTATTTCTGTAAGCCCCCCATCCCTCCATAATACACCGATTCTCTCTTTGGTACTGACTCCTGGACAGACTTCGTACCCAACAACCTAACCGGCCCCGCGCGCAAGTTCCGGATCCAGCGAGCGAGCGAACACGGTGCCTTCTGTCTGAACTCGTGGCGCGCGGATGCGGTCACACATATCGTAGTGGACCGAACCTACAACTGGTCGCAGCTGCTCTCGCTGGTGAACGCCGAGATTCCCGACAATGTCATCATCGTCAAGGAGAACTATCCTGGCGATTGCATGCAGTACCGGAGAATCTTGGATCATACGCAGGAAATGTACCAGATTACCGGACGGGTGTCGAAGCCTGGGCCTGAGCTGGTGCCGGAGCCGGAGCTGGCTGAAATCATGAACGAGCCGCCATTGAGTTTGAGGATTAAGGAGAGGAATCGCGTTCAGGAGACGCAGAGATTGTAAGTTATCAATCCCCCACCCCACCTCGTAGCAGCTGGCAGTAATATGTGCTGACCGGAGGTAGTCATGAGGTGACCCCTCCGCGGGACATGCGCGAAGAAACCCCTCCTCGAAGGACGTCACAGAAGCGGAAGATACAAAACGACTCGGATTCAGAGGATTCCTAGAGATGCAGTTCGACGGCACGGAGACTTGCTCGAAAGTTTGAACCGGAGCTTCATTCACAGATTTTGGGAGTCAGGTGGTGATAATGCCAGGCTAGCTTTTGGGAATGTCCTGACAGAGTAGATTTCATTGTAAATAGTCGTCTATCACCAGTTCTTATTCTATCCGCTCATGGGTTCGGGCGTCTGTTACAAGTTTCTAATAAGATACGAAAGTGAGGATGAAGGAGTAAGTCGCGAATGTTACATGTATCATTATCTAAACCCCTCAAAGAATCACAAACTCCGCACCCCCAATCGTAATATACTGAAAATAGCCCTTTATGAGATATATCCTCCAGCACCCGATCCCTTCTCAACTAGCCCCGCGCTCGTAGACGCATCAATGAACAGCTCCTGGCACTCCTTAACATCGCCCAGCTCAATCTTTGTCCTCCCCACACTACGCGCGATAACACTCGCCGGCGTCATGAGTTGTAGCGAGTACCGCAGACTGCTCTGGACACCTATCGTGGCAATAGCGTCGATAGCTGGGTCGTCGAGATCGAGCCCTTCCGTCTTTGCGCGTATCCGTACGATCGTCTTGATGTCGTCCGCGCCGTATGGATAAGTCGGGATGATGAGGAGGCGGCCGAGCAGATCGGTGGGGACGCCGTGGGCGGCTTGGATCCCATCTGTGCCGCGGATTGTGCAAACCCCGCGGTTGGAGGCGAGGATGACGATGGGCGAGATCTTGGATTCGAGGGCGCGGTTGAGGTACGTGAAGCATTCGATGTCGAGCATGTGTACCTCGTCGATGAACAGGACTCCGGGAACGAGCTCGGCGACACCCTGGTCGATGTATTTCTCCACCACCTTGTTGATTTCCTCGCGGAGCTTATCCGTGATCTCGGTTTTCTTCGGCTTTGTGAGTTGGCCCATCATGCTCATAATATCCTGGCCTCCCTGCGGGCGGGCATTGGCCACGTCGAGATCGTGAAGTGTCACATCCTGCACTATTTCCTTCTTCTTGTGGACTTCGCCTTTGGGAATGGGGACGTATTCCTCCGCCTCAAGGTCGAATTCCGTGGCGTAGGCATCGCTGCGGCCGACACGCTTTACTGCGCCGGTGTTGGCCTCGATATAGATCACATCGCCGACTGCCACTCGCTCCTTCTGTATGCTCTCGTAGATACTCGGGTCCAACCGCAGCTTCTTCGTTCCCTTGCCGGACTTGAGGCCAACGACGACGTGCGAAATCGTTTTGCCGTAACCACCGAGCGGGTTCTCGGCCTCCTCGGGTGTAAGATCTGTGACCTCGCCTTCGTAGACCTCCTTAGTCTCCTTGACTCTCAGTCCTATAACGCGCACCCATCAAATCAGCACGCCCTCCCAATGAGCACACTCTCCCAACGAACACACTCTCCAGGACATACCGATAGACCTCCTAAAATTCTCCATGAGGGCCTCCGTCTTCTTCACCTCCGCCGAATAGATCTCACTGCCGACAATCGGCCTGAACGGGACCTTCGTCCCCAGCTCCTGCGAGATTGCCAGTGCAAGCGCAGTCTTTCCTGTTCCCGGTCCACCCGCCAGCATTACCGCGCGTCCGCTCATCTTCTTCGCCTTGATAAGATCGACCACCACACCACATGCCTACACGCACAGCACTCACCCGTCAGTGACCACACTACACGGAGGGGCAAGCCAGCTGGAGGAGGAGGAGGAGGTACTTCGCGTGCTAGCTCCTGTCCCACGAACCCGTGGAGGACTTTTTCCGCCGTGCCGTCGGCACGTAGGCCCAGGCCTTTGATGTGTGTGTGCGCTGCCGTGCGGTTCTCGCGCGACGAGCCGGTTTTGACTTCGCTAATTGTGACCATTGCTAACGGACTGTGTGGCGGGAGGAGAGAGACGGGGTATCGTTTGCGGGTTCGTGAGATGTGATGCGGCGGTGATGGTAGTGGGTCGTGTTGGTGGCTTCGAGAAGTGTGTTGTGGATAAAGTTTCACGCTCTCGCTCGTTCGTTCGCGTTTTGGTGCCTGCGGCTCAAGCTGGCCGGAGCAAGGTTAAATCACATGATTCCTTTTATATCCGAGTGCGGCGCCATGATTCAATACTTGATGGAATGTACCCAAGAGTTCAAGTACATAAAATTTCACGACCATTGCTATGCATCGTATCATTGTTTCGCTACCCATTGCCAGCTACGCCAAATTCCCAATCCCAAAGTGAACCAAAGAGACAAAAACATTCATGATCATGTACTCAATAACTTCTCCTTGTTCTCCTTGATCCATTCTATTGCGCTTTCACTGTCCTTTTCTGGGTTCTCGAGCTGCCACTCCATCAGGCGGTTCAGTGCGCCCATCAGCCAGGGCCCAGATTTCTCCTGGCCCAGTGCAGACATCAGTTGTTTCCCCTGTAGAAGTGTTAGCTAGTGGCGCCACGGGGAGAATAAATGTTGTGCTCACATTGAGGACTGTCTTGAAAGCATGAGCTTCCTCTAAATCCATGTCCTTGATCTGTGACAGAAACGTGCTATACTTCACCAGCACCTCCTGCGTTCGATCGGGACCACCCTCCTTCCAGTATGGTATTGCCTCCAGCATCAACGCGCACAAATACTGACTCCTCCATTCGGCACCCAGCTCGCGTATAAACATTCCAACTTGGCTTCTGCTCAGCCCGACTTTCTGCACGACCTCCTGGATCATACTGTAGTTCCTGTATGAGCTGATGATGATATTGTTGATCTTTGTCATCATCCTAAGCCCCTCCCTTGCGGCGGTTGCGGCCGCGGGGATGTTCTTCCTCGTGTCCACGCCCGGGAACAAGTGCCCAGCCCAGGGACTGAAAGATGCGAGTAGCCAGGCGACGTATTGATCGTGCTTGTCAACGGCGAGAGATTGGAGATTGGTGCAGTCGGGTGATGTCAGGATATGCTGTAGGACTGCAGTGGCGAGAGACAGGTTCTCTACTGGAAGGGTTGGGAGGGCATCGATTGGCGGGGTGAAGATGGCATCGAAGAGGGTAAGGGAATCCATTAGAGTGAGTGCCCGGTACGGGTTTGGTCCTGTAATACTGGGTGAGCCGTGGATTCAGAGGTCAATATTGTGAGTTAAAAACCTTGGAGCATCTTTTCGATCTCAACACCGATCCTTTCTCGCGAAATCTTCATGCGAAGAGCCTTCTTGATCTCAGGATCCCGCATGGCTTCCTTAGCTTCATCCACAATCTCAAAGTTGAGTCTACTCGAGAATCGGAGTAGACGGAGAACCCGTAGAGGATCGTCGTTGAAGGTCTGGAACGGTGGAAGCGGCGTCCGTATCACCTTGTTCTTTATATCTTCCAAGCCCCTCTCCGTAAAGTCCTCGATCTGCTGCGTGTGGATGTTATAGAAGAGGGCATTGATGCAGGCATCGCGACGCAGAGCGTCTTGGACGGGAGTCCCGAACTCCTCCAGGATGTGTTAGCAACGCATGAGGGCAGGTTAGGACAGCTTGCAAACAAACCATCTGCGGAATCCGACTGTCCTCCGAGTAGGTCTCGCTTCTCAGATTGACAAAGTCAATATCCAAGCTCAGGATCTTGGTAGTGGCCGTTTCCAGATGTTTCGACTTCTCGGGATTGCTTTCGACCTTGTGGATATTGCGCGTTGGGATATCGTAGGCATCATTGTGTTCGGTAAGAAACTCCTGCATCCTCGTCGCGAAATCAAAGCCGGTCATCTTGTTGATTCCGACATCTATGTCATGGCTTTGCTGTCCGATCAACTTGTCGCGGACCCACCCACCGGTAAAGCGCAGTATGAGCGGCTCGTCGTGTTCCGCGCGGCCGGCATCGATCTCGGCGGCAACATCGACAAGGAGTTTGCGGACTCTCTCCTCTTCGGGGGTCAGAACGATTGTGGAGGTGGGGATCGCGGCGGTGGACATGGCGGCGGACAAGGCTGTGATGGCGGGGTTACGACAACGGCGTTTAGCTGCACGCTGGTGAGGGTGGTCCAGCGCTGAGCGGCCCGACAATGTTCGTGTCAAGTTGTTAATGGTGGGAGAGAAGGACCGGAAGAGGCACTGCTGCGGGCGATATAGGGACGAGAGGAGAAAATGAGTCAACCTCATAACATCTGTGCTGCGATTCCGAATGACTCCCTGTGGCTCACTACTCTAATGGTCGGTAGAGTTAGAGAACTTCTACAGCGTCATAACGTGATTACTGCAGCTAATGTCACGTGAACAGGCCCTCCAGTTAACATTCCCCAGCTCCAGATCGAAGAGAGTGAAAGAGAAAGAGAAGAGAAGGAGTGGCCCAGCAAATGACTGAGCCAAAGAGCTATGAAAAGCCCAAAAAACAATAAGAATGAAACGGTGTATTCTACGTTTAAACGGCGGCATTCTCGGTATACATACTTTGACACAAGATTAATCAGGAAGTTAAAACCCAAGCTGAGAACTATTATTGATGCTGGGTATGGACAACAATAGAGAGGCGAGAGGAGAAAAAGACGGTGAGGAAGTAGGGATATCAATCATGGTGAGTGATATGGGTACACGGTCTAGAGTACCTAGTTTACCGTGTTTTCGTCACTCTACCCGCCTGGTTAATACATCCCACGCGTGGTTCGGATGATGCTGGTTGCTCGTTAACGCTGGTTGGCGCTTTTAACTTCACTCCATCCCGAACGCAGAACGACAACCCCACAATTCGTCCCTCGTTCTCTTCTCGCTTTCAACCCACCACACCGACCGCCATCCGCCACGACGATTCTCCGCCGACACACGTCCAACACCCCACCAACATCATCCCCGCTTCACCCCCTCTTCGGTGACCGCATTGGCCCTTTACCTAATCGATCCCCGCCTCTCAGCTTTCAGCTCGAAGCTTGACTCCACACCACGCGATATTCGATCTCCGTGATATGGACGTCAAACCTGATTCCTTGGAACGCCATATCGATACCGGCAGCGTCTGAATTGCCCTCCCCCTCGCGCGTACCATACGATATCTCCTCACACCATAATCAATTGAAACACCCCCGCGCCACAACACCTACAAATCATACAACTACCATAGTACCTGCGACATGTCTTCGCAAATTACTCGTGCCCGTAAGCGTATGTTGTTACTACTCGGAGGTGGGACGTGGGTGCCACGCTCGGTTCGCTGATATCAGGTTGCAGGGGAACTACGAACTCTCAACCAGGCCGCCTGGGAAGGAGACAAAGGTACGGCCCCACCTCGTTTCATAATCTCGTGTACCACCAGGGTAACTCATGGTTCATTGGTCATCCGCACACAGGCGTGTTCAAGGTAGCCGGATCCCTCGATTCGTCGCTCAAGAAAAACACCGCCGTGATCAAGCGGTTGCGTACTTCCTTGATCTCGGAGTCCCAAGCCGCACTCCTAAAGGATATCCAGACCACGTCGTTGGAGAAATACCTTCCCGAAGTCATCTCCGCCGTTGCCGAAGGACTGCAGAAATCGAAAATTGCCGATACCGGTGCTATCGTCGAGGTCGTCTCTGCCCTGCACCAGCGCTTCCAAAGGGACTTCACGCCGAAGCTTACCTTTGCTCTCGCGAAGGGACTGGCAAACCCCCGGGCTGAAGTGCTGAAGGGACTGTCTCCGGAACAGAGGGAACGTGAGGAGAAGGAGAGATTGGCTAGACAGCGGTCTTTGCTGAGGATCGGTGTCGAACTGTGGCTTGTCGGCGTCATCAGAACGGTGCAAGACGCAGAGGACGGATCTCTACTCAAGAATGGGGCTGCCGGAACCACTACGAAGGTTGCTGCACCTATTCCGAAAAAGGAATCTGGGGATATAGAACCCTTCCCTTTGGAAGTCCTCAAGGAACTCTTGGGCAGGGATAAGGAGCACATAAACCTGCCTTTGGTGGTCCTGTTCGTCAAGCAATTCGCATATGATGTCTTAGGATTGAAGGCACGTAACTCGGCACGGAAGACTGTGGAAGAGGATGGTGCAACAAACGCTACAGTAACGGAGACGAACGGAAAGATCAAGGAGGAAACAGGAGAGAAGAACGACATCGATCCCAATGACCCTCCGCTTACACCCCCGGAAGTTCAGCAGCGCTTCAAGAACATCCTTACCCGCTACATGGACTCGGTCAAGTCTCACATCGTGCGTGATCACGAGCGCCTCCAGACACAGTCCGCTCGCAATGCGGAAGCATACATCAAATCCGGAGAGATTTTCGAGGACCGGCAGGCCAATTACGAAAAGCTTGTTAAGCTCCAGGAGAAGTTGATTGCAAATGCTCAGGTTGTGGCGGATATCGTAGGACTCGAGATGCCAGATCTCCCGGATGATCGCAATGACGAGGGCGTGAAGGACAGCATTATTAGGGAGGGAAGCAGCATGTTTGCGAATAAGGGTGAAGAGGGAAAGAACGGAATCTGGGAGGACGAAGACCAGCGGAGGTTCTATGAGGATTTGATCGATCTCAAGGGCAAAGTCCCCACAATCCTGCTTGAGGATGGAAAGAAGAAGAGGAAGGATGGGGACCCCAAAACCGAGGATGAAATCAAGAGCACTGGGGATGAGGCAGCAGACGCCGGCAGAGACGATCAAGAAGTGGTGGCGAATGGTGAGACGGAGGAAGACAAGAAAGCCGCCGAAGATGCTGCCAGCACTGTCATTGTCAACAAAACGATTGGCGCTCAGGTGGACGCGCTGCTATTGCGGCTTCCGGATCTCAACAATCGGGACATGATCGACCAAGCTGCCATTGATTTTTGCTTCCTCAATTCCAAAGCGTCCAGGAACAGGCTCATTCGTGTTCTGCAAGAGGTTCCCCGCAGCCGCCAGGACTTGTTGCCAGCTTATTCTCGTCTCACGGCAACCCTCAACAGGTATCTTCCCGACATTGGCAAAGCCCTGGTTGAGCATCTTGACAAGGAGTTCCGCTCTCTTCAGAGACGCAAGGAGAAGGATCTCTCGGAATCCCGTGCTCGGAATGCTCGTTACCTCTCCGAGCTGACAAAGTTTGGAGTGGTCCCTGAGCATGTCATCTTCCATTGTCTCAAGGTGGCACTCGAAGACTTCCATCGCACCAATATCGAGATTATCTGCCATATCCTTGAAACCTGCGGCAGGTACCTCCTTCGAACTGCTGAGACAGGACCGCGGATGGCCGCGTTCCTCGAGACGCTCAAGAAGAAGAAAGATGGTGTCCATCACCTTGGACAGCAGGAACGTATCTCAATTGAGAATGCCTTCTACTATGTCAACCCTCCAGAGAGACCCGCCATCGCCCAGAAGGAGCGTTCCATTATGGAGCTTTTCGTCCGCAAGTTGATCTACCTGGATCTCACCAAGCGCAACTACGTCAAGATCCTGAAGCAGCTACGCAAACTCCATTGGGAAGATCCTTCAATCGTCAGCATGCTGAAGAAGGTATTCACCAAGGTTTGGAAGGTGCGATATAACAATATCCACATCCTCGCTATTATTGTTGGCGCCTTGAGCCGTTACCATCAAGATTTCGCATATGGAGTCATTGACGAAATCTTGGAGCAAATCTCGGTTGGACTGGAAGAAAACAACTTCAAGCATAACCAGAGACGTGTCGCGCAAGTCAAATATCTCGGCGAATTGTACAATTATAAGATGGTCGATTCCCCGGTTATCTTTGATGCCTTATACCGCATCGTCACCTTCGGGCACGAAGGCGGTATGCCAAAGCCGGGAGTACTCTGCCACTTGGATCCGCCCGACGATTTCTTTAGGATCAGGCTTGCATGCTCTCTCCTCGACGTGTGTGGCGCCTGCTTCGACCGCGGCACCGCCAAAAAGAAGTTGGACTTTTTCCTTGCGTTCCTGCAGTACTACTACCATACGAAGGACCCTGCTCCAATGGATATCGACTTCCTGCTGCAGGATACCCTCGCCGCTTTGAGGCCATCAATGGTGATGCCCGCTACCCTTGAGGAGGCTGGAAAGGCTTTTGAAGAGGCCGTTGCAAAAACCTACAAGAAGACCGAGATGGACAAGAATGCAGCCGCCGAGCAGGAAGAGGCTGAAGAAGAGTCTAACTCTGACGACGATGAGGGAGAAGGAGAGGACGTGGAGCTCCGGGACGAAGATGACGTAGCCGTGTCTGACGGCGAAGAGGGTGAGGAAGGGGAGGAGGGTACGGCTGCCGCAGGCCCTCAGAGTGATCCATCCAATCACTCTTCCGACGAAGAGGAGGAAGAAGACATTGTCGTCACTAGGGAACAGCAGTTAGATCCTGAGGCTGAAGCCGAATTCGACCGCGAATTTGCCAAGATGATGTCGGATTCCTTGGAAAGCCGTAAGTTCGATAGGAAACCTGTCTTCGACGTGCCTCTCCCAATTCGCAAGGGCACCGGCATGCTTTCGCGTGAGAACACTATCGAGAGCGAGACCGGCGAACCGGAACAACCGGAGGAGAAGGGGACGATGATGTTCAGTCTATTAACCAGGAGAGGTAACAGACAGCAGACTAAGATGGTTGCCCTGCCTAGTGACAGCGGCTTTGCCCTGGCCATGAAGGATAAGCGGGAGAAGGAGCGAGAGGAAAAGCAGAAAATCAAGGAATTGGTCATGAGCTATGACAGAATGGAAGACACTGCTGAACTCGACGGTATGTTCTCCTCTATCTTTGTTTGGTGGGTAAGGAAGGCTAAGCATGTGTCACAGCACTCGACAAACACGCTGCTCTCAACGGCTATCACGTCAAGACGGACTCCAAGGCGGTCAGAGGCCAACCCAGGGGCCGTAAACTGTCCATGAGCGACGTTAACTGGTACGACGCCAAGAACGCGCGTCCCCACCCCCAAGATAGGGCCAGGCTCAGCAGTGCTCCTCAACCTGTTCCTCTCTGTCGGCGTCCCCCTCCCCCTCCCCCAGCCAAGAAAAAAGAAGTCAAGAAACCTAGCGGCCCCCGCGGTCGCGAGGGACGAGTGACCAAAGCCGACAAGAGGAAGAGGGAGACACCCCAAGCGCCTGGTCCGATCGGAATGGGTGGTGACGACTTGTCCCTCCTCAGTCTATACGATTGCTAAAACTTGTTATTAATCCATAGGACCTAAAGGAAATCGGGAGGATAAACGAATTGCGGGAGGGAGGATATATCCTTCTATATGACATCATTCATATGCTGCTGCTGCTGCTGCGTGCGGCGGGGGGCGGTTCCCCAGACGGTCGAACGGTCGAACGATACGGACGGCTACAACTACTACTACTGCTACTTGCTACTAGAAGAATCTCGAAGCCTAGGATATGGATAACGGAACAGATGATTGGTGGATGGATGGAGAAAAGATGGGAGGTGAAAGTAAGAGTGTGAGAAAATTCGAAAATTCGTTGACTGGTAGGTACGCCTCAATTCGGGGGGAGGATGGGCGGGAGATGGACCACAGGTCGACCGAACGGAAGAAAGCCTAGGGTGTGCCGTGCCCCCAGCCAACAATAGCAACATGTTTGGTTTTCACTGGCGGCGACGATGGTGGCGGGCGGGCGGGCGGGCGGGCGGGCGGGTGGGTGGGTGTGCGGGTGGGTGGGTAGGATATGGGCCCTATTTGCTCTTGCTCTTGCTCTTGCTCTTGCTCGACAATCTACTGTGCTTTGCTTTGCCTTGCCTTGCTTGCTTGCCTGCTAGTTGTGAATTCGGGGGCTTTGTTCGGTTTGGGGAGGGATTTCCGTTGAATTTTTTCTACTATCTGCTTGCTTGCTTGTTCGTTCGTTAGGTCCTTGCTTTGAGTTGCGCTTCCTTCATCTTTTGAAATTTCACTTTTCTGGCTCGTCGAGGTCTCTTTTCGTGAAGGTTTGCGGGTTTTGAAGTGATATGTGATTTGAACTGTGATTGATTCGTCCGGCGAATGCTCTGCGCGTCACTCGGATTTACGATGCTGGTCTGTATGCACTTTCCGTCCGTCCGGTTGTTCCGGTGAGTATCAAACGTTTACAGGGGGCACCATTATTGATTCGATGGTTTGGTTGCGGGGGTGGGATGGGATGGGATGTGATGGGATGGGAGGAACGGGGTTATGAGGGGTAAGTATGTAAGTAAGCTGCTACCGGTAGATATATGAAATATGAGGAGGGCTGTTGAGAGTGGCGTGGAGTGTGGTGTGGAGTGGAAGGGGGTCACGGGAAATTGTGGAGGGTTTGGAGGGTTTGGAGGGTTTGGAGGGAGATGGTATATAACGCGCTCTCAACAGCTCATCAATCAGCTCAGTCGATTTTAAGTTCGAGTTCGAGTTGGACGAAACGAACGAACGAATGAACGTCACATCTCATGTCATCTCATCTTAACTTAGGCATGTCCGGTTACATCACATCCCCTCGACCTCAACCTGAAGCCGACGCTGAAGTGCACGAGGTAGTAGGTGGTATGCGCAGCCTGTTGCACCCCCATTGACGTCGGTATCCCAGCCTGGTTGAAACTCCCAGCCTTCATTAACTGTACCGTACTGTACCAGGTAGCACATACCCCGAACCGGCGTTTAACTACTTGAGAGTCGACGGATCACGGCGGGTTGGAATGACAACTTTGTCACATACACTCACTGAGACTCTCTGAGCCCTGTGGAGTTTCCCCTCCGCTCTCATACACTTCCCTCCCATCCCCTCTCCCCTCCTCTCCCTCGGACATCGGGACATCGAACGTCCACTGGCACTTGCTTACGTGCGAAAGCGGCAGCGCCCATTCCATTCCATTCAGTTCTGCCCGACCCTCCGTCCGTCCCATTTTCTCCTCTATATATATGAAACGAAACCCCGAACCCCCGGGGGAGGGGAAGAGGTAATATATCCACGACAATCACGGTGTGTAAACAAAGGACCGGGCTGAGTTGGGGAAGGGCTGGGCTGGGGCTGGGGAAGATTGTCGTCAGGGAACAGGAACAGGAAACGTCGTATTTGATTTGCAGGGATTGCATTTTGGTCGGGGGAGGGTGCGCGGACGGCGGCAATGGCGGTAAGAACGATGACGGTGACGGTGATGGTGGTCTCGGCGGGTTCGATAAACGTTGCGAAGGGTCCCCCACCGAGTTGGCGGGCTCATTTCACGGAAGTCTGTATCGCGCGGGGGGGAGTGAGCGGGGGAATTTCACGTTATCGGGAGTCCGTATCGCGCGCAGGGGAGGGGGAGATTTGACGTCCATAACTAACTACGGACATCATCTCACTCATCTCCTCCCCATTCGAATTTCGGGGACCATACACCGTGATTCGGGGGGCCAAACCCGATGCGGTCGCCTCAACGTTGAAATGTTCTCTGTTTCTATCATACTTTTATGTTTGTCGGGTCGGTCGGTCAGTCTCTTGATCAAGACATCAGGCACCGGGAATTAGTTATCAACACCGCGGAGGTAGTTTGAGGTTGTTCAGTCTGAAGAACACGGGCTGCTTTTCTTTCGTGTTTCTTTCTACCTATTCAATTCAATCAGTCTCACCAGTTGCCTGTACCCGTCGAAGGTCTCTCAGTACTCTCTTATAGATATCTCTACGGCTGGATTAGGATCCGGCTTCAGTATCGGGCCGGAGAACGAGAACAAACTCGGCAGAGGCGGCGGCGGGAACCGGCTGCAGCTTTCTCACAGATCCCGGGTCTTCGGTCCAGCGTCTAAAACGGAGTCCAGACATCGATCGTGCTTGAGCCTCCCGGTCCCCGGATATCCCCGAGCTCAACACTACTGGTATGTATGCGACTGCGACTGCCTTCTTGCTGCTGCACCCTGCGTCGAAATTGAATATCCAGATCCGCTAGTTCGTAGGTGGTGGTGGTGATGGGTTCTCCATCTCCGCATGGAATGTAGAGTATCGTGGTCGCCGCCGTTTGCACATACCCTACAGAGGGGACGACCTGCCTTCGACGCATCGAATTGGCAGTATGATATGTATATAGGGATGGGAAGAACGGAGCGGGGGTGGTTAAGTACACAAAGGGTTTGGGTCGGTCGCTTATTTGATGGCGCGATGCCCAACTACTCTAGCTGGAGCAGACTGGTTGAGCACTCTAAGTTCGACGCAGGGGGTTGTGTGTGTGCTTGTGCTCTACGTTAGAGGCTCTACTCTAGTTGCTTTGAGGTTTGAACTCGTGGTCACTCCGCTGAACTACGATGAACTCGAAGAAAGAAAGAGGGGGGGAAGTTAGAGAGGAGCCAGAGAGAGATGCAGATGCCGCTTCACCCGCGTGCGCACCGTGCACCTGCCAGGCGAGCTGATTGGCGATTGCGGGCACTGGGCGTAAGTTCTTAGTCAGCGTTGCTTGCTCGTTACTCGCTCGCTGCCGATCGTCGTCGTCGCGCTGGGAGTGGGATGCAACTTGCAAGTCGTGAAGCAGGTACGGATTGGGCGGAAAAAAGGAAGCAAAAAACAAATGCATTCTGAAGAGTTTTGACTGGCTTGCTGAGTGATGATGCAGCGATTCGACTGCTTGGCTGCCATTCGCTCTTCCATCCAATAATCCTCAAGCCCAGCAAGCAACCCCTCCACCCCTTGCGAATCACGGCCTCATCACCGCGAACGCCCTGCAGCTCTGCTCCTCCTCTTCCTCTTCCCCATCCTCCTCCTCCACTTCTCCATTCACACCCCCTCCCCCTCCGCTAGATAGCGATAGTTATCTGGAATCTTCAGATCTCACCGGACTCGTGTATCGCACACGTAACACTCCCTCGCCCCCATCCGCCTGCTTACTTGACGCGAATAACTCATCATCAGCCTTCCCATCCCTCCATCCCTCCATCCCTTCCCCCATCATCTGCGGCCTTCCTTCTGCACCTGTATTAGAATACCGGCCGACAGCGCCCTAAGCAGGAGGCAACCCACCATATACAGCGCTACCTCTCATTCCGACCGCCACCTATCCCCGCCTGTCGTCTAGGTATCCCCGCCCGCCCCCCGCCACCACTACCACCGCCGTCGCCGCCGCCCGTGCTTCTCTACGTTCCTTTACACCCCCCTACTAGTTACTCTGTCCGCCGATGGGCTCGTAGCTCCATCAAATCTTCAGGGGCCGAAGTTGATACATTCTGTACCTGAAGTGCTCATTCTCCCTCAAACCTCGGCCATCTCCCTCCCTCCCTCCCCGTCCCGCATCGCGACCCTGGCTCGTCAACGTGAGACTGCCCCTGCGACGACACCAATTCAATTATTTCCCAGTCCAATCCCTTCTCGGCCACAACCCGTTTAGCTGCACCTTACCGTCAACGTTGCTCCTTCTACGCCAACTGATCGCCGGTCGCCCAGAGTGAGAGAGCCTTTCCTACATACTACTGCTACTACCACCAGCCATCAACTCCTAGCATCCAATTTACTCGAGTCGTCCTCTTACTCCTCCTCATCAACTTCTCCTCTTACTACTACTACTGCTACCAATACTATTACTACTACTTCTTCTCCTCCTGTTCCTCCTCCCCTCTTCCGACAAACTCCCCCCGCTTTACGAACCCTCACGAACGCACGCCCGCTCGCCTACGTACCTGAAACAGTCGTATTCCCACCCCCCTCCCCTCCCCCCCCCCCCCCCCCCCCCCCCCGAATCGGACTTTCATCTCCAGCTTCGTCGTCGTCGTCGCGATCAGCTCCACGGACAAGATAGAGAAAACAGAAAGAGATATTCACGCTGGTTCCCATCGAGACTTATACTCTCGAAGGATTCTGTGAGGCTCCGTGAGTCTGCTGTGTGGGCTGGAAAGGTTCAGGACAAAAGAGACAGCCGGGTATATATAACTCGCGATGGAGTCCCCACCCGGCACGCCATTACTCGAGGAAGACGAGGAGGCTGTGCCGTGCAAAGGATGTAACAACGTATGCATTCGAACGTATTCCCACACGTAGGATGACATCTGGTCACTGACTGAGGCGGGGGATCTTGGTGCAGGTTCTGGAAGAGGGAAAAGCGTTCGAGCTCGGTCAGTCAGCCCCCTCTCATCCTCCCCCCTCACTCCCCCGTTCGATGCGGGAACACTACACTCGGCTTCTACCGCACCTACAGCACAACATCCCGTTTGCAATGCTCGTACTGACGGCTGTATAGCTGGTAATCGCTGGCACATAGAATGTTTCCGGTGTAATAGCTGTGGCACATTACTCGATTCCGACGCCAACCTTCTACTGCTCGGAGATGGATCCCTCATCTGCAACAGCTGTACCTACAGCTGCACCGCTTGCGGCAACAAGATCGAAGATCTCGCGATCCTTACCGGAGACCAGGCGTTCTGTGCGGGCTGCTTCAGATGTCGGAATTGCAAGCGCAAGATCGAGAATCTGAAATATGCGCGGACATCGCAGGGAATCTTCTGTATGACCTGCCACGAAATATTGATGGCGCGGCGAAAGAAACGTCCAAAACCGACCATGACCCAGACCCAGAGGCCAACGCCGTCAGTGTCGCCGATGTTGGCCCTGGACAAGGCACTTCCTTCCGTCCCGCCGCCACAAGACGATGACCCCGTGGAGCTACCCGTCAACATACCTCGTTCCGAGCTGGCGGCCAATCCAGCCCCTCGCCCCTCGACCAGCCGGACTAACTCGTCGAGAACCAATCCCACACCTGACCAGCTGTCGCCGATGGCATTTCAGCCTTCTGGGGGTAACATTCGTCTCCTCCCGAGTGGTAAGAGCTTCCCCGCTGACTGTGCAGATCATCTCCGTACGCCTAGGACGAACAAGCGTCACTCGCAGATGTCACTCGATATGCTTCAGGGAGCGCAGGACTACTCGTTTATACCTCTCGTCCTCGATAACTCTCCCGGCCACACTCCCGGCCACACCCCCGGCCACACCCCCGGGCACACTCCAGCTCAACTTCCAAGCACCTCTTACAGCAGGTCGAACGTGCTCGATCGGGGGCCGCATCATGACCGGGCAGAGCTTCCTAGGCAGGAGCGGAAATCGTCTACGGACACGTCACACTATGAGATGCGCGGCTCAATACCGCACATTGCCACGCAGGACAAGAGCTACGAACTCCCGGTTGCAATGGACAGGAGGGACATCCCCCGGATCTCCCATGACTACGAAAGGCCTTCAGATATTAAGCAGATCTCCCGCTCCGATTCTTCGCTCAATAAGTCGGATGCGCAGGCTCCAAAGATCGAAATTAACACGAATTCCAGCGGCTTCAAGCTTGGGGAGGTACCGAGGGAGAGGAAGAGGTCGATTGGCAATCTTAGATCTCCCGAACTCGATGAACTGCAAGAAAAGTTCAGGGCTATAACCTCCTCGAGGCCTGTCAGTTCACAGACCACGTCTTCACAGAAAACGCTTGATGCGGCTTCTCTGCCTCCTCGGGGGGATTCATTCCGACCGCCAGTGTCGCGGAAAGAAGTCCCAGCCCCCGTAAGAGGCAAATCCTTCGATTCGACTCTCACTCCATTGTCTCCAGGTCGTTCGTTACATAGCCAGGCCGCATCGAGTTCGTCTACCATGACAGCGGTCGAGTTGCCAGGAGATGACAGCAGTGTGGGAACCAGAAGGGATGGATCATCCCCACCGCAGCGACCTTCGACCGCCCAGGATAGTGGCTTCAGTCCGTCCCATAACTCGGAATCGGAAATGTCACCATCCCTCCCTCCACTCAACAAGTCGTCCATGGCTGGACTAGGATTCGATGACGAACTTAAAAGGGTATTTGGCGGTGGCTCCAGTGATCCAGGCCTCAGGAGGGTTTCTAACGCGGTAAAGCATGGGAGGAGTCTTAGTGAAGCAGCCAGGTCGCCATATTCCCCCGGAGCCGGACTGCAATACGGAGAATCGCCGGAAACTAGAGACGACGTGACAACCCTTAAGCAGGAACTACGGCGCTCGACCCAGCGCATCGTCGAATTGGAGGCCAAACTCAATGTTCGTATAATAGCGGATCCCACCCCACTGACCCGCCGCTCCGTCGCTGACAACTCGTTTAGAACAATGTGTCGGCCAAGGCACTGGAACACAACATCCAGGAGAAGCGGAATACTGTTGCCCTGCTAGAAACGGAGAGAGAGGCCTTCTTGCGCGAGTTGATGGTGATCAAGGAGAGACTGGATGCTTCCAAGGAGGGGTACGTCAAATTCCGCCGGCCAAAAGCGCGCGCACGTGACTGACGCATTTACACAGCAAACCCGTCAACTTTGACGAATTAAAATCGGATCTTATCCGCGGCTTGACCGTGGAGCTGGAAAGTCTTAAGGAGACCTTGAGGTCTGACATCCAGGCTCTGGTGTCTCAGCGGGACCAATTGTTGGACGATGTTGAGAACTTTGGCCGCCTGCGTGAACAAGCCATCCAGGAAACCGAGCAACTCAACATGAAGAATGCGCAGTTGGCAGACCTCAATAACGAGCTAACCCGACGTATCCAAGGCCAGTTCCAAGCCAATAAGGTTCCCGGTCTTGGGATCTACGATGGGACCAGTATCGACGCGTTGGATATAAAGGACTTGGACAAGCGGGCGACACCGGCAGCTCCCACGCCTTCCTTGGCAACCATCGGCGTGCCGTACAGCGAGACCTCGGAGGGTCCCGAAGTATTTGTAGCGCAAAAGGTTTCCACGTTTAAGAATGGTGCCCAGCAAAAGAAGTTCTTCTGGAAGAAACCCGGTGCCACGATCATGAAGGGTGCCAACAAGATCAATAGGGTCTTCACTGCGGACCAGGAGGCTACAAATGGATACGATTCTTCCAGCATGAAGTCGCACGGGGGGATAGGAGGGACGGAGAAACTTTTTGGTGGTGGGCAGAAGAAGTGGGGCAAAAACCACAAGGCCGGTTCTGCCAACGGGAATGGGGGCCCCCAGGAGGACGGACATGGTATGTTTATTGCGTTTCGATGACTGACAGGACAATGCTGACCCCATCTAGTGGCCATTTTTGGAGGCGATCTTGGAGCACGAACAGCGTTTGAGGATGCCAAAATACCGATCATCGTCCAGAAATGCATCCAGGAGGTGGAGATGCGCGGCATGGACTATGAGGGTATCTACCGGAAGTCGGGCGGCACGACTCAGATGCGACAGATTCAGGACGAGTTTGAGCGCGGAGACGATGTGCAATTCAGTCCGGATCTCGATATCTGCAGTGTCACCAGTGTTCTGAAGCAGTACCTTCGTAACCTACCAAATCCGCTCATCACGTACGAGGTCTACGACCGGTTTATTGAAACGAGCAGTGAGTGCAGCTCTGCTCCCCCTGGTGCTCTGGGCTGTCGTTGCTGACGAGTGATCGCTCTAGACATATACGAAGAGGATAAACGCGTGGAAGCCCTCAAGGGTATCACAGAAGATCTGCCGCCGGCACATCGTGACGTGCTACAGTTCATCATATTCCATCTGGCCAGGTTCGATCGCTGCTCCCGTTGCTATTGATTCCAACCGGACGAGTACTGACGAGATGAATAGGGTTGCTGCCAGAAAAGAAGAGAATCTGATGAACACACGCAACCTCGCAGTCGTGTTTGCGCCCACCTTACTCCGACATCTCTCGGACGAGCGGGAGATGTCTGACATGCACACAAAGAACAACGCCGTGCAATTCCTGATCGATTACAATGAAGCAATTTTCTAGCAGCTTCGTTTTGGACTTTATGATTTTTTGGGGCGGGAGGTGTAGTGCCAGGGTGAGGCGTTTTCTTCGACTTCTTTTTCTGTATAATGATTTTTCTTCTTCTTCCGGTGTTTGTGTATCCCCTCCAGTTGTTCAGAGATACCATGATTACCACTAGCACTACCACCACTACCACCACCGCTATCACCCCCACCACTGCCGTTTTGCTTCCTCTCCGTTTAATCTACCTACTCCAATATCTATCTACCTACCCGCTTTTTGGTGTTTATCTCTTGTCTGATCTGTTTGGTGTTGGGTGTGGTTTTTGGGGATGAGGGTTGGGGGGTTTTTGGAGTGTGAATGGAGTGAAATGAGTCATAGATGTTGTGTGGTGCTCGCGTTTGCTCGAAACGCATTGGAACTCGAGGTGTATTGCGGGTGAGAACATGTGAGGCAGTGGTCACCACTGGGTGTCTGGGAAGCAACTACACGGCAACTACACGCGGCAACTACACGCGGCGATGGATACAAGACCCGCGCGCCCATCGTAGCATACAAGTCCACAACCCCACAATCACTCGTCCTCTGTTTGCCTCTTTTTCCAAAGGGTTTTAAGTACGGACTCACTGTAATCACTCGTTTGACATTTTAACGTGGTCGAGAAGACACGTAAGATATCAAACTCAAGGTAGGGTAGAGAAATAGGTTCGAATCGAATGGAGTAGTTGGGGTTTGAGTTTGAGTGACGTCTTCCGCTCGTGATCTTTCCGTGAAGTTCCATCCGCACAAACGCCGACGCCAACGACGACATCAAACACACCTCCCTCACTCCCTCTCTCCCTCACCTCACTCGCTCCCTCTCACAACACAATATCACCATCAAAACACCTCACTCCCTCACTCCCTCATACTTTTACAGTACAATAGTACAACGTAACACCACCATCACGCGAAATAAACTGAAGATCTCTCTCTCTCTCTCTCTCTCTCTCGCACAACACTATCACCTTTACAACACAAAACAACATCACCTTCACAACATCTCACCGGCACACATCACCATGACAGCCCTCGGCGGCATATTTCTCACATTATTTCTCGCATCACAGCCGCACCATCACGTTGCACATCACAGCCCTCGGCGGCATATTCCCCACACTATCTCCCACATTACTTCCCACATTATTTCCCACATTATTTCCCACATTATCTCCCACATCACAAACCACCTGACCGCGGCCAGAAGCCTTACGCCACCTAGGCACGCACCTAGGCACGGAAGCACATCCCCCCTCCCTGAGCCGAAGGGGAGCCTACATTCAAGCAGCAGCGGCGGAGCGACGGAGCGATACCAGACCGCGGAACTTTGCAAATTTGCAACCTGCCGGCCGGCGGAGGAAGATTTCTGCAGGCCGCCGTTCTCGAGACGGAGATACTGAAGGAGATACGGAAGGAGATACGGAGCTATTTCGTTACCGCAGCAGAACGAAGTTCGAACGCCGAATGGATTGCTTCGGCTGAGGAGACAGGAGACAGGAGACAGGAGACAGACAGGAGAGAGACATACATACTAGAGTCTAGACTGACTTGCAGACTGGCTTGCGGGTTTGGAAGGACGAATACAGTACAGCACAGTGGCTTCAGCCTGCAGCCTGCTGGAACCGCCTCGATGCGATTCCGTCGACATATTATGGAGGGTTTCCACCAGCCTGCGGGAACAAACCGCCTCCATCGACAATGTGATACAGTATGTACGGTACTGGGCGGATATATCACATGCACCTGGTGGGAAAAATCGCGCTGGAATGGGCCTTGAGTATTTGTGTATTCCCGCCATGAGCGCAGGGCCAGAACGGCGGATTTCCCTCTTCTCATCGCCGCTGATGACGCACTGGAGGCACTGGAACGCCTCAAAAGCTGGCAGCGAGATAGTCTTGTATCATAGCTGCTATGTACTCTACAAAGGGCGATATCAAGGAGATGGAGATGGAGACTGCCCAGCTATGCACAGGACAGCTTCCTCGGCGCTTTACACAAAATTAGATATCGACAATCGCGCTGCTGTGTAGGACAAGAACAAAGTCGAGGTGAGTATCTAACGCGCATTACCAGCCAGCTTCGATCGATCGATGCTAAGACTCCCAGTAGGTAGAATAAGCTCGTCAACGCCGGAAAGGCTTACAAAGATCTTTGGTCGTCCGAATGTTGCCTCTGCCGCCGAGTCCACTGTCCGCTCCTACATCGTCGCCACTAGACTAGGAGGCACTCGCTACCACCGGAATCCAGCTCAACAGCTCAATGGAACGGCGCCGCTTGCCACATACGGCTCCACCAAACGATATGGCGCCAAAGCTCTTGCGAGACGCGGCTTGCTCATCAAGAGACCTGCGAGACGTACACTGTGGGCGACAACGAACTTCGAAGCCAGACAGACAAGCCACTGCGTTCCCAGGTGTATGTCCGATGGGATCGTGGTTTACGACGGGGTCTGTGAAGAGGAGGAAGAAGACGAGGAGGATGATCAATAGCTGTACTACTTATGCCTAGTACCTATAGACATAAACGTATGGACGTATAGGCGTATGGGAAAGGTTCACGGATTTCAAACGAAAACATTCTCCGTCCAAAGTCGAACACCTACCAGTCCATGCAGTCAGTCAGTCGACTGCTGTCTGTCTGTCTAGTCCAGTCCTACCAGCGGCAGGCCGCGCAGACTGCCTGCTCAGTAAAGTCCAGTCCAGTCCGGTCTAGTCCAAGCCCCAAGACGGACTGCAAAGACGGACTGCACCGCTCAGTCCAGTCAGTCCGACGAATGCCGAAAAATGGACGGGACTGGACTGGACTGGACTATCCGAGGCACTGTGAGGAGAATGGACAGAGGAACTGTGATGTTTTGTTTTTTCTTTCTCCAAAGGGTCCGGCTCCGGCTATCACCTGGAAGAGCAACTACTGGCGGAACTTGACACTTTTGTTTTCATCTTTTATCTCAACTTGTTACGGTACCTAGAGGAGGTAGAGGAGGTGAGTACCAGTGAATAGGAAACAAGCCTCTGCCACGAAGATTGCACTACCTACCTGGTACCTCCCACCGATATGATGTATGATGGGCGTGTTTAGAATACTACATCTCATCAGTCGGCGCTCCCCACCTGTGTCGCGGCCCGCCGGCTTCTCGCCGTTACATGGACGTTGACGAACAGTCGAACCCCGGCCACGCTCCGGATCACTCGCAATCACTCTATAGCCCAATCCTCCATTCTGTTGTGAATAGCGACTGAATGGATGAATTACAGTGTGTATTATGTCTAGAGAAGGGAGGCTGTAGCCCCGAGTGTAGGAAAGGGGCAAAGGCCCGTACCTTTCCACGATGGCAAAGGATCGAGTGAGAATATGAGATATTACAACACATCCTCTCGTCTACCGTTCACCTTTCACGACCATCCCGCACCCGTCCAGCCAGCCCACCAACTGGAACAGGCCGGAACGCATTATGAGCCCTACATAGCAGAGGAGCGAATTAAGCGGAGCGGGGGGTACTCTAGATAAACGTTAAAGCCCTTGGTCGAGATTTGGCGGAGGTTGGACGTGGGGGATTCCCCTTATCGATGCTCTTTTCCTCAACACATGCATATAAGCAGGTAGATACATAGTCTCTCCGATGCGTACATCGGGGAATATACACACATCGAGCTTGCAGCCGGCGCTCCAAGACAGTGCGGCGGGACTGGTCGTGTAAACTACCATGATCTGGTAGGTTGGATGCGACAAAGCTTGAGCAAACACCCGCCCCCACCACCGCCCCGCCGCTGTCCTCATCGCTCCATCGCTCCATACTCCATCGCTCCATACGTAACCGCCTACCAGCTCATCGCATGGGTATTCGGACAGCCGCTTTACCAGCACCCCCCAATCTGTCCGAATATGTAGCCATGCAATGATCCAGTAACTATACCTAGTACTAAGCACCAGTCAGCAATCAGCAGTCAGCACACCGGACATTGCGGCACCGCGGCACCAGCACGTACACATATGTACACACGCGGCCCCCTCCCCCCTCCCCACCCCCACCCTCACCCCCCGCCGGAAAATTTCCACAGCCGTCGTTGCCTGTGCCTGCGGGCGTCGTTGACGTTGACGTTGGGAGAGACATCTTACTGTAACTAGTGCTGGGCCTGCCTACATGAGGCTATGTACGATGCAGATCTCGACATGTACTGGGGGTCTTCGGGCTTTCGGCTCGTTGTGCTCGCTATGTGCTCGCTACCGTGGCGTGTAATCGTGCAATGGTGCAATGGTGTATGTAAGATGGCCGCGCATACTGGACTGTAGATATGTGTGAGGTATGTAAGTGCGTGTGGGTAAACACTCTGCGGTGGATGGGATTGGATTGGGGGTTGGTTGGATTTGAGGGGGGAGGGGGGGAGGCGGCGGCGGAGCGAGCCATCGCCTATGTTTCTCCCAGTTACCTACATACCCATCATACGTAAGCTGTTTATTCAAACCTACGGACCGAAGCGATGGAACCACGTACCTACTACCTACTACCTACTACCTAGTATATAAGATGTATGCAAGTACTGAGAGCTCAGGCTGGAAGTACCGGTAGGTATGTAGCGGTAAGAGGTTTGTAGCGGACGTGCCGAGTCGCCGATCCATGAACCATGGCCCATGGGCATTGCAGTGGAGTGGAGTGGCTACTGACGTAGCTCATGGATGATGGATGATGGATGATGGACGGAGGTAGTAGCCTGCGCCACAATACCTCTGCTACACCGCCACAGTGTACTCGTACATAGAGGAGTTAGCGCCCGCCCGCCAACCGCCCGCCAACCAACCACACAAGTTCAACAAACTCCACTCATAGCTACGGCACGGTACTCCAGCACCAACGAATGAGTGGGCGAATGAGTGGATGAGTGGATGAGTGGCTGAGTGGCTGAGTGGATGAGTGGATGAGTGGATGAGTGAGCCGACACCGCATGATCGCCGAGCTTCGGCGCTTATTTGCGCTACAGGTGACCATTTCTATACTAGGAGAGGTCACAGCTTCAGCTGTGACAGTGGGACAGCTGTGACAGTGGGACCCAGCTGCAATTTACAACTTACAACTTGCAACACGGTTTTCAATGTCCATACACACCATGCACCGTTCCGAGACGTCAGTAGAAGGTTTCGCCTCGCTTCACTTCGCGAGGTGTGCAGGTAGGTGTCGACTGTATGTAGAGTATGTAGAGGATGTAACAAGTCGGATTCTCGAGTCTCGACGCTCCGAGAGGGAGGGTTTGGAAAATAATGTACTGGGGTTTCGGAGTTTGGGTTTTGGGTTTCACCGTCACCGTCACCTCCCACCCCCCACCGGCGCGGAGGGGTTGGAGGGGATGGTTGGCAACAAGCGCCAGACCTATGTAACAGACAGACCTAGAGAATGCTTGTTTTTGTGATACACATCATACACATCATACACATCATACACATCGGTCGGTCGGTCGGTCGGTGGTTTGGGCGGTAGACAGGTCGCTCGGTACCGGTGGGGTGGTTTCGCTTTCTCGTTTCTCGGTACCGTTCCGCGCCGGTTGATGTGCCTTGTGCAATTGTGCACTTGTGGCCTTGTGCTGGTGTTCTCGAACACACACACACACACACGGAAGACGGACGGATATACGACCAGGTGTTTGCCTGTTTGGACGAGATACCTACTCTAGTACCATGTATGTGTTCTCCGGCTCGGGCTCAGGCTCAGGCTCGGGCTTTGACGCCCACCCGGCTTCGACGGGTAAATACGATACGAAAAACTCTTACCGCGCCCGACCCTCAGCTGGCGGATCGAGGAGTGCATGATGTATCATACCATAGTCGTGATGCTGATGTGATACGTTTACGACTTCAGAGTCGAGTTAGGTGTCAGTCTCACTCGTGGTTCATCCAGCCAACAACTCCAATGTCCATACATAGCTGTGACCCCCCAGCACAGCAGAGCCCGCGGCTGCTGCTGTCAAGATGTCAAGAAGTAGGACGATCCAAGCGCGAACTGGGAGTCTGGGACCGAACGACGGTAACAGAGGGGACGGAAGCTCTTCCGGATTCCGAATTCCGGGTTCCGGAGACTCTTGGGTATGATGTACCTACTCTACATACTCCCACCTAGGCAAGTACTCCCGTCTACATTCCTCTACTCTACTCTACTCTCGACTCTTGCAGCGTGCCGCGCGCAAGTTGCAACGAACGCAACGAACGGATGCAAACGACGTTTGACGCTTTTGCTGGATTGCTGGGAATCCGAAGCAGCATCCAGCATCCAGCATCCAGCATCCAGCATCCAGCATCCAGCATCCAGCATCCAGCATCCAGCATCCAGCATCCAGCTACTAGTATGTAACCACTCTACCTGCTGGCGAGTTTCCAGTCCGGAGCGAGCCGGGGTTTCGGAGCACTCCCGTTCTTCAGCCAGTCAGCATTACATAAATGCACCATCATACCACAGATGCTGATCTGTCGGTTGCGGCGTTGCATTGCGTTGCGCGTCAGCCCTGCATAGCTGCCTGCCTGCCCTGCCTACCTACCTGCCTGCCCTGCCTATATACGCTCGGTGGAAAGGATACCCCCCCCCCCCCAAGGGTCGTTCGATAGAAGGTGGTTTCTGGCGCCATGGCAGCGTTGCCCCATCCATCCATCGAGTGCACCAAGCTTGCCCTTGATCCGTGACCCCGGAGAAACTATCGACCGGGTGGGTGGGCGGACGGACGCGAGCGCGAGATGCAGCATATGTACTATGATATGATACTCTAATGAGGTCTCCACAATCCTATCGAAGATTGCGATGCAATATGTGTGAAACAGCGACATGTGCTTGCGACATAGCTGGCTGGCGGGAACATGTGCTGGCTGGCTGGGCTGGCTGGCTGGCGGGGACGGGCACGGGGCATCACTCGCGTGGGTGATCCGTCGCCGAGCAGAGTGCTAGTAGTTGTCCGAGAACACTCGGTTGGTTTTCTTTCGTTCTTCCGCAGGGCTCTCTCGCGTGGTCGACAGCGTTGGTTGGTTGGTCGGTGAGCGGTCCGAGACGGCCTGAAACGGTGAGTGACACAAGGCTCGCGATGCGACTGGAGGTGTTGCGCTCGAGCAAGAGAGCAAGAGAGTAACAGAGCAAGAGGTGAGACACTTCTCGTATGCATAAACGATGGCGGCTGTCTCCATTGTGCAAAGCAACTATTCGGAACGGGAACTGACCGGGGGCCGGGGATGGTTTGAAGTCTGGGCACGAAGAAGAGGCGGGGTTGCGCTAAGAACCGAGATGTGATTGGAGACGTGATTGGAGATGTGACGGAGGGCTGGCTGTGAGCACGGGTATGCTATGCATGATGCTATGTAGCTGTGTAGCTGTGATGGAGTGCGGTAGGCGTGTCCTAGCTACCGGCAATTGGGAAGAATAGAGTAGAGTAGTAGTAGGGGCGATGGTCTTTGAAGCCATCACGGAGAGCGAAGAGGTTTCTCCGATGAATCTGTTGGCGAACTATGGCCCGTCTCGGCATCTGCATCCAACGGAGTCCTCTTTTTTGCTGCATGATGTGCCTGCAGGATCCAGAGTCGGAAAGAACGAACGAGAGAAGGCGGCGGGTTTCCATCCAGCGTCCAGCGTCCAGTTGCAGCCCAGGCCTGCCCTACACACTCGCTCTACACGCCTATGCAGACAGCTCAGGGGTGCGTTTGGGTCACCACCAGTGACCACCACCACCACCTCCTCCACCACCGCCACCACCGCGCTCGCATAGGTACGCGATGTATCGTGCCAGTGCTGAGCTGACTGACTGGCCGACTGGCTGACTGGAAGACCGACTGGCTGGCTGACTGGAAGACCGACTGGCTGGCTGACTGGAAGACCGACTGGCTGGCTGACTGGAAGACCGACTGGCTGGCTGGCAGTTGCGGCTGGCTGCTGTAGAAGTGCTCGTCCTGTTCCTGTCGCAACGAACGTGTGCAGTTCCATATTTCTCCTTGCCACTCCACACTCCCTCTCCCCCTCCCCCTCTCCGATCGAACCTCCATCTCTCCTCCATCTCTCCTCCATCGCCAACCCACATCTGCTTGCTGGACAGCAGTTTGTTTGGCATCGACATTCCCGTTTCCTGTCTGTCCTTCCGTCTGTCTGTCTGCCTTCCGTCTCTCTTTCACGACCGTTCACGGACTTCCCCAATCACGCCGGCAAATTTATCCAAATTTACCGCCCCTCCAATCACATCCCCCCTAGTGGGAGAACGAGAGAGACTCCGTGCACTGTTCACGTCCTTATTTCTGGCGTTGCCCCACGCATCCACGGTTCATCCAGGCGGTGAAAAAGGATTCGTGCCCGACAGCCTTCCTCTGTCCTTCACCTGCGACCTGCAACTTCTTCCTTCGAGCATTTTCCCGCCGTCGCTCTCGGAATCTTCCTTCGCCTTCTCCTTCGCCTTCTCCTTCGCCTTCTCCTTCGCCTTCTCCTTCGCCTTCTCCTTCGCGCCCGTTCCGTTCGACTCGAGTTACACACACACTACAAGTGATCGGCCCAGCGCGTTGCCCGTCTAGTTAGGTCAGTAAGTTCTTGGATGCACTCTACTCTACTGTGCTCTGCTCCACTCCCCTGAATGCTTGGATGCGCATCCTTCGTTCCCGCATTTCGTGCCTGTGCCGCTTGGACAGAGTTCTCCCATCGCTCTTCTTCTTCGTCGCTGCACATCCTCTCGACGATCCGCATACCTACGCCATCTCTGCTTTACATACCCGCCTCCCGTCGATTTTCTTCTTTTCTTACTGACGCTGCTTGAATCGACACAGCCGCAATCCGAATTCAAACCAACCAGCCCCTCCCCTCCAGATAAACGTAGCTCCAACGGTTCCCGTCTTCTCGCTACCATTCGATCCCGCCCCTGATCTAACCCAACGCGAGCCACCGCTCCCCTCCTCCCAACAATAACAACACCTCGTCGCCCACGTAAAGTAGGCAATACATCATCTTGAATTTCCACCGCCGTCGCATCCGTACAATTTGATCGCATTCAATCGTAATCGGCCGTCGCGGGCCTTATCTATAGACGAGCTCACTCGGTCACCACCTTCGCTTCGACCAACGTTTCGCTCCGTTCGCTATTCTCCACACATCCGTCAAGATGCGCACTGCAGTCCTGCAACAATTCTTTCTGGGCTTGTCAGCATTGTGTGCCGGCACACTCGCTGAAGTCGACTCGTCGTTCCCCGGTCCGAGTGGAACATCGAGTACGGGGGTTGGCGGTGTGCAGGTCGACAGCTGGTACGGCCTGCTGCGGAGGAACGTCGGATCGATGCTGGACAAGCGGGCCGAGGGGATTCGGACTGAGGAGGATGTGAAGGATCTTGATCTGGAGGCGTGGGCGACCGAAACCGTCAAACTGTGTGCCACCAAGCTGAACTCGACGGTGATCGCCTCGAACCCAGCCGGCGTGGCTGGCTGCTGGAACCTCCCGCTGCTAGTTGCGAAGACGGGTGTGTTCGCGGCCGATCTGAGATTGTTCAGGGTGGCCGAGCCGACCGGTGACTGGGCAAATGTCGACATCTCGGCGTACAACATCTCGGTGGTGTACGATGGCAGTGCCGCTATCCAGCCAAGAGCATTGTCGGAAAAGGAAAGGAGGGCGTCGGAAGCGGGCATGCCGGAGAACACCAAGCTCGTCAAGTTGATTGACTCCCAGTTCATTGGGAATCTCGCTCCCTCGCTGCTCTCCGAGAAGCTGACTGAGTATGCGCTCCACTCTCCGTCCCATCGCTTTGATGGCCCGTAGCTAACACCACCACAGTACTGAGCTCAAAGTCATGGTCACGCCCAAGATCTCGATCAGCGCCTTCACCACCACTGGTAAAGCAGTCAACACCACCGTCAGCATCGAAGACTCGATGTTTCTGAACGGTGTCTTTGCCGACACACCCGCCCTCAGTGCCGAGGAGACGGAGGAAGTCAAGGAAGCACCCTTCGAGCTCCCCGGCACACGGATCGAAATCGTTCCCGCAGGTTTATACTTTTTCAGCGCATACCTATTCGTCGCATGTTCGATCTTTGGCTGGGGCACCCTCGAGCGAGCCAAGTTCCGTGAGCAGTACCGCCAGCGCATCGCCTCGCAAGGGTTCCGATAGGCGGATCTACGGTTTTCGGTTTCTCTTGACTTGCGGGGGGTCTATGGTTTTCGGTTCTCTTGACTTGCGCTTCTTTCCTATGGGCCCGGTTTATCTTTCTACTTTACGAGCGGGTTGTCGGTTTATTCCTTTCCATTACTACGGAGTTTGGTTTTCACTTGGTTCTTTCTTTTTCTTTTTCTCTTGCGGGTTTGGTGGGGTTGATGAGGTGCATTCAGCGGCATTTTGGGTTTCTTCGTTCACTTATTCTTCTTCTTATTCTTCTTCTTCACGGTGGTGTGTGCGGTGTGTGTTTACGTTCGTTCGTACTTATGCCCCTTTGATTTGACTTTGACTTGACTTGACCGCAACAGTACATAATTCTTCCGGTGCTTCTTACTTTTTTGCTGCGTTGGCTGCGTTGGTTGGCTGCCTACGGTCCGTGGAGTGTGGAGTGTGATACCTAACCTAACTTCTATGTTGATATTCTCGAGAGCTTCTTATTCCTTCCATTCCATTCACTTTCGTTGTTTTTTTTCCCCGTTGGATGCTGTGGATGCTGTGGATGCTGGTGTTGTTTCTTGGGGCCGTGTAGGGGAGGGCTTAGATTTGTAGATAGATTTGATGGTGGGATGAGGTGCCAGGGCTGAGGTGCCAGGGCTGAGGTGGGAGGAATGAGGCTGAGGTCGGAGGAATGTCGTAAGAATGTTATGGACAATTACAAACAAGTACCTACATCTTACTCTATGGCTCTGTGGCAGTGATTCTTGGGATGGGATGGCAATGGGATTGCAAACGGAGAGGAGAGCGAGTGAGCGAGTGCGCAGAAGGGAGTGAGTGAGCAGAAGGAACATCTACCTATCATAGGACCATGGTTATTCCTTGCGGCGAATGGGTCTGGGCTCTGGACTCGGGAGTCGGGACATGGAGTCGGGACATGGATGGTCACTCCTGCTACCGTGCCTCCGCTGATATCCGTACTGGTCCGGCCGACTGCTGGTTGCTACAGTGCACTGTGCTACACAGGGCTCAGGCAAGCAAGTCCGCAGGGCTATTCTGATCCACGGGCGGTGCACCCTATTACTCTATCGTGAGCATGGATTTATACAAACAGCGATAGTTGCAGTGTGCAGTGTGTACTCGGCGAAGTCCATCGTGAGACTTGAGTAGCCATTAATAGCGCTTTTCGCATCACCTCAGACCTGGAGTATCTACCGGTATCGTATAGAGTATCGTATAGAGTGGTGGGCCTGGGTACTTCTGTACTGTACACATTCAAGACTAACTCTAGATAGTAAACACTCGCAAGTTGCAACATCCTAGGCTGCCGTGGCGATCAAGGAGAGTTAAGCTTCAAATGGTGGGGGTGAATAGATTGTAGCAAGTTAGGTACTTGTTATCCGCCGAGATACGGCAACACTCAACGCACTTTATGTGGCAGAGCTCACGCAGTCTTACGAGGTGTCACTCGCTCGAGCTTCAAATCCGCTAGTACTTGGTCACCGAGCGCTGTCCAACAGTTCTAAAACGTTTCAATGGGTATTGTCTGTTTGAAACCAACCACAATGGCGACCGCGCGCGAATTGGCTATGGCTCTCGATACCGTAACTTCACTGATTGACTGATCGGTAGGGAGTCGACTGCTGTCCGTCCTGTCAGGCCGCACTCATACACCTCCGGACGGACGGACTGGACTGGACTATACACACTCGCTGCAATGATGTGGGGCTCCGGGGGGGGGGGGGGGGGGGGGGGGGGGGTTGTATCATCATTGCTTTGCTTACTTGCTGGCGACCTATGTACCTAGCTGGATCATGGCAATACACACACATAGACACATACAGTCCTGGTACATATCCTGTCTGCAGTCTCGGCAGCGAGCTCGCCTCCCTCGATCCGTGCAGCAGTACGTTTTTTTCTTTTCTTCATTGGGCTCTTAGGCTCTACATCCCGAGCTGGGCGCAACAGTCAACAGTGATTTGGGGAGTCGTCTTCCAGCAATCAGCCGCAGGATCGATAGGCGATGAGACAAACATCTCGCATGACGATAGGCGCGCGAGAGCGCAGACGAGCGTGCACCGTATGTAGCGGATATTCCTCACACCTCACACCTCACACCTCACTCGTCCCCCCATCCCTTCGGCGCCCCCAGCTCACCAGCGGTAAAGAGAGTGTACCACAACCAGCGCATCAATCCGTTCCGTACGTATCTGCAGCAACCGCAATCGCAATCGCAATGGCATTATAGTACACGTGGTAGACACGCTATGTAGCTAGTTCAACCCACTCCTCCCGCCCTTCTCGACCCTGAGCTCCTCCATCTTTGCCACGCGCTTCTTGAACTCGACGTACTGGCACTTCTCATAGCTGTGGCGCTCGTCCTATTTGCCGTGGCTCCCACATCAGCTCCCCCGGTAGCGAGAAAGAAGGAGGGAGAAAGGAGCGGGGGGGAAGGCACCTCGCATTTCCACGGCATGTAGAACGTGTCGTAGCGGCACTTGTTCAGCGGCACGAGCAGGTGCGCGCACGTGTCGCGGTAGGCGAGCGGCAGCCGCGCGGCGGACATTTCCTCGTGCGTGACTGTGGTGCCGAGGCGCGTTAGCATTTCCTCCACATAGCCACACATGGCCGCACATGGCCCCCGGGGGAGGGGAGGGAAAAGCGGGGATGCGTGGGTGCGTACGTTGCGTCCCCGCCGGCGACGACGGGGAAAGTGATTCTTTCAGGGTCTCGAGGAGCGTCATGGTTTGCTGGTGCTGCTGGTGGTGGAGGTGTGGTGCTGGTGCGACGGCGGCGGCGGGATTCGGTGCTGCGGGAGCGGGTGCGGGAACGGTGATGGTGTGGTGACGCGGAGGTGCTGGCGGTGGTGGTGCGGCCGGGTAACTAGCCTGTGAAACGGCGGACGGGATGGACTACATAACCGTACTTTTATCCCGTCCTCCAAAGGAACGGATGGGGCAGGACGGGGCTAATCCCGTCTAGTCCGTCTAGACCGGACTCTGTAGAACACTGGACGCCGGGTTTGTCAGTCCTGCAACTCTGTGCTGAGTTCGTCGAGCATGTTCGTCGAGCATGTTCAATCGCCAGAAGGGCCCACTACCTAGCCTAGGCTAGCTACCTACTACAGCTCGGAGCTACTGGTTAGCAGCAACTCGGGCAACTCGGCGTTTCCTATGACGGTACCTATCATCCACCCAACGCAATGGGTTTCTGTGGTTATATACCTTCGCAAGGACCGTCAATTCTTCCCGCGAGACGTTCCACGAATGTTTGCCCAAACCAAAGTGGGTTGTGACGACACTCAACACACCGCCGCAGAGGAAGAGGAAGATCTTGTATGCATCCACTCTCAATATCATAGCCACATAATTGATAACAGTCCGTCAGATAGAACACCACCACGGTGGCGTCGCCCCCCCTCCTCCCTAAGCATGAGGAGTTGTGAATTCCACTTGTCCAGCACGAGGATAAAAAGCAAAACCACAATCTGGGGGCGGTGCCGGGAACAGGATACTGGGCCGATCTGTTGTCCGTGCACTGCTGGTAGTTACACACCGGTATTCCTGGTCGGAAGTCGTCGAGTCGTCGACGGCCGCTGATTGGCGGCTGAGCTGGTTCGCCGTAAGGACTCAGGAATAGAGACCAGCCGCCAGTAATACGACAACCGAACAAGCTCAACAGTGACCAGCGATCATCCGCTCAGCCTTCAGGCTTGCCATGCCATGCCATGCCACCTGGAGCCATACGGCGATGCATATGGCGGAATGGGATTTTGTGATCGAGTACGTCGACTGCATACGTGACCGACTGTAACTGCCTTTTATACTATATAGCGAACATCTTGCGATGCCCGAGTGCGAATCCCGCCACGAAGGGTGTGGAATGCGCCATTCTGCATAAAAAGGAGGTAGGTATGGTTCGGGTTCCCGAGTGCGGCTGTGGCTGCGGGGGCGAGCCCCCGGTTTGCTGCGACAGCCCCTGTGAGAGGGCTCGTCGCAGATGACCGTCTCGTTTCCTCGTGTTATGTATGGCCCTTGTATATGCACGCCGGCGACCCAGCGGCCGGATGAGTGAATGTGGTGGTGAATAACTACCGTATATAGTCGGTTGGTTCTTACGAAACCGAGCAACCGCAATGACTTCTTCAAGCGTCATTCCTTCAAAAGCACTCGTGTATTTTCTCCACGAACGGAAGGATTGTCACAAATTCACAATTCCTATCGGGCAGCGCAGCGAGTGCAATGGGAGGTTCTAATACTCTAGAGTTCTTCCCCCCTCTCCCAAAAAAACAAGGCTGTTGCTGAGGGTGAGTGTCTCAAACAAAAACACACCGGAAGAGCGAAAACGAGATAGAATGGGTATATGAGACATATACCCCTCCACAGTGCAGCTGCTGGACCTGTGGTGCTCGCTTTGGATGCGGTCATTGGCGGTCACTCGGGGTATCTACTGTGTCGAAGCGATTGAACAGCACAGATAATGGTAGAATACTACCAGGTATGTAGAGCGTGCTTGTTCTGGCTACGTATGGAAGCCAGCCGGACAATATTCTATTCTATTCCGCATCCGCATCCGCATCCGCATCCGCATCCAGTCCGCTAGTTATGAATACTATCCACTTCTCTGCCATTCCTGTTAGGCAGCGATTCCCGACCAACATATGCACCCACCGCCAGCCCGGTCTCACTAGTCGTCCTGTGCATCTCATACCGACCGTACGTCTTTGTATGTGTGTCTAGTACACCAGCGGGCGGCGGCGGCGGCAGCGGAGGAGGACGATGCATCCACGCGGCCACCCGCAGCCCCACCCCCGGCTCCCCGTCCTTCTTCTTCCTCCTCGAAAATGCCATCCACAACGCGCGCATCCGGGGACAACTCTTAGCGACGGTATCGAGCCGGCGACCAGTCCGAAGCAGAACTCGACGTTTGCCCAGATGGCGCTCTTGGCCATCAAGTAAGTCCCGTCGACCTCGTCTTTGGTATACACCAGCGTCGTGAAGCGTATCAGACTCGCTGCGCAGGCCACGGCTCCTAACAAACAAACAAACAATTGTCAATCCCCAAAGTAAGCGAGTGCGCACCTGCCCACACACACCCACACCCACACCCACACAACGTCGTGATGTACATAGGTAGGTATCTCACCCAGCAAAAACAATCCCATCAGCGGCAGGCGCTCCCGCAGCGGCACCCGCAGCCTCCACAGCGGCTGCATCGGCAACACCGGTATCACCACGTCCGTCACGAACATCGTCAACCCCTGGAAGATCATCATGACGAACAGCGTCTATGTCCGCCAGCACGCGGCGCCGTCGACGCCGGGCTCGTAGGTGGCGCGCACCGGCGTGCACTGGAAGGCTATTGCCAGCTCGCTGCTGACGGTGAATACCGTCAGGAAGATTATCAGTCCCCGGCTGGTGCGCTGGATGTACTCGTCCGGGAAGTAGCGCTTCAGGAAGACTAGCAGGCTGATCTTGATGAAGAGTGAGATGTAGAGGTAGCTGCAGTGCGCTACGTAGTCGATCTGGGTGGGTGGGTAAGTGACCGTAGGAGCAATGCAAAATTAAAGGACCTCACCTTGAACAAGACCGCTAAATCTCTCGGGGAGACGTTCCAGAAATGTTTGCCCATGCCATAGTAGGTGATGACGACACTCAATGTACCAAAGAGGCAGACGAAGGTCTACGTATTGACTTAGGGAGTCAGCCAACCGCTAGTTATCCGCCAGGCTCCAGTAGAGCAGAGCAGAGCAGATTGCTCCCGAGTTCCCTCTCACCATCGCGACGACCACCATCCAATCATCCAGCCCAAACCACTTCACGACGAACTTCCGCACGTACAGCTAAGCGCACACAACACGCACCACAGATAAGCCAGTTGCCGGGCACTGGGTAGCACCGTACATAGCACATAAACGGGCGTCTAGGTACAATACATACTCTTCGCGCACAGATCACGAGGGTGGCGGCAACCAGCGAGGCGGCGAGCACGCGCGTCAACCCGGCGATGTCGTCCTGCGGCAGGAGCTCCCCGTCCGTACCTCGTCGCCGATGGACATTGTCACCACTACCATCCGCTGGCAAGTGCAAGTGGCGAACGAAAGCTCCGATATATATACCGGTATCGGTTCCGGCCCCGGGCAGGTACCGGTACATGTTCGGCTCGCTCAGCGGGCTTAGTGGGCCCCGGTTGACACCGTCGTATACCGGTTGTACTCACACTCGGTATCGACATTTAGGGTCTGCACTGTGCAGTGTCTCTATGTAAGTATACTCTGGTGGCGACGGTCGGCGGCCAGGCGCGGAATTGAAGCTGGTGATCCTTTGTTAGCGACGACGCTGGCGGGGACTCTGTAAGATCATGAATGCGCAGTTCCCTCCCAACAGCATCGGCAATGGCAACGGCGGTCTGTTAAATAGGTAGACAGCAGTGCAGTGGCAGGCCCGCTGAGCAGGCGGGGATTAACTACCTAATTCTTGGCCAGCGTGCGGATCAAAAGCAAAACGTCAATCTGGCCGGGGCTGGGAAGCTGGGAACAGGATATGTAGAGTACTCTGCTCTACTCTATGTGTACGGTACTGGGCCGATCTGTTATCTGCAGAGTACACCCAGAGTCTCAGACTCGATGTATGGTTGGACTCCGCTGTGGGCGGCTAGGTACCATATGTAGTGATTGGTCCCAGACCTCCCCGTGCTGGTTCACCGCAGAGAGCCAGCATACATACTCTACACAGGAACTCTCCAACGAATAGTTACTAGCAATATACCTACCAGCCGCCAATGGCAACAATACGAGCACCTGCCAGGCTGCCACCGACGCCAAGCGGCACACGCTCAACGCCGGTCAGAGTGGCAGAAATCGCCCGTTGCTGTGTGACATACGTCCGAGACACACGGTGTGTACAGTATGTACGTCAACAGACAAAGTTGGCATAGTTACTGCGCATTATGGAGAGCGGAGACGAGACACAAAATTCAAGACATGAGTCCGTCCCATCTGGAGTCGGGAGTCTGCAGCCTGCTGCCGGCGGCGGTAAGACCTCTTTCTGAGGCTGTCACGAGCTCGGACAGTCGGGCTGACCCAAGGCTGCAGCTCCGCTACGGAGATGGAGGCCGGTATCTATCGATGTGGTTTGCTAATTCGCATTATGAATTGGATTCTTTGTCGGTCCGAGGTGACGGTGGCGAGAATGATATGTCAGTACAGACACGCACGCACACGTGCAGCCCATCAGATATCGATTCTGGTGAGGTATCGTGCCGGAGCTCCCGAGTACTAGATACGGCCACGATCTCACCTTGGTCTCAGGGACTCGCCGGCTGGTGCATAAATGGTATCTACACAGAACAGTGCATGCTTGCTTCGACACCTCGGGAAGCCATGAACCGGTAAAAAATATCATCCTACATCCGCATCCTGTGCCCTACTATCACTATCCACGCCCCTACTATCCGCATCACGACAAAACGATCCCACCTCCTCCCGCCCAATATACGTATCCGTCAACCCGGTCTCACTCGCCACCATGTCCATCTCGAACGTGTCTACAGCCGCGGCGGCGGTGGCACGCGGCGGCAGCGGCGGGTGATGCCCACCTCGTGAACACCGCTTCTCTCCCCTCCTCCTCCCCTCTCCGCCGGAGCCCTCCTTCGTCTTCGACAACGCTCTCCACAACGCACGGATCCCGGGGATGACCCGCAGCGACGGTAGGGACCCCGCCATCAGCCCGAAGCAGAACTCGGTGTTCAGCCACATGGCGCTCTTCACCATCGAGTACGTCTGGTCGACCTCGTCCTTGGTGTAGACCAGCGTGGTAAAGCGCACGATGCTCGCCACACACGCTCCGGCACCTAATAACCCCCCAAAGTCCGTAAGCACCTGCCCACCCACCCACCCACACACACACACACACACACACACACACACACACACACTGAACTAAGGGACGGTGGTTTTCGTGCTGTGTCTCTCACCCAGCCCAAACAGTGCCATCAGCGGCAAGCGCTCTCGCAGCGGCACCTTGAGGCGCCACAGCGGCCGCATGGGAAGCACCAGTATCACCACGTCCGTTAGCGACATCGCCACGCCCTGGAAGATCATCATGATGAACAGCGTCTCTTTTGGCCAGCAGGTGGCGCCCTCGACGGGCGCGTAGGCGGCCCGCACTGGCGTGCACTGGAAGGTTATCGCCAGCTCGCTGCCCACCGTGAAGACCGTCAGGAGGATGATCAGCCCCTGGCTGATGCGCTGGATGTGTTGGTCCGGGAAGTAGCGCATCAACGAGATGAGGAGGCTGATCTTGATGAAGAGTGAGACATAGAGGTAGGAACAGTGCGCCACATAGTAGATCTAGAATGGGGGATGAGTTTGCCGTAAATACTAGTATGTATGGAAGGGGGAGATGGTAGTAGTACTGTACCAAGTATATCTTTGCAAGGTCTTTCTGGGAGACGTTCCAGAAGTGCTCACCCGCGCCGTAGTGGGTTATGATCACGATCAATGCGGCAAAGAGCATGGTAAAGATCTAGTAGCAGTATGTCCATCGGTGAAGTCAGTCATCTATGACTGTTTTTTTCTTTCTTTTTTCTTTCTTTCTTTCTTTCTTTCTCTCCCAATATAGGTTTTGATGATAATGGTGGGGAACTTGGTTCGATCCTACTCACCAGCGCGACAATCGCCATAATATCGTCCAATTCAAACTGCTTCATGACGAACTTTCGCACGTATAGCTAGTACGAGCAAAACGAAGGTAAATAAGCTACAAACCACCGCCACATAATGATTCGGGGGGGAGGGCTGATACTTACTCGGAGGGAACAGATCAAGAAAGTGACCGAAGCCACCGAGATGATGAGCACATGGGTTAAATCCACGATATCGTCCTGCGGCAGATGGTCCGCGTCCGAGACGCCATCCGGTCTGACTAGCTGCGGCTGCGGTGGCTGCAGATGCTGGTGCTGTGGCTGGTGCAGCTGCTGGTGTCGACGATAAACGTCATGACCACTGCCATGCGGCGGCTGCGGTAGTAGCAGTTGCAAGTGTCGAGTGAGAGGATCGAGAATGTCGCTTCTTCCAGGCAAGTACATGTTCGGTCCGTTGCCTAGGTAGCTTGGCCCTCGTTTTAGCGCTGTATGTACTTGGTAAGTAGGCGAGTACTCAGTATTGGCATCCAGGGCCCATCTCCGGAGGGACGGCGGATTGAAGAAGTTGATGAGCAGTTGATTTGACGTTCGTCACCGACGGGGACTCTGCAGCATGGGACGAAATTCTTCAGGCAAATTACATTGGCACCGGTCCGTTAAATAGAGTATGCGTAGGAATTGTACTTACTTTTAGCGGACCCGCCGCCGGCCGAATGACGGCGTCGGCTACCACCCAGAAAAAACAAAAAGCATGGTAATTGGCTAGCGATATTCGCATGGAGGACAGAAAAAGCAATGCAGAGTTAACTCTAAGATCGTCGAGAGCAGGGGAGGAGGACGAGAGCAGGGCCCGATCGGTTGTCCGTGCGTTCGCATTCCCCCATCAGACGCTGTGGACGCCAGCTGATTTGAACTCGGCACCAGATTCTTCAGAGAACTCTAAAGCCACCAAATGGTCGCTGGAGCATCCAAGTATTTGGCTACCGATAATAACTTCCGCCGACCGACCGACTGCAATATCCCTTTGAGCGACATGTTTTTCCCCATGTTCGTCGCGGAAACCCGCCACGCAGTGTGTGTGTGTGTGACTATTGGTAGCGCCCCCATGCACAACCCGTACAGAGAACGGAGGCAAGACAGATGGCTAAGACATGGAGGTAAGTTATGTAAGTGGTTATCCCCCTTCTGCAGAGCAGCGGTAAGACCGCTTTCTCACGCTGTCACGAGCTCAGACCCCTCGTGCTGGGAGGAGGCACATCGATGCGATCACGGAAACGGACCGACCGGTTAGTGACGACAGCGGAAATGGACTTTAAGGATTGACGTGAGTATGGCAATCACCTTTGTATCTATATGTACGGTATATGAGTACTTGCATGTAATAACGGTGCGTAAGGAAGATCTAACATAAGTAGAGGTACTTACCCAAATATTTTTATGTGATAGGTGTGTACGGACAACGCGAGTGCTCGCATGTTATACGTGCGTGCGTGAGGACTTTCCTCTGTCGTTCTCCTCCAGCGAGTCTCGGGTCTGCCGTGAGGAATGTTGGCTCATGTCTGCTTTTTCACCAGCCAACTCTCACCGGCTAAGGGTTAACGGCTGTCGCTGAGGGATGAGCATTGACCTCGAAGGAGGAAGTGGTTCCGCAGCGAACGAGCGTCAACATACCTTTCATAAATACCGGTGCTATACCGTCTGCGATCCGTGTCTACGGTATGTATATGACGAGATACCGGTATAAATGATTTCTGCCATCTCCTCGTCAAGGCTGCACTCTTACATACCCACATGCCGTACGGTATGTATGAACTGGCACTGCGCCTGGCCATTGGTTCGCCACTGGTTGCCGGTACTCCACGTCGCCGCAGAGTGCACTAGTATCATGTCGGTGTCTCTTCATCGAATACCGGCATCCCCAGCAACCAATGCCAACTCTTCCGCGGAGATGGGAGAAGTTTCGGATCATTGGCCATTGTCTCATCCTGTGGCGATTGGTGGTGTCTGACGAGTGATCCACTGTGACATACCTCGGCGGAGGAAGGGTGGTGATGGTGGTGGTTACCGGCGACGAAGAATGGGATGTGTCTGTACCGTCGTTAGCGTGCCAGAGATCACCAGCTTGTTCAGCCCCAGAGGTGCAGGCGAAAGACTTCCAAGCGAGAACCTAAACTTCGGATCTTGATTCGTTGCACACGACCATCCAAATCGGTACTTCGGCAAGTGGTGGATAAGTAAGCGGCGATGTATAAAGTACGTCACCGGTTCGTCGGCTTCTCAGAACAAAGAAAGAAGCTGAAGCTCAACTCTCCCTCCTCCTCCCATACCAAACGACAATAACTCTAACTAAAACACGAAGAATACCAATAACAAAAAACAAAAAGACAAACACAGCAACAATGAGAGCCAAGAGACAGCCGCGCAAACGCAGTATCGAAGAAGTCCCAGCCGACTGCGAGTCCTCGGTCGAGATTGTTGGCACCCGTCAAACCGGCCGCCCATCATTCGACGCCACCGACACGGTCCTTTACACGCCCATGGGGGCGGTCCCACCAAAGGTCCGCAAGACGTCAATCGACAAAGCCAAAGCTAAAACCGTCTCCCACGATACAAAGACATCCGCAGAGAAACCCAACAAGAACCCCGTGACAGCCGAGAAACGCCCCAAGCGCTTCCGCGCGCAGCCCCCGCGCTCAGTCGCCGAACGCCTCGGCCGCGCAAAGCACCAGCGGATGTACATTCTCTCTCGCAGCGGGCAGCAGCTGTCCGCGACGACGGGGGAGTGGGAGGGGCCGTCCGAGATGTTCACCATGGCCGGCAGCACGGGGAACGTGTACACGATCCACATCGGCGCGGTGCCCAGCTGCGACTGTCCGGATGGGCAGAAGAGCGGGACCTGCAAGCACATCTTGTACGTCATGCACCGGGTGCTGAAGGCGCCGGACGAGCTCGTGTACCAGGCGGGACTGCTCCCGGGCGAGCTCGCCGAGATCTTTGCGCATGCGCCGCGCCAACGGACTGACACTAGCAGTCGGAAGCCCGTTGAGGATAACGATTGTCCCATCTGCTTCTGCCCCTTCGCGAAGGGCGAGCAGATCGTCTGGTGCAAGGCCCAGTGCGGCACGAATATCCACAAGAGCTGCTTCGACCAGTGGAAGGCGACGAAGGGAAAGGGGAGGGTCACGTGCGTCATGTGTAGGCAGCCGTGGCAGGAGGAGGATGCCGAGGCCGTCACTGAGGTGCTGAAGGAGGGCGGCGGCAAGGTCGGCGCAGATGGGTATGTCAATGTCGCCGACGAGCTGGGCATGAGCGGCGTCAGGGACTATAGCTCGTACAACCCGTGGTTCACCGGAGAGGCGCAGAATTCGTGGGGACACGGAAGGTACTATGACGGATACAATCGTTAGGCTGGAGAGAAGGGAGTGTATGATGGCTTGTGGACGTTTTTCGTTCGTTCGTTTCCGCGTGGAGGTGGGGGCGTCATTGGTGTGTTTCCGTCGTGGTTCTTCTTTTCTTCTTTTCCGTGTGGAGGTGGGGCGTCATTGGTGTAATTTTCCGTCGTGATTCTTCTTATGTTCTTTTTCCGCATGATACTTCACCGAAATATATGTTGACCGTGCAAGCAACTATGTAAAGTACTAGGTCAAAAGTTATCGCCAGGGGGCCGTTTTACACCAAAAATGGCCATTTTCACGCGACTAAAACCCACCCTTCGTCTGGCCGAAAAATATTGCGTCTTTCACAGACGCCGTAAAATCATAAGCCCTCTCATATATATAAACGTTGACCGCTTTTAGTCAACATTGATAGTTTTTAGTGGTAGTTTGTACATGACTTGAACAGTGATTTCGCATTTTGTATGGGGCTCCCATACAGAAAGTTGCACGACAACCAGCGAAAACCACAAACTTTTCTCCTGGGCCGCATTGCTCAACCACAACTGCCTATATTTGCGAGCCAGTTTCTTATAAGATCACCTACGCTGTTAGCAACGATTTCCAATTGCCCAATATTTTTTAGAGTGTGTTTGAGATGCAGAATCTGTGGTTGAAAATGGATAGTCTTGAAACGATGGGACTTGGAATAACGTCACAACTTCACATAAAATATTGATTTATTTTGGCTGGAAATTTTGTCGAAGCTGGAAATGTATCTAATCATCCTGTATGCAAATTTGTATTACTTTCTATTCTGTGGTTGTGATGTTCGAGAGGTCTACATGTGTGGTGTGGTGGTCTCGTAAGGGCGAGTGGCGATAACTTTTGATCTGGTACTTTAGCTTGTTCGTTGGCTGCTTTGGCCAATTTATCTGGATGTTCTGTTTCTATTATGCGGAGTAAGTTGCTTCCTATAGCGTGTGAACCCATAAAACTCCAGTCCTCGGACAATACTCACCCCAACTTGACGTTTCAAACCGCGCAACAATCGACAGAAACCATAAATATCACTCGCTACAGAGGGTTTTGTGTCTCCTCTCAAGAGCTTCCATCCCTCGGCTCGCCATAGGTAGTCCAGTAAGGCCATAACGCGAAATAGATATCCTTACGAGGACGATGGTTGATCGGTGGCAGATGTCAATGAGAAAGCTACAGTGCAAGTAGTTGTCCCATTCGGTCTCCGCCGTGGAGTTTACTCGGGAGTGTCCATCTAGGGCGAGTTCGAGCTTCAACCTGTGTATAAACTATAGCGAGCTCGGCTTTCCAACCATCGGCCCGCAATACATCCCCGAAGCTCTTCCGTATATCCATAGCAAATCTTGAACTTCCGCAGCGAGTTGATATCTCATACAGCCGACTCGCCAATCTTCACGAGGTCCATCACGTGCGCATGACGTCCTCGGCAGGGATTTTCGGAGCCGAGTCTCCAACCGCACGCGCGCAGTTCATACCGTAGTTACCAACCAACTAGTACCGTACTTTACTCGTACAGTTTATCTACTCGATAGAGTACTGGGTGTAAAGGTAAGTGCTGCCTCACCAGCTTTTCCCCCATACAGCTTAGCGTTTTCTCCCATACAACATAGTCACAACCACTCACTCATTTTATTGTATCCGGCTTAGTGCACTCCCAATATAGACTAGTGCTTATTTGCGCTTATAATTCGTAATGGTGGTGAGGCACCACTTATTGGCAGCTCCTGGTACATGGTACATAGAGGTTCGCCAGCCCGTCGGACAACACTCTCAAGCAAGGTTTTCCGCCCGCGTTGCGCTAGACACTGTGGACGATCTCTGCCGGCTACCTGGCTACCTGCACAAATAAAAAGGCAGTGGGTTCCGACTCCCGAGAACCCACAGTTCCGAACACACAATTCTCCGATTCATAATTCGTTGTCGCTATTAAGGCGACGAATACTCCGACCGACTGACTGATCTGGCCTGTGCGAATCTTTCACCGACACTAACTTTAACCCACGGCAACTACACACACACGTCACCAGTAACCGCGATCAGATCCGATGGGAGCCCTGCGGAAAGCAAAGGTCGCGCTGTGGGGCGAGATACCGGCGACGAAAGCGGAGAAGAAACTGCTTCTAAAGATCGATTGGTTCATATTGTCGTTTTGCTGTCTTGCGTGAGCGCCCATTCCCGTGCCCTCAAGGAGTAGGTGGAATTAGATTCTGACATAGGTATGCCGAGATCAGGTACTTTTGCAATTACCTGGACCGGAGTAATATCAATAATGCCTATGTTTCTGGTATGTAAGTCTGGCGAGGTGGTGGTGGTGCTGGTGGTGCTGGTGGTGCTGGTGGTGCTGGTGGTGGCGGCGGCGGCGGTTAACGAGCCCGCAGGAATGAAGGAGGACCTGAATATGTCGGGAAACCAGATTACAAAGATCTCGGCGATATTTACCTGCGGGTATCACCTCGCGTGTCTTGTTTTGGCCGAAAGTGATGCTGATAGCGACATACATAGTTACATCGCTGGAATGGTGGGATAAGTCTTCAGGATCCGAATTCCGGCCACTGACATGGGCCTCAAGATACCAAACAACATAGCACTGCTCAAGTTCCCCCCTCGGTATGTAGGCATAGTACACATCCTTCGACACAGCTCGATGTACATAATGACTGACCATGCCAGAATCTGGTTTCCCTTTACGATCCTCGCATGGGGACTTTGTAAGCTCTGTCCAAGTGCTTGATGGGTTTCTCGTGATCGCCGCTTACACACTGAGCCGCAGTGACGCTCGGAACCTTCAATGTCTCATCGGTGGAGCAGATCTACGTGATCCGGTTCTTCCAGGGATTTTTCGAAGCCAGCAGTTTCGTGGGGACACATTATATTCTCGGATCGTGGTATACCGAGTCTGGTAGGCCATCTTGAATCTTGATATGTACTCCCGGCGTGCTGTTCGTGTCCTGATAGACAACGGCAGAACTGGCAAAGCGCAGCGGGATATTCACCGCCTCGGGACTGGCTGGAACACTCTTCTCGGGGATCCTGCAGTCGTCGATTCACAAAAGTATGGATGGACTGAGAGGGATTGCCGGGTGGAGGTGGCTGTTTATCGTATGTATCATCCATACCTGCTCCGGGCGAGAGAGACGGTGGATATGTTGCTAAGTTCAGGATTGGGCGGTTCAAGATTGATTTCCTGATTACACTTCCGGTGGCGGTTTATGGATTCATTTGCTTTCCGGATACACCGGAGACTACGAAGGTAGGTGACATTTCTACCTCCCGCCGCCACACTGGGGGGGAAGGGAAACTGATCCGAGCAACAGGCATTCTACCTCACCGCCGCGGAAAAGAAGCTGGCAGTAGAGCGTCTGCCCAAGAAGGCGGAGACGAGTCTCACATGGGACATCTTCAAGCGTGTTCTTGGCCGATGGTTGTGGCCACCAATCCCATACTTCTCTCGCCCCTGACTGACAAATGCATCAGGCACTTCTGGATGTTCTCCGTGCTCTGGGCGATATCCGGCGAGGTAGAGTCGTTCTCGACAAATAACCTGTTCGGCCTCTACCTGGCCGATATGGGACGGTCTGTGGCGGTACGGAATAACTATCCTATGGGTGTTTCGGCCGTGGGGATCGTTACTACGTTGATTGCGGTGTGTATACGTCGGGATTTGGAAAGCGGATAACTAGGTGCTGATGGTAACGGTAGGCTCTGTATGTCGATCTGACGAAGAAACACTGGTACATCTCCCCATCCTGGCAGTAGCAATGATGGAGAGCTCATCCGCCGTTTCCACGCAGGCACATTGGCGTCTGGTCCGCCTTCATCGGAATCCTAAGCTCGTCTCTAGTCCTCGCCTACCGTCCGGAGCCCTTGGTTAGTACTCGGCCCTTCCGTGTCTCTTTCCAATTCTAGCCAACATCGAAATAGGTTTTCGTCGGCTACTACATCGCCGGCGGCATTTACGCCGTGCAAGCCGCCTTCTTCGCCTGGGCCAATGTGATCTGCCACAACGACAACGAGGAGCGCGCTATCGTCCTGGCATCAATGAATCTCTTGAGGCACTCACCCCCTCACCCCATTTACCCTCTCCACCCAGACTAACTCCGCCCCTCGCGTACAGCAACGCCGTAAACGCCTGGTGGGCTATTGGTACGTACATACTCTCCCTCGCCCACGTCGTGTGTGCGTGTGTGTACGTGTGGGACAAGCCATGGCTGAAACAAACAACAGTATTCTACTCCGCCAACTTCGCGCCGCGATTTGAGCGTGGTATGTGGGCCATGATCGGCACGTCCATCGCGCTGGTGGCATGGACTGTGGCGATCCGATGGTTCCAAAGGAGAGATGCGGGGAGGGAGATGGACAAGCAGCGGGCGTGCGAGGTGGCGGAGGAGTGATGTGGTAAGATGGGATGGGATGTATGCTGTAATATATGGGACGTGTAGTCGAGATGCTGGTGGGTAAGTAAATATGGTACTACAAGTATAGAAAGACGGGGTAAAATAGGTATGCTGTAACTACTGAAGTCTGAAACCTCGCTAGGATATGTTCTAGCCTGCTGGGCAAATTGGACTTTTTATAAATAGGCCGGCCCCTGGGTCAAGAGACGGGTTATGCGCGCAAACCGGACTACCAGCGAGAAAATCTCCTGGGCAGACCAGACCGGTCTGTGGAGATACTTATTTCCTGATACAGATAGACCGGCCTACTGGCCGATTTTGGTCACTGAATCGGTCCACTACACTGGGAAATATTTTACCCGTATGTAGACCAGCTTACTACTGTACTGGTATACATTGCTTGCCTCCCCTTGTTCCATACAGTTGACAATTGCTTGGATTGTGTGTGTATTCGTGTGAAGAAAATCTCGGAATCTCGGGCAAGATTATGCTGGTTGTTCGGCAGCGACGAATCATGGGGGGTCTCCGATCCCCTCCGTTATGGCCGCATCACCGTCCATCACACTGGGCCGTCCTCCGGAGCATCGTGGCCAACATAGTATACTTGTCAATGCGGTCACTGCCTCGTGCTAGCTATCGGAATGCTGACAGGCAAGTATGACATCTGCCATGTACATACGATCAACAGTAGACAGGTATGTAGAAAGCATTACATTACCGATGAACCGAAGTTCAAGTCCCCAGTCGGCAATGCCATTTCAAGGCTGCTGCGTGTGCCAGTTACGTCCTAATGCCACCAGTGTACTTACTTAGGTACACTGTGTACCTGTACTCCGTCATCAGTCCTCTCCTCCACTGTACTGGCTACGCTCTTATCTGCTCTGTACCAGTTCCAGTACACTCTTCATTCCATCGGACAGTCAGACAATCAGACTTCACTTTCCATTCCCCAATTTTACTTTTTTGACAACCACTACAACAACAACTACAACTACCACAGCTACAAAAGCTAGATCACGATGTAAGTCCTGCCACCCCCCCCCCCCCCCCCCCTGCATCCCCATCTGCTAATCACCCTTAGGCGTCTCCTCCAGCACGAAAACCCCACCTCTGCCGCCTCATACATATCGATGTACCTCAGCAGCCAGATCACTTTACACCGGGGGCCACAGCCGTTCATCCTCGGCCTGCTAGCCCACCATGCATCAGCCAGCATCTCCGGCGTCCTTACCGCCCTGATCTCGCAGCACCAAGCGGGGCAGGTCTCATTCCGCAACGTTGTCGTCTTCGTCCTCGACTCCGACTCTGGCGCTGCTCAATCCTCGAACAAGCAAGGGGAGAAGCAGGGGTTCAACACGTACCTGCACGAGCGCTTCTTCCGCGTCGTCGACGTTGCGGCAGAGAATGTGCACTTCCCCGGCGAGGAGGGATGCCGCAAGCCGGGCGAGTACGAGCGGCTGATCCACAGCCTGGGCGGCGTGGACGTAATGCTGTGTGATGGGGGTGTGGGCGTGTGCGAGTCCGGGAGTGGGTCTGTCAAGGACGGGCTGGATGAGCCGAGGACGGGGGTTGTCGTGCCGCTCGCTGTGCCGATGCTGTTGGCAGATCGGCAGTATCTCGAGGAGCAGCGGGCTGAGGCCGTGCCGGCGGGGATGGGGATGGCAACGGTGCTGCAGAGCAGGGAGCTCATCATTGCCACGGTCGGCGGGGAAATGGCCGCCGCCGTCAAGGACGCTATCGAGGGCCCGCGCGATAGCAGTAATCCGCTCGGTGTGCTGCTGCTGAAACATGGCAATGCGGTCCTGGTCGTTGATAATGAGGCGGCCGCCGAGTTGAGTGCTAATACTCTCGAGGTACGTATACTATCCTCTCTGAGTTATGTTGGGTATGCGGATATGCTAACAGAACATAAGCACTTCCTCCATGCAGAAGAGATCGACGAGAAGTTTTGGTACGCGGCCGCGGCTGTTGTGCCCTCTGCTGGATCGAAGGTGAAGGCAAAGCTCTGAGCTGAGCTCTGGGCTCATGCTTGCTGCACCTACCTATCAGGCTACCACGGGCAACTGGATTGTCGTCCTTTTTTAGGAATGTGCACACTACACGTGCACATGTACAATTGATGATTGTCGTATTGGTTTTTGCTAGATTAATTATGGTCTTTATTGATGTTTGTCAAATGGATGGATGGGGATGATCGCAGGCGATGGTTAATGGTACTCGATGGATTGGATTGGATGGATTGGATGGAGCGACGTGCAAATGGCGGATGATTATTGCTTGTATCATACTTTATGACTGACGGATGGAGAGACGTGGTGCGGATGGCGGATGATTATTGCTTGTACTATTACTTTATGACTGACTGGAGATTACAATGCCCACGCTGGCACCTGGAATCAATCGGATTGACTTGACTTGACTTGATTCGATGGGGTTCCTGTGTCGACTGTCGAGTGATGTACTGTAAACGAGCTTCACTGGCAAGCACTCTAACAATGTCGAGGCACAAACACAAACACACCAACGACTCGCTTTCACAGTGGTCCCGTCGAGCCCTGCCATATCGGTTCGATACGTGTGTTCACTTTTCACTCTCTGCTCTCCATGTACTACCTACGGTAACGGTTGCACCTTTCTTCCGCGGTCGATCAGGTGCACACTGCACAGGATATCACCCAGTGCCTCCAGGTGATGCCGTGTCCGTGCGGCTACATAAGATCAAGAGCGTTCACATGACCGTCATGATCCCATAGGTAATGTCGAACGCGAAGATGATGAGACTTACCGAAACAGAAAAACACAAACAAAAACAAAAACAAAAACAAAACAAAAAAAGGATCGAGGTCGTCGTCGGCCTTTGTGAGTTGAAACCTCCTCAGTGGAGTGGTCTGAGATGCCTGGTGGTCTTGGGACATGACACTGACACTGTCACTGACACTGCAGCCGACGTGGGAGCCTCGCTTTGTGGTATGTACATACAATAAATATCGGGTCCGTCGTCGTCTGGACTCAGGACCTTGGCTGCGTTAGAGTAGTTACTGCCCGCCCAGTGTCCAGACTCCAGTGTCCAGTGTCCGGGTTGTTGGAACTCGGATGTGCCGCGCGCTTAGTATTCTGGGATACCTTGTGTACCTACTTCTCAAGTAGCCGCCCTGGCCGCTTCGTGATGCCGCCGGGGCGTTTATAGCGTTTGATCTCTCGGGCTCAGGGGAGAAGAAACGATGACGGCCGGCACGCCGCTGAAAGCCTGAATGAGATGTCAACTGTTTCATGGTGTTTGAACCCTGTGGCACAGTGAATATCTACGGTAGCACTCCATGGCCGACCGAGCCTAATTCCGTTGCACGGTCGGTCGCCACCCCACTTTCAGTTTCGCCCCTCGCCCCTCCCACCGGCTCCGAGTCCGAGTCCGAATCCCACCCTATGCATGCGCATCGCACCAACCCACCAACCCACCAACCCACCAACCAGCCGGCGCGCCCCTCTCTCGCCTCGTCCCACAGCCCCACCACCCAACCAACCAACCAACCAACCAACGAACCAACCACGTCAACGCACCTGCCATCGAAGCTGATCGATCGCCATCACATCGCTATCACAAGCACGCCCACGCCCACGCCCACGCCCACGCCCCCAACCCCTGCGCCGCCGGTTTTTCGCAAGTCATATGTATGATATGTACGAAAGAGCGATAAAGTGAAGTGCAGCATGATGCAACCCCATCTAAACCGCCAGCGCCTGGACTGCAGCAGCAGCAGATAATAGTGGTATATAGCAGTAGTATGATAGCAGACAGCGCCTCGTAGAAAAGTGCCCCTCCTCCCACTATCGTAGCACGTATCTACCCCTCACCCACCTCACCCACCTCACCTCCTTACATCCCACCGCCACCACCACAGCAGCAGCAGCACCACAGCAGCACCACAGCACAGCACAACAGCACAACAGCACAACAGCACACAGCACAACAGCACAACCCCCCACGCACCATGGCGACGCCCGACGAGTACTACGCGCAGCTGGCGCTACAAAAAAAAGCCGAAGCAGCCTCCACGCAGCCGTACCAGGCAGCGGCGGGGGGGATCTACTCTCCACCAGGCGGAGCATCAATCTCGTCGCCGATCTGCCCGCCGCAGCAGCCCGGCGGCGGACCGGACGGCTACGCAGCTTCGCCGCCGATCTCGATTTCGTCGCCGGTTTTTAAGCCGCAGCATACACACGAGTCCGCGCACGAGTCCGCGCGCTACGGCTCGCCGCCGGGAGTGGGATACGGCTCGCCGCCGAGCGTGGGCTATGCGCAGTCGCCGCCTGTATACCATGTGCAGCAGCAGGTGCCCGATGAGGTAGCTACTTAGCCTTAACTACCCGCGCGTGCTGGTGCGTTGTGTTGTGCGGAGCTGATGTATGTGTGTGTGCAGTATGTACAGCAAGGCGGCGGCCATGTAGTCGCCTTCTCCGGCCCGGGTCCGAGCGCGCATATGGGCCCCGAGCCAAGCTATCTGGGCTCCGAGTACAGCTATGCGGGCGCGGGACCTTACACGCCGTCGACCAGCAGCGATGCGGGCGGCGATCTCGAGAGATACTCAAGGGGTGATCGGAAGGAGAGACGCATGAGTCACCGCGAGGAGAGATCCTCGGGCCACCGTGAGGAGAGGTACTCTCGCGAGGACAAGTATTCGAAAAAGGAGCGTGCCATGAGTGCCTCTATGGTGGGCGGTACTACGGGCGCGCTGTTGGGACATCAGGTTGGCCACGGAGTGGTGGGCGCGATTGCCGGTGCGCTGGTTGCGAATGCTACCGAGGTCGGGGTGGAGAAGATCAAGAAGAACAAAAAGAAAAAGTCCGGGGAGGAGAAATACAAAGACGGGGAGAAGAAGGATAAGGACCGCAAGAAGAAGAAGAGCAAGCATAGGAGCGAACGCAGCGAACGCAGCGAACGAAGCGAACGAAGCGAACGAAGCGAACGAAGCGAACGAAGCGAACATAAGCGCGAGCATCGCAGGCACAAGAGCGTCAAGGACTACCCCGAGTTCAGCGGGAGCGACAGCGAGCGCGAGGAACGGAAGGTCCGTAGGAGGAGGAGAAAGGAGCGGAGTGAGAAGAGCGACAAGAGTGAGAGGAGTGAGAGGAGTGAGAGGAGTGAGAGGAAGGAGAGGAGAGAGAGGAGGGAGAGGAGAGAGAAGAGAGAGAAGGAGGACAAGGAGGAAGAGAAGAGCGGTGGTATGAGTGGCCTGTGGAAGCACGGATACTCGACTGGCGGCGGGAGCACGTTCAGTTCCTTGCGCCAGAGCAATCATGGCGTAATCGACCAAGACGGGCCAGTCGAGGTTCGGCTGCGACACAGACAGCATCGCGATGGACACAAGCACCGACACAAGAGCGATAAGGGCCACAAGAAGAAGAAGAAGAGTAGTAGCTCGAGCAGCTCCAGTTCGTCGTCAAGCTCGAGCTCGAGCAGCTCATCGTCCAGTTCATCGTCCAGTTCATCGTCCAGCTCGAGCGACTCGGATTCGGATTCGGAAGGCAGCTCGGGTTCGTTCTAGACACTCGCATGGTGACGAGTTTCCCTTGTACCGTAGCTAGCAATTTCATTTGTTTTCCGTTTTGCTGTCAAGCGAGATACCTGTGCGTATGAATGATAATTAGCGATAATGGACTCCTTTAACTATCCTTCGGAGTAAACCCACTCATGTTTCCCACAGCCTCTGTACCCGCTCAACAACTCCATCGCTTACAATGACTCGTCAGCAGCTTAACATAACTCACAAACATCCACAAATGGCCTCTCTCAAGCGAAAGTCATACATGTATCCTCTCATCCGGCAAAGAAATCTACCACAAGAACATGCCGGCGAGGGCCGAGATGGGTACCTAGTGGGAACATATCTCGTCGGTCGTCGGTCGTATGCAGCATAAGTAGAGTAGATTACTATGAGAGCTGTCATTATCGCCGTAAGAATGGAGCTTTTCGTGACGTCTATCTCCGGATCTAGTGTCGGTAAATAATATGTACAGTTTGCCTGTGAAAGCGGACCACGGATAAGGGTATTCACCACTCGATGAAACCATGATCCGGGACACCTAGCACTCGTCCATCCATTCGTTCCGTAGATCGAGGTGAACCCGAGCGAGCGACCGACTGAAAGCAAACCTGCCCGCGGGATTAAAAATCACAGATTTTCCAATCCCATTCCATTACACACATACAGGGTGGTAAGTCCACTGGATGTTGGTTTACCGGTATCTTATTCTCCCCCCGTCTGGCTGGCCCTCTCGCTCGGGAGTCGGTATCCTGAACTTCGTCGTCGAGGTTCCAAGGCTTCAAGGCTCCGAGCTGGCTCGTCCTTGGAATAATTGTACTGAAAGTCTGAAAACCTTCATCCTAGGCCTAAGCTCGTTCAAACTTCAGCCTTCGAACTCTCTCGTCCAATTTTCCAGTATTCCTATTAGACACCCGGGAAGCGGGCGTAGCGGAACCCTAAGCATCCGAAGTATCCTTTCGTCCTGCGCTCGTTCGAACTCTCTCGTCTAGATTTCCAGTTTCCATTTTCCCATTAGACTCCCGCGTAGGTAGCGGAACCTTAAGCATCCGAAGCAGCGTTGTCTTCTCGCGGTCGTCCTCGACTCCTCGCCAGTGAAGCTCGCGAGTCGCAACCGTGCTATGTAGCAGGATAGCAGTGGGACAGTACCGGTACCGGTACTCTATGTACACGGGTGTAAGGGTAAGTGGTGCACCTCCTTAGGCGTCATTTCACGGTGGTGGTGGTGGTGCATCACTTTCCCTCACATCCGAGTACATGGCGATCGGGAAACCAGTGGGTGGGAACTGAGAGGGTGGGTGATGTTGAGCTGCATGGTCCGGTCCTGGAGGGAACGAGATGTAGTAGATGAGACTTTGTTCGCTCTCTCGGCTTCAATCCGCAGCTTTCCTGCGTTGTGGGCGTCGCGAATGGGTAGAGTACATTGCTGGACCTTCGTGTCTTGTCGTGCTGTGCCGTTTTGTGCCATGTTGTGCCATGTTGTGCTGTGCCCTGCCGTGCCATGCCGCGCCGTGGCCGTTTGGGATGTAGCGGAGACAGAGCAGCGAAACAGCAGTGGACGCACTGGAGAAGGCACTGGAGGCACTGAACGCACTGAAGGGGCCAGGCCAGCCTTCTTTCTACATACTCTTTCCACATACATACAAAAAGCACCGGGCTGCGCCCTACCTCCGCCGCACGCCTTACACCCCACCCAGTGCACCCGCCATCAGTCGCGGCCGGCCGGCACTTTTCCACCGTCACCTCATGTAAGCTTAACCAGGCAGCATGCAGTCATGCGTGCAGCGACGGCAACAGTACAGAAACAGTGCTCGTCCACACAAACACATGAACACAGCAGCGATACTGTAGCCGGCGGCAGAGTAGGAGTACCCTATCTAGATTCTAGAGTATTTACTGTATCTCCAGTATCTACACAGAGGCTAGATAGAGCACCTTTGGCCACGATACCGATGAGATCACCCAGCATGCACGACTCACGACTCACGAGATTCATCCTGCGCAAACTGTTTTTTGTTGTTGCGTGTGGTGGTTACGCACACACACCAGTACTCTAAACGTTGTGGCGACGGAAACCAGCAGGTAATTTTTCCACCGAGCCACCGAGCCACCGACAGGCTGCCTAGAGTAACTAGCGCAACCCCAGAGCTTCTAGAAGGATTCGCTCCCCCCTCCCCCCTCCTCCCCCGCTACGGCGTGACGAAGTGGCGTCGGACGGTATGTAGGATAGCGCATGCAACGGTGCAACGCTGGGTGCAAACGGTTGCGGGAGTTTTCGTCCAGTGTTGCAGTGTTGCAGTGTTCCAGCGTCCACAGCGTCCACAGCGTCCACAGCGTCCACAGCGTCCACAGCGTCCACAGCGTCCACAGCGTCCACAGCGTCCCCCGTGACTTCATCGTCAAGTACGGTCGTGCATGGCGCGGTGGGTTGTCGCGGTGGGTTGTCGCGGTGGGTTGTCGCAGTGGGTTGACGCCGAGAAGCTGAGCGTGCGCCGAATGAGATGAGCCTGCGGGGTAGCTACCTGCCTGTCCACCTGCCCACCGTAACTAGAGGAGAGCTCGAGCTCGAGCTCCGTAGGCCTACATGCCTGCCTACGTGTTGCGGGGAAGAGCTCGGGGGAGGTAGAGAGAGGGAGAGAGTGATTTCGTTTGCATGGCATGGCGTATGTAGGGTAGGGAGGGTGATGTTCATTGGAGCTCCTGCTGCTACTCCTGCTGCTGCTGCTGCTGCTGCTGATTCTGATACTCCCTCGCAATTCGATGAGGTCCGAGGACGAGGGCGAGGTCGAGGGCGAGGGCGAGGGCGAGGTCGAGGGCGAGGGTGAATGGACAGCATGGTGATCACCAGGTACTCTGCGTACTCTGCGTATGTACGGTATGTATAGTACTCTGGATCCTCTGCAGGCCGCAGTTAGTTATCATACATACCTCATACGTGCCTCATACGTAGATTCGCGAAGTCGCGCAAAGGATTGGATAGCCACTCTGAGCTCCAGTTCCTATGCCGATACCGGTATCTACCGTAGACAGCTCAATTCGACGATAACTATCATACGAGCTACTAGCTACGGTAGACAACCACCATCAGACCCAGCGGTCGAACGGAGGGGGGCGTTACGATGAGGATAACTGGTTTCCTCCTCTTGAATATTGACCAACGTAATCATTGTGAACTTGCAAGGTGCAACCGCGGACTAGGCACGCTACCTACCGGTTGCCACAAGCCCCGAACGTATCTCGAACATGCCATGACGCTCGTACGTATCATACCGTACATAACGACAAAGGCGCCTGGCTGGCTTGGTTTTCACAACCACGATCATTGATGGTCTCTAACTACTAGTGCGTAGTATGTACGTCCAAGGTCTTCCATCTTTCTTTCCGCTGGATTCCAACGCGCCTGGCACAGCACATGATTCGTTCTGTGGCACATCGTTCTGTGCCCCACCCCGTCGTGGACTCGTGGCAATTCATCCCATAGCGATTCGAATTTCATCCCAGACCGTAGGTATCTAGCGAGTGAGAGGGGGACGTACCAAACTACCGACGAAAACTGATTTCACCGAGCTCGGTGCGAGAACATCAAAGCCGACACCTACATACCAAACGGCTGAGTCCAGGCTCAGTTCCAAACCTATCTACTCTGCTTGGATATTTGGATAGACGTGTCCACATGTACCGTATATACTCCCCGAGTTCCCGGGAGTACTATATCCACCCTAATATGCACTGTGCATACCCCAGATTCACCCTCAGATCCAGCGGTACCCACCCCTAGGTCAAGTATTGTACAAATTTCCACCCGCCGTTCCGGGGATGTTTCAAGTATGATACATAGAGTACAGATGCCTTCATGCATCCATACTTTATACGTTCTTTGTGCATAATTTATACATGTGTCAGACAGCTCGCATCTCGCATCTCGCGGTAATTGCTATGTAGGAAAAGAATATTGAGATATCAAGATCTCGGCCCAACCTCTCCGGCGGCGGCGGCGAAGGAGCAGTTCCGCCTAGTCCAGTTACGCCCGGTGCGGTCGGGACAGAGTCGCTTCGATTCATGTAGTATTGACTTCCCGCACTCCCCCTTAGCTCCTACATATCCTTCCTCCCGCTCCTCCCTCCCTCGCGGGCCCCGGATTACGGACAGACGGGACGGAAGGTTCGCTTCCAATCACGATAAGAGTGGTCGCCTCTAGTAGGTATATTGCGCGTCGGATACCTTTGCCGTAAAGCTTGAGCTTGAGCTTGAGCTTGAGCTTGAACTCGAGCTCGAGCTTCAACTTGAACCCAAACTTGAGCTTGAGCTCGAGCTTAAGCCTGAACTCGAACTTGAGCTTCAACTTGAACCCAAACTTGAGCTTGAGCTTGAACTTGACCCCAACCTCGAGTTTGAGCTTGAACTTGACCCCAACCTCGAGTTTGAGCTTAAACTTAATACTCGAACTCGAACCCAAAGCACCGTACCCGCGCGTGAAAACACTTCCTGAACCTACATTATGGTTCTGCTTACTCAACCCATCTCTGATTGCGAGGAGCACCTGTCCGGGAACTCCCCCGTAGTTGCATAACTTGTAATAAATGCATGAATTGCAACTTGCAAGGCCCTCCTTCCCTTCCCTTCTCTTCCAGCGCAAGGGAATGGCCAGTCAGCAGTGACTGCCTACACCTTCTCCCGGCCCCAGCCCAGCCCATTGGCTTCTACTCTACTCTAAGCTTCCACCAACCAACGAATCCGTAGGTTCGTTGTGGCGGATTTGCGAATAGGGGTAGAATGCTTGGCCGAATCACATGCTGCGCCCATGATCCAGTCCGCATCACAACCGACCAGCCACCGTTTCCCTTTCCCTTTTCCCTTCGCATGTAGTCCATACCTATTGCTTACAGCTTACTGCTTAAAATTACCTCCAGAGTACCTAGCATGTAGGGCTTATCAAAGTGAAGTGACCCCCTTATCCTCCGCAGTTTCCTGTCACCCTATGATGATGTATGTACCGTAGAGTACAAACAGACTCAGCTCTAGCCACTTGGGGCTGTGGCAGCTCTAGCCGCTACCTAGTAGTGCAAACTGGAATCTGGGGAGGCGCTACGAGTGGCGGATACGATTTTGCGGGGGAGGGGTCGCGATACTCTAGAGTAGGTAGAGGGGAAGTCAAAGTTTCGCGATATCGGCCCGAGCTCGAGCTCGAAGGAAAGGAAGGGGAAAAAAAGTGAAAATATCGCGACCGTGTGCAGAGTCCAGGCACGAGTACTCTATCTATCCACTCTACGCCCCTTTACTTTCGCGTCGCCGAGGGTATGTAGGGGCGAGGAACAGGGTGGTGGGGTAGGGGATAAAGCTGAGTGGCCACGGGCGTGTGCAAAGTAGAGTACCTGCGGTAACAACGGACTCGTCGACGAAAGGGGAGGTGGGTGGGGCGGTGGGCGTGCAGTTGGGTGTGTAGCACGATCTTGCCAAAATCCCCATCCACCATCCAGCATCGTTTAGACTTCCCGGAAGCAAGCACGCGCAACGCAACATCATAACCGATCTCGTAGGTGCTTGCGGAGTTCCTGCACCCAGAATATTCGCGTCGGGCAGCAGGAAAAGTCGACGAGGCATTGCTGGACGAGAAGCGGATGAAGAGAGCGGTGATCGGGAGGATGGTTTACATCTACCCGGAGCGTGGAGCTCACGACCGGATGGCAGGCTGCGAGGGGGCGGGGGGGGATTTCTCCTGATTCAGGGAGCAGGGAGAGTCTGCTTACAGGGCAGCGAATGGGAAATTTCCACCGGACGGCGGATCGGTTGGCGTTCGTGTTCGAGAAGCCGGAAGGGGTTCTAAGTTGTGTGGGAGGGTGTGGGACTGTGGGTGTGGGTGTGGGTGTGGGTTGTGGGTGTGGTGACGACGGCTATTTCGGGCGATGCAGGAAGGAAGGAGAAGGCAAGAAGGAAGGAAGGAAGTTCTGCGTAGCATAGAGTCGAGTGCCGTAGCTGCTGGCCGTACCGAACTCCAGTTGTTGGGAGGAAGCTGATTCGAAATCGATGCAATCCCTGCATAAGGGCTGCAGACGGACGGAGGAAGCATCCACGGCGCGCGACGAACGGGTGTGAGAAGGAGACTGACAAATTGTCAGCCGAAAGACAGGCGGGGGGGAGAGCGGGAGGGAGGGAGGAAGGAAGGGAGAAAGGAAGGGAAAAGTGCGAGTCTTTGTTCCTTTGGCCGAAGAGGAGCTAGAAGTGCCTCAGCTGTGTTTGGGTTGCGATTGTGGGTTGTGGGGGACACGGCGAGGCGGGCGGCAGGCGGGGTCGGTTGATAGAGTTACCACAGTAGTCACTAGAGCAGTGGGCCGAGCAGCTGTGAGGGAGATAACGATTGTGGGCGGGATGGCTATGATGGGCTGGCAAGCGGAGGCAGCTTCTGGGTTGAAATCCTGTTAGTTGCTGGTGCTGGTGCTGGTGCGGGTGCTGCTGGTGCTGGTCAGAAACGGCGGTCAAAGCGAGCCCGGGGGCGGCGAGGTGGGGGAGAGGAGAGAGGAGAGGATGAGGATTATTGTCGACTCAACCAGCGAGTAACCAGCAAGCAACCAGTGCAGGCTCGAACAGCACAGCACAGCACAGCACAACACAGCACAGCACAGCACACTGAGCACTTGCGCGGGACTGGCCGCACGCATAGCCTTCCAGCCGCCAACCAGCAGCGAGTGCAGAAATCAGAGGCGGTGATGTTATGGTTGCAATAGGGGTCCTATTTGCTTTCTTTTGCTTCGCTGAACGGCCTCTTGCCCTGTGGCCTCTACTGTGGTGGTGATGGCCGCTGCGCTGATTCGCTGATATGCTCAACGCTCAACGCTGATACGCTGATATGATTTGTTGAAGCCGGCAAAAGGCTGTGTTGCGTGTATGGAGCAGGTAAGGAATTTAGCGCCTATAGAAAAAGAAATCCTTGTATTATTATCGTGTCGGAGGGTGTGTGGCCTGCGTTCCAGGGACCCGTGAGATCAGTGTGCCGGGCGAAGGAAAAAAAATCCGCATGCTGGTTGAGAGGCAACAGGCAGAAGGCAAAAAAAAAAAAAAAAAAGTGGTGGTGGTGGTGATGGTGGTGGCACAACTCATAACAAAAAAAAAAGTTGGAGAGTTCTGGGCTGAGACTGGGAGAGGACAGACAGACAGAGAGAAGCCAGAAGTCAGAAAGAACTTCGCCCCCCCCCTCAAAAGCAGAAAGAAGACTTCACTTAAAAGACACTTTCATCCCCCCCCTTCCCATCCGGATCGTCTTCTCCTCTTCCTCTCTCATACTCCTCCCACAACAAACCCCCTCCTCCTTCCACTCTTTCCTTCTCCCTCCCCCTCCCCTACGCAAACTTCACAACCTCTATAGATTTCCTTTTTACGGTTTCTATAGAATCCACCAGAAGCACGAATAGACGCTTCTTCACGAAAAACGAACCCCACCGAGAACGCTTCTGTCCATCAGCAGCGCTAGTCGACCCGGTCCCCTCCTGCTTCGGCCGACTTGAAAATTTCTCTCACTAGACTGCTTTTTCGAAGTCTGCCTATCTAATACCACCCCGCCGACCCCTCGTCTTCCTTTCTCTATATAGACCCGGTTTAGATCTCGTTTTTTCTTCCGATTTCACACTTCGAAATGGCACCCGCTGTTGATACCATGTCTTCCTCCGTCATCGCTTCGGAGAACCAGAAGTCGATCAAGGTGCTCGACGAGCTCTTGCAGAAGCTCACCATCTCGAAGACCAAGGACGAGGCTACATACGCCGCCGAGAACTTGGCTACCTTCATTAACGGCCCCATCGAGGAGCATGCTGTGCCCACAAAGTCAGTATTTGTCTCCTCTCCAGTCGCAAACTTCAACCCTATCTGCGCCTTGTGTGTGTGTTTATGACGGCGATGCTGACGAGACTCTCTCCAACAGGATCCTCGAGGCGATCAAGAAGCAGCTTTCCAGCAAGAAGGATGCCGCCGCTCGGGAACACGCTTGCGTGGCGATCTCTCACATCTGCGGAAAGGACCTGGCCGCCGGCATCGAGCCCTACATCGTCTCCCTGCTGCCCATCCTCCTGTCTACCGTAGGTGACAAGATCACTGCCGTCAAGAACGCCGCCGATGAGACCGTCCTTCGTCTCATCCGCGCCATCAACCCCAACGCCATCAAGGCCGTTCTCCCCGCTTTGACCGAGTCGATCCTGAACGCCCCCAAGTGGCCCGAGAAGATCGCTGCCCTCAAGGCGCTCGACCTCCTCGTCCAGTTGGCTCCTTCGCAGACCGCTGTCCGTCTCCCCGAGCTGATCCCAACTGTCTCCGGAGCCATGTGGGACACCAAGCCCGAAGTCAAGAAGATGGCCAAGGCCTCCATGGAGAAGCTGTGCTCTTTGATCTCGAACAACGACATCAACCGGTTCATTCCTCAGTTGATCGGCTGTATCGCCAAGCCCGAGAACGTCCCGGAGACTGTTCACTTGCTCGGTGCCACCGTCTTCGTCGAGAACGTGCACGCCCCTACCCTGTCCATCATGGTTCCTCTGCTCGAGCGTGGTCTGTCGGACCGTGACACCACCATCAAGCGTAAGACTGCCGTCATCATCGACAACATGTGCAAGCTGGTCGAGGATCCTCAGATCGTCGCTCCTTTCCTGCCCAAACTCATGCCCGGCCTGAACAAGAACTACGACAATATCGCCGATCCCGAGGCCCGTGGCAAGACCCAGATGGCTCTCGATACTTTGGCCCGTGTCGGTCACGTCGTCGACGGCAAAATCCCCGAGACCAAGTTCCCTGGTGACCCCAAGCTCATCCTCGAGGTCGTCAAGTCGATCATCAACAACCCCAAGGACGCTGCCGACTTTGAGACCGTCCTCCACTATATCGCCTGCATCGCCGGCTCCCTGGTCGACGAGAAGGAGGAGGAAAACGCCGTCTGGGTCGAGCACACTGTCTCGTACTTCCACGTCGTCCTTCCTGAGGGTGCTGCCCAGGCTGCCGCTGACACCCTGCGCAAGCGTGTCGCCGTCGGTGAGGTCGCCGTCGAGGGTGACGTCGATGACGAGGAGGGCGAGGATCTCTGCAACTGTACCTTCAACTTGGCCTATGGTGCGAAGATCCTGCTCAACCAGACTCATCTGCGGTTGAAGCGTGGTCAGCGTTACGGTCTTTGCGGTCCCAATGGTTCCGGAAAGTCGACCCTCATGAGGGCCATCAACAACGAGCAGGTCGAGGGTTTTCCCAAGAAGAGCGAGGTCCGCACCGTCTTCGTCGAGCACGACCTGGACTCCGACGATACCGAGAAGACCGTCGTTGGCTGGTCTACCGACAAGCTCCGTGAGGCTGGTGTCGAAGTTTCCCCTGAGGATGTTAAGAGGCAGCTCTTGGAGTTCAACTTCGTTCCCGAGATGATGGACGCACCCATCACCTCGCTCTCCGGAGGATGGAAGATGAAGTTGGCGCTTGCCCGTGCCATGTTCGAGAAGCCCGATATTCTGTTGCTCGACGAGCCTACCAACCACATGGACAGGCAGAACGTCAAGTGGCTCGAGTCTTACCTCACCACTTCTCCTTGCACGTCGATCATCGTCTCGCACGACTCCGGCTTCCTGGACAACGTCTGCCAGCACATTATCCACTACGAGCGCTTCAAGCTTAAGCGTTACCGTGGTAACCTCAAGGCCTTCACCGAGAAGGTTCCTTCCGCTCGCTCTTACTACGAGCTTGGTGCCTCCGAGTTGGAGTTCAAGTTCCCTGAGCCCGGTTTCCTCGAGGGTGTCAAGACCAAGGCCAAGGCTATTGTTCGTGTCTCCAACATGACGTTCCAGTACCCTGGTACTTCGCGTCCCCAGATTCGCGACATCTCCTTCCAGTGTTCGCTCGGATCCCGTATCGCCGTCATTGGACCGAACGGAGCCGGAAAGTCCACCCTGGTCAACGTCTTGACCGGTGAGCTCATCCCCACCGCCGGAGAAGTCTACCACCACGAGAACATCCGTATTGCCTACATCAAGCAGCACGCGTTCGCCCACATCGATAACCATCTGACCCTGACTCCCTCGGAGTACATTCAGTGGCGTTTCCAGACTGGTGAGGATCGCGAGACTATGGATCGCGCCAACACCAAAATCACCGAGGAGGACGAGCTTGGAATGAAGAAGATCTTCCGCATTGAAGGTTCGCAGCGTCGCGTCATCTCGATCCACTCCCGAAGAAAGTTCAAGAACTCTTACGAGTACGAGTGCTCCTTCGAGCTTGGTGAGAACGTTGGCTTCAAGGGCGAGAAGTGGATCGTCATGTCCACTGCCGACAATGCCTGGATCCCCCGTACCGAGCTGATCACTACCCACTCCAAGCTCGTCGCCGAGGTCGATCGTCAGGAGTCGATCAAGAACGGTCAGTTCCGTCAGCTTGTCCGCAAGGAGATTGAGGTCCACTGCGAGCAGTTCGGTCTTGACGCTGAGTTGGTTTCCCACTCGCGCATGCTCGGTCTCTCCGGAGGTCAACGTGTCAAGGTCTGCTTGGCCGCCGCTACTTGGCAGCGTCCTCACTTGATCGTTCTTGACGAGCCCACCAACTACCTCGACCGTGACTCGCTCGGTGCTCTGTCCAAGGCTCTCAAGGAGTTCAATGGAGGTGTCATCATCATCACTCATTCCGAGGAGTTCACCAAGAACTTGACCGAGGAGGTCTGGTCCGTCATGGACGGAAGGGTATGTTTACTTCTTATTCCAACACTAACTATGTACATTTAACTAACCTTATTCCTACAGATGGTTCCTTCCGGACACAACTGGGTCTCTGGCCAGGGTTCTGGTCCCAGGCTCGACAAGGCCGAGGGTGAGGAGGAGGACACCTTTGATGCCATGGGCAACAAGGTCGCCGCTTCCAAGAAGAAGGCCAAGCTCTCGTCCAGCGAGCTTCGCAAGAAGAAGAAGGACCGCATGGCCCGCCGCAAGCGTGGTGAGGAGGTGTTCTCTGACGAGGATGACTTCTAAACGAAACGCAACGCTCCGTCTTGACAATTATTTGGGAACTTGGGTTTTGTTTTAGATCTCTTCCTATAGATGGACTGTTTGGTTTTCTTTTCATTGCCTTTTTCTTTTCCTTCTTACTGGGTCTGGCTTTTTCTTTTGCGCGTTGGGTTGGTCGTGTCCGGTTTGGCCTGGGGATGATAAAAAGGGAGTTTCTATTGTGTTTTTAAACTTTTTTCTTTCTTTCGTTTTTGGGCTTCGGATAATGGTTTACGAATTGATGAGGGGGTTCATCTTATTCCGATACTGAGTCGTGCTGTGATGTGAACAAACTTTGCCATCGCTTTGACATTGACATGAGGTGAATTGACTCGGTCTATGAGGACTCATTGCCATCATACGCTTGATCGAAGTTCGAACTCACTCGATCGTATGTACGCCAAGTCAACTCAACTCATACATCATTGCTAACATACTCGCTCGCATCCGCCATGGGCAGCCTCCATGGCAGCCTCCTGCTCGCACTTCCTCACCTTCTTACCGCCCTCTCCCGGGGGGCCTCATGTTCCCAAGCCATGTACCTCCACATTGCCAGCGGCCAAAAGACAGGAACAGCCCCACCTAGTAGACCTTGATGGTTCCACGTGGTGACATTGTCGGCGGAGGAGCCAAACCGTTCGCTCAAGGAAATCAAGGGCTGTTACCGTTGACGCCGCGAAGCAGGTTGCTGAGGAGAAGGTGCCTAGTATGTACCTACTCGACCGCCACTCTTTCCTGAGTGACGAGCCAATGGTGCAGACTCAGTAGAACCTCCGCAATCAACCGACGGGAGTCAATACCGTAATACTACATACTACCGGTGCACACGCCCGGTATGTACCGAAAGGTTGCCGCTTCCAACAACCTCTGCTAGCTGGAGCAAAACGTTCGGTGCGGCCTGCGGGGCATTTCCGCTCATCTCATCCCGGCAGACAAAAAGCTGGCCGCCGAGATCCCGGATTTCTACATAGCCGTATGTATGAGCAGTTGGCGGGTGGATGGTGTTAGGTTAAAACTTGAAACTTGGAATCGTGAGGCTGAGTGACGCTTGTGGGGCCATGCGGCTTGGGGCTACTTAGTTAATGGTGGTGGTGTTTGAGGAGTGAATCGGTACTCTACGGATTGCGATGGGATGGCAGCGGCTGATAGAATCTACATACTTGAATGAAGGATTATCCATCGCTTCTATAGTAGCGCGCTCGGGAATGTCTACAACCCCTCCTCACCCTCGACGCGGTCGCACCGTCGCGCGTTATTAGGGTCGGCGCGTTGTTGGCGATGGTGGTGTACTCTACGCACTGTACCTATCGGCTGCCAGACAACGGAGAGGAGGAGGGTATGATAATCGTCATATGCTGTTGTGCGGTACTCGAGAAACATCTGAGTATACGTAGGCGGTGTCAAGAGTTCCTGGATTCTTTGGCGGAGAAGGGATGGATCCCACTGGATATTGCTGCTGATGTGGGCTTGATGGGGACAGCGGTTGCTAGCTAGTTACGAGCGAGACGGAGACGGAGATGAGGGCGAGGTTGAATGGAGATGGCTGTTAGAGGAGGTATGTAGTCGCTCTGGAGATGCGCGGTGCCATGTCTAGCGAATGCCTTCCTTCACGATCACTCATTGTACCTAGCGGTCTCTCCACTCCTCGTGTAACCCAGTGACCACACGACCGCGGCCTCGCGTAGGCGTGGAGCCGAATGGCATGCGCAGGGGCCATTACTAACGAACTCTCGAGTCTCGACGCCTATGTATCCTCCACGAGTCCCCTACACCACCAAAACGTGCTCGTCCAATCCGCGCTGATTTCTCCTCGCATCTACCGCAATCCGAACTTCACTCGGCAACTAGCAAGGTCTACTACAGTTCACGGTACATCCATACTTGAGGCGACAAAACCCGCGCAAGCACGGCCCACCAAGGTTCCCGAACCGCAAACTAACAGCGCAATCCACCGCAAAGGTTCCACTGCCATACCATAGAAACCGCGTTACATAGTTCAACCAGACGTACAGAACGAAAAGATGCAGTTCTCATCACTCCTCCTCCAGCTCCCCGCGTTCATCTCGAACCTTACGAATCCCACTGCGCCCGACGCCGGCGTTGCGCCCACAGCAGTCGTCAACATGACCTACCAGCTCCCCGCGCTTCCCTACGACTACGGTGTAGGCTTTTTACCCCGCTCTCTGCTGCTGCGAGTTATGTACATTCTTTCTGACGTTGCGATGCGACGTGCTATGTAGGCGCTGGAACCGCACATCTCGGAGCAGATCATGGTGCTGCATCACACTAAGCACCACCAGGTATGTTGTTGTTGTTGTTGTTGTTGTTGTTGTTGTTGTTGTTGGGGCATCTCGTTTACGGCACCGGGTGAGGCGCCGCTGACGCTGACCGGCATGGCAAGGCGTATGTCACGAACCTCAACGCCGCGCTGGAGTCGCACATCCACGCCCTGGCGACGGGCGATGTCAAGGCGCAGATCGCATTGCAGCAGGCGATGTAAGTCTTCTACCCCCACCTCCCCCACCATGCAGCACCCATGTGGCTAATCAACCGTCCACAGAAAATTCCACGGCGGAGGCCACATCAACCACTCGCTCTTCTGGCCGTCCCTGGCGCCGTCCAACTCCAGTGCGGCGTCCTCCACCGCCGCGCCGCAGCTCGTCGCAGCGCTGGTAGCGCAATACGGGAGTGTGGAGGCGTTCAAGGCGGAGCTGAAGACGCTCCTGCTAGGCATCCAGGGGAGCGGATGGGGCTGGGTGGTGAAGAATGGCAAGGGCGCGCTGGAGTTGGCGACGACGAAGGATCAGGACCCGGTCACCGGGGATAGGGCGGTGGTGCTGGGAGTCGACATGTGGGAACATGCCTATTACCTCCAGTATTGGAATGATAAGGCGGGCTATGTCGATGCCGTCTGGCAGATTGTTAACTGGGAGACCGCGGAGAAGAGGTTTTTGGGGGTGGAGGCGCCGGTGGCGCTTTAGATACAGCATATGTACTTAGTCACGTGTAATAAAGAAGGTTGCTGCATGAGTGCATAGTTGTTGGATTGCTCGGCGTGGTGATGTGTAGGGTTCTCGCGTGAGTACCGTAGAGGACATACAATGAGAGGAGAGGGCTGAAGCTGGCGGCGTGATACGTAGCAATGGAACCGAACAGAAGGGGCTCAATCGTAGATCTCTCTTCAGCCATGACTCGTGGGACTAGGTAGTGGGAAAGTCTGGAAGGCTGGAGCACGGTTTGTGGCGCTTCTATAGTAAAAATGGTTCCTTCTACCTGACACTGACACTGACACTGACATGCCTAGCCGTGATCGGCCTCGCGAAAGGAGACGCCACAGAGTAAGCCGCCGCCCACGAAATCCAGATCAACGCCGTAGGCCCGTAGTTAGCGACTGGGTATGTGGAAACGAATGTGTTCCCCAGAAGTGTGTGCACGATGATTACTTCAGCAAGTACCGGCGATAAAAGCGCACTTGTTGGGGCGGCTGGCGCTTGCGGAGGAGACTGCGGAATGCGAATGTCATTATGTTCCTCGCGAGTGGTAGGGTGAGTTTTGTTACAGGCGTGGTGCTACCTGTTGATGAGGGGTATACTCCGCAGTATTTAATGAAGGCGGAAGATGCAATAGAGACTACTTGGTATAGATGGTGGAATTGGTCATTTAGGAATATCTACTCTAATGAACCACCTGAAGCAGCGGCCAATCACATCCCCACTTATGAGATGCACCATATTGCGCAGGATGAGTGATAATGGCTCAAAAGCACAAGCCGAGCACTGAGTAGTCCTAGCCAACCGCCGGAAAGAACAACCTTTAGTTATGCCTTACCACTCCCTCAATATTGGTTGCCAGCCACGTATGAAGCCGGCAGTGCACTCAGCCGTGCACATCTCTCACTCGCGCCGCGCCAAGCCAAGCGAGGCAATGACGTTGCGTAGCGCAGCGCAGCTGCACCACCGTAAGCCGGCAGCCATTACGTCCGACCCGGTGGGCATCCATCCAGCGTTTCTCCTTCTCTCTCCAACGATAAACACCATCCTCCAATATGCCATCGCCGCCCTACATCCTCGAGGCGCTCTGCGCACTGGTGCTCTGCGCGCTCGTCGTGGTCATCACCTTCGAGGTGTGGCTGCTCAGTCTCGCGCTCACGATTATTTCGCGCACGCCCGTGCTGCGGAAGCTGGTTGCGGTCGAGACGCGCCCTGCTATGCCAGTCGTCGCCAGGAGGAGGACGTGGGCGGGATGGAAGCGTCAGAAGAGCACGGGAGAGTTGGGCGTGGTTAGGACCGGGACTACGGTCGGTTTGGCCGTGAAGTGAGGTGCTCAGGTGCGTGCGTGGACTCCGATCCGAAGCCGGGGAAAGCGATGGGAACTGAACTGATTCGTGCTGTGGCTCTCAGTCGGAGTTTTTTTTTTTTTGTAGGATGATACCAGATACCACGGTGGAGGAGGGGGGTTGCTATGTCGTTGTCGTTGTACCTATGTTAGTGGGATGTCGGCCGGACCACGGTCGGTACATACCGAGCTAGGGTCGGGACGGGAAAGCAGATAGGCATGGGATTAGGGCAACTCTGTGAGACATCACGATATCACTAGCGACGATGGAGTTATGGGATCAATAATTTTTGAATTCACGTCGTAATTATGGGTGACCGATTTACCGGTGTCACATGTTGTTTGGGCCAGTACTAGCCAACCAACCTTTACCTGTGCGATGCGATGCGGGAGATGCGGTCAGATATTTCCAGCAGTGAACTAACTACATCGCCATCGCAAAGCTTGTACATAGGAAGCCCTGCGCAGAGTGTCCGTACTGTATGGGTTGGGTTCCGGAAAGTAGCGACAAAAGGTCCTATGGTGGGCCGGCCGGCCCGATTGACAGATTACGGTATTCGTCGCCAGTGGCCACAAACGCTCAACACCGCCGCCAGTGACAACCTAAGTACACATTCTACAGCCCATAATACTGTACTCGCGCGCGTCACTCAGGAGGATAATAGATACACACCACATCGGTTCGGTTCTTTTCGCCTACCGGGGGTCTGGAACAGGGCGAAGCTCTAGGTACCAAATGCTATGTAGGAGGTGGGTATCTCAAGAAACTTTAGGCACCAAACCCAGGGACCGGTATTTATCCCCCTCAAATCCCATTGGATCGAAAGTCTGGAGGTGTAGGTAGTTACTGCCCTGATAATGGGTATTATACGAATACGTAGCTCGGATCCAGAGACGCGCGTCACGGGGGTGGGATTCTCCCAATCAGGCAGGATAGGTGAAAAAGGCACGTACCTTTACCGGTATATCGGGGTTGGGATTGGCTTTTGCTGGTTAGGTACTTGTGATATGTACAAATCCAGCCGCTTAGAGAAAGTGAATTGACCCTGACTCCTGAGAGAATGGATCCCTTGAACCTTCAGCCGGTAGGATTTCAGGATCACGGCAATGCGGAACCAGAAGCTTAAGTGTGCGATCTATAGTAGAGGCTCTAGCAGGTGGAAGGAACGTCTGCAGACCCTGCATTACGGATGGAGACATGTAGGTTCCGCTGCCCAGTGTTGTGAACACTAGACTATCGACTAGAAAAAGTGCTCGAGTCTCGTAATCGAGTGATATATGATACATGAGTCAAACAGCAGACCCTGTAGGGCCATGGACGCTCTAAAGTTCTGCCCCACTACAACAGAATCATGTATCTCACTTTGGATACCGGTATAAGCTCCAGGGCCAGCAGTGCTATAGTACATACACCCTGCCTTTGTGCGCGATCGATCCCAGCGAGCTTTCCCCTTACACCCACTTCCGATATCTAACTCTGTGGGGTAGCCACATACCTAGTGGACATGGACAGCGAACAACACGTTTCCCTCCTCTTTCCTCGCGCTTCAATGATTCCGCCCTTTCCTAGGCTTCTCACTACCTGCATCATCCTCGTCATCGACTCTCCGCAGCCCTGACGGCGGGGAAGTTGAAGAAATTCTGCAGGGAAGGGGCAAGCGTCGTTGTATGTAGGTATGTAATGCCGGCCCACAAGCATCCCATGCGTACTTACGATATATTAACGTCGCGTGGATCGTCTGGGTCTGGGTTTGCAATAACTATCTGGATTCTGAGCTTGTGGGCGGCGCGGGGCGACGATGGGTATGTATGTGCACATAAGGCACTCTCCGGCAAGGCGTAAGACTAAGGACTGACTGACTGTTAGGCATTGGGCAATTGGCAGCTAGATATCGACAGTGCCGCTGGCAGCCTGGCACTTCAAGAGAGAGGAGAGGGTCGGTGCGGTGCACTCGTCATCGGCAGCTTATCCGAAGGAAGACCGTCGACCATCAACCTCGCAATAACCCTTGAAACACGGATCTTCCGTGAATTCGCCAAAAGAGCGATATCTAACTAATACCCACCTCGCGGCTCCGGAGGTGGTATGGTATAGTATGGTACATATGGCTGGTGTTTCCGGTGACGGAGATCGAGACAGGCCAGCACCGGAAGAAAATACGACCGGCCGGCCTTGAGGAACTGTAACCACGCGGCACCGGCGTGGGAATGGCGTCTGAGTGCTCTCACTGCATGACGCCTGCGCTGCAGCGCATGATTCCGGCCATGGAAATAAAGAGAGAGAGGAGAGGACCAGGGAGAAGGAGGTGATCTCGCCGTAGGTGTGCGGCGCTGTTGGGGATGAGTGGAGTGGTGAGGGTGATGGCGTGTTCTCTTAGGGCTTTCGGCCGGCTGCTGGCGGGATCTTCTGGACTGTTCTGGTGGAATTCGTTTATTGTATGTAGTGAACTGTATACCGGTATTGCAGCCGGTCCCAGACTCCCAATCGGAGACTCTGATCCTCCTGCACCTCCCGTAGCGTAAGATAATCCGAAAAGACACCCTGATGATGCGGAGGATAGAGCTGTCCCACTGCCAATTCTGGTATGCTATTCCTGTGATGTGCAGCCCGGTCAACCGCACCACGTTCAGCGCAAGCTCCTCCGAAAACCCCTCAAGTCCCAGCACAGAATGAATGGCACCGTGACCTATGAAACGCCGAGTCCAGACTCCGGTCTCTATCCACGGTAGAGAGAGAGGGAGCATCGGCGGGTTCTCCGGTAGCGTAGATAGCTGCCAGCCAGGAAACTGGATTCCACGATCCGGGGGCGGGGGCGGGGTTGCGATTGAGACGGTCCTCAGCTGTAGACTACTTCCTGAGCCCGCCAATGATAAATCCCTTGAGGCGCATGCCTCTCCCCCTCCCCCCACGAAGCCACCCGGACACCGACATGGTGCACCAGCGGGGTTGCCCCGGACGCAAAATCCAAACCCCGTTTCGCCTGGCTTTGCTCCCCAGCGCTGGGGAAGTGCCCGAGGATTCTGTGTTCGGCGATCACCCTGTTGAGTTGTAGGCCACGGTTTTCTGACCGGAGGAATACTGGAAAACCTGCAGGCTGCAGCGAAACCTGGTACTGGAGACCACGATCAGCGCACGGTAACTATCAAGGTATTAGGGTATCGTTCGGAGTAAAGCTTGTATCGTACAAGATCGAGATAGGATGTATGTACCGCATAGAAGGATCAGGTTGAGATCCCAACTACTTGTGGATGTGCTCGATTAGGGAGAGCAGGTACAAAACTTCCAAATATAACCTATATTCGCCTCCTGGAACTTGTCGCTAGGTACCTGCATGTGCTGGGAAGAATACGGATGCTGTTCTGCTGTTCTCCACCCACGATAGTTCCTGCCGCAGACACGAGTTAGGGCTGGCGAATGGGGGTGCCTCGAGGAGCGCGAGTCAGTTGCCATGACCTGTCCACCGCCAGTCGCCACCGAGGAAGCTTGCGAGAAACCCCCAGGAGCTCTAGGCCCGCGGGGGACTTTATCTGGATCGCTGGTCCGGATACAGACCATATAGACCATATAGACCACGTTTGAAGCCCGATGTACGATGCACAGTACATACGACTACGAGAACATGGGCCATGCTTGACGACCCGTACCTACCTAGTTTCTCGAGATGGCCCATGGATTGCTTGGAACTTGGAGCGCGGGCATTGCTCCGGCCTGTCGGTCGGTCGAGCGTGGTCACTAGCCAGTCAGTCGGTCGGTCGAGCGTGGTCACTAGCCAGTCAGTCGACTAAACAGCTGTCACTCGCCCCAGATCTCTCTCCCGAGTCCTGTCCTCTCCTGTCCTCTCCTGTCCTGGCCTCTCCTGTCCTGGCCTCTCCTGTCCTGGCCTCTCCTGTCCTCTGCTATTATAGGCGCTGCGCGTCACAGGCACAGACCGGAGATGGTAGGAAGCGCACGGAAGGGAAGGGATAGGAGTTGCTGCCCGCCAGTGTCTCCGCCGAGTCGGAGTCCGAGCCATTTCATGTTTGTGTTTCTTCGCTAGAAAAAAAGAAGAAGATGGCATGTTCGTACATCAATACGAAAATCGGTTAATGAAGAGGGTACGGTACGGCATGATCCGGACTAGGTACCTAATCGATCCGTCCCCAATAAACACACTTACTTAGGTGCATCCTACCCCGCGTACCGATATTCCAGTGCCAATACAGCAGTTCGCCTTCGAGGTCTATTTATCGTCATGTAACACGGAAAAGTCTCGATGATAGATATAGGTAGGCCCTTTCGCACCGCTATAGGTATATTTCGGCTCACCCCGCAAGCCTCGGGTGAGGCGCCAGCTATACTCCCTACCTATATGTAGCACTCCACATACCCGCAAGGACCAAGGTGCTCACGCCCGATGTCTTCTTCCCCGTGGGGAGGTTGAATTGACTTGATGGGCACAATAATGTTTCTGTGTTGCCCTCCTACCTATCCCTAGTACAGTTATTTCTCAATGCCCAATTCGACCAGCACAGAGCATTGATCGATCTAGGTACCTATTGCCCGAGAAAAGCAAATACACCTACCATCACCACACCTTTGCCACCGCCTCTAGGCTCTCATGTCGTGTTGTATTTCGTTTGTGGCGACGGCGGTGAAACCTACCTACCTACCTACATCACTATCGCTGGGAGCTTCAGGCTTCAGACTTCATCCTGCATTCATGACGTGCTCTGGGCCGTTACATAACAACAGAAGAGTCAAGGGTCGAGGGACTGGGGACTGGGTGCGCTGAACTCGACTCTGCATACATACATCGCAGTTAGGACCCCGAGGCAGTTAAGGCAAGAGGAAGAGAACATCTTCGAGAAGCACGCCTACTTGTTAACTAGTAGCCCCGGGTGGCGCCGACTGAACCATGTACTCTACATAACCAGGGCACTCCGGGGGACTTCCCGATTGAAGAGCAATTATGTGCTTTTTTTCCTTTTTTCCCTTCTTTTTTTATTCCGCTTTCGCTTCGTGAAGCACGGCCGTGGTGGGCTAGGTACTATGGATGCCGTTTGGGGACGTGAATAAGGGAATGTTGCCGGTTGGGGTAGGTAGGTGAAGAATGGAAACTTGAAAGAGTGGAGTCTACATACCTATCGATATATACTAGATAGCGACCTTCTCGTCAAAGACCTTGGCACGAGTACCTAGAGGCTCGCCGATAGATACTGCCTGTGGTGGGTGGATGATGGAGTTTTGCCGCGAGGAGCTTTGCCGGGGGTAGAGCGATAGTTAGTTGAATACTTGGCATTCATTCGCCCATCTAGAGCATAGATATCCGATTCATCTCCGGCAGCCGTTGAATCCGAACGCGAACGCGAACTCGAGCTCGAACCTGTCCTATCAAGCTATCAGGCTATCAGATCTCTCTCTCTCTCTCTCTCTCTCTCTGTGTGTGTGTGCGTGTGTAATTTTTCGTTGCTTATTCCTCGTCACCATATGTACCGGTATGTATTACGATGGCTCCCGCGTCCAAATCGCCCGCCCCGCCCGCCCATCATCATCATCGTCATCGTCATCATCGGCTGTCTGGACTCTGGAACCGTCGATTTGCCCCTGTCGTTTATTGGACTGGACTGGGACTGGGACTGCCTGGGACCCTTCTGGCAAAAGTATCCTGCACCATGCTATGCCATGCAGGTACCTGCAGTTCAAATGCTGGATATATGATCTGTTGTTTTATATGGAATGTGCCACAAGGGTGCAGTGAAGCCTGAGTGCAATCGAAGACAAGACTGGGCTTGTATGTAGGTAGGTAGAAGGCAAGGTAGGTCTGTAGGTGCTCTCAGAGGACTACCGCCAAGCAACGCTTAGTTAGGGCCTCTAACTCCGAGCCTTATGTTTTCTTCCAAATTCCAATCGTCGTGCGGATTCCGAAACCCCGATATATGTAGAGTATTTGTGGTGACTCCCTCGGCATGTGTACTTGCACCTGTGCCGATCGCTTCGGCTCGGAAAAATAACATAAGCCCGGATGGATGCGACCGCGCGCGCGGCACGTTTGGAGATCCCAACAACTCAATCGTCAGCGTATGATGTATGATGTACCGTCTACATACATACATAGAGTGGGGGTGTCGGTCGGATAGGTACCTCACTAGTCACCACCATCGCCGCCGCGTAGTACAAATAACTGGTCCGAGCGTCTATCCAGCCCACTTACCTACCTAGTATCAACTAGGGAAAGTAAGCCTGGATAGAGCGACTGCCAACTCTCAGGTTTTGTATGTATGTAGAGTAGGTATGGCAACTATGTAGTTCCCTAACCCGAGCAAGCACTGTCTTCGAATCGGCACTGGTAGGAGAGATTGCCGGATCGGATCTTCTCATCTGGAACCTTTCGAGACATGTTTCTGGCAGTTAGTTTCCAGTGGAGAACCTCCAGCTTCAGGAGTAGGATGATACATACTAGTAGTTACTTGGGTACACACTCTATCCCGCGCAATAGTCAGCGGAGGTCATTCTAATAATAGGTATACAGTACTCTAGAGTCTATAGTAGACCAGGAGAAGCCGGAAGGGAAGCCAGTGGTAGTGGTTAGAGCAGGCTTGCGGCAAACAAGCGAGGGCTCTGGTGATGCCGCGTATGTTGTTCGTTAGCCTAGGGGACTGGCGTGTATCAGAGTCGACATTCACAGAGACTGCGTTGTTGCATGGGATCGTATGTGTGTACTCTACATACGGGGGCGGAAACATTTGCGACCCGACACGTGCATTCAGACGGGTGTACCTATGGTGGTATGAGCGCAGTCCGGGCCAACGGAAATACGGATTTTTCTTTGGCCACGCATTGAGTCGACGCCGTATTAATGCTCGGGTTTAGTATTTTGCCGCCCGGGCAAGGACATCTTTCCCGGAATGGGTGGTGGGCTCGATACGTGACGCCTTGCAGCAGAATCCTTCAGGGTTTCCCGCGGATCGAAGACGTAGCTGTTGGGCTTGATGGCTGCACCATAGGGGACCCGCAACAGCGAGCAAGCAAGAAAACTCAGCTGGTGGTGAGATGCGACGAGTGAGCCCCGGTGAAGAGTTTTTTTCTTTCTTTTTCTCTCGCCTTGGCAACGATACGAGCGGAGTGGAGTGCATGTAGAGTAAAAAACGTTCCACTGTCACATCAAATACGATGTGTACTGTACAAAGTTCATCCATGATCCCGCGGTGATCCCGCAGCGAGCGGAGGGTACTATTTATAACTGGCACGAGCAGCGAAGAATTAAACTTCCTCTCCATCATGCCCCACCGTTTAGGCCTGCTCGATTCAACGACGCAACTCGGGCTCGTCATATTGCTCAACGTCTGCATCTGCTGTGGAGCCAGGCAAACTTCGTCGGGAGCGAGCATGCAGGAATGCTGCGGGACGAACCAACCATGCCTCCTGCCTCACTGCGGCGGCGTCGGGCGGGCTCAGAGGTGGATGATGGAATCGGTCGGCGAGCCTCACTGCGTTGGAAAGTTTGTAGACAGCGCTTGTAAGAAGTAAGCAAGTACCCAGGTAAGCAGCAAACAGCGCGTAAAACTTTGCCAATCGGCAGCTAGGTAGGTAACTATTTCTCACCGTTTACCGTTCGCCGCCGCCGCCCGCCGTGGCCGACTCCGCGCAAGGGAGGACATGGCATATACCAGTACTTTAGAGTAACCCATCCAGCTTCCGTATGTATCTACGAAGATCCCCGCACTGTGCATGCAGGAGATCGGAAAGTCTTAGTCCGGGACCACTTGTTGTTCAGGGCCGCGATCTCCGGTTGTGTGTAGGCACTAAGCTGTCTGAGAACGGAGGAAACGCGCGGTCCGGATGAACGTCCACGTGGATTGAGACTGAGACTGAGATTGAGACCTGAGACCTGAGATTTCACGAGTTAAGACGGAATCGATTGAATATGATTGTACATCGCAACGTCACCGCTGCTTTTCTTTCCTTTGCCGTAACACCGGCAGGAAGGAATATCGTGGGTATGTACATACTTCGAAGTACACCGCATGTATCCCTGTAGAACAGCTGCCGTGGTGCTTTGCTTCGCCATTCGTTCCCGTGTTCGAGCTCGTTGATGCACAAGCTGTCCCAACATTCCGGTGAGCCGTGAGCAACAGACGGATAGCAGCTTGCGGGGGGATGTGTTTTTTTTTCTCTCGGGGAGTGTGCAGGCGGCGGGTGTAGAGTAGATGTACTCGTGACATCGCCAGCCTCGGCTGGTGCTACACGCAAGAGCCAATACTCTAGAGTAGAGTAGGTAGAGTAGAGTAAAGTAGAGTACTTCAAGGTTTCCAGGTGGAATCGTGCACACCCCACTCCCTTCCTCCACTCACGCCACAGCAAAGAAGATGAAGAAGAATAAGAGGAAGAAGAAGGAGTGTATGAGCGCAAGGCGCGGAAAGTCTGTAGAGTGCTCCGGGTACTTAGCGTCCAAGCAAGGCAGGAAGCGGCATGCAGAAAGTGCAACAAAGAGGTACTTACTGGCCAATGTGCAGTGTGCACTGTGCACTCTACCGTGATGGTGTGCTTCCGGTACTGCAACCAGGGACTTACACGTACTGTGCAAATGCACCTGAGGAAGAAGAAGAACAAGAAGCAGCTGAGACTCGAGAGAGTCTGCTTTTCGCTTTCGCTGTTGTTTTCCTATTTGCGTTTCGTGAGAGGGGAGTTCGTGTAGGAGAAGGATCGCCTATGGATTGTTTCGTGGAGACTCAGCTGCTTGGCTGCTGGTATGTACGTACATACATGCTCCATATATCGGGCTATATCCATGAACCACCACCAACTGGGTAGGAGGGAAGGTACGATAGATATCCCGAAACCGGCTACCCATATTCGAGCGGAGAGGTTTCTGGTAACGGTGCGGCGTATCTAGGAAGTTGAAGGCTCGCCCCGTTCAGGTACCCGAGCTTGCCAGTGTTGGGCGCGGCAGATTGATTGCGGTGGGTTTCTTTCGCTAAACCATTCGCTGTTCCCTCTGACACACCAGCAAGGAAAGGCCAACTGCGTAATGGCGAGGGATGCGGTAGTTCTGTTCAGGTTCGGGTTGAGGTTCAGAAGGTGCGGCTTCGAACTCATGCGTCGGTAGAGGGTACGTGCCGTTGTTGGTGTGGAGGCGTACTGCTCCGTGTGTACCTCCGCTGCAGCGGCAAGCCAACAGGCGATGACAAAGATCCACGGGGAGAGGAGAGCAAGCAGGGAGACAAGGGAAGGAGTCCTTTCGATCGCTGGGCCTATTCGGAGCAGGGAGACGCCCATGGCAGCATGGTATCAGCAGTTGGGATACTCTACTTAGAGGCGCACACTATATCGGAGTCGCCAGGTACCCTACTATCCCTCTGGCTAGTTAGCTCTCCTCTCCATACTTAGAAGCTGGTAGGTCGAGATCGCATACCTTGGTTTCGTAGTGGGTTGTGTGTGGATATATTGAGGTGAAGGATTGAAGTCTGCATGGGATTCCACTCGCACTCCTTCCATCTCCGTTCTTGCCTTTCTTTCCATCTCCTGCACCTGTGCTTTCCGTCATACTTCCTCCTCCCCCTCCTCCTCCTCCTCCCTCCTCCTCATCCTCGCCCGCTCTTTTGGGTTTTGTCATTTGTTCCGGAGGTACATACCCTACAGCCATCAGCACCCGAACAACGGCGTCAAGCACCCGTAGGACTGACCGGAAGCTCGCATTATCCGCGCACCGAGACTACAGCTATCAATCAGATCGACGTCAGACAGTTGGGGCCATACAAACCCACCGGAAGACAAAGGGACACCGAAACCGAAGTGACAGCTCAGACAACTAGCCTAGCCGCCTTGTTGCGCCTGCCGTCCGATTTATTCCTGTCTCTGTCGTGTATCGTTATCGAGCATTGCTATTGCTGTTGCTATTGCTATTGCTGTTGCTATTGCTGTTGCTGTTGTTTCTTCTGCTGCTGCTGCTGCTTCTACTGTTGTTGTTGGTATTGTTGTTGTTGCGTGTTACCGTCAAAACTCCATCAAATTGCCTCACGACGGCCCCGGTCCGATTCCCATTCAAGGGTCCTCGACACTGCATTGCATTATATTGCGCTGTGCACTCCGTCACTCGTTTGGAGCCACAAACGAACCAACGACATCGTCTCTACATCATTTACATACCACCCTCGTTCCGTTTCCCTCTACCTCCACTACTACTACATACAACGGTCCTCTGCTAGACTGTCGGTCCGCTACCACTCTCAGAGGAACCCAATTAATCGTTATTTCACTCTTTCTCCCCACCCTTCGCCGACAACGCACAACTGGGCTTCCTGCATCGCAATAACCAAAACCAACATAATACTTACGTCCGCTTGTCCTTGACCCTGTATTCTACTTGCAGATTGTCTTCCGGTATGTGCTACCCCCACAGTCTTACGGAGCGAGCGAGCGGACGAGGATCATTATCGACAGCTTGACTCTTCTTTGTGCACCGATGGCATGCTGCAGAGGCAGAGTCCATCTATGCTTCGATCTAATTCTAGATCTTCCGGATGTGCGGATGGCTGACGATCCTTTTACGGCGTTGTAGGCTTGCACCGCGGTGTTGTTCGGTTTTGGTCGATAAGCCTCCAACCGGCTCCTGCTCCTTCAATATCGATCGCTACCTCCGCCCTCCGCAGCCCCGACCTTAAAATTACATAGCTAGACGACTCTCCTGTTCCTGGAAATCACAAAGATTTCCTTCCACTCGTTTTGCGTTCGGTATTCCAAGGCTCGAATAATATCTCGGCAAGGTGCCAGCTTGTCGACCACCTAATACACTACAGACACCCAAGTCTCTCCGCAAGCACAACCGACAGTTGATGGTGCCGTCTTCGTAAGACTTTTAGATCCATTCGTCTTTCGCAGTTCATCCAAGGCTTTGATTGCTAGGACCGATCTTCAACTTAGTTCGCTTCCTGGTAGACACCAAACGACGTCAAGATGGCCAACGGTATTCCTTCACTGACTGACAAATGGGAGATCTCCGAGGTACCGAAAAATGAACAGCCGATACTTAAAGACATCTAGATTTTGCTGACTAGGGGGGAAACAGATTGTTTACTGCTCGATCATGGGAGTGGTGATGCTTGCTGCCTTGCTCGAATGGTTTCTCTGGTTGGCAGCATTCCTGTACTGCCTGATTAAGGTCTTCCAGAAGGCCGAGAGATGGCACATCCGGGTTCTTGCAGTGATCATGATGGTGCTGTTCTCAGCGCTCCGGTAAGTGCTCAACCCTCACAGCTGGGTGAGAGAAAGCGGAACAGTAGACTGACTAGCCACATGCAGTTGCATTTTTGCGCCGATAATGGTGGTGACGCTGCCCCTTCCCTCCAGGATCACTCAACATTTCCCCAATGAAATGGTCGGCTTCCTTCAGTGGTTTGCATTCTGGTCGTTCGCGATCCTACTCACGGTTCCCTGGCTGTTTTGTGTGTACCAACTCATCACCAATAATATCGGAAGAACGCGTCGCATCAAAACAGTACTGGACGAAGCCACGGCTCCTAAGGTTGTGGTCGTGATGCCTGTTTACAACGAACATCCGGACATTCTATTGACGGCGGTTGATTCGATTGTTGACGGAGAATACCCTCCTTCCTGCCTCCACATTTTCCTCTCTTTCGACGGAGCAGACGAGAATGAACTTTACTTGCGTACCATCGAGAGTCTAGGTCCGTTCCTTCGGATCTCCTTTTTGAGTGCATTACTGACAATAAGCCCTAGGCGTCCCACTGTCTTTGGAGAGCTACCCGTCGAGTCTGGATGTCACATACCGAGGGATGCGCATCACCGTATCGCGGTTCCAGCACGGTGGAAAGCGACACTGTCAGAAGAAGACTTTCAAGTTGATCGACAAGGTGTACACCGAGTACGTGAAGAGAAACGACAACCTTTTTATTCTGTTCATCGACTCGGATTGTATCCTCGACAAAGTGTGCATCCAGAACTTTGTCTACGAGATGGTATGTCGTCTATGTTTCCACTGCGCTTAGCGCTTCCGACGTGTGTTGCGGGAAACAAAAAAACAAAGTTGCGCTGCGGCTGACATGCGATGCTACCAATAGGAACTCAAGCCGGGCAGTAAGAAGAACATGCTTGCCATGACTGGAGTAATCACGTCTACTGCCAAGAAACAGACTTTGATTACTCTTCTTCAAGACATGGAATACATACACGGTCAACTTTTCGAGCGATCCGTAGAATCGGCTTGTGGCGCAGTTACTTGTCTTCCCGGTGCCCTTACGATTTTACGATTCTCGGCATTCCGGAAGATGGCCAAATACTATTTTGCAGACAAGGCCGAACAGTGTGACGATCTCTTCGACTACGGAAAGTGCCATCTCGGGGAGGATCGTTGGTTGACACATCTGTTCATGATCGGTGCAAGCGAGCGATATCAGATTCAGATGTGCACAGGAGCATTTTGCAAAACGGAGGCAGTGCTGAGCTTCAGGAGTTTGCTGAAGCAGCGACGCAGGTGGTTCCTGGGTTTCATCACTAACGAGGTGTGTATGTTAACGGACATCCGATTGTGGAGACGTTATCCCATCCTCTGTGTGGTGCGATTCATGCAGAACACCATCCGTACCACTGCGCTGCTGTTCTTCATCATGGTTCTGTCACTCATCACTACTACTCAACGAATCCAACAACTCCCCGTCGGCTTCATTGCGGTGTCACTCGGTCTCAACTGGGCTCTAATGTTTTACTTCGGCCTCCGACTGAAGCGCTTCAAGGCTTGGCTGTATCCGCTGATGTTCGTGGTAAACCCTTTCTTCAACTGGGTCTACATGGTCTACGGAATTTTCACCGCTGGTCAGCGAACGTGGGGTGGCCCACGCGCCGACGCCGGTACCGCGGACGCCGAAACCACTCCGCAAGAGGCAATCGAAAAGGCAGAGCAACAGGGCGATGATTTGCAGGTTGTGCCGGAAACCTTCAGGCCAGCAATCGAGGCGCAGAGAGAGGCGAATGGGGTGCTTCGGCATCGGTACCCCGATGGCAGAGTTGCCGAAGCGGAGAAGTTCCAGGGCACATATTACACTCATCCGAACGATTCTATGGGTACACTCCCAGATCAACTCGCCCGGAATCCCAATGCACCTCACATCCCGCTTCACCCCAGAGCATCCTTCGACTCCTTCGTGTCCGGTATCAGCACTTCGAACGGGGGGTCGGTTTACTTCCCACGCCGTGTGGAGAGTATCATGGGAGAAGAAGACCGTCGCAAGTACCACGTTGCTCAAGCGAATCAGAGAGAAGCCGGTGGCGCCTACATGGTTGAGCATCGATCCACGCCGAGTGACTCCTCCGATGACGAGATCTACGGTTACAAGGTGCAGGCAAACGCATCCACAACTTCGGTTGATAGCAACTATGGGTACATGGTTGCGGGCGCTAGTCCGTATACCAGCACCCAACCTAGCCGTTCCGGCTCACCCAACGGTCGAGTGTCGCCTCCAACTAGTACCTCACCCAGCGGGGGAAACACACACCTTGCACTGCCGGAGCCAGCGCACCGTTCGTCGCGACCGACTGTTCCCACACGCAGTCCACTGGCTAGGCTGAGTCTCGTCAGGACGTCAGGAATGGAGGACGATGACGAGGAGTCCGAAGTCGCAACAGCTTCGGCGGAAGCCACGACGCCTCCTTCGCAGTCTCCTACCGGGGCCGATGCTGTGGGAGATACTGCGGGAGAATCCGATGAGAGGGAGGGTCGCCCGAAGACTAGGAAGAAGCTTCAAAAGAAATCGCGGTAGATGCGGTCCGTTCCGACACCCTCCATTAATGCAGAGCAGCACCTGGTTAGGGACTGGATCATTGGGCTTCCGCTATATGGGTGTTTTTTTATTTGAAAGTTTCTGTTAGAATCCGGCATACATGGCGCTTGGGTCATTCACGAAAATGGTGGTCTTTTGTTTTTTTGTGTGCGTTCGTTGCTTTCTCGTGTGCTGGATCTAGCGTCTCTCTCTCTCCCTTTCTCCTTCTCTCTGGTGGAAATATACTTTATGGGTATTCTTTCCTTCTTTCTTTCCTTTCTCCTTTCCTTTGTGTTGTTTGTCTTTTCTTTTCTTTTACATGGTGTGGCGTATGAATGTGGTTCTGTTTTCCTTTTCTTCTTTTCCAGCCATGTGATATATGGCTTTGGGGACGTCGTAATGGTGGTCTGCAGTGTTGGAGGATTAGGAGGATCAGGAAGGACGCGAAGGACGACATGTACTCCTGTGGATGGCGATAATCACCCCTTCTTCTTTTTGCCGAGGGATCAAAAGTACATAAGTAAAAATAATAGAGAGAATACACACGAGATCAAGTTGTATGATACATATCATAGCGATGTGTTCTCTGGAGAGTGAAAGGCAATGTCTATTCCATGGATGAGTGGCCGGGAGCCGCCGAGTGATCGATAGATGAAGATGACTTTTGCATTGGCCACGAGTTATCACTCGACGGCGCTCTGCAGCCGTCCAAGTTGCAAGTCCTTCGGCTGCAGGTTGCTCTAGCCAGGCCGTGTGCGACAACGATTTGATGTTTTCTCTGTCTCTCTCTTCGCCTGCAGGTATGCATCCGTCGGATGATTGGGTGTGCCATGTTCGCCCATCCGAGGACTATCAGTAACTCGGACACCAATAGAGTCGGTTCTCCAAGCCCTTTTTTTCTTCTTACGGGGTGGCCAAAGAAGCACGTGCCAGTCGATTGACGTAAGATGAGCGAAAGAACAGGGCTAAAAGTTCGAATCAGAACACTGTGTCTCGCTGTTCTCGAGTTTTCTACTCTAGCAGTTGCCAGGGCGGGTTGGGGCGGGCTGGGCGGGCTGAGTGGATGGCGATGGATCGCCATAGAGTCGGATGGAAGGCGCTCGAAGGTTCGGTCGCTTTCTTTCTGCGAGGGCGGGGGCGGCTGCTAACAGGAAGGAGAAAGAAATGCGGCTCTCCTTCGTGCTAGCAAGGCCCCCCCCCCCACCCAAATAAAAAAAAACAACACAGCGCATGCTCACAACGCAGCGCAACGCAACGGCTTGACTCCCCTTCCCCGCCCTAACATAGGAACGCACTTTTTCTGTCCCACCCCACCTTAACCTACTTCTACCACCACCAACCTCCAACAACCATCACCTTTCATCACCACCACTAATTCATCAAATCTAATCCTCCCGCAAGCTCGCCATTCTTTCCGAGGAAAACCGCGATACGCTTTTACGACCCACGGATTCTTTTGAGACAAGTCAGTGCTACCTACCCCTCCATATCTCGAAGGAACCCCTCCATCCTTCCCGATTCTCGATCCCAGCGCCAAAACCAACAACTACATCGAAGCTGACCCTCTTCTTTCTCTTCTTTCTTTGCGATATAGATCTAGGACACTCTACACAGTCGAATAGCCATGTCCGTAGTCGGTGTTGATTTCGGTACTCTTGCGACCACTATCGCAGTGGCCAGGAATCGTGGTGTCGATGTTGTATGTTGTCACCCCCTTTCGACATCCATCTATCTCCTAGGAGCTAGCTGTGAAAGAAAGATACACAGGAAGAACGAAAGAGCGCTGACCATATGTGCTTCATGTAGATCACCAACGAAGTCTCTAACCGTTCGACTCCGTAAGCACTCCCGCCTTCCTTCAGTGACTCCATCATCATTGCTGCGACAAAGGATCCGTATTGACTGATGGTGTTAATAGTTCTATTGTCGGTTTCGGACCCAAGAGCCGATACGTCGGAGAGCCCGCGAAGACCCAGGAGATCTCCAACCTCAAGAACACCGTTTCCAACCTGAAGCGTCTTGCTGGACGGAAATTCAACGACCCCGAGATTGAGATCGAGAAGGAGTTCATCGCGGCCACCCTCGTTGATACCGCGAACGGCGATGTCGGTGTGAAGGTTAAGTATCTTGGCCAGGATGAGGTCTTCTCGGCGACACAACTCATTGCCATGTACCTCACCAAGATCAAGTTGACCGCTTCGCAAGAGTTGAAGCTTCCCGTGTCCGACATCGTGCTCAGTGTTCCCCCATGGTTCACAGACCCACAGCGTCGCGCCATAATGGACGCTGCCGACATTGCCGGTCTGAAGCTCTTGCGATTGATGAACGACACTACCGCGGCTGCGCTCGGATGGGGTATCACCAAACTCGACCTCCCTACCGCCGAGGAGAAGCCCAGGCGGGTATGCTTCATCGACATTGGCCACAGCAACTACACCGTGTCCATTGTGCAGTTCCGGAAGGGTGAATTGACGGTTCTGGCTACCGCCTTCGACCGTCACTTCGGTGGACGAAACATCGACAAGGCGCTCATCGACCATTTCGCTGGCGTCTTCAAGGAGAAGTACAAGATCGACATCTACACTAATGCGAAGGCCTACTTCCGTGTTGCCGTTGCCGTCGAGAAGCTGAAGAAGGTCCTTTCCGCCAACGCCCAGGCGCCCCTCAACGTCGAGTCCGTGATGAATGATGTCGATGCTTCGGGCATGCTCAAGCGTGAGGAGCTCGAGGAGCTGATCGCGCCCATGCTTGAACGTGTCACCGCTCCCCTCGAGGAGGCTCTCGCTGAGGCTGGTTTGACCAAGGAGGACATCGATGCCATCGAGGTCGTCGGAGGTTCCACCCGTGTTCCTTCCCTCAAGGAGCGCATCTCCGAGTTCTTCGGAAAGCCCCTGTCGTTCACCCTCAACCAGGACGAGGCCATCGCTCGTGGTTGTGCTTTTGCTTGCGCTATCCTCTCCCCCGTCTTCCGTGTCAGGGACTTCTCCGTCCACGACATCCTCAGCTACCCCATCGAGTTCACATGGGAGCAGTCGGCCGACATTCCCGACGAGGACACTAGCCTCACCGTTTTTAACAAGAACAACACCGTCCCGTCGACCAAAATTCTCACTTTCTACCGCAAGGAGCCTTTTGATCTCGAGGCCAAGTATACCGAGCCTGAGAAGCTCCCCGGCAAGATGTCGCCTTGGATCGGTCGCTTCTCCGTTAAGGGTGTCAAGCCTGACGCCAAGGATGACTTCATGATCTGCAAGCTGAAGGCCCGCGTCAACCTGCACGGTGTGTTGAACATCGAGGGAGGATACTACGTCGAGGAGATCGAGGTCGACGAGGAAGTCAAGGAGGAGGGTGACGTAAGTTCAACTACTCCTCTCACACATCATCCCAGATCACTCGGTGAACCTAAGGGTGCTCCATTTCAGAGCGAGCATGATCCGCCTTCCCCTTCATCTGCTCCTCCCCATCCTAAACGGCACAAAAGCTCATCAGTGCTGACCGATGGTGTTAATCAGGCCATGGACACTGATACCGCCAACGGCGAAGAGAAACCCAAGAAGATGCGCAAGGTTAAGAAGCAGGTCAAGAAGGGCGAGCTCCCCGTCGTATGTGGAACCGCGTCCATCGACGAAGGCGTCAAGACCATCTGGACCGAGCGTGAGAACCAGATGTTCATGGAGGACAAGTTGGTCGCCGACACCGAGGACCGCAAGAACGCTCTCGAGGAGTACATCTACGAGGGCCGTGCTAAGATTGACGATATCTACGCACCATTCGCCAGCGACGAGGAGAAGTCGAAGGTCAAGAAGGCCTTGGACGACGCTGAGGTACGTTTTGTAACAGTAGCCCATACACTTGATCGGTAGTGCTGACATGACATTGCAGGACTGGCTGTACAACGACGGCGAGGACACCACCAAGGCTGTCTACATTGCCCGTATGGAAGAGCTCCGATCGGCCATTGCACCCATCGCCCAACGCTACTTTGACAAGGAGGAGGAGAAGCGACAAAGCTACCAAGCCTCCAAGAACGAAGCCGAGACGATGAGGAGGGCCCAGGCCGACCTGCAAAAGAAGCAGGCCGGGCAGCCCAACAAGAACGAGACCGAGAAGAAGCAGCAGCCACCCAGCGTTCCTCAGGACATGGATATGGATTAGATCCAAAAAAATTACCGGTTTCCGTCATTTTTTTTCTTCTTTCTCTTGGGCTGTGCTTTTGATTTTGATGTTTAGTGTCTGTTCTCTTCTGTCTTCTTGTCTTCTTTTCTTTTTTCTTCCTTCTGTTGCTTTTCCGTGGGGGATGGGGGCTGGGTTGGCTGGCGTAGATGGCAGGAAAAACACTTGTAGTGAGGGAGTTTTATAAAGGGCTGCTCTTAACTGTAACTCTTCGTTCTTTATAACTTTTTGCAAGGCGAGGGGGCGGGATCGGGGGTGATGGAATATTCTTTGTTTCAGATCTGTTGTGTGACGTCAATGTTCGACTGTGATGTCGACTGTGTGATGTCCATGCCGGGTTGCATGTCGGTAAAGAAGAGGTCTGGGATTCTCTATGAGTTTGGTATTCCAGCTACCACCATCAGTACCGTACTTAAGTATCATAATGTTGCTTCCAATTACATACGAGTACATCTTCTCGGTATGTAACCATGCCAGTCATCGTCGAAAACGGACTCCGGCTCTGGCGGGGAGGGGGGTTACGCACTGGGCACTGGGCAGGATGCTGTCGATGTCACTCATCCAGGTCACTCATCCAGACACTCATCCAGGCCAAATACTTGCGACCTGAGGTCCGGAGTGTATAGGAGTATCATCGGATGACAAATACGAATACGAATACACACATAGAGAGGTGGCATGCCTGTGGAATTTGCCTGCCTGTCGAACCCGCTCAGACTTTGGGAGAGAAGTTTATGGATGATTGGTTAGCGTCTGAGCGGGTTCGACAGGTAGGCCAATATCACAGGTATGCCACCTCTCTACCGTTTCCTACCCCAGCCGTGCTGCAGAGACCGAGCCCGCATAGCGTACCGGCTGGGGCGTCGTCGTCGTAACTTCCCGCACCCGACGTCGCGGTCTCGGACTCTCGGACTTTCGGACTCTTAAACTTCCAGAAAAACACTGTAGGATACACGACACGATTACACAGCACAACTACATGGCTACATGACCGCGTGGTAGCAGCCCAAGTACCAGGTAGGTATTCCAGTTGTTCGCGTTGGCACCAAACCGACAGTCCCAATCACGAGCGATCACTCACTCTATCCCTCTCCGGCACCCGGCGATGAGAGAAACTTCCTTTTTAGGCTATTCCTAGTACCTACGAGTAGTAAGTTCACCGTTCATAGATCTCGTGCCTACCTCGTGGCTACCCCCTCTCAGTCTCAGGTACATATATCGTCCAATACCGGGAGCTCTAGTCCAGTCCCGCCAATCGTGCCGCCAATCGTGCCGCCACGTTCTTATAAGCAAGTAGGTATCTACTATTTACCAGGTAAGCACCGGTGGGTACCTAAGCACTCAAACATCTCGTCGGGCAAAGCATGTGTTTTACCCACGGCGCACCTCGCTACCGTTCGTTCTGGGATGGAATGTACCGTATAGGTATCGGAGAGGTGACCGAGAACATCTACGGAGTCACGGAGGAGGGACCATATCCGTTTCCCGTTTCCCGTTCCGATTTCGGACCGGTTGCGAGATGATTCAACGGGCTGTGTATGTACTGAAAGTTTCCAGCCGGGCTTCGGATCGTGTAGGTAGTGTACATAAGAGTGTCTGCTATTATTCTAGAATCCACAAGTCTAGCAGCTAGCTTCTACACGCACACACATGGTCTTTGGTCGTACCTGGTATCAGGGTCCGCACACAGCCGCCGTCTACCACCTACCCAGTAGGCTGAGTGACGTGAGTGACGTGAGTGACGTGAGCGCTGACCACCTGACCACCCGACGGCAGCGGCGCCAGGGCCCAGTTGACAGCGATTGGCACGGTCCTTATGATACAACCGCGTTAGGCGCGGACACCTACTAAGTAACATGTCTACCAGCTGACCGGTGCGGTGCGTTTGGCCGTGGTCCGTGTGTTGTTTTTCACCGAAAAGTCTTGTTCTTGCTAGTGGGTTTGGCTCGGATCGGTCAAACGACCAAACGGTCCACGGAGGCAGATGATGCTAGATGAGCCCGCCCTGGACTTGGAACTGGTGACGTACGCAAGGGATATTCTATACAAGTACATACTATGTACATACTATGTATCCAGTTGTCGACAGCCAGCTGGATGGCAGATAGGCAGGTACTCGGACAATTTCCTCCTGGCTATGTATAGGTAGTAGGTATCTATGTGAGACTTGAGTACTGCTTTCTGCCCCAGATCCAACTGCTCGGATCTGTAGTTTCCGACTGCTGGCGACAACGTTGGAGGTGACAATTGGTTTGGGCACGATTAATGATTGATCATCGAACCGAAGCCTTCCACTCAGGTGATCACGGGGATGGGATGGTATGTAGGGCTCGGTTGGAATCGTGGTTCAGCTGGGGCTGTAGATATTATACATTAGGTACCTACCTGGTAGTTACTATAGAATTGCGATGTTTGGTGAAATCATCGGACGACGATTGAATGGTCTGGCGTTAGTTAGGCTCTCGGCTTGCCGCTCTGTCATGGATGGATGGATGGCCCATGGGATGCCGAAAGCCGAGAGGACGAACCAGTAGAGTGACCCGTGACCACACTATTCACCGGAACGAACCAATCCCCCTTTTCTTTCCTTTTTTTCTCCTGCTTTTCTTTCGTTCCCCCTTCAACATCGCGTTGACCGTAAGTCCGGTCTCCTTCCGGTGGAACTACCTAGAGGACCGGACTGTCTGCAGGTACATAGGTATCATCTTTGATACCTAGATACTCTCTGCTGACTTTTCCGGATCCATGGGGGGAAGGGGGCCATGGTCGCGTCGCCGGGTCGGACTTCGGTGTGTCTTCACAACCACCGGGGTAACTAACGAGGAAGGGAAAGCTTGATACATAGAGTAGAGTACTGTGGGCGCGCTCGAGGGGAGAAGGACGGGGAATCATATTCAGGGTCTGCGTGTGTATGTAGAGTACTCATGTGGGCGTCAACGCTAGGTCTGCCGAGTTGCTTGGTAACTAAAGCCTACATAACATCGGGGTGGCGCGTTTTGGTTGGTGGTAAGAGGAACATCATCCAACTTTCGTTTCGGCAGTGATCCCTCCCTTATCTAGCGGCATTTCTTGGCCGTGTCTGCGGGTGGCTGCAATTGCTTGATGATTTCCCAGGGTCCTTTCTTCTTCTGCTGCCTGGTTCTTCTTCTTCTTCTGTGGAGGGAGGGAGGATACTTTACCATGCAGCTAGATGCTCTAGACAACGGTAAGAGGGGTGGATATCTCCACAGAATGAAAAAAGGTACGGGCAGTCTGTCTTCCGTGGAGGGTGCTCTACGTTCATAGTGGGTACCAGTATGGAGGTATCTGGAGCGCCCGCCTAATGGAAATCCTCATGGAGGAACCTTTTTCCTTCGACGCACGCCCGCTCGCTCGCCTCAATTGCTGTGATCCGCTCCCGCGTGGCTTGCACCTCCTCCTCCTCAGCGTCATCGCCAATCATCCCATCCTCCTTCGCCTGCGCTCGCCTGACTATCGCCAACCCCTACATCTCCGCTTCGGCTTTGGTCGTGCCGTGACCACTGCTTCGCATGAGTGTTCGGTTGCTGCTCTCTTTTTTTTCCCTCCTTCCCACTGTGGATGGAATTGACACCATACAGCATCACACATCCATAAGATTGGAGAAATACCAACTGCCCACCCAGGTCCACCCCCTCCCTCTCTCCCTCCCTCTCTCCTCGCTCCCGACCCAGCCGACCCCCGGTGTTGTTTTCCTTCCACCACCACCACCACCACCACCACCACCACCACCACCACCACCACCACCAAGACCACCCCCCTTCCCCCGTCGCGCCGATAGTACAAAACCAACCACCTACCCACCCACCCAACCACCCCTGACCAGGAACAGCTTTTCTTAACCTCACCTCCCACCTCTCTCCCTCCCTCCCTCTCTCCCGACCGTTCTCTCTTCCCCGTCACGTCTCAGGGAAACCCGGCAACATCGATTTTCGCACATTTTGGCCCCGCCGATAAAAAAACCAGTCAGCAGACAGAGTACAACAAACACGACGAAGACTGAGCTATGGAGTCGCAATACAACCCGCCATCGGCGGTCAGCAGCGCCGAGGAACCGCTGCAGACTCTCATGAACGGCGTCGGCGCTGTCGGCAAGAGCCTGGAGGGCGTCAGCGTGTGGCAGCTGCTGCTCACGTTACTGGTGCTGTCGATAACTTACGATCAAGGTACGGGGAACCAAAAACGCAATCAGAGTCCAAGTGTTTCGGGTGGTGATGATGATGCGGAGAAACACCCCCCCCCCCCCAAACCCGGTTCTCGCGATTTCGATGGATTGGCTGGCTGACGCGTGCCCGCGATTTTCTTTCTTTTCTGCAGTCAAGTACATTTGGAACAAGGGTAGCATTGTGGGTCCGACTTTCAAGATTCCCTTCATGGGCCCGTTCATGGAGTCCATGAACCCAAAGTTTGAGGAGTACCTGGCGAAATGGAATAGCGGCCCTCTGAGCTGTGTTTCGGTCTTTCACAAGTATGCTCTTCCCCCACCCTCTCAATTGATAGGGGCCGGTCGTCGGTGGTGCCGGTGGTGGTGGTGGACGTGTATGTGGACGCGAGGGCTAACAATTTTGGCTTTTCCACCTCTTAGGTTCGTTGTTATCGCTTCCACCAGAGATCTGGCGCGCAAGGTCTTCAACTCGCCCATGTATGTCAACCCGTGTGTCGTGGACGTGGCCAAGAAAATCCTCCGCCCTCAGAACTGGGTATTCCTCGACGGAAAGCAGCACGTCGACTACCGCAAGGGTCTCAACGGGCTTTTCAACCGCAAATCTTTGGCCCAGTATCTTCCCCAGCAGGAGGCGATTTACGATCAGTACTTCCAGCGGTGGCTCAAACTGTCCGCGGATGGACAGCCGAAGCAGTACATGGGAGAATTCCGCGATATCAACTGCGCCGTGTCGTTGAGAACTTTCTGTGGAACCTACATCCGTGACGAGGCCGTCGCCGAGATCTCGGAGAACTACTACCAGATTACCGCTGCGCTCGAACTCGTCAATTTCCCCATCATCATCCCCTTCACCAAGACCTGGTACGGAAAGAAGTGCGCCGACTATGTCATTGATGAGTTTGCCCGCTGCGCGGCGCTGTCGAAGGTGGCCATGGAGGCCGGCAATGAGCCCACTTGCACCATGGATTTCTGGATCAAGTCGATGATCGAGTCCCGCGAGTACGACAAGAAGACCCAGGAAATGAAGGAAGAGGCCAAGGCGAAGCCGATGGTTATCCGCATGTTCTCCGACGTCGAAATCGCCATGACCATCTTCACGTTCCTCTTTGCATCCCAGGACGCTTCCTCCAGCGCAAGCACGTGGCAGTTTCAGATCCTTGCCGATCGCCCCGACATTCTGGCTAAAGTCCGCGAGGAGCAACTGCGAGTCAGGGACGGTGATCCTTACAAGCGTGTCGATATCGATATGGTCGACAAGATGGTCTACACCCGCGCCGTCGTCAAGGAGCAGCTTCGTTACCGCCCTCCCGTCCTGATGGTTCCCTACGAGGTCAAGAAGAGCTTCAACGTTACCCCCGACTACCGTGTTCCCAAGGGAGCAATGATCATCCCGACCACATACCCTGCCCTCCACGATCCCGAAGTCTACGTTGATCCCGAGACCTTCAACCCTGACCGCTGGTTGGAGGGAGGTGAGGCCGAGGCTGCCACCAAGAACTGGCTCGTCTTCGGAACTGGACCCCACGTTTGTCTAGGACAGGTGGTGAGTTTTTTCTCATTTCTTTTTCACTTTATCCGAAAAACTGGTAGATGTGGTTGCTGATGTTATAATTCAAGTACGCCATTATGAACTTCATGTCCATGATTGGAAAGGCTTCGCTTTTCCTGGACTGGGAGCACACTCCTACGCCTTTGTCTGAGGAGATTAAGGTGTTTGCGACGATTTTCCCCCAGGTAAGTCGATCTCACCATTCAAAATTGGTGTTGATGATTGAATGAATGGTTTGCTAACCTCTTGACAGGACGATTGTTACCTGACATTCAAGGAGCGCCTACCCCTCGAGAAGGCCTCGTCATGACAACCCCCTTCATGAGTAATGTAAAGGAAAGAAACAGCACGTTGCAAAACTACTATCTCAATGTAATATTAGTCTGTCCTTACACGTTTAGTTCGATCTGTTAGGGTATGGGTTTGCGTTTTTGCTTTTTTGGAAAAGGATGGGATTGTCGATATGTAGAGATATTTTACGATGCGAGGATGTGTATGTTCACAGGTGCCGTGAGGCTGGGGACAGCGACGCGGGGAGTAAGGGAAGTGAGTGGAGTTGTCTGATGTTGTACACCACCGTCACTACGGCCGTAGTTGTCACGATCACCGGTGCCGCGGAAAGGGCGGCCATGCTCGGTGGCAGATCCCGTCATGTCAGTACGTTATATGGCCAAGTACATATGTAATAGTAATTTGAGCTGTCTTGTCTAAATTACTCCGAAGCATCTGCGCGCGAAATGAAGTGGTGATCGTATCATTCTCTCGATGATCTGTGCCGTTTGGGCCGACGAAGAGCCGCATCACATTACGTCGAGCTATGCCGCATTGACCAAAAGTTTCACATGCTACTAGTAGGCTAGTAGCAAGTGTGCCCTCTCCCTGCATTGATAATCGGAGCTTCCCACCCACACACACCTCAGGAAGGGGGAAATGGACAGCCAACGATAGATACCGATAACTCATGTCTTCGTCTTCTCCGTCGCCTTCGCCGCCGCCGCGGTCTCGGTCACGCCCCGCAAGGCAGCTGGCCGTCTTCTCTATTCACTCTACCATCTTCCTGTCGCTGATCTCCCTGCGCATCCTCAATGCCGTCACCGTCCGGACTTTCTTTCAGCCGGATGAGTACTTCCAGGCCATCGAGCCCGCGTGGAATCTCGCGTTCGGGAACGGCGGGTGGTTAACCTGGGTTTGTTTCCCTCCCTCCTTCCGCCCCAAATTCCTTCTCCGAGAGAGATAGAGAGATGTTGATGAGGTGTTCAGGAATGGCGGCATTCGCTCCGCTCAGCAGCCCACCCACTTCTCTTCGCCGGCCTCTACCGCGCCGTCTCCTTCACCTGCACGGTCCTGCACGTCTCCGAGGCGCAGCAAGCGGAAGCACTCGCGATCGCTCCGCGGGTGCTACAGGCGCTCTTCGCGGCGATGGGGGACTGGGCGACGGCGCGTCTGGCGGGCGTGCTGTGGGGCAGCGACGTCGGCTGGATCAGCCTGTGTCTGAGTCTCGGAAGTGCCTGGGGCTGGTTCTGCGGGACCCGTACGTTCGCGAATAGTCTGGAGACGGTCGTTACCGCATTGGCGCTCAGCGTGTGGCCCTGGAGGTGGGCCACCGCTGATAGGTCCCGCCCAAGACAGCAGCGGAGTGAGGTGCGCTTCGCGATGGGGCTGGCGGCCCTCGCGTGTGTCCTGAGACCGACGAATATCCTTGTGTGGTTGGCGCTCGGCGCGTTTGCGGTTTGGAATACGAACGGCAGGAGGAGGGTTATCTTGGTGGCTGAGGCTAGTTGGATTGGGTATGTTCCTGAGGAGTGGGAGTGAGAGGGGGGAGCTGTTTATTGACTTGGTAATAGTGCTGCCGTGTTCATGGCAAACGCCCTGATTGATAAGGCCTACTACGGCGAATGGACCTTCCCACCACTCACCTTCCTCAAGTTCAACGTCGTCCACTCGCTCTCGATTTTCTACGGCCGGAACGATTGGCACTACTATCTTTCGCAAGGGCTCCCCCTCCTACTCACCACCTTTCTCCCTCTCGCGCTGTACGCGCTCTACTGCAGTCTCGCCATCGGCCGCACATCTTCCCCGGCGTTCCAACTTGCCAGCACAATTGTCGGCGTGGTAGCCACATACTCCCTGATCGCGCACAAAGAAGTCCGATTCCTCTACCCTCTCCTCCCGCTCCTGCACGTCCTCTCGGCAAAGTCTTTCCAAGACCTGTCATGGAGCACCAAGACCAAGAACCGCGTTCTAGCCGGAATGATCCTCCTCAACCTGCCCGTGGCATACTACACGTCGATGGTGCACCAGCGTGGGGTGATCGACGTAATGCAGCACCTGGGCGCTACCAGCAGCGAGTGGAATTCCGCGGGCTTCTTGATGCCGTGCCATTCCACCCCGTGGAAGGGCGCACTCGGCGGTGCTCTGGATAAGAAGGATATGTGGGCGTTGACGTGCGAGCCGCCGATTGACATGGAGCCCGAAGTGAGGGCCGCGTACGTGGACGAGGCGGACCAGTTCTACGCTGACCCGAAGGCGTTCGTGCAGAAATTTGTCGGCGATGGGAAAAGGTATAAGTGGCCCGAGAGGTTGGCTGTGTTTGAAGCATTGGTCAAGGAGGATGCTGGCAAGAGCTTGTGGGGCGGACTTTATGAAGAGTGCTGGAGAGGGTTCAATACCCATTGGCATGATGACGATCGGAGGAGAGGGGATGTGGTCGTGTTTTGTCTAAGAGATGAGATGGACGGGAAAGAGCCGGTGGAGATGGTCGTTAGTGAGATGTTTTAGTTGTTTTGTTATTTTGTTGTTACTGGTGCGGGGACCTCAATGTTGATGTGCAGTGGTCATTCTACGGATATGGTACGGGTTGAGCAATGATTTGAGGCCAATCGATTGAGATGCGGATCGTCGGAACCTGCCTGGATGTTTGACCGTGGACCCTGATCCAGTGTGTGCGCAACCATGACGACATCGGAATCAGCGCCTACAGTAAAGCTCGAGCTGAGCTCCATCCCACCTCGAACAAACCACCAAACGAACACCACCGTCCCAACCTCACCGTACAATCAACACAACCACCATGGCCACGCCGTCAACCCCCCACCTAATCCCCCTCGCCTATGCCACCCCCTCGCTGGGAATGCACCCCTCGCACACGCTCCCACAGAAACTCTCCGCGATCGCCTCAGCGGGGTACACCGGCTTCGAGCTGGGCATCGACGACCTAGTCTCATTCGCGCGCAGCTACCTACACAACCCGGAGCTGACCTCCACATCGTGGCCATCGCTCCTCCTCGCGGCCAAAAAAGTCCGCCTGCTGTGCGCGCCGCACTCCCTCAACCTTACGATCCTGATGCTGCAGCCGTTCTCGCAGTTCGAGGGCTACCACGGCACACGGCGCGCCGAGGTCTTTGAGAAAGCCCGCCACTGGACACAGCTCATGGACGCGCTCGGCTGCGCCATGCTTCAGGTCGGCTCAAACGACGATCCCGCCGCCTCCGGCGACACCGGAGATATCGTGTGCGACCTGCGGGAACTTGCGGATCTCGTCGCACCACGCAAGGTCGCGTATGAGAATTGGTGCTGGGGACGGCACGTTAACACGTGGAAGCAGGCGTGGGACGTCGTGCGCGAAACCGGCAGGGAGAATATCGGCCTGTGTCTGGATACATTCCAGACGTGTGGCGGGGAGTGGGCGGACCCCGGGACGGAAGATGGACTGCGAGAATTGGAGGAGGGCGAGAGATTGCAACGCTGGAATCAGAGTATGCGGCAGCTCGAGATGCTGCCGAAAGAGAAGATTTTTCTGCTGCAGATCAGTGATGCTTTCAGACCCCCGAAACCGATTGAGAGGGAACAATGGAGTCATAGTCTCAGACCGCCGCCGGGGATGGGAGGGTATCTGCCCGTGAAGGATATGGTCAACGCGGTGCTCAAGACGGGGTATAGAGGGTGGTTCTCCGTTGAGGTTTTTCTCGAGGAGGAGCATGGGAAGGAGTGGGCTGAGGGGCTGGAGGAGAAGTGGGCGGAGGACGGAATGAGGGGGGTTAGGGGCGTGTTGGAGGAGTGTGGTATTCAGGGAGGGGAGGTGGTTGAGTAGATTAAGTATGAGATGTCACTCGAACTGGTGATGGATTGTGGAGGTAATAAAAGTGGGCACATGATGCTAGTATATAAGTTTTTAATAAAAAAAACAATCTACATACGTTTAAAAGGGTTGGAGAAATGAAGAGGTTCAGTATTGGATAAATGAAGCATATCATCTCACGCTGAATAGCACAGGCAGAGCCGGCAAACTTCACATATGAGTGTGCAAGCAGTCGTTAGTTATAGTCTAGCAAGGCGGTAAGCGTCAATAAATCGATGTTCTCTCTCCTGAGTCCTGAGTATACAAGTAGGTATTCCAAGCTACCAGCAGACGAATCCACAACTTGCACTCGCTCATGAATCATGAATGATCCTCGCTATGTACATCTCTACTGCCTAGTACATAAGATATCACCCAGCACTGCATGAATGAATGGGCGCTGCGGAACTCGAGATCGGAGAACTTATTCAACCCGGTCTGAGTCATGAATTCGCACGCAACCATCGTCCCGGTGGCAGCTGCGAACCCTTCTGAACATCAATCGTCACTGGGTATCCCCCAGTCCACCGCTTTTTCTTGATCCCTCCGATCCTCGATCCTCGTCCAAACCCCCCCTCAATGCTCATTCCTCCACGGACGAGCACATTGTCGCAGTTTCAGGGCACATATGTTTCCTACTCCGGGACCAGGTCAAGATATCTACCGACATCCCTACCGGCCTCAACGCCACACGCCACACGCCACACGCCGCGGCCGCACGCCGCACGACACGCCACATGCCTGCAGACTTAGGTAGATGTTTCCTCGCGAACAACAACCAGGAGAATCAGCAAGATCATGAATGTTTCATGCAGACCGGAAGTCACCAGTACTTGAAATATCGCGCCGGTGAGGGCCGTAAGGGTTTTGTTGACGGGTTGATGGCCGGTGAGGACAGCAGCCAGGTCAATCCCCGCCGCGGACGGGCGGGCAGGACATCGTCCTATGCACTTATGTAGTTACCGATACCGGTGCCGGGGGTCTCTGTAGCTCTAAACAGAGCCAAGGGCCATGGGGGAGGTCCGCACAAGCACCGAGGCCGAGTGGGTACTGAGCTCCGAAGGAATTGCGGGAGTGCCCCCCCCCCCCCCCCAACGCCGAGTGACCGGCTGAACCCGGACCCGGCGCGGATGAAGGCCTCGCACCGCAGAATAAAGCGGAACTTGGACGGTACATATAACATTGTTAGACGACAAATAACGGATGGGACGGGGCGGGGTGGGGGGCGAAAGATTGTGGTAGGTAAGTAGTGCTGTGTAGGTAGCATTTACTGGACGGAATGGTTGTGATATACCTACTATTGTAGCAGCATCATACGACAGACCAACTACTTGCGCTCGACATCCTGAATCCTGAATCCTGGTGAAACTTACATACCAATATCAATCCAGTGGGAAACGATGCTTTTTACCCCCTATGAACTCGAACTCCACAGTAAGTTTGTGTTTTTGGCCTGGACGCATAAAAATATTAGAGGTGTTGGACAGTTGGAGCTGGCGGAAGTTCATTCATTCATTCAATGCTCGGCATAAAATCAAGTACGGGGAGAGTGTTCCCCTCTCTGAAGGTTCTGGCTGTCCGCATCATTCTGGTATGTACTACCTACTTGAATGCTGGAGTAGCTAGTACGTTCTCCGGACTCGCGAAGCCGCTGATAGGTAACCAAGTACTCGGTGGTGACAAGAATTGTAATTAAGACGGCCTAAAACTCCTGCAGAATGTTACTGTTTACCGGGTTATCAACATCTACTTGCAGTTTACTACTCCTACATATGATACAATTCCCTCCTCCCTCCAGCTCTCCTTCTCTTCCCCAGGAAACAGACGAGCAAAAGCTGAAACATATCAGGCCCCCATGTCCCATGTCCCGTGCATTGTCTCGACTCCCGCCGCTCACCACTACCCACCGCCCACCGCCCACCGCCCCCATTCACCATCCACCATCCACATTCCACACCCCCAAACCCGCCCCTCCCCACGATCTGTTCATGGGCATGGGCACTGCATGGGCGCTGGTAGGGCTGAGGGCTGAGGGCTGAGGAAAGGAGAAGGAGGAGGGAAGGGGCGACGTAATCGGTGGCGTTTGATCGCCCACATCTCATCCACATCTCATCCACATGTCGTCCATATCTCAGTGCGTGCGTGGCGGTGGGCTGGTCTATAAGTCTATAGGCACATACATACATAAATACATAGTATATAGTAGCCTGGCGCGCGTTCCATACCCCCCCCCCCCCCCCCCCCCCCCCCACCCCAACTCCTCTATGTACAGTACCTAGAGTATGTAGTGTACCAGGTATAGTTATCAATTCCGCAAACCCGTACTCTACATATATAGGCCGTGGGTTTAGCGATCCTCTTGTTCTTGTTTCGCCGAAGGCCGTAGCAGATCACCCCTGGAATTTCCGGGCTTCGTCATCTATGTACCTATCGCCCACAGAGGATCATCCATTGAAGGCAACGTACGACACCCCGAGGGCGCCAAAGTGTGGGATAGCTATCACATAAATACATATTTACCGCCGACGTGACGACGTCCGGAATCCGGATGCATGCCGGTGAGATCTGTCAGATCTGGCCTTGGAGTGGAGTGGAGTGGAGTGGAGTGGAGTGGGCCCGATGGCATGTCGGCATGGGCTTGTTATGTAGGTATGTAGGGCCGCGTGTACTGTATGCGAGTGACTATCAGATGCAGCGCTACTGGTACTTGCGGTGCTGTGTGTATGTAGATATGGAGGTGGAGGTGGAGGTGGAAACGGAAAAATGAAGTATCTAGAGTATGGACTCTGGAGTACGTTCTCCTGAACTACAAGATACCTACTCTAGGTAGGGGGGTCAACCGCCCAAAATCGCAGCCGCATCCGCCGCCACATCAGCCCTGAGCCGGGTGCCGGGCGGGTCGGGGTCTTTCGGATTATCTATGTAGCGAGTCCATACAGCACACTTTTCGAACGCCGCAGTCAAAAACACAGCCGTGGAATCTGTGGATGGCGTATGTAGAGTACCCACCGGAAACGTAATTGGTGGCGTACCCCTCTCCTCCCCTCTGACGATAGTTATCCCCCATCTGTTGTCGAGGCGTGAAGACAATGCTTCCCCGAGACATTCATAAACATCCATAAGCGTTGTGTTGAGAAAGGGGCAAAACATACAGTTCGTTATACCTACTTACACAACGTTGACGATGATGAAAGCATATGTACGTACTTTCTGCGAGGTTACAATAGGTAGCGACTTCATGTATTTATATCACCATTCTTACCACAACGCGCGTCCATGGTGTATCAAAAATGCTGTGTGTATGTCGGTGCAAGTTTGAGTTGGCCGATATATACTTGGGCGTGTAATGGTCCGGTTGTTGCAGATGCTAGATGGAACGTGATATCTGACATCTGGAAGCCCGGGGTCCCTGTTGGGTTTGTTGGCCTGCTGCTAGGAGAGAACAACTGTGCGGGTGGTTGTGATGACAGTGACGGTGATGGTGGTAATAGGCACAGTACGATAATTAGATAATTAGTTGCCGTTGTTGCCGTTTCCGAGTTGAGACCAATATATCTCACTCGGGCCGAACAGGAATGAACCACTGGGAGCATGAGCCCTTTTCGGAGAATCGAAGGGGCTAAGGGCAGGTAGAAACGACTTTCCAGGGCCGGAGAGGAAGAATAGATATGGATGGTGAACGTGCCGAGAGCGGGAAGATGAGGACTGCAGTCGGCGCTCATTGAGGTCTTGGGTCCTACGGGTCCGCACGATTGTATGTAGCACCGAAGCAACGCGAGGCGGCATTGATTGATGCATCAGGTCACCGAACACGGCCCACGACTTCCTACGCCGGATCATTGCATGCTCTCGAGCTTGTCGAAGACTCGAAGTTCTTGACTGCTAACCACGCTATTAACAACTGTTGTCCGGGAACCGTGGTGAGCATGCCGGGTTTGAACTTTGGCGGGCATCTTGAGCGGCGTCTCATGAAACTGCCATTCAGCCTTAAAGAACTCGAAAGATGGCTTGCTCCAGGCGTGGTTCCGAGAGCTTGGCTTGTCCACGTTCGGCGGTTGGCTGAGAGCTTGATCGACGTAGGGCTGTTGGTGAGTTTTTTGGTAGGGATGACGCAACGAGGGCGGTAAAATGATGGACCGGTGCCCCCTCGAGCTCGAGCTATTCCAAGCGGTTACCGCGTTAGTCCGATATACGTAGAGCTTTCCTGTATATAGGAGGGCTTTAACTATGGCTCAACCGTGGTGGCTCTCCGCCGAACTCCTCAACTTCGGGAACAGCTATCTCGGTTCTCGAAACCACCGCTCATCGGGTTCTTGCACGTAGGCTGCTTCCCGTGGCCATCCGAGAGACTCCCAATGCCAGTACATTGGAATAATCGGTTATGGTTAAGTGGAGTAACCGCTGTTTGTCGAGCGCCTTGATGAGATGCTTCGTTCCACAGCAATGTTTAGCGTTGTGCCCGCTTTAAAAGGTTCCTGTTTTCGGTGTAAACCTTTTTTGGGTTTTTTTGGTTTAATCATTGATCGCAAGCGACCTAGCTAAAAAATGGCAATATATTCTAGTATAAACTTTTCGGCAGACAGAAATCGGCGGAGGAAGGAGGTAGCGAGTCATTTCCGGTGAGGCGTGAGCATGCATCGAATGCGGATGTTTAGGCCTACGGTCAATTGATCAACCTATATACCGTGGCCCCTAACTATGCAACGAATGCGGATGTTAAGGCCTACCGTCAATATCGATCGCTCAATCAACCTATATACCGTGGCCTTATGCAATTGCCATCGCCCCCCGAATCCAACGCCGACGGTTAACGACAGAACTCATCTGGACAGAACTCATCTGGACAGAACTCATCTGGACAGAACTCATCTGGACAGAACTCATCTGGACAGACTCATCTCGACACCGTTTAGTTACCTGCGACTATCCGGGGGGCGACAAAAGATAAGGAGCAGGGGATCTGCCAACCCCAACAGCCAAGGACTCCATTTCGTGGAGCCGAAGAAGAAGAGGAAGAAGAACAATAATAAGAAAAGCTTCTCTCTCGGTCGCCGGCTTCAATGCGAGAGAGTTACCCACGCAGTCCACGAGTCAACGAAGCTTCGCCGTCGAAGCGAGAGAGGGCGTGGTGTTTCGGTTCGGTGTGGTAACCAACTGCCTGGTTAGCAACGTCATGGCGTCCTGTGCGACATCGAAGCTAAGCAATTCTTGTCTCTCTTTCCTTTCGGTGAATAAAATCCCCGGACTGCACTGGCGACTTCTGCATCGAGGCGGTTTGCTGGAGGTCGCGGACGCGTGTGCGTCCACGCGTCTCAGGTAGACTCGTCCGATATGACCACCACACCTCGGGTTATCTTTTCTTTTTCTCTGGAATCATACCCCAGAGGAAGTAGGCAAGTAAATGTACTTGGTAGGTACCGGTACTGTAAGTAGAGTACTCTAGAATGCGCACATGCGGAAGAGGCCTCCACCTCCGTCTCCGCGCCGGGAGCTTGCTTGCTTGCTGGACTCGCTGGCTCGTTGGCTCGCTGGCTTGCCTGTTTGCTTGTCCGCAACCGCCTTCGAGATGTGGATTGCTGTGCTCCGCTCGTATCCGACACGGCTGCGTACCGCAGTTACCGCACGAGAGCGAAGTAGGAGCACACTCGGCGTCGTAACCTAAGTAAGTGCCGCATCCATCTGGCGCTGGCTCAGGCCCCGAAACTCCGAAACATGCTAATTTAGATCTGCCACAAAGGATTCAGGATGCCCCCGTATCGACTTCGACGGCTAGGGAGGGCTGCACTGCTGCAGGCATAGAGTACGTGCGTAGGAGGCGTCGGCATCCACTCGACCTGGGCGTTAGATACTAGTATTGTTAGCGCAACGCCCGCTCTCCATCTTTTCTTTTTTTCTTCTTTTTTCTTACTCTGCGTCCGAATTGTCTGTAGAAAACGGATGGATTGGGATGGTGGGGATCCGCTGCCCTGGTTTGTGCGAGTTCAAGATGTACCTGTCCGTTCCTCCAATTCGGATCCGTGTGATTTGTATGTACGAGATGCTCCTGTCCGTTCCTTCAATTCGATCCGTGTGATTTGCGTCTTCGACTTGCCAGGATGCCGTCGACCGGACTCCTTGCCCGGTGTGGAGGGTTGGGTTGGGTTGGGGGGAGGAGTATGAAGTATGTGGTATGTACGAAGTGTGTGTGCCACCCCCACCAACAGGAAGCCGCGCCGTTTTGGTTCCGGTCGGGGAACACCAGGGCCAGGCGCAGAGCGAGTGGAGTGCTCGACGAGAGAGACCGCGCGTGTGCGTGTGTGTTACGGAACCGGCATCTCACCGTTGGCTCTTCACCGTTGGCTCTTCCATTTTCCCTCTTCACTCGTCGCTCTGACGCCTGTCGTTCGTCGTCGTTCCGCTTCATATATCTATCAGGTCTATGCCGGCGTAGTTACTCCTTCGTCTGAGGATTCGTGCTCACTTCCCTTCATCCTTCTCGCTTACGTCACTACGTTCTTCGCACGGTTCGGCGCTTCGCTATATATATTCGCATGATAGTCGGACGGGAAACGAATCGACGTCACTTCACTTCAACTTCAACTGCAACTGCAACTTCGATCGAGCAAGGAATTGCACATCGACCGACCAGCCAGCTAGTCTTTTAGTCTGCCGACACCATTTCCAGCAAGCAGATCAACTAGTTTCAGTCGCAGGTCGGCTCACGCTTCATTCGTGCGAACAACAGCAACAGCAAACGCCCTTCAACCCGCGCTTGCCATCGCCACCGTAATATTTCCTGCTGCTTGCGAGCGGCATTCGGCGGCCGAGACGACACCCCAACCCACAATCACCACTCATGACGACAGGAGCAATGGAGCGTTTTTTTAAGGAAGGACATGGGTCCATTCCTTCGGCGCGGTTGGTGACGAGGCGGGCGTTTCTGAGGACTCTGTTTTTGATGGCGGCATTCCTGCTGGTTTACCACGTCATGTCCAGCGTTGAGCTGCGCAGTTCCTTCGCCAACGTTCGGGACTCGGTGGCGCCGGTGTTGCAGTCGACTCCTACTACCGCTGCTGCTGGTGGTGAGCAGGCGTTCAGTAACGCAGGACACAAGGGAGAATTTACGCAGCAGCAGCCACCGCAGATGGGTGGTGGGCCTAAGGTCACGCTGGGAAAAGAGAAGGCTACACTGCTTATGCTCGTTCGGTATGTTTACATCTCGCCCCGTATAGTGCTGGGAATGGGAGAGCGGATTCTGACGGTGGCACAGGAATCGCGAATTATTTCAGGCCCTCGGTATGTCGTTCGTATGGTCGCCCGCGCCTCCCCCTCCAGTATCTGACTGTTCTCTCAGGTTCCATGCGCATGATCGAAGATCGTTTCAACAAGAATTATCACTATCCCTGGACCTTCATGAACAACCGTCCTTTCACCGCTGATGTATGTCCGCACGGCGTGCTGTGGGGTCGAGATGGGTGCTGACCTGTGACTCAATAGTTTATCAAATACGCCACCGGTATGGCCAGCGGCCCGGTCGAATTCATCCAGATCCCTAGGGATCACTGGAGCGTCCCGGACAGCATCAACAGGACTATTATGGACGATGGAATGCGCAAGCTGAGGAACGAGGGTGTCATCTACGGTGGCTCGAGCAGCTACAGACACATGTGTCGGTTCAATTCGGGATTCTTCTTCCGTGAGAAGGCGCTGGAGAAGTACGAGTGGTACTGGCGTGTCGGTATGTTACCTCCACTTTGCGTCGGCGAGGAAGGCAGCAATGTTGACGTGCGCACGCAGAGCCGGATGTCGAGTTCCACTGCGACCTGAACTACGACCCCTTCACGTTCATGCGCGAGAACAAGAAGGTTTACGGCTGGGTGATCAGCATGTACGAATTCGAGTCTACGATCCCCACGCTCTGGAAGCACACCAAAGCATTCATCAAGAAGTTTCCCAGCTTTCTAGCGCAAGACAATTCTCTCAACTGGTTGGTCGACGGCGCCAACGTGACGAAGGCTTTTGACAACAAGGAGATCGAGGGCGACTACAACATGTGTCATTTCTGGTCTAATTTCGAGATTGCGAGTCTCGACTTTTTCAGGAGTCCCGCATACCAGAGCTATTTCGATTACCTCGACTCCCAGGGTGGTTTCTTTTACGAGCGTTGGGGCGATGCTCCCGTTCACTCGTTGGCCGTTAGCTTGATGTTGCCGCGCGAGAAGATCCACCACTTTGCAGATATTGGTACTTCCCCTTCTCCCTATAGCGGGTGATCATCATTCTGACATTGTATCACAGGATATCTCCACGCCCCCGCTGGCCGCTGTCCCGCAGACGACGAGAGCCATTCCAGCGGCCGCTGCTACTGCGACCGGTCAACCAGCTTCGACCACAACCAGTACTCGTGCACGCCACGATGGTTCAAGCTCAATGGCGTAACCACGGGCGCCCTGATGCCGATCGAGCCCAATACGATCTGAGCCCAGGGCACTGGGCACTGGGTATGTGTTGTAGGTATGTGGGTTTACTTTTAGTATCTAGACGGGAACGGCGTTCGATATGGTGTTTTACTCTCTCTCGCTCTTTGCGGATTTGATTGCTTTTTTTCTTGTTTCTTTTGCCCTTTGACGGCGATAGCTGGTGTACATACTACATACTTATTTGGCTCCTGCGTTTTTCTTCTTCTCTTGGTGGTCTCTCTCTCTCTCGGTGGTTGGTTGTGTATATAGATATTGCTCATGGGAAGAACGTGGTCGGACTGTATTTGTGCCTCCCATCACTTGTGACCAGTGAAACTCGTGACAACACCCTTGAACTCTTCCCCGGCCTAGCAGGATTACACAACCATACACGACAATACCACAGTACCGTGAGGCGGGGAAGACGAAGTCCGGACAAGCTCAATGATTGGTGCTCATGAAACGAGGGTGAATCCTCACAGACTCCGGGGTGATAAGGAATCCCATAATACATTGGCTAGGCTCACTACAAAGTTGAAAGCACCCACTTGCTCGTCTTAGACGTGGAGTCATTCAGGCCGTCCATTCTGGACGGCGGGGTATGGGGGGTTTTAAGGCTCCGAGTACCTATTCTAACTTCTAAGACTCCGAGTATTACTGGTATTCCAAGGCTCCGAGTGGTTGCCTATTCCAAGACTGGTGTGCGTTCTACAGAGTTTATGGCTCACGAGTCATTAGCCATGCATACCCGGTGCCCATCATTCGTGACTGGTGCTTGTGGCTTGTAGCTTGTACTCTTGTAGATACTAGTAAACGGCAGTCACTACTCGCAACATGCATACTACTCGAGCTGCGAGCACATACAGTACTACATACTCGCAGCCTCCATTCAGGCTGGGTAAGTAACAAATCGTACCGGCACCCACGGCCACCCCCGCCCCCATTCAGGCCTTCAGGCAGCCGTAGCCCATTCAACCCCCCCACGCATAACTCGGGGTTTGAGGTAGAAGCCGGCGGCCAGCAGGAAAGTTGGCCCTGAAGAGTCTGTGCGTGCGGTAGTTGCTAGAGTGTTGATATAGAGTTATAGAGTACCTACACGGGGATCTGTCTCGCACAAAGTGATGGCAGCCCGGCTGCATCGAGTGATCAAGCTTGTAGAGCAAAGACTCGGGGGCTCGGTGGCTCGGGGCTCGGGACTCGGGGGCTAGTTTCCGGCAGTAGCACTGCTGCCACCGGGTTCTCACTGTCGGTACTGGGCTGGGCCTACTGCTGTTGCTGTTGCCGTTGCTGGCAACCGGTTCCACGAACACCAGGGACCGAGTGACATGGTAATCTCGGGAATCTCGGGAATCTCGGGTGGGACAGGGAATTCACTGCTGGCCGCTGGCGCTCTCGGGGAATCGCCGGGTGGGATTCGGGGAGACAGCATATGTACTCGCCGTCGGTGCTGCAGGGGTGCTGCGGGTAGATGGGCACGCCGCACTCCACTGGCCGTGGAGCTATATACCGACAAAGACCCTCTACCAGTATCCACGTCCATTTAGATGTATCGTACACTCCCTCAGCCCTTCCCATGCTCCTCCTCCCCCCCCCTTCTCCCTCCTCACAGTCCAAAAACCTCCACCCCCCCCCTCGCCCTAGCCCTCCTATAAACCGCGCCCCTCCTAACCACCTCCTCATCCTCGCGCACCCTACGCACCCTATCGAGCGGCCAGACGATATGCGTGACCCTACTGGTGATCAGCGCGATCGGGACGGGGCCGTACGTGTTGCTATCAACCGAGTGGAACATCTCGTCGCCCTCCATCCACGCCTGGCCCTTCGGCACGACTACTAGGTCCTTGTGGTACCCGGCGGCACCTCCGGCGCCCCCCACGCTTCCCGCGCTCCTCGCGCGCCGCGTCCGCACTACGTCCCCCTCCAGCGCTACGATCCGCTTTATCACTTGTCGCTCGGGGTCGATCGGTGATCTGTGATGTATATGTCCGTGTCAGTGCCAGTCGGGCGGGGGTGACGGTAGGAAGGAGGGGCGTACCGATAAAGCACGACCATCCCGCGCCTCAGGCCCTCCGTACATCTCCAGTGGGAGGCGAGTATCCAGTCCTTTCTCGTAGGGTCGGGACAGAACGTGGGCGACATTGACAAGCCCGAGACCTTTTCGAGGGAGGCGACGTTGTCGACGAAGAGGACGTAGGCGGGCAGCCAGGGGACGAGGCTGGCCAGGCCGAGGCCGAGCGAACGCGCGACGCCGCGGAGTGCTGGTGCTGCTGCTGCTGCTGGCATGGTGGTGTGGTCGCGGCTTTTGCGGCGTGCGAGGGACGCACATAGCTGCGTGGGTTAGGGGCGTGCGGGAGTTGCCGTGGGGGAATGACGTCGTTAGTCAGGCACGAGGGTCGGCACATGTTTGGGAAGCAAGACTTGGAAATGCGAGATCTACAGCAAGCACGCTGCAAGGCATCCCACATACGAGACATTCCAGAATTCTGGAGAAACATGGCATTCATGATCATCATCTCAAGACTGTACTAGCCGACACCTAACCATCACGTAGGTACCAAAGACAATAGACAACCCCTCTACAAAAAAGAAATCCATTCCTTTCACCATTTTCAATACCAACAAGCTCCCCTTTTTGGTGAGCACTCTCACAACTTAACACACTCCCCATCGGCAGAGTCGGGAGTCTTGGCACCCTCCGAAGAGGTTTGCACTTCCTTGGTTTTGACTTCCGTAGGTTCTTCCGTGGCCGTGGCTTTGGACTCGGTAGCCTTGGAGTCGTCGGCAGGCTTGGCCGCAGTAACCCTGGACTTGTTCTTGTAAATAGGTTCTGAATCTTCGATCGCCTTGGTCTTGTCCGTATCGATCTCCGCGGCCTTTTCGATGTTATCCGGTGCAGCCGTCTCTCCATGTTCGACCGCCGCAGTGGGGACATCGGGCTGCGTGTTATCCCCTTCTCTCATCGTGGTGTCGACAGGCTGAGAATCGCCAACATCCCTCATCGAAGCATCAACGGCCTGCGATTCCTCCGCTGGAGGAGGAAAGTACAAACTGCCACACTATTAGCAAGCAAGCACGAACCACAACTCCAATTGCCGTAACTCACGAAGCAAGTTCGTTGTAAGCATTCTCATCCTTCTTCTCAAAGTTACAGAAAACGACCAAATCTAGCTTGGCTCCATCATCTGTCTCCATAAACTTTCTGACGGTGTCCAGAGCTACCCGTGCGGCGGGGTAGGATGGATAACCGTAGACACCGGTGGAAAGTGCCGAGAAGGCTATGGCATTGAGACCGTTTTTGACGGCCAGGTCCAGAGAGGTTTGGTAGCAGGATCTCTGCGTTTGTGTCAGTTGTAGGAACGAGTGAGCGCTGTGAGAGAGTTTGCGTCACGACATACCAACAACTCATGAGGCTTCTCCGCCATACTGTAGATCGGGCCTACAGAGTGAATGACCTTCTTGCATGGGAGCCTGTATGCATCTGTGATCTTCGACTGCCCCGTTCTGGCGCCGCTGAGGGTTCTGCATTCAGCTAGCAGCCCCGGGCCAGCAGCCCGATGTATGGCGCCGTCGACTCCACTGCCGCCTAGAAGTCGCTGGTTGGCAGCATTGACGATGGCTCCATTTTCCAGCTCGATGCCGGTGATGTCGGTGCGTATGATGCCGATTTTGGCGTTGATGGCGCTCGAGGCGGCGTACAGTGCCAGCGACTGGTCGACTATCGAAAGCTTGTTTGCCTTGTAGAGGAGGGGCAGCGTCGGGATTTGGGACTGGAGGACGCGGACCATGTTGGGTGGTATTTTATTGTGGAGGGAGCTATGGAGTGGGTGGAGCTCTAGGATGTGGAGCTCTAGGATGTGGAGCTCTAGGATGTGGATGATTCGTTTATTGCGTTGTTTGTATCAGTAGAGCGGGGAGTCAGTTGGTTAACCTTATGTGGAGCTCAGCTTTGTTTCAGGTTCGGAGCAGGGCACCGCATGGAGCTCAATCGGGGTTAGCGTGCTTTGCTCAGCTCCGTCAAAAGTTGTCACCAAGCAATCCATCGCGTCGACCCTGCCAGGTACTTTACACGTAGCCCAGAGCAATCAAAATAATGGCGACGCTGATACAACAGATCGATGGCAAATCCGTTTGTTCCCACATTATTAATCGACCGCGATTTGCGATGCTAATTCATCACTCCATCTAACTAGGTCCATCACCTCCAATCAGGACAGGTCATAAACGATGGCCTGAACTCTGCGGTCAAAGAGCTAGTGGAAAACGCGTTGGATGCGAACGCGACATCGATTGAGATCCGGTTCAAGAATTACGGCTTGGAAAGTCTCGAGGTGATCGACAACGGCGACGGAATTTCCCCTGACAACTACGAGAGCATTGGTACCCTTTAATTTCCATTTCTAAGCGCATCGTTACCTGTTGTCTGACTGTATACAGCTCTGAAGCATTACACGTCGAAGCTGCGAACCTACGCCGACCTCGAATCGGTGACGACTTTCGGTTTCCGCGGCGAAGCGCTCTCGTCGCTATGTGCACTATCCGATTTCCACATCATCACGGCGCTGGCCGAGGAGGCACCGAAGGGGACAAAGCTGGAGTTCGAGAACTCGGGCAAGCTGAAATCAACACACATGGTTGCGGCGTCGAAGGGGACTACAGTATGTGTTGCAAATCTGTTCAAGAATCTTCCCGTGCGCCGAAAGGAGCTGGAAAGGAACATCAGGAGAGATTTTGCGAAGGTCCTGGGTCTTCTACAGGCGTATGCGAGCATTCGTGTCGGAGTGAAGTTTTCAGTGTTCAATCAGCAGCTGAAGGGGTTCGCCTTGCTCTTTCTCATATATGTGTTCTCTACTGGTCCAATGTGCTAACATCGTGAAGAAAGAGGACGCCCGCTTTCGCTACGAAGGGAAATCCTACGACTAGAGAGAACATCTCTAATGTCTTTGGCTCGAAAACACTGGCCGCACTCGTGCCGCTCGATCTGGAGTTCGAAATGCAGCCTACAAAGCCACCCCCGATCGCACCCAGGGACACGGTCCAAGAGTAAGCATTTCAGTAACATGTAGCACCCCCTGTTTTCTAACAGGTATACAGGAGCCGTGGAGTGAAGATAGTTGGGCACATCTCTCGACCAGTTGTGGGCGAAGGCAGGAATGCCCCTGACAGACAAATGTTCTTCGTAAATGGAAGGCCTTGTGTTCTACCCCAGGTAACCATGTCGCTTCCGGAATGCCAACATTCAACTAACCTATAGAAGATCACCAAAGCTTTTAACGAAGTATACAGAGCCTTCAATGTCACCCAGTCGCCTTTCATCTTTGCAGATATCATCTTGGACACAAGTACGTTAACCACCATCCTGCACGCACCGAGGGCCTGACTAACAAGTAGATAGACGCATACGATGTGAATGTATCCCCCGACAAACGGACGATCTTGCTTCACGACCAAGCCGATCTTTTGGAGAACATCAAGGTTCGTCCGGGTCATCCATATTCCCTCCTTGAACCATTACTAACCGGGGCATCAGATTTCTCTGACGGAACTGTTTGAAAAGCATGAGCAAACCGTCCCGGTCAGTCAACTGGGAGGTAGCATGCCAGCTTACAAACAGACAAGCTTATTCTCCTCCACCGCCGCCGGATCACCTATGATACCGTACCGCGGACAGTGGCTAAAAGAGGGAAATGCAATTGTCTCATCCTTGCCAAGAGGGAAGGATGGACGATATGTGTCAACAGGTCCCCCATCACCGCAATCTGATGAGCGTGAGGATATATTGGAGTCGACTGTCCCAGATCGTAGCAAAGGAGCGCCAAAATACGACCTTTCGCGTGGTATCTCGAAGTTTGGTAATGCACGGCTGCCTTTCAAACGCCCTACTCCGCATGCCAGCGATTTCGAGGAAGACGAAGACACGCCTCTCCCAACATACGAAGAACTCCCAAATGGCGAAGAAGAAATTCCATCCTCGCAGATCCCACCAAGTGCTCGGCCCCCACCGTTAAAATCCTCTCGAAGAATGGAAACTCCCGCTACAATCACCATCGGTGATAGATCTCCCGTGACCACCGGAGAAACCCCACGGAAGAAGCGGAGGATCGAAATGCAGCGGGATGGCCCTGTGCCTGCGCTGGGTGGATTTGGCAGCGCCTTGAGCAAGTTTTTGGCGCCGGGGACGCAAGTGACAGCAACCTACGCGGAGGACGATATTTCGGTAAAGAAATCGTTTAAGGCACGACAGTTTGAGAGTATCCTCAGCGAGGCCTCTCAGGAGGATGAGATCGAGGATGATGAGCAACATGAAGAAGAGGAACAGGCATCGCCCGATGGAGGCACAAGTACGACACCTCAGGTATTTCAAAGCGCAGCACCTTCTCCAACGCAAGTCTTCACAGGTTCTGCACCAGCTTCTCCACCATTGTTCCTACCCAACCATATTCTCGATCAAGATGAACAAGGTGACTCTTCAGAAGAGCAGAGGAAGGAACCGGAAATGTCTGTCCCACCCGAAATCGAAAAGGAAGACGATGACGACGACGAGTATATCCCCGAAAAAGCAGCCTCCCTTCGCGCTGCCGCTCGCGCTGCTCGCCTTCTGAAAGAAGCAGAAGCCCGCGAAACCAGGTTGCCGGTCACTCAACTCCTTGAGCGGAATTTCAACACTTTCAATCACTGTCGTCGAGTTTCTACTCTCGGCCTGGTGAAGTTCCAGCAGACGTCTATGGACCAAATCCGGGAATCCGCGAAGCGTCTCCGTACTCCTGCCCCCACTCCTCCTCCTCCCGTGGCTCCTGGATCTACCGGACAAGTAGCTGGACTCGATGTGGAAGAAGACTCAACCGCTGAGCAGCGCCTCACCCTCACCGTCACCAAGTCCGACTTTCTGAATATGCGGATCCTTGGCCAATTCAACAAAGGCTTCATCCTTGCTTCACGCGGCAACGAGCTCTTCATCATCGACCAGCACGCTTCCGACGAGAAATACAATTTCGAAACTCTCCAAGCTACCACCGTCGTGCAAAACCAACCGCTCGTCGTTCCCCGCGAACTGGAGCTAATGGCGATGGATGAAATCGCGGTTCAGGACAATCTAGATGTTCTCAAGACGAATGGCTTCGTTGTCAAGGTGGATCCCGAGATGCCCACAGGTAGAAAGTGCAGACTCATCAGTCTGCCCATGAGTAAGGAAACCATGTTTGGTGTTGAAGGTGTGTCCCACCCCGTCCCCCTTTCACCCTTCTCCCACTGACATTATTACACTCCAGACCTGGAAGAACTAATCCACCTAATCCACCAACACCGCGGCTCGGGGACCGCACACCTGCGCTGCTCCAAAGTCCGCTCCATGTTCGCCATGCGTGCCTGCCGGAAAAGCGTCATGGTCGGCCGAGCACTGCCGGTCAAGGCGATGGAAAAGATCGTGCGGCATATGGGGGAGCTCGACAAGCCGTGGAATTGTCCACATGGGAGACCGACGATGCGGCATCTGGCGGAGCTGGAGGGCGTGGATAGGTGGGATGAGAGGGATGAACTCAGGGGCGGCGGGGGATTGCAGTGGGACGGTGAGGGGTGGGAGGAACTGGTTGAGCAGTTTGCAGCTCGGTAAGATGCGGAGGATACGGAGGATGCGGAGGATAAGTAGACTTTTGGAGTTTTGGATACGTGTAATAGAGGCAGTATACCCCTCGTCATTAGACTATATATAACCATAGATAGACATCGCGAATAGACATCGGACACCCGGTATGGTACAGATATAAGAAACCGTTCTGCGCACACGCAGTACGTACATCTCGCAAGACAGGACAAGAAGAAGAAAAAAACCCCACCGAGAGATAAGCCGCCCATCAAGCAAAGCAAGTTATATATACGTGCTACCTCTGCAAGCAAAAGAAGAAAGAAAAAAGTGAAGTGAATGAAGAACGCATATCAAAGTACAAGAATCCCAAACCCCTTCCAACCCAACCCAACCCAACCGATCATTGTGTCATCCACTCGTGCCGCGTACACACGCCGCTACCGTTTCCTTGATAGCCCCTTCCAGAGCGCACTACCGACCAATCCCGCGGCGAGGGCAACGCCACTAACGATTGCCACACCGAGCAGGCCCTCTGTGTATCGTCAGCCTCCGTTCTCTCCGCACACCCACCTCCCTCCAGCCCACCGCCTGCCCACCCCCACCCGCCCGCATAGGATCACATACCTCTAGCGACCTTATCATCGACCAGCCCGCGCAGACTCAGGGCCTGACTGTTTCCCGGCTCATTGAGCAGGAGGGCCTCATTATACCTCCTAGCCTCCGCATAGTTGCCTAGGCGGTAATGTCCGAGTGCGAGATAGTAGAGACACTCGCGGCGGCGCTCGCCGTGCTCGCGGAATATCTCGGTCAGCAGCCGCACACCTAGCTGCTGCTCCTCCCGGCGGTTCGACTTGATCAGCCCCCACGCGTAGTTAAATTTCGTCTGCACCCCCACGAAGCTGCCCTCCGACTCGTATTGCTTGCGGAGAACGGAGAGCTCAGACTCCTTCAGTGGGCTGCGGGAATACGTCAGTGCTGGTGCGGAGAGGATGCGGGCGTAGGCAAGGGGACGGTGTGCGAAGGTACATACCTCTCGGCGTCCACGGCGTCTAAGTGACGGGCGTTAGCTGGGCTGGCCGGGGCTAGTGCGAGGGGAGCGGGGGAGTCCACTCACATGGCAGGTTGTCTGATGCGGTCATGTTGAAGTTCGGGTTCGAGTTTGCGATCGCGGTGGTTGGTGCTGTGTTGTGGGTGTCGAGTCTTGCAGTTCAGTTTGTAACAAAAAATGTTGGGTTTGGCCGTGTCGTCGGTGATGCGGATGGGATGTTGGTGAAATGTAAGTTGAGTGGCTACGTCGTCGGTTGCAGGGAGCATATGTATGGTTGATTGGCTCTAGACTTGGAAGAGGGTGGCGCGGCGACACAACACAAGGTGTGGCACAGAATGGACAGGAATTCTCGCCACTTTCTACGCTAGCCTATGGCTATGAGTGGCTTTCTATGTCAAGTATCCTGATCACTTGGAACTTTGACGCGTCGTCGCCGGTGAAGCAGGAGGAAGGTCGTATCAGGTCTCGTGATTGCGGCATGTGATGCGGGTACTCCATAGTACATAGCGCGACGTCATTCGGACAGAGCGTTGCTGTGACAACCGCATCCCACCCTTCATCGCCAGCGGAACACACAACCATCGCAACTTCACAACATACACATCCACTCCACCTCAAGCGCATAACCACCACTCCCGGCCGACTCGAGTCCATCCACCACCACAACCACCGCCACCACCCCCGCCACCGCAACGATGGTCCTCCTCGAAGAAGACCCACACAAGCTGCTCTCGAGCCTACAAGAAAACTTCGGCATAGACGGGGACATCTCGCACCTCTCACGCATATCCTCGCACCTGCACACGCTGCGGGCCAGCCGGCAAAAGGCGAAAGACGACCAACAGCGCAACCTACGGACTCTCTCGCGGAACCTGCAGTCGCGACGACAGGCCGCCGAAGAGGCGACCAAGACGCACGAGGAGCAGCGGTTCCCAGAACAGGTGGCGATGCTGGACCGCAAGAAATTTGCGCTCGCGAAAGGACTGAATGAGCTCGAGTCGAACGCTCATACCCTCGAGGGTCAGCTCGCGAGGCTGAGGGAGGAGCTCGAGGCCCTCGATGCGGATGATCCCGTCGAGAGGGCAGTCGTGGAGGGCGCCGATGAGGGGATCACGTTTGTCCCCCCCCTCCCTCCCTCCCTACGCATGTCAAATGGAAATTGCGCGCTGACTGTACGGATAGGTTGAAACTAAGAGTCTTCCGGAGTTTGGGGATAGAGCTTACCGAGGACGGGGCGGGCGGATACAGCAAGGCGGCGATACGCGATAACCGTGGAGAGCTAATTGTTGTCAAGCTCGAGGAGAAGAAGTTTACGCCGCACTTTTATGTCAACTATTTCTGGGATATGCTTTGAGGGAAGGAAGGGCGGTTTGTCTGCTTCAGGGGCGTTTCTGTTTTTCCGTTTTCTGCCTCGGTGTTTGTCGGATGACTCTTGCAATTACGCGCAATGATACCAATGCCTCCAATGATCATGGTGTCTATGTCTTTGAGCCCTTTTCAATATCCGTGGACCGGTCCTGTCCCAAGAGTATTCTAGGTACTTGACTGTGATATGCTCTCTCTATGCATCTACGCATCTATGCGCTACTTAGATGATTGACATACACAACCACTCCGACTTTCGTTCGTCCCTCCCATACTGATGCAATTCCACACCCCACCAGTGACCACCTCCTCTCCTCCCTCGCTCAAGTGCTACCAATTACAGCCCTAAAGTACTGGACCACCGCGATACAACCGAAACACCGCAAATAACGGAACCACGAAATAAGAATAGCAACAGCGCCCGCAAGCCCCCTTGGACAAAGTCCGAAAACCCAAGGAAAACGAAAGAAAAACCCCACCGAAAGCGATCAACTCAAGGATCGGATCCATTCATGGTGTGGTAAGAAGAGAAGACAAAGGGCAGAAACAAGCATCATGTTATCCTAAGGTCATCAGAAATTCCCCTCTAGGACCCACACTCTCTCGGATGCAATACAATATTTAGCTATTCCTCCGCCTGAATAGGTTAGCGAACGAACTGGTGCGGTTGCCATTTCCATTACCGCCGTCACTGTTCTGATTCTGCTGGTTCTGATGTTGTGGGCTCTGATGCTGGTTCTCTTCGTCGTAATCAGCGGGGAAGCTGCCCGGGAATCCACTGGACTGGCCCCTAGATGGAGGAGATTGAGATCGGGCTGATCGGGTCGGCGTATCCTGATTCTGACCTCCTGGACCTGGTGATGACGGCCGTCTTGAACCCCGGGGCCGAGTCTGTGGAAGCCCCGCGCCGAACAAGCCGCCCATGAATGGAAAGCCGCCAGGAATTGGGCCGCCGAATCCTCCACCACCAGGGCCGCCGAATCCTCCGCCACTAGCACCACCGCTACCGCTTCCGCCGCTGCCGCCGCCGGGCGATGAAGGTTGTCGCTGGCTGTTCTCCTGCTGCTGACGCTTCTCCGGCGGAGTGATAGGATGGCGACATATGGGACAAGTCTAACTGGGGTTAGTGTACGCCCTTCAGTGGACGGCGGGGAACAATAGGGACTCACGTCGTGCTCCACCAACCACTTTGAAACACACTCAAAGTGATATGAGTGCTTGCAAGGCAGCACCGTCACTTCCTCGTCCAAGACCAGGTCGTCCTTGCACACGGCACAGTCGACGTTATCGTCTACCATGGCTTGGGTAACCTTGAGCCGAGGAAGACCTTCGATATCCTCTTTCTCTGCCGGTGGAGGGGCATTGCCCTGGTGCTGTTCCATAAGCTGGGATATTATCCTATCCAGCTCAGACTGTGAATAGACATAGTCTCCACCAGCACCGTGTCCGCCGTTAAAAAACCGGGCCACGAATGGTGATAAACCGTCGCCGCCGGTAGGTCCAAACAACGAGTTAAGAAAGCTGTACGATTGTAAGCTATCGGGGCAAATGGAAGCAGGGGACAGAGTTTCTTACGTTTGAATATCGGGAACCGGCACGGCGTCACCAGCTTGGGGTACAGCCGCGTCTCTTGGGTTTAACCTCGGTTCCTCTCCATGAGGGAGAGGGGGAACATTTCCTTCCATTGGATAATCCTCGTCACGGTTGGATCCTTCCGGTCTATTGTAGTGGTCTCTCACGATGTTTCGAAGCATCGTGGAGAACAGATCCGCAATTACCTCTTCCTCCGGACCACGCCCACGAGCCGGGCCACCGCGAGCGGGGCGGACAATCGTCCTAGTGACATAGCTAAAGTTCGGCCCGTCGGCACGGACAACCGTTTGGGTGGTCCCAGAAGCTCCCCCGATTGGGGCTCCGAATGGTACGAAAGGACCAAAGCCAGACATCGCGTGGCTATGTTGGTGCTGGTGTTGGTGCTGGTGATGCGCTAAGTGGGGAATGCCATGGCTGTGATCATGTTCGTCGTCGGGCTCGGACTCGTCGAATTCTAAATCTGGAATACCCCGCGGGTCATTGCCGTTCTCGATCTAACATCCGCCCGTCAGAATACATAAATCAACGAGGTCACCCCACATGACCACATTTAGTCTTGCGAGCGAAGAGAGATAACTAACGATTTCGACGAAGTCACTACGGCAAATTTCGTTTGGACACACTAAACCGTGCTCGTCACGGAACCAATCCATATGGCATTCGTGACAGTAAACCTGGTCTCGCTGTGCGCGTGCGGTCGCCGCTGTGGCCATGGTGGTAGTAATACTCGGGGTAGTGTTGTGGTGGTGGGACAACTGCTCGCCAGAAATCGCAGTTCAGCCACAAGGTAAAATAATACCAGCCGGGCGCTCAGTTCGGAGAAACAGCTGACCTTCCAAGTGATCTCGGGGGTCGAAGAAGATAGTAACTGTTGCGGACGAATGGTACTTATATGCGGGGCTTCTGGATGTCGAAGAAGTCGGAACCGTGACTGGGATTAGCGATTGCTGACGATACAGGTGGATATGATCGTTGCTGGTACGACGCGCGAGGTGTTGGCGGGGCAGCGATGTTTAAGAACCCAAGCTGTAACTGAGAAGTGGTGGAGTGATAACTGGTACTAGAAGTGGCAAGGGTGGGAGGAGTAGCGAGCAAGGAGAAGAAGGGGAGAAGGAGGGAAGGTGTGATGAGCGTGATGAGCACCACAGCAACTTCAAGGGACGGAACTCGATTATTTGCGGGTCCCGATCACCGGTTATCCCGCGGTCCAGAAGCCCTAGCGAAGCTGGTGGTAAGACGTATGCCAAGACAACTTGATTCATGTCATGCCACTCAGCTAGTCCTGATTAGGGGCTGAGCTGCCTCGATTACTAAGGAATATCTGCCTAGGTAAATTTAACTACACTTCGTCGGATTTCGGCGACAAGGTTGAAGGGAGAGCAGCTGCAGAAGACGGGAATCACGGGACGAGACGCACCAAGCACTCTGGCCAATTTACTTATGTATGATACATACGAGAATTCAAAGTCCCCGCAGAGGACTGACGGTTCGTTAGATCGGATGAGATTCGAAGGCGATAGTTACAAAACAAAGGAGTAAAGCCAGCCTTACGACCGGAGAACATCTGGAGGCCATACATACATTTGGACCCTCGTTGATTGTCGCCGCTTTGTGCGCCTAGCTGAACGCACGTTTCCTCGGCATTCATTGCCCGCATCATGATAGGCTGGTAGTGTAGAAGGCCCGGCAGTCGCCACAGTCTACCTGGAGACGCTGTATGCGAAATAAACATGATGCCGCGACTCGAAGCCGTAATTTATTCTACTCCAGTTAGTGACAGAGAGCCATGTGACATTCCATGACTCGACTTTCGCGGAGTCCTGCTTACCTAAGTGCTTAGTCGAGAAAGTGTGGGAGACTCGAGTCTCCACTGTTTGGACCCGGTCGGACAAAGGAAGGCAGTTCTGGGTGCACGACTCGAACACCACACCAAACCACACCATGTCGCGAAAATAAACCAAGCTTGCTCCTCCAAGATGCGTCTCGCGTCTTCACGTGGAGAGCAAGTCGTACAAGACCATAGAAAGCCATTTTTCCTTTTTCGAGGTGTCTCCGACACCCCTGCACACCATCTCTTGAGGAGCCGCGAGAGCCGCCTTCAAAATTCACTGCCCTCATCTTAGCGACAATAGCTTCTCTGCTCTCCTCCTTTCCCACACATCTCCAAATCCCTTGCTGTCGACTCTCCCCAAGCTACACGCTGGCTCCTCTCCTCGCAAACTCAGTCTTCGTAAGTAACGCTGCCTATTGCTCCCGAATCTCATAGCGTTTCGTAGTATCTTGGCCCCAGCTCTATTTGGCAAGGTACCTACCTACCTAAACCGGCCCGTACTAGGTCTGGAGCTATCGGGGCTCGCTACATCGGCCACCTCCGAAATCCTTTGATGATTTGATGCTTGGACATCTTCAGCCGCTCCGTCGTTCTGTACCAACGTCTAGCTCTCAGCCTTCTCATGAAAAATGACTGCTAACACCATCGCTTCTTATCGGCTGTCAGGATGTTCCAAGATCAAAATGCGGAGACTTCACTTACGAGCGGTAGTAAGAGGCTAAAGCTCGACACTCCTTCTACTCCGTCGAACCCTCCCTTCGTCGATAGCTCCCCAGCAGCAGCAAAGCCGAACGATGCTTCCATCACTACTGCAGCCACGCAGCAGCAGCGACAGGAGGTGCCGAAAATGTTTCCACTCGGAGAACATGCTACAGGTGTTGGTGGTGGTGGTGGTGTTGGTGGGGCTGGTGGGGCTGATGGGGCTGATGGGGCTGATGGGGCTGATGGATACTTTCACAAGCCTCCTGGAAATACTGCGTTGAGCGTGGGAGGTGGATTGCTGCGTTCGCCGGGAATGCCGGGAGCATCGGAGGGTGACTCGAACGGGAGTCTGCAGCAGTCCGAACTCCAACCGGACCCGCTGCCACAACCGAACGGAGGACAGCAGGATCACCAGCACCAGCAGATTCAACACAACGCACAGCATCATACTCATCCCCGACCACTAGATGAGCAGGAGAACGCACGCCTACTCGAACCTATCAAGAGTTTTCTCTCGTCCGCCGTCAAACCGGAGCCGGATGTCATCGACCTGACGGAGGATGCCGATGATGACGTTGCCGTCACCGAAATTCCCAAAGTTCAACCAATGGAGATTCCAAAGAGCTACGTCTGTTACGGAATAATCGTAGGCAAGATCAATGCCAACCGAGTGCCCGTCTTCCCAGTCGGCCGCGAACATCTCCCGATGTTCATCAAGATAGTTCGCGCGCCAAATCCACTGTCGCTCGTTGTGGATACGTACGACTGCCATGATTCGCAATTTGGCTACGTGGAGTTGAATACTGCACGAGTAATTGTGCCATTGATTGATTTCCGCACGTTTGTGGTGGAGCCTTACATGTATGCTCTTCCCAGGCAGCAGCCCCCTACCAACACTGTTGTTTCCAACCAATACCGCTTCTTTTTCAATGTCTACGGGCCGGTGACGGAGGCTAGAAAGGTGGTACATATCGCCACACAGCAGGGCACAGTCATTCAGAAGCCTTACAAGAGCTATTGCAATACTAGTGCTCCTTACATGGACCCGTATGTGACAACCACGACTAGGGCTACTTCGTCAGCATCCCGTCCGAGTGGCTTTGCCGTTATTACTCGCACGGCAGACGAGATACGAGCCGATGTCAACAAGGTGTTCGAAGGGTTGGATCAAGCCGAAAATCTACCGGAGATGGACGCGGATCCTCGGATCAAGACGCCACTCCTGAAACACCAGAAGCAGGGTCTCTACTTTCTTACAATGAAAGAGCAGGAGAGAAACTACGATGACAATGATGCAAACAACACGCCAGTGTGGCGCAAGAAGGAGAAGGGCGGGCAAACGTGGTTTTACCATGTGATCACCGGCCAAACCGTCAAGAGACGGCCACCAGATGTACTTGGCGGTATATTGGCGGATATGATGGGGCTGGGAAAGGTTGGACATCTCACTTCCTAGGCAGCGACAGGTAATTCATGCCATAGCTAACATCATAAAAGACCCTACAGATCCTGTCGCTCATAGTCTCGACCCTGGAACTTTCTGAGGAATTCGCGAAAGGCCCAAAGCCTCGTCAGTACACTGTCAAGGACAACAAAGAGCCATTACCACCTAGCATGAATGCAAAGACAACCCTGTTGATCAGCCCGCTGAGCACGATTAGCAATTGGGAAGAACAGATTCAGGCTCACGTACAAGATGGGGCCTTGAAGTGCCATCTCTACCATGGTAACAAGCGCGAATGTGACCCCAAGGTTATCGCTGGATACGATCTCGTAATCACAACCTACCAGGTGATCGCGAGCGAATGGTCCAAGCACATCAAAGATCGCGACTATGTCAGCCCGGTGCAGCAGATAAACTTCTTCCGCATAGTTCTTGATGGTAGGTTTCCATTTCGCTTCTGTGGCGCTACAAGATGCTAACATTGCCATCAGAGTAAGTACAATTTATACATGACGGGCTCAGTGTCGGTTTTTTTGAACTGACAATCATTAATAGGGCCCATATGATCCGAGAACAGAACACTCTTCAGTCGAAAGCGGTGATAGCGTTGCATGCTCAGAGACGTTGGGCGGTAACTGGTGAGTGGTATCCCATATGATTGGCTTTGACGGCCCTCTGAGTGGTTTCGAACAGGTACTCCGGTACAAAACCGCCTCGATGATCTCGCAGCTTTAATGAAGTTTCTTCAGCTCAAGCCGTTCGATGACAAGGCTGTGTTTCATCAGTACATCGCGTCACCCCTCAAGAGTGCCGAGGACAATAGCCTTCGCTCCCTGCGACTCCTCGTTGACAGCGTTACCCTGAGGCGACGGAAAGACAAGATTGACCTTCCGCCTAGGAAGGATCAGATAGTTTACCTTCAATTCAGTACGGCGGAGCAAGAGATCTACGATGCAACGGCGAAGCAATCTTCCAAACGTGTGGATATGGTTGCGAAACAAGGACACATCGGAGGAAAGAATTACGTTCATATCCTACAGATGATTCTCCGGCTTCGCCTCATCTGTGCTCATGGACGTGAGTTGCTCGGAGACGAGGATGTTGCCGACCTTGCCGGTCTCACTTCTTCTGACGCTATTGACGTTGATGAACTTGATGACGAAGGTCCGACGAATCTCTCGGCGAAGCAGGCATATCAGATTTTCAGCCTGATGAAAGAGACAAATGAAGATAACTGCTCGGTCTGCGAGAAGAAAGCGGTGTACAAAGAACCTGTCCTGACCGTTGACGAGGGTATCAACTTCAAGCCCGAGGACAAAGGCAAGGACAAGGAATCGGACGAAAAAGACCAGCCGAAGGGCTCCACTACAATAGGGTTCCTGACTCCATGCACCCACATGCTTTGTGAGAGCTGCATCCCGGCCTACACGGCCAGGATCTCGGGCAACTTTCAGCCCGGCATGCGCGCCGTCTGCCCGATCTGTACACTTTATGGAAGGATCAGTTTCTTCGAGCTAAAGTCTGACGAGCTGAATGAGCACCTTACCGGTGCCAACGCCTCCAAAGTAACGAAGAAGAAGGACTTCAAGTATCGTGGACCGAGCACCAAGGTCAAGGCACTCCTCCAGGCTCTGCTCGAGAGTCGTGAAGAGGGAACACCGGAAGATCCGATCAAGAGCGTTGTGTTTTCGTGCTGGACCTCCCACATGGATCTCCTCGAGCTCGCGTTCCAGAATAACGGCATCAGCTATGTTCGGCTCGACGGCTCGCAGAGTCGTATGCAGCGAAGTGCCGCTATCGCGCAGTTCCGTGATACGCCGGCTGTAGAAGTCATCATGGTTTCGTTGATGGCGGGTGGCTTGGGGTAAGAATACATCCATCCATCCATCCACCCTGACTGGTTGCGAGAAGTTTCTAACGGTGGCACAGCTTAAACTTGACGGCAGCCTGCAGGGTCTATATGATGGAACCTCAGTGGAATCCGGCAGCAGAGGCACAGGCGATCGACCGAATACACCGCTTGGGCCAGAAGAAGCCGGTGATCTGCGTTCGCTACATCATGGCGAACAGCTTCGAGGAGAAGATTCTCAAGATTCAAGAGAAGAAGAACAATCTGGCGAATATCACCATGGAGCAGGGAAAGCTGTCGAAGGCGAAGTTGGCGAAGCAGAGACTGGAGGTTTGTTTCCTTGCCTGGCCTTGCTTGTACTCTGGGGGAAGATGTGAAGCTGACTTTCTTGCAGCATTTGAAGGACCTTTTCAGCGACAAGAAGTAGATTTTCGATTTGATTTGATTGCAGTATTTTCAGTGTTTTGCAGTGTTTTTCTTCATATGGCTGGGTTTCGTCTTGCGTTTGTATCCGGTTACAATGGCTGCCCTCTATCACACGTTTTTTCCTTGTTTGCTGTTTGCTGTGTTCGTTTTTTCAGGGCGTTGCAGAAGGTATCTTTTGCATGGGGTAGCTATCACTGCGGGAGGCGTTGGGGTGTCGGGGTGTCGGGAAGAAGTGAGCGGGCGTGACGCATGCGTGGAATGTGCTCTTTGATTGATTGATTGGTTTGATGTTTGTTGATTGATTGTGCCGTCTAGAAATCGTTAGGATGATAGGGATGGGTTTACGTGGAAATGGCGAATTTGTCCGGGGATTGCATTGCAATGGTGCAGGATGATGATGGGTTGGTTGGTTGATCGAAGATGAATAGACGTCAGCAGATGAAGTTACTTTGAAATGGCCCTATTGTTTTGGAAGTGTAGTGGCGGCCACGGGGAGTGGAGTGGAGTACATAGCGGACGAACGCATACCATTGTAGATACCATGTGGCATGCGTAGAGGTCTAGAATTAGAGGGGTGAAGCGGGACCCTTCCGGCTGGCCACACACGCGCACACAAGTAGCGCTTCACAGGCTCGACTCGACGGGAAAGCCCGGTTGACGGCTAGCCAGCAACCAGCCTATGTAGGACGATGACACGACACGATCATGTTGTATCACTCGTGAATATATCCGCTCAGTACATACTAACACTCAAAACGGCTTTCCAGAGACCTCAGACCATATCTCAATCCAGAATGCATTATTCCCCCTCACACAACCTCCAACTGCCCAGTCGCCGCCGCCTCCTCCCTCCTCCTCCTCCTCCTAGCCTGCAGCACCTGCTCCCTGATCCGTCTCTCCACATGCGTGACGACCTTCTGCAAGTCCTCGCGCTCGAGCGCCAGCAGGTCTGCGGCCGCCTGCGTCAGCGTGCGCAGTGCGTGCGGCTGCTCCTCGTCCGTTGAGGACCAGAGGTAGTGTTCCCCCGGGGCTGGGGCGGGGTTGGTAGTAAGGTCGGGGGCGGGGTTGGGGGCGGGGGATGGGGGGATGGGCGTGGTGGTTGCGTGCAGCGTAGCTAGGCGCTCTGCTACTGACGGTGGGGTGGAAGTGGGGTGTGGCGCGGGCGTGAGCGCTGAGCGCGCGGTGGGGAAGAGGTTCAGGATTCCTTTTGAGACTGCGCGTTGGGTGGGGGTTTAGTATTGGCGTAGGCCGTGGGCAATGGGGGGGGTAACTTACTCCCTCGTCTGCTGCTCTCGCCGCCCTCCAGCTCTGCGTCATCGCACCACGTTTTCTCGTACCAGTCCAGGTACCAGTCCAGCTCGTCCTCGTGCATGTCAAAGACGTCGTGTTCCTTCACGTCGATCGCCAGGCGAGCGCGGCCGGGCTCGCCAGAGGCCTGCGGACCGAGCCGTGCGCCGTTTCCGGCAAGCAGGAACCGCTCCCACGCGTCCCAGTCCACCTGGGTGGCGGCGGGCTCGGTGGCGGAGAGGGGCGTGCGGACGTGTGAGTCCAGGCCGTAGCACAGTTTCGCGGCCACGATAACAAGGGACATGAACTTTGCCTCTGGCCAGTAGTGGGCTTGCACTTTTGTTGGCAGGGACGGCCATTCGAGCGTGATGTAGAGCAGGTCCGCCAGGCGCTTGGTCGCTGTGTATATCTCTACTTCTCGGCATCAATACCCGACATGCACAGGAGGACGGATAGGAGAGGGGGCCGACCAACATACATGGCAATCCCAGATCATTGATAACCCGCCCCAGCAGCAGCTCCCTGTTCACGGGCGGAAACGTGATCCCGAACTTCTCATGAAGGAGCGCAACCATCTTGTGCACAGTCTTGTACAGCCTTCCCTTCGCCAGTTTCCCCATCGGCTCGAGGGCCGTGTAGTACTCGGCACTAAGCTTCTCCCTCATCGTTGGCGGCACCTCCTTGATAGCCCGCACAAACACCAAGTCCCCCTCCTCAACCCACGTATGGATGTCCCCCAGCGTGACAGTATACCGCATCAGCAGCAGGCCGAGATAGCACAGCGCCAGCGACTCGATGAGCCTGGGACGATCCGTCGCCTTCGGAACGCGGCGCTGGCGCCGCCTCCTCGAGGAATACGTCGTGCTCGCGATCGTATCGCTATCGCTGGTGTACAGATAATTCGAGCTGGACGAGTATCCGCCGTCGTCGGCGACGGACTGCGACCGCGAGTGTGCGCGTTGACTCCCGGGCTGCGACGACTGTGTCGCAACACTTTCAGGCAACATATCCGCAACAATCCTCAACCTAAGAGCCCACAGGTCCCTGACCACCTCCTCCAGCCTCTTCCCATCGCCACCCCCATCCCCATCCTGAACCCCCAGCTTCTGTACCAACCATCCCACCTGCTTCCTCAGCAGCACCTGGAGACAGCACAGGTAGAGCTCGAAGCCCTTACGCCCGCGCAGGACCTTGAGCACGCGCTTCTTCTCGTCGCCGGGAGCACGCGCCGCCCGCGCACCCACCTGGCCGAACCCTTCGTCGTCTGCCGCCATGTCGAGCTCCCCCGCTCGCATGTGCCCGTTCTTGCAGAACCATCGGCCGTTCTCGGGGAAGAAGAGGGTTTGCTTGCAATTGTCGATGCCGCACCGCGTGAGGCGCTTATATTCCATCGTGGAGTGGAGACGGGGGCGGGTTGCTGCTGGGTGTGGGTGTGGGTGTGGGTGTGGGCTCGTAGGTGGAGGCGGCGGGCGGAGGGCGGAAGTGCGTGCGAGACAACTGGGAAGACGCGAGGGACATGGATTGGCAGACACTCTACGCGTGCGGAAAATCTGCGGTAACGCTGCTGACTCGTGACACCCACCACCCCCCACCTGAGTAACCCCGCATCTAGAGTAGCTACGTCCTCATCCACATCCACTCCCACATCCACATCCCGCCAGCCAGCCGTTTCCACATCTCACCGAATAGCCCAATTGACGACTACACGCAGCGATGGGCGGACACTAGTTAGGGCAGTGGATGAGGAGGAACTCGCAGCCATAGAACTACCAGAAGTACCTTCAACATCGCTGCATAAGTAGCCGGTATATTTTCGATTTCACATCCCGATTCATCAAGGCTTGGGCGAGACCGGAGGAAAAAAAAGAGAGATGGATAAGAGCATATTGGCGAAGAGGCTGCAGATTCGAAGCAATTCCCCAACCCCAAGCGATTTCCATAAACCCCATCTTGTCATATACCAATATCCAGCATATCATATGCAACCAGAAACTTTTGGGTGTGTTTTGACAGTAATCCAATTTCCCCCCCACCCCTCCACATCAATTGTGTGCTTGCAATCAAAGAGAAACTCCCCCGCCGCTGCTGCCCCAATTGCTCCACTCCACAAATGTTCGATCGGTAAAGGGAGAAGGATGGTTGAAAAAACGAAAAACACAAAAAGCCCCGTGCAAACGCACCTAGACGAAAAAAGACGGAAGAATCGAAGATGTGGAAAAAGAAAGCGAGAAACTAGGTTTAATTTTAATCCTTGACTCCAGCAAAACAATTAGGCCTTGGGGGCCTCCTTGACGGAAATGGCGGCCTCCTCTCCCATGGCGGCGATGATGGTAACCACTATCGAACAGAATCAGCCATTGTCACCGAGAAGATGGCGGAATATGCGACTTACAGATGTCGGTTCCGGCGTCCTCGTACTCCCTGATCTTGTCACCGACCTCTCCTTCGGGGACCTTGACGTCGTTCTTCTCGGAACCATCAGGCTTGATCAGGTAGAGGAAATCGTCGTCGATGTACGAGAACTGGTACTCAGTGCGAGTGACGTTGGGCACGTCCATGTTGTGGGTGGAGGGGCAGAGATCCTCGAGCTTCTTTCCGGTGAAGATGTCGATGGCGACCAAGTGGACCTTGGCGTGTCCGTGCTTTCCAGTCTTGGAGGTGCTCATCTCGACAATCTTGCAAGGGCGGCCCTTGATGACGACGTGTCTGTGTAGGAGGAAAACTTCTTAGCATCCCATAGCTCTCTCAAAGCCAGTCGAACCAGGCAGCCAAGACGAAGTATGGACAGCGGACGGAAGGCAAAAAGATAGACACATACCCGTTCTTGCGCAGAGCGGAACACTGCATGGGGTAAGTGGCCGACGCGCCGGCAGAGGCCGACTCGAAGGTGTGGTTGTGCTACATCACGTCGAACAATCCGTCAGCGAAAAATGTCACCGATTCCGCCTTGCAGACCCAGATGTTGCATGTCCTGCTCCGCTTCCTCGCCCTCAAGCCTTCCCCCTCCCTACGCTTCCCTTATCCGAGACTGCGCGAGAGTGGGAAAATAGAGTGGCTGTCTATTTTTTTTCTCTTTCATTCCGTTGTGGATGAGGGCGAAGCGGAGAGGGACGGCAACGTCGAAGGCGGGGGCGGGGTAGAAGTAGAAGTATATTGTCTTACCTGCTCATCGTTATCGGTATCGGCCATCTTGAAAGAAGTGTACGGTGTAAAAGAAGCGAAAAGATAGAAGGGAATAAGGGGTGGGAATTGGGGGGAGAGTTTGATTTCGTCGGGGATGTGGTAGCGTTGAGGGGTGGTGGGGTTGGAGGAGGAGGAGGATGAGCAACAGGAAAGTGGAGGGGGGGGTGGGGCTTGGTGTTCGTGGAGGAGGGGTGAATTTTACTAACGGCGAGAAAGAAGAAGCGCACGCCAGGACGGACGAGTGAGAATTTGTCTAGTGCGGTTCAGGTTACCCCACTTGTGCCCACTCACCACCAACCACCACCACACAGAGCAGCGCAACGCAAAGCAAGCTTCTTATTTCCTTTTTTTCTTTTCTCCATTTTTTTTCTTCACCTTATCCATCCTGCATCGCCTGCTGTTATCGTCCTAGAGAGAAGCCAGAACTCAAAGGTCGTGTGGCCAAGCCTCATCGCAAACCTCCAATCGCACGCAGGCAATAATAAAAAGCCTTTCAAGCCACTGATCAGATTGGCGACGCTTTAGGGCTCTGCCCTTGCCATCCCGCCACTCGCCGCAAGCCGCTAGCCACAATTCACGCGCATCATGAAAAGACCGCGCACCGGTCCGAAAGAAGAAAAAAAAGAAAAAAAACAAGATGCAAAAAAAATCAATCGCGAACGAACGAGAGCAGAGTAGCACGTAAAGAAGGGCCCCAGTGAGCAACAATTCCGTCCGATGCATCAGCATCTGCATCTGCATTCCCAGTTCCCGCCACTCATGGAGCATGCAGCGGCCACCCACGCACCCACGATCGGTCCTCTTCCTCCTCCACCTGCGGCTCGCCGTCCCTTCCGCGCAGCGCGCGCAGCGGCAGCAGCAGGCCAGCCGCTTCTCAACCACCCAATCAAATGACGCCGCAAAGAGCAAGAGCAAGAGCAAACTCCCCTCGTCGAGCCTGCACAACGACCTCGCCTCGTTCCGGCGGTACGCCACCGATGTCGACCTCCCCGTCGACACGACCGTGTACGTCGGGACGATCTATGAGTACGCCTCGTCCCCGCACCCGCCCCACCCATACTTCCCCCCACACCGTCCCATAGACTTACAGTCCACGTAGATACACCGTCCTGCGCGTCCTCTCACGTCTCGGCATGTTGTTGACACGGGTCGGGGGCCGTGACGACCGGGGCGTAGACCTTCTCGGAACGTGGTCACCACCGCCCGCGCTGCCATCACGGCCGGCATTGCGCATCTACGTACAATGCAAAGCGGAGCGGGCGCGGGCGGGGCCAAAGTTTCTTCGGGAGCTTGAAGGGACGTTGGGGACCACGGCGACGCGGCCGCTGGGGATACTCGCCACAAGCGGGTTCTGCACCCCCGGCATGAGGAGACATATGCAGCTGTCGAGAATGCCGCTGGCGTATTGCTGCGTCGAGCCTAGGGAGGAGGGGGGTTATATAAAGCAGTTGATCTGGAACGCTGCGGCGGCGGAGTTGATTGGAAATAGGGTCAGGGCTACCACGAAGTTTGTACCTACTGGTGAGGTCGGCGAGGATGGTGAGGAGGAGATTCGGATGGAGGCCGTGTTGACGGTGGATGGGCAGCCCTTCGAGCCGGTGGAAGGTACGATTGAGGACAAGGGAGGTGTTCATGGAGATGTTCAGGGAGATGCTCAGGGAGACGATGTTCAGGGAATACCAACATGAAGTATCGCCCACTGCCCACTGCTGCACATCAGTTTCACCATCACAATGACATTAGCATGCATCGATGTTACATTCGAAGAGTACATTGTTAAATATGTAACTTTCCTTGCAGAAAAATATGTCATCTTTCATGCTCGGCTGCTGTCCCTCGCTCGAGCTGCTCTAGATAGAATCCTAATGATCAAACCCTTGTCCTGTTGAAGAGACGCAAAAGTATGTGTGGATGGCGGGAATGGCAGAAAAGGACCAAACATATGGGAACAGAGAAGGAAAAAGAGAGAGAATAGGAAGGAAAGGAAGGAAGGAAAGAAAGAAGAAAGCAAAAAAAAAAAGTTATTTACATGAAGCATTAATACCAAAATATAGTGTACAAGCAGGCTTCCGATCGATATATAACCATATCCACCGTCCGAACAGAAAAAAAACACGAGGGAGAAGGAGCTGGTGGAAAAGGGACAAAGTAAACAAGAAAGGAAAAGAAAGGAAGAAACAGTGAATACAAAAAACGCCATCCAAAACAGTTCAATGCTGTGCTGCCGAATGAACATCTAAACGTGTCAAGAAAATACTCCATAGCCTGCCCGAGCCTGTACAATAACTTCTTTCTCCTTCTCCTTCTCCGCAGTCGACTTTATTCCCAATATTTTTACATGTTCATAGCATGCTTTGCTACTATTGGTGCCGCTTCTTCTCGCCATCTTCTGGATCCTCCAGGAATATCTCCATCAATCCCGCCAGCGTAGGTCGCGTCTTGCTGAAATGAATCGCCACAAACCAGGCTGCCAAGATATTTACAAGGTGATGCAACCGGTAGGCGTACGTCAGTCCGTACAGTGCGGAATATGCTGCTAGGCCCAAGAACAAGCAATTTGTGACGTATTTCATCCTGTCAGGTTCGGTTGCGCGTCAGTAAAGAGATCTTATCCGTTGACCAAGGAAATGAGGGGATTCTTACTTGGTGGTAACACGAGGTATCATGTTCCCCGTTGTGAGAGTTTCCACTAGAAGGATGAATGGCATGATTGAGAGAAGGTTGTGGTGAGATGTGAATGGTGTGAGCCAGTGTACAGCCAGGTTGTGACTCCAGACAGCTAGCACTGGCAAGTTGATGGGCAAAATCCACAGCATGATGACAAATATCGAGTAAGAATAGTTGTAGAAATCCCAAGCAGGCCCGGAATTCTAGATGACAATTAGCAGCTCCTCAGGCACGTTCAGTGGAGGAGGGGGGGATGTGCTTACGTTTTCTTTAGCGTGCTTCAGAGCGCGGATGCAAGTAAAGAGCTGTACGATACAGGCAACCATGTACGCAAACTGATATGGGACTATCGTCGCAACGAAAAGTAGTAGGAATGAAGTGACAACGATCCTTCTCCGGGGGCTGCTCGTCGAGAATGGCCCATTGTTCGCGCGTCGTCGTTCATGACTTTCCCATCTCGGCCGTCTGTCCAGAACGGAGTACACCGTCGCGGATGCATGCACAATGATCATCGTCAGATGGTTGATCAAGACCGTTACACCAACAGCAATCAGCCCGAACAACGGCGCAAGGAACCAAAAGAATGGATCCTGCAGGCCAATGAGCATGTCATTCTTGGCAAACTGCATTGATGCGGTCGTTGAAGGATGACTTTCGGACCGTTTGTCGAGGGGAGATGGAACACCATGCGTTGATTCCGACTTCGCAAACGAGAGTGAAACGGCCATGAGAGAGAGAGACATGAGGACCAACGGCAGAGATTGCGATACGAAAAGATCCATCCCTTCGCCGAAGCTGATGAACCGACCTGTCACCAACAAAGTCATGTTAGTATTCATTGACGTTTCCCCATACGTTAGGAACACTTGGATCATCATTACCATTATTGTCGTATTGTTGGAACTGTTTGCGGAAAACCAGAGCCACGATAAGCAACGGAAACGCCGCAAACGCTGTTCTATACCGCATACCGAGCCTTCCAAGACTGCCCAGAAAATCCATCTTCACAGATATATCGATCGGCGTGTTGCACGTTGGGTCGGACCAGATCTGAAGCGACAGTCCGCGCCTGCTGTTTGGACGTAACGCCGGAGGTAAGAAGGGTGCCGTTCCGTGGAGATTGATATCTGCTGTTTGCACGTTGACGAAGAACTTGGACTCGTAAGGGTCTGCGAGATATTGACGAACAAGCGGAGTAAAGAGCTGGCCGTTGTTGCAGATTTGTGGCCCAACAGTAAGCTTATACGCGAAGAGGCTGCTATGTATCACGGGGATATTGATATCGGTAACCAAGGCACGATCGGCCGGAAGAGTGATGTGTACACCATCCGTGAGGAGTCCCGCCAGACTGGCGTTTGATTGCACGCGGGAGTCTCTCGTGCTGACGAATTCGGCGATAACCCACCCATCGGTCTTCCGACTAGCCTTGTCGACGACAGCGACAAACTCGAACCGGTCGATCTCCTGCTCGGCGAACTCTGCCAGTTCTTCCAGCTTGTACTCGAGATACGAGAATGGCGTTCTATCGTCGAACGAGTGTTTCGCATCCTTCGTCGAGGCGGGCAGGCGAATCACATCGCCCGTGGCACCCCTGCAGGCCAGACGGGTCGACCCTGGGGTGTCCCCCGACAGATCCATGTTCATCGAGAACAGGGCCGCGCCTTGCCCCGACTTTGGCGGCCATACGCTGCAGAATAACACCTCCAACTTTCCGTTCCTCCCTTGTTCGAGCGTCTGGTCCGTCATGAGATTGAATTTGATGCTTCCCGGTTCGCCAACGGGTGGTACCGGCATCAGGTAAGCTCGTGGCTTCTGGGATTCTCCCAGGTTTCGCAATACAAGGCGCTGGCCCAATGAGGTGATGTTCTGCGAGTTGTCTTCGAGGGTCAACAGAGTGGTCGGCACGGCCCGGGGAAGCAACTTCTCGGTGCCCTCCTCCAGACTCGTCAGTAGCCACTTCTTCAACAGTCGCATTCGGTCCGCACGGGGCTTTGTCTGCTCGGCTCTGCGAACATCGACAATATCGAGCATGGCGCGGGCAACCACTTTCATTAGTTGATCGCACCAAAGGATGGCCAGATGGTCGACTCCAAGCCACACATCCGGAATCGAGGAAGTGTACACCGTGAATCCGTGCGTGTCCGGGACCAACGACGAGATGCTGGCATAGTCCGAAGGCACCACACCATCCAAGCCTCCACCCGCAATCGACACCAAGGTCGTATGCCACAGCGGGTTGTTGTTGGCCCACTTCTCGGAGAAAGACCGGCTCCAGAAATTGTTGATGTCGTCGTACGTCTTGACGATCTGCCTGTCAAAAGATACCGGTGGGCGCGCATGGGGCGCAGACATGGTGATTATCGTGTTTATGGACTTGATGCGGTAGTTGGGCATTATCAACATGGTGCGCGCCACGATTCCTCCCATCGAATGTCCAAAAATTATAACCGAGCTGGGGTCGGGCAGATCCGAGTCCATGGTCGACTTGCGAGAGTCGTGGTAGAGCGAGAGAATGTAGGCGACCGCCTCGTTCAGATATTCCGCTTGGTCGAGGACGGTCTGGCCGTGAAACGCGGTGATATCCTCATTGAAATCGACGGTGAAGAAATCTAGGTTCCGAGATCCGGCTTTGGCTAACGTTTCGTCTTTGGAGAGGACATTTTTGAAGTGGCGAGCTGCTTCCGCGGCGATGGGCCGTACCTGTCGATAGCTGCCGGCGTTCCCGGGAATGAACAAGACGGGGACTCCTTTAGGCTGCTTCGTGGTCAGCCTTTTCTTTCTTTTTTCTTTTTAAGTCGCGAGAGAGGGAGGGCGTGAAGTCGCGGGAATCGCGCTCAGCGCATTCGTCTCTTTGTTGCCGCGAGAGCGAAAGGCGAGGACGAGTAACGTACCGGATAGTCCTCATCCACGCCATGTTCCCGGTAGAGATACAGACTGTATTTGCTCGCAAAACGCGTGTGTTCGGTGTCGAAGTCCTTGGCCTTCAGGTAGACTGGCGACATCCGCGACATTCGACAGCCCTTAGCATCGCATTGTCGCTCCCGATAAGACTGAACGATGGACCACAGCACGAACGCCGAGAGCAGTGTCACAGCCAGTGTTCCTAGCGAGCAAGCCCAATTGGACCGTGAACGTGATCGCCTGTAATTCCTCGTGTCCTCCATCTGTTCCTTGCTCAGCCGCGACCCCTGTGATTGTGCTTTGGATGTGGTTATGGTTGTCGTGGTTGTCGGTGTGTCCGAGCCCAGTGGCACCGGGATATCTGTAGCCCCCTCCTCCCCCTCCTCCGACTCCTCCGATTCCTGCTCCCCTGTTGCCGCAGGATTCCACGCACCGCTACCGCTGTCTGGAGAAATCGGAGCCGGAGAACCCTTTTTCTTCTTCACGGTCCCATCCGTCGCCTTTGTCTTTGTCTTGGGCTTCGTCGTTGTCGCTGTCGTATTATGAAACTGCTGGGCAGTAGCGAAGCGACATTCGTCCGCGGGACCGACGGGTGCTTGGTGTTGTTGCTGCTGCTGCTGCTGCTGCTGCTGCTGTTGTTGGTGTTGTTGGTGTTGTTGGTGTTGTTGGTGTTGTTGGTGTTGTTGTTGGTGTTGATGTTGATGTTGATGTTGAGGTTGTTGATGTTGTCGCTGCTCTGAATCGTCGCAGACTTCCCGGGTAGTCGAGGAATCGCGGGATGAGCGTCGACTCCGCATCTAAAACGGAGGTTTATAGTTTCGAAAGCCAAGTCGGGATTGCGAATCGGGCGTTATGGATGCGGGGGGGGCGTTGACGAGAGATCGAGAAGGCGGCAGCAGCAGCAAGCAGCAAGCAGCAGCAAGCGGGCGGGCGGAGACAAGGCAGACGACAAGACGACAAGACGACAAGACGACAAGACGACGACGGGGAAGCGATTCGCGCTGGGTGGTTGGGTGGGTGGTGGGTTGGGTTTTTTTTGGTATTGGTATTTGGTATGGGTATGGGTATGGGGGTATGGGGGGGGGAGTTGCCGAGCGAGCGAGCGAACCAAACGAGGGGGTCGGGATGTAGTCTCGAGAACGCCCTTCTTCAGCGACACGGCGCGTTCGTTCAGTCCAGTCGAGTCTCGTTCAGAGAGATGATGCGCTCGCTCTTCTGGTCGCAACGGGAGTGGGCCGTTATCTATCATCCCCGAGAAGAGAAGCCTTGTATTCCACTATGCAGACAGACATACATCATGCAGTGTCGGAACTTGCTCTCTTCTACATATCTGCCTTGTCTGGTGCTCGTGGTGCTCGTGGTGCTCTGTACCTACTCTATTCTACCCGCGCGAGTCAACTGCCAACGGGATAGCCCCCGATTGATAGCTAGATGCCATAGCTAGAATCGTAAAATTCAGCAAGTGCAGCGTTAATCCCGTATCGGCAAGCATGACTGCGGTACTTAGGTGGTTACTCTAGCCCTGCAACACGACGGCGGTAACCTCTTCACTGCAATATCTAGGAGATTAATACCTCCATCAGGACAAGCTGTATCGTCGGTCGCGCGCATAGGGACATGCTCAGCTAATTGTTGCTGAAGTCATGACAGAGGTTGTCTGAGTGTAAAAAGCTTGTACCATGGCACTACACTGCACTGATCGTCTGTTAAATGGGTATAGGATAGAGTAGATAGATGTTTGGCGAACCCCGATACCGTTTGCATGGTTGGATTATCCGGAACTTGTTGTTGGCCTTCTTCTGTCTGTCCGTCCTTCGTCTTCGGCCCGACCATACCGGTAGACCTTGTCACGGTTCGTACCTAGCATTCCTATGCGAGAGTGGTCGTGACGAGACCCAATCCTACATACCTCAGTCACTCGAGACGACCATTCGGATTTGCATGCGACGACCATTCACCTCATTGGTGACTTCAGTTCCTGACCTGGGTACATGCCCAAGTTTCAACTCCTCCTCCTCCTCCATTGGACCCCACCTCCAACAACTCGTTAATTGGGGCCTAGGTACTCTATTTGAGTACTTGCAGGTCCAAGAGCAAGTACATACGACTGCCAGAGCGGAAACACCTTGGAATACCGGTACTCTGTGGCCTCAGTGCCTCACATTACCACCGAACGACACTTCAAGAGGTGTAGGTACCAGTTTACTGAACGAAGGCAATTCACAGGTGCAGATGTCTCATCCAACGCAGAACCCGATTACAGGCGGCTATGTAGAGTATCGACGTCCTCCCCGACGCCGCTTTCATCATCGCATGCCGTCATGTGGTGGTGGTTGACGATCTCGAGCAACCACCGATGATGCACATGGCGAATATCGAGAAAGGCAAGGAGACAGCTATGGAGCGAGAAGTTGGAACCGTTGTGACTTCTGTCGGCCTTGAGGCTCTGGTTACAGTGTACCGGTAACTGAATCACTGCGCACGTATGTACCACATTTACATGTATCGTACTCGGCTACCTACCGCATCATCACGATTATTTGCGCACGCTTACTACCGTACGTCCGCTTACCTACGAGGCACCTACCACTCGAGCCGCGTTGTTAAGCTTCAACCTGTCAGCTCTCCGTTACATATGTCATATGTTCGAGAAAACACTTCCCGCCGCCGTTGGTCGTCGCATCATGTGCCACGGACCGTCCGTTCATTACACGCGTCCGGTGGTACGTAAGTGAACACGCAGTGACAAAGTGGACCACGTACATACGGTACTCTCAGGGCATACACAGCACACGGAGGACGTGGAAGGCATGGCTGAACACGTCTGATGGACAGCTGCGTTTCGCAGTAGAGTGCTTTCTCAACTATTCCTTCCAAACTCTCAATTCTCGAACGCCCCATCCTCATCTCTCTCTGTTCTCTCGATGCACCACCGTCTATCACTCACTCACTCGCGGCGCTACTCCAAACGCCCACCCCCCCCCCCCCCCCCATCCCTGTCCAGAAAAAAAACAGAAAAACGAAATAAAAAAGAAGCCCCCAGCAAACTAACGCAACTTCGGAAGCGAAGCCCTGAACCGTCTTGACTTTCCTGCCCCTGCAGGAGAAGACCGACCGACCGACCCCCCGACCGACCGACCCCCCGACCGACGCCCCCCCCCGACCACGTCCACCCACGACTCCACGTGCACCCGGAAAAATATTCGCGAACACCATCTGCTACGGTACTACTACTACTGCTATGCTAGGTAGTATGTATGGTACATACCGGCGACCGCCTCCCCCCTTCACCGGATGTCAGGCATGCAGAAATTCGTACAGTACATACGGTACCGTAGTACCTGGCGGTTTCATAACTGCCAGATGAAGGAACCTTCCGTATCTTCTTCTGGACGGAGTACTCTACATACATAATGTAACAATTGTACATAACCATCGTAATCGTAACCAGCGTAGCCACGCATCGCACGAATACCTCAGCCTCAGCACCTCAGCACCTCAGCCTCAGCCTCAGCAGCAGCCTCAGCAACAGGGCGCAACGGCGAGACGACGCTCGGCTCATCGGAGCTCACTCGGGCGCGCGGTACGTGCGTGCGCGATGCAAGGTGCGGGAAGGTGGATCGCCGTCATTTCGTTCCCCCCCGGCCCCCGGCACCGGCTCGGGATATTTGTGTGTACTGGTACGTGGAGTACTCTACGGTGTATGTAGGTAGTCCGAGGGAGGGAGGGTGGGTGGGTGGGGGTGGTATCAGAGTACCCGAGTGCCTGTGATACGTGCTTACCAGAGTACAATACATGCTGCGCCGACATCCGCCGTCCAGATGTCCTATGTACGTGCGATCAACACGAGGAAACAAAACAAAACAACCCAGCGAAAGTCAGAGTGCATACATACTACAATCGTATTCCAAGAGCCATCCCTCACGTTTGGACACATACCGTACCTACCGCAGTAGGTGGGTCCTTCGCTGTGCACGACACGACACGAAACAACACGACAGCACGGCGCAGCCATGTATCATGTCCTGCGTATCTTATGTAAGTACGTACTCTGGAGTACCAGGTAGTACTTGGGTACTTGGGTATGTAGAGTAGACATGTAGAGTGTGTACTGCGCCTCTGCCCAACGATCAGACCGTTCCTTCCCCCCCTCTCCTCCGCCCCTCCCCCGGTATAGGAGCGTGCTGCAGTACGATACGACAGCAGTACTCTACGTAAGATGGAACGTCTAGAAGTTCTTGATTGCAATATGGCCCCCCGTGTGAACACACGGTACCGTAGCTACCGTAGCTATTACATCTTACATCATACACACGACCGGCCAGTACCCCGCCAACGCCGTACCTACTCTACATACATCCACATACTCTACATGTATACATACCTGAGTACCAGTACTTACTTTCCTAGACTCCTAGCCATACCCCCCCCCCCCCCCCCCCCGCATGTACGCCCGGCAGCACATACCACAGCCCGATGGAACCTCGACTTCTACATTCATTATATGTATACTCGGAGTCTCGGAGGTGGGACTGAGACTGAGACGTCGCTGGCAGCGGGCTGCGGGCTGCGGGCTGCGGCACGTGTACCTACCTTGCAGGGGTTGGGGATTCTTAAAGCTTCCGGTTACTCGACTATTAGTACTTGGTACATCGGCATCGACATCGGCATCGGTCGGCACCTTTTCTGGCCCAACTACATACCGGTACCGCGAAAGCTCTCGCCCCGGCTTTTTTTTGTTCATCCATTGATTGCGTGCGACTCATCTAGGTCATGGCAATAACTACCCGTTCGCCACCAGCTCTCGCCCTGGCAGGAGACTCAACAGCCACGACGAAGCCGAGTCGAGTCGAGTGACGGTCCGTGTCCGTGTCCGTGTCAGTATCCGTGTCAGTGATAGTATCCGTGTCCGTGTCAGCATCCGTGTTCGTGTCCGTGTGGACTGCGTTTCCACATCCGCATGGTACGATGGACTCTATTCACGAGCTTCTGCGTCTGCGTATGTGCTCAAGGGGGCATATTGAACTGGCGAGGTTCTGGAAAGCTGTTGGGTGGGTGGCTGGGGGTTTCGTCCGAAAGTGCTGGTGGATTGGACTCGGGATGGCTGTGCGGTTGCTTTGGATTTCTATGTACATACATGTATATACATAATGAACGTCTACTGAACTACTATCGATCTTTTCCACTGCACTCCGTCTCGGTGTATCTGACACGGTGCTTATCGACGTCCTTCAGCACGCACAGAGGTGGAGAAGCGGCTGGGCCCATAGACCATAGTTACATACTGCACATATTTCATTCCGCTTCCAGCGTCTAAACTTCAAAGTCTCATTCCCCACCGAATCCTCAGGCTGTGTAGATACCTTCCGCTCACTGGCTGGAGCAGCAGGCAGTCCCACCGCCGCCAGATACCCACCGTAACTCGAGAAGCACCGTACGGAAGCAGGTGACTTCGTAGCCGGTGCCGCCAGTATTGCGAGGCCTCGTTGATTTGGACTTGAGTGCCCATGCCCATGCCCATGCCTCTGCCCTCACATGGACCGTGATACGGCTCACAGGCATCGTCTGAATACTTCGTGAAGACAGACAAGAACCCGCAAGCTGCATCTCGCAGGGCTGCATCTCACAGTCACGGCACTCGAGATGAAGAAGTCCAAAGACAAGTGAAAACCCCAATCCCATCAATTGTAAAGTCAAGTCAAGTCGAGTGTATCAAAATAGAGCTTCCCATTAACCAACCATCAACCATCGTCATCTTGGTTTTCCGCCATCAGATCAATCCTGTAAAAAAAAGGCCCCCCGTTACATGCAATTGAGAACCCGAAAATACCGCCCCAGATCATCAGCAGAAACGCCCCACATCTTCTTGGTTTTCCGCCATCATGTTCGTCATGTCCATCCTGTAAAAAAAAACCCCCGCCCCCCGTTACATGCAATGAGAACCCGGAACCCGAAAAGACCGCGCAAGATCAACAGCAGAAATAGCCACACGAACGAACGAAACAAATCAGCAAGAACATAGAACTGAAGAACCATCACCCCTTGCCTTGGTGCGTGTATGACAGACAAATCAAACGAGAAAGAAAAAAAACGAGACATCGGAAAGTCTCGAAGATTATCCTGTAGTAATTGGGCATATCTTGGGATGATCTGGAGAAAACAGCAAAGGAACTCCGAACCATAGCCATGGAAATTGCAAATCAAATGCCGGAAAAAGAAGCAACAGTAAAACCGATCTGGAGAAAACAGCAGAGGAACCATAGCCATGGAAATTCGCAAATCAAATGCGGGAAAAGAAGCAACCGTAAAACCGTAAAACTTTGAAGGTGTAGTAGGTGTAGTAGGTAGGTATTTCGAAATCGTCAGAAAAGATGCAACAACACAATCATGGGAAAATTCCAGAACACCGAGCCCATCCATGCCAACCCGAATTCGTGGCAGAAGGAAGAGGGGAAAAAAGAGAAGAAAGCCGAAAAGGTCATCAATCGTGAAATTCGAGGTCACCGAGCCCATCCGTGCCGATGCGAATCCGTGCCACAAACGTAGAGGAAAAAAAAGAGGGAAACTGAAAATGTCGTCCGTAGATCGTCCGTGTTGACCCGCCGTTACTCCAAGGCGGCAGAGTCGCAGCCCACTCCGAATTCCTTCCGGAACTCCTTCTTCATCTTCTCCAGCTCTCGTTCCATCTTGAGCAGTTTGATGGCCAAAGCCTTCTTGCCACCCTTCAGCACGGATCCGGAGTCGGAGAGCGACTCCGGATCCGTGCTGGCCCGAGCCCTACGAGCCTTCTTCCGTACGGGGCGATCGGCCCCCGAAATCTTCTTGCGTTTGCCTGCGGCATCCTTCTTTCCAGCAGCATCCTTCTTGCCAGCAGCAACCTTCTTGCCAGCGGCACCCTTCTTGCCAGCGGCAACCCTTTTCCCGGCCGCAACATCTTCCTCCGGGAAACCCGCACCGTGTCCAAAGACCTTGGTCTCGCGAACGACGAGCCAGTAGGACATATCCTCGGGCACCTCGGAGCCGTTGAAATTCTTCCAGACATTTGCTTGCCGCTGGAGTTGCTTCTTCGCAATCTTGAGGGCTTCCTCGTGAAATCTCTCCCGGTCATGGGACTTCTTGATAGCCCTAAGGCCAGCAGCTGCAATGTCGTCACGATATTGACGACGGAATTTCTTCCACGTTTTGTGGTCCTTAGACCTCGCCAGGTTCAACTTCTGCCGCAGCTGGGCAAAGTTCCACGTCCTATACTTGATGCTCTTCTGGTCAGGACGTGTGGCAGGCAAGTTGGAGCCGGGGCCATCTTCTTCAGCAGCGCCAGGCACCTTGTTGATGGTGGGAACCGGGGCACCAGTCAAAATGTGGTACCGGGAGTAAACCTCCTGAAGGAACACATGGAAGAAGCTGTGACCCTTATTCACAGCGACAAACTTCACTCCAGCTGCTTCGCAGCTAGGTATGTCTTCCAATGCTAGTCAGCTTCTACTCAAACCAAAGTAGATATTTTATACAACATACCTTGGACTTCAATCTGAGTCCGGCTTTTCTGGTCCTCGGCGGCACTCAGCCACACCAGATTGTTCGTGACCATCGCTCGCTCCCATGCGAACGTGTCGCTTACCCGCTCCTTGATTTTATCGTCCCCTTTGGTGTACATGTCGCTGATGATGATCTCTCGCCAGCGAAGCTCAGCGGCCTCATCAACCCGCTCCTCGACACCTTCGAGGACCTCGCGGAGGTTCTTCTCCTCCGTGTGCCAGTTCCTGGCTTCGTGTTCGTCGTCGTCACCTAAGGCTTCAGATGAAGCCACGCTGTCGCCGGCGTACTTCGCCGGATCAAAGCCAAATTCATCCGCCGCTCGGAGTCGGCCGAGGAGTTCTTGATCCAACTCCTCCTCTGGAAGTTGGCCGAGGAGCTCTTGAACCTCCTCCTCCTCTGCGAGCTGGTGTTCCGTCATTTTATCGGGTGGATTAAGTCAAGAAGAAGAAAGGGCAAAGGAGGGAATGAAGTCGAGAAGGGATGAGATGGAGTTATTTCGGGTTAGGCGAGGTGGTTAGAGAAGGTGTGTGGTAATGGATGAAAAGGAGAGGGAGAGGAGAGGGAAAGGGAGAAGGAGAGGACGGGAGGAGAGAGAAGAGTAGGAGGGTAGTGAACGGCCGAAAAGGGAAGCAGTTGCAGTAGTCGCCCGCACCGTCACTCGGTTTTGAATTTCAGCCACTTCGACCCGTTTCACCTTTACACCGTTGGGGCAGTAGGGCGCCGCATCGGACTGGTCGGTACCGGGGCTTTCACCTCGACTGGCCAGGGCGGGCAGGAAAAAGAGTGCGTTGGTTCGCCATAGTCTACATAGGCTGTATGCGAAATAAAAAAGGAAGACCTCTCTGTTTACACCGTTGTACCCAAGGCGGTCACTTCTCTGAGAAAACATCAAGAAGCAAACATGAAGTAACAAAGAAATGTTTGCTTTGAGTTCACATGTAGAAAATATATATAGATATAGGTACATGTATGCATTTTCTGGTTCATATTTTTTGTTTTGCTTCGTCATCGTAGCATTCGACCTTTGCAGATCATGGCTGTATATACCCAGTTCCGCCCCACTGTCTCCGACCGCTGGCCGAGAGCTCGATGTGGGTTTCCTATTGCCCTCTGGTTCATATTCTCCAGGCTTGGAATGAGTCTCCAATCACGCACGGTGAGGTGGGGATGACAGTGACTACTATTGTCGAGGTGCGATCTTATACGCTGTACGAAATTACCTATCAGTGGAATGGCCTTTTGAACTCTTCCGTGCTGAAAGGATCTTGACGTTGGCTGTTGGATATGGATCCACCTGGATCGATGATATACGAGATCCGAGAGAGCCTGCCGTCGATTCCATCTCGTATTTGACAGCGCAAGAGAGGAAATATGCACCCGTGCTAGCTGAGTAGGATAAGGCAGTTTATTACTGTGGTAGAAATGAAACTTTACTCAAGAACCGCCAGCATCTCCTCCTCGCTCACAAACTTCTCCCTCTCCTTGCCCGTCCGTGCCCCCCGCGCCTTCTCTGCAGCATCAATCTTCCGCCACTCCTCCCAGCTAACCGGCCTCATTCCCCTCGCTTTCGCCTCTACGCTGACCGCGGCCCAGCCCTGTTTTCTCTCGTCACCTGCATTCATAAACTCGCGCTCTCCCGTGATCCAGTCATTGACGATTGCATCCGCCGTCTCGAATGCATCATACATGGTGCTGGCAATCACGCCCGTGGGACCCCGTTTTACCCAGCCACTGGTGTATACTCCAGGCACAACCTCTCCGCGATCGTCGGGGTTGGAACCGGGTTTTACGACCCTTCCGTCTTCGTTTGGTACAAGTCCACGTCTGGTATTGAATGGAATTCCAGCCTCGTCGAAGCCGGGGATCGGCTCGGAGAGGTATCCGATGCTGCGGAACGCGATATCCGCACGGCTTTCTTCGTATTCCCCGGTAGGGTGCACTCGCGATGTGGGGGAGAAAGCCGGTTCCTCCAAGAGTGTCCTCTCCAGACGTATTGCGCCCAGTCTCGTAGAGTCGCTGGTAGAAGGCAGAAAGGCGGAGGGTGAACGGAGGAAGTTTAATTCCCAATGTTTCTGCGCCTCCGAGAATGGTGTCTTTGATCCTTTCTCAAGAATCTGTAGGATACGCTTCTGCTGTCGAGATAGCTTACCGGTGTCCTGCGGAAGCAGTGAGGGATCCACCCCCGGAAATCCAATCCCAGGAATTGAAAGCATCTCTCGAAGCTCTTTCGCCGTGAACGCCGCTTGTAGTGGTCCTCGCCGTCCCACCACCCTCACACGTTTGACTCGACTGCGCGATAGTGCATCTACCGCTTGTTCCGTGATATCCGTCTTCCGAAGCACGTCGACGGAAGAGAGGAGGATCCGCGCCACATCCAGTGCAACATTGCCTTGCCCGATGATCACCGCCTCCTCCGCCGAATCGAGAAACAACTTCGATTCAAAGTTTGCATATTCCGGTAGACCATTGTACCAGCCTACAAAAGCGCGGGCGGAGAAGATACCCCTCAGACTGTCTTCGCCGGGAATGCCGAGTTTGCGATCCTTCGAAGCTCCGTAGGACAGAAGCAGTGCGTCGTAATGTGGGGTTATCGCCGAGAGCGGAAGGGACCGGTGGGGTGGATGCGGCCACGATGTGCCGATTGGTGTATTTCCAATGTATGTGAACCGCGGGGAAGACGCTACTTCGTCGAATTTATCTTGACAGTTCTATTGCGCCTTGATCTCAGTCAGGGCGGAGTTGGCATGGAAAGACTACAGGTGCATACCTTGACTTCAGGATGATCCGGGGCCACTCCGAAGCGTACAAGACCATATGGCACCGGGAGCGATTCGTACATGTCGACATGCGCATTGGTGAGCTTGTTGAGGACGCGGTAAGAGGTGTAGAAACCGGCAGGACCGGCACCGATCACGGCCAGGCGCAAAGGCCGGTCAGTTCGCTTGGATTGCTCTGTTATGGTAGAATAGCACCTTGATCGTGCGAGCCAAGGCAGTATCCGAGAGGGGCGTAGGGGGGTCATGGTGGGGGGAGTTGTAGATTTCGTTGGCGGGCTGTGACACAGAGATGAAGTGCATTTTAAGAATCGGCTGGAGCCGCCAACGTCATCCAGGGTCCCTCCGGCCCATCCGCTGCAACTCCCGCCAACTACCCAGACACCTTGGGAAGATTTCCAACGCTTCCTATGCACCCCAGAAGTCCCTATGTCGCCTATGTTGATTTCAGAAAGCTTGGACAAGAATGTCCCGGATTCGCGCCATAGTAGGCTGCCTTTTCCTTCAATTGGATGCGACAGCTGAGCTGAACGCGTCTCACTAGTGTGAACGCGAACTCCAATGTCGACTTCAGGAATCCAGCGGCTGTGAGGTATCTCTTGCTACTCCTCCTCTAAACTCATCGATTGGTCCCAATGGCTGAAATTGATAGGGAACTTGCGAAGAGCCTTCTGGCACGTGACTTTGGTCTCACGGTGGAGCTCCCGGAGGACCGCCTGTGTCCCATGATTCCAAACCGGTACGATATCGCACAAGCCGCCACTGCCTCCCGAGTACGTCTGGACTGACACACTTCTGAAGCTTAGACTACATCCTCTGGATTCAGGACCTAATCGATTCGACCAGCTGCGACCTGACCAGCGAGTCCAACCCATCGTCTCCAGTAACCGGTCTAGATGTGTAATCCTCCCACTCCCGGCGACCCAATGATTGTGCGCTAAGTATTTTGAACAGCGGGACAGGAGCGAGTTGTATTTACCCCCTTTTGGGTTGCACCTTACGACCGTCCTGGCGTTTCATAGCTACCGATGTCGACCACGACTCCCTCCAGAGCGCGAGTTGTAACATTACCGCGAATGCCGTTCTCCTTGGTGACCGCATCCAGCTCCATGAAACCGGCGTCGAATGGCCACTATTCTCCCTCGATACGCTGGGGATAGAAAACATCGACTTCACCATGTGCAACCCGCCTTTCTACACCTCCACTACCGCGCTCGCCGAATCTGCCGCGAAGAAAGCCCTTCCGCCATCCTCGGCATGTACTGGGACACCCACAGAAATGGTTTATACCCCCACGGGCGAAGTAGGCTTCGCCAAGCGAATGCTGCAAGAATCCATCGTTCTGGGCACACGCATCCGCTGGTATACCACGCTCTTCGGCAAGCTTTCTAGCGTGTCCACATTCGTATCTGAACTCCGGACCATCCCGCAGCTGGGTGAGTCTGGAAACTGGGCAGTCACCGAGATGGTACAGGGCACTACTAGACGCTGGGCGGTGGCATGGAGCTTTGGAGACCGCAAACCGCTCCCTGGGGGACGGCCAGCTGCACTGAAGGGGTGCTTCCCGTCGGTGCCGTCGGAGTTGGAATTCGGCGTGGATAGAAGCTACGAGGAGGTGTGTGGGGAGGTCATGGTGTTGCTTGCGGGACTGGAGCTCCTGCAGATCAAACGGGATGGTGGAGAATTTTATGGCGAGGCTAAGGGAAATGTCTGGTCTCGTGCTGCAAGGAGGGCTATGGCGAAGGGATCCATGGATGCCACTGGCGATGAAGTCAATGTGAGGCTAGGGTTCTTGGTTACGGTCAAGGCTGAGGGGAGGAAGGCGAGTGTTAGAGTTAGGTGGAAGAGGGGCCGTGATGGAGTGCTGTTCGAGAGTTTTTGCGGTATGGTCAAGAGGAAGCTTCAGTTAGAGAGATAGTAAGTACCCAAATTGCACATCAAATTTGATATGCCTCGAGAAATAATATCTGGTGTTTGATTCCGGAGAAGAAAAATGTTTCCTATTATCCAATATCAACAGTGAGGACTGTGCCGTATGGTCCACGGTGATGTTGATGTGTGAAGTAGGTATCTTGCAATGGTTGGCTCTCATTACGGCGAATCCGGTGGCCGGATGGAGGGGTTGACCGGCCAAGGCGAGGTAGACCGCTCAAGGCGAGGTAGACCGCTCAAGGCGAGGTAGACCGCTCAAGGCTACGCAGACTCACAAGACCAGGTAGACAGCTCAAGGCTACGCAGACTCACAAGACGAAGCAGACCTCTCAAGACGAAGCAGACCGCTCAAGGCGAGGCAGACCTCTCGAGACGAAGCAGACCGCTCAAGACGAGGCAGACCGCTCAAAGCGAGGTAGGCCGCTCAAGGCGAGGTAGACACAAGCGGAGGTGTAAGGCTACGCAGATGCACAAGGCCACCTATCGGCTATCCGGATCTGACTGAGCGCACATGATACGTACGTCGACGTCTTGAGCGTGGCCCAACTTGCTGCGATCTGTAGCTTCGAGCCAGGGGGCAATAGATCGTAGAGTAGCAATTAAGCTGCTACCAGTCGCAGTACTCACACGGCCGGGAATTTAGGGACACCCTCTTTACCTCCACCCCCTGCAGGTCATTATCTGAGATTGGATCCGTGGCTGAGAATGAGCAGCCAGCCACCCTATGTGACGACACTGAGGAAACTACGTTCATCACTCCGAGAAACCCCATATGTACATACATACACCAAGTAGCCCTCGGTTCTTTGATGCTACGAAGATTGTCCTGTATCGTGAAGGTGTAAATTCTTGTGCGGCAAATACAAAGCTCTCGTCTACTGCAAAATCCTCTCCTCCGCGGAGGACATTGCCGTTCAAAATCAACACGTATACACGGCCAGAAATAAGTGTAGATTAGTGAAAGCTCCCCCGCTTGTTCCATTAGGAATCATAGATCTCTTTACATATTAGTGCCTCAAACGGAGCTACACTTTACAGCTATTCCGAGTGATATATACACGGCGGGTGAGTATCCATGACCGATTGATTGATCATGAATGGCCTTAATCTTCGTCTTGAAATCGCGGACAGGCGGGAGGTCAAATCGTTACATAGATCCTTCAAGTGATGCCATTACCACGGACTTACAGTCAATTACTTTGCGTGACGTAAACAGGTCAACTTTGACCAGGGCCTGAAAGCGGTCGATTGCTCCTGATCAGGCCGCACAAATATTTTGGCCGCTCGAACGTTGCTATCCCAATAGGGACGCCATAGCGACTATAAGAACCCCCGTCCGCCCCTTTCTCTTCCTTCTCTTCTTCTCTCCTCCAACACACGCACAATTTTTTTTCAGCCCTCGGTTGGCATTTTCTTTGATGATTTTGGTGATGATTCCCAGCAATACGATGCTGAGGTTTGCTAATGGTTTCTCGATCTCTATTGAGTGTATGTCCCTATCTTCTCTCCTTCGTGACTGCTGCTTCTCATCACCGCTTCTTAGATTTGCTGCTTCTCATCACCGCTGCATCTGCATCTCATTGCCCCCCCTCCCGCTGCTCCTTCCCCTCACTACCTATCACCTTACGTTCTTTTTTCGTGCCGCTTCTTCTCATTATTGCTTCTGCCCGCTGCTTCCTATCTCTCAATTCATCTTCTAACTCCTGTTTGGTCTTAGATGAAAGTGACAAGTCTCACCGTCACAACACATCTCCATTGGAGATGCCGAGGGACAAGTCTCGCCGGCATATTACGTTCTCAATTGGTGATGCCGAAGACACTCGGTATGTGCTGCTTTTTATCATTGTTGCTTCTGCCCGCTGCTTCCCATCTCTCAATCCATCGTCTAACTCCTGTTTGGACTTAAATAAAAGTGACAAGTCTCGCCGACACATCACATTCTCCATCAGGGATGCCGAGGGACAAGTCTCTCCGCCATGTCTTATTCTCTATTAGAGATGCCGAATGACAAGTCTCGCTGACATATTACACTCTCCGGTGGAGATGCCGAGTGACCACTGACAAGTCTCTCCGCCATGTCACATTCTCCATCGGAGATGCCGAAGACGACGACTGCCGATTGGAAACCCGAGAGCACGATGGTTATCAGCAACAAACCGGACCATGAAGAGACACACGAGTTATCGGTTCCCAGCGGGATACACCTAGCGGTCCACGGCAATTCTACCTATCGGCACTTTCCCCTCTTTTCTGTCTTTGTATCGTCTTTATACTGTCATACCCCGACTTACCCACGAGGAGCGGGAGACAAGCGCGAAGACCCGTATGGTTCTTGCGGTGGTGGTGCCACCAAAGACGCCGACGACGAAGCTGACAGAGGGGTCGACAAGCGCGAGGATCCATGGTTCTTGCGGTGGTAGTGCCATCAAAGACGCCCAAGCAGACAGAGAGGTCGAGAAGGCCCAGGAGGCCTAGGGCTCTTGTGGTGGTGGTGCCACCAAAGACGCCCAAGCAGACAGAGGGGTCGACAAGCGCGAGGATCCATCTGGTTCTCGCGGCGGTGATGCCACCAAAGACGCCCAAGCAGATCGAGGGGTCGAGACGGGCCAGGAAGTGTACGATTTGCTGGGTTGTGTTGTTGATGCTGATTCTTCATTACTTTGTGCGGGGGGTTGAGCTCAATAGAGCCAGATGTTTGGGGGGTAGTCAGTTGGTTGGGTATCACGCCACTTCTGTTGGTTGTGTATCACTGCAATTGTATGCATAATTCTCTTGTAGAATGGGTCATTACTTGGTGCGAGGGGTGGAGCTCAATAGGGAATTCCGATGTTTTGGGGGGTAGTCAGTTGGTTGTGGTGTATCACTGCAATTGTATGCATAATTCTCTTGTAGAATGAATCATTTGCTGAAGACTTTCCCGTTCATGATGTGAAGTGGTGTGGAGATTGAAGGTTCTCCATACGGTATGATACCGTATTCCGCAGCCAAGTCCGTCCCCTCGAGATGAACATCTACATAGTAAACCGAACATCCTATCCATCACCGTGGTGATCAGAAATTCGATGTATATAGTTTCAGGATCACCTACCCCTCCCCCCCTCTGTTCTTCCTTATAGGTATACCGGCGGGAAGTGAAGCGGAATTCTCAGATTGTCCATAACATTGTACCTACCTAGTCTATAATTGCGCAACCCAGTCCTCGCAGGAAGGAAGAAAACAACACGATCTCTCCCTCTCCCTTCATACCTTTTACATCCCAGAACCCCTCGCGCCCGCGGCCCGCCAACAAAACTCCATATCACAGCGGGTATACGGTGGATGGCAACCACCATCATCATCGTCACAATAAGCAAAGTCGAATAGGATAGAATACCTCGAAGAAAAGAAAAGAAAAGATTATATTACATCCCACCCCATCCAATCCCATCCCACCGCATCACATCACTCCCCCTCCGCCTTAGCGCGTTTCTTCCCGCGGCCCCTAGCACCGCCCTTCCTTGAGCCACCGCCGCCGCCAGTGGAAGACGAGGACTTATCGGTTCTAGCACTATCGCTGCGGCGAGTCCTTTCCTGCGCCGAGGTGGTGGATGAGTCCGATATATCGCCGCCTGGCGTTCCGGCCCTAGCCGGCACGAGTGGCAAGCCCGTGATAGACCTACGCTTTAGAGAGGCTGTTGAGCCGCGGCGGGCGCGGGCTGTGGTGGTCGTGGCGGTGGTGGTATGGATCTGGTCCGGATCAGGCGTGGGGGTTCTGCCGCGGAGGGAGGACATTGAGCCTGTGCGGGTGCGGCGTGAAGTGGCGGCGGCGGCAGGCGAGGGGGAGTCCTCGGGGTGCGGCTTGTATCGTCGCTGCTTCAACTCCACCCGCCGCTGCTGCCGCGTCTCGTTCTCTTTGCCCCAGTACTCGACCCGGTACAGCTCCCACCCTTCGCGGAAGTCCGGCGAGAAGCCTTTCGGCAGGATCACGAGCTTGAGGTGTAGTCCGCCTGGGAGAAAGTCTTCGACTTCGTCGTCTTCCTCGTCGTCTATGGTGGGGCGCTTGGATGTGATGGAGGTGAGCGCGGGAGGGGTCGGGCGCCGCGTGTTGGACGATGGCCGGCGCTTGACGGTGTGTGTGCGTGGAGGTGGCCGGGATGTGTACCAGCCCCACCACCAGATGAGCCAATCGCGGTAGGACAGCGGGACTTTGACGAGCTTCACGTTGAAGCCGCGGAGACCCCGATTGGCCATGAAGACGAAGCGCCGGGGCTCGACGATGGTTTTCTCGTACAATCCTGTGGCATAGTAGAGGACGCCGGTGACGACGCCGCCGCCGAGCCCGAGCTTTTCGAGGTGGCTGATGTAGTAGTAGGGTGAGCCGCCGAAGACGAAGAAGCGGTAGCAGAAGAAGGCTGTCCAGATGGTGAGGATGAAGAGGAAGAAGGTGAATTTCCGTCGGCGGACGAGATGCGTCAGGTACTGGGAGCGCAGCGACGCTTCGAGGATCAGGAGGTTGAGGTAGATCTGCGACGGCGACGACGGGACCATTTCGAGGGGATTTGTGGGTTGCAACGGTGGGTGATGGTGCGTTGTAGAGCTTGTGCAGCCTGTGGAGACTCCGCCAGTAGGAAGCGACCCTTTCACGCGGAGATCCAGCTCGGGCGGATCGACATTCAAGGTGTGGGACATCGCGGCGGGCCGTGCTGGAGAACCTGGGGTGTCAGGACCCCTCCTGCTTCCTTCTCGGATCTTGTCTCGGGAATGGAGCTCACCCGCATTGCGCACTGGGGCTTGAGATTCAACTTGGTATTCGGGGCCGGATGTGGTGGTGGTGAGTGAAGTCGGATGGCTTTCGCGCTCTCAGCTCACGACGCACACATGTGTATAGCACCGGATAGATAGTACTTGGACGCGGTAGCTACTCTGCCTCTCTTCGTGTAGGGTAAACAGTCATTACGGCATGCTGGCGCCGGTAGGGGTTTAGCGCAGCTAAGCACTCATTCACACCATACCGTAGAGCTCGCTATCGGCGGCGCTGACGGGATATCGATCGATTCCCATGGGAAATCAGCATGTCACCGAAGGGCTTTTATCAATCGTGAATTCGATGTGGAATGACAGGTACTCCAGGTAGGTACTAGCACCTCGGTTTCAGGCTGACTTGACGTGAATTGCGGACCCGCAGATAGTCTCCATAGCATAGAGCACAACACATCTCGGGGTGCAGTTGGTCAATACCTTGCATGTGATGCCACCCTGCTCCTGTGGAGGAGCCACAGTGGCGCTGCATGGTTTGGGCAGTGGCGGATAGCACGTGACCGAAACTGGTGCTCGGGTCAGGCGTTCAGGTACGGACCTGTATTCAGCTTTTGAAGTAGGTAACACACATCGCTGCGTGCAGCGTCACTCCGATCCTCGCAGCAACCGATGAGTAAACCTACATGCAAGATATCTATCCAAGTAGGCAGCAGCGCACGATGCCAAACTGTGTCCACCCACGAGCACGTGATCCATGCTATTCCGACCTACTGTACCAGGACAAAGGTCTTCGTCCACCGGCAATTTCGCACCAAAAATCCAGACGTGCTTTGTTTGAAAGCTGAGTCCCAAAAGATGACGGCGTGGGCGGCGTGAGATCGTGTGAGCCTCTGTACCTACTCTACACAGCCCATCGCATAGTCCTCTAGACGCGCGCTGAGCCTGAGTTGCGCATTTAACTGACTGTCTTAACTCCGTCACCCAGCAACCGCCGGATATAACGCTTGTAACTACCACCCATGGCAACCTGCTTTAATTGCGTGGTAATGCCGATGGCCAGTGAAACGAGATCTAGATGCGGAGTAGAGTGCGTAATGGAAAGACTCCAGGCCGACGCCGTGTCCGAAGTGGCGGAGCAGCCTGCGGGAAGAGCTTCGGACATCCGGTTACACTGAGCTACCTGGCCCGCCCACTCGTCAACTCAATTCCTGCACTCGCAAGGCAAGTCGGCTACATACATGCTCCGATCATAAAACAATACCACTTTACATACAAAGCTTAAACGCCTCCTCCTCCTCCTCTGCGCTGCCTAAGACTTCTTATATCATACAGCCCATCTGCTCCGTGCCCAAGCTTCCCCATCAAGGCCTTCACGCTGCGACTACCGACCTCTCTCCCATCCACCACCGTTACCGCTCTCTTATCGCCACTCGTACCGTTGTTACCGATCATACCCATCTCAGTATCGTCGCCGTCGGAACTCTACAGACAGAAGCGAAGATTCCTTGCGACGATGACGTCGTCATCTCCTTCGGAATCGGCGCGCGAGAAGAACCCGCAGAGCCCGCTAGCTTCGCAGAGAGAAGCTCCAAGCCAGGAAAAGCGTGCAAGTGGCAGCCGCTTCGGCGGTGCGCTATTCCCGCTGAGCTACAAGGAGGGACTAAGCCAATGGGTATGAATCTCGATGTTGAAGAGGAAAGGTGGAAGAATGCCAGTGCTGATATTGTGTAAAAATAGTGGGCAGCAATAACCCCCGCCACCGCAGAAGCCGCCGTGCTATCGTTCCTCCCGTTTCACCACCCCACTCCCGCCGTCTCCACGACAAATCCGCACTCAGAGTCTACGACGTCACCACCAGAGGCAGATCCATACGGCCCGCGCCAGTGCACCTCGACGCTGGTCCCGTTGTCGGGGAAGGACAGAGCCATCAATGAGTTCAGCATCACGCGGACGGGTGAGCCACCGGCAAAAAATCACTTGGTCCTTGTGCATGGATATGGCGCGGGTCTGGCCTTCTTCTATCGCAATTTCGATGCGTTAAGTCGAGTTCCGGGCTGGAAGCTGTGGGCTGTGGATCTGCTGGGCTATGGGCGGTCTTCGAGGCCGAACTTTACCATCCATGCGAAGGACCCAGAAGGGAAGATCAGCGAGGCTGAGGATTGGTTCATTGATGCCCTGGAGGAATGGAGGAAGGAGAGGGGGATCGAGAGGTTCACATTGTTAGGTATGCATGTCACAGAAACCTTCCCTCGTAGCTGTTGATGTTAACCGCACGACAGGTCATTCACTAGGTGGATATCTATCATTCCGGTACTCGGTCAAATACCCGGAGAGGGTCAACAAGCTCATCATGGCTTCTCCCGTTGGAGTTCCCGAAGACCCATATTCGGTCAAGCAACCCCTCCCGGATGGCGACCAACTATCCAACCTGGCCAACTCTCAAGACTCCATGGCCCGTAGCAATCCTAACCTTCCCGGCGGTCTCTCCGTTCCGGCCGAGGTCCAGCGCTCGACATCCGCGCCCGGCTCCCCAGGTGCATCCACCACCGCCCTTCCCGACGAGCGCGACGCTCTCGCCTCGCAACCTGCCTCACCCGCGCCTCGCCGGCCGCTACCCAAATGGCTCGTGTACCTTTGGGACGCCAACGTCTCCCCCTTCTCTCTCATCCGGTGGGCGGGACCTCTCGGCCCACGCCTAGTCTCAGGTTGGACAACGCGGCGCTTCCAACAGCTGCCATCGGACCAACACCAAGCTTTGCACAACTACGCGTACTCTCTCTTCCGGCAGCGCGGCAGCGGCGAGTACGCACTCGCGTACATCCTTGCGCCCGGCGCGTTCGCGCGGCGCCCGCTGATCTGGCGCGTCCAAGACCTCGCGTCCAAAGTCGGTCCCGGCGGGATCCCGAGCGTGTGGATGTACGGCGACGGCGACTGGATGGACATCGCCGGCGGCTTCGCGGCCGAGGAGAAGATACGGAACACCCCCGTTGCTACGGGCGAGGATGGGAAGCCGGTCGCGAAGGGACACAAAGGCGGCCACGAGTGGAGGGGCGAGAAGAAGGGAACAGGTGGTGAGGCGAAGGTCCTCGTCGTCCAGAATGCAGGTCATCATCTATACCTTGATAATCATGAGCAGTTCAATCAGATGATTGTGGATGAGATGAAGGATGTTGAGGAGAGGGGGCGGGGTGGGGTGAGGACATAGCTACAGAGGAGGATGAGGGCATGGGGGGATGGAAGGGGGAGGGGGCGCATTGGTAGACTTGGTTGAATGAGTTTGGCTTGATATGTCTTAGTAATTTCTTTTTAGTTTTGGTATCTACTTTGGTATCGGCTGGGTTAATTGATGATATTTCTACTCCATTTACGTACGATGCCATTCCGGACTTGTGGATCGTGATGGACTCGGCACAACTGTGTAGACATCTCGGACGAGGAGGAGGAGAGAACGAACGAGTGAGGAAGCCTGAGGAAGGGTATCGGCGCCGAGTGACTGGCCAGGTGATCGGTACCCTGTTTTTCCCGGTTCAATGCAATGTTTCGTCAACTTTCGCCACGAGTCTTTTTTTTCCTTGATAGATTTAGAGCTGTGTGCGATCCAGCTCAGAGTACCTGTATTTAGGTACAAATACTCGAATCCCGAAGTCTGAGACCCGGGAGGGAGAGTGGGCGAGAGCGTGGTGGTGGTGGTGGCAGGCAGGGACTGGAGTCTGGTAGTCGACTTCGGACTCACACGAGCAAGCCAAGATCTCTCCTACATAAGACCCGGATAATGCAACACTTCGATTGTCGATTGTCGATTGTCGGCTGCCGTCCGAGGAGATGTGCGGTACGGCATGTACCTGTGTATCTAATATCTATCGTGCATGCCTCCTAGGAGGTTGGCAGACGAGATAGAGTAATAGTTAGTGCGCTCTACTATAGTAGGAGGTATATATGTAGGCGAGCCTTATCTTTCTTTCTCTCGCTTGACGATTGGAGTGGATTGGACTCGGGTTTGTCCGTTGGCTTGACAGGTAGGAATTTGTTGGCTGTAGACTTGTGGTTATAGTATGTAACCGTCGCGGGAGGCTGGTCAGTGGTGGTGGGATGGAGGCTGCGGGGACTAATTAAGCGAAGGTTTGAGATTCCGTATTCCAGAGAAGCTCGGGTGGATAGGGTGTTGACAGTAAGCAATCGGGATTCGAGACAGCCAGCCACGGGCTTCGGACGGTCACGCACGAGATGTCGTCGTCGTCGGAAGATAGTTACATAACCCGACCCACCTGATCTCGTGTGCATATCTACCGTACCCAATGACCAAGGTATGTACGCGATCACAGCCAACGAGGCGTCCTCGTCGACAGAGAGCGAGAAAGGGTTGTCAATGCCATTCCATTCGAGTAACCAAAGATATGAGCAGGCTCCTTATCACGATTCCCCATACCTATCAAGCACCTCCATCCCACCCACGCAGTGCACCCACCCGACTACCTGCCTACCAAATTCCTCCCGTATCCCGTATCGGCAAATGCCATTGCTTTGCTTTGTGCACCCTCGCTACCTTCTTCTCTACTCGCGAAAGGCTGAAGCGGGCACCTCTCTCTCTCTTGATCGTGCATATTCATACATGAAAAGGCAAAGCGATCATCGGCGACCAGATTTCGCCCTCGCCCGCGCCAGCGCCAACGTCACGTCACCCCCACTCTTTTTCCCCCGCAGATCGTGGGGTACCCATCCCGATAGTTGGGTGGCAACTAAAACTAAGGGTTCGCTTTGCGGTCGAGTAACGGCCTGAAACATCGCTGATATGGTATCGAAACCGCCAGATCCCGAGGGGAGGGGGAAAACAGAAGAAAGGAACAACAAAGAAAAAAGAAAGCGAGAAGGAAACATACGGTGCTTCCCCAGGCCTAGACCTGGACCTGGACCCCCAATCCCAATGGTCGGGTTGCCGAGACGTCTGCGCTGCGCTGTTCCGGACAAAACGAGACGAAAATGCTGCTGCCGAGTGCACATGCTCTACATACGACACACATGACGAGGCTTCTGGATTCTGGAGAGAGCTCGTTGTAAGTATCGTATTGATAAGGGCGCTTGTCATGTCAATCGCGTATGATGTACCTGCACAGAGTATCCCACGATGTTCTCCGAATCAGCGTGCACCCCGGCTCCGGCCCCGCTACTAAACGACGTCTCGTTTCCGAGGAGTTTGGGAGTTTGGGACACTACGGATTCACCCGTTCTGCTGGTATCTGGTATGTACCTACTGCACATCCCCTGGCCATGTAGCGTCGAAGCCGGAATGACGGTCTCTGGGTATCATAGCTTGATACATACTACACATACGGTACGGCAATCAAGCACTTGTCGACGGATGGCCAAGGTATTCCGCTAACACCAACCAACCAGACGGACGGTCCGACAGTTCTCGTCCCGCCGACGCCCGACGCCCGAGTTCCGTGGGACGTCGGCCCCTTCCTGCGGTCCCTTCCTGCGGTCCCTTCATGCAGTCCCCCCCTCCCTCCCCCTCCCACCCTGGATGGATGGGTGGTGGTGGTGGTGGGCTGGACCCTTATCGTATCGGACCTTCCCTGAGTTCGCCGAGAGCGCGAGGGCGCGAGTGAGCGATGGATTGTAGTTCCATGTGTGGGTGCGCGCGGAACCGCCAATCATTCAATTACACTCCCCCTTCTAAGTCGAGCCGTGGGCAGGAAAAAGGAAGAGGAGATGTGTGGGAGCGAGGCTTGGTGTGACCGGGGACGGAACTCGCTGCTGTGGGAAGGAGGGGGGGTGGGAATATGCTATGGGGGGAGGGCGTATACCATGGGGGGACGGGGGAATGATTGATATCCATGCTCCGTCGATACCGATACGCATGGAGAAGGATGGCGATAGCTGCTGCCAGACGAGCAGGTGAAGGTCAACCATCCCGGCCGGCCACTATCCGGGAATTACAGGGCGTGGGCGGGATTGTCGCTCTGCAGCAGCAGCGACCTGCTGTGATAGCGATATATAAAACGGTTTTGAACCCCGTCCCTCTGGAAGGAGTATCATACGTACAACAGACAAAAGTTTTTTGAACACTCCTGACCCAGACTCGACTCGACGAACGGATCCCAACGGGCCCTTTGTCTGTGCTCACCGAGATATCTCGAACTCTCGATCCGACCGATTGCCACTACAATAACCACGCACGATGGATAATGTCGTGGAAGGATACAAGCCGCCGCTGTCCCAAGCCTTTGGGTATGGCATCGTCATTGGGCTCGGGGCGCTCTTCGCCCTGGGCATGATTGCGACCACATGGGCTCTGAAGAGGTATGTTTATAGAAGCTCCTGTCGTGGGTAGTATGGTGCGTGGTGGCCTGTTGCTGATGTGGAGGATCCCTCTGCAGATACCAGAATGAAGTCCAGACCTCGGAGATGTTCTCGACGGCCGGGCGTACGGTGAAGACGGGACTGGTAGCATCGGCGGTGGTTTCCTCGTGGACGTGGGCGGCAACATTGCTTCAGTCATCCGGCATTGCATACAGATACGGTGTCTCGGGTCCCTTCTGGTACGCCTCTGGCGCAACAGTCCAGATCTTGCTCTTTGCTACACTCGCCATTGAACTCAAGCGCCGCGCTCCAAATGCTCACACCTTCCTTGAGGTGATCCGCGCGAGATATGGAACTGCTGCGCATTGCACGTTCATGGTCTTTGGGCTGATGACGAATATCCTGTATGTATCCTCCCCGGTGTAGCTACGGCTGGCGAATGTATGATACTGACGGGAGGAAAGTGTTACGGCGATGTTGTTGACCGGAGGGTCCGCCGTTGTGACGTCTTTGACGGGAATGTCTACAGAGGCTGCATGTATGCTCCTGCCCCTCGGTGTCATTATCTACACCGTCTTCGGAGGTATCAAGTGAGTGACCACTAAGAAGATCTCCTTTCAGCCCATGAACGGGGATGCTGACCTCGGGCACAGGGCCACCTTCTTGACGGATTATGTACACACCGTTGTCATCCTGGTCATTATCTTCATCTTCGCTTTCACCACCTACGCTACCTCCGAAATCTTGGGATCTCCGGCTGCTGTCTATGATGCCCTGGTCGCGGCTTCGGCGAGGCATCCCGTGGACGGAAATTCCGGTGGTTCGTATCTTACCATGCAAAGTCGCGAGGGAGCCATCTTCTTCGTCATCAACATCGTTGGTAACTTCGGTACTGTCTTCTGGTACGTATAACCTTTCAGTTACGAGCTCAGACACGATGGGGAACTGACGCGGGGAAACAGTGATAACGGCTACTACAACAAGGCCATCGCCGCATCTCCCGTATCTGCGCTTCCCGGATACGTCCTGGGCGGTCTCTCGTGGTTCGCGATCCCATGGCTCTGCGCCACCACCATGGGTCTTGCCTGCCTCGCGCTCGAAACCCACCCGTCTTTCCCTTCCTTCCCCCTCCGCATGTCCGATGCCGATGTCAGCGCTGGTTTGGTGCTGCCCAATGCCGCCGTTGCTCTGCTCGGAAAGGGAGGTGCCGTGTGCACGCTGCTTTTGATCTTCATGGCTGTTACATCTGCGAGCTCCGCCGAGCTCATCGCCGTGTCTAGCATCTGCACCTACGACATGTACCAGGTTTGCAACCCCACTGCATAGGCTTCACAACATGTGCTGACAGAGAACAAACAGACATACATCAACCCCCTCGCAACTGGACGAAGTCTCATCTGGATGTCCCACGCCTGTGTGGGCGCCTTCGGCTTCCTCATGGCAGCATTCAGTATTGGGTTGTTCAGGGCTGGTATATCCATGGGATACCTGTACCTCCTCATGGGTGTCATCGTCAGTTCTGCGGTTCTGCCGGCATCCCTCACCTTGCTGTGGAAGAAGCAAAATAAGTGGGCAGCCACTCTGTCACCGATTCTTGGCCTGGCCTGCAGTTTGACTGCGTGGCTCGTCACCGCAAAGGTCATGGACGGACATCTCTCTGTCGAGACCACTGGAAAAAAGTACACAGACCCCATTCCCGTGTGATGCGATTGCCATTTTCTAACAAACATTCTGCAGCTACCCCATGTTGGCTGGCAACGTGGTCGCTCTCCTTTCGCCCTTCATCTTCATCCCCCTCCTGACTTTCGGCCTCGGAGCCGACAACTACGACTACGAGTCGATGAAGGCGATTCGCCGTGCCGACGACCACGACCTTGCCCAGGCTGCGCATGTGGACCTTGCCCTCGTCCCTGGCGAGAACCACGACGAAGCCGCTCAGGAGGCCGAGCAGAAGCAGCTCAGCCGTGCCGCCTTCATCTCCCGCTTGATCACCGTCATCATGACCGTTGCACTGCTCATTCTCTGGCCCATGCCCATGTACGGTTCCGGATACATCTTCAGCAAGAAGTTCTTTACCGGATGGGTTGCGGTCGGTATCATCTGGTTGTTCTTCTCCTCGTAAGTTTCCTGCCCACAGATGTTTTGCTGGTCTGTATAGTACCTATTCTAACACCGCTATAGCTTCTGCGTCGGATTGTACCCACTGTGGGAGGGGAGACATTCCATGTGGCACACCGTCAAGAGCATTGGTGCCGATATTGTCGGCTCAAGGAGGCCCCGCGTCACTCGCGGCGAGACACCGAGTGACGAGCAAGGATCCTCGAAAGAGGCCATCCGTGAGAAATCGGAGGCATGAGAGACGAGAGGAGTGGATATGTGTTTACGAATTTGGGCGTTTGGCTGTGTTGTACTGTAGTTATCTTCATGTGTGATCCTTTGTTGAGTAAAATTTGAGAGAGAATTTAACTTATTGAATGAAATGGGATTATGGTTATGACCGTGCACGGTGCTTTGAGGGGATGGTGTTGGTTCCGTGGGCCTTAGTTAGCCCCGGGATCTTCCGTCTCCCCCTTCACAACTCTCCCTTGCATGACCCTCTACGCATAGCTTCATTCTCACCACCTCCTCCCTTGACCACCCCACTCCTACCCCTCAACCAACAACCAATAATATTCACAGCAAACCACCACCACCACCACCACCACTTCTACTCCCTACCACAATATCGACATCTTCTGGATGAGTGCCGTCAGCTTCACCGAAGACCCTGTGTCTGCGGCAGCAGCAGCAGCAGCTTCAAGCTCTCCTCGACCCGATGCTCCAGCTCCGAGCATAACGCCCACCTCACTCACGGTGTCCCCGCAACCGCAGCGGCCGACTTCGCAGCCCTCCGTGGCGCTGACCGGCTACCTCTCGTCGCGCCCCTCGTCCCCCTCCTCACCCTCCGGCTCCGTCGGGCGGCCCACGCACGCCGCGATCCGGCGCCCCTCATCCTCCATGTCGGCGTCCTCGCGGCGCGCGCTCCTCTCGCCGCCTGACACGACGCTGCCGCAGCGCCTTCCACGCCCGGTGCCAGCCGACGCCGCCGCCTTCGCCGAACTGCACCAGGAGCTCGAAGCCGAGCAGGAGGCGCAAGTCAACCGACTGCTGAACCTGATCCGGCAGCAGAGCCTAGCGGGCGGCGGGTCGATCGACGGGGACATGGTGTCGAACGCGGCAACGGTCGATTCCACGTCGACCCGCGCGGGCCGCATCAGTCGTCGCGGCTCAAATAGGCTCTCCCGTGAGGGCTCGTACTACCGGCCCAGCTCCGTGTCCAGGGCGTCGAGTCCTGCGCCCACGACAGGCGGCGGCGATAGTGCTAGTGAGGCCTCGGCGTGGGTCGGCGCCTCACAGGGCGGCGCGGAGTTTCATCTCGCGGAAAGCCAGATGCTCAAAAGGGAGAATGAAATGCTGAAGCGCCGCATCAGAGAGCTGGAGATGATCGTTGCTGACCTGAAAACTACTACTACGGCAAACAACTCGTCGTCCACTATCGTGGACTCCTCTGCCGTTGCTGAATCGCCTCTCGTGCCCGTGCCAGCTGATTCGGATGTTTCGAGTCCCTAGATACATAGACTTGATTGTTATTTTTTTCTATGCGGGGTTGGGTTCGCGGAAGTTTAGAAGTGGAGCGGAGCGGAGGGGATTGGCTGAGCTACCTACCCACTGTATCGTGGTATTATGATTGGCGCGTGGTCGTGTGGACTGTGGACGGCAAGCAAGGAAGAAAGAGTGTTTGTATTTCTACTCTGTGCTGCGGACCTGCGGTAGGGAACTGGTACTATTTTTTTGCTTGTTTCGGTCGGCGAGGAAGGGGGAGAAGATTCAGGAAGGGCTGCTTCTTTCTTTGTGTTTAGCAAAGCAACTCTTCAGATCAGATCACTTGGAGCTTCCTAAACAGCTTCTTGTGGGGTCTGGCGATCTTGCACTACCTACTAGATACCGGTACATATCTTCCTCGTGTAGCGTAGCGTCATGAGCGGATAGGTTAACTATCGGATAAAACGGGATTCGGAGTTCTTCCCCCACTACCGTACCGTACCAGTCCGCAGCCCGCCAGCCCCGCTCAGCTCAGTCATATCCACAAACCAAAACCAAAGTGTACCCATCTACAGAATGCCCTCCCGCCATCCTTACCGCACCGCTGCCCACCCCACCCACTGTCAATGGCCATGACGGCCTCCTCACTCCTCCGACGCCGCCTCTTCTCTACCACCGCAACCCCGCGCGCAAACGACTTTACGCACTGCGTACCCGCCCCTCCCCTCCTCCCCTCCCGCCACCTTCTAACCAGCGTAGATAATCGGCGGCGGTATAATCGGCCTCTCTATCGCACGCCAGCTCGCGCTCACGCACCCGTCCTCCTCGACCCTCCTTCTGGAGCGCCACCCCTCAGTAGGCACGGAAACCTCCAGCCGCAACTCCGAGGTGATCCACGCAGGGCTATACTACCCTCCCCTCTCCCTCAAGACGCGCCTCTGCATCCGCGGCTCCTCGCTCCTCTACGCGTACTGCGAAACCCACCACGTCCCTCACAAACGCACGGGGAAATGGTTACTCGCCCAGAACGCGGCCGAGCTGGAGGCGCTGCAGAGGCTACATGAGCACGCGGAGGGGGTGGGCGTGCGGATGAGGTGGGTGGGGAGGGAGGAGGTAAAGAGGAGGCAGCCGGGAGTGAGCGCCCTGGCGGGCGTGCTGGAGAGTGTAAACACCGGGATCGTGGATTCGCATCAATTAATGCAGAGTCTGAGGGGCGGGATCGAGGAGGCGGGAGGCGATGTGGTCGTGGGCGCGGAGGTGGTGGGCGTAAAGGCGAGGGAGGGCAGGGAGGGGGAGGGGGAGGGGGGGTATGAGCTCACTGTGGCCACGCGGGGGGAGGGCGGCGGGGAGGGTGGGGGGGAGGAGACAACGATCACGGCGGACACGGTGGTTAACGCCGCCGGCCTGGGTGCGGTGGCCGTGGGCAATCTCCTGCTGCCCCCCAGTCGTCACAGGCGCGCATACTTCTGCAAGGGGACTTACTACGTCCCCACCTCCTCCCCCGCCCCCTCCCCCTCCCCTGTCCCCGCGCCGGCAGTTACAACCCTCCTCTACCCCGCACCCATCCCGGGGCACGCGGGGTTAGGCACGCACCTTACCCTCGACCTCTCGGGCGCGATCCGCTTCGGGCCGGACGTTGAGTGGGTTTCCAGCCCCGAGGACCTAACGGCAACGGACCGCGGGATGGCGGCGGCCAGGGCCGAGATTGCACGGTACCTTCCCGGCGTGGGGGAGCTGCGGCCGGATTATGCCGGTATCAGGCCGAAGCTGCACCCCCAGGGCGGAGGGGGAGGGGGAGGAGGGGGGGTGGCGGGGACGGATTTTTGGATCAAGGAGGAGGACGGGTTTAAAGGGTGGGTTAATCTGCTAGGGATTGAGAGTCCTGGTATGTTTTCTTCCTTCTCCACGGCGGGTGAGTGTTGGTGATACGGGTGAGGGTGGCTGATGCTTGACGGATAGGATTGACGAGCTCTCTGGCCATTGCGGAGTATGTGGAGAGAATCTTGTATGGCAAGGGAGGAGCGGACGCTTCGTTGGTGGGATAATACCGGATTGCTTCTCCCACGGTTCTTCACTTGGAACCAATGTCTCGTTTCCTACGCTGTAGTCATAAAACAAATATTACTTTTGTCAATCGATTTACAAATAGCTCGTCCGAGCCAATACAAGTGCCCAGCGCGGTAAATATGTACGCCCCGATCTCCATCATTCCACATCCATCACAGTCCCTCCATCGCCACCACATCATAACACATGATACTTTTCTTTTTCGTCGTCCATCGTTCATCAAAGCGCGCTTCCCTCACGGCCACCCCTAACACTCGCAAGCTCCCAATCCCTGCGTGCCTTCGCATTGCCCGCATCCTCGATAGGATCATCAATGGGCTCGTCCCTGTAGGTATTCTCACCGCCGACATGGGCACGCTGCCTCCTCGCATCCCTCCCAGTGTATCCCTTCTTCTTGAAGTGCCTCCTGCCACCGCCGATGGCAATAGGTCCGATCTGCCGTCGGTTGCGCATGCAGAAGTGGGTACCACAAACACTCAGCAGGATCAGGCCTACGACCAGCGGCAGCCCCACCGCAAGCCCCAGCAGCGACGGCGGCGGCCGGTTGTTCGGCGACGTGTCGATTGGTACTGCCTCTGGGTTCGAGGTCACGACAAAGACGGGACCGTAGTGAGGACCTCGCGCCCCCGACGTGCTCGCGTGGTCGTTGCTCACGATGAAATACACTTCTTGCTCGTCGACGTACTCGGTCAGGCCCGCGTCCTTCAGCGTTTGGTTCAGGAGCCAGTCTTTCTCCGGGTGCTGTCACGTAGCTTCGTTAGCCAAAGTTTATGTGGATCAGTAGACGGGGGGAGGGGGGAGGGGGGGAGACAAACGATGCTATAAAACCCCAGCGCGTTAGAAATGGTCCACTCCTTGACGACAGGTCCCGCCCCGCCCTTAGTCTTGTAGTTCAGCGTGAGGTACACGGTCGAGTTCATGTCCCACTCGTCGTTGTCCCACGTGACGTAGTAGTTCCCGTCGGTGCGCCAGATATCGTGCGTCGCCGGTGCACAGAACGGGAATGCAACTATCCCGTCTTGTCGGCACCGCGTCGCTGGGTCGTCGTCTGGGTCCGCGATGGAGGACGACGACGCGGAGATGCTCGATGAGGTCGAGGTGGAGGTGCCCGTGCTGCTGCTGGTGCCGGTGGTGGTCGTAACGGCGGTGCTGGTGGCCTCGGAGGAGGCGGACGAGGCCGCGGCCGATGAGTCTTGCGCGAAGACCGACGACGCGAACAGTAGTGCCGCGGCGGGCAGGAGATGGAGGAAACGCATCGTGTCGAGTCGGGTCGTGTCGAGTCGGGTCGTGTCGAGTCGGGTCGTGTCGCGTAGGGTAGTGGGAATGGGGGGGAGATGTCGCTCACGGCGGTGCAGTGTATGTATCTGAAGGAGAGAAGGGAAAAACGGGGGGGGGGGGGGGGGGGGGGGGTGGATGAGGGATTTGGATTTGACTTCCTGGAATTTGGCCACTGTGTATGTAACAACAATGGCGGTGGTGGTGGTGGTGGCCGGCTCCCTCGGAACACAGACATCCCTTCCTTTCCTGGGGATGGTCCTCACTGCTGCTGCTCACTGCTCACTGCATCCGCGCCGTCCGTTTCAGGGTCGCACGGGCTCTGATGGCTGATCTATCCATCCATTCATGCGGGAGTGATAGGTACCCAAGTGCCCATCCATACTCCACAGACATACCAGCCCCCCGGCTTTCAGGCAATGATGCTTACTCACTCACACAGCACAGCACTCTGTGTCGTAGAGGTACTCTGTGTCGTAGAGGTACCCTGGGTACTATATCGCCTTGAGTTCGCCGTCTTTGCCGGAACTGTAGGTTTCCATCTCTCGCTGACATCATCCACGAGTTCTCCGTAGATGGCCAAAGTTCAAACTCGGAGGGCACATTCCATTCCTTCGACATTTCATTCCACATATCGTTCTGCTTCGAAGTTCAGAACTGCTCGTATCCCCCCCTAGTTCCTGACAGCTCTAGCAACTAGTTCCACAGGCCAAGCCTTTAGGCTTTAGCATGAACTGGGCAGTGGGCGTCGCCTAAATTGACGTTGTCGAGGGCACTAGGTGCACTAGCCGGAAGTGCTAGTTAGTATAAGCTCAGGAGGAGGAGAAGGCGGACCGTGGAGGAGGAGGCTGGGGCTTGGAAGTTGCGGGCTTGGAAGGTGGGCTGGAACTTGAAGTCTTGGAAGCGGTAAAACGTTCTTCCCTGCGTTGCAGCGTTGAGTCTGAATACGAGTGTACCGACAGTGAAATCAGGCGGATAATTTCCTTACACGAGCTCTTATGTAGGACGGAACACGGATGGTCTTGTCTGATTAGTTTGATTGACTCCAGCCGAGAGACGAGCATGTGTGGACACTGGACAGACGGGGGCTGGGTGTGGCTTGTACGAGTAGTGAGCCATTGCACTAGCCACTACTCGTAGTTGTCATGGTGGGTGAGTTATCGTGTCCGGGAGTCGGCGACGGTCTCCTGTGTAACGCCGTCACCGGTAGCAATAGGATTAGTGGCCAACACTGGCCGAACGCCTCGCTACCTGGGGGAAATGCTCGTGGTGGTGGTGTTGGTATAGGAAGTGAACGAGGCCGGATGACGGTGGGAGTCAAAGTGGCATGGCACAACGAGGTCGCATAGGGTGAATGAGTAGTGTTTTGTGCAGGTTTTTGAGAGTCAAGTTCCCATTGATTCTGGCGCCTATATGTACGCAGGATTACCCTCCACTCCGCTCTTCCAAGCCCGCTCTCCCAAGCCCGAGTTTCCAAGCCGGCCACTCTCATGTATTTACAAGCACGCCCAATCTTTCCATGCGAAGTTCCCTCTGACTGCAACCGCGCCGGCCCAGAGGAAACGGCACTGTCAATGAATGGGTTCGCCGGATGGAGAGCAACCAATTGCTCCAAGAGTCAAGACCGTCTTTTCAGTGCGCTCTTCCAAGCGCATGCCCGCTCCTCGCAACCATAATCCTTCCAAGCCCATACTTCCAAGAAACCCGCTGCCTTCCAAGCCCACGCTTCCAAAAAAACCTGCTCGACTTCCAAATTCCGAGAAATCTGCCGCCTTCCAAGCTGTCCACCTACTAGTAGGTGAGCACGAACACCCAAAACAAACGACCAGATCCTAGTGTACCTAGTCCAACTATCAGTGCCTCCGATCTGCCGTCCGGACTGGACGGACCGCATCAGTCCAGTCCAGTCCCGTCCCGTCTACAAAATGAGAAGACGGTTTGAACTTTGAATTCAGTCCGTCCACAAAAACTGCCGCCTCGGACTGCTCGACTGTCAGTCTGCGACTTCTGAAATTGTTGGGTCGACCTACCTGTGTAAATGTCCGGCATGCATACGTGATCGCCATCTCTCTGCATGCATTCCGAAGTAAAATTTGAATACTTTTGGGGGCGGTGGGGTGCGAAGCTTGGATGGATTGCTTCGGCTGAGGAGACTATGGTGCAGGTTTGGAAGCCTGGGAGGACGAATACATTGGCTTCAGCCTTCAGCCTTCGGGGCTTTGCAACGTCAAGGGGAAGTTTATTTGATGACGATAGAGTAGGTAGGTAGATGCACCGTTTACCGTGAATATAAAGAGCAGATGGATCATGGGACCGCAAGCTCCGTACACTAGGTACAACGTGTTGAGCATCGAGATAGGTATGATGGAGGTTTTCCAGCAGGCCAAACCGCCTTCCTGCGATTAATTCCATTGATAATGTGGCCCAGTATGTACTGGGCGAAGGCATCACATGAACTTGGCTGGAAAGATCTCGCCAGAATGGCCCTCGGGTATTTGTGCATTCCCGCCATATATGAGCGCAGAGCCGGAATGAAATGATCTTGTAAGTAGCTGATACAAAGGGCGTTGTCAAGGTGATAGAGACTACCTACCTATACTCAATGCACTGTACTGCGAGGAGGATTTGCAATAGCTGTACATACTACCTATAGAGTGTAAAAAAAGTTCATTACTGATCTCAAACATTTTCATTCAAAGTCCCAGTCCATCCAGTCGACTGCAGTCCATCCAGTCGACGGCAGTCCATCCAGTCCATCCAGTCGACGGCAGTCCATCCAGTCCATCCAGTCGACTACAGTCCATCCAGTCCATCCAGTCGACGGCAGTCCATCCAGTCCATCCAGTCGACGGCAGTCCATCCAGTCCATCCAGTCGACTACAGTCCATCCAGTCCATCCAGTCGACGGCAGTCCATCCAGTCCATCCAGTCGACTACAGTCCATCCAGTCCATCCAGTCGACGGCAGTCCATCCAGTCCATCCAGTCGACTACAGTCCATCCAGTCCATCCAGTCGACGGCAGTCCATCCAGTCCATCCAGTCGACGGCAGTCCATCCAGTCCATCCAGTCGACTACAGTCCATCCAGTCCATCCAGTCGACGGCAGTCCATCCAGTCCATCCAGTCGACGGCAGTCCATCCAGTCCATCCAGTCGACTACAGTCCATCCAGTCCATCCAGTCGACTGCAGTCCGTCCAGCCCCATCAGTTGTGCAGACTGCTCAGTCTAGTCCACGCCTCCAGCCGGACTGAACCTCTCAGTCCAGTCCGACTTTTGCCGAAAGACGGACTGGACTGGACTATCGGAGGCACTGCCAACTACATACCTACCTATACCTCAGCTCTCTGAGCATGAGACTTCATACACAAAGTCTGACCTTTCCACCGGACGGGTCACGGGATTGGAAGGTAGGTACAGGAGTCCCCAGACCTGTGTGAACACTGCTCTGGCTGCCGTGATGGTTCCCGCATTTTCTATATTCTGTATTCTGCCGTAGGTATGTAGGGCTAAGTGTATGTAAATACTGGTTACCACTATGGAGTGATTACAGCTGCGGACTAGGAATAAGAAATCCTGCCTCAAAAAGAGCGAACTTTGCAGAACCGGTATCTATGTCGGGCTCCAGCTCTGGGCTGATCACCTTGCGCCCCGGATCATTATATATGGCTCGGATGTCAACTTTAGTCCCCAGGTTCCCTGACTTGTCGACCGGAGCTTTGCCCCTTTGCTTTGGAGTACATAGGTGGCTTGCGGAAGTACACATAGAATACGGCACTTGGGTACTCACTAGGTACTAATAGTCAGGATGTCTCCCCGAAATCGGCGGGGATCTTGGCTGAACGTAAGAGTCCATAGCACAACGCGCACTGTGAGTACTTCTGTAAAGTAGAACTGGACACGCATACTTCCAGTGCCTTTTTTGAGGGAGAGGAATCGCAACTTGCGAGCTCTAATGTACCATACTCCACAACCACCGGAGCTCACCTCCCCTCTCCACCCACCCAAATCCCACTTAACCGATCCCTGACGTCGATCTCCCGCGGCCGACTAGGATCACGGGTTAACAACTTATCCTGAATCCTCCAGCGTCAGTTCCTGAAATCTAGACTTTCATAGTTTGCACTTGCAAGGGCAGTTTCGATATGCCAACCTATCATATTCGACGGAGGCCTGTGTATCAGGTATTCTTATCTTCCAATATGTATTGTACCTGCTTCCACTACCACCTATCGTGCAGCGTGTGGCGTTGCTATGTACCTACATACCTAGCTCATTGTCGCTGTCTGGATTCCTCCGTGTACAATACATACTAGTGCATACCGGCAATCCTCGTCGTTCCGTCCGTACACATCCGTGATGGTGCGGTCCTTGTGATGTGATGGCGGAGAATCTATTCTGTCCTGTCCGCATTGTAAAGGCCCGGCCCGTTTGGACGTCCGGGCGATGTGCTGCAGTCAGTCAAGCTAGGGGGTTCCTGAGCGGTGGCTTCTCAGTATCCATTCTCGGTGCCACAGCGAGCAACGGCGTTCCGTGCCTGTGTCCATCGGAGTTCCTTTGTCATGCTAGGTAGTATGCATACATATAAAAGGGGGGGGTTTGGAAGATCGTCGCGATTTCGCCAAAACGACAACGACAATTGTAGTCGAAAGCAAAATAGTCCAGAATCCGTTTCCCCAGATAACCATCTTCCAAAACGCTCGCTTGGAGTATCTAGCGTTCGTCGCGTCTGCATGGAAGGATGCCCGCAGAACGTGCTTAACAGCGTCCGAGCACGGCGGAAATTGGTTTTTCGCGGCTTCTTCCGTAGCGTTCCCATTCAAACGTTCACCACTGATGTGGCTGTGGTCAAGCGAAACTATTATTGACCGTTCTCTATGTATGTACGCGGATCATTGAGGCCGAGTTCTCCACGCAATAAAGATCTTCCGGCTCGGCGTTGTGCCTGCTGGGTGGCAGTGTTGGGGAACGAGCACCGGAACGCAGGCTCGATCGACGGTGAACACACTAGAGTCCCTAGTGTCGAGGGATTCGGCGATTCCGCGCAATCCAAACTGCCAGCTGGGAGACCAAGGATAGGTGCCTAATGTAAGCTTTGGAGGACCCTGCGCCGGCCGATTCGGATAAATATTCAGCTAAAGGGGCCGGAAACGTTGCTGGTCTGGCCCGGGGATGCGGAGTGGTAAGCGCTGCCGATCGATATCCCGAGTGAATCCGTTTTGTATGGCTTCTTGATGGTGTCTCCCTCTCGTTGACGATGCTCTCGAAATCCTTGAAAGCTCTTGCTTCAGCGGACAGACAGAGCAAGATGCATTGATCCCCCAAGGTACCCCACGCTGCCCCTGTGCCTTCAATGGTGGGATTATACGCTTCCGTTGGAGCTTCTCTCTGCGCCTGTTTCAAGGAGTGGACACGGACTCCGAGACGCAGCCAAGCGGCAATTGCATGCCACCAAACCGCGATGCGGCTTTGGTGTTCTTCGGTCAACTGGCTGTGGGGTTCATTAGCCGGTGAAGAGTCTTCGAGCGGAGGCGATACATAGAGTACATACCAGCCGAAGGCTCCAACGGCGCCATGGTCCCTATGTATTTCCCGTCTTCGAGGTGATCACCGGTTATCCATGGCGAAGGGTCCCGATGGATGCTTTCGATCTCTAGCTTTTCGGCTTCAAAACGACGACTCACGCGGTCCACCTCGGAAGCTCGAGCTGGAAAAACGTACTTGCGTATCGTGTGCGATCTCACCGTCACATAAAAACAACAATCGGCAACTTGGAGTTGCAATGCAACCCTGAGCCCGAGGCGTCACCCACACCATGTGGCTTGGCTCGGCTGTTGCTTGTCGTAAACTGGCGACCCCCTGGCAGACCTCAAACGAATGGAGTGATTTAAGCACAGCTGCACGAAAAGGCAGCCTGTCCGTACGTCCTAGCTTGAAAAGGGAACATCTTCACTTCACTTCTATTTTCCCGTCATCTTCCCTCCCTTCTCTCCGGTTCTCTGCTGCCCCTCCATTCCTTTCGTTCTTGCTCTACAGTACTTTGCTTCAGCTTCTCCGCTCTTCTTCTTTGTTCGTCTCCTGAACTAGGGAGCCCTGGATACCCCTTCTCTAACCCCTCCATCGTAGCATTGCGCTCCACCAGCCCAACCCAACCGCGGCAACTCCCCACCACGACCAACCTCCACGACCAACCGACCCTCCGCAAACATCCTCCGCAATGCTCGCCCCACCACAACCTAACGACATCTCGCGGCCGCCGTCGCCGCCGTCCCACCACCCCACGAATGCCTACACCACGGGCCTTCCGGCGCCACCACGAATCCTAATCCCCCCGCCGTCATTGAACCCCAGCGACAGCAACGGCCTTCCAGAATGGCAGCAGCCCACGCTGCAGAGCATGATCCTGCAATGCGACCCGATCCTGCAGGGCCCCGCACAGGACTGGCGGTACGAGTTCCGGCGCGAAGCGCAGCAGCTCCTGCCGCACCTCTTCCTGGGGCCTCTGTCAGCCACCAAGAACCAAGACTTCCTGCGCAGCAAAAACATCACGCTCCTGCTCGCGGTGCGCTCCAACATGACGGCGCGCGCCCGCCTGCTGTCCTCGCAGCTCGCCGGCGTTAGATACGAAAGCATCGACGTGGGCTCCAACCAGGAGCTGATCTCGCAGTTTCAGCGCGCGGGCCACATCATCGACGAGCACTACATCTCTGCGCTCCCCGCTGGGGTCGCCGCGGCAGCGGGCCTTACCATCCCGCTCGACGGCCGGAGACTCCGCGGCTTCCAGGAGGCGTTCATGGCCGCGAACCACACGCAGCAGCCGCCCGGCGGAAGAACACTCCTGTTCTGCGAGAGCGGCAATGAACGCAGCGCTATTGTCGCCGCAGCCTATGTCATGCAGCATTTAAGAGGATCTACCATTCAGGCTATACAACTCGTCCAGGCGAAACGCTTCTGTGTTTGCTTCGACGATAGCATGAAGTGGATGCTCTCTAACTACGAGCCGATCCTGATTGCGAGACGCATGCAGCAAGGAGCGGTACAGCAGCAGAATGATGGTGGAGGTGGTAGTGGTGGTGGCGGCGGTGGTGGTGCGGCGGTGGTTGTGGGCGGAAGTGGGAAGGGAAAGAGACGATTCGATGAGGACGACGGTGACGAGGAGTGGAATGGCGGTGGCAGAGCCCCATTTCTGGACCAGTATGAATCCGAGGATTTAGATATGTCTTGAGGTGGGGGTTTGTGAGAAGGGGCATTTGACGTCGGTTTGCCTGCCTGCCCCGATGATTCTGCACGCCTACGCTACCTAACCCAAGTACTCTACCTACCGATCACCGATTTCACCTGCGTAAAACTCTCTTACTTTTTTACTCCCACTCAACAGGATTCCCCGGGTAGCGTGTCGTTTTAGCTACACGGCTCACTTGCTTGCTTGCTTGACCTTGTTGCGTTTGCTTCTTTGCGTGTGTGCTGTGTGCTGTGTGCTGTGTGCTGTGTGCTGTGTGCTGTGTGCTGTGTGCTGTGTGCTGTGTGCTGTGTGCTGTGTGCTTGACGTCCGTGGCAGCGGATAGATTTCTGCGGGAGCCATCAGGGGAGAGGAAGTTGGTGGAACCATGGCATTAGGATACCGGTTATTTCTACATATTCCGCCGAAGGCTTGCTTGCTTAGCATAGTTAGCCTTGGGGTTTTGGGCGTTACTCATTTTCATTTTCTTTTCTTTTCGTCTCTTGGTCTGTTATGTACTGTACTTGCGGGATTGCGGGAGAGAGAGCGTATGTACTGGTGCCTTCTTCTTCTTCTTCTTCGATGGCATGGTGGATAGCATGGTTGATAGCATGGTTGATAGCATGGTTGTATTCCTACCTTACTCTACTTACTCTCTCTACTTACTCTACTTACTCACTGTAACCTCGGCTGCGTTTCTGCTTTCATCTTGGCTGGCTGGCTTGCTGGCTGGCTGGCTTTTCTTGGGGGTTTTTGTTTTTGTTTTTGTTTTCGGCTCTTTTCGTAACTTCTATGCCATACCATACCGTAATGACTGTAATCAACCTTTTTATGAACTGGACTGTTTGTTGCTTCACTTAAATTGTACTCCTAATGAAGGGCGTTTGTTTTTCCTTCGTCTTCCTTGGTTTGCTTTCCTTCCCGCTCTGTTTTCATCGCGGCGGCTGGAATTTGGGATTTGAGATTGCATAAAGGCATGGACTTTGGAGCGGAAAGGCTGGACATCACAGCAGGAGTTTTGTATAACTAGACCCATGATAGGCTGCGGACACCATTTTGAACGAGAAATAGACAGATAGGGTATATGATCAAATTGGAAAGGCAGGGTGGTCTTCTCCTCTCTCTAAACTCTTACACCCGTCCCAGAAGTCCCAGCAGTCCCAGAATTTTAGAACGCGCTGCCCACGATGTAACAATCCAGCACTGCGCTGCGTCCGCCCTCGACCGCCGCAACCGCCTCCTTCAGCTTCGGGCCTAGCTCTTCAACGCTCTTGACCGTGCCGCCCCAGATCTGTCCGCCTGCCGAGGCCACTGCGATTCCAGCCTATCACACATCAGCACTCACGTCCTTCCATTCTCTCACCCGCTTCTCACTCGAATGGGGGGTGGGGGGGGGGGGCTTACATAGTCCGGACTCGGATCGAAGCTGATATTGAGCTCCCCATTCGTCGCGCTAGCGGTGTAACCAGCTGGATGTACTAGCTGCGCGGACTTCCTCGGGGCGTTCCAACCGCTATTGTTCAACACGATGGTGAGGAACGGCACGCTGTAGCGGCGCGACATCCAGTAGACCGACGAGGGCACGCCGAACAGGAATGTGCCGTCACCCACGATTGCAGTTACAAATTTCGACTGGCCAGTGTGCATCAATCCCAGTTTCGCGCCGACGGAGGCCCCGCCGAACCAGCCGACTGTTGGATGGTTAGTAACTGTAACTCTGGGGGGAAGACGAGGGTAGTGGGGAAGGGGAAGGGGGAACTTACGCCCGCCGCCGCCGGAGTTGTAGATGCTCCCAGGCGCGCTGAGCTTGAGGTGGTCGAAGACGATGGCGGTCATGGTGACGGCTTCGACCATGAATACGGAGTCTTTCGGTACGGCGTCGCGAATGCTGCCCATCAGGTAGTTGGCGCTTAGAGTTCCGTCTTTTAGTGGCTGCTCATCCTTTGCCAACTGCTCCTCTCGTGCCTTCAATTCTCCATCCAGCTCGGAGATCCTGGCAGAATTGACGGTGGAACCCTTGGAGGCGATGTACTCGTTCAACTGCCGCAACGCTGTCGTGGCGTCTGCCCTGTACCGCGCTTTGGCATTGACGTAGAAGACCGGCATTTGCTGCTTTAGTGGATCGACATCGATGTGGTAGATGAGGGCCTTCTCGTTGGGTTTACATCTGGCTCGTTTGTCAGTTGCCACGGACCAACCGGAAAGAAGTGGAAATATATCTACACACCTCGTGGGAATGTATGGGATATCAACGTCCAGCAGTAAGAGGACATCTGCCTCCGTGATCTTGTCGTGCACGCCGTACCGTACTCCCAAGTACGACCTGTGATCCGCCGGGAAACACAAATCGCTTCCCAGGGAGTCCAGCACCCTCGCCCCGACCGAATCCACCAGCTTCACCAGCTCGCCCACGGACTCTTCCTTCCGCCCCGAATACCCCACGATGACTAGCGGGTCCTTTGCCGCCAACAAAGCATCACAAATAGTCCTCACGCCGTCTTGCGACAGCGCCGCCGGCTCAATCGGTGTCCAGTAGCTCTGATCCAGCACATACGGCTCAATATCCTCCTCCATAACCTCTCTCGCGCCGACCAGGTATACAGGTCCCTTGGGATCACTTGTGGCAAAACTGAGCGCGCGATTAACCATCTGCTTGATATTCCTGCCCGTCTTGATCTCGGCAGTGTAGCGGCAGTACTGTGCGACGATCTCCCGCTGGTTATGCACGTCCTGTGTCCAGTGGATGAACTCCGTCCTGGAGCCACGCATCTCTCCCTCCTGCGTAAACGGCGACAGGCCGGCAAAGATCAGAACGGGCGCCCGCCCCATCGACGCGTTGTGCACCGCTGCTGCCAGCCCCTGCGTGCCCACGTCGACGTGCACGACGACCGCTTGCGGCTTGCCTGTTGTGAGCGCCATCCCGTGTGCGGCGGATAGCGCTACCATCTAGTCTCCGGCGTACACTCGTAAGCATCCACACATGCACTCCATGGGGATGGACATATGCATGCGCACTCACCTCGTTGGGACACGTGATGATCTTGGGGAACGAGTCGGGTGTCTCCCGCTGGCCCTTCACCATGGCTTCCAATATACCTGTCGCACCACCACAGCCGTCAGTAATTGTACATACTTTGCTAGGACCGAGTGTGTAGGTGTAGGAGGACTGTACTGGGATGGTCCGAGCCCAGGTTGACGAAACAATGGCTTACGCCGGCCTCCCACAGGGCTTCGAAGAAGGCAAACGAGGCGGTATACCTGCCCCCGTCGGTATGTGTTAGTCCACCAGATACTTGGAGCCAGCCGGGAAGAGGGCTTGTGGCGCTCACATGGCTATAGCGGATCGGGGATATGAATAGGTTGTTGTTGATCGTTGTAAGTAGCGGGTTGAGGATTTCGGAGGTGATAATGGGGGACGCCGCGAGCTTTATGTAGCACTTGGGGTCTGGTATGATACAGTGATGGTGGTGGTGGTGGGGGGGGGGGCGCGGGGTGATGATCATCGACCGCTTCGGACCACGCATATGGATAATGGAGTCCCAGGTGCCTGACACCTGATCAGGCCCCTCCCCCCCTCTCCCCGTGCCTACCCTTCCCACCCTAGGTACCCTATGTATGGAAACCCCTCTAAACCAACCCTTCGCCAGCCAATAGTCCTCCGGCAGTCCCTGGCCATCATGGGCCATGCACATCTCGGTCCCGTCCGGCCAGTGTTATTCTCGCGGTCGGTTCATGTGATCAGCCCAATCCCTTGCCTTCCGCCTGTTCGGAGCTGTTGTGGACTAGGTAGGCAAGGCGTCAGAACGGATGTGACGTTGGAGCTTGGAGCTTGGAGCTGCGGCGCGGTTACATTCTGGTGGAGGCGGCGCTGGGTAATGCCGCGGGAAGCCGACGCCAGCACCCGCGACAGGCAGGCATGGGCTAGTTAGGGCGAAATAGCTACCGGTAATAGTAGGCATTCTACTCTAGCCTGGGGAACTTCATGTTGCACTTTCCAACTCTCCTCCGCAGGAGTAATTGCGACGGATGGTAGCGGGCTTGAGGCGGGGTGCGGATAGACTCATAGAGTACGGTGTAGATAGTTGGTTAGGGCCAACGGAGCTTGCCGCAACCATTCATCTTCGTCACAACACAACGTTCGCGATCTCCGCTGCGGCTACACTTATACATACAACCTAACCTTCCCCACAATAGTCCAAAGCTCCCGCCTTCCCTCTAATCTAGAGCCAACTGTAGCAGATAACTACAGCTTCGGTTGAAGCAACGACGTTTGACGAGTGACAGACTATGTACGAACGGAAACGCCCAACTCTTGCCTGCCCTGTCCTGACTCTGCATACCCGAGGTGTCAGGGATTTACCCCACAAAACGGCTCCACATGGCGAGATGATGGATGGAGGTGATGGGGGTGAAGGTTATGTACGGGACGGGACAAGACGGGACGGAGCGGTGATGCATCGGTTTGTCTCATCGGCAGAGGGGCTATGTACCCCAGCTATCAAACAGAATGAATAGAAATCCCATGATGGGCGAAAATTCACTGTTAGGTATTCAAACTACATATCATATCCGCCCCATGCTCTATGCTATGTACGGACCACTCCCACCGCATATATGCACCCACATAAACAAACACCCCACAAAAACGCTTCATACATTGCAAATTACAACTTCGCCGGCATCTCAGCATGCTTCTCGTTCACCAGAACGAACCTATATCTCGGGGCGCCCTCCTCGAACGCCACCACAGCCTCGTTGACCTTGGTCATAGGCCAGAGGTTGACCCAGCTGTGCACGGCCTTCTTATCTGCCAGCTCGATCATCTCCCTGATCTCATTCGGGCTACCAATCATGGACCCACCGACCTTAACCCCGCGTCCAATGAGCACCATAGCGCTGAGCGCCGGTAGCTTATCCTCCGGCGCGCCGACCTGAATGAACTGCCCATGTGTGCGGAGTAGGTTGAGGTACCCATCGAGCGGCATATTCGGCGAAGAGACGGTGCAGACAATGAGGTCTAGGGAGCGGGCATGCGTCTTCGCCCAGTTCTCGTCCTCGTCCGTCGAGATGTACAGGTCCGCGCCCATTTTGAGCGCGTCCGCCCGCTTGCTCGCCTTGCGCGAGATCGCGACGACAGTGTCAGCCCCTAGGGCCCGCGCGAACAACACGCCGAAGTGCCCGAGCCCGCCGAGGCCGACGATGCCGACCTTCTTGCCCGGGCCGCACCCGTTACGTGCCAAGGGGCTGTAGACGGTCACTCCGCCGCACAGCATCGGCGCGATGATTTCCGACGGAAGGGAGATGTGCGACAGCTGGATCACGAAGTGTGACGGTACCCGAGCGTAGTCGGCGTACCCGCCGTAGGACATACTGCCGTCGGGGGTACTTGCCGACGTATGTTGTGACCATTCCTTTGCACTGTTTGGAGAGACATCAGCATGGGTTTCCTCGGTATGGAGGGGGAGAGAGGGGGGGCTATGCATACGTATGACTCGTTGTCAGCGGAACACTCCTCACAGTCGGCCTTCAAGCACGAGGCGCTCTGGGCACCGACACCGACGCGGTCTCCGACCTTGATGCTCTCGACTTTGCTGCCGACCTTGACGGCGGTGCCGACAATCTCGTGGCCGACAACGCACGGGTAGGGGGTTGCTCCCCAGCCGGACCGCAGCGTGTGCAGGTCGCTTCCTGTGAGGCCAGTCCTGTCAGATAATCTACTCATGACCATGGATGGCAGAGGTGAACTTACCACAGATACCGCAGTGCGTGATCTTGATGTCGACGTCGGTCTCCTCGAAAGGCTTCACGTTGTACTCCTGCTCCACCAGGTTTCCGACCGAGTTGGCATCGAGGCCCACCCATCCGCTGAACTTGTACTCGGCAGTAGTCATGATGTCTGAAGTCGTAGTGATAGGTATAGGTATAGGTATAGGTGCGGTCGGTCTGATTGATTCGAAGAGGTAGAGCGTGTAGGATGTGAAGATGGAACTCAAGCTGCTATGGAACTTCCAACACCAGCGTCGGGGGCGGGACAGCAGAGCTTTTGTAGTATTTCGCACAGCCCAGCAGCTCCCACCATAACGTGGCTTCTTCTTTCTTCATGGCATCGATCGTACGGTACGGTACATAGTTTACCCACGCATCGCCACCGCGCTCATCGAGAACCCGTCCAGTTCCAGTTCAGACTAACTAGGGGAAAATTCTTCGCCTAACGCTTCACCTCCCCTCCCCTCCCCTCTCCTCCCCTCCAGAGTCTTCCTTCAGGTTCAGGGTCCAACGTAACTACGTATCTAAAATCCGGGCGTTAACACCGGATCCGACCGAGCTGCGGTTAATTCTTCACAACTGTGAATCGCCGCCAAACGCACAAGCTTGGCTGGCTGGCTGGCTGGCTTATAAACCCACTTGCGAAGAAAGAAGCATGCGAAAGTTCGTGATGTCATGTTGGTGTGTAAGTACCTACATACAGTACTTTACATGGAGCACCTTCCATGTGGTGGCCAGGAATTTCGCATCGCATCGCGGCAGCCTCGGGAAGTCGCGATCCCTGTACATAGGCTGCTGCTGCTTCCCACGCCAGCCGTTAGATCCTGATTGAGATCTGCCCGACTCGACTCCCAACTACGGTAGGTAGTCCGGACCGGACGGCGAGATTCTGGAAGGTTCGGTTCTTCGGCTCGTCGATTGTTTGATCCTGCAATTCTTCGATTCTGCGATTCTTCGATCGCAATCGCTGGGGGCGTTCGAGCTCAAGCTCGAGTGATGGATCGAACTACCTGCTTACATACCTAAGGTAGTACAAAGCTCCGGTCAGAGTGCAGACCAGACAGGCTTTACTCTACTCTACGGCCACGAGGCGTGAGGATACACAGGTATTTTTGCTCTGCTCTGGCAGCTCTGCTCTGCACGTGTCCCGGAAAAACGGTTTCTCCATTCTCCGCTACGTGTCGGGCTGGGGAGTGGACGTTGGCGTCCCACTTGTAGTGGGGTTGCGCTTACCGAACGGGATGCCGGTCTAGCTATGCGGTGGAGTAAGGCGTTACATGTATCTTATCTCCGGCTGCGCTGCGTGGAGTGCGGGCGGGTCGGCGGGCGTCCCGCATATTCGCTGCCAGCAGCAACAAGAAGCAGCAGAGGGAAGACTGTGGCATTTTCCCGATGGTGGATTCTGGACAGACTACGTACTCGGGTGTAAGGGTAAGTGCTGCCTCACCAGTTTTTCCCCCATACAGCTTAGCGTTTTTCCCCATACAACTTAGTCACAACTACTCACTCATTTCATTGTATCTGGCTTAGTGTGCTGCTAATATAGACTAGTGCTTATAATTCGTAATGGTGGTGAGGCACCACTTATTGGCAGCTCCTGGTACAGGGGAGAAAGGAAGAAGGGATATTCACTGGGTGCGCAGTGGCGCGAAACTCTGCGACGCTGCAACGCTGCAACGCTGCAACGGACGCACGGCAACAGCGGGGTTCAAACTCCTGCCGTTTGCACTTGCAGCGTGGTCCGGAAGGGTGGGCTGGTTCGCCACAGCAATGTATGTAAGTGGGTACTGTAGTCTGGACTCTGGACTCTGGAGTCTGGAAAGGTTTTATGTACGCGAAATAGATTGATGGTTTCCGAATACCTACGGTACCCTACACCTGTCCTCGTCTTCCCCGAGTCCTGTGTAGGTACTCGAAATAGTGGTGTCCTCCCACCACCTGTACATTCTTACCAGTTCCTCCAATTAATCCACAATGAACGGCGACTCTCTCATCTCTTCTCCTCCTCTCCGGGGACCTCTCGCCCAACATTCGTGCTCCCTCCAGACCTCTAGCATAACTGAGCTGCATCTTTCGTCTGCAAATATTTCACATATGTAAACCTTAGCCTTCCATTTCTTCATTTTTCCCCTCATGCGCTCGCAGGATTGTACAATTCTCGAGAAGATGCTCTCGGGTCTGCTTAGTGCAGCATCTGGCACCGCACCGTGCCGTGAAGTCTAAGGAGGTGGACGATGTGTTGGCTTGAGCACAAGGAGGTGTAGGTATTGCACAGATTTCGTGGTTTACAAAAGGACACTGGAAAGGTTATCGAGCAGTTGTCCACTGCCTACCTAGTTGTTTTCCCACCTACGGAAAGGTCCATCTCCACGGCCCGAATGGACTAGCTGATCAAGCGACGTTGCGTTCCTTGCCGAAAGCCGGAGACCGACGGATGCCTGAGTTCTATCAGGCCGAAAGCCAATGGATGCCTGAGTCCGATCGGGAGCAGTGGCTCTTGAGGCGAGGGGTCACGGCTCGGGTGTGTACGATATGGCATCCGCTATGGTTACCAACATTCCTCGGGAGTTGGGTATGTACAGCGATCGCCATGCACACTTAAACTCATGCTGCGTGTGCTCGGGCTTGCGCAAAACCGGGGTCAACCGTCAAACGTGCGCAGTCCGAGTGATTTCTCAGAAACCCGTGAACAGGCATCAATACCGTATTCTGGTCAACAACCGACCCATCGCAGTTCACGTCGCCTCCCCCATCACATCAACACTTACACTCACCCAGGACCGCAGCTTGCGACACCTCTTACATACTTCGTACAGAGCAAAAATGAACAATGTTACAACGATATGAATTTTCCGTTCCCGGTCATGCAGAGATACAACAAAGGAAACCCATGAGAAAAAGAGAAAAGAAAAAAACAAAACAAACAAACTGAAAAGCAGATGAAACTATAAACTCCTGATTCTTTTTTCAACTTCAGTATGTATCTACGTAATATTGAAGACCTTCTTGAGGTTGACAAGCAGATGCCAATCCTCCTTCGCCACCTCGTCCCTGTAGAACTTTTTCAGCGTGTCGATGGTGAGACGGCTGATCTGCGAGTAGAGCACATCCTTCTCGTCCAGATGTCGTCCGTACGTGGGCTGATTGGGTCCTTCGATCTTGATGGCAACACTGGGGGAGCCCTTCTTGGCGATCGGGATGTTCTTGTGGTTGAGCTGGATGCTGGTCACACGGCCGAGCAGGACGGATTCCATCTCGCCCGTGAGAGGGTTCTTCTTGACGGCGGCTATGGGCGTTCCCATGCGGAGCGAGCCCTCGACAACATCGACACCGAGAACGATCGGGTCCTTCTTCATGAAGACGGCAACCGTGTTCAGAATGCAAGGGAAAACGGCCTGCGCAGCGGCTTCGAGACGTTGAGCTTCCAGCATTTCCTACCGCACAAATCCAATTAGAGTGTATTACACTTATTAGAGTGCGGGCAAACAAACCTTCTGATGAGCTGTGAAGTTGTCGAACAAGTGGTAGATAATCTCAGCACTGAAGATCTTGACACCGACTTCTTCGGCGTATTGTGTCGCTTCCTTGTCAATCTTGACGTCGAAGCAGAGCATGACAGCATATCTGCAAATCAGATTAGCCAAAGGGCATCAACTGTGGCTGGGTGGAATGAATTGCATACTCCTTGTGTTTCTCCAACATGACACCAGCTCGCATAACGTCACGCTTGAAAACGGGACCGATAGAGATAGTGCTAACGGGAATCTTGCTGACCCGCAAGAACTCGAGCAACGCCTCCAAGGAACCCAGAGTGGACGCCTGGACGGCCACACCAACACCCGAAGTAGAAACTCTGCTCAACAAGTTCTCGAGATCTCCCATGATCTCCTCCTCGAGATCCTCCTCATCGTCGTCGGGTCCAACGACCAACAGTCTCGAACCAGCAATAGCACCCTCAAGATCGTTGGCAGCGATCTTGACTCCCATGGCTGCCTTGATTTCCTTGTGGTGGACGTACTGCCCCTTGACACGCATCTCTTTCATCGGCTGTGGTGTCAACAGTGCTCTGATGTTGGTCGAAATCGCGCCGTTCAGTCCACAGACGACTATTCGGTCTCCCTCATGCAATACACCGTTACTCAAGATAACATCGATGGTGGTTCCCAGACCCTCGACAACCTTGACTTCGAGAACGGTACACTCCAAGCTCGAGAGGTACATCAACTTCCCGGCCATCCTCTGCTGGGTCAATTCGACCAGGAGCTTGAGCATATCGGGAATTCCCTCTCCAGTATGTGCGGACGTGGGCACGAGAGACACGAACTTGGCAATGCTCTTGTTCTCCCAGTACAGCTCGGAATTGAGTCCCTGCTCGGCAAAAGCAAGCTTTGTCTTCTCGAGACGGTCGCGGAACTCGTTCTGAACAGACTTCTTCTGCTTGGCCAGCGACATCTGGAATCCATTGTTGGGAATTGGGTTCCAGCCGTAGAGACGATCAATCTAAACCAGTCAATCACATCGTTACATTTAATAGGCTGAAGAGACGAACCTTGTTCAATGCGACGATGAAAGGAGTCTTCTTGTCTCGCAGCAGTCGGATGGACTCGAGCGTCTGGGGTTCAAGACCGTGCATGATATCAACGACCAGAATGGCGATGTTACAAAGCGAAGATCCACGAGATCGGAGGTTCGTGAAAGACTCGTGACCAGGCGTGTCGATGACGAGCAAACCCGGAGTCTTGAACTCCATTTCGCCCTTAGGATCCACAACCGCAGTTTTCGTCTTGATGGCTTCTGTAGGGAAGTAAGTTGCACCAATCTGCTGGGTAATACCACCGGCTTCTCCCTCCTGAACATTGGTCTGACGAATCTTGTCCAGAAGCTTCGTTTTGCCGGTATCGACGTGTCCCAGAATACAACAAATAGGAGAACGAAGATTGTCCGTGGATGCGGCCGCCTTGGCTTCCTCAAGTTTAGCTTCTCTCCGCTTGGCCGCCTCAGCTTTCCTCTGAGCTTCTTGTTTTTGGGTCGCCGTAAGCTCCTCGTCAGAATCATCCGAATCATCGTCATCGTCATCATCATCGTCTTCATCCTCATCCTCGTCTTCCTCTTTCCCTGTGGGTTTCTTGGTATCCTTTTCTGCTCCATTCGCTACCCAACATTAGTACATATGGAACAACTGGTGAATCGGAGCCGTGCTTACCTGCTGTCTTCTCGTCATCACTGTCGTCATCCCAAGATTCCTTGATATCACCATCCTCGCCGATTGCATCTTCCCAACTTTCAAGAATGCCCTCCTCCGCCTTGGCCTTGGCAGCTGCCTCCTCGGCTTCTTTTAGTTTCTGAGCCTCTTCCGCAGCCTTCTTGGCTTGCTTCTCGGCTTCTATCCGTTCCTTCTCCTCCTTCAGTCTCTTTTCATCGGCAGCTTTGGCCTCAGCCTCGGCCTTTGCCTTTTCTGCCGCTCCACCCTTCTTCTTCTTCTTGTCGTTGACAGGCTTCTTGGGTCTGTCGGGGGCGTCCAATGCTTGCACGATCATACCGGCATCACGCATCTGCTGTAACCGCAGCTCGGCTCTCTTTGCCGCCTCCTTCTGTGCCGGCGTCATGTATTTACCCTCCTTCTTGAGCTGTTCCTTCTTCTCTCTTTCCTTCTCCTTTTTCCGTGCCTTGGCTTCCTCCTTCCGCTTCTCTTCCTCCGCGATAAGACGTTCCTCTTCCTCGGCCTGTTTTCGCTCCTCCTCTTCCTGTCGCAGTCTCTCCGCTTCCTGTAGACGAAGGAGCTCCTGTTTCTTGGCGAGCGCCGCAAGGGCACCTGTGAGCTTCTTCGGCTTTCCACCGGCGGCGGCGGCAGGCTTCGCGGGGGCGGGAGTGGCGGCAGCGGGAGCGACTTCTGTAGGGGCGGCCTCAGCAGCGGCGGCAGGAGCAGCTGCAGGTGCGGTGCCCTTCTTCTTCGCAGCCTATTGCTGTGGTCAACAATCGGTGAACACTTAAAATTGTCATAGCCGGAACCAACCTGCTCCTTCTTCCTCTGTTTCTCTCTTTCCTTCTTCTCTTTCTCTTTTTCTTTCTTCGTCTTCACCCTTCCGCCATCCTCCTCGTTGTTCGGCGTGGCGGTTCCAGAGTCGGCAGCAGGAGCAGCAACAGCGGGAGCCTGCTTGCCACCCTTCTTGCCCTTCTTGACGGGACCAAAGTCATCCTCATCGATCTCGGTGATCTCGGTGGGGGCGTGGGAAAACGGAGAAGCCACATCAGCTGGCGTGCCGGAACCATCAGGTGTCGCATCTTCGTCGTCGAGGGCCACGGCCGTAGGAGCTGACTTCTTTCCCTTCTTTTTCTTGTTGGCCTGGTTCTTCTTGAGGGCGGCGAGGAGTCCGCCGCCGCCGAAATCATCCTCTGTAGCCTCTGTAGGAGCAGCAGGGCCGGGCGCAGGAGCAGTCTCTTCCTCCTTCTCGGCTTCGACTGGGGCGGCGTCGGCGGTCTTATCCACTGGGACGGCCGTCTCAACTTCTTCCTCCCACGAGTCGTCGCGGACCTTCTTGTTCTTCTTGTCCTTTTTCGCCATGATGAAGTGTGTCTTTTGCGGGAACTATTACGAGCCGGCGATTGATCTCGGTGGTGGTCTGGAAGTTGGTTGAGCGGAGGGTTGCTGAGTCGTTGACCAGGATGAAGTTGAAGTGGGGCACTCTGGTTGTAGAATAGTGGGGATAGTGACTTTGGTTTGCTAACGCCGGCACTTACGCAAAAGAAATGTGTCTGATCTGGCAATGCACCAAGAGATGGATCCAAGAGGCAGAGCAAACTGAATGGGGATCGGCCTTTTGCATGTTTTTTCTAGGTGTGTCACGAGACCGCGTTCCCTGCTTAGTAAGTGGCACATGACACTTGGCGACTCATCATGTGTCTGCTGCTCCGCGGTGTGGCTGCTGCTTTCTATTGTGGCTGCTGCTTCCTATTGTGGCTGCAGTGGCGGCGGATAGCGGATGCGAGTGGCGAGTGGCGAGTGGCGGTGGCTGAAGCATGCTTTCGTCACAAGGTCAAACTGAATGCGAGGAGGCGCGAGATGCAGCACGGACAAGTCCAAAGCAACACAAATCTCAACGGTCAAATATCTTCCGCCTCCCTTCCCACCCTTTGGAAGAACTCAAAGAAAGGACTTCTTCTACGCGCTCGCAGCCCCCACTCGATCAAGCCATTCCTCCAGCCCAGCATTACGACACCCCGCCTCGTCCACAAACGGTACCACTCCTACTAATTGCCCTTGGGTACCCACCGGTATTTAGTATTGCATTGTCCTGCTCCGCTCTCCTGCACACTTGTCTCCTACACTTCTGCGCACTTCTCTCCTACACTTCTGCACCACTCTCCACTCTGCCTACCACTCCGTCAGCTCCTCGCTCTCTGCATCCACACTGCAGACGCAACAATCCCAGCTCCAGCTCACCCTCACCTTCCCCCACAGCTACCCCTGCTCTCAGCGTCGCGGGGCGTCAGCGGCGTAACCCATCGTTCCTCGTCGCCACTCCAGCTCCAGCTCCAGCTCCACGATGCCAGTCAAGGTGGTGATCATTGGCGTAGCAGCCGCGGCAGCAGTGGGAGCAGTTGTGTGGCGCAACCGCGAGCAGATATTGGAAGTCGCGGAGCAGACCCGCGACGAAGTTAGAGAATTTGCGGGCGAGAGAATCGCCGAGCTCGCCGAGCTCTTGCGACGCGTGGCCGACAAAATCTCGCCGGAGAGGCAGGAACAAATACCCATGCGCGGCCGCGCTTTCGGGTTCTCCCCACCGTCGTCGCCGAGCTCTTCGTACAGGAGTGGAAGTCCTCTTAGGTCTTCGACCAATCCGTTCGCCAACCCCCAGGCCAACTCACCTTCGGGTTCTCGCAATTCGGGGTTCTACCAGCAGCCCCCAGTGGCTACGGGACGTGACAGCGAGCACGCGGACGGTCTGCGACTCCGAGGTGCTGGCGGCGTCGTACCAGTGCCACCAGCACCACCAGCTGTTTCCCTCGATAATGACCACAAAGAAGAGCCACGGGCGCCCAGCGTTGCCTCCAGCACCTCCACAATCCCGTCCCCAGCCGTTGTATCACCACCCGCGCACGTCGTCTCGATCCCGCAATCACCCAGCGTCGAAACGCTCGTCGCGGTCTCCGCGGTGTCGCAGCAGCTCCCCTCAGCGTCAGAAACCATATCCTTCCACTCCACCTCCACCACGCCGACCATCTCCTCCGGCTCCTCAGCCGTAGCCGCAGCCGTAGCCGCAGCCGTAACCCCGCCAGCAACAGTAGTAACCAACCCCTTCGAGAACCCGCAGCCATTCTGGAACATCCCCGAGTGGCAGGAAAACACCGTGGTGGAGGCGCTCGACGACACGCCGTCTTCGTCGCCTAGCTTGGCCGGCAGCGCTGCCGACGAACTCCTCGATACCATGTCGGATCTGGCTAGTGAGTCGGGAAGCGAGGGCAGTGAGGGCAGCTGGATGGAGGTCGCGAGCGTCACTAGTGATGATGATATGATCAACCATTAAGTGCAAGGCGGTGGCTTGTGTTCGATTCTTCGTGTCAATGCTTGATTTTTGTGTTTCGGTCTGATTCTCTTCGGTTTGCTTTCCTGTCGGCTCGTCCATTGTTTTTCCATGTTACATTTGACGTACAAGTGAACCTCTAGGGAGGTGGGAGGTGGGAGGTGGGAGGTGGGAAGTGGGGAGTGGGGGGTGGGGAAGGCATTCCCTTTGAAAGGACGAGTACGAGCACGGGCACGGGTGGACAAGCTGGTGACAGTGATGGTGTTGGTGGGTGGGATACTTACGCTCTACATTCTTACTCGTGAATCGTGATATTTCTTTCATATTGTTCTTCTTCGCATTTCTTCTTATTTCACTTGGATTGGAAACATACATTTGGGTGTTCTTGGGCTTTCTTCTTTCTTCTTCTTTCTTCTTCTGCTTCTTCTGCTTCTTCTGCTTCTTCTGCTTCGTCTGCTTCGTCTGCTTCTTCTGCTTGTTTCGTGTGCGTGTGGGTGCGTGTCTGTGTGTGTGCTCCCTACTTCCTCTGCTTCCTCTGTTGATTCTCGCTTTGACTACTGACTTACTTGGGTGTTGCATTTTGGAGGAATCGTGGGAAGTAACTACGGGATGGGATGCGGTGGGATGGGATGGAAAATTTCCAGTAGGAAGTGGAGAATGGGGTTTAATACAGAGCACATTGCATTAACATCTACCCATTGACGTCTTGTTGTTGTGTGGAAAGCGCGAGTGATATCTGTGCATCAGGAGCAGCAGCAGCGAGCAGCGATTTTTAGAAGTCGATGGTTCTATGAACGATGTCTACTAGTAGCGCCCGAGGAAATGCACAGAAGCCTGAAGGAGAGCGAGAAGGAGAACCCATCCAATCCATCGTGTATGTACCAGTACCTAATCTATCCCCCCATCTCCGTTCCCCCACCCTAAAATGACAGGAAAGAAAGAAACTGTAAGAAAAAGCACACAACAAAAAGCAAAATCAAGCAAAACACCGCCCCGCCGTACGCGCCCCCAAAATCGCATGCAGAACCTCGCCGGAAGCAGCCATCAGCCATCAGACATCAGACATCCGACAACATCGTAAGGAAGGCTGAAGTAGAGCTGAAGTATCATAGGTAAGTAGAGCCGAAAGTGCGTGCGTATCATAACTACACGGATAGGTAGGTAGATACCATACAGTACTTATCACAAAACGGCATCATTCAGCAACCCATCGACCCAGTTGATGACAGCCTCAAAGACGTCCTCCGTCCTCTTCGGGTTGACGGTCCTCCTCGCGAGGGCCACAAACCCATCCGCGAGCGTATTCTCCGCTCTCGCGACGGCCTCCCTTAACCACGGCGCGCCGAGCTCCACGATTGGCGCGAGTGCGTCGCCGTTGATGTGCGCCTTTGTCGGATCGCGCTCCCATTCCGCGAGCCCGGTCATGTCCTCGGCGACCATCATGTATGCCTCCTCTGCCTGGTGGCGGGGCCGGTACAGGTCCTGTAGCAGCTGCAGGAGCCGCAGCGCGGACTCGTCGATTACTGTCAGCTGGAAGAAGGAGCCGTCGACGCCTGCGGCGATCAGGTTGGAGCCGCCGCCGACGATGCCGGGGAGGTGCCGGTCGTGCGGAACCCATGGCGGACGGCAGATCCCGCGGCGGATGCGCGAGACGCTGGAGTCGAGCTCGGCTTCGAAGATGGTTTTGAGGGATTGCAGCGCGCGGTTGTCTACTTGTGTTAGTGGTGGAGTGAGGGGTAGAGCAAGTAGATGGGAGACGAACTGGGGGGCCGCCACAGGCCCACGACGCCGTACTGCTTGTCTGTAGCTATGAGTAGGTCCTCCAAAAGCTTGGTGATGTAGAAGCCGTTCCTGGCAATCTCGTCGCTACAGGGGATGTGTTAACCAAAACTCTGGGCCACATAAATTGAAGCCATCGTGATAGCGCTGACACACCTGAAGCATTCGAATAACCTTCCATTCTCATACTTGATCACCAGAACCGAGTCCATCGCACAGGAAACACAGATCAACGGTTCAGAGACCGAAATCTGTACTGCTGGGCTTCGAAGCTTCACCTGTGCTACTATCTCCAGCCTACCCAACATTCAGCTCCTGCAACGCACACCTTCGAGTCTTTGGGGGGGGGGATGGAGGGGGTCTACTTCTTCGTCTTCGCATTAAAATCCTTAAAGCACAGCATATTCCCGGTACAGCAAACCAAAGAACTGTTCAACATTAGCCATCAATACCCCTAGACACTCGGGCGGGTGGGAGAGAGAGCTGACCTAGTTCCATACGGCGCCACCGAGTATACCGTGTCATCGCAGATCATGTGGTATCTCCTTCTCACAGCAACAGTATTATTTTCGCCTTGGTGCAGAGTGAGGATGACCAGTCTCCCAAAGGGCACGCCGTGATTGATAGCGCCTGTTCCCACAGCAATGAACTGATACCGCTCTCCGCCGAGGTGCATATTCCATTCTGTTGAGACGCTGGTGGTTAACTGTCTGTTCGGACGAGACGGGACGGCGGAATGCTTGCTGGAGCAAGAAACTTACCCGCGAGACAGTAGATCTGCTCGTTCGGCTTCGAGAAAATGCTTTCACCAGTCTTCATATCCTTGAGCGTTCCATCAGGAATACAGGACTGTCCACTAGAGTGTGAATGACCGTCAGTGAGCGCCTCATGAACGTGTAGGGTTCGGTTGGTGAACCAACGTTCTCGCATTGAGCACCTTCAAGGTGCATATGGCAGTCGGGTCCTCGATCTCCGTAGAGCCCGGATTCCTGCCGCAAGCGACGATGTAGCAATTCATGCGTTCGTAGAACAACAAGCGGCGGGGGGTTGCATTCAATCTCAGTCTTCTTCCGCAGATCTTCCTACTCTGGCCGATGTCCGTGCAGAATATCTTGCTGTCGGCCACGCAGATGAGGGTGTTCTCTGAACCTAACGCTTGATCACCGACCTGGACAATCGCTTCGACGTTTGGCTGGACATCACTCTTCAGCACACTATCAGATTGGCGGAAAGTCTGGGACGGCACTTACGTCTATCTCTTCGTTGGGCATAACAATAATCACTTGCGCTCCCCGGAAACTGTCACGAGGCATATCGAAGCGGTACACCTCGCGGCCCGCCAGAGCAAATGCCGAATCCTTGCGATACACGTCCAAGGACAGCAGTACCGGAATAGGTCCGAATTTGATCTCCTGACGTTTCTCGAGTTGCAGGGCTTTCAAAATGTCAGTACTAGGTCCAGAGGGACACACACACATAAAAAGAGAACTTACACGATCCAGTTATCGTAAATTGAAACACAACAACAATGCCGCCCCGTAATCCGCACAGTAGCTTTGCAGTGGTATTGGTTGAAATCAAGACGGCCGATTCGCACAGCCCGAGATCGTGCAGGTCGTCCGCAGCAGGATTTTCAAGCACTGCCACTTTAAGTTAAGCTGCACATGGAATAAGCTGGATAAAGAAACCCACTTTCTCGTTCAGCGAAAGGACTGAGTCCCTCGAAACCATCACAACTGAATATCTGAATTGTCACTCGCCGTGTTCCCACAGCTACCATCAATCGGCCATGCCTATAGACACTGTTAGAAGCCATACTCCATCGTCAAGTGCAAAACTTACAGCTCCAAAAAGCCCAGGAATGTGGGATCATCCTCCATAGCCACCGGTGCACCAACAGGCACCAAGAACTCGTTACTTTCGGGGCCCTAGTCAGCATTCAGACTGCTCTTCGTCCGCAATCATCAGTAAACGTACCTGTCCGACTTGATTTCTATCGAAGCCAGAACAAGGCTGACATTGTCTCCGTTGCGCAATGCTATCACGACGAATTTTCCCCGGAGAGCCGCCGCAACGATCGTATCGCCGCCCTCACATCTGCGTTGCAAGCGGCGCATCCCCGGATCATTATCGTCCACCTCCATTTCCCCATCATCCTTTGGCAGCGTGTCGCCCTGGGCCAGCCGAATAACCGTAATCGTGGATGGCGTGACCTGCACAGACCAGGGCATATCATCAGTCGATTCGAGCGGCCCGGCCGCCAACGTCGGCTCGTCGAACTCGAACGTAATTTCATTCCGGCACTCGAACCAATCGCCGTCCTTGCCGGCGGAGCGGAAGCAGAGGAACGACTCGTTGAACTGCGACGAGAGGACGAAGCAGCCTCCCTTGTGCTTATCCGTTTTGCGGGAGACGTCCGGCAAGATGAACAGCCTCCGGACACCCGCCATGTAGTCCGCCGGCGTCTGCGCGGTGGCTTGCACGCCGTACCGAAGCTCGGTGATCGCTCCGTGTTTCCCGCGGCCGGCACACGCGAATACCCGGTCCCGTTTGGCACTGTTGCCTTGCCCGCGAGCGGATAGATCCACCAGCTCGAAATCGATCACCGGCGCCCAGTTGATCACTGTCTCCTCCAGCTCGGCGCGTGAATCCACCGGCCACGCGGCAATTGGCAACTGCACATGATGATTAGCTCACTCCCGTCTTTCCTTCCCCTCTCCAAAGCACCGCTCGCATCGTGTACTGCTCACCAGATATATCCCCCCGCTACTCATCTCCCCACCAGCCACGATCATATCGTTAGACCTGAGTCCATAATCGAGGGCGGTAAAAGCCGTTCCGATGGCACAGTCGAGGTAGCTAGCCTTGACGACGCTCTGGACAAGGGCATGAGCACTCCCATCGACCTCGAGGTAGTAGATGCCGCCGTTTTCCATAGCGAGGTAGATAGCATCGAGGGTGCCCGTATAGTTCGGATGTCTATACGGGCGAGACCAAGCGGTGACCAGGCCTTCCGCTGCAGCTGTCAGAAAAAACAAGCCCAACCAAACGAAAGAAGAAAAAAACGCAGGAATATATGTAAATTAGAGACCCTCACGCTGATCATTGGACGGGAACGCCACGTTGCGGAAGTTCCCATTTCCAGATATGATATCTAACGCACTGACAACATACGTGGAGAATTCCGTGACTATCAAGAATGCCGAGCTGATGACTAGAGGAATTACGTGCAGAGGTATTGAAATGTCTGAAAACCGAATGTTAGAAAAATGAGGTTTTTTCGTGGGTGATCCACCGGGGTATGTGTTCACCATCTGACACACGAAGGCCCTGCTCGCCCGGCTTGTCCGCCGTCCACAATGGCTTGTTTGTATCCCATTCGTACAATCGCAACCGAGACTTCGATTCTGCACTATTTCAATGAATTTCGATCAACAATCCGGACACATCAAAAAAAATGATTTGCGATTTAGATGGAAAGCTGGAACGGCGGACTGACTCTATGAGGAAAAGTATTATGATTACGTGCTCAATATCCGACGTGTAGAGAAATTCCATATGCACTACAAAGCAACCATGAACTGCGAAGGTTCTCTCTTCTTTAATGGGGTTCAACGGTAGGCCTTCCGCAATCTGCCGCTGCAGTTCTTCCATCGGATGAAGAGAATATACACGGAAATAGTCTTGGTATGCCGCAACCGCCATCGCTCGGGATCTACACGAGAATATAAGCCTCTGCCGCGCGCTCTGCAACATCTTACTAACTTACTGAGGGTCAACCGCTATGCACTTGCCGAGATGCGAGGGATGCACTCCTCTGTTATCGATGCGCCTCCTCGAGACCACGAAGTCCACCTGTCCCTGCTCGTCACAGTCCCTCGCGTACACGAACTGCAGATATCCTGCGTCGGTAGTCATGGCCAGAATTTCGGCCGGGAGGCGAGATTTTATGTCCTCGTCCGAATCCCCACGACCCTCGCTCAGGCCCGTTTCCGGAGAGCCGGGGGAGAACTGGATTGGCCGCTTGGCGCCAAACACACAAGCATCGCGGATTTCCGCTCCGATGTCGGTTTTGGATCCTACTTTCTGCAATTTCCCGAGCGGTGTGAGGAGATGGAGTTCAATGTAAGTTTCCTATGCAAAGTTTATCCTTAGCAACGGAAGACGTAAGGGGGGTCTAGGCAAGCCTTGGCGGACGGATGAACTGGTACGAACCCCAATGAAAACAACGTCGTTGAGGTCTTGCCTCCGGATTCTTGCAGGTAGTATCTTCTTGACGACCGGTGAATGTATGAGAGTCCTGGACAGCAAGCCATATACCGGAACATCATCCTCCGAGGGTGTCGCCCGTGTCTGATAACACTCCGGGACTTCTTCTCCTTCATCCGCGAAGCCCCATTGGATAGCGCCTGTAGTCATGTTTGGCAGAATCTCGTTTCAAACTAATCTTGATAACGTCTCAATGACCACGACTTCTATAGGAACTGAAGGCGGAGGGAGGAGAGGGGGAGGGTAGAGCTTACGGTTGAGGTTAATTGAGTGCACCGAATGATTCAATGCCTGTGAATGAAGTTGGTCACGAGCAGGGCTCCTGAAGTGCAGATATCCGGCAGTCCAAGGTCCGTCCCCCAATGTTCGTTGCTCAGTAGTCAATCGGCTCCGGAGGGCAATGATAGCCCGATTGCAAGCCCGAAGTACCACGGATGGGCCTGCGAGGTGTTGATGGACTCAGGAGGTGATATCGTATTCTGTCTAAGAACAGGTGGGGGAGCTGTAGAGAACCCTAGGTCAACTTGCAGGTAATCGGTCCAACGCCAATTGCTCGGGGAAGCCGCTGTCTTTTAGGTTTCGAAAGAGTGTGGAGGAGCGAGATCCCTGTATCTCGCTGACCAGAATGGATGGATGAGGGGCAAAGCGAATTTTAATCTTGAAGAAGTCTATGCGCCTCGATAGACCGGCGGACTAGATAGAGGATAACTACAGCCAAGCAGCGCTCAATCCTGGTTGGGCGGTGAAGAGCTGCAAACGGAAGGAAGGAAGATCGACCAGCTGGCAGCCGTTTGGGTGGGGATGTTGGCGGGACGTTGGGGTTGGATTTGGGTTTGGTTTGGGTTGTGTTGGGTTGGGTACGGGATTGGAAGTGGGTAGCGGGGGGCAAAGATGGTGATGGCGGAGCTCGATAGTGGTAGCGGCGGCGACGGTGGAGGGTTGGATTTGGGAGGGTTCGTAGTGGGGTGGGCGGCGGTAGTGGCTAGCCGTATAGTTGGAGGTGAGTTGCTGATTATGAGGAGGACGATTCGACGGTAGTCTGATATGTTGCCATCGATATAGTCGTTTAACGCTGCGCGTGCTATCCGTGCAACTTTCTTCTTGCTGGCGAAGGGGAGGGTTTGGCCGAACGGCAGGCGAGAAAAGCGAGGGGTGGGGCACTAGAGTGCGCCGTATCATCCAAATCAAACGCATGAAAGAACGGGATCGAATCGATATCACGCCGCCGCAGAACGCCAGATGTGAGCGAAGCCATCAACCCCAGACCCCGGACATCGTGTAGACTTGTCCATGTATGGCGTGCACTTTGGGGGAGGGGATCTAACTCGAGGTGGCGTAGTGAGGATCACATCGATTCACACGTGTGGACTGGGTGGGTAGATAGGGCAAAGGCAGAGGTCTGAGGCAGAGGTCTGAGGCAGAGGCCGCCTAGCCCCCCCACATGGCAGTTATTATTATTGGTGATGCTGCCGGAAAGGCATCTCTCTTGTTCGTTTTTTCCCTCTGCTTCTCTGGGATCTTCTCTGCCTTGCTGTTGAGCTTTCTTTCAAGACGGTCTCTCTTTCGTTTCGCCCAACTTTCGTCTTTTTCTCCATCTCCTTCTCCTCCTACTTCGCTGACGGTTTCTTCCGGACGGCAAGTGCACAACTGGCGGGCCACGGATGCTGTCGCTACATACTAGTAGTGTGCGTGCAGGGCAGCCAGCAGCCCTCATGTAGAGTAAGAACTTGGAAGTTGATGTATGTAGGTGGGTGCTTAGGCGGGTGCGTAGGCGGGTGCGTAGGCGGGTGCTTAGGTGGATGCTTAGGTGGGTACTTATGTATGTATGTGACGGGAGAGTTCTTCATCAACATCGACATGTCAGTTTCTGATATGTATGCACATGGGGGTTTCGGTGTCGGCAGAGAGGGGGTAGGTTGTGCACTTCTCGGCGGGTCTTTGAGTATGAAAATGAGTATGTAAGTAGATAAGTGGGTAGGCATTCTATGCAGCCAGCATAGCTGAGTACAGGAGGGGGTCAGCCGTGGGCTGGTGGTGGTGGTGATGATGGTGATTGTAGTGGTGGCTGTAGTGGTGGTCGTGGTGGCGGGGAGAGTTAACGAGACGAGGAAGCACTTTCGGTTGTACGAAAATGGTAGTATTATTATTGCGCTCTTCCGGACTAGCAGGTTAGTCGAATCTGGAGAATGATAGAGTAGAGTAACGGAAGGCCGAGACATGGAGATAAAAAAAGAAAAGAAGACAAGAAAAGAAAGAAAAAAACAGAAACCGCCCAGATCAGAATCACAAGTGAGTAACGATCCAGTTGCACGTTGTCGATGTGATTCATCCACCCATGGCCAGCAGCAGCCAAGGGGAGGTATGTACCTACATTAAGTGAGTGCCTGCATGCCTTTGGGTGCTCTATCCGCGAGGTGCTCGTCTGTATGGGCTCTAGAGTGCCCCGCCTCACGAGTGCAGTCGCATGCAACGCAGTCCCTCAGTCCCCTCCTCTATGAGTGCTAAGCCGTCCCCGTAGGACGTTCGGTGTGCTAGCATGTTCGCCTGGCCAGAGTACTCTGGAGTGCAACAGCGTTGACTACTGTGCTCGAGCACACAGCTGTGAGACGGACTGGATAACTGACGAGCTATTCCACTCTGGAGTAGAGCACTCTCCACTGACCGCGCAAGGATGCAGCGACTAGGCTGGTCAACTAGCTGGCAGGCACGTCAGATTCCTGCAGAAAAGTGCCAAGAGGAAAATCAGATCTGCCAAGCTTCAGACGAATCGATGCGCCCAATCGATATCGTGTGGAGCTGGCGAGAGCTCGAGCGGGAACCCCAACATCCCAGCGTGGACCGGCCTGTATGCATGTACGTACTCTACTCAGATTGCTCTGCAGCCACTCACCGTGAAACGAAACACTCCGTGTAACCTCCTCCTCCCCCTCCACACTCCACCCTCCACCCTCCACCCCTCCACCGAGAGCTCGAGCTTAAGCTCCCCCCATCGCGAGCTATCCACTCACCCACCCACACAAACCAAGCGTACCCGCGAGGAAATGCGAGACGGCTGCGTGTTGACTGTCTCCCTACTGCTGCTCCCCCATATCGGACACGGATAGCCACCCTTCACCCGACACAGTGGGCGGTCGCACGGTCGACGAAAAAGCGTGAGGTGGATCACCGCTGGGTAATCCGGATACCTAGCCAGTATGAACTATCGAGGGGCCCTACTCTAGTGGAGTTGAGTTGTCTGCTCCTGCTGCTGCTGCATGGTCATATTCGCATTCTCGACCGATAATGGCTGCAAGCGGCCACCGGCCCGTTCATATCAAGGGAAGTGTTGTCGGTGATGGAAGCAAAGAGATGATGTCCCATAAACAGGAATATGACGGGTCGGTTGTCGACGCCTTTTCTGCCGCAGCGAAGATGGGGCCTGGCGTTCACGTTGGCATGACTGTGGGGGGAGGGGCCAGGGATTGCAGCATGCCTACTCTACCTCCCTACCTATCGGCGACGATTGCGACGATGGTGAGCGGGGAGGAGCAATACGAGGTGGGGAAGAAGGGGAGGGGGGACGAGGGGAGCTTGCCATAGCAATCGTATTGTCGGTGAAACATGCGTCGAATCTGCGTCGTGTGGACGATCAGTTGCTCCCGGGTTTCGAAGCTTGCAGACCGCCGACGGAGCTCGAGACGGTGGTTGCTCCAACTAGCGCGGCGGCACATGACTGACGCCACAGCCGGGGGAGACCCCCCCCCCACCCACACGCCCACCCCCCTCCGCGCGCCACACATCGGTTGTTGGGCCAAGGCACTGGACACCCTCGCTCGCCCACACCCGTCACTCAGGTGCGGAACTTTCTTGCGAGAAAGTCGTCAGCCGACCAGACGCCATCCCCTTTGGCTTTGGCCGTCGACCATTATTCACGCAAAAAATTACTAACTTCAATGGTCCGATTTGTGTGGGAAAACGGTGATCGCTTCGAAGAATCCCACGGAATGTATATGCGTCCGTATCGGGCATAGTGCGCTTTCTTTTGCGGATGGGCGCTGGCACTGGCAGCCTGGCACTATCGATGCCTGGAGGACACGTGACGGTACCCAATCAATCACTGGGCCCGAGTTGGATGGCCATTTCTGCCTCGTGCGGATCGCTGCTCAGTGGTCGCTATGCAATGAGCTGCTCGGAGTCCTTGCGCGGGGTTGTCCACTAACTATGCTGCTTGGTATGTGGTTCCTCTACCTCTTCAGGTATGAGGTATGTACTCTAATTGCTCCTCGTCACTCTATTCATAGGTAAGGTAGTTGGCTCTGCAGTGTGCACTGGTCTGACCGAGACGAAGTTCGTACAGGACTACTTGAAGCTCTTTCGGCTAGGCAGAACAATCGTCAGCCAAAGCATGTCGTCGGTGAAGAATAATCGAACGAGCAAGTCCGGCCTCCCCAACCAGAAGACGCAGGCTTCGGGCAGATCTTGCAGCACGCCTATAGAGTGGTAATGCTCTAGACCAGTATGATAGGTGCTCCGGAGCACAGAGGAGGAGGAGGCCTAGGTGGTGCTCCAAGGAGCGCTCACATGCAGTGCAAAAAGAGAGCAGCAGCATATTGGATCGTATGGAGTGGCCGGTCTGTCCGCAACTGCAGATGATCATGATCCACGGACGGATGGATGGATGGATGGATAGACACACGTCCCGCAATATTCATGAACTCACAAAAAAAGCTCAACTCCCGTGAGCTATTACCTACACCTGGAGGCAGTTCCATTAGTCCAGGCATGCGGAGGATGAGAATTCTCGGCCCCATAACGACCACTGAGAAGCCGACAGAATAACGACCAACAGCATTGAGGCGAGGAAATGACCCTGGTTCCAAGCTGCTTCGACTCGGTGGTGGAGACGATTGGATCTACGGCTCCCCGTTGGATCCAAAGTGGGAAACCCAATGGTCGGTGGGGCGAGATGTAGAGGTATGTACGGACTGGGGGAAGAATGTGGTGTATGGTGAGGGACCGGGGCTCTCGACGAGGTCGTATATGACCTTCAGAGTGAAGTTCAAACGAAACGCTGATCTACAGCTCCAGAACATGGGGGAAGGGATCAGGCAGTGGATGCATCTAGCCGGCCATCCGGCCCTCCCTCCCTCCCTCCCTCTCAGATCACCGCCTTCAGAGGAGTCGTCCTGGCCACATACAGTTCGGAATGCGGACCAAAACCGAGCATGAGCATGAGCATGACCATGCCAGTACCAGTGCCAAGTGGCCGGCGTGCATCCAACATGATCCAAGCCACCAACGAACGATGGACCGTTTCCGATGATGGATCATGGTTTCGATCTTTTGATGTGATGAACTGATGGATGGATTCCTGCGTTTCGTGCATGGGCATGGGCATGGAGATTGATTGCTCGCTAATGCGTGGCTCCAATTGAGCCTTCTCCGCTCGCCGAATGCTTCTTCCCAGGGTCCGCCAGCTACATACATACATACCTAATATCATATCTCGCACGCAACGAACGAAAATTCCTGCGCAACCGCCGTCGATGGATGGACGGACGCTGTTGCGTGGCACAGTACCTAGTTGCCCGTTGGCCCGTTGGCCCGTTGGCCCCAGGCATTGCAAATAGCATTACGGCTACCGGGTCGGAACTCTGAAGTCGGAGTTGAGTTGGGGCTGGGGAATGATTGAGCTACCAGTCGGATACGTCAACGTCGAGCTGGGTCTGGGGGCATTTCACTTCGAGCTGGGTGTTCCAACTTCGCAGGCTGCAATCACGGTCGTCGTCCCCGGCGGCGGCGGCGGGTGGCCACATGACGGCCACTACATATGTACAGTATGTACATACATATCCATCCCAGTGACCAGTCCCAAGAACGGGTCAGATGGATGGAGAGTTTTTCCGCCGACGTCCGTTCAGGTGAGAAGCCAACAAACAAATCCACAATTGATGTATATAGGTATGTATGCATATACAGCCGGGCAGGCCTCTCGTGCTCACTGCTGACGACCGAACGTCCACCTGCTTGCATGCGCCATCCCCCACCTCGAACGACGAAGCCTGCCATCAGCTCCACCACCACCACCACCACCACCACCACCACCATACCGGATGGGTCCGATCGTCCACAGAGCCACGGCTGGTGCTCCGGTCACCACTCGAGACCAACGCCTAAGTAAGCATGGAAGTAGACACCTCCCCCACACATATCTACTCTGTCGCCAATAGCTTACTATAGGCACATCGTCTGCAGCTAGCCCCCCCGCATTCCTCAAGCGAAAAGGGTTCGCCACCCACCAGAGATTCCCCAGTGCATACATACCTACATACCTACATACACACATACACAGGTAGTATGGAAGCCGCATCAGCATCAGCATCAGCATCAGAATCAGCAGAAGGTTTCCCCAGCAACTATGTATGTCCGGGTGCTCTTCTCTGCTTTTCCCAATTCCGCCAATCATACTATATTATATCATAGGTATCCAGTTGGAGAATGGGGGCAGAATTTAGAAATCGCTGCTCGACAGGAAGCCCATACAGGAAGCCCATACATACAACTCGATGCTCGATGCTCGATGCAGCTCCGTGGCAAAGATGCATTTGCTTCACCACCCCCCAGACATCCTTCCCTTTGCAAAAACTGTATGTATCATGCAGTAGATAAGGCAAAGCAAAGCAAAGCATGAAGTCAAAAGCCAACTTAAATTTTGCTCGCGGGTGATGCGGGAAATCTCAATCTCTTCAATTCCTCCCCTCCCTCCCCGCATATCGTGTTTTCTGACAATTGCTCATAATGTATAGTTAGCTGGTAGCTATGGCGGCCCGTTGCGGTAAGCTCTGATATCTGGATTCTGCTGGAAGGGATTGGCTCATGATGCAAAAAAATTGTGAGTTTTGCCATAGCCATAGGTTGTCCCGAACCAAATATCCAGTTGCCCTGCACGTGAAGCTTTCGTTGAGCCGAGTCGTCTCATGGCTCACCGCTTGAATGCTTAGTTTCGTTCGGGCATTCTGCCCGTGGTCCAGCCTCCAGGACCGTCTGATATGTACCATACTTACTATACATACATACCGGTACCAAGTTGCCAACAAACCCGCCGGCAGATACCTAGCATCTAGATGCAACCAGTCGTGCGTATGTACGGCCTCGAGACTCGGTCCCGGAATCAGTAGCCGGTTTCCTGGGTCGGATAAGTACGGTAGGGAGGAATCATGCCCCGCATAAGCAGTTAGTTGGTTAATTAGGTACTCCTAGCGACACTGGCTAATTAGGTTCCAGTGTTTGGAGTTTCACGGACGTGGATCCGCTCCGCACTTCAGCTTTCGGGGAGGATGGTGGATCTGCAGGCTGCTCACATGGGGTTGTAGGCATGAGGTATGTGGGAATGTGGATATGTGTGTTTGATACTGTCAATAGTGGATACTGGACACGGCTTCGTTCCGGGAGGAAATCATCGTCATCGTGGTCACCATCGTCATCGTCATCATGCAAAACTGCTATTGCTGGGGATGGGAATGGCATGCCGTCGTATATAGGTAGCGGTGAAAGAAATCGTGCATACATAACCAAGTACCATCATAACTACCGGTAAGTACCGGTAAGTACCGTACCTGTAAGCAGATGAGCCCCCAAGTTCCAACCATTATGTAACTCCTCTACTGACGACCTTGCGCGAATACACCAGACGACAACTTTTATGGTATGGACAAACCACGGCAAACTCGGCAATTCCAACCTACCAATTGCACCGTGCATCCTGATCATGAATCGTGACGTGATGAAGCAATTCGCAATTCGCACTTCGCAATCTACTTCCTTACTTCTTTACTTACGTGGTTACGTAGTTCCTTGTGGAGATGATGTTCGGTCGATTGCTGTGCTGCAAGTCGCTTAAGCTCGATGGCACAATCGACCCAAATTTCTCCCGGATGTGGTCCCTGGTGGTGGTGTTGGGGTAGGCAACAGCAGCCACCAGCAGCCACCAGCACGCACCACTGGCCCGCTCTGGAGTCTGGAGTCTGGTAACCGCTGTAAGCTGTAAGCACAACTTCTCACCGCTGTGTAGGGCTGCCATCCGCTACCGACTTCCGACCACCGAACACCGAGCACCGAACACCGACCAAACGACGTAGGATGTATGTAGGTGAGATCTCAGGTAGAGTAGATAGATAGACGCAATCCGCAACCACAACTCTCGGAAGACGTCGTCCCACCCCATATACGGCACCATACTTCCCGATCCAAGTCACGGCATGTACGGTATATACGGTACGTAGTATTCCCGCACCGTCAGTCTTCTTCCCTTTCATCATGTTCTTCTCGTTCTTGTTTCTTTTTTCGTTCTGTCTTCCCTTTCTCGACGTCGACGTCGAAAAAGTTCAATGCTTACACTTTCTGGGGTCATTTTCCGACGTAACTAACTACGGGAAACCCGGCTAACAAATCCCTGCTCCAAACTTTGTACAGTACTCTCTAACTACCGATACTAACTGCTCGAGTATATAACGAACCCGCTCTTGTTGCTACTACTCGGTACTTGAGTACTCGGATCTTGTGGCTTCGGAGTCCGGACCCGATATCGAAGTGCGAGAATCTTGGACTTGAAATTCGAGAGATTATTGCGATCTGGAACCGTCGCTTTGGCGTTGAGCTTGTGTTTGGGCTGTGAACGAACACTCCCTTCCACAATCAACCATCCGTCAGTTGGATCCACCACAGGTCCGCAGGTTTGTAGCAAGTGGAAGTGTGCTATGTACATACCATGTACCTATGATGTGCCTATGCGCCCATGTGCCTTTGTACTTACGTAGCAACATGCAACATGCACAGAGACGAAGCTTGTTGACTGTTGGCTGTTGGCCCTGCTGTTGTCGGTGCATGAAGGCTGTCGTCGGCGCGTGAGTAGGTACTGTGCCTAGCGAGATCTTGCCGCTGTTAGAGCTTTGCCTGTGGACTCTGCTTGCGGACTCTGGAGATCGCAACGGTGGAGGCTGTGGAGGCTGTGGAGCTGGTGGTGTGGCGCGCGGGGAAGCAAGCCACGATTACTCTGCTAGGTAGTACCGTAGGTAGATCAATCTGCCCATTGGCTACACGTGAACTCCTATGTAGAGTATGAACATATACCGGTATCATATGATGAGCTGGCCGGTCCGTTGTAAGTAAAAACGTTCTATGTATCCGGGATCGACGTTCGTCTCTCGAAGCAACCCGCCCGTCCCCAGCCCCAGCCCGCGTAAATCACACGCTAGATCGTTCCCGGTTAGTTAGGGACGACTGTCGTGTCATGTCATGCAGCTGCTCGAATTTATCCAGGTGTTCATTTTCCTCGAGCTCTTCACAGCAACAGCAACAGCAACAGCAGGCAGTTCAGGTACCTTCAACTCGTTCACCTTCCATCTATCCCCCCACCAACACCACCAACACGACCACCACCACCACCACCACCACCACCACCACCAGCACCTACACACTCTGGCAGCGGCTGGCCTCCTATCCACAACTCAAGCAGCTTAACCGGGTTACTCGAGCCAGCTACCTACCGTAGTTATTCGTATCGGGACCCCCCACCACGCACCACGCACCACGCACCACGCACCACGCACCACGCACCACCAGCACGATACGAAGCTCCCCCCCCACCCCACACAGTCTCGATGGATGAAATCGACACCGGCACCAGCGGCAGCGGCAGGAGCAGCCACCGCAACAGCGGTGAATCGGGACGACCACCACTGCTGCGGACGACCTCGATCCGGTCCTTCACGAATGCCGAAAAGGATAAAATCAGCGCCATACGTGCCGCATGCGAAGCAGGCGATCGCGGATCTCTCATCCAACACGCCATCTCGGCGGATGGGCTCGTTAGCGACGACGTGCGGCGCGAGGCTTGTACGCCACACCTGATGCCCCCCCCCCACACCGTCAAACCTCCTGCGGCCTAGGCGAGGGAGGAGGAGGTGTCGTGTCGTATCCAAGCGAACGCTAATCAGCTGGTTTCATGTTGGCGGCAGGGCCCTTGTTGCTGGCAACTACCGTCCCGCGGGTTTCCGACGCCGTCGACGCCGACTGCGAACATGACACGGCCGCGGCGGAAAAGATACCCGAACGAGTGCCGTGGGAAGAGCTGCCACTTCACGAGGACGAGCGCCAGGTGCAACTGGATGTCGATCGATCGTTCATATATTACCCCACCAGTAAGCGACAGTCCGGGGGGGTTCATGCATCGCGGTATCCCGGATCCTGCTGAGTAGCACTGAAATGCAAAGCATAGATATGTCGCCTCGGCAACTCGACGATCGGAAGAAGGAGCTATCGGATCTGATAGTGGAGGTCCTGCGCAGGCATCCGATGCTGGGCTACTTCCAGGTTCGCGCTCGCAAGTCCGCAAGAGTACTACGCTCCCCCGATGCATCATGTTCCTGACCTCGTTCATGGCAGGGCTTTCATGATATCTGCCAGGTGATCCTACTGGTCATGGGACCGAAAGCGGCGGTTTCGGCGGTGGAGCACATTGCGTTGCTGAAGATCCGTGACTTCATGCTTCCGTCCATGACACCCGCCATAAATCACCTCCGCCTGCTATATCCACTCCTTAACGATGAGGATCCAAAGTTGTGCGCCCATCTATCGAGAACCCAGCCTTTCTTTGCGTTGGCTGCCACCCTTACCCTGTATGCCCACGATATTCAGGAATACAGCAATATAGCCCGGCTGTTCGATGTCTTCTTGGCGTTGGATCCGGTGTTTCCGCTGTATCTGTTTACCCAGGTAATCCTCCTCAGCAAACTCCCCGTGGAACACACGCTGACACCTCTGGACAGATCGTGATGGAGCGCAAAGAGGAGCTATTCGAGATACCAGACGACGAGCCGGAAATGCTCCACTCGATCCTGTCGAAGCTCCCGAAGCCGCTCGACCTGGAGGGCTGGATCTCTCGCGCCATCTTGCTCGTGGAGAAGCGGCCGCCGGAGAAGCTCTCGACCTGGCGCTGGGTGTCCAAGTACAGCGTACTCAAGACCTCGCGGACAACCAGTCCCACCCTAACCCTGGAAGCAGCAGAGAAGATCTTCTCGTACCAGTGCCAGGAGCTCAAAAGCGCCGAACTACGAAAGCAACGGCTCGTTGCTCTCGCAAAACACAAGACGCCGATACTGGTCGGACTCTCCGTGCTCATCGGCGTATCTTCCATCGCTCTCGGGATGTATGCGCGCAACCACGGAGGCGTGGGCTCCCTGCCCGGAATGACGGTCGTATGGAGGATCTTTGTCGCCATTCGACGGCTGATGTGATTGGATCTCTCTCTCTCGCTTTCTCTCTCTCTCTTTATCTGTCTCTCTCTTCTCGTTTCATTTTTCCTTTTCTTTTCTTTTCTTTTTCTGCGTCTAGACAAAAGTTTGCTTGGCTTGGCTTGGCTGGTTCGGTTGCGTGGTGATTGGGTTGGGCTGGGTTGGGTACGCCGCACGGCGCAGAGCACGGTTTCCTTATTGTATACTAATTGCATTCCTACCTATACTAAAAAAGCTCAAGCCATTTCCCACCCACTGAAATGTTCCCAGTTCCCACCGGCATTTTTGTGCTCACCTACTTGCCTATCCACCCTTCGCTTGCGGATAGATGGCTGGATGGCTGGATGGATGGCTGAACGTATGGCTGGGTGGGTGTATGGGGTTTGGGTGTATGGGGATGTATGGGGTGTATGGATGTATGGGTGTCTGGAGCATGTATGGGTGTATGGAGCATGTATGGGGTGTGATGAGCTGCAGATGTGACATATGCAGGTAGAACCTGCCTCACATACATGCCTTTCCATATGTATGGTACATACAAAGTACCAACAGCTTGCTGGCTGGCTGGCTTACCCAGCAGCCGGACAGGACTGGGCATATTTTCTCCGTTTCGGGTATGTGATGCGGTACTGGTGGGTTGCTGGTGGGATACGGTCCCCCGCAAATGCTATGTAGAGTAACTGCTCACTGCACGAGTAAGGCGTAAAAACAGGATCTGTGCAGCGCAGGTTGGGCGTGGGTTGGGCGTGGGTCGGGCGTGAGGGGCGGGGGGGAGAGGGGGGAGAGGAGGGGCGGGGAGGGAAGAGGTGGGTCCGGAGGGAATGCCGGTGCGATGTGTGATGTGTTATGTGTGATATCTGATGGAGGTAGGGTAGGGTAGAGGGTAACTAGAGGGTAGATGGGATACCCTATTTAAGTCGGTGAGGACGGAGTTGGGGGGTACGTTGGGGATGGGGGGTGCGTTGGTGGTGGTAGACTGGTAGTGGTGGAATGCTGAGTTCTTGGAGGGCCGGGGTACGTTGTTATGTAGCGGGACGGCAGTTGCGGGGGGTTATATGTGTATGTGTATGTGGTGTATGTGGTGTATGGGTATGTGTATGTATGGGTATGAGTATATGCAGGTATGGTTATGGGTATGTGTATGTGCATGTGGTGTATGTGTATGGGTATGTGTACCGTATGGTTATGTGTATGGTTATGTGGGTGTATGTGTATGTGTATGTGTACCATATGGATATGTGTACCATATGGTTAAGTGTACCGTATGGGTATGTCTACCATATGTGTACCGTACGGGTATGAGTGTTATGTGGGGATGAGTGCAGCCGGCCTTGACCGCTTGACCGCCTGACCACTTGACCGCCTGACCGCTTGACCGGACTGGAAGTGTATGGTTGCGTATGTAGCCGAAATGTCACTGATGTAGAGTACTATGGTTGAGGTTGGGCACCCACTACCTACTGTTTGCAGAGGTGGTGGGGGCATTCGTAGCCGGGGGGATGATGCCGCAGAGGGGGGGGGGGGGGTGGGGGGGGGGGCATTCATAGCTGGGGGAGGAGGTGAAGCCGCAGCGGGCAATGGGTCGTGTGCACAACCAACAACCAGAGTTCCCAGAGTGGAGCAGATGCATAGACACATAGATGCATACAGTAGATATGCGCCCACCACTGGCGATCCCGCAGCCGTCGCCCCGTCCCGTCCCGCGCCGCCCCTTGTCCATACCCGTCCCGTCTCTTCCCGTCCCCTTCCCGCCCCGTTCGGTGCGAGCGGGGGGCGGGGGGCGGGGGCCGCGGGGGAGGAGTGCGGCAGTCCGTGCGTGCGTGTTACCAGCGCCACAACTTGCTGCGTCGTCGTGGCGTTGCTTGCGTGCGAGTGAGAGCGGGGGGATCTTCCATCTGCTCTGCTCTGCCCCCGCGTAAGAGTGACTCTATATGAACATTCGGATCCGGATCAGATCCCGTCCGCAACCGCAACTGCAACCGGGGGGAAGGACTGAAGCACGAGCACGGAACGGAGGAGGTTTCCGTCCTGCAACTTCCGGCGCACGACAGACGCCAGAGAGAGAGAGATCTTCAAGACAGACGACAGACGCCAGACGCCAGACGACGACGTGACCGCCCGTGAAGCACACAACACACGTGATGACGGTGCAACGCGCTCGCGTGAAGGTACTTGTAAAGCGGGCTGATCTGGCCACCGGAAGCTTAAACTACTTGGTTAGTGGACTGACCGTCTGCTCTCCTCCGCACTCAGCATCTCAAACTCCACAGAACCGTCCTCCATCTCTGTGAAAAGTGTAGCAGCCTAAGTTCCATCGTGGTCGAGAGCACGCCCACTGCTCGTCCTATGAGTCACAACTCCCCCACTCGAGCCCCGCCTTCGTTCCCTCCTACGAAGCACATGATGCACCCTGCGGCTCTGCGGGAAGCAACCACACTATGACACAAACTACGCATCTCGCTTAATCCGGCATGACGCCATCAGGCATCATGTCCACTGTTCAGCAGCATCGCTTTTGTCACGCACTCACAAGCTTTCTCAAAAAACACAGTGCACACATCCATTCTCATTGTACATACAATATGATATCAGAGAGCGTATACACACGAAACCTAAGGAAGTATGCGGTACAATATCCAAAAGAGAGGGGAAAAAAGAGGCCAAAACAATCCCCGCAGGAATAATGTCAAAGATAAAAGAGCTCCAAACACCATTACAAAAACCCCCCCAAAGAAAAGGAAGTTCGGTCGGTCCAAAAAACAAAAAATACAACCATTTGCACCAGATACAGGAATCGAAATCGAAATCGAAATCGAAATTGTTGAGAAGAGAGGAATGGAATGGAATGGAAAATGACGAAGAGTTGAGGAAATATCTGCTCTAGACTACCTCACGATCGGCCGCCTTCTGGACCTCGAGCAGCTTCAACTTCCTTGCCAGCAGTCCATGGCCCTGGCCCTGGCCTGGAACCTTCGTCGAAGCTGACAGGTCCAGTTTCTCGTATGTGCTCCTGGTGCTGCTGGTATCACTACCGGCGTCACGCTCGTCCACGTCCATCTGGCCGTTTCCGGCGCAATAATCTGGTGGCGACGACATCATGGACAGAGGCAAAGACGGTGGCGCATCGCCGCCGCCCCTCGTCATGCCAAACAAACTTGCACTCCTCTGCCTGCCCTTTGCCGTGGGAGTGATCGCAGAACTCGGCGCCTCGGCTCTCCATGTTGAGAACTTTGGCTCGGGCCAGAGCGTCTCGTTGCGAAGCCGCTCTTTGCCGTCCGGCACACGGTTTGCAAAGACCACGCGGATGGACTTGAATATGTAGTATCTACCGCGCGAGGGGCAGACGATATGCATGTGAATTAGATAGCGCAGTGAGTCCCGTTCTTTACCACGGGCCAGTGCCATTGTCGCGTTCACTGGAGAATCGCCGCCCATCCCCCCGACCGAATAGGACTTCTGTCTGATGAATGTCTTGGTCCCCGGCTCCATGTCGCGGAGATCATAGGGGACCAGGAAGAGCTTGACCGCGGTTTTGTGGGGATTCTTTATGACAATCTGCAGCTGTCCGCGCTGCGGTATGCGGTAGGAGCCACCGACACCTGGCGGGGGTTTCTTGCCCTTGCCGGACTGGGCGCCGAGAGCGGAATCGAGATCGAGCGATCCGACGTAAGGTGACGGTGAGTCATAATCACCAACCGAGTAGAAGTAGGCGGGGAACGGCAGTGTTACGTGTGCTGGACACCTCAACGACTGCTTGCATTTCCCGAGTCCCAGCACACCAATCTGTGCCACGAAATTGAGCGGTTTCGAAGGCGTCGTGGACATGCGTCCATTCAGTATGGATTCTTCGTATGAGCCCACGAAGGACCCAAAAGGTAGCTCCGAAGGCGTGCCGCCCATCCCCGACAGCCGACGCGACTTGGGCGATAGCGATGATCCGTCCCACTGGGCCGAGTGGGCTGGCATGCCGGCACCGAACGTCTGACTTCGAACAAAAGATGCTTTCGTCGGCGAAAACTGGAGAGTTGAGAGCGCCGACGGAGGCAGTGATTTGCGGCGGGCCCTACGTTCCGAGAAGCCGATATCGATCGGTCGTGCCGACTCATCGCTGCTGCCATCAGTGTCAGGGTTCGACGAGTGCACGAGCGGCGATGTGGGTGTCGTCAACACGAAGTTCGACGACAGCGATGGCGTTCTGATATGACGTTGACCCGGCGGAGGGACCTCGCGCCGCGGGAACGCCGTGTGTAGGGGAGGCGGGGGTAGAGTCGTGCGGCCGGTGAGCTCATAGCTGCGAAATGGGTTTGCGGCTACCGGGGGTGACCCGAGCGAGAATTGCGAGCTTCTAGCTTCGTTCGTGAATATGCCCTGATGCAGGGCGGATTGCGGTCTGTCGGGATGTTCATCTGTCGGACGCGGGGAGCTGCTCGGCGTGTGATTGGGATAGTAACGGTCGGAGAGCTACACGTTCCAAGAGCGGCCAGTTAGCATTTCCTTTGACGATAGCTCCGCGAAGCTGTCTCGCTCCGCAACCACCACCGCCACCATCACCACCACCGTCGCCACCTCTCAGAAGCGAGCGTACGTTTCTGTTTGGAACCCATGTCGGTGTTTCGCCTGCCTTGATACGTTCGATGAGCTCAGCTCTGTCGGTAACTCCGGAAACAATGGTATGCGTGACGTCGGGACGGGTCAAGTGTGCTAGAGGAGAAGCAGCTGGGTGCAGTGGTAATGGTAGCGGTTGGAATGCAAGCGTTGCATCGGGGGTGTCATGCGGCTGTAGTGGATGTTGCATGTTGCACTCGTCGCCGTTGCTGATGTTGTGGGCGTTTGGCTTCAATCCTGGGCTCGGCGATGACTGCAGCGGCGGTCTTTCGCGAATACTACTGTATGAGAAGGGCATGCGGAGAGTGTTTTGAGGGTTTGCAGCAACAATTTATGTGGGTGTTTGGAGTGGGAGGAGGTGGCGGAACAGAGTACATGTAAGTGGAAAGAGAGAGGAAGTTCAAGGACGGAGGGAGGAGGAGGGGGGGCGGACTGAGGAAGAGGAGGGAGAGGGAGAGGAGAAGGGACGAGAAGGAGAGGGAGGATGAGGATGGACGGGAGAAGGAGAGAATGGGGAAGAAGAGGAGGAGGAAGAAGAAGAAGAATCACGAAGCGGAAGAGGAAACAAGAAGAAGAAGAAGAAGAAGATGAAGGGCGTCTTTCACTAATAAATAACAGTTAGAAAAGTGGGACTGTACGCAACATCGACCATGACGCTTGCCATGGGACTAACAACGTAAGAACTATCGAAGGGGCCAGGGACCTTGTTGGCGAAATGGCAGCTCGTCCGGCAGTCTGTTTGTTTGTGCTGTCTCGCTTTTTTTTATCCCTCGCGTCTGTGCCGATTCCGCCCTCCGCACCGATAGGTAACCACGGCTATGGTACAGCATCAGCGGAATTGCTCAGCACACGGCGGGCCACCTCAGTTATCTTCAGGATCCATGGATCGAGAATCAGGACTCATATACGATACTTTCGGGCACGGTGTAGAGTAGGTTATAGAGCACTATCTAGTGGCGTTGTGGAGGCGGGGGAAGCTTTTCGCCAGGTTCGCGTGAGGACCAGTGGGCCACTGGTCTTCTGTACTCTATGCTAGCTAACGGACATAAATAGAGTAGAGTGGACTCCTCACAGGCTCACCTAGCTATCTACCTAGTTCCATTGCGGAGAAGAACGACATCTAGACAGTGAGCTCTCGCCCGCGTGAGCATCACTCGCGATCGGTGGAGATGAATGGCGGGAAGGGAGGGGTTCGTCAGGATATCGCACATACTATGGGGAATGGATGGATAAAGCCCCCCACTGACCGGCTACGGCGTACCTCCCGCAGTCTGCACTGCACTGCACTCTTTTTTTCTTGTCCTCGCAACTGACCCGAGCTGACGAATTTCAGATCTTCAGGGCCAAGGCACTGGCCGGATGTTGGTTCAACACATTCTCCGAAACCATTGTGATCACCATCGATCCCCTTCAACTCGAATCGCCCACGCATCGCTGGTGTGACCACCCGTAGGAAGTCTGTTTGTTGTGCGGTGTCGGATGGGAACGAGAATACCACCCAAAAGTATTTCTCACGACTCCAGCTGATGTGAATTCTAGAGCTTCTCGGCTGTCCCTTGGTCGCCGCTATTGGCGACGTAGGATACGCACTACGCCCGCCTTGCCTCGACCGGTGATGCCTGCAGAGATGGCTGCATTCGCTGTCTATGTACGGTCTTCGGTGCGGTATAACAGCTGATTGTCACGTTGAAGCACTCGAGCCTTGAGCCGGTCTTGGGGAATGCGTCAACACGACGCCTCTGAATGAAAGACGCCGCCCAAAGACGAGACGGGCTGCAAGATTGATTGACTGGTGCTTCAAGTCGATTAGGTTTGCTGGATTGAGACAAGTTGTTTCATTCTTTACGGGTTTCTTTGGCTTTGAAGATACCCTCTTGTTTCCCTCCGCCTCCGCGATGGCGTACAGAGTATGGGATTGGACATGGACGTGGACATGGCCTAGGTATTGTCCTCTTGTTTCGCGCCGTGAATGCAGTATCGGACCAAAACCCCAGACAAAGCCCCGTAGCCGAACCGTCTTCTTGAAGCTCGGCTCCGTGGAACTGCCCAAGGCAAAGGCATAGGTATTTAGCTTCTCCAAACATTCCACCCACGGTCGATGCCCTCTCAGCTGCAGCTTTGGCTTTTGCATGTACTGCTGTTCCGTGTTGCGGAGTAGAGTGCACTTTGCTCCGCTGTTCATCGGGATCGTCATATTGACATCGATCCAACCACTTCCGCCACCCACAGAGTAGTCATAGGCACTCGAGTAACGGCTGGTTGCATGCGTGCTGTGTTACTCGACGGCCAACGCGCTACAATATACTCGCAGATAGCGGGAAAGATCCCACGTTTTCTGCAGGCTCATCTTCGATTGTGCGGGTGAAGTGGACTCGAACTGTGATTCCCATAGCTGAGTGATTTCCTGTGCTGTCCTCCCGCGGAGGGAGCGAACTGGTCACTCGTGACCAAGTGTACGCGTGGGCCAGGTTCCTCATATAACCTTGCGGCTTGTTCCTCAACCCCACGTTAGTACTCGAGGTGAAGGTCACCTCTCAACACCAGCCCGCACACGACTCGAAAATGGATATCACTACCTTCATCCACACCCAGCGCCAGGAGGCACGGCTGATCGGCGACAGCAATGCGTACCGCAGCATGTGCTCCCGGCGTCTCGCAACCCTCCGCAAACGTCTCGGCCGCTCAAACCCAAAACGCTACGCTGCACAAGCACCGCTGACCCCCGAAGACCTGGCCAAGAACCCAACGTCAATTCCCCCTCCTCGGGTATTTGGTAATGGGGAAAGCTGACGCTCCTACAGCAATGCCCACCTGCTGCTTCTCGCTTCGGAACGTGCATGGGCGCATGCTACCCACCTCAAGGCGTTGATGACGGAGGACCCCACCACCGCTACGGGGAGCACACGCAGCCATATCGTCTCGCGCTTCCACAAAGCATTCAAGCACGCCTCCGAGCTTGTCGATCTCCTCTCTGCGGCCGAATCGAACGTGACGAGCACTGATCTCCTCGAGGCCACCGCCTATGCCTCGTCGTTCAAGGGCTTTGAAGCGCTCGAGAAGGAGCGCTGGGAGGCCGCGCTGCAGGCATTCGCCGTGTCCAACAGCATCTACTCGACCCTGTCCACCGATGGCAAGAACGATGCGTTCCCGGAGCTCCTGACCGAAATCGTCGAGCCGAGTATCAGGTTCTCGGCGTACAAGCTACAGTTGCCTCGGAGCATGGACATCGCCGCGATCGCGCGACAGTACTTTCCGCGCGATGAGGAGCATTCGCGGGTGGTTGCAGAGCTCGAGAAGCTCGATCCCAATGTTTTCACCGAGCCGATGGAGACGGACTCTGCGGTTGTGGCAGGGACGGTGACTTCCGTTACATGGCGTGGCAGAACAGCCCCCGTAGAGGGTGCGGATATTTCTGTCAAGCTTTCGAACGCCCAGACGGCCGAGGCAGCCTACAACTCACAGGATCACCAGGGGTCGACAGATGCTTTCGATGCGGTGCTGTTGGCGTGGCAGGATGCGGTGGATGCGACGCGGAAGGCGATTGATGAGCGACAGGCGGAGGGGATGTCAATGTCCGACCAGAAAATGCAGATTCTACAACTCACGTGGACGGTGGTGAACTATTCCATGATCTGCTGGCGGGTGGGTCGCAACCGCGTGATGATCTCCAATATCATATCTGGCCCGAAAAAGACCAGCAAGAAGGGGGAAACGGTGCCGGTTGAGGAAGTCTCTGGAAAGAAGATCAGCCATCTGAAGGAGGAGATTGCACTTTACGACGCCATCCTCCAGGTATATTGCTCCAACACCCATCCGAACGAACATACATCTAACCCCCTCACAGAGTCTGGAACAAATTACCAACCTCCCCGGAGTCGCCGCCGACGAAGCCTTCACCACCGAGCTAACCAGCAAAGCCTCCTTCTTCCGCGCCCTCCGCACCTCTTCCATTGCCCGCTCCCACGCGCTCCTCGGCAACCGCAAAAACGCCCTGGCACTGTTCCACCAAGCGCACAAGTACATCGCCTTGGCGATCCCCACACTGCCCACGGCGCCCTCGGAGCTCTCGCACAAGGGTCTCTCGATCCCCGCCTCTGAAGCCACCGCGCTCTGCGACTCGCTGTCGGGTGAAGTAGCGCGGTACCGTGCCCTCGTCGAGATGGACGCTCTAGCAGCCAAGTCGGATGTTGGCGAGCAACACGGAGTTCTCCTGGAGCGCCTGGATCAGTGGCCGAATAAGGTAGACTTCGAGAAGGGCATTGTACAGTGGCCCCCCAAGGTCCAGCCGGTCCCGGTGAAACCACTGTTTTTGGACATTGCGTGGAACTTTGTGGATTATCCGGGTTCCGGCGAGGGGAAGAAGGTGGAAGCCCAGCAGCAGCAGCAAGTGCGGGCGCAGAAGCAGGAGGCGGAGGAGAAGAAGGGATTATTGGGGAGACTGTGGGGGAGGTAGTTGCTACATATTACGGAAATGTTTTCAGGGTGCGGGTACCGTATTTGTCTCCCTTGCCATCCAGTGACCACCGCAACTCTCTCTCTCTCTCTCTCTCTCTCTCTCGGTGCCATTAGAGTATCAGTGTTTTACATAGGAGAAGTATCCAAAAAAACAAGATCAACAACTGATCCAACGCCAAGTCGTCCGTTCTATTTTGCTGATAGAAGCTGTATCGCCTTCCTTCCTTCCTTTCCTTCCCAAACTTTTGTTTTACCCCCCTTCCCTTCCCTTCAGCACATTGAACCAAATCATACAACGCCGTGTATAGTAGAAAAACAAGAATAAGAATAATGAAAGCCCATTCACTCCCACCGCCCCTACCAACCAAAGAAAAAGATCCGCCTGCCATCCGCCAGCCATCTGCAAGCACGAAAAAAGTCTACATATGTTCTGCCTATACTAGGTCTGCCTCCGGCATGTGGTAGAGGTCGAGCGTAGCCCGGTTGATTGTAGTTTTCGATACGATGCCGCTGTTTTTCCAGCACGATTAGCATGTGGACTTCCGAGTTGTCCGGGCGGGGGGTCGGGGGTGGGGCAGGGCGGGAACATACTTATTAGTGACAAACATAGTGACGAACTGGGGTTCGATCAGGTCGACGAGTGGGTTCGGATAGTCGGCGTCGAGGAGTTCGCCCCGCTCGTATCCTATAGCAGCGGGTGGTCCCATCTCGACGAGGCCCTCCTGATAGTAGCTAGTGACGGGGCAGAGGACGTGGCTGCCGGCGACGACGACCACAGGCTTCATCAGCGCCTTTGCTGCGCGGGCGACGTTGAGCGCGCCGGAGGTGGCGAGCACACTGCCGTCCGCGAGAACGTACGTCGCCGCCAGGAACACCTTGTTGACGCGCGAGATGAGATTGTAGATGTCGACGTCAGAGATCACGATGACCTGGACGCCGCGGTCCTGTAGGGATTTGCGCGCGGTGGCCGTGTCGGTAATCGTGATGTCGGCGGCGTCGTCCTGGCTTGTCGCCGGGATCTTGTTCATGACTGCGGCGTGGGTGCGCTTGAAGATGTTCTGGGAGCCCTCGACGACGACGACGGTGAAGTCGTGGTCGCGCTTGTGCGCCGCGCGCAGCAACAGCCGGTGCACCGTCGACGGCAGCCCGTACGTCATGATCACCTCGTTCTTGTGGATCAGCTGCGGCGCGTACTCGGCGATCGACATCTCGCTGCTCTCGAGCTCGTCCACCAGCTCCTTGATGTCCTGGATCACAGCGGGGCGGATGTCCTTTTGCTGGGTGGGGGTCTTGAAGCTCTCGGCGCTGACGGCCGTCAGCTGCACGGGCGTGTTAGTCCCGGTGCCGGACGGGCTCGTTCCCGTGCTCATGGCGTGCGGGCTCGCGCTCTGCGAGATGATGCTGAACAGACCAGTGACGCTCGCTTGCGTGCCCGACGCGAAGCTGGTGTGGGAGGTCATGAGGGCTGGGCGGCCGCTGGACGATGGGCGGTTGTGTGGCAGCTCCGACCGCGCCGCAGCCTCCGACATCTCCATCGCAGCCTTGAAGTGCTCCCCCAACCCGGCATTCTCGGCCTCCTCGCGTATTATGCCGAGGACGCGGCGTACCATGTTGCGGATAGACATCTCCCGCGGCCGCGCCTGCGACAGCTTCGTTTCGAGCGACAGCACGTAGTCCACGAGTCCTTGGATCGACGCGGGCTTTTGCGCTGCGATCAGGCGCAATAGCAGCTGGGCCGTTCCCACCGCGGTCGGCGTCGGATTCCGAACGGAGCGGCGCTTCAAGGTGCTATGTAAGGTCAGCGCGGTGCGAATAGTAAGGAGGAGAGTCACACTTGACAAAGAGATCAACGCTGTGGACCGGGTGAAAGTCATTTTCGAGATGTGCGAGCCACCATTTTAAATCCGGCGTGTGGATTTCCACCATTTGCGAAGTCATGTTGGATGTTGTCGTATGGTAACAAGTCTCAAATGGTGATGGTAATTGTAATGCGCGGTGACTATGAAGGTGGAGGTGGCTTGGTGATTGGTGAAGGTTAGTGGTTGTGGATATCTATGGTGGGGCTGATTTACGCGGGGCAGCCCGCAGTTGGTGGGAGTCACTGTTCGTCCCTGAACCGATGCCTGAGATGTCGCCTAAAAGTGGCTCTCCGCAATCCGAGAGATGGCAGCTCAAGGCTACGGTTATTGCAGCCGGACTTTGAATGGCAACTGGCGGACACCCGAGAACAAATGAAACCAATCAGGAATGAGAATCAGATTAAATGATTATCCAATCATGTCCTAGCACTCGTGGACATTGGTGGCTACTAGTAGCACAACCATGTCCCTCGTTTCGGAGCCGCGTAAGTCCAGTGAGGCAACGTAAAGCTTGAACACGAAACAACCACCCACCACCACCTCACCTCCACCTCCACCCATTACCACCATCATGGCGAACAGCGGCTACGATGTTGTCGTAGATATCGACGATGACGGCGATCTCGGCCACACCGACCTTGCGCCTGACCTTGAATTCCACCAATCCAGTTTGCGCGCCCCACCAACCACCAAGCTGGTGATGAGAGCTGCTGAGCTGACAAGCTCCCCACTTCAGACTACAACCAGGACCAGACCAGCGGGAAGATTCCAAGAGATAACTCCGGTACGTGCATACTGTCGATCTGTAAGAGGGATACTTTGGGCTTTAGTGCTGATTCCTTCCGTGTGTAGGCCGCGGCGGCTTCTTCTCCGGTGCCGGCGGAGGCCCATCAGGCTCCGGCGGCGGAGGCTCTGGCGGCGCAGACCCGAACACGAAACGGTATTTATGGAGTGTCGACTTCTACGCGCAGTTCTTCGACGTGGACACGGACGAGGTTGTCAAGCGCTGCTGGGCAGCGCTCTTCCCCAAGGCGGTGTTCCTCGACATCCTCGAGGGCAATCCAGATCTCTACGGTACGGTTTCATCCACCACCACCCCCACTACCACGGCTACCCACCATCGACTAACCCTCGCTCACTCGTTGTAGGCCCGTTCTGGATCACCACCACCGTCGTCCTAATCCTCTTCCTCTCATCCACGATCGCCCAATACTTCGCGCGGATGAAAGACGTTCCCTACACGTACGACTTTGGCCTCTTGTCGGGCGCCGCAGGGCTGATGTACGGTTACACGGCGTTCGTCCCCGTCGCGCTCTGGGGCGTCCTCAAATGGTACGGTAGCGAGAGCGCCAACCTGCTGGAATGCCTCTGTCTCTACGGCTACAGCAACCTGATATGGGTCCCCGTGGCTATCGCGAGTGCGTCCCCGATCACAATACTGAACTATGTCTTCGTCGCGACGGGATTCGCTGTCAGCGCACTGTTCCTGTTCAGGAATTTGTATCCAGTCGTTGCCGCGACGGACGCGAAGACTACGAAGGTGCTACTGATCGTAGTTGTGGCCCTCCATGCGGGATTGGCCCTGGCGATTAAGATTCTGTTCTTTGCACATGGAAGCCCCGTGGCTAAGGATCAGCTCACGAAGGACAAGCCTAGTTTGATGTTTTTGTAAGGGGGAGACTATGAGAGCTGGTTATATCGTCTTTTTCTTTTGCATACTTAGGTTGGCTCGAGGGGTGTGTCTTTTTTTTTCCAATTGTCGCGATCAAGCCGTGGGAAATATATCACGAGTGATGCTTCATGGAACCCATTCGTTCGTTCGAAGGGCCGGCGGATGAGCTTGGGTCGAGTCCGCGAAATGGGCCGTATCTTATCAGATCGTCTCCAAGACCCTACCATGTGATACATAGGCCCAGCGGAATAAGGTCTTCTTCTTTTCCGCACACCGGCTGTGTGTATGGCTGCCGACTGTGTCCGGCAGAGCGCCACTTTTCTCCGTATTTCAGAGTCTTTGGTCGAGTGCTGACTACCGTTCCCGGTCTAGCGGACTGTTTGGGCTTCCGTGCTTGGTAGGTATGAGGTAATTGCGGGAGTTGCAGCGGTATGTATCCGTATCTCAGTCGCCGAAACGCGGTTGGTGCTGTTACCCCGGACCGAGTACTTTTCAAGCGAAAGAACTTTGGACGGAGAAAGTAGAAGACAAGAGCCGCCGGCCTCCTCCTAAAGCTTACGTACAAATTTCTCTCTGTCTCTCCTCCTCCTCATCTCTTCCTGAATCTGGTCCCAAGATACCCACCACCTACTAACCCCACCACCTCCACCACCACCACCCACCCCCGCCTCACCCACATTCCCATAATCATCCGCAATTTCCCGCGTCATGTCGTTTGCACGATCCATCTCCGTCTCCACCAAGAGGCTCTCCGCCGCTCCGTTCATCCGGGCAAGAGCTGTGGGTCAAACCTGTCTGCTGGGGCGCAATTATTCCGCTTCGTTTTCTGACTTGAAACTCTGTTTTAAAGATTGGTCTGCGCACATACGCTACCACGGATTCTCCGGTTGCGCACTTCAAAGGAACGAAGAACGCCAGAGTTCGTAGCTACAATCCACTCCACTCCGCCTCCAGAACACCCCCGCTATCTTACGCGCATAATGCTGCTGTGGTGGTGACGATGAGGGAAGCGGGAAGTGTAGGAGACTGGGAAGAAACGGGAGAATGGAGGTTGACCAGTGTGTCGTATTCTCTAGGGAAACTACACCGTGACTTTCATCGAGGGTGACGGAATTGGACCCGAGATCTCTCGCAGCGTCAAGCAGATTTTCGCGGCGGCCAAGGTATTGGTCCCGATTCTGGTTCATTGGCGACGGCGAACTCACCATGCTCCCGGGTATTAGACTCCGATCGAGTGGGAATCCGTCGATGTCACGCCTATCATCAAGGACGGCAAGACTGCTATTCCAGACGACGCTATTGCGTCCGTCAAGAAGAACTACGTTGCCCTGAAGGGCCCCCTCGCGGTATATTGCGGTCACTCACGCCCCCGGCTATCACCCAAAGTGCTGAGAAGGATATCTAGACACCCATCGGAAAGGGACATGTTTCGCTCAATCTTACGCTGCGCAGAACGTTCAACCTTTTCGCCAATGTGCGTCCCTGCCGCTCGGTCCCCGGATACAAGACTCCCTACGACAACGTAGACACAGTCTTGATCCGTGAGAACACCGAGGGAGAGTACTCGGGCATCGAGCACGAGGTCGTCGACGGAGTTGTTCAGAGTATTAAACTGATCACGCGCGCCGCTTCCGAACGTGTTCTGCGCTACGGTTTCCAGTACGCCGAGTCCATCGGAAAGAGGCACATCCGTGTTGTCCACAAGGCTACCATCATGAAGATGTCCGATGGTCTCTTCGTCTCCACTGCCAGAGAGGTCGCTAAGGACTACCCCAACATCAAGTTTGACACTGAGTTGCTGGACAACACCTGCTTGGGGGTTAGCGTGCACCTGGAATGAATGAATGATGAATGAATAGGTGACTAAAGTTTTGGGTAGATGGTCACCGATCCCAAGCTCTACGACTCGATGGTCTTGGTCATGCCTAACCTGTACGGAGACATTGTCTCTGACATGTGCGCCGGTCTGATTGGAGGTCTCGGATTGACTCCTTCGGCCAACATTGGAGACGAGTGCTCGATCTTCGAGGCTGTTCACGGTAAGCCATCCGTATCAATGTTGCTACCCAACCTCTAACACCCGGTCTCAGGTTCCGCACCCGACATCGCTGGACAGGACAAGGCCAACCCCACTGCGCTCCTGCTCTCGTCCATGATGATGTTGCACCACATGGGACTCGGTCAATATGCGGAGAGGATCAGCAAGGCGATCATGGCCACCCTTGCCGAGGGCAAGACGCTGACCGGAGATTTGGGTGGAAAGTCGACCAACAGCCAATACGCCCAGGCTATCATTTCTAAATTGTAGATGAGGATGAGAATGCAAGTGGATGAACGGACGACTTGGGAGGGGAGCGGTCTCATGATTGCACGACATGATGGCTAGGCTAGGGGTTGGGGTGTAGAGTACACTACGCACACGTACGATGAATCTGTTTCCTTCCTTCTTTCGCAGCGGTCGATCTGGTGGTTGGCAGTGGTGGTGGTGGCTGCGGCGGTGAGGATGTAGAGTAGACTACTAGCGTGTTAGTCTTCTTTATCGATTCCACTTGTGCTGTGGGACTGTATGAATATATAGTCTTCCTTTCGGATCTAGGTATGCGTGTTGAGCAATGGGTGCATGCGATCACTATACGTCACTCGGGATTCGGCATTCCAAGCCTTCCGGAGAAGGGGGCGGAGCTGAATAGAGATTGATGATTTCAAATGTAGCTCTCATACATTCTTGACTTAGTATCCAAAGTCTCGGTAGATAACGATGGATACATGTCTTCTAATCCACCCGGACTGCGGTTCGAAGTGACACAGATGACGACGAACAATCCCTCCCCCAGCCCCAGCAGGGACCTACATAGCCACCAACCAAAGCCGGCCCGCGTGGATACGTCATGCGCTCGGTCAAGTAACTAGTGCTAAGAGCTCGAGCTGTCAGTCAGCTGGGAGTCTGGGAGGGAGCTCCCTTCGCCCCGCTTTGCATACCATACATAAATACCTCCATCCATCCGACCATTACCATCCTCTCCCGCATCCATCCATCATCATCTGCTTTACTCCACTACCATCACTCAAACGATCCCTTAAACGAGCCCCCATCACCACAACTACAGCAGCAATGGCCCCCCAGTCTTACATCGTCCGTTCCCCTCGTCTCGCCTCTCCAAGCTCCCTTCCCCCCACCCCCGACCCCCGCTGATAGAAGTTCAGGTTACCGCTAAGGACGCGGAGAAGAAGAACAAGCTCATCGAGGAGGCCAAAGCCGCTGGCGGAAAGATCACCCACAACTACACTTTGATCCCCGCGTTTGCGTATGCTCCCCCTCCCCCTCCCCCTTCACACACACACGCACATGGATCGGTAGATGGGTAGATGGATAGATGGATGCTAACACATGGGGCGATTACAGCGTCGAGTTCCCCGAGGGCCACGTCCAGACTTTCGACAACAACCCAGACGTGCAGACCGTCGAGAGGGACAACGAGGTTAGGACTCAGTAGGCGGGATGCTAGGTGCTAGATAGGTGCTAGTGGAGGAGTTTGGCCTGGAGGAGTGAGGAGTCCGGCGGCTCGCTTTCGTTGCTTTACACTCTGCTTTACACTGTGCTTTTACTTGCGGCTTGCGGTTGGGAACTTGGGAATAACACGGGATTGGGAGTTTGGTAATCGGACTGGACTGTGATTTGATTTGATGCGATTTGATGTGATGTGAAGTGGAACTCCTTCGATGTTGATGCCTCCGGAGGTACCCACCGTTGGCCCCGCTACATCACGACCCTGTCCCTGTCCCGTCCCCGCTCCTTATCGGCGCGGTTAGCGACGGAACACACTTCAAGGGTCCCTCAGAAGGTATTCTACCCCTCCCCCCGAGAGCAATAGCTTCATCAGTCTAGGAGTTGGCTCAACGAAGTACCACTCTTCACGTAGGTACGCACTTTTCACATCCGTAGTAGATAACATTCTCTAAATTCCCACCGACTCCTCCACAAATGCACCCAAAACAAGCGATTAGATACTCCCAGCCGAACGCCATGCTAAACCAAAATCCATACATAAATCCATATCATCACGACCCATTCCAAGCTGCAGCGGAAACCCCCTTCAGCTTGAGGTACACATCTGTTCCCCAGCCATAGGCACTCTGCAGCTGCAGACTCCCTCCAAAATACTCTGCATAAGCTCTACTGAGCGGCAACCCATACCCCAATCCAGCGATGCTGCTGCCGTCGCCGGCACTAGCTACGCCGGCATTGAACCTCCCGAGCGCATCCTGCTCCTCCCCCTCCCCATCCTCCGAGAAAGTCGTAAAGCTGTAGCTCCAAATATTCGGCATGTCATCGGGGCTGATCCCACCTCCGCGATCGCGGATGCGGAGTGAGATACCCTCGGAGTACGGGTCCTTGGCGATTGTGATCAGCACGGGCTCGCTGACGCCGGCCTCGACCGTCGCTCGAAACGCGTTCTTCAAGAGCTCCGTAATCATGTACTCCAGATGCACGGGGATGTACGGGAACCGTACGTCGGGGTCGCCGTCGACGTGGATCTGTGGCCGCACGCCGTAGCGCAGCTCACAGATGTCGCCGACGAACGAGCTGCAGCTGTGGATCAGCCGCGCGGGCTGCAGCGCCGTGTCGATCGCGCCAATATACGTGTTCGGCGCGCCGCCCTCTCCGTCACCGTCGCCGCCCATAGCCGTCGCCTCCACATCGCTGCTCGTGCTCGCCAAGTGCAGCGCAATGTGCTGCTCCGCCATTAACCGCGTGCCAATCCTTTCGTGCAAGTGCTCGTTGAGGAACTTCGTCACCTCGGCGGGAGTAGTGTACTTCCTGCACTCGATAAACCCGCGCGCCAGCGTTGGAATGGTATTCGAGTGCGTCATGACGATGTCCGTTAGGATCTCGGTGAACCGTGCCTCCTCGTCGGGCGTGGTGGGACACGTCTGCGGGAACGAGAGGATCGCCCGCAGTGATTGCCGGTAGTTGTCGAAGATCTGAGAGATGTGCGGGTTGGAGACGATGATGAACGGGAGGTTCCGCAGCGCTTGGATTCGACGTGACAGCCGGATCGGTAGGTTTTCGCGGGTGAAGCGCGCGCTGTTGAGGAGTGCTTGCGGTGAGAGCGGAGGGCGCCCGAAGCTGCGGGTGTGGTTAGCCTAGACACCCCGAGGTGCAAGAGGGAGAGGTAGAATACCGTATCAAATCTGTCAGAGTCACGCTGCGGGGAGGTTTTGCGGCCAGCCGGCAAATCTCCTCTTCGGCAGAGATGCACCATTCGTTCAAACTCTGGGTTTCGGGCGCTTTGGAGGTGAATGATGGTGCGGCATGGTAGTAGCGCGGCAATGGTCGCGATGGGAGGAGTCGTGATGGTGGTCGTAGTATTCGCATTGTGGTCGTGACTGTGGGGGAGGAAGGGTGGGCGTGCAGTCGATGGTGTTATATGGGCTTCGGCAAAAAACGGTAAGTTCTAGATGGATTATTTGATGGAAGTTAATTCGATTTCGTCACATCATGTGGGATCTCCGGCGGTGCACAGATGACCGAAGACCGGCAGGCAGGGCAGGCATATCCTTCAAGGTTGCTTTTCCTCGTCTAACCGTCCTCAAGACTCGTGGAGCCAATCTTCTCAGCCCGGTCTCAGCCCTGCTCCAGCCTTTCCAATAGCCTTGCCAAGCGGACCATCGAAGAGCTGCACGCGCACCTCCGAGCCGCGTCCCCCACCAGCAAGCTCCCGTCTACCTACACACCTCCTAGCTATCACTCGACCTCTACCTAAGTTATCTCACCACCTCCACCACAACCACCTACCGCACATCCGCTCATAATGGGCCCTCCCCGCCCTGACGGTACAGCTCTCCTGAAGCACTACCGACTACAGGATCCATACCCAGCGGCGTGGTCAGATCCGATAGAAGATGCCGCGGAGAAGCAAGGGTTGAAACGGAACTCGACTGTGCGGTACTCAGTGCTTCAGGAGAACGTGGCGTCAACGCTGAAGGGGCTGCTTGCGGACGATGGTGGGACACTACCGCAGGACGAGCCCGACCCACTCGGGAGCACCGAGTCGGTCGTGCGCGTGTTGAAGCAGCGCGGGCTGCCGGTTGAGGATAACTTGCGATTGCGTTAGTACCTAGAATGATAATGTTCGAATTTGACGGGGATGGATTGGTTGATGGTTGGCGCGTGAATAGGAAGCAGGTATATGGTCTCGTCGAAACACTTCTCGCCCGCCGCCTTCCTGCGCGATGTACACGCGAACACTCCCACGCCAACGCTGCAGCAGGGCCTCAACTACCTCAGTCAATCGATTGCGCAGAAGTCGGGGTCGCTCAAGGAGCTTGTGGAGAGCAACTTCGACCGGTTTGTGGCTGCGAAGGCGATTATCGAGGGTGTGTACAAAGAGATGAAAGAGAATGCCTTTCTGGACAAGGAAAAGGAGGCCGAGTACGGTGTTGGGAAGATCAGGAGCTACCTCAACGAGGTCGACACTAAGGCGAATGAAGTTTTTGGGCCAATCATGACGGGACGCGGAAGGGAGGAGGGTCTGAGGTTGCTTCTGGGAATATTAGATAAGCACGGACAGATGCTGGAGATTCCGGTGACGATGCTAGAGTGCATCAAGAGGAAGGAGTACGATGCTCTGCACGATGAGTATCAGCAAGCGCGCAAATACTGGGTGGACTCGCGGGCCCTGGTGCCGGACCCAAAGGTTGGGGTTGGAGGCAACGTGAGGGAGGAACATATTCATCAGCTCATCATTGCCGAGAAGATGTGGAACGAAGTCACGTACGTGATTGAAGACTTCAAGAAGGAGACGTGGAAGCGGCTTATCGACTGCAAGACTGAAGATAACACTCACATGGAGCTCATTCAGGTCTTGCTGGAAGTTGGGGTGGAGGATAATCCAATTACTTACTGGCTTGCCAGTCGTTATGAATACCTCAAGAGCAAGATTACGACGACGTTTGAGAGGTCTCGGGTTGAAATCGAAGGTTTGCCCTCTCTCCCGATATCTTTTTCCTGCACCGACTCACGTTCTCGTAGCTGTCCGGAGAAGGGTATTGGAAGCACCTGCGCCGAATACCCAGACAATAGCACACCACCTTCGATCGCCGACCCGACGTGGCCCCTCGGATTCTCAAAAGGCTTTTGACATACCTCCAATTACCGCCTTCTGGGAGTTAGTGCACCATTCGATGATGGAGATTCTAGATGCTTCGACGGGAATTCTCGCTGAGATCTTGAGCTTCTGGAAAGCTGCACAGTCATTCATCGACGGTGACAATCTGTTACCTGTTGGTTTCGACGACCAGAGCAGAAAGCACCACCGTCTGAGCGACAAGGATGTGCGGATCCTTCGGGATGGCGCGATCGAACTCGTCACCTTGATCCGAACCTGTATGAACACGTTCTTCCTAGATCCTCCACCGGAAGATATATCTGCCGTGTACAGTCCAATGCCCAACACTCCTTTATCGGCGACGACGCCTGATTTCCCGCCGATTCCCCCGGTGCCTAGAATGAAAGATAATGGAGACGAGGACTTATATGCGTTCTTCCCGCCTCGGGCGAACACTCTTGGGGCGGTGCATTACCTAGGGAAAGTGATGATACTTCTCGGAAGGGCTGCAGCCTCCCTCGCAGAAATCTTTGGGGGCCTCGGCAGCGGAAACCTTCAGGATGAGCTCCGTAGTATGCTCTCCGCCGCACGGGAGCGTACCGTCAAAGCTCTGGGCAGTACATGGCTGGCAGACTCGCAGAACTGCCGGGTCATGGAGGATTGGACCCGGGCGAGTGATAACCGTGGAGTAACGAAGATGCCAGGTTACTTCTTTGCGTTCGAGAAGGAAATTATCGGCGGCATGCAGAGCATTATCTACCTGGACAAAGTGCGGAACGGAGAGACGAGCGTTATTCCCCAGCCTTCCGCCAAGTTCCTTACGAGCGTCCGTGGCCAGTTCGTGCGCACCCTCTACAAAGCTCTACAGGGCATGGTGGAAAACGCACAGAAACCGGCGGGCACGGAAGCGGCAGAGAAGGACGGGCTCATCAGTCCTCTACACGGCACCCGCGCTACAAACCTCACTGCTCGCTCGATTGACAGTCGGGACAAGAACACCCGGATGCTTCTAACCCTTAGCAACCTGCAGCTCCTCCGATCCGAGATTGTACCGGAACTAATTGGCCAATTCGAAAACGCCTTCTCGGTCAAGCTCACTGACGAATCCAAAACTATCCGTGATGCCCTGGGCCAAATCGACGCACAGCTTTTTGACGAATACACCAAGCCCCTAGTGCGGAGCATCACATCCACTGTGCGCAACGGCATCCTCTCCCCTACTTGGGCTCCGCCTCCAGGCCAACTCGCCACTGATGTCCGGCCATACGTCTACGAGGCGCTCCTCACCATGGTTGACGTACACGCACAAGTGACCATCACCGCGCCCTCGCTGGTCCAACAAGTACTCTCGCACCTCCTCGAGCAGCTGTCACGCGAACTCCTCGAGAGTTTCCGGCAGCGGAAAACGTTCACCCTCGGAGGACTTTTGCAGGCGACCCTTGACGTAGAGTTTGTAAACCAGACGCTGAGCCAGTTTAATACACCAAAGTCTTCGGAGTGGCAACAGCTAGTCTATGTAGAACTCGATCGCGGCAGCGATGGTGATGCTAGGACGGGATTGCAGAAGGAGTTGGGCGAGATGAAGAAGATACTAAGCTCCCTCAGACGCTGCTCGAGGGCTGAGTTGTATGTCCCCCCATATTTCCTATTGTTTTGTTTTGGCAAGTACGCGGACTGACTGACTGGTGTAGTTTGTGCTTCCGTGCGAAGAAATCCAACACGAGAAAGACGACCGCGCATACCGCGGAGGGAGATACGGGGGGTAGATAGACTATGCTACTCCATGTGGGGGTGCTCTGTTATGCTGTTTCCTTTTCTTCTTTCTTCTTTATTGCTCTTTTGGCGTAGCGAGCGGTTGATCATGCGAACATTGGTGGGTGGGTGGGATGCATATACTTGTAATGTGATAGGACAGGTTATGTAGCTTCTGATTTATGCCATGTGAAGCTCTCTAAATGGCTACTAGGTACTGATATACTTCGCCACCTTCCTCCGTGTTCTCCAAGTTGCTCGCTCCCATCCACCTCAGTGACAGTACCGACCGAGCTGATGCTCGTAATTTGAGAACGGTCAGAACGGTCAGAAGCAGGCGTTAAGATAACAGCACAGCCATCCACTTGGAATCACTCGGTCAATCAGCTCTCGCTCGACTCGACTCATTCTCACTGGCCATAGTTAGCCCCAATTCTCGATCCCGCAAACCGTAGTGACGCAAACCTTCGCCAGAATGGGGTTTGGTGAGGCTTACTTGGGGCAGCAACGTTGAACCCCCTCGGGCTTATGCAGAGGTACCTAGGTAGTTTGGCGATATCCAATGAGTTGAGGTGCTACCTATCAACCGTAGAGCCAAGCACGTGCCATCACTCGGTATATTTCAGAGTAACGAATTCACCCAGTCAAGGTGTCTGCGGAATTCCGAGAAATGGGCGCCGCCGCCATAGTCTGGATACATACATAGCCTGACTGCGAGTATGATGGGGGAAAAAACAGACAAGAGCCGAGGCATCCTTTTCCCAACTTCATTCTCCGACGGTCCTATTTTACACCAATAATACATAACAATCCATAATCACATAGTAAACAAACCAAACAACCAGGATAGAGCAAAACGAAAACAAACCATAACGATGCATAATCATATCATGAAATACCCCACAACATCCCCACCCATCACCCACCGTTACCAACAAACACGCATGCAAAACACCACAAAACACCCTTCTATGCCCCTATATGTAGACCTCTAACTTAACTAGTAATACAAGCTTACCTAATAGACATTCCTGTCGCCCTCCCCGCTCCTGCTCTTCCGCTGCAACCGGAACACCATCTCCTTGCTCGCTCTGCTCTCCATATCCTCGAGGCCATCGCACGCCTCCCATGTCGTCGGGGCATCTCTAAAAACCGCTACCAGCTGCGCCTTCGCCTCGTCGTCTCCGGCCTTGCGTCGTTCGTCCAGACGCTTCAGCTCCGTTCCGATAGCTTCGATGGTCCGGATGAACGGACGGACCGGTGGCATCACTCCGCCCTCACCACCGCGCATCGTCACATCCGAGTAGAAGAAATACAACCGGAGCTCCTTCCAGTACTTCATGAGGTTCTTCTCGCAGACCATGACGGCCTTCTTGAGTTCGCCAGTGAGGATCAGGGCCTGGACATAGTCGTTCCAGTTGACGTTGTCGAGCTCGTATCCGGCCTTCTGCAGGGACTCGATCTCCAGCTCGATGGCTTTGATGTCCTTGATGTCTGCCATCCCGCGAATCAGGATCGACAGTGCACCGCAGAGATCAAGGCGATATGGCTCCATGATAGCTTTGCGGCCAGCGCGGCGGAGATCAATAGATTTGTGGAAATGGATAGCGGTGGATCGAAGTCCTTGCCACATTGACCGTACGCCTTCGATGTCTCCTCCTGCACGGTACACTTGCATCATGGCTTTGTACATCTGCAGGTTTGGTGGCGAGCCGTATTTCTGGGTCGAAGAGATCTTGAGGAAACGGTTGAAGACGTCGATAGCGCGGTCCCATGCTGACTTTTTGAAATATACATTGATAAGTGGAGTGAACAGCCACGGCGGCGTGGCTGTTTTGACGTTACTGAACGAGTTTAGGTCCAATGTGACTGGTTCGTTCGTGGCCTCATCCAGGATCTTCTCCGTGGACAAAAGGTGTACAATGTCGCCCTCAAGATCTGCAAACTCTTCGACTTCGGCATGCGCATACGACTTGAGCAACACGGCAAGGGTGTTGAAATCAGCTTTGAGACCGTCGTTCAACATCCTCTGGAACGTCTCCCACACCTTCCGGAAATCGCCTAACCGAGTGTACCCAACCATGAGGATAGCATACTTGTCGGAGCTGATATGGAAATCCGAGTCCTTGATAAACTGGAGGGTCTCCTCCGCAGATTCCATCCTTCCAGCAACGCATAGGGAGTGCATGACGATTCCATAGGTGTAGTAGTCAAATGGAACTTCCTTCTCGCTCATCATCTGAAAGATCTGGGAAACTCTTGCATCGTTTCCCTTCGCCGCGTGCGCCGCAATGATGGTATTCCAGATCGGCGTCGACTTCGCGACCGGATTTAGTTCGGCGATGTGGCCCAATAGTGCTTCGGCCTTATCTAGCTCTTTGGCGGTAACATAAGCAGTAATCAGCGCTTGATAGGAGTACGAATCTGGCTCGTATCCGCTCTGTACAATCATGTCGAATATATTCTCTGCGCCGGCGATATCGCCACGACTCCCGCACATATTCAAAAGGATGTTATACGTCCATCGATCTGGCTTGATACCCTTATCAAGCATCTCCTGCACCCGCAGTGCAGCCCCATCCACATCTCCCGCTCTGCTATAAGCATTGATCAAGGTGTTGTAGCTGATTATATCCGGCTTTAACCCATACATATCCGATATGCGCTCAAACCACATAATGGCATTATGAATCTCTCCCCGCTCTACATATGATTGCATAATGTGGTTGATTTCTTGAGGACTTTCCGGAGCGTGTTGTTCGAGTGACTGCAGGAGAATGCTGTGTACTGCAGCCGCGTCTCCGCGTTTCGCGACTGCTGCCATCAAAATCGAGTAAGACACCCGGCTTGGTGCTCGCTCTGCCGAAAAAACGTAAATATCGTCGAAGACCTGTTGCATTCCATCGTAGTCTTGCAACCTTGCAAAGCAGCGGAGAATTTTATTCATGATGTCCACAGGGATGAATTCCGGGCCGCGCTCTCGGAAAGCAAAGTACCACTTCGTCGCCAAAGCGTCTTGCTTAACTCCAGCAAGATATGCGACTGCTCGCTCAAAAGAAGACTTCGTTATGAGCCATCCTCGCGATTCGATGAGGCTCCAGATTTCTTCCCACAACCGGGTCCATTTGGCGTGCGGTCGAGTGACATACGAGAGGCAGCCTTTTAAAAGATCTTCCGCGAGCTCTCCTTCGAGTATGTCGTATTCCGGGTCTTCTGGTTTAGCAACCTTCTCGACAAAGTGAATGACCTTCCGAATAACTGTTTCCGCACCGTCCGGGTTCCCGAGTGAAGGTAGTGCAGTCGTATTAAGTTCCCTTCGCCGATCTTTCGCGCCCACTGCGCGCTCCTGGAAGCCTCGCAGCAACTCCCATGCCTTCATCACCATGTCCCATCTCTCGAGCATGATATGATGCCTCATAAAAACTTCGAACCCGATATCGCGCGCCAGTGGAAGCTGTTGCACGCCTTCCTCCAGAATCTGATATGCCCCGTTCGGGTCACCCACGCGCAAAAAACACTTCACAAGAATCTCGTAGTCCGAGTATGCCCGGTGACGCACTTTCAAGGAATTTACCATAGAAAGTGCACGAGTCCATTCCTGCCGATGACTGGATGCAAGCAAATAACTGGCCATCCATCGCCTCCTGTCCGCTTGCAGTGTCCTCGTTTCGTGGCGTTTTTCCGGTGTATCCAAGATTGGTCCCCTCATTAGCCACTCAAGTTTTCGCCGGTCATTGCAGTAGTGATACCACGCAGATTCGTACTGTCCAGCCGGTGCAGTGTTCATGAATTGCTTGAAGTTGGTGTATTTATCTCCCGGATGCGGGAGTCGGTCGTCCACCAGTGGAGGTCGTAATGGCTTCTGATTCTCCGGATGAGAAGGCGCTTGCGGCAGCACAGGCGGCGGCACAGGCTGCGCCGCAGAAGAGTATTCTCTTTTGCTGCCACTCAGCGAAAACACCGGTTCGCGCCGGGGAAGAGCCTTGCTGAGATGCCCGAGAAAAGCTAGAGCGCCCGATGGGTAAAGAAAGTCCAATGGAATGAGATCCGCCCGTCTCCGCGAGATACCGGTGCGTTGTGGTGGTGATATTGTCGATTCCGGCAATGCCGCTTCCTCCTGTTCCCCCGCACTACAACCCCCACTACTACCACCAACCAAACTTGCCGCCGCGGCCGCAATATCGAGTTCAACGCCGCCGTGCATCCAAAACGCCGTGTGGAGCGTCCGCTTCCGTGGCCGTCCACCCCGCAAAAGACGTAGACCACTGGACTCCAAATGGTGGACGGCCACCCGTTCCAACATTCCCAGTATATATTATTCGGATTGGCCGCCGCGAGATTGTCACCGTAAAGAAGGTGCTATGAAGTCCGCCTCTATCGGGTAGGCAAAGTCAGCTTGGTTGGTCTTCGTTCCTCAATGGCCGAGTAATTTGAAATACCGGAGGATAGGAAGGAATTGCGAAGCACCGACCTGTTCGAAAGAAAGACCAAAGAAGACCGACACCGTCAGACATGCCCTCGAAGCATCCACCAGACCGTAAAATGTCGTGGAGGCAATAACTTGAAACCGCGTTGATAAAGGTGGCGGGTGGTGAGGCTCGCTAATCGGCCGGCGAGGATTCACAGGAGGGGCAAATTGATGGAGATGGCAAGGCGGAAGGAATTTGTTTCGACGTCACGAGTGAGGAAATAATAATGGTGCCGGGCTGCTTACTTGAGTTAGCGGAAAACGTCGAAAGAGCTTTCAGGCTTGGCAGCGCCGCATATGCTAATAGCATTCACAGACACGACAATCCAACACCAACCAAACCTTTTACCTACCGTCCGGACCGTCAAACACCCCCGGTATTCCTCTGTTCGCTGAACAGTCACTCAGCTATGGGCAAAGAACGATCCAGCAAGGAATCGAACGGCTCGGGCAAAGACAAGGACAAGAAGAAGAAGAAAGGCTTCTCAGTCGGCCCAGCGAACCTCCCCGATGGCACCTACAAGCGCAAAGTCACAAAAATCAAGGAGAGCTTGATCCATAAGGCGAAGGTCCGCAAGCAATACAGCAAGACGCTTTCCTCCGCACCCGTCGACCCCTCCACCGATCCAAACGTACTTCGCGCGCAAAGACTGTTCGAAGAGGCCGAGCAGGAGCGACTGCTGCGTCGCCAGAAGGCTGCTGAGGCCGCGGAGGCCACAAAGTCTGCAGAGGGTGCCACTGAAGGCAAGGACGAGCCGCCCGCGTTTCACCCAGATCGCCTGGCCGCTATTAAGACCCAGGAGGAGGCAGAGGAGCCGTCGAATGAGCGCCGCAAAAGGAAGCCGAAGACCTCATCTTACAAGAAGGAGGAGACATTCGCCGCCAGACAAGCAGCTGAGCGAGAGGAGGCTATGCGACAAGCGGAGGAGAGGAGAAAAGAACGAGAGAGAAAGATCAAAGAGAGGGAAGCACGGACAAAGGCGATTTTCGCAAAGACACGCAACGGGCAGGTCAAGCTGGGCAAGCAGAGTCACGTTTTGCTCGACAAGGTCATGGCTCAGATGGGTCGGAGTTGATTGGGCGGGTTGCTTTGTCTACCTTCATTTGGATCTTGCTTGAGGCGTTGGTTTGGGACGGAAAAGCGTATCATTTCTTCCTTTCCTTCTTGCTTTCTTTGCGCACCTTTTGTAGACCGTAATCAAGTGGACTATCTTTCAGTCCGGGTGGTGAATTGTTTCGAGAATTTAATGTCGAAACTGTATCAGTGCTCTCGAGTGATTCAATGTAGTTAAATTGCGGCTCTGCTGATCCTTGGCCTGTCATAGCTGTTGGTTCCTGGTCCCGCAGCATCGAAAGGGACATAAGCTCCTGACAGCTCCTCCATCACAACACGCTGCCGCCTCCCCGACTCGCGGACCACCACTACCTCTACACACCCGCCAAAATGTCCCGCAAGGCAATCTCTCAAAGCGACATCGAAAAGTACTGGGAAATCTTCGCGCACCATTCCCAAGGCGGCAGCAAAATCACTGGCGACCAGGCCTCGAGCATCCTCCGCAACAGTGGTCTCTCAGACGTGCAACTTGCCAAAATATGGGATCTCGCGGACATCGACAAGGATGGCGACTTGGACTTCGAGGAGTTCTGTGTCGCCATGCGGCTGATCTACGACGTGATGAATGGAGATCTCAAGTCGGTTCCGCAGACGCTCCCCGAGTGGCTTGTGCCAGAGAGCAAGGCACATCTAGTCCAGGCGGAGTCGGCAGTTACGGCGGGAGGCGAGACGTTTGAGAGGCCTGCCGATGACGATGATATCCCAGGCTTGAAGGATGATTTCCAATGGTACATGGCGCCCGAGGACAAGAGGAAGTATGAGAGCATGTATATGGCGAATGCGGGTGCACACGGGCAGATTGGATGTGAGTGTGCAATTATAGAAACGGATCATTGATCACAGGCTCATTCGGTATACAGTTGCGGCACTTAACGATCTCTACGCAGAGATCAACGTTCCCGACACCGACGTCGCACGCGCCTGGTACACACACTCCCTGTGCACCACTCTCTCCCTCGCGCAACTCATGACTGACCTCAGAGTCACAGGAACTTGGTCAACCCCTCGCAAACACCAACGATCGGTAAAGACCAATGCATAGTGTTCCTGCACATGTTGAGCGGACGACATGAGGGTTACCGGATTCCGCGCTCCGTTCCGCCGTCGTTGAGAAGCTCGTTCGAACAGAACCATGTCAACTACGATATCGAGTCCGTCAAGCCGCCGCAGCGCGCGAGTGGGCCGGATAGGACTACTATCTCCGGAAAAAAGGCGGCGTTTGGAGAGAGCTATATCACGCGGCTGGGGATCGGCGCGTCGTCGGGTTACAAGCACTCCGGTAAGCATGTGAGATTTGGGCTTTGGTAGGTCACCATTAATGTTCAGTAGGAACCGACTTCTCGAGTACCAAAGACGAAGACTGGGAGGAAGTTCGTCTGAAGCGTGAACTCGCCGACCTTGAGAAACAAATCGCCGACGCCGAAACATCCGCCGAGAAGCGCCGCAACCGCGATCGCCACGGCGCCTCGGGCGCATCGCAGATCGCACTAGTGAAACGGGAACTTGAGCAGATGCTCGAATATAAGAGGAATGAGCTACGATCTTTGGACGAGGGGAGCGGAAGCGTTGAGGCAGGGAAGAGCTTGAAGGCTGTTCGAGACGACCTGGACATGGTAAAGGAACAAGTTGATGCTTTGGAGCAACATTTGCGGCGGCGAGAGGAAGTACTGCAAGGGGCGCTGAGGGAAGTTGAAGAGGAAAAGAGTATGAAGAGGTAATGGTGTGCGCGCAGTGATTGTACTTTACGGCGGGTTGGTGGGCGGGATAGGCGAGTAGGTATATAAAATTTCTATTCGGATTGGGATGCAAGTCTTTCTGCGAACTCTTTCTACGTTGGATTTCCAACGTTGCCATCTCTATGCTACACCGAGTGCTCGCATCTCCTAGGCTACTTCCAATGGTATTAATGCCAATACATAAGATGCGTAATAAAGTATTTAAAATTGTCCCAAATTCACAGAGAAGGAATTGGAGTCTGGTTATCAGACTTCATTTTAAGGATAGCTATTACATTAGTACAAATCCTCGGAAGCTTAGAAGTGATGGGTTTCAGCCAACAGCCATTTTACGCCCTATGGGGCTAAAAACCGAACAATCATAGGTATTTGACGAGTGATGAACAGTGCAATGAAACTTTTGACTACAATTGAGTGTAACAACTCTATTATTTTGAGACTATGCAGAGATCGTCTTGAAAACACTACAACCCTAATTAGCACATGTATAACTCCGGAACGACTCGATGGGAATACGTACTTAAATCCTTCCCCACCCGTAGCAACAACCACGCTGGGCGCCTGCTTTTGCCAGTGCAACTCCTTGACCTCAGGCATGTGGTGGACGAACATGAGCTGTGGTGGCACATCAGCAACACCACCGGTATCTCTGCTCTCCTCGTCGTCCAACTCCACGGACATATCCCACTGTGTGATCGTATTATCCGCACAAGCGACGGCCACCACGCTGTCTTCCGTAGGGTGGAACTCGACACTGGTGATCGGCTGCTGGTGGAATGTGAAGCTCGCCGTCGCGCTGACAGTCTTGCCTTGTGTAGCGTTGGGAAATGTTCGCAGATCCCAAACACCCCACACTCCGTCGTCCGCACCGGTGGCGAGAAGGTAGTCGACGGATTTGCACCACGATGCTACGTTTACATCAGAACTCGAGACGTCGACTGAGAGCTGGTGCTTCTTTGATGCTCGGGCATCCCAAATTTTGACGGTTCCATCCGATGATGCTGAGCACATCACGTGGCGCTCACTAGGTGACCACTGAATTTCCTCCACGCTGCCGGTGTGTCCGGTGTATGGTCCATCACTCGCCCAGCTGCCGTCCTCTTTCCGCTTCGAAACGAATATCTTGCCGTCATTGTCTCCAGTCGCCAGCTTACCCAGGGCTTCTCGGGGATGTGGACACCAGTCAATGGCATAACCTTCTGTCCGCTTGTGCATCCTCAGAGTGTGCGATGGCTTTTTGGCAGCTGGTGGGATAATGGTGCCCGGGGCATCGAAGCTGCGGTAGTGAGGGGCAAGGTCCCAGATAAACACCTCTCCAGACTCCGCCATGGTGGCAGCAGTTTTCGAGTGTGGCGAAACGCGGAGACGGTTCGTGGTGATGTTGGTGGGGATGCTGCGCGATTCCAGAATCGGGTCATCCTCGGTATCGCTATCATCGTCCTCTTCGTCCTCGTCGTCGTTGTCCTGCCGTTCTGAAAACCAAATCAGCTCCAACTCTCAAGAATCTCTCTTAACTAACAAGCCAACCTTTGTGTAGTCCACTGAGCTTCATGACCACAATCTCGTTATCCTTCGCGCGCTGCGCCTGGGTTCCAGCGACCATGTAAACAGTGTGCGGGTAGCTCCTCCTCTCATCTCCCAGGTCATCCGTCAAGACATCAAAGCTCAAACACGGCCATTTGACGTTCATGCGATGTAGCATATGGTACGCGCTCGAATCGGGCTCCAGGATCTCATCTTTCGCCAATTTGTGTCGCGACGGGATATACACCTGCTTGTCGAGGTCCATGGTATTCTCCATGGTCTCGTCCTCACCGGGGTCCTCTCCGTCTGCTCCAGCCTCTAGAACCTCCTCCTCATCGTCCGAGAAATCGTCGCCGTACTGGTCCTCGAATTCTCCCATTTCCGCGAGCCTTTTGGCATCTTGGTCGGCGTCGGTTTCGCGCGAGAGGTTCTTGAGTGCCCCCGGGGAGGAATCAGTGTCGGCGGCACGTTTAGACATGGTGGATAACGACGGCAATTGGGGTTTGTGGTTGTGGTGGTGAAGGTTGATGTGAGGTTGTGGGTTCCTCTCTTTTGGTGGGGGCTTTCGTTCACGAGCGAAGTGGGGCCAACTTTTTTTATTTTTTGTGTCACTAGAGCCAACCCTGTTGGGTTTGGTGATACACGAGTGAGCAGCAGTGCATTGTCCCATGAGAGAGCCACAACTTTATCTCGACGCCATTCAGGCAGAAGATTCTCAAGACTCGATAGTGCGAATCCCCCATTACCATGAGGATGACTGAACCACAGCCTGTAATGGACTACAAGGCAGGTTATCCTCACGAGCTCGGATTAAGCCACTGAGCCCAATTCTTCGCTAAAAGTAAACGGGCATCATACATTTTGCCTTTAACGTGAAGTATCTATTTGGGAATAGGCTTAGCACGAAGCCAACTGGTAGACAATTCTTGTCGTAAAATTTTGAATAAAGTGAAAGAAGATATCCACGACGGAAGAGAAATCATGATAACTTTCGTATCGGAAAATGTATGCATATACCCGGACATTGGGTAATATTGGTGATTCAGCACAGTGAATTCAAAGACCCACGTTATTGGGACATGAGTCAATAGACTATTTACCCCACCACACCCCACCCCTCTACATTTCAAGTGCAACCAAACTACAACCACAAAACGCACCCTCATTGTTACCAACCCAACAACCCACCAAATCACCAACCTACGGCTCGATAATCACAAGATACAATGCCATCGGCACATCCTTCTATCGGCTTTCAAGCCGTGATTCTCTGCGGCCCTGGTACCGGGCTCTACCCATTCACCGGCGCAGAAGATCTGCCGAAAGCGCTGCTCCCGATCGCGAACAAGCCCATGCTCCACTACCCACTGGAATGGTGCGAGAAAGCCGGTTTCGATTCGATCCTCGTCCTGACACTGAAGGAGCACCACGCTGCCATCCAGTCGTACATTCGTTCGCACCGCACATTCAAAGCCCAGGGACTCTACATACAGGCCGAGGAGGCCTCCTCCATCAACGACAATCTGGGCACCGCGGACGTACTCCGGATCGCCTTCCAGAAGGGATGGCTGAACTCCGACTTTGCCGTCATTCCCTGCGACCTGGTCACCAATCTCGAGGGACACAGACTGGCAGAGCTATGGATGGTCCTACAGGCTGGATTCGATGCGGATCTCGGCCGGCGCAGCCGCAAGCACCGTACGGCGGGTGACGGAGAGGACGGGCGCCGCGGTGGCCTGGTAGTATGCTACGACACCATGGGGGAGGGTGCGGTGAAGGGACAAGAGACGGATCTTATTGCGGTGGCACCTGTTACGAAGCCGATGATGTGCTCTAGCTTGCCGGAAGGGGATGTTGGCGTGCTGTTGACGCGCTCATCAACACAGGCGCTGAAGGGGGTGTCCGAGATTCCAATCCGCCATAGCATGCTTAGGAAGCATCCGAATATGAAGCTGTACTCGACCTTTCGCGATGCGGGAATCTGCTTTCTCCCGCACTGGGTCCTCAAATTCATAGAGCGCAACCCCTCCATGACTTCGCTCCGTGAGGACGTCCTTCCGTGGCTCGCAAAGAGCAGATGGCAGAACCGGCGGTTGGCAGAAAAGCTGGGGCTGATGGGTATACTAACGGGATCGGAAACATCGGCGACGGGAGACAACGACAGCCAGGCCGCAGGCGAGGAGTACGATGTTGGCTCGATGAGTACGATGCGGTTACGGCGGGCTGATGACGCGCCGGCGGAGATTCCGCCAATGCTGGCGTACCTTCCTAACGCACCATCGATGTTTATGCGCCGAGTCGACACAACGCATCTGTATCTCTACACATCACTGTATCTGGCCAAAAGCGATCCTTCGCAGCCGTCAACACAGATCAAGATTGACCCGGGTTCTACGATAGGAGAGAAGGCTGTCGTCACCGGTGCGGACTGTCTTATCGCCGACAAGGTCACAGTAGGCGCTAAGGCAATCGTCAAGAAGAGTGTATTGGGCTATGGCGTTACGATCGGCAGGGGAGCGAGGCTAATGGGATGTGTGCTGATGGATGGGGCCACGGTCGAGGAGAATGCAAAGCTGGAGGGTTGCACGGTGGGGCGCAAGGCGATCATTGGTGCTAAGTCTGTCCTCAAAGATTGCGAGATCGCCGAGAACTATTATGTTGAGAAAGAGAGTGAGTTCATCCCAATATCTCAGACCAAGGATCCATATTGACGAAGTGGCGCAGCCGAGGCGAAGGGAGAGCGTTTTGTCGACTTTGCTGGACTGGAGGCAGCAAGTGACGAAGATGAGGTTACAGACGAAAACTCAGATGATGGTGTTGCCGTTGAATCGGATGACGATGAGGAAGACGACGAATAGTCGTCTAACCACAGAGGGTTGTCTTTCCACGGTGGTTGTTTTCATTGACGTGGACAAAAGCTTTGGGAATTGTGAATGTCATTTTTCATTCAGAGGCGTTTATGTTGTGCTATTTTCACTAGGAGTTGAAGGCGTTCGATTGAATTGCTAGTGGACAAGGGAATCGATGGCCTTTGTTTCCGTTTTGTTTACTATCATCGCATTCGACCTTATGTAAATCATGGCAGTTACAAACCGGTTCTACCCAACTATCTTTCCAGTGCGAGTACTGTAGGCATGACGTGAGTTCTTTACGGGAAGCGATGAGAGAGAGAAAATCAATTTGTTGTCGCATAGGCCTGTCTAGACTATGGCGACCAGGAATGGGAATCGAGGACTCCAGCAAAGTTGGTGAAAATAGTCGAGTGAGTGGCAGTGCTGGCAAATCTGCCGGGTAACAAATAAACAAACATTTGAGCTGCGCCGCGAAACTTGGCGCGCGACCTTGAAATGTTGCCTAGCTCTCGGAGCTGCTATTCATACTCGTGTACTTATGTCATCGTCGTTCATTCCTCACTCCTCGCAACCACACCATTACAACACGCCTTACCCTAATTCACGACACGGAATTCGTTCTCAACTTTACAACTACTTCCCACAACCTACATCGCCCGCCCCTCCTTAATACCACACACCACACACGACCGCCAACCATCTCCACCTCGCGTCAACTCTTGGTACACCTTTACACCTAGCATACACATCGCACCTTCGCGATGTCGACGCAAATCCCCGGCACTGCGCCGCCCGGCGATCCGTCGAAGCCGTCCCTCGGTCTCATCAAGCGCCGCGAAGGAGCCGCAAACCCACTCGTCCGCCGAGGGCCGCGCGGGCGCCCAGCACCCGGACTTTCGCGCCCGACGCCTCGCACATCCGCCACACCTCCCGCCGGCGGCCCTTCGAACGCAGCTTCCACAAGACCCGGTGTTAAGAGCGAACCGGCGCTAGAGCCGGATTGGCAAGAATTCAAGCTCACGACGACGAAGCGCGAGATCTTGGCGGGCTACAGACACCATGTCATGCGCCTGCAGAGCAAGCGTCTGGTTAATCCTATGAGCCCCGACGAGTTTACGATGCCGGTGCGACTACATCGCCGCGATCCTAAGGCGCCGCTGCAGGGTGGGAAGGAGCAGAGGATGCATGAGCAAGCGGCGACGGACAAGGCGAACGAAGGCGAGGATCCTGCTGCGGCAGAGGAACGCGCGAAGAAGGAGGCGCTGAAGGCAGCTCAGCAGGAGAAGATTGCGCCATACGGCGGTGCACAGAAGCAGAAGAAACAGACGTTCAAGAAAAAGACACAGCAGGTGTTCAAGCAGAACGAGGCGGATAAGAAGTTGCGATATGAGGAATACTTTCCGTGGCATATCGAGGACTTCGACAACAAGAATACGTGGCAAGGACAGCTGGAGAATCCGCTGAGCGGTGGCACCTTTGCTATGTTTGTACTTGACGAAGGAGCTTTCAAGATGGTGCCCATTGAGAAGTGGTACAAGTTTACCGAGAAGAACAAATTCCAAACCTTGACCATCGAGGAAGCCGAGAACATGATGAAGAAGTCTAACAAGGCTCCTCGGTGGCTCATGAAATTGACCAGAGAAGACGAGAAAAAGCAGGAGAAAGAAGAGAAGGAGAGGAATTATAGCGCTTTCAACGGACTGCGCACTCGGAAGGGTGGTAGACTGGACAGTATCTTGCCTAAGTCTGAGACGGCGGATGCGGACGACCTTGACTTTGACGACGATCGTTTTGCTGATGACGAAGAGGCACCTGTTATGGAGGGCGAGGAACAGGAAAACAAAGAGATCGAAGTATGTTATTTCCTGCCTAATGCGTTTATCTTGCTCGGGTTCTAAACTGCTACACAGAAACGCATCAAGAAGGAACAGTTGTCTGCCAATGTCTTCGACACCCGCGATGAGAAGGAATACGACGAAGAAGAGAAAGAACGTAAACGGCTTGAACGTTTGCGCAACAAGCAGGGCAAGAAGGTCAGGAAAGCTTTGATGAATCGCGAAGGAAATTACACGTACGAGACGGACTCCGACGGCAATCCTTATGCTTCATCTGTGAGTAACATTGTCCCTCACTTCTTGTTTTGAGTCCGAAATTAACCAGTCGTAGAGCGAGGACGAGGACGAAGAAGAGCTTGCCCGCAAGGAGGAGGAGCGTAAAAAGGAGGAGGAACGCAAGAAAGAAGAGGAGCGCAAGAAAGAAGAGGAGGGTAAGAAGCCTGAAGGAACTAAAGAACAGGACATGGACAAGAAGCCGGCGCTTCCTCTTGTCCCGGAGTCCAAGGCCAAAACATCTCCTGCGAAGAAACAGGCCCAACCTCCAGCCGGCGACAAGCTTCCAGGATCGAACAAGCGGACCGGCTCGGCGGACCTCTCGGAATCTGGAAACGAAAAGGCGCGCAAGAAGCCAAAGAAGAACCAGCCGCTTTCAGGTATCGCCGCGCCAAAATCATCTGCTACGGCATCAGGATCAGGTCAGGACCAGAAGCTTGTCAAGCTCAAAGTGCCACCCGAAAAGTTTTCTCAGATCATATCGTTAACACCTTCTCCAGTGCAACCAAAGAAGCGCAAAGCTGTGGCCGAAGGTGGAAGTAGGAGCGGTGACGATACTGCCGGTGAGATGTCGGATACGAACGGTGGCAAAAAGCCGCGTATGAAGCTTGTCGCTGGTCGTTCTCTCTCCCCGAATGCGGCCAACTCTCGACAAGCTTCACCTGTCCCCGCCGCAGCCAAGTCCCGTGCTGGCTCGCCTAATGCGCCTGCTGATGCTGCCCGCCCTGGTAGTCCTGCTGTCCCTGCAGGTATGAAGAACGTCCATTAAAGCACGAACATAGCTGACTGAAAGCTTTAGTACCCATCTCTGATGCGGAGATCCTGGCAGTTATCGGACCCGAGGGAACTACCACTGCGGCCCTTGCTGGACTGTTCAAATCGAGGTTGGCGGACAAGGACGTCAAAGCTCAGTTTGTTGTCAGTTTGAAGAGGCTGGTTGAGACGAAGGGTCCCACGAAGCTCCTCTTCAAGAGGAAGGGCTTGTAGATTGGGAATCCCGCATGGATTGTAGAGGTGTGATTGGTGTTCTTTCTTTTGAGCTCTTTGCATGATGGATTCGCAGGCTTTTGGCAGACAGGCAATAAGATAGGATGACAGGTAGTACATAATATTTGTTGTACGGCTTGCATGATTACCTTAGGGACTTTTTTCCGACTAGATGTTGACAATGAAACATACTCCTCGCAGTAATTAGAGTAGCGACCGCTCTAGCTGGAATTTCTAGGGTAGAGCTTTCCTCCCTGTCCACTGAGCCGCAGCTTAAACTAAACCCCACCACACCCTCGCGTCCCATCCAAACACCCTACAAGCCGTGTAACCGTTGTAGGAACTCCACAATTCCCAGTCACCAATACATTGCATCACATATCAACAACCTTCCCCATCTTCAATAAAACACCTCCAATCATGGCGCCGCAAGAAGAATCCAAGCTCGTCACCGCTACCGACGAGACCACAACAGCCCCTGAAGTCGCCGAGGTCGAAGCTTCCGGCGACGAAGAGGATGTCGACGCAGCTGACGACGCCAATCCCTCCGGCTCCGCCTCCGCTACGAAGAAGAAGAAGAAGAAGAAGAGCAAGGGAAAGAAGACAGTTTCTTCGGCTGTTGCTGCCGCTGCCGCCGAGACTCTGCCCAAGGAGGTCATTGATGATATCGTCAAGCAGAACCCTGCGTTGGCCAGTGAGCTACAGGGTCTCGACGAGAACCAGATTAGCGAATTGGTCAGGAAGATGAAGCTTGAGGAGATCTTGACGGGGATGGTGAGTTTCATTGATCATTTGATGGGTAAAATTTGGAGTGAGATAGGGGGCTGACGCGGTTGATGGCATAGTCTTCGGGTGGAAAGAATCGGAAGGATATGGCGAGCTATAAATTCTGGGCTACACAGCCAGTGTCGAGATTCGGTATGCGATGCGACGTGAGAACTGTTTGTGGGATGCATTGTGCTGATAGACATGGGGTTTCAGATGAACCGGAAGTAGAGCTACCGGACGGCCCCATACGCCCGACGAACCCTGAGGTTGTTCCTACCGAAGGAGCAGCCCTTCTGGAGGGCTTCGAATGGGTTACCGTGGATCTCATGGATGACGCGCAGGTAACGGCTGCATTGCCCCTGTACCCTGCGGGCTGACTGACGATTGTTTGGTTATTGGGTAGATGACCGAAGTGTACGACCTCCTGACCGGCCACTATGTCGAAGACCAGGAAGCTATGTTCCGCTTCAACTACTCCAAGTCGTTCCTCGACTGGGCACTCAAGGCCCCCGGCTGGCTCAAGGAGTGGCATGTCGGAGTCCGTGTCGTTACCACCGGGAAGCTCGTCGCCTTCATTTCCGGAATTCCCGTCAACGTCCGTGTCCGTGAAAACACCATCAAGTGCTCCGAGATCAACTTCCTCTGCATCCACAAGAAACTCCGCTCGAAACGGTTGACGCCCGTCCTGATTAAGGAGATCACCCGTCGCTGCAATGTCGAGAAGATTTGGAACGCTATTTACACGGGTGGAATCGTCCTCCCCAAGCCCATCAGCACCTGCAGATACTACCACCGCAGCTTGGACTGGCTCAAGCTCCATGAAGTCGGATTCAGCCCGCTTCCTCCCAACAGCACCAAGGCCCGTCAGATCACCCGCTACCACCTTGGAAACCAGACCAAGACCAAGGGACTCCGCGAGATGAAGATCGAGGATATTGACGCCGTGCATGAGCTGCTCGCCCGATATCTCGCGCGCTTCGACATGGCGCCCATCTTTGACAAGGCGGAGATCGAACACTGGTTCTTGAACGTGGATGGACCTGGACGGGAGAGAGTCATCTGGACGTACGTCGTTGAGGATGCTGCCGGGAAGATCACGGACATGTTCTCGTTCTACTCGCTGGAGTCGTCCGTCATCGGCAATAAGAAGCACGATACCATCCGCGCCGCGTATATGTTCTACTATGCCACGGAGTCTGCCTTCACCGGTAGCAGGAAGGACCTCAGAGTTCGATTGAACGAGTTGGTCGCTGATGCGCTGGTTCTCGCCAAGAAGGTCAGTTAGACCCCTCAACGGTCACTCATGTTCGGAATAAACTAACATCTGATATAGTTCAACTTCGATGTCTTCAACGGCCTCACTCTCATGGACAATGCCCTCTTCCTCCAGGAGCAGAAGTTCGGCGCCGGAGATGGCCAGTTGCACTACTACCTTTTCAACTGGAGAACCGCACACATCAACGGTGGTATCGACAGCAAGAACCAGCCCGATGAGAAGAATGGAAGTGGAGTCGGAATGGTCATGTTGTAGAGTAATCAAAGCTCAACCTTTGTTTCTGTTTTCTGTTTTCCTTTTTTCACAGTGTAAGGGCGGACCGTGGATGGGCTGATAGGACGTCGGGCAACCCATTCAACAGTAGTGATCTCTTCTTGTTCTACTTCTTGTTGTCATTGGCGGTGTGTATCTTTTCCTATATCAGTATAATACCATTAAATCCCGCGTCTCCCCATTCCATGCCTATGCTATGCTCGCCGTCTACGAATGGCTGGTCGTGTAGGATCCCATGGTTCATGCATCTCACTGTGCTTCATTCCTACCCATCCATAGCCATCAGGGAGGGAGCAATCATACTTCTTATACTTGTGCAAATCACACATCTACGGAAGTTGCATACCACCCACATCCCCCCACCCCGCAACCACGCCGAGCACCCAAGCCAACGCCCATCCCGATTCCCCATCCGGCCCTCCGGTGGTCCCCAAAGGGCCAGCACCAGCACCAGCACCACCGTTAGTTAGCGCCACACGTAAGTTCCCTGATGAGTTTCAGGGTCCTCCCGATTCCCGAGCACGGGAAACAGCGCAAACACCTGAGCATAAGCGAGAACAAGTAGCTGGTAACTTCACATCCGTCAACCTTGACGCGAGCACGACGCTGCTGATGGTTTCCTTCAGGACGGAGTGGTTGAAAAGCGTCACGGGCAGGTGCGCTTGCCTACATAGCAGAGCTATCCGCTCTGATCAGATTGAGGAGCGGGTCGAGGTCTGGAGCGCTTGTTAAATTCGATCGAGCTTATGGTTGATCTAACTACGGTATCTAACTATTGCGCTTGAATGCGGTCGAATTGATCGGCGATGGTCCGCAAGCTTGGTAACAATGGGATAATCGGGCTTTTCCATATTGACTGTTGTCGTTACGAGGAGTTATCGGTGTGGGTGTTGTCGTACTCGTACATATTTACATAGGGTGCCGAAAAACGGTGGCGCCTATTGTGATCCGGGATTGGCTGATAAGATGAGCGAGGTTGGTACATAGAGTAGCGACGCCGGGGTGGGGGTGGTGAGAAAGTGGTGAGACTCGAGAGAATGGGCAGTGGCCACTGGTCACTGGTGGAGACTGGAGACCGGAGAAAGGCGGTGATTAATCGGACAGTCTACTGTCTATGTACGAATAGAAATGTCGCTGTGGCGCGTGGCGACCACTGACCACTGAAGATTGGCCATTGGCCGTTAACTGCCGTAGTTACACCGCATCGAGGCATTCCTGGGGAAGCGATGGCTGGCCAGATGCATGCAGAAACAACAACAAGCAACTTTCCTTGTCGCATGGCGTCACCGCATGAATCCCGCGAGCGCGATTGGAAGGTGGACTTTCCGTAGCACGGGATGGGTACCTCGCCCTCCCCTCCTCTCTCCCCTTCTCCTCCTTCCCCCCCTCCGACCTCTTCCTGCTCCATCGCTCCAATTGCGCGCAAAGCCCACCACAGCCAGACTGCAAAATGGTATCCTTTCGCGCCCTCTTCAGCGCCTCCGACGGTGCCCGCGGCGGCCGCAATGCTAGGGATGGATTCAGCGAGTCCCTGCTCCCCCACCGCGCTCACAAGGGCGTGCACTCTGCTGTCGATCCGAAGAGGTATGCGCATGTTTGTTTCGCTGGTTGTGCGGTTGGCGGTGCGCTGATTGCCTGTAACCAGGGTCACGGCGATTGCCCTACGGCTGAAGCATCTTATTGAGCACGCCGTGCCGTGTGAGCTCAAGGAAACGCAGATCACGAAGCCGCACAGCGAGGTCATCACTCATGGCGTTATCGAGCTGGCGACGGAAGCCGGTGGCGTCGAGGATAGAGCTTGTGTGGTGTTTTGTCTGCTCATTTGTTTGCGGTGGTTCAAGAGACAGGGTGGGTTCGCCGATCGGCGCGGCTTCGGTTTCTCTTTCTCTAGATGCTGACCTGACCTAACCGGGTCGATAGCCATCCTGGAGATGTGCGATGCGGATTTGAACGACCTACGGTGAGTCGTATTCTGGACACGAGTGATGGCAAGGTCAAGTGGCTGACGTCCCTCAGTGGCGAGGCGTGTCAAGTCATCGCGAAGGCCATAATCGAGACGAACGAAGATCAAGACTATGTCTTCCAGGAGATCCTTCTCAAGCGGTACTCTATTCTGCAGAACGGAAAGGAGTCGACTCCCAGCAATGTGATTGAGAAGGCGATTGACCTGCACGCAACCAGAGTCATCGGGTCTTCCGGTTTCCAGAAGTGTATCCAGTGGCTCTGGAGAGGGTGGATCGCGCAGGACGTCAATAACCCTATGCAGTTCTCCCTGTACAAGAACATGGCCGAGAAGAACTTTTGGGTGCACTTCGATCATGACCGTATCCGCGCCCCGAGGTATCAGAATATGTTCCAAGTCTTCGTCAGCGTTCTGTATCTTACGCTCTACACCATTTCTATCAACACCGGTATGTCGCGGTGAGCTGTGCGGAGTATGGTCATGGACTGATTATCTGCGTGTAGTTAATGCTCGTGGTGATATCGACGTCGAGGAAGCGGTCCTCTATCTACTGACGCTCTCCTTCATTGCCGACGAATTCGGCAAGCTCTGGAAAGTCGGACGCCTTTACATCTCTTTTTGGAACGTATTCAATACGACATTGTATGCACTTCTCACCATATCCTTCTCCTTCCGTATGGTTGCTCTGGGTCACCCAATGGACTCGGACGCCAGACGGGACTACAACATACTTTCGTACAACTTCCTGGCGTCGGCCTCGCCGATGATCTGGTCGCGCATGCTGCTGTATCTCGACTCGATCCGGTTCTTTGGCGCTATGCTGGTCGTATTGAAGGTTATGATGCTCGAGTCGTTGATCTTCTTTGCGTTACTGTTTGTGGTCATTTTGGGCTTCTTGCAAGGGTTTGTTCCGCCGACTCCGAAGTGCTGGACGGACTTGGGCTGATCGAGAATAGATTTATGGGCTTGGACAATGCCGACAGCGTCAGGGAGGACACCTACTTCGTCCTCTCGGCCATGACCAAAGCAATTCTTCAATCTCCAGAATTCGAGGGCTTCGAAAATTTTGGACACCCATTCGGACTGATCCTGTACTACCTATTCACCTTCATTGTGATGGTAATCCTGCTCAACATCCTGATTGGTAGGTCCCCTATTGCTTCCCATTCACTTCACCATCTGCTAACACTCCCACAGCCCTCTATGGCCAAGCCTACAGCGATATAACCGAAAACGCGGTGGACGAGTACCTTGCCCTCTTCGCACACAAAACCCTCCAATTCGTCCGTGCCCCGGACGAAAACGTATTCCTCCCGCCCTTCAACCTGGTCGAAATATTCGGCTTGATAATACCCTTCGAATGGTGGATGCCCAAGAAGGCCTACGCCAAGCTGAACGACAGAGTCATGGCCGTCCTGTACTCGCCCTTCCTGCTAATGATCGCCTTGGCGGAGTCCCGCGAGGCCCGCAGGGTCGCCGCGAACCGTGCCGCCGGGAACCCGGACGACGATGAGACCGAGGAGTGGGAGGAGCTGCAGGGCGAGGTGGACATGGCTGCCAACGGATGGGCCGAGAGGGTTACGCAGACGGTTCCAGACGTCGAGGAAGATCGGTGTTGCCAGATGGTGCGCGCACTCGCGAAGGAAGTCGAGGAGCTCAAGAAAATGATTGAAGGCAAGGAGGCGAGGCAGGCAGGAGAGGGCGAGAGGGAGCTGTTGGCTCTGGAGGAGGCCGAGGAGTAGCTTTGGAGGGAGCATGGGCGATTTGACGAACATATGATATCATGTCTTTACCTGTTAGTTGTGTGCGAGTAGTAAAATGGCGACGAATACACGATGGTTCGCTGTTGCTAGCTGTGTTGAGGGGGCTGGGTGGTCTTTGGAATCAGATTTTGTGTTGGTGGTTGATCATCTGAGTGATTTCGTGTGAATAACTCTGACTGGAGGAGAACGGCTAACCGAAGCGAGTCTGATCTCGTAATCTGAGTTTTCAACTTCGCATGCCGCTACAGACTGATGATCTTCGGAGAGTGGGCAGGTTCATCATCGTCGCTTCTACAGATTTCTACAAGTGGAGCAACTGTGATGGATCACTGTCTCCCAGAGGATCCCGTTTAGGAGCAGACTAGCTAAACCGAGTGATTCCCATGCATGTATGTCTAAACTCCCTTTCTCAGCGCCATCAAAGCCACGCAACCCATTCCCGCTCTCGTTCCTACCGCGCCCAGCGATATCAAAGCCACAAACCCCATTCCATCCTCTTCCTACCGCGCCTCCTTCTCCTTCTCCTCCCTCTCCACAAACTCCCTAATCGCCGTCCACACCCCCTCGGGACTGGGCCTAGCCGCCACAACCTCCGGCCTCCTCCCCAGACTTTCCAGATGCTTCTCCGTGGTCGGCCCAATCGCCGCCCAGAGCGTCCTTCCCGCGTCCTCCGCCCCCTCCGCCCCCTCCATCCCCCTAACAATCTCAACCGCTTGTTCCGCGCCCGCCGGCGAAAAGACAACTATCCAGCGCTCCTCCCCCATCCCCTCCATCAGCACCCTCGCAAACTCCCCCGCAAACCCCTCCTCCACTTTCGTTTCATAAACCATCAGCTCCTGCAGCTCCACCCTCCCCTCCAGGGCCTTCGGAATCCACTCCCCGCGCGCAGCAGAATTACAGAACAGCAGGGGCCTATCCCCCTGCCCCGGCATCTCGCTGCTGTCGCTAGCGTAGTGCCGTAGTACCACCTCGGCGAGCGCGATCCCCGTCCCGCATCCTTTCCCGTGGATGTTTTCAGCGCGGAAGCCGAGTGCGGCCACGGCAGCCGCCGTGGCCGGGCCAACGGTGTACACGCTTGTTGACGCGAGGAATGCGTCGGCGGACGCGCGGCCGCAGGGGAGCGTGGATAGTGCCGCAGAGAAAGATGCGACTGCGCGCTGGGAGGTGATGATGAGGCCACCGTATGGAGACGGCGTGCTGGTTAACAGCGTGCGCAGTGTGGACAGGTTGGTGGGTGTGTGCGAAAGCACGGGGATGAAGGTGGGGCGTGAGGGGCCATAAGGAAGAGGGTGTGTTGTGAAGTAGGTGAGGTACGGGTCGGTGGGCTGCGATTGCGTCTTGAGCAGGAGGATGCGTGTGGGTGTGGGTGTGGGTTGCGACATTGTCGTTGTCGTCGGGGAGCAGCGGGGTGGGTTGGTGGGGCTATCCCTGGCACTCACTCACACACGCGATGCACATGGCGTCATAACTTTGAGACTCGACAATGGACGGGACGGGCTGGCATCACTAATTTGAGAGCAGAGTAATAATATGGGATTGCAAAAGAAACAAAGACAAGGACACACCAATCCAACAGACCGACCACTCCCAGCATAGGAAAGCGCCTCCAAAGTCGCTCGCATATCGCACAAAAAAAAGCATCCCAAACCCGCTGAGGAAAAGAGAGAAAAAAAGAATCAAATCAAATCAATCGAGTAGGTAGCACGAAAGGAAAAAACTCCGAGACATCAAAGGAAAAATGCTGAAGTAGTGTATCGAGAACAAGATGAGATGAAAACAACAGGGCTTGGAAATGGTAGTTCAGTATGCTTGCGACCTAATGGCCTCCACCCCACACATCGCGCTCGTTCAGACTTCCGTATACACCAGTCCCATGTGCCGGACCCGAGCCTCCTGCATCATCGTGATCGTCCTTATTCCATGGCGAATCATCGCTGTAGCCATCGAGTTGAGGAGGGGAAGAAACAGGAGAAGGACTCTTTGCATCCGCGTCAGCGCCAGAAACATCACCATCTTCGTCTCCAATGCTAAACTTGGTATTGTCGATAGGATCGCCTCTGGCTGTGTCTGTCGTAGATGGAGAGTCGACAGGCGGAGATGACGGTTCGAATCCTTCCCGGATCTCTTCGCCAGCTACCTCCGGAGGGTACTGTCGCACGAAACGCTTGGGCTCCAATTCGTTCCATCCAGGTCCGCCCTCCTTCCTGGCTCTAACACGCTCCGTTTCCTCGGCGACTGTATCTTCCACGACGAGATCCACAAGCCCGCTCCGTTGAGAGAGTGCCGAAGAAGCCGACGACGAGTGATTGCGGTGAAGAAATGGCTGGCTGGATTCTCCCTTGGACTTTTTCCTTGGGGAACCCACCGAGGGTGTCCTGGTCCTCGTCTTGGATTTGCCCTTTCTTCCGGTTTCTAGGGTGGGTCGGAGCAGAGCCTGGTTGGTAGCCGTGGTAATGAGGTCGTCTTGACTGAGGTGGGGATATCCACAGCGGTGGTTGGAGTAGGGTCGGTTTGCCGTGATAACAGGATACTGTTGAAATCAGTCAGTCGGTGCCAGCGAACTTATAAAACTCGAGGAAAAGAACGCATACGTTGTAATCTCCAAATTCCAGAGACCGAGCACTCTTGTATAGCTTCTCGTCTTCGTCTTCTATTTCGGTCCCATCCAAAGCACCGTAATCACCGCCTTTCCATTTACGATTCTCTCCGCTCTCCGCACTCGCTGCCGAAACCGTCCTCTCCGTGCTTGGGCCGGGACCACTAAGCAGACCAGTGCGTGCCGTGGGTTGCGGTATCCAGTATTTGCCCTTACCACCCCGTTCGTATCTCAAGCCTTCCATCATTCTGGCAACCCCAGTGTTGGACTCGGGATGCGACATCACGCCTTCGCTCGAGTCGAAAAGCCGATACTGATACGACTTTCCTTTGAAAGTCTGCTTTGAATCTTCAACTAAATCACGGATACCGAATGCGTCCCGGAATGCGTAGTAGACTGGGAGGCGCGCAGCAGAGATGGTCTTGTCTGCGTAGTCCTTCCACGAGAAGGCATACCAATGTGCTATTGCGAACCCTGGAAGCTCGAAACAGATCAAGGTGTCTTGGATTGCTCGGGCAATGTTGTCTGGTGTATAGTAACCGACATCATGAATTACGCCGAGCCAAACGAGAATCGATAGGAAGAAGCCTTGCCAGTATGAGGCAAAGATGATGAGCTTGATGCAAAGAAACTGTTTGTAGCACTTTAGCAAAGGGAGGACAGATGTAGGCAATGCAACCAGGGTCTGTATACCTTTGGTACAGGTCGGAATGGTGTAAGATCCCGGGACATGCACACCCAAAATATTCCAAGTGAGTACAGACTGACTGAAACAGAAATATTGTAGACGATTCCACTCCAAAAGTATCCACTCTTTAGACCAACGTAACCTTCCTGGTAAGTATCGGTGGCCTTCATAATAATCGCAGCCAGGGCCAACGGCGGTTTTAACCATGCATACTGTAGAATGCCGCGTTTTACAGCAAGGAACGTGTGCGGGTCGCTGATGTCCACCTTGGGAAAGATGTAGTTCATTGGCCAGACATGTTCCTTCGGCGCACGCCCATGCATCATGATGATCAGGGAACGCTCGCCACCGAGGAAGTTGATGAGAAGTTGGAAGAAGGTGTAGATGGTGAACGCTTCATACATATCGCGAATCGGCTCGACGAATTGCGCCGCAGTCAGGGACATGAGCGAGACCCATGACGAAATCGCGTAAATGGGGACCATGAGCAGGATACGGACGACATAACGCTGAAGGAGTGGCTTGCGGTAGTTTTTACTGAGCACCTGTCAGTACCGGTACGGAGGAAGGAGTAGAGCGCGTTGTCGCAAGGGAGGTGGGCGGTATGTACAATTGATACCAAATCGACCTTGTGTATTTGTCAGTGTCCTACGTCATGTGAAGGGGAGGAGCGGGGAGGGTAGCTGCATACAAACATGACAAAACCGTAGCTACCAGCGAAGCTATTCCGGCGAGGATGATAGCGATGGTGCCTGATCGAAGAAGGTCGCATCATTAGCTGCGAAGAACGAACGTGGGTCTACCTGGGGCCCGCCCGAGATACGCACTTAGTTTGGTAGTGCCACTTCCACTTCCCAGGGCGGAGGGGTTGTTGGAGGTCGAAACCGAGAAGGACGAGGGGGAAGCGTAATAATCCATGACGAACGGGAATGCGCGCGCGCGTTGGGAGGTGAAGGGTGCTCGGGCAGGCAGGCTGTTGATCTGCTTGCTAGATAATCTTTTTTGGAGGGAGAGCTCGAGAGAGCAGGATGATGGCCCAGTAGGAGGGGAATCTAGAGGGCGACAGGAGGAGACACTCTGGAATCGCCTTCTCTCATGGCGGGGACGGGGTAATCGCGAGGGGGAGAAGAGAACGAGAGTGCGAGCGAGTGGAGGATGAGTCGAAGACGTATGAGTTGCGATAGTTCGTATGCAGGCAGATACTGATATAGAAATCAGCTGCAGTTCGATATGTACCGCGATAACTATTCTCCTGGCCGTGTGCTTGGTTGGTGACGAGAAAGGGTATTCGGTGCTTGGTATCTCTAGCAGGTGTTTCAAACATCTTGATTGGAGGAAGCTGCAGCTGGGGTCTGTGTGTGTGCGTTGCGTCAGAGCCTGCAGTCTAGGGGCCTGTTGCGGCTTATGTGCAGACGCCTTCGCGCTTAGCCGGTGCGCGACCCGGCCGCTGTGGACGCCGCAAGGAAGCTGTAGATACGCTGACGATCGGCCATCTAGAGTAGAGAGGCAGCAGACCATCTGGAAAGGCTCCAGGCCAGAGGCGATGGCATTTAACCAGGATAGTTATGTAAAGTGTTGAGGACATCGAGATCAGCACTGCAGACTGGGGACTTGGATTTGGTGGAGTTGCCAGACCGACAACGCTCGAGTACCGTAGGACGGGTCACAACGGTCGGCCCGTTGCGCACCACCTTCGGTTCGCATGGAGTACTCAAGCACAAGCTTTCGGGTGGATCGAACCGGACCCAGCTCAAGTAGACCGAATTTCCATTGAATGTTCAATCCACAGCCGACGTGTGGCTCAGTCGGCTTGGCGTGGCGATATGTGGCGTTTTTGAGATGAACCTGCTCCCGTTGAGGGTGCGTACCGTTCATGCTGCCATCCCTGTCCTCATTTGATATCGCGACTTGCCTCGGATAGTTCTCCCCTAGACTTCGAGCATCGCGACAAGAATCCCAGCAAACAAGAGGCGATCATCAACTACACAGAACCACCAACTGAGATCCTGTCCTTCCCGAACCCACTCCGCCCCTCGTTCATGCTTCGCCGAGCTTCATGGCCGTGAATGGCGATTTGAGCCCTCGGGCTCGCGACACCAACGAGTTCAATTGGTTCGTTGCGGCTCTCCCGGTCCGCGCCGCACGCCTAACTGACGTCTTTTAGGTTGTTCCTGGGGGAGCTGCTGGTCTGTGGAGTCGTGTAAGGAAACTCCGAGCCCCCTTTATCCTCTGAGAGCTGTCTAACGCCTGTTGACAGCACGTTGATCTTCCTCTTCTACTTCAACCGCGGCTTCGCCAAAATCATAACCATATTCGCGCGCATCTACCTCTGGTGGACCGGTAGCCCACACTACATCAATATAGAGTCGCTCCAGATATCCGTCCTCGCCGGCAGACTATTCTTCGGTAAAGTAATCTACCACGGCCCCAACGAGACGATCAGTATCGTTGGCGGTCAGATTACATGGCGGTATTGGTTACGGCGCGTGCGCAATGTTTCGTCAGATGGGACAGACGAGAGTGAAGGCGACGCCAAGGGGAAATATGGTGGGCTACCGTGCCGCATACTGGTCGAGATGAAGGGCGTTGAGTGGTTCATCTACAACAGATCGCCACAATATGACTGGCTCATGGGCGAGATGGCAGCTGCAGCGCGTGAAGGGGATGATCCAGACGTGACTCCGCCGCCGCCGCAGCCTCACGGCGCTGACGATTATCTGAACGGGCTTGATGGGGACGAGAAACACGACGATCCGAAGACCAGTTCTTCGACTTCCGGACCAAAGCAGTCCAGTGCAATGCCGGCGGTGGAGTCGTTCGAAGATATGGCGGCCAACTCGCCGTACCTCAGAATGCTCCCGATCAGAGTGGATTGTCATCGCGGTGCGGTAGTGATGGGGAATAACAACACCCCCAGTGTTCTAGTAGCACATTTCGAGAAGGCCCAGGGATATGTGGACGCTAGAAAGGTAGAGACTCTTTTAGGACTTCGAGAAGAAATTAGCCACACAATGCATACATTATTGAGCCCAATATTCAATATCTGACTACCGTTCTTTCATGCTTCCCGTGTTGGCGCTGAGCTGACCCACATGCGCAATCCAGTCTCGTTCTATCGACCAGTACAAACAAGTCTTCGATCTCAAGTTCACGCATCCTACTGTGCAGTTAAAACCAAATGCCAACTACAAGGAATCCCTTCTGGCTCGAGCAGACCGGGAGCAGTCCACAGCGGCCCCAAACCAGCCCACCCCGCCCATTCGCACTCGCCGCCAGAAACTCCGGGATCTAATCCCACTCTTGACTGCGTCGGCCGAATCCTTCAGTCCGCCCACAGGGTCGGCGAATGCACTGTCGGATCATCAGGATAACCATGGACAGTGGATGGGCCTGAGCCGTTACCTTGATGAATCCGAGCATCATGGTGGCTGGAAATTCGAACCGCAGGAATATGCGAGTGTAACAGACGTCCTGGATTGCGAGAGTGCTACATTCTGCCTGTATTGGGATGTGGTTGGGAAAGTCCCAACGTCTTCACCACCACCAAAAGAGGGCGGCAAGGAGAGAAACGGCGAAGAATACTCAGCACCTGAGTTTGGCATAGATTTGTCGTTTGAGGGCGGTACGATCCATTATGGGCCATGGGCGGATCGTCAACGCATACACTTGCAAAACATGTTCTTCCCCAAGATCTACAAGACAGCAAAACCCGCCGAACCACTGCTACCTGGAGATGACAGAACCTACACCGAGATGAAGGTGTTCGTTGAGCTCTCGAGTTCGACAATCCTGAACATCCCGGTACGGGAGGCGAGTAAAGACTGGAAATACCGCAGTCGTCTCGAAGAAGGGCAGGTTCGACCATGTGGCTGGTTGGAAATCAAGGCGGGCAGGATGAGCACTCTCAGCTACAATATGGCGTATGTCGCATCGTCAAGCGGTTGGACGCATACGCTTGATCTCGAATTACGAACACCTGAGGTCCGGACGTCTGTTAACCATGGTTTGCTATGGTCGGCTGCCAGCCAAACACTACAATGCGACCTTTCGGGCCCGTTGAAGTGGAACGGTGATACGAAATGGGTGTTCAACAACGAATCGTCCGGCATGAAAGTGTTCCTCCTACGGGAGCACATTACACTCCTGACTGACCTGGCCACTGATTGGACATCCGGCCCGCCTTCGGAGTATTGGACATTTGTGCCCATGATCTATGAGTTGAATCTCGAGCTGAAGGATTACGAATTCTTCCTCAATGTCAACGACCAAAATATCATCAACAATCCCAGCAGCTTCGAGGACAATACGTTTGTTGTACTCCGTAACTTGGGCGGTAATAACGGCTACCTAAAAGGATGCGTCGTCATGGATTTTAGAGAGTTCCGGCCACAGTGCTCAAAAGTAGAATTTACGGTGGAGACTGTGAGCAATACCGATATGGGGGGAATGCTTGAAGTGGGAGTCAGGACGCCGATATGGAACACTTGGAATTGTTCCCTAAAGCAGCAAGAATCCTTAGGAAAGGTGGGACAAGTCAAGTTAAAGGGCAGTTACGAGTTCTTCGCCAATACCTCTCCCGACCTGATTGACACCTTGAACCTAAATCTTGACGGCGAGCGGCTCCATTTGGTATTACATGGGTTTCTCATTCGATATTTCTTGACCATAAAGGAGAACTACTTCGGCGAAAACCTTCATTTCAAGACGCTGGAGGAATGGCAGAGTCGACAACAGGTAGAGGCGGGCGAGATTGCTCCGGGGCCTACCCCTCCGGCGTCGAAAAGCAATGATTTGGATGTTGTCCTTGGTGTCAGGGTTCGTGAACTGGAGATTCTACTGCCGAAGCACATATACGATGCAAAGGAGCACGTGAAGCTTAAGACGCCGTCCTTGGGGCTCGATATGCGGTTTACGAACTACTACATGGGTAAGAAGTCTGCTCGAACCTATGAAAATCTCCACAAACTGACGCAAAGTATCTACAGATCTGCAAGTAGACATGGCGCCTATATCCGCTTTCATCGGTAATTCTACCTCGGCTTTGCCCGAAATCTTTGTCGATGGCCTTACAATATACGGGCACCGCCTCTTTGGATTGCCGCCAGTAGAGCCCACGTACGTTTGCAACTGGGACCTGAGTGTTGGTGATGTCGCCGGAGAATGCTCCCTCGAATTCTTGCAGACAGCAATCTTCGCGATGGGCTCCTTCGTCTTTAGCTTCAAAGATATCGAGAACGCGCTTCCGTTGCTTAGTATACCCATCGTTCACGACGTGACTTTCGTGCGCTTGAGGGTCGGATCTTTACGCGTGTGGTTGCACATGGACGGGCCAATCGCCTTCCGTATGGTGGCCGATGAAGTGTCATTTGTATTGAACGACCTAGCAAATGAGCTCCATTCGGACCGGATCACGTTAAAAATTCCCGGCTTCAATGTTGTTTGTATGGATGTGGAGCGGAGAGACGTATGGGGGACAAAAGGTTGCTTGGAAACAGAATTCAACGTCACTGTCCTAGGTAGGAAGAAGAATGCTTCTGAAGCGAGACGGCTGCAGCAGGAGCATGTGAGGGTCAGTGACGGACGCACTGGACGCGCAACTTTCTTGCTGGAGCAACAAGATGAAGGCAGTATTGCCAGTGGGCCGAAGCCTGCGAGTATGGCGTTGCCTGGGCTTCCGTTGCCTTTTGATGGTGAACATTTTCTCTCCGACAGATACGGATTCTAGAATGCTAACGATGGGTCAGATAACTCCGGATCGGTATATGATAGCAGTTCTATAGAGTCGGATAACTCCTCGCGGACAACTAGATCGTCCACCAGCAAGAGCAGCCACTCTTTTCTTGCTAATAGGCACCGATCGAACTCATCAGGTACGGCAAGCTTGATGCAATCAGCAAGCTCTCGTACGTTGTCTTTTTATTCCGCCATGGAGTCGATCTCGGATCCTCCGCCTCCAATTCCCCCATTGCCCAGGTGGAACCCGTCTACAACTCCCAGCGCAACAACACCGGGCTCCAGGGACTCTGTGCGTATGACACCAACTGGAATGCATTTCCATGGGCTTTCGTTGGAGATGACACCGAAACCGCTCGAGGTATCCTTATCAAGTCCCTTTTCGAGGCCGGACTTCCCTCTCGACGGTGTTGAGCCCGACCTTACCAAAGTACCCTCGCTCGGAACGAATGACAGCTCCCCTCGCCTTCGACAGCCTGTAGGCCATGTCGAGATCGTCACAGACGAAGAGTCATCCAGAGACAGTATCATCGTCGAGTTCGGCTCCGGAATTCGCGGTTACTGTACTCCCACTGCCTTGCGGGAATTTGCAAATCTACTTGAACGCATACAACCGCAGTCGCCAGAGGACGTCCTTGATTCCGTACAGACCAATGTCGTCTCAAGACTCTCCGAAGTGGTCAAGAAGCCAGATTCTCATGGAAAGGTGGTCGAACTCTACCTGCAACTTCCCCAGTTCAAGTTTTGCCTGGTGGACGACTTCGTTCCGCCGTCAGCTCAGGAGGGCCGTAAGGGAGGACACGCATTCAATCTAAACTTGCGGAATCTGCAAGTCACTGCGCGATCCAGGAAACCGGCACTTACGGAAGAGGGTGGAAAGGAGGTCACTTCGGTGCATGTCTTGCTCGATTCATTGAGCCTAGACCTGAAGGACCTCACGCCGCGTCCGCTTCTGCAGATGTCGACGCAGCCGGCACTCGAGGTGGTAGTGGGAGAGCTCCTGTTCTGGGCGTCGAGCTCGGAAGCTGCCACTGTCTCTTTGCAGATCAAGAACCTCTCCTCATCTGCGCAAGGAACGCAGGCACTCTTCATCCACGACGTTGCCATGCGGACAGTCAAGGAAATGGAAGGAATCGCTGGGCGCTTCGCAAGGGTTTCCAGTGGCAAGCAGCGGAGAATGCAGCAGTTTATCTCTGCCCTAGCATCAGCAGGCGAGGAGCTCATGATCACGCAAGATCCGGCGACGCTCACGAGGCCGTCCTACGTCCTCCGCTCGGCGACTAACCACGTGCGATTAAACGACTCGTGGAAAATCACCACCCGCCTCCGGCACATCTGGCAATCACTCCCGGCCAGGGAGAAAGACGACCGCACTACCGCCTGCGTACAGAACGAGGCGCATCCGCCACACAGCGCGAAAGCTCGGCTCATTAATGTTTTCCAGCGGTGGCGCGGCTGGGAGTTGGGGAATATCAAGGAGAGTATCATGGTTAAGCAGGTGTTTGGGGATGGCGAGAGCAGCAACTCGGCACCCGGTACTACGGCAAATCGAATGCTCAATTCGAAGTTCAGAATCGATTCGGTCAGGTTCCTGCTTGATCCGGGACCAACGCAACATGAGTTTGCGATCGATCAGTTGCAAGGACTGGTTATGGCTGGTATACCCACAGGCGGCGACCCGGCGCTAGGAGGTGATTCTATGGCAATGGTCGCTCCGGGCGTCCGTGTGAACACGGTGGTGCAAGTACATACGAGAAGTATTCGTCTAGGCGTTAGGTGGGAGTTCCTGGATATACTTGAGACTGTTGCAAACGGGCTTCAGAAGCGGCGTGGCAATTCCGACACTCAGGGAACAGTCTCTGAAACCCCTTCCACTATTCCTACTTCGCTTTCGTCGAAGAGAAGAAACCGTTCCGACGGCTTCCATATGATCTTCGCCACGGACGACGGATCGCTATCACTCGACACGGTAAACTTGCGGGTCGTATCTCGTGTCCAGCACGTGCAAGCATCGGTCGTTCTATCCGAAAAGGATGTCGATCCACAAGCCGGAAAGTTCGGCAACGTCGGTAACTTAATCCTTCGTGCCCGCCACGGGAAATCCGAGGTATGCCACGGCAACAAGATCCTTAGTGAGGCCAACATCCGTGCGCCCAGTCTGTATGGACATTTCGATGAGCATTGGTTTGTGGAGACGAAGTTCCACATATGGAAAATTGCGAGCTCGGCCGAGGAGATCACCTTCGATGTGCAGGAGGAGGTGCTGGGGCTCATGGAAGTGTTTGATTACCTCGTTACCGATGAGGTAGCCCATATTCAGCGGTTGATGAATACCCTGGACACGATCCAACCGCAGAGTACGGGTGCCGCCAGTCCGAAGTCGCCAGGCCTCTCGAAGAGAAAGGTTCATATGATATATGGCACGCTTTCGGTGGATCAGTTCCGGATGGGAGCGAAGCTGTTGCCGTCGCTCACTTACCTGGTGCGCGGTGGAGGCGTCCAGCTTTCGGCGAAACCAAATTCGATGGACTCGAAGGAGATGATCGTCGATTTCGGCCTAGAACATCATGAACACGAAGTGTTCAAGTCTGTAGATTCGTCGGATCCAAGGGTCATCTCACTACTGCGACTACCGGCAATCAATGTCAGTATTCGAGACCGCAATGCAGAAGAGGAACGATTGGTAGAGGCGACTGTATCCATCGAAGCGATAACTCTCGATGCATCGTCGATCCAGAGTCTTCTCAACGCCATCAAAAAACCAGAGGTTGTCAAGGTGATCGAGGGCGTCCGCTCCGAGATGCAGGCTATCAGCTCGAAGCTTGGAGCCACCTTTGGCCGCAATAGAAAACCGAAGACAGCGACGCCGACGAAGCCTTCAAAACCATTGGTGTACCAAGCTCATGCCGGGGTTTCAAGTCTGAAGATTCAAACCATGGCACCGTCTGCCAATCTGGAGGTGAATCTAGGGTTCATACAGCTGTATGCGTCCAACAGGCCTACGCTAACAGGGCCAGTGCTGTCGTTCCCTGATATCCGCTTGGAGTTCGGGAGGATCACTGTGGAGTTGACGAGAACCGCCGAAGATGGGGCACGGGATACCTGCGGGTTCCTAGAGCTACATGCTTCGCTAACGGCGTCGCTACAGCAAACCGAAGCTGGAAACTCACGGCCGGCGTTTTACATCCAGAGCCACTCCCTCAAGATTGATCTCTTCGCCGAAACGGCTTCGGCGGCTGTAGATGTGGTTGGACATCTCCAGGATCGGCTGAAGGACTTGGACCTCTCCCGGGAAGTCAAGTATTTGCGAAAGCTGCGCAATGCGAAACCGTTGATCCAGCCATCGCCCGATCCCGATGCAAGCAGTCAGCTGGGACTCCTCAATACCGCGGTATCCATGGAAATGATGGGTATCAGGGTCTCCTGGATCGTGGGCGGAACAGCAACTACTCTGCCAAGTGGCATGCCGAAGCAGAACTTGGTGTTGTCGTTTAAACGGATTCATTTCTCCACGGCCACACGGAAAAGCAACGAGGCGAAACTCATTATTGAGGACTTTATCCTGCAGATGGTGGATGCCACAGCTGGCGAGGCTGTTGAGCGCTCAGAGAACTCCGCGCTCATGCCAGAAATCGTGTTCAAGGTGGCATACAACCTCAGTGCGACCGAGCGGCTGTTGGCATTTCAAGCAAAGGGCAGGTCACTCGACCTCCATCTTCAATCCTCTTGCGTACTCGCCGCGAACTCGATAGAGAATTCCATCTCCGAGGCGGTGCAGAAGTTTAGAGATGCATCTTCGAGCTGGAAATCGACGCTCACGCGCGGCGGAGAAGAGAGGACGAGTATGTTCAGCACCAAGCGTTTGGCCTCGGTAATGGTCGATGCCGATTTTGCGGGTGCGGTTGTGCATCTCGGACGGGGCCTAGATTCAGGGATCGAGAAAAATAAGGCGCCCGGAGTGCAGAAGGGGAGGTATGGACAGTTTGCCCAAGGTGAAGCGAATGGTATCACGATGCTCAAGTCACCGGGGCTGGCATTCAAGGTCGAATACACCGATCCAATCGATGAGGATCCGTCGCTCAGTGCCGAGATCAAAATCTCCGCATCAGATAACATGCTCTTCCCGTCTGTCGTGCCGCTGATCATCGAGATGTCGGACAACGTCAAGGAGATCATGAAGCAGCAGCCTACGGATACTAGCGATATGGCTGAGAAGATGGACAAAGCTGCCAAAGACAGTCATAATCCAGTTGCTTCCGATCCGGCTGCGATCCTGGGAAGATGTCGTCTCAATATTGGGATACGAATCTGCAAGCAGGAGTTCACTCTGAGCTGTCAGCCAATCGCCAGAGTCGCAGCATCGGCTGGATATGATCAGATATATGCTACCATCAATACCTGCGACGACCCCGAAGGCGGGCGGTTCTACTCGCTCTCCGTGGCTATCAATGGCCTGAAGACATCGTTGCAACATGTCTACTCTCGTGAATCCACCGGAACTCTCGAGGTCGAATCAGTCACACTATCGTTGATGGATAGCAAACACGTCATGGGCTCCGCTGGCCTCTCATGCATGATGAAGGTGAGCCCAATCAAGTCACAGCTCAACGTCAAGCAGTTCCAGGACTTCCTCCTCTTCCGGGAAATCTGGTACCCGGCAGAGATGCGAAATACTCCCACAATGCCGCTGGAGTCGACTGAAGACCCGTCGGCGATGCTGGTGCAAAGGTACCACAAGGTCGCTGCGAAAAATGCGTTCCCGTGGAATACTACTGTTGCCGTTACAGAACTTGAGGTTCAGCTGGATTTCGGTCAATCACTAGGGAAATCGGCGCTGCTGATCTCCCGCTTCTGGATTACTTCTAGGAAGACGTCAGATTGGGAACAAGCTCTATGTCTGGGCTTCGATTCAATCCGCATCTCGTCGACCGGTCGTCTGGGTGGATATATCGATCTGAGTGGGATCAAGATCAGGACTTCGATCAACTGGGGCTCTGCCATTGAGTCTACGGATACCGTGCAGACACCGCTTATCGAGGCATCGGTGGGTTTCACAAAACTGGAGGCAAAGGTCTCCTTCGACTACCAGGCATTCCTGCTCGCCGATATCGCGACGTTCAACTTCTTGATGTACAACCTGCAGGATGAGCGTACCGGCGGCGAGCGTTTGGTTGGGGTTCTCGACGGCGAACAAGTCCAGATATTTGCTACTACTCAAAGTGCCGCCCAGGGACTGGCACTATACCAAGCGTTTCAACGGCTATGGCAAGAGAAGCTCGCATCCTTCGAGGTGTCGCTAAAGGAGGTCGAGAGCTACTTAAACCGCCGACAATCCCACGCCCCGGCAATGCAAGAGAAACCGCAGCCCCCATCACGGAAGGCGTCTACGGCTTCATCCGCAATATCAGGCGTATTCTCACTGCACACGGATGTCGTCGTTAATCTCAAGGCAGTCCACCTCGGCGCCTTCCCTAGTACTTTCTACGACACCTCCGTCCTAAAGATGGAAGCCCTTAACGCCACCGCGCACTTCGAAGTCGAGACCGTCGACGTAAAACGAATCCACAGTATGCTCGAGATGAAGCTCGGAGAACTTAGTATTGCCCTCGCACCAGTTAAACAGGATGGGCAGGGCACGACATTAGCCGATGTCAGCGTCGAGCGGGTCATCAATGGCATTGCGCAGGCAAAGCAAAAGTTGGGAACTAGGGGTATAATCTTGAAGGTCCCGCAGGTCACGGCGAAAATGCATACCTGGCATTCACCTGGCTCCGTGGCGGTGGACTACAGATTCCACTCTGCGTTCGAGGGCCAGGTCGAGGTCGGATGGAATTTTCATAGAGTGGGGTTTATCAAAAAGTATGTTCCCTTTCCCCCTCCCTTCATATGTATAATCTAACCCTCTCTAGTATGTACCACACCCACGCCAAAGCCGTCGCGCAGCGCCAGGGGCGCCCTCCCGTCTCCAGCCGGATTTCGATGTACACCGATGGCCCCGGGCTTGCCTCTGCCGCGTCGTCGGAAGACGGCTCTGAGAAGAAGACTAAGCAGAAGGGCAAGATCACGGCGGTCGTGGACGTGCCCCAGAGCAAATACGAATACAACCCGATTGATCCGCCGATTATTGAGACACCACAACTGAGAGATATGGGCGAGGCTACGCCACCGATGGAGTGGATTGGGCTGCATAGAGAACGTTTGCCACATTTGACGCATCAGGTATGTTTAAGCTTCGATCAGGATTGGGGAGTGGATATGGCTAATATGCGCTGCGCTAGATTGTTATCGTGGCCCTTCTGGAGGTTGCGAGAGAAGTCGAGGACGCGTATTCGAAGATTCTGGGATCGAGCTGAGGAGTGGGCTTTGCTGCTACTGGAGAACTATAGAGGGATGGCGTTCATTGTATTGCGTACTCGTATTCTGTTTAAGTTTTCTCATGTCATTACTTGGTTATAATATCGCGGAGGCGTTGAAGTTTATACATTATGAGGCCCAGCGAGCCTGGGCTGGATGGTTGGTTTGTATTTTAGTTTCCATATCAAGGGACAACATACCCTCACAAACTCTGCGAGGAGGATATCTCCAGAAATTTACTTCTTCTACAACATCAATTGTTTCGTCCATAACCTTCCCCCCTTTGCCAGCCTACCCTAGACCAAAGCTTCTCCGCACGAGTGCGTGATGGTTCGTCAACCGTGTGCTATAAACACCCCCTCGAGTCCGCAAGCAATCTGTGCCCATATAGAAACACTGTCGTCCAGAACACCAGAATACCATAGCTCCATAATGCGTTCCATCACTTTCTTCACCGCCGTCCTGGTTGGTTGTGCCGTCGGCGTTCTTGGGTATGTATGCATACCGTGTACAGGAGGTCGAGTGGAATAATGACGCGTAGGTCAACAGCTGCGACCAGTGCCCCTCCTCCTCCAGCGGCCAAGACCACCGTCAATACCAGGGCCAGCACCTCCACGGCGCCGCACTAGCCATCGACCCCCAGCAGCAGTATTTAGATCCCCAGCAGCAGTATTTTGAGCCCCAGCAGCAGTATCCGAGCAATGTTCAAGGTACGGGGCTTCCTTCCTTCCGACTAGACGGATCATGTATGTGTGCTGACCACTCTTATGTACCAGGCTACTACATCTCCGACGAGATCGAGCACCTGACCGCGCCGCACGACGAAGACGGCGCGATAATTCGCGAGGAAGCGGTGGACGCGCTGCCACAGTCTGCGACCAGCGCGCTCTCGAGTCTCCTGGGCACGTCCGCGTCGATCCCTACAGGCGTGCTGAGCCTGGTCCCCACCGACGCGGCGCAGCGCAGCGCGTTCCTGATTAATCTCGAGAGTGCGCTGCCGACGGCCGCGAGCGAGAGGGCTAGTCTCATCAGTGAGGTGCTGAAGGCGACCGATAAGGCGGGTGTCGAGAGCGTCCTTGGCGATGTGTTGGCGAGTGCGACGGGAACGGGCGAAGACGCGAAGGCGACGGGCGAGTCGAACAATGAGGGTGGTGATGATGATGCAAGCGGTGCGCCG